GCTTTCATAATGCAATATCGATCGGCCCCTTTCTTCACCTCTTCTGTTGTATCGTCGAATCTCGGGGTCAGACGTCGTAAAGAGACAATCGACCAACAGCCTGAAAGCGACCATGCAGGTTAACATACCCAAGGCAACCACATAGATCGAGAGCTTGTCAGGCGAGAGATAAATTAGAATCAGTGACACAAATTTGCAGTCTGTCATTCCCTTCACGGAATCATGCAAATTTAGCTACATAACTCTCTTGCTACCAAATTCGATCATGTCCTATAGTCTGCGATATCCACTCGATATCAATATCATCGATCGAGTTCGCTAAATCCATGATATGACCAGTCGTCAACGGCTCTCCAGGGTCAATTTCAAAATTCGGGCATGAGGAATCAAAGTCAGACGGCCGCGAGACAAAGATCGTCGAGTCCCTCGACCGATCCTCCATAGGAGATTGCTGGGGCGACGTGTGACTAGGCTGCCATGCTGCCTGCGACACTGTATTAAGCTCCTCCAACATCTTTCTCAAATTGTCCAATTCGCCTTTCCGCAACACGGCAACTTGGTTGCCGCTCGTAATCAAATCGTCGAAGACAGCGTAAGCCGTCATAATCCATTTAGAACCATTGTCAATGATGGTGTGGTCAAGTGCTATTGCTACAAGCACATTGATCGTCGCCGCAGATAGTTGGTCCAAGCTGAAAGGCAAAAAAGGATCTGGTTTTGCGGTCAGCATGCAATAAACTCCATGAATTTCACCGTGTGATTGGCATTGCGATCAGCGATGTAAGAGACGATTGGTATAACAAACCTATCAGAGCTTGGCCCAGTAGTGACTCCAGGATTGTCAATATCTGGATCGAAGAGTCGAGGCACGTCTGGATAAAATTACGAGATGTCTTTGAACCATTCAGCTTGGACTGACAATCTTCTCGAGATTCAAGACGAAGTTTCAAGAAGCAGAACAGCAACGGCCGCGTAGCAAGGATGATACACTTTTGAGAGGCAAACTAGTCAGCGCTTGCCAGAGGATACTGCATGAACTCTGTACAAAGACTTACCCGGTGGTACTCCAGATGCAAGTAAGCAGAGGTTTTGGAAATCCCATCAGTCTTTTGTTCCAAGCATAGTGGAAACCATTGCTGTAGCTCCTCATGTGCACCAGCGATGTCTGCTAGAGCGCCCTTGATGCCGCTCTGGAAACCGCTATTCAGCCGGCCGCCAACCCCGTATATATCTGTATTTTCTTTTCAGTAGGGGCTCAACCGTAACAACTTGGACTGGGTTAACATACTACGATTGATGTCAGCGATCAACTGAGACAACTTGAGCTGCATCTTGAGTGCTGAAGTTCTTGTGATCGAGCCAGAGAAAGCCGGTAGTTGGCAATAAACATCCTGAATCTCAAGGGACTGTGGCAGTCCTGCGACTGAAGTCATCTCACGATCTAGAATATAAACTGTCCACCAGGCCCTTCGTATGCGTTCCACTGACGCGTTTCCGAAACGGTCTGGCTTGATGTCTGTGTGTAGGCCAAAGTTTAATGCCAGACGCATTGCTTGACCCAGCTGCAAGATGAAAATTAGTAACATGTTCAGAGACATACAAAGCAAAACGGTCTTACATAAGTATGTGCCACAATTCGATAATCCAGACACGACAGATATAGAGCGATACAGGTTAGAAGCTCGACGGAATGTACGGGATACCTCCATAGCATAATCATATTGGGCAATAGTTGAAGTGCTTGTATGAAATACTCAATCCCAGGAGGATCCTTTCCACTCTTGTTGACTGTGAAGCCCTTGCCAAAAGCTAATATGACCAAGAAGTGAACCAGCCACACTTTATCAGTGGTGTGTCGATCCGCTGGAGACTCATAAAAAGTATACAAAGCTTGCATGAATGTATCCTCATCAAAGACATGAAACAATTGAGCGCAATGAAACTTCACAGCGTTGATGAGATATATGGCGTGATCGATAGTCGGAACAGTTGCAGAAAGAGGATCAGCGCATATGGGGGCTCCGTCCCATTGAAGGTCGTATGCGTTGCCCAATCCTTCAATATTGCGGGCCATGTCTGGGATCCGATTCCTGAACACACGCTCATATACCATGCTGAGAATCTTCTGTGTGAAGGTCCAATTTGATGTCGAGCCTAGGTAAAAAGTCATACCATTATTTGCTGTCATGAAAGTTGAGCAGTCAGTAGCCAAAAAGTTAGTCAACGCCGGTTCTTCGCTTGTCCCGCGCGTTTGAGGCTCTTCGACAGGGCGCAGTAGATTTGACTGCCTATTGCGCAGCAAAGCTTCATCATCTCCATGGTCGGAAGAAGATGGATGGTCAAAGTCGTCAGATTGCTGTCGCACTACGGCTGCATCATGCCGAGAAGGAACATCGCTCTGGCGAGATGCCTTCCTTTGAAGCTCATGAATATAACTGACAATTGTAAGCTGAACATGAATCAAGACTTGTGTATGCTGTTTTCGTTCTTTGGAATGACACATACCCTTGCGTGACTACAACCTTCCGATGCCTCTCGTTAAAGTGGCAGGCTAGATTGCGCTTAGTACATGCATCGCAAGGCAGGCACCCACTGCATCTGATCTTTTGCTTGCGGCATCGTTCGCATCTGCATACAACGTCAGCAAGGCTCAGAGCGACTGAGTAGAGAAGACGCCATTGAGACAGGAGTACGGTGCTTACGCATTAGGTGAGCGCCTCAGGAGCCTAGACGCGCTCATATTGGCGACTTTGTTCATGATGGCAATGTGACCATGGGATACTATCGGAACGCTTGCCGAAGCACTCTGTAGGTTTCAACCGTCCCTAAACCATCAGCACGGCGATCTGCCAACATCGCGATCAAAGATCCGTGGCACTTCCGACGCACAGTTTGCACTATCCGGTCCGTAGTTGTGTCAAGGTGGCGGATGAGGCAGGAATCCAATTTGGCGGTCTTTGATGGGGTGTCAAGCACTTGAGCTTGTACCGCCCATGTGACCGAATCAAGCCTCGCAACCGACGATATGGCCGAGCCGATACCGGCAAACTACTTAGTCTACGTGTGTATCCCTTGTTTCTGCCGCTTGCAGATGGTTCATCCACTATTTATAGATTAAGCTTAGAGCGGGATTCGCCCATTCACACTCTCCTATTCGTTACCCCGAATCCATCCCTTGTTTCCCGATTCGTCGGTTCTCATAATCACATCTCGATGGAGCAACGAATAATGACGACAATCCCTAGCCACTACAGACATACACGAAGGACTCAAAATCTTTTGAATTGTGAACTGGCAGCACGATGACATTGTGGGTGTGTCATTGCTGTCTCGTTTCGACTCGTGATGACATGCCTGCTGGTATTTCCCGTGCCCCGCAACTCTCGGATCGGATCGGATGCGCATCCGGTCGTGCATATGCCAGTCCACATGGCAGCGAGCAAGCCTCCTCCAGAGATAGTGCGTGTAATTACTTGATTGGACGTGTAGAAAGGTTACAATCAGCCTCGTCCATGAACTGATATCAAGGCGATTATCAATGCATGCCCTGGTAGGCTTTTCGTTTATCATGGCCAAACAAACATGCTGGCAGTCCTTCACCGGGTGGTTGTGGTGGTCCTATGATCGGCTTACAACAATAGCTTGCCGATATGAAATTATTGCCCCTCAAGACGGGAGTGATCCGAAACAGTCTTACGCCCTTCGCCACCTGAACTTCAGCCAGTGCCGTGAACATTGTTTATCGCGTGGAGAAGAGCCAATGAGTGGCATGCATATCTTTCATCTGCACGGGGGTCGCGTGACTACAGACCCAGGGTGGCTTTGGGCAACATAAATCCAGATCGAACTAGAAGATTCTCAGCAGAAGCAAAATCGTAGCGAGAACGGAAGCAGCTGTTGTTTGGGAGGAATGCTACCCGAGTAGTGGCTGTATCTGCTATCATAAGTGACAGACTGGGCAGAGCTCAATTGACGAATAAAGTTATGCGCTTGAATCTCCTAGCAAGGCTTGATTAGTTCTACCGACGTCACCCCCTGTGTTGCCATTTGCCAATGGCACTGATCCTATCTCCGCCAGACAGCTCTATCAGCTGCAATGAGCCTAGCCCGAGACCTTCAATGGCAGATGAGGCTCGGACCTCATCTAACCTTATCGAGATATACAATCAAGACGAGTATGCTACGATTCACTGATGAGCTCGTCGTACACAGTATTCGAAGCCAAGACCAGCCGTCGCCACAATGCATTTCAACCTGAGCGTGTCGACTTCCAAGCGTGCATCTGATGGGTTTCAAACCGGCACAGCATAAGGTCACCTGGCACACGTCGCCGCCAAATGGATGGCAACAGAGACTTCACGACAGACACCTCTGCCGTAGCTCATCAGCTACGGCCTCAGTTCCGCTGCGCCCTTGTCCATCATGTCGCCCCAAGTCGATCGAATCACCGTCGCACAAAACAATCCAAGTTGACCGGCCAGCATTCAATTGGCCATCGTCAGTTTCGACGTGTCAACGCACCCGATGTCGGGTATCTTTCAGTGTTCGCTTCGACCAGTCGTGTATGAGCCGATGCAAGAATGACTCAAGGTATAGGAACTATACGCTCCTGGGCGGTGACACAGCTGACAAGCAAGCTCAGATGACCAACACATCAATTGTGCCGTGGGCAAGATAGGCTCGGGCCACGATAGTGCCTGCCCCACATTATAGTCTGCGCAGTATCAATTATAAGCCAACTGGGTCTAGTGGCCGATATACTTCATCGGATCGGATGGCCATCCGTCGCCTTCCCTAGGCACGCCGCCTAGTCGCAGACTTCGATACACGATCGTGAAACGACACGGCTGTCTATATAATATGATGTGAGGGAACCAGACAAGCGAAAATGCGTTCTTTGTTCGTTAGCGTCTCTTTCTGATATTTGGCTCCATTGGTAAATTCGCCTGTTTTGTTCTCCGTTTCCAGCGCGTATTTCATACCCTCTAGCATATTCTATCATGGCCTCGTCAATGCTGCATTATTTTGGTTTCGGGGCCAACACCAAGCCCTCAGATGGCCCACCAGTCAAAGAAGAACCAGTCCGCGCATTGCCAGCGTCATGGTACAGTGACGAAAACTTTTACAATCTTGAGCGACGAGCCATCTTCTCTCGAAGATGGTTGTTCATGACACACCAATCACGCCTCAAGGGTCCAGGAGACTGGCTTCGCTACAATGTTGCTGGCTATGACTTGATCATAATCCGTGACCGTGCTGGCAACATCAACGCATTCCACAACGTGTGTCGGCACCGCGCCTACCCAGTCGTTGAGAAAGAAGGGCAGGGCACAGCCATGATATTGGCGTGCAGGTAAGACACCCAGGCAGCAGAGGGAAAAGTTTCAGCTTAATGACAGCTTTGCCTAGATACCATGGCTGGTCCTATGGATTGAACGGAAAACTTGCCAAAGCTACTGGATTCAAGGACATGGACAAGTATGAGAAGGAGCAGAACGGCTTGTTCCGGATCCATACCAAGATTGATACCAATGGATTCATATGGATCAATATGGATTCAAATGAGGAGCCAGAAGTGCCCTGGGAAGAGCATTTCAAGGATGTCGACATTCAAGAGAGATACAAGGAGATGAACTTCGATGACTACGATTTGGACCACACATACGAGCTGAAAGGCGATTTCAACTGGAAGGCGCTTTCGGACAACTTCAACGAGTGCTATCACTGTCCAACCACACATGCCGATATTCCCACCTTCCTCAACCTCGATTCCTTCGACAGCGATCTAAAGGATGGTCATATTCAACATCATTGCGAGTACACCCCGGAGCAGCTCAAAAAGGGCCTGAACGCCTTGAGCACCTATTACTTCCCTAATACTTCGATGACTATTTCGTAAGTCCATGATCCATAGCAACAACAGGTTCTCCTTTCTAACATTGATTTTTACTGGTAAGGCCGCACTTCATGATGATTCAAAAATTCCTGCCTTCTGGGGCGAAGTCTTCATCTATGCATTACGAGATTTACCGCAACAGAAACTCCTCCCAAGAGGACTTCGAACTCATCAGCAAGACATATGCTAAGGTGATGTCCGAAGACAAAGTGCTGTGCAATAATGCGCAGAAGAATATCAACACCGGCGTTTACGTAACTGGCCAACTGCATCCGAAGCACGAGAAAGCACCAATCTTCATTCAAGGTCTTGTCCGCGAAGCAGTCAGTGAGCACTTCAAACGGGAGAGGATGGAAGGCCGGGAGATTTGGCCTGCAAGACAGCAACTGCCGGCGAACGCAAAAGTGAGCATGGAAGATGTTGAGATTTGTCAGGGCATTGCGTGTGGAGCACAGAATGAAGAGCTTCTAGCATGGTGATATTGCTACGAGGCGTAAGGGTTTTGCACACCCTGTGTGGAGGGATCAAGGATTCGAGAAGATGTAGCTGTCATGAGCGTTTCCAGCATCACGTTCACAATTTCAATTCAATTAATCAACCCTTATTCAATCAACTGAGCAGATGGCATTCATAATCGATACATCTCCAAATCTCTAGGCGATGGCTTCCTTTGGTATCAGGGTCATCTTCGACAGCAGTCTCATCAATCTCTCAGTAGCCTCTAGCTGCCTGTGCAGTCTTGGGAATCTCCACATGGGTACGGTCCAGAAGAAGAAGCCAAACACCCAGGCATAGCCAATCAGATATCCCAACCAGCTCTCCTCTAGCAATGCCAATTCGCGTGACAAGCCCAGTCTCCTTGCACCGTCTCTCAACATCGAGACGAGCACCAGTTCAACCGAGCACGCGGCGAAGTTAAACATAAACCACTGCAAATCGATTTCCCAATCCACGTGGCCCAGACGCCAGCTGACAGCGCTGTGCGAAAGACCAGACAACAGGAAGACAGCGAATGCTACCAGCGTCTTCTGGACCCACGAGTTCCTCACAGGCGAATAGCTAGCCAAGAGGCGCCCAAAGTTTCCGTAGGGCCTGACCGCGAGACGGTGCCAGAAACGCGACCAGAAATTCCGCAGGCCACAGGCGGCAGTGGGGCTGCCGAAGAGGGTCGGCCAGTCCCCAGGCTTGTCCAAGCCGGAGAGCACGGCGATGATGGCCAGGACGGCATTGGCTCCATCCAGGAGAACCACGCTCTCCCAGACCCAGACGACTGCCGTGTAGGACCGTATTACAACCTCCCGGGCTGTGATGTCGCCGACGCGAGTAAAAAGGGCCGTCTCGGCGACGTCTGAGGCTTGCAGCACGTATATCGTCTCGGCAAAGAGAGAGGGCAGGATGGAGGTGAACAGGTAGTAGTAGAGCGGGAGCTTCAACAGACGCAGGAGAAGAAATAAGGGGACCGAATCCTGGTCTGCGTTGGTTTTGGCGTCGTCGTATTTTTTGTTGGTCGCCTTGGTGACGGCCGCCGCAGGAAGCAGCTGAGGATTGGTCCAGAGGCGCCAGGTTTCACGGAAGGATATCCAAGAGGCCAAGGAATCAGCCCGCGGCGCTGACCGTCTCTCAATGCACACGACAGAGACGACGTGAACGATATTCAAGGTCACTGACTGTGCCCATAGGCTGGAGAGGTAAGGAGAAATGACTGAGAAGCGGTTGCATGTTGTGAAGGAAAGGACCGCGAAGACAAGAAATAGTGGAAGAAGATGAAGGCGTCGTTTCTGATTTGAAGTGTGTATGATGAAGTGAAAAACCAATGTACATAGAATTAGATACGCTATTGGTACTAGACAAGGAGCCAACAAGCGGAAGTAAAGCTGCATTTTGCCAGCTTGCTTTCTGCTTGGGAGCTGATGATGTTTTCCCACTATATGCCCAGTTGGTCAGGTTGTGTCGTTCGGATAAGTATTGCCCAATTATATGTCTTGACGGTGTAGACTGACCTGAAGGTCTGTACCATTCGGATAATCATGTTTCTCCATGCACAGACAGGATCCACAGGGCAGTATGTGTTTACTCACTCCACTCACTCAAGGCAACAAGATTAGTATTTGGATCGTCGCTTGGCCGTTCCTTACGAGCACCCCACATAGACGGCGCGGCTCATTTCTTCCACACGTGACACATCTCCGCCCGACACAGCACCATAGCCATCACCAAGCTCATGTCCACTCCCTCAGCAACGGTTGCCTTCCAGACACTTGAAGGGCTGTTGGTACTCTCCCCAACAATCTTCCCCACCAACCCAACCGGTGGAGTGTAAGCAATCTTTCGAATGTACGCAAATGTCGTGTCGTCAACACTCAAACACATATCCTCAAACTCCACGCTGGAAGACCCGGTGCGGCGCATAGATACTACAACGTCTTCGCCTGCAGTAGTGCGCACCGTAGCGTCGATATCCGAGTGACCCACGCTGGTGACTTGCTTCACATGCACCAAATCAGCCAGCTGCCGTTTATCGTCGGCGGCTTCTATCAGCCAGCGGTTCTTGGGGTCTATGCTGTGGTGCCGGAAGTCGAAGATGTGCTTCTGCGTGGCACCGCTTTCGCCGGCGCGCTGGTCGTAGACCTTGCGCCGCCAGCTCCAGGATGTGCCGAGCTTCGCCTCGACACGGAAGAGCGACTCGTTGGGCGGTATGTCTAGTGCTGTCGTCACGAGATTGAAGGTGCGGTCATGGCACTCCACTATGAAAGATGTCTCTGATGTACTGGTGAAGCCCTCCAGCATGATCACTGGGGGTTTGGGCGTGGTGGGTGGAGCGAGTTGAGCCATCGGAAAGGTTTTGCAGGTGTAGGTGGTTCCAAAGGATTTGCTGAAGGATCGAATACGGTTCCAAAGCTTTTAGAAGGAATGCGGGTAAGGTCGAATACTAAATATCAGTGGATTTATACTCCTGTAGGGTTAGAGTATATATTCTCGTGTACAAAGATTTGCTTGAATAGGCACAAATAAGGTTTTTATGTCGTATAAGCTACCCTCAAGATTGCAGCCCTGCCCAGCCGGTCACACTGTGTTCGTTTTGAGCGGGTCCCGGACATGTCCCGGTTCCCATGAGCCCACTATATCCCCAGGCAGGCAGCAACAAGCACAAATGCCCAAATCAGGTATTTCACCCAGACGATCTCCTGTACTCCTATTACCAGCCACCCAAGCAGAGGCACGAAGCCCCTGACAAACCCTCGGACCTCCTGCCTTGACACCGTGGTACGGTCCCCGGGGTACAGAACCTCGTCCGTAACTTCATTGTTGTCACCTTTGGTCACGAACATTTGCCTTGTGACATCGTCGTGTTAGAAGTGAAAACATAAGACCTACAAGGAGTTTTAGATCTTGGCTTACTGCATGGTGTCTTCATCCCAGAATGACTGCACAACCCGGTGGACCATAGGCAATGGGGCGTCGTCAAACCAGACAACGGGAATGTCCCCTACTTCGATTGAAGACGTGCGATTCCACAGAAACAAGATGTCTCCTCTATGAAAAGCAGGGGCCATAGACTCGGACACGACGCAAATTATGGGGGTTGACGAATTGGTCACGACACTGAGTCCTTTCCACATCATAAACAATGTGCTGAGGTGTAGGAGTAGGGGCAAAAACTCAGCCAGGGGCTGGCGCCGGCTGGCCGACGTCTCGGACGGCATCGTGAAGAGTTCTGCGAGCTGTGACCTGCCTAGTCGGCCATTTTCATGACAGTAAACCAGCGCCGGATTTATAGGGTCCAGGTTTTGTTTCCGTGTCTGGGGGCTTGACTCATTGGCTCAAAACGCATGGTGACCCACGGTTGGCCATGCAGTGGTGTAGGGACTGAATATCCACTGACGTGTCTGCCTGAGTGTTCAAGACTTGTGGCAGGCTCTCGACCGGGAGCTTCATTCAATTTGCAAAAGTCCGTTGTCTGCAAATTTAGATGTTCATTACGCGGGTGATGAAATAGCCGCGGATGGTAGTACAAGTTCAAATCCTTATTCGACGGCACTAGCAAACAAGCATTTCAAGTGCCGTGTGACACCCAGCACACTGTATGGAGACATTGTGGGGGAGTTGGGCTGTAGGATCGAATGTGAACCCGCAAATGATGTCGCGACCGCCTTCACAGCTGCCGCAGCTGAGATCCTTCGCCCAGGGGACGTGGAGATCGGAAACAAACTCATCACCTCCAGAAGCATACGGAACACTGGTAGTCGAGGCGGAAAATAAGATCGACCTCCCCCACAATCCTTTTGAATCCTCCGGAGCCGCCGCGCTTACTGTCAACTTACAGGCTTTAAGCTATGGAGATGCCACAGTATCCGTCTCGAGCCCGACATTTCTACCTGGTCTTCCGCTTGGACCAAGATAACGCCACACTCCGGCGCATCAAGCGAAAACTGATGACAATGTCCTCAAAGCGCTTCAATGCCAAAGATAGCAGTGTTCTTAATGTCTTTCTTGGCCCGACTGAGAAACACTGAAAGATTAGCGCAAGGCTTCTTTGAGCCAGATACTGGTTTCTAGACGTATAATCACTCAATGAATCCACGTGATATGCAGAGTCTCTCCTTATCAGAATTCTTGTCGCACATAGCTTGTGGGACATCAGGAACAATCGCTCAGAGGAGCTGCTTGTGTTACTGAGTCGAACCCACTTTGCTTCAGCCCCAGAAACGCACGGGGCGGCCGACGACACGTCAAGCGTTTAAACTGACAATGGCAAGCGAATAAGAAAAGCTGATGCCTACTGTATAATGGGCCTTTTTGTTTGTGTAACGTGGGACAGCTGTGGATTATACTGATGAATTGTGGACTGCCTCAGGGTTCTTTTGCCATGAATGAATATCGCCAAACAAGACGCCTTGACCACTTCCCCTTGCCTCTCAGACCACGTTCTGAACTGAACACTCGGTTCTATGGTCAATGATACACATATCTCGAGGTACGATGAAGGGGCGTCTCCATCAAAGGAAGTGGTCCGCTTCGCAGGCATCAAAATTTTATCCGACTCTTCGTCCCAAAACATCGTGAACCGGGACGATCAATGATGGAGCCGTAGTCTAAGTGAGTCTCTCAGGTAAACAGCATTGGCCCATAATGCTTGATATGGGCAAAATACTATCACTGCCGACGATGGCAGTGGAATTAGACGAATCCTTCAAGGTTCAGGAGGCAGAATTCTGCCAGCTGAATGGAATCAATCTGTGGACCGAAAGCGTACAGAGTGAAAGAGGCTCGTTGTCGCACCGAAATGTCTGTTTCGTCTCGTGTATAAAGATGAGCGTCTGTCTCGTCCATTCGACAGAATAATCATCACCATCATCATCATCATCATCAACAACACTCTCCAACCAATCAACACTCTCACACAACCACTCTACAAAATCACTCTTTTGTGACAACAACTTCTCACCTTCTCTCCACAACCCACCAACAAACCAACCACCATCAAAATGCAGTTCTTCACCAAGGCCACCATCTCCGCCGCTGCTCTGACCGCCATGGTCCAGCTCTCTCCGGCTCCCATTGTCATTGCCATCCCCATTGCCCTGGATGTCGGCCTTGGCACAGCGGCCGCCTGTGTCAGCGCCGCCGCCGGTGTCGCCGGCACCGTCGTCGGCGCTGTCAAGCGCGACTCCATCGGCAACCCCCAGCACCCCCACCAGGTCCGCGCCGCCCTCGAGTCTCGCCAGGAGATGAACCAGGCCGCTTGGCAGAGCTGCAAGGACCAGCTCGCTGGTGCCAGCCTCAACTTCAGCGCCGACTCCCCCGGCAGTGAGTTTCCCCCGCAGTCTTCCTCTCTCTCTCTCCCTTCCTCACCAGTAATTTCTGTTTACTGACCCAACTCACAGACGTCCTCGTCACCGGCATCCCCTCGTCTTGCATGACCCTGCTCACCGTGCTTACTGGTGACTACAACGCCGGCAACCCTCTGCCCATGGGCTCCGACTCGGCCCTGTTCCGTGACCTGAGCAACGACGACATCAACAACCTCCAGAGCGCTCTCAGCGCCAACCAGTAAACGCTGCCTCTATTCTGAGGACTCGATCAATAACACGCTTACTGGTGGAACGGCAATGATGATGGTAATGCACGGCTGACTGGAAGGCATGTGGCATGTGTACATCTTGTGTGAAACATGGGGTTTATTGGACTGTATTTAATTTTAGACTCGTACATAATTATACTCATTCCCCGGCCGGGACTTATAACTATCTCTCGCTCTACTGTGATGGGTTTCGAAGATTCCACATTCCTCGCTGAGCCTTTTTTTCCTCTGAGACTATTTGAAAAGCAACCAAACACCATTTCGTTGAAAAAAGAAAAACACATACACAATTACCTATTGATGTAGACTTCGAGATAAATTACATCAAATTTGAGATTTGACTGGTCATAGAGTGTCTCACTCTCATTCTATCTTCACAGTGTTTGGCAGCGAAGTAGCCCCCATTATTCTCCTCGATAATATCCTCGACTGTGGTTTCAATACGGTTTCAATCACATAAGTCTTCATATGCTCACGAGCGGAAAAGCCGGGATTCAAATAACAAAGTTATCATTTTTAACATCTAGAGATCACGACGCAAAACCATTCCCGTCATTCTCAAGCGACCAGTCACGATCGGCGTCCTCCACCCTTGACAGTAGGTCAATATTCATATAAATCACAGTCCCGAGGCAGTTCAGACATGTGTCAGGCATGACGCGGGTCAAGACTCCAAAGTTCTCGCAGGCGTAGTCCACAATATCAGTGGCGAACTTGACCATCCGATCAATTTGAGTGCAATCTTTAGTATCGAAGCTGTCTAACCTGAATTTTACGAGGATAGACTCATCGTTTGTGGCTTTCTTGAAGGCTTTAAGAAATTTGGTCTGGTCTGGGATGTCAAGGTTGTGGGCGCGGTGGCTCAGGAAGTCATCGGCGATGCGCGCCCAGAAGGGGTGGATCTCCGGGCCGTCGTGCCACTCGAGCAGGGCGGCCTCATCTTTCAGTCTAAGGTACATGACCAGCTTTTGGACCAGGTGCCGATTAGAGATGCGGTCATTGCTGAAGGAAGACAATCTTGTTAGTAAGGAGACGACTATTCTCATGGCGTTGAGAGAGGAAAAGGGGGGGGGGGCTCCCATGGGATTAGCTATAGTTACTTCTCGTCTGACACCTCATCTAGGAGTTGGCTGTTTTGTTTGGATATTATGTTTTAAGTGCGTAGGAGGCGTGCTAAAAATGTTTGCTGGAGAACGTTCTGTTTGAGGCTTGATAATCAAGATTCAAGAAATAATGGTTGTCTGCCCGTTGCTTCTCAGATGGAACGAAGGGAGGAAAATCCCGGCACCTGCAATACTTGATTTTATAGTCTTAGTTCTGACACTTATGACTTGGAGTCCCTGACTTCCACGAAAGGCTCATTCAGCCCGCGCCGACAGTCCCGGCTAGTGAATGACAAGCTGGATCCAAGATTCAGTTGGAATCGGGTTGTCAAGCACGAAAAGTCTCAAATTGAATTGAGATTGAAACATTGAACATTGTGCTAGCGGATCCAATGACATAGATAGCGGAGATGGAGTTGCAACAATTGAATATTCATAGAATCCACAACAACACAAGGGTGACATGCGGGCTTACGTATGTACTCATTAAGCAGCGCAACTTTGCAATTCAGACAGGCTATTCAGTCCATTCGTGAAGTACCCAACCAGAACGCATTCATAGTCCTCAAAGCCCAACAAGCGACTTGACAGCATTCGCAATCGGCGGTATCGAGGTAAACAAGACAGTAATCGTTCCAAACAGGCTCATCGACAGGCTGGACAACGCAGCAGCCCTAGGATCCGTCCGAAGCAACAGCGCCGTTGCGACAGCGGAAGAGTTTGCGCCAAGCGTCACGCCGCGAGTGACATAGTCATCTATTGCAACAGCATGGGACACGTCAGCTGTTCCAGTCCTCAGGAAACGAACATCGATGGGGGAAAGAAAACAAGAGAAAAAGGATAAGAAAAACAAGTACCTACCCTCAGGAATCCTCAACCAAGTCAGCACCCTCCCACCAACAAGCGCACCAACAACGCCACTCATGATCGCCACGGCCGCGACAGTCCTCTCATCGCCGCCCAGATTGGACGTGGCGGGGATGGCGAGCGCGAGCGTCAGGCTTCTGCTCGCGAAGGCGAGGCTGCGCTGCGCCGAGATGCCGATGGCGAAGCAGATGGACGGGTATGCGTACAGGCTGCCGATGCTGAGGACGACGTTGGGCACAATGATAGCCGCGAAGTGCTCAACCAGCTCGCGCCGGTACTGATACATGGGCAGGGCGAGACTGACGATGGAGGCGTCCAGCACCGTAGAGAGGATGTCACCTGCACCGGGGAGGTGGCTTGCTGTGGGGCTGGTGGTCGCATGTTCCCAGAGCTGGAGGTACTTATTGCCTGTGGTGTATTGTTGTAGAATGCTGTTGAGAGACTGGCGGTGGGCGAGGCCGAAGAGCCAGAGGCCGAGGACGGCCAGGAGGGCTGAGACTATGACGGGGTGGAGGACTTGTTTCCAGTTTGGTGGGAGAGATAGCGCAACGAAGTACATTAGGACTGTGAAGCTCAGTTGAAGGGGCATGGCATATCCATTGGCGTAGTAGATGGGCAGACCGACGAAAATCAGGACAGAGAGGTAGATAATAGTATTGACATGCCTCTGGATGATGGCAGCCCAGAGGCGTGCTCGTGGTGGAGCTGGCGGACTTTGTGACGGAAGTGGTGGCGGACTCGCAAATGGCTCTGGGAGGTCTGGGCTTGCACGGGTAGGAACATGCTCGGTGATGGGTTGGATATGGGTTGGTTCATGGGACTGACCCGGTGCAGTAAGGTCATCGAGAGCGATAGCTGATGTCTGCGCCGAGACATCTGTGGACAGAGGAGGGGTCTCCTGAGGAGGAGGAGTCCTGGTGAGGTCGATCTCGTCTTCCTGGGGCCCCAGCTCTTCAGCCCTTGTGGCCTGGGCTTTCTTATGCGAGCCAGTGACGAGTTGTAGTCCTCGGGTCATGTAAGCCGTGCCAACGAACATGGCGACGAAGCCGACAGCTGCGTGGGACACGCAATGGTTAGCGAACTGTGCGATGACCATTCGAGGTTTTCCGCTGACATACCAAACACAGCGATTATCTTCCCGACTTCGACGGCTCTGATAGGAGGACTCAGAGGCAGCGTAATAAACGTTGGCGTGAAGAGGATGCTTATCCAGCGCAGCGACCAGCCAGCCTGTCCACCACATCAGCTCACGATCTCTCTTTGGCGCACAAGATTGTCGAGAGATACTCACGGGAACGTCAATGACAGCGACAATGTGACGCGTTCGATGGCCTCCAATGACCAGCTCACAGATCCAGAGGCCGGCGAAGAGCAGCAACATGCACGCTACGGAGGCAGGGAATGAGACCGAGACATGTTTGAAGAGGGTGTCGACGCCGAAGCACGCCGTGAGGATCACAAGGATACCGGTAGGCACTGAGAGCCATGACTGCAGTGTCTTCTCACGAGAGTTCCAAAGTGCCTGTGAGACGTCAGATTGATCTCATCAAGGCTCTGGTCCGGAACAAGGCGATGCCGGTGGAGTGAGTCAATTTGCACGTACCAGCTTCGTGGCAGTCAGTGTGTCGGCGGCGATCTCCAGCAGACCAGCCGTATTTGTTGCGAAGCGATTGAAGGAGCCGGCCATGATCAGCTTCAACAATGGAGAGGCCGAGGTGTGGCAGCCATTGCAGCATTGCATGTGCAGATGCATGAAAAGGTGCATCTATCGACTGGGCTGCCGGTGTCTCCGGCGAACGACCGCCTTGGCGAGACCGGAACCGGATCGCGCCGGTCCACAGCAGAACTAGGTTTATGTATGCTGCGGTCTCTACCCAGGCACGAGCCAATTAAAATCTAAGCAGCTGGATAAGATCAGGCAGTTGGCCCCCAAAAAGTTGTAATAAATTCATCAACTAAACTGATGAGAAGCTCTTCTTGCTTTCCTCGGTACCGTGTCTCGAAAAGTCCACGAAAAGGAAGATCCCATGCCGCCAGCTTGGGAGAAACAACGCAAACCATCCACCTTCCCAATTCCACTCCCACTTGATATCATCGTGAGAATGAGGACGCCCAAAAAGAATTGACTCAGTTCCCATGCCGAGAACGAGGACTTTTAGAGATAGGCCTAATTGCTCATGCCATGATGTGTGCCAACAACCAGACTTAGAGAACCGAATTTAAGCCCCCTTGCGAACGCCTTCTCCTTCAAGGTCGCAACCAAGCAACAAGCCGAACTTTACCTTCTTTCGATCATCCACAGGGTTGATGAAGACCTCGTTGCCCTGGTGACCTTTGTAGATTTGCATGACCTTCACGAGACAATCACGTGGTTCATCCATAGCTTTGAGAGGGACCACAGGCTTGTCGCGCAACTTGAGGGGAAGGAATTCGAAAAACTTCTTCGGACAGAGTTGAAGGTATTCCTTCTGCATGTCAGAGAAATGCGCCAGCTGGAAAGGGGCGCTCTTCGGCCCGTCAGATGTTCTGAGTTCGTAACCTCGCTGGCGCGCATGATCTGCGTCGAAGTATTAGTGAGCTTGATTTGACCAGAATTGAGGGAATACTTGCTTTTGTATTGGTCAAACCAAGTCATTTCTCGCTTGAGCCTCACATCCATCACATAGTAGAACTCCTCAAGGTTGGGAAAGCAATCTAAGAAGCAGGCCTGCTCCATTGGGCAAGCCTTGTAATCAAAGCATCCCATCCGTGCTGCAGCCGGGCAATAGCACTGGAAGGGGCCGCGATCACTGGCGGCACTGTGAGTCTTCTTGTAGTGGACTGCCACACGCTTGAAATCCTGCATTAGGTGACGGATGCCGTTGATCTGCATCCGAGGGGTGGAATGCTCGAACCAGGCTGACGCAGCCGCTGTCTCTCCTCGCTCAAATTCGATGATGACCAGATCTGTGGCAACGTCGATGGCAGCACCGCGGCGGTAAATGTTTGGAGTCTTCAAGACAATGGGTTGAAATTTAATCATGGCATTTTGGAATCCAGTCTGGAAGCTGATGTTGGCGAGTTTTGAAAAGGCCTCATGTGACTTCTGGGTGATGGGCTTGTTGGAGCCTTCGAGATTTGCCTTCTCATTATCTGCTTTCACGAGGTCTCGTTCGTCGAGCCTTGGCTCTTCGAATCTCGATCTCTTCTTCTCCTCTCCCGTTTTGCTCTTCCCTTTCTTGTCCCTTTCTGTCTTGCCTTCTCGGTTCTCATCTCCTGTCTTAGGTGGGAGCTTGTAGTTCCGGTTCCATAGCATTGACTTCCATTGACGGTAGGCCGACGGGTCATAATGGCTTGGAATAGCTTGGAGGTCGATTGTCCATGGCGCATTCGAACCAGGCCCGGTGATGGGCCGTCTTGGTTTCAGGATTTTGAAAGTATGGCAAGCTGGCTTCTGTATGACGTGGGCCCAGATCATTTGCTGTATCTCAGCCGGAAATCTCGAAAACTTCATCCCTTTCTCAGGTTTCTTGACATGCTTTCGAACCTTTTTGGGAGACGGAGAGAGAGGCGGGGTATCGCCATTCCTTTGGGCTCGCAGTTTGGCTTCAATCCTCGCGATGGCTGGAGGCGGCATGATGACTGGCTGAGCTGGGTGAACGGCAATATCAAGATGGCAATGGTCCTGGTTGATCCACAGCTGGAAACGGGAAGATGAGGTGGATCTAATACGATGTGAAATTTGGAAAGCTCGGCGAGCAAGAAGATGTGGCCCACTCCCAAACTACACAGAATGTCAGTCCAGGGGTGAGGATCGGAGTTGGATGGGGAGCAAATACCACAATTGCAGTTTGGAAATGATGCAAAAGAACTAAAAGCAGGCCTCCGCGGGTATTGTCAGGAAATACGGACGAACAGGCTGTCGCAGAAGCTCTGGGTCAAGCAACTAACGCGATGACGAAAATCGGAAAGTGAAAATAGGAAATGAGTCCTGAATGGTATCAAAGCTACCACCGCTTTCTGGACGAACTTCTTAAAGGTTGGAAGCGCGTAGAGAGCGCCTGTATTTGAGTCTGAAGAGGTAAACGTCCTGCCCATACCCGAGAGGAGGGAATTTGCGATTTGAACGGTTGACAGAAGGATCCTGACTTGGTCCTAGGGTTTCTGGGAAGGTAGATAAGACAGGTCAAAATAAGAATGTTGCCTGTCCAAGTTATCTCCCACGAAAAGCACAGGCTGAGGAGACAATCAAACCGTTGCCTGTTGCAAACAGGAGTGAAGATCGATCATCAAGTGGTCGCAGAGACTGGTGAAAGGTATGGTGTCTGTGAAGAGACAAGCCGCGTAGTAGACAAACGATTACCAGTAGCAATTCCGAAAAGGATCAAATTGCCAAGAAACGCGGTAGTTCCAGCAGATTTGGTCTGTCGAAAACCAACAAAAGTGATCGAGTGATTGGAAGTTGCGTCGTAGACAGAGGAGTCCAAGATTGGACCTGCTACCCAAATCTGAAATTCCTGACGGCCGGGAAACGCAACCAAGATCGCTGTTTTAGTCGGCTGTCGAAGAGGTCACAGCTTCAATGACCGCTGGCTGCCCATTTGTCACTCCCAAGATGGAGGGTGACACTTGAACGAGATGCCAGAATCGTACTGGGAAAGCAGTTTGCCACTTTTAGATGTGCCTGTTTGAAGACAATTCCGGCAGGCAGGGTGAGAGAGAAGGGTTTCCCAACAGGCTTGCTTTGACAGTCTTCCGACAGCCTGTCAACAGCTGCCAGTTTTCGAAAATGACCGCACACCTCACCGGCGGACTGTGCCAGTGCACGTATTGGATTCTGTCGGTCTCCGAGCATGCCAGATCAGTGACAGGCCCACACTACTGGCGCAGGTTCTCACAACCATTGCCATTCCACACCATAGCTGGCATTCTGAGTCGCCATGATGGCCATCATCATGAAGACGTCGGCCTCTGGTGTGGCGATTCACGCTCGCTCTCCCGGGATCACGGCTTAGATGCCAAGAGACCTGTAAAAGTCTTGGGTCCAAGAAGAGATGTGCGTCGAGATCCCACACGTCCACCCAAGCGTCACGCCCCGAACGCTCAGGGCTGAGGCTGTCACGACCGGACCACCGCCGCAGCACCGAATTTTGGCACGATGGTGGCCTCTTAAACGGGGCGCTCCGGTCGTTCAAGTCGCACACTTCTCTTTGGCGTCGGGTAAATGCAAAGCTCTGAGAAAATTCTCCGGAGGGGTGTCGCTTGCATAAAGAGTACACACAAAATGATGTGGATGATGCCGACCGACTCCTCGTTGTTTTATCAGCACCAAAATGGCGATGAATACTTCGGTTCTCAGGTGGCAGAAGAAGCAGCCCACGCGCGCCGCCTTCCTACCTCGCGGCGACTGCAGCAAGGTTTTTGACGCACGTGCTGCTGAAGCTATCACGGGTACCTTGCTCGCTCTCCGGATATGACTAGGGCTTGTGGGATAAGTGTTTGACGACATTTATGACATTCAAGTCAGGCGCTTGAAACGTCTTCTCATTACTGAAGGCTAGGATAGTATGAGTACGGGCATGAAAGATGCTGCCAAAAAAGAAGTTCTTGCACTGGCTCCAACGAGCACCCTGATGTAGACCACCCGCAAGTCTAGATATTCATCGACGCGAATCGCGCCTTCCCGGTCTTCCTATGCGCAGTTTCTGCCCGGACCTGCTGTTGTCCGAGCCATGGTCCCACTTCAGATCTGTCTCACAGTACTCACTAGGTACCTAGGAGCTGTATGACTGTGTCCGACTTTGGAGGCCGGACCTGTGCAGTATGCTGGCTTTTCCAGCCGTAGCAACAGCCGGCCGTGGTCAACACTATGTGGACCAACAGTACCTTGACATGGGCATCATAAAGATGGAGGAAGATGCAAGCTTGAAGAAATAACACTTTGCTTTCACTCAGCCTGTGCATGGTCTCAATCTTTGGGCATATGCGAAGAATTAATCGGCCCATGGTCCCAGCCCTCCCTGGACCTTAAGAAGTTCTCCACCCGGTCCTCCCTCGTCAAGAGTGCCTTCTCCCTCTTGCGGCGCCACATCTCCTCACTGATCCGGACATCCTTCTTCTCCTGCATGTCAACCAGGTACATTCCATGGTTACCCGCCCTCGTGGCCTGGCCCCAGCCACCTATCAGCACGAAGACGCAGATCGACAACACGAACAGGCCATTGCTCATGTAGCGCGGCTCAGAGCGGCCGGCGGCACCGTCGCGGCGGCTGTTGTTCTCCCAGTGCCAGCGCTCCCAGTCCTCCCAGGTGGCGTTGTGGGCGGCGGAGCCGGTTTGGGAGCGCCAGGCCCGGTCGGCCTCGCGGAAGGCGGTGTTGGACATGTCGGAGGTTCCGCCCCATCCGGCGCCGTAGAGGTCGTAGGCGCGGCGCTTGGCCGGGTCGGAGAGGATGTCGTTGGCGGCGACGACGAGGCGGTAGCGCTCTAGCTTCGCCTTGTGGGAGAGGGCGGCGGTGCCGGCACCGCCACCGTGCAGGCTGGAGGAGGAGGTGTGGGCGTGGCGGTCTGGGTGGTAGAGCTTGACGAGCTGGTAGAAGGTCTTCTTGCTGTAGGGGGTGGTCTTGGCCTGGTCGAAGATCTCGTAGGGGGTCGGGTTCTTGGACTTGGGCCAGTTCGGAGAGGCCGGGTCGTCATCGTTGCCACGAGATTCGTCTCGGACGGTGGCGTATTGTCGTGATGAACGCCATTGGGTCGGTCTTGCTGGTATTATCCTGCATAGTGGTCGCAGAGGTGCCGCTGGAGTTGCTGTGGACGTCGATGTCGAGGCAGAGGGCGGACTGATCGATGACGTTATAGACACGGGTGCGGATGTGTGGAGAGAGAGGGCCGAGGAGAGGCTGCCGCTGGAGCACAGGGCGATGGTGGGCTTCTTCAAGAGCATGGTGGGCTTGAGGGGTGAGGCCGTCGGACAGAGACCATCGTGTCTGCTTTCTGCTGCCTGGTATTTGAGGACGAGACTGAAGATGGTTGCTGTAGGAAACTTGCGCAAACATGCGCAGTGTTGCGCAAGTAAACTGCAGGGTCACTGACCACCACCGACGACCGCTTGCGGAGATAGTCCACTAGGGACCTGAGCCGACCGATCTCACGCCAGGTTCCAGGTGGACGGAATCACGGCCCATCATTGGCTGGTTTGTGGCCCTGCCCCGCGTCTGTCGATGGTCCCTTGCTGCTTCCAACGCTCTTGGATTGGTACCGTGCCACGTCTTGGTGGGGGCAGTTCTATCTGTGATGTCTGTACTGGAGGATGAAGGAACGAATGGATGAATGTGGATTTGGCTGACCAGGACGAGAACACAGGAGACTGAGACTTGAATCGAATCTTGGTGCCAGTGCTGCGATCTGCTGCAAATGCGAGGTGAGGGGTCGAGCGACGTACCGCAGGATCCACCCCTCCGAGCGAATCGGTACGTACCTCCGTAGTCCGTTCTCAATCTGACCAATCGCCAGCTGGCTTTGCGACAAGGAACCCCCGTCCCAGCGTCTGAGCCTGCCTGCTTCAAGCCTGCAGCTGGCGTTGAGCCGCTAGGGGCCTGGCAAAATCAAGTGTGTGCTCGTCAGTCAACCTTCAACGTCTAGTCTAGTCTTGCCTGGACGGACTACTGCCTTCCAAATCGTCCTGTCACCACCACAACCAACACTGCACATTCTTCCTCCCACCAACGCCTGCAAAGGGACGAAAACAACACCACAACCTCCACAAAAGCCATCAAGACTGCCATCAGAGCACATTTCAAGCCTGTTGAGCTGAACCTGCATCCTTCCAGCGCGCCCAAACCTGCCTGCATCACTCTCAAACAGAGCTCTCTCGATCGCGACTCGACCCTTCTTCCTGTCCCCCCCTTCCACTCGACGACGACAGCGACCTCGACCAAAGCCACTGCTCACCACGCCTTGACCATCCTCACACCTCCTTATCATCATTTATTCGATCGCCAGCTGTTGCTGTCCCACATTTTTCTCCCACCCCGACCTTCGTAAGGCGACGTGGCGCGACCTCCCCCCGCCAGCCACCCCCATTCAATTATTCCTTGTCTTGTCGACGAACGAGCCAGAGCCAGAGACGGTCCATTGTGACTCGGATCTGAACACGCCAACAATAACACGCCTACCTCCTTTTTTGCGCATACGATCCTCCATCTTGGTCCCTAGCCAAGATGTCCGAACAATCAAATGTCGTCGTTGACCGTTTGACCGAGCAGCTGCGCGCAAGCACCGTGCAGGATGGAGCTTCCTCAGACGACTGGAAGTCGAAGCTGAACCTCCCTGCAAGGGACAACCGACACCAGACAGAGGTGTGTTTCCTTCCCCCACACGATTCATCTTGACCTCAGCGTTTGCATGCATGCCTTGAAATGAGCTTGCGGCTAATGGCTCGCCCCCCATTATGCAGGATGTGACCAACACCAAAGGCCTCGAATTCGAGGACTTCAAGCTTTCGCGCGACTTGATGATGGGCATTTTCGAAGCAGGTTTCGACAAGCCATCGCCCATCCAAGAAGAGAGCATCCCCGTCGCCCTGCAAGGCCGCGACATATTAGCACGAGCAAAGAACGGAACAGGAAAGACCGCTGCCTTCATCATCCCATGCCTCCAGAGAGTCAAGCCCCAAGTCTCCCGCATCCAATGCCTCATCCTCGTCCCCACCCGAGAGCTCGCCCTGCAGACATCACATGTGTGCAAAACCCTCGGCAAGCACCTCAACATCAACGTCATGGTCACAACCGGCGGCACCGGCTTGCGTGACGACATCCTCCGTCTCAGCGAACCCGTCCACGTCCTCGTCGGCACCCCCGGCCGAGTAGCAGATCTTGCACGTCAGAACGTTGCCGACTTGAGCGAGTGCCCAATGCTCGTTATGGACGAAGCAGACAAGTTGCTCTCGGTCGAGTTCCTGCAGTCTATTGAGGAGATCCTCGGACGTCACCCCAAGGACCGCCAGCTCATGCTCTTCTCCGCCACCTTCCCCATCTCCGTCAAGGACTTCTCCGACAAGCACATGACCACCCCTTACGAGATCAACCTCATGGACGAACTCACACTCCGCGGCATCACTCAATACTACGCTTTCATAGAGGAGAAGCAGAAGGTGCACTGCCTGAACACGCTCTTCTCTAAGCTGCAGATCAACCAGTCCATCATCTTCTGCAACTCGACCAACCGTGTCGAGCTGCTCGCCAAGAAGATCACCGAGCTCGGTTACTCCTGCTTCTACAGTCACGCCAAGATGCCTCAAGCTGCCCGAAACCGCGTCTTCCACGACTTCCGCAACGGAGTCTGCCGCAATCTCGTGTGCTCCGATCTGCTCACCCGCGGAATCGACATCCAGGCCGTCAACGTTGTCATCAACTTCGATTTCCCAAAGAACGCCGAGACGTATCTTCATCGTATTGGTCGTTCTGGCCGGTATGGCCATCTTGGTCTGGCTATCAACCTGATCAACTGGGAGGACCGCTTCAACCTTTATAACATTGAGCAAGACCTGGGTATTGACATCCAACCCATCCCCTCGACAATCGACAAGAGTCTTTACGTCTACGATAACCCCGAGTCCATCCCCCGTCCTATGAAGCCCGCCCAGCAGCAGCTGTCTCAGGCACAGCCCTCATCTTACCAACCCCAACCCCTCCAGCCACAATCGCAGCCCCAGGCCCAGCCGCAAAGCCAGGCGCCCGGCCAGAATGACTACCGCCATAATGGCCAGCACCGCCAGTACCAAGGAAACCGCCAAGGAGGTCCTCGGGGCGGTGGTTCAGGTGGTCGAGGTCGTGGCGGCTATCAAGGCCAGGGTCGGGGATTCCAAAATTACGGCGGCCAGCGAGGCGGCCGTGGTCAAGGGCCCCCAGCACCTGCACCACAGGCATAACTTACTCGTCATGTCTGTCTGTGGGTTGAATTCGGATACTCTTTTGTTTCATTTCTGTCACAATTCCTGATTGGAATTTTGAATTATTTTCTCTTCGACTTTCATGCTCTTTGGTTCTTACAGTCAGATGATATCCTAGACCGGATCGCGCTTTGAAGGGACCCTTTTGCCCTGCTAATTTCTCACTCTCCGCTGTTCACCTCTCGAAAACCCACTCGTCACCCTTCGGCGGCGGCACCACCAATAACGCTTTTCTGATGATACCAGCTTTCCTTGGGACGTTGGGCACGCCGTCGTCGCGGCCAGCAATCCGGCCATATTTGATATTTGGACAGCATTTGTGTTGCAAGAAGGGACACGGGGGCAGGCCGCGGTGTCTACGCTTCGTGGTAATGGCAATGGGTCCCCAAAAAATGAAGGGGTTGGTCCTAGATCTCTGATCTTATGCTTGTTGATGCTTTTTTCTTCTTCTGGAGGCGTATTTGGCGTTTTGCGAAAAGGATGGCATCATATATAACGGTGTCCGGAGTACCACCACGGTGAGACGGATGGAACCGGTCATGGAGTTGGATGGTTTTCCATTCACGGGCAGGCTTGCATGGGCAAGTGCGAATGCAAAATGAGGTCGGATTCTTTCGCCTCACTCAATGTGCCACCTGAAACGTGGCGCCGAGACGATATTATGTATCCACTGATGCATGTTTGCGGTACAAAGACGTGCGAGAGGAAAAGGGGAGGGTTTTTGCAACATTGGGTGCGCTGTACGGACGTGCTTACACGACTTTAACGGAACGAACTCATGATGGGGCGGAGGGTGCGATAACAGCGAACGATGGCGGCGGCACACGAGTGCTCGGACTCGGTGCTAGGACAAGACGGCCTGCAACCTGGCCTGTGACTGGATCTCTCTGCAGTGGATGCGGATTTCCAGCCGCGACATTGACACTGGGCTCATGTGGTCTGCAAACGCACCACAAGTGCCCTATGCTAACCAAGCGAGCATGCTTCTGCGAAGGCATACATCTCTACGACACGACAACTTTGGAGCTCATGGTGCGACCTCGCACCCACCTCGAGCCAGACACTACACCTCACTCTTCTGCGAACCGCCTTTCGTCCTGAGAATTGATGTGCAAGGGCAAGGACAGCTTTTCAATCTCAAAACACCACACGGTCCATTCTCACTCTGACCTGGGTGTCCATGGCTCAGACTATCGATTCCGGGGGGGCGAGCGGACGTCGCACTCGAAAAATTCAAATATCACCACACAAAATACCAGAAAAAGAAATGGAGGGGGAACAAGGGTTTTGATAGAAGGAATGCCGGGAACTCCTGAGGGCTTTCGGCATCAAGCCAGCTAGTAATCTTGGGGCTGCTATGCGCAGCGGTCATTGATCACGCATGGTGCGTGTGGCTGGGGCTTGATGGGTCTTGTTCCTGTGTTGTTACGTTCTTTCTGTCGGACCGGCCATATAACAGATAGTGCAAATTGGAGCACCGCTTTTCCCTCCTCCTTCTCCTCCTTCTCCTTCTCCTCCTCCTCCCTCCCTCTGGTCGTGCTGATCGCATCTTGTTCCATGTCCTGGTGTCGTCTTGATGTTCTCATGTCCGTGATGACAAGCTGCAAATACTTCGGTGTCCTCACGCATGACATACCTGCCGGTCTGGGTAGGAGCCTCGCCGTTGGGCGTCGTGATGGTGTAGTGGACCAGCGCTATGATCTGAAGGAACCTGTGTACGCGATCACGATGCCCAACACTCGACTCTGCCCTCGTCGTCGCCCTCGACCTCGCGTTGCCACAACTCACTCTTCCACGCCCACCTCCTCTGCCGCTGCCGCTGCCGCTCGCGGCAGCGGCACAAATTCATGCGAGATCGCACTCTTTCCGCTCAGGCATTGCTGTTCGATGCTGATGAGTGTGCAATGCGATGCGACCCTGGGGCTACATGCGGTACTGTTCCTCCGTCCGGCAACTTCCAGCAGGCAGCAGGGGGTGCCAATTTCTTGCAGCTCACCCGAGATCAACCTTGTAGAGTGAATTACCGATAGAAAATTTCGAAGCGGGATCTGTTTGGCCTCATCCTCGGCTTCCTTTGCTTCGGACTGGAGAGGTCGGCTGCCCGTTGGATGTTGGTGGCTTTGCTGTGCCGTACTAGGACAGGTACTAGACTAGAACTTTCTCTGTAAATATTACTAGCCTTCGTAAATATTACTAGCCTCTGTAATTATTACTAGCCTCTGTAAATATTACTAGCCTCTGTAATTATTACTAGCCCTCGTAAATTTTACGTCCCTTGACGCCCCGATCCGCATGCCCTGGATCCCGCATGCCTCGATACGCACGCCCCTGTCTGCCACACCTTCATGTGCGCAATGGGCCTCCTAGACGGCCACCTTCCACCTGGCCCCCTCCTTCAGGGCCCTTTCTAACCCTGGTCTTCTGTGACGCTAATGCAGCGAAGTGCTTATATCGTTCCAGGTTTGTCAAAGGTTTGGATGTAGTGATGGGAAGATACTTGCACGGAGCTATCCGTAGTGCTTATACAACACGTGGGCATTACCGTATCCAAGCCTCAATCTTCGGCGGTGAGCAAGGGTGTTCTTTCTAGTGTGCCCGTTGGTCCTGTGGCCAAGAATTATGTCCCTATATCATGCTCACCCTTTGGGCTACGATCTTCGACAGTTCACTTAGCTACAAGCTACAAAAAAAGAATGGTTGCATCCACACCTCTGGGCGTGGATGTGGTGCGTATAGCCAGAGATTCCAACTAGTCCAAGGAGAGGCAGCCGAACCGAGGCAGCAGTTCTGCGAGGCAGACATCACAGACGAATCAAGTCAGCCGAGAGATGCGTATCTAGACACCCAAGCGTGGTAGCGCGAGAATAGGAGGGTTGGATATATGGTCAAGATACTTTGGTACTCGGCCGGGCCCGACGTTGCTGTCTGTGTGATCTAGATACCAACTCCATATCCACCACCACCACCCAGCCGCTGCCAGGCACGCACGGGTGTATGCCGGCCCGGGGTGCGCAATCCAGAACAAGATATGGATGAGCCTTCTTGTGCCACGCCGGCTGCAAAGTCATGCTTCCCCGGATTACTACCTGCTCCACAGAACCCCTGAGTGCCACGTTGGACAGGGAGCATGGCCGGGCTGTCATGCGAGACTCTCCGGAGGCAGACCTGGGCATGGCATGGCATGACAGGGACATAGATCTGCGTCACCGGTTTATTGACCGCGTCTGACCTCGCCAAAGTGGGTGTCCTAGCCTGTGCCTCAGCCTGGCATTCCCGGACCTGGCTTCGGTGAGCCGCGGATGATCTTTAATATCTATGCATGGGCGCAGTCTTGCAGGACGGGGAAAACAAAATCAGGCGGGCCCTAGAACGTTTCGATGGACGGGCAGGACGAGCATCCGCATCCCGGTGGCTCCCCCGGCGCACCTCCGTCCCTCCGCCTTTCTCTCCTCATGCTGTGCAACACACCACCCCGCCTGTGTTTAGTTGCTGATGTGCCAGGCACGGCAGGCAAAGATTACCAGACAGGAGATGCACGCGTGCGACCGGGAAGACAGCCCTGGTCTCCCGGACCAGTCGTGCCCCCGCGATGGGGACGCCGCAGCGACAATCCTGCATGGGCCGGATGCACCGACTGCATAATATGTCTATTATGCACTGCGGACACCCTTCTCGCTCGCTGATCCTACCCCCTCCCCCAATTTTGCGCGCTTCTGCTGGTTCCGCGGCTGGCGCGGCGGAAGGGCCTGCTCGGCTGGGCCTGGCTGGCTACATCACATACATATACTGAGATCCTAGAAATGTATCAAGTGTGAGAGGTTTTGACTACTTCGATTTACCAGGGTCAATACGCCCAATGAAAGTATCCAGTACCTATTCAATTGAATCAATTCAGGGAGTAAAGTGCACATCATATATACATCCGCGCACGCATGTGTGCTCTCTCACCGGCCCGAATGGGAGTCCTGGATCCGTATGCAGCCCCCAAGCGGACGGGATGTTTTGTCCCACCTGTTCTCGAACGCGCGACCTTGAAACTGCCTTGGGATGGCCGGTACCCAGGTACAAAAAGAGAGGCGCGTCATCTTTAATTTCTTGCATGGTGGTTGACTGGCTCACCGCGAAGGAAGTCGGTGCACACCGGCCCCCTTTTCGCGGATCGGCGTAGTCGATTCACGCGCCGGCACGCTGGTCGGGCGTCCGAAGCTATCAATCGTGTGCTGGGCGGTTTGTTGGGCAGACCATGGTGTTTGGAGCGGTCGATGGTTGAGACTGTACCAGAATGTCTGTGTGTGCGGACATAAATACTCCATGTAACAATCGTGGCTCTGCCCGTCGACCTCTCTTGTTTTTCATCGCGAGGCTTTTGTGTTTTGTTGCTCGGCTCCATTGTCAAGACCAATCTGGAGCCACATAGACTAGAATTTCTTCATCATTCCTCCACTCCGTTTTCCTCCCTTGTCGGCCACTTGAACATGGCAAACTCGAAAACATCGTCAACACAAGCTCAAGAAGGCTCCCAAGAGAGGCAAGTTCTGCTCACTTTGCCTTCTGTCTCTAGTCAGGCATATACCATGCCCACTCTCCCCGTCAGGGGCACCGTCTACCTCCTCCCAGGGAAACAGTACAGGCTAGACTTGGCTTACACAATGCTAGGGCTAACCGGTCAAATCATAGCCACGATACCTCTAGCGGAGATGGTCAGGGGCAGCAATCCCCGTCCACCAACCACCAGGAAGAAGAGTCCGCAGGTGCACGAACAAGCTCATATCACCATGACAGCTTGGCATGCGCCATACAGAACGAAGATGCGGCAAGACGTGCGAAAAGACGCGCCGAGGAGGTAGCAGCGTCCCTGCGGCCGTTCAAGAAGCAGCACGCCGGCGGACGGAACTCAAATGGTCATCGTGATACCGCAGGCACTGGGTCGTGATGTGAGCTGGCGGGTTGATATGTGATGGACTTCGGCGTCATGGAAGGCATTTATCTTAGGTCGGACGATACACTGGGCTCTTGGACAGGAATGACACCTGAATAGACATGGATCGGCCTCGGGTGGTTAAGAAGGATTATTTATAGTAGACAATTTTATACTTACCTGCTCAAGCTGTGGACTACCAAGACCGCCTTTGCCGCACCTACTGTGAACTGCACCAGATCTCTTCAGCCTCTAAATTGGTCTTCAATTTGGGCTGTTTTGGCTAATGTCATCTTCAATATTGCTGCGAAATTGAGTTGCGAATTATTCGGTGAGAACTACCACTCCTTGTGATCAGGCTGGGGCCAGCCGTTTCGACACGGCTATCGTGGGCGCTTTGCCGTTCAAAGTACCTCAGATCATGTATCAAATATACTGATGACACGCATGCAGCTATTTCAGTTGGGGTCTCGTACTCAGGATTGCGAACCACAAAATTCTAGTTTGAGAGTCGATAGCTGTATGCCTGCAATACCTAGTAACGTGTGTGGGGGAGGGGTGAGTGAAAACACAATGATACTTAACAATTACCTCAGCATGACGGCAGGGATGAAGAGTTACCTGAATTGTCTGTGTATGTAACATCTTGGTTCCACGGCATACCTGTCGTGGCCGGAATTCTGCTGGTGGTGACGATAAGATGCGGAGACGCTGGTTGGCGGCGATCTCGGAGGCGTGCCGGTACGGACTCACACATGATGCGGGCAATCCCATAGTATTCTCAACTCCTTCCTTTTTCTCTCTGTCGACATGCAAGACTAGCTTCGGCGCATACGTACTGCAGACATCGAGGGCATCTGAACAAGACGACCACGAAATGACTCTGGGGCGAAGAATTCTCGGGACGGTTGCAGCCGTTAGTGTCTTCACGACGCGATTCAACAGTCACGCTGCTGCCAGTCCCCGTGTAGAAGAGCAGAAGCCCATTATCGATTCAGAATCGCAGGATGTAGAGTACGACTCACACTGGACAAGATCACCACTATACGAGCGTGCCGAGTCGTTGATGAAGGAGAGTCCTCTCATCGACACACATATTGATCTCCCGCAGATCATTCGGTCCCTCGGTGAGCATTTTCACGGTCCTCACTTTGCGCCAACGACTCATATCTAGGAAGCCCGCTAAATTAAATCCGCTGCCAGACCGTCATCCACTGTCCATCCTGCCCGACCTTGCGACATACACACCTGGTCATATCGACATCCCTCGCCTCCGAAAAGGCAATCTCGGGGCAGCCTTCTGGACGGTCTGGGCGCCATGTCCGGACTTCCTGGGCATCGAAGTCGGCGCCGACTACAACATACCCAACGACGGTCTTCGCGATGCCTTGGAAGTGCTCGATCTGATCAATCAGATGATAGCGTCGCACCCCGACCATTTCCAGTACGCCCGTTCATCTGAAGACATCCGCTCAGTCTTCAAGTCAGGCAAAGTCGCCAGTCTACTTGGGATGGAAGGCACCCACTTCCTGGGGAACTCCTTATCCACCGTCAGACTATTCGCACAACTAGGCGTCCGCTACGTCAGTCTCACACACATGTGCCACAGTGCATTTGCATCGTCTTCCGGGTTCGGAAAGCCCATGGCTCCGTCGGGCCACGAAGGCAACGGTCTCTCAGACCTTGGGAGAGAGCTCATCGCCGAGCTGAACCGCTTAGGGGTCTTGGTTGATCTCTCTCACTCGAGCGACGAGACTGCGAGGCAGGCTATCGAAATTTCCAAGGCACCTGTGGTGTGGACACATTCCGTCTCGCGGGCTCTGCACGATCACCCGCGGAATGTGCCTGATGATGTCCTGAAGTTGATTGGCTCCGGCGAGGGCAAGAACCCTGGGGTTATACAGTGTGTCTTCTTCCCTGCGTTTGTGGGCCCCACGGTCGAGTCTGCCAATGTCTCAAGGCTCGCGGACCATATTGAGCATGTTACTGGTATAGTGGGAAAGAAGCATGTGGGGATAGGGTCCGACTTCGACGGGATGTTTGCTTCCGTCAAAGGTCTTGAGGATGCCAGCAAGTATCCGAACTTGGTAAGTCGGAAGCACCCTTAGATGTTTGCCATTATCCTTTTTCACTGGGCACAACGACTTAACGGTAGCGCATTATAGATCACCGAAATGCTGATCCGTGGCTGGTCGGACGAGGAGGTCAAAGACCTCATGGGGCGCAATCTCATGCGAGTTATGGACGAGGTGGATGCCGTTGCGGAGGGTCTGAAGTCTGAGAAAGTCTCGACAGCGATCTGGGAAAAGCGAACGGACCTGCCGGCTCAATGGGGCGGCGACGACAATATGTTCTACCCGTACGAGGTGCAGGATATCCAGGCCAAGATACCCCTGCATGACGAGTTGTGAAATCGTAGTAATGGAGAGTGAGAATATGCCCAGTCCACCTTGAGTCTGATAGGGAAGGGGGAGGGGGTGAAAGCAAGTTTGTTGTCTAGGAACCATCCATCGAGATATTTGAGGTTCTTATTTTGTGCCATATACTAGTAACTTGTGAGTATACTCGGGTCATGTTTGATATCCACGCGAAACCATGGTCTGGCTTCCATGCATCCTCAGAGGAAAGACAATCGGACATTCATTCACTTGAGCAACATAGTGATAAATTACGGATATTTCTGTGAGCATGGACAAGACTTTGAAGTCTCATTACCCCATGGAGCATTCTGCCGGCGTTTGAGTACTGGGAAATTGATACACTCCGAGCTGCAGTTGCGGCAGAACGACTCAGCTTAACTGAACCTTGTTCTGTGGAGGTCCTTCAGCGGACAAAGTCTGTGCCAAGAGAATATGGAACTTGGAACTCAGTCATAAACACAACTCCTCACAGTCCCAGAGCTGCGATCGCTTTGAGACCCAGCTGCGAAATCGTGCCCGCAATAATTGATTGACCTAACCAATAGCTTTGGAAGCAACTCTTAAACGACGTGGCTTGCTACGCCATCAAACGAGCGAGAGCGTACAGCATGACGATGCTTAACACAAGGTGGCTGGTGCTGTTACCTCGCTCGTTACAAATCCTGCTCGGCATTACATGCTTTGTTTTGCCTTAAATGCGGTGAGTTTAACTGCTCACCGCACTTCACAAGACAAGGCATACATCGCCAAGCCATAGGACGATGGCCACGCCACCAGCGAATACGTGTTTTGTTTCAATTTTAAGGAGGCCTCAAAAAGTGATGTTCGGTGATCAACTTCGAATATTGACCTGAATACTTAAGGATTCCGAAATCTCAAAATTTCCTTCTCGACGCAAAGCGCAACAACAGAATTCGGACGACTACTTCCTGAATACTAGAAAAGCATTGCACCTCAAAGTTTCACACTCGAGATCACTTGCTCAGCACAATGGGAGGCAAACGTGCACACGTCGAGATAGCAGCCGTCATTCCTGATGGACAAGGAAAGATCATCATCGGGAAAAGGAAGGGAAAAACTGGCACAGGTATGGTCATAACCGTTACCAATGCTCTCGCCAGGTTGCAAGAGTGTTGAGGTTCCACTACATTGAGCGAAAAGAAATCTGACGCCTGCCGACCAAACAGGGCTTTACGAGTTGCCAGGTGGCAACTTGGAATTTGGAGAGGACATCTTCGCCAGCATCAAGAGAGAAGTGCTAGAAGAGACAGGCCTCAAGATTGTTCCCAAGAAAATCATCGCCTACACCAACGATATCCAGAAAGAAGAGGACAAGCATGAAGTGACGCTTTACATCCTCTCAGAGCGGGAGGACTCCGCTCAGCAGCCTGAGGTGTGTATAAGCAGCCAGCCGAGCTTTCCGGCTTCCTTGTGATCCTAATGCTGACAGTCTGAATGCAGACCAAGGAGCCCCAAAAGATCGAAGGTTGGGAGTGGAAGGCCTGGAAGGACATTACAGCCTTGGGTGAAGCTGAACTATATCTACCCACCTTGAACCTCGTTCGCAGCGAGCCAGACCTGGACTCAAAGTTTTGAATCCTTGCTCAGAATAACAGCGCTGTCTTTTCCGCCTTATACCACAATAAGGGGCCCAGAAAATTGGATCTTGCGTAACACTGATGCCACACAATTTGATTACGGTCGTACAGCTTTGCGGGTCTCATCTCCTGTTCTTGTGTTTGCATATCTGCATTTGACCTTTGGAGCAAAGCAGCGAGCGGAGTTCAAGTAAGCTGTCTCACCAGTGCGATCTACGGGGCGAGTATGAAGATGAATGATGCTCTTAGAAATGGTCGATTTCCTTCTGAACTCGGCAACATTGGTAGTTGTCAAATCTTCTCGGCCAGAAATCATGCGCATTCTCTCAAGCATGGAGATCAAGTCACTGTTCATAAGTGCCGAGTCCCGCTTCCAATTGAAGTCGCAGCTTGTCTCCAACCTACCATCCAACGCACTATTTTTAACAATTTCTCCTGCAGTAAGTGAGGGGGCGTGGGCAAGTATTCGAATCTATATCATGCCCGCTAGAAATTTTCTTATGTGAGCGGGATGGCCAATCCGTAGCAGCACCCCATATCAACCACTCTTTGCTGTAGGGTATCTCCAGCCCAACACGAGGACGGACTATCGGGATAGATGCCGGCTCCCACTAGAAAGATTGTTGAATTGCCGCGACGATACTTTGTTTACCTTGCAGATGTCCATTACTCGCCAAAGTCCACAGTGACGTGGGCCGACGAAAATCGGGGTGAGACTTTTGTGTTGTGGAGGCCCCGTTGAAAAAAAGTTTCCTAAAATGAGAGATACCGCAAAAGGTCTTATACAGACCCACAAGTTCTGTACATGGCCTGAAATTGTTGCTGAGATATATATACATAGTGTTTAACAAGGTGGTATCGGGAATCCTTCGTGGTATAAGCGATCCTTCGTGAACCAGGATTGTCATCCTACCGAGCACCTTACTGGTCCATGCTGGTCCATTAGCTTACGCAGACAGAGTATAGTGGGTCACACTGCATAATCTAGACAGTGAGATTGTCAAGTGACCAAGAAAGAGGACCACACAATCAGACAATGCAGGCAATAGTGCTTACCGCCCTAAGCTGTTTCAAGCCGGTCCCGTTCAAGTAAATAGGCTGGAGGCGGGAGACACTGCCAAATGGATGGGTCGCACCCGTTCCACAATGCAACGCCATGCGTCGAGTCGGCCCAGCAATACAGGCGCTGGGCGAATGTGAGAGCCCCAAAAGCACAAGGATTACCAGCCCTGCCGGCTCGTCGTGAGGGAGGCGCCGTCCTTTTGCGGCGCCCACGTTTTGGCGCCCACGTGTTTCACTCCGATCTGACGGTAATGGCCCCCAACAGATCGATCCTTCGAGGACACCAGATACTTGCGTCACCGTCCTCCGTGAAATCCGCACCCAGACCTGTTCTGTGATGTCGGCTGGGCACGAACAATGGCATCGTCGGACTCCGCGACCCAGCTGTCGCAGAGTACCTTCCTGGTAACACAACACCCCGTTCCCCTCCCCAGCCCCTCGCAACGATCACAGCAGCTCTGACGATGTTGGACAATGTAGGGCATCACCTGGTTCCTCTTCTCGTTATGCGCCGTCGCCCTCGCCGCGCGCATCTACATCCGATGGACGTGCTTTCGACACCTCCTCGCCGAGGACTGGCTCATGATAGCCACCCTGTTCCTGATCACCAGCATCGAAAGTGTCGCGACTCGATTCTCCTATGAGATTTACCACTTGATGGCCTGGGTCAATGACAACTCTATCGTCCCTTTCGGAAGCTTGCTGGCGTTCCTCGCGGACACCGAGTCGATGCTGAAAGCGTGCGGGTCCTCTATCATTCTGTTCATCGTGGGCTTCTACTCCATCAAGGTCAACTTCCTCCTGTTCTTCTATCGCTTGGGAAATCGGGTTGGTCGTGCGTTCTGGATCGCGTGGTGGATTGTCCTCTTTATTGTGTTGGCATGCGGCATAGCGAGCGTTACTATGGGTGTTCCGACGTTTAAATGCCTGTTCGGCAGTATTGAGTATACCCTCACGACATGTCAAACCCACGGATACGAGAACACGTTCTTCACATACTTCAGAGTATCGGTTGCGCTGGATATTTTCACAGACGCATTGAGTGAGTGCATTCCTCCCGTGTTTTCTCTGACCAACATTCGACATCTGGAAATGAGACAGAGACTAACTATCATGTTCTTCTTTACGCGGCAGTCATCGCATTCCCAGTGTGGATTCTTTGGGGCGTTCGAATCAGCTTGCGTAAGAAGATTGCCCTCGGTGCCATCTTCTCCCTGGTCGGGTTCACTATCGTTGCAACGGTGCTACGCGGTGCTTTGTTAAGTGAAGTGTTCACCGCAACCACCGCAGGGAAGACATTCAACATACCTTGGGTGTGGTTCTGGTTTCATATCGAATTTTGCACGGGTGAGTTGGAGTCTCTGCATGCATGAAGTCCACGTTCTCATGCAAGCGTCGTATGACCATTGAAACATTTGGGACTGATTTACCTGGACCCACAGCTTTCATCGTCGCATGTCTCGTCTCCTTCCGCTCGCTTTTCGTTCACCGCGAACAAAGTTCCGGAGCGGCCCGGCGCGCCGCGGCAGTACAACGCCGGCCCAGCAACTACAATCCTTACCCAGGTAGTAGCGGGAGAACACCACAAGGGAGCGGCAACGCCAGTAGGGGAAACCTGGGCCGAGTCCGTGGGCGTATGAAGCTATTCCAGGACAGCGTGCTAGATACATGCCGCACGCTCGAGGGCGTGCTCGACGACGGCACCACGCTAGTAGAACTCTCGCAGCGCTCACAATTAGGACCTGTGACGGAAGACGAGCCGAGGGACATCGAAGCACAACACCGCGAACCCAGTCCTGATGAATTCCAGGTCGAGAGAGATGAAGAAGTCGAGACCACACCTGTTGCTTCTCCCGCTCCCGCTCCCCCTGTGTCTCCCACTCAGGATGTACCGCGGAGATGGAACACGGTTTCGACTGGGCGGCTGTCACTTGATTCGCTATATCTACAGGAAACTCGGTCTGTGTCACCATTGTCGACGGACTCACCGCAAGAACAGCGAAGGAGCATCATGGGGTCAACACCGTCCCCGTTGATGCTCAATCCAACGTATCAAGGCTGGAGGCGTGACTCGCTGGACGAGGTGGACCAAGGCCGGAATACCCGTCGTGATGTTTAATGGCATGGGACAGCGGCCACCGTATATTTATGGTGTGTTTAATTTGATTGATATTGCGCTGCTGTATATAAATACATGGACATATGCTTGCTGCATATAAAGATCATAGCGTGGGCAATGGTAATTACATGATACAAGCATCTCAAGCTACTTTCAGTTCACAATTCGTTGATTTGTCTATATGTATTCAGATTTCGTAATGAAGATTACTAACAGCGTATTACTTGAACAACAAAGAAACCCATTTTTATTTTTTTTTCGAGATATTCATTCATAATTTTGATTCTGTTTGAATCATGAATATTGAATAATCAACTTCAGCTCTCGGCCACAGGCCTTGACTGTGGATTTAAAGTGAGGGCTGCAGAAATGGGGAGCGATGTAAGATATTCCCAGTTTTCCTTTGGATGTAGCTTCAAGAATGATCATGTCTCTTTTGGTATCTCTTACTCATAAGTTTGATGGTCCCGCGGCCATGAAATGGCAATGATCAGGATTCCAGCATTGTGTATGTGATCCGCTCAACATCATCTTCTAAATAGTTGGAACTTCTATTACCAAAATTGCCCTCGCTTCAAGCTGCATAATTCCTCAGGCGTGGCACTGACCACCGTAAGCGTCCTTCTAGCGCGGGGGAATTCGTTCCGCCTGCATGTGTATGCCTTTGTAGCTGCCTACAGTCTGTCCAATTAGATCAAATGCCCTGAGCCCCTGAATATGTCTGACATATTCCCAACATTTCAATACTCAACCACTGTGGCTCCTTTTTAGGCAGTTTAAAAGTTGGACGCTACGTGATACTAATTATCTGAGAATAACAACATCCAAACACGCTTCATTGCTTACCCTCAAAATCTGGTCAGTCACTCGCACCAAATCATGCCACCCATCAGAATGCCCGACTCCGACGAAGCCGAAGAGATCGCACAACGACGAGAGGGCATGAGGACCTTGAATCAAACAGGTCTAGACCAGCTGGGGCCCTGCCCACCGCATCTCGTCGAAACCACTATTGAGATCCCACTGCCAGACGGGACCAGCAGCCGCACCATCGTCACCCGGCCAGCCAAGCCTGCGCCCGACAACAAAGGCTACCCCCTGATAGTTCTGCTCTACGGCGGCGGGTGGTGCGGGGGCGAGCCCGAGATGATGATAGCTCCGGCACGCGGCTTCGCCGCCCTCCTCGGCGCAGTCGTCGCCAGCCCGACCTACAAGGTCGCCCCGGAGGACCCGTTCCCGGCGCCGATGCAGAGCGCGTGGGAGGCTGTTGCATGGCTCTCACAACCTGGCAACCTCAATGATGGAGTGCTGAAGGACGGTGGCGTATCTGTTGACCTGGATCTAGGATTCGTCATTGGGGGAGCTAGCGCAGGCGCAAACATCGCGGCCGTCATCGCAGGCATCGCAGCCGCTGCCGCGGCGGACAAGGACAGTGAGCTCGTCCGCGGCCTCAGCCCTCTCGCTCGGCCGCTGACGGGCGTGTTCGCGTCAGTCCCAGCCGTGGTGGCTGAGGCCATGACACTACCGGCCGAGTATGCGCCACAGTGGACGTCGCGTGTGGACAACGCGGATGGGAACATGCCGACGGAGGCGATGCACCAGTGCGAGAGGAGGCTGGCGCCCGACTTTAATTCACCTTGGTTCTCGCCCCTGAACTTGGACCTGCATAGTATCAAGGGCCATCACGCCCCGCGGGTGTACACGCAGGCCGGCGAGCTGGACTGTCTTCGGGACGACGCGGTTCTTTATGGCAGAATCCTGAAGGATAAGGGGGTGGCAGAGAGTCGCATCGATGTTCTTAAGGATCTCGGGCACGTTGGCTGGGTCACATTTCCGATACCAGACGCACACACTGATAGTATCAAGACGATATGGCTTGACGGCATGGCTTGGCTTCTGGGCAGGGACTGGGATAAGAGTCAGAAACTCCCATACTAGATGTAGACATGTCTGTGCAGACCAGGCCCTGCTGCGAGAGGATTGCCCCTATGTGCAACCAGTAACATCCCCGGACTCAGCTACTGAGATAGAAGTGCCGAGAATTTACCGGCTTGAGAATCGTTACAGCGAGTGTTCCTATGGCCCTGTGTAGTCATATTAACCCAAGTCTCTGAGCCCGGGTAGTGTTCCCTATCTCCGGTGCTACCTGCTGCGTATATCCCATGTTCCCCGTGCACACACCTGAAAAGAGAACAACGAGGGTCAATCACAGGCAGTCTCGCTAGCTCGTAAATAAAGTGAACATACGTTTCAAGAGTTCAACCGTATATCGCAATTTCATAATCTTCCACATCACCATCATGTCTGTTGCATGGGAACGACTGATCCGATTCGTGGCCGTGGATGGCCGCACGCTCCGAGGCGAGCCTATCCTCCCCAGCCCGGACTTTGACTTGGGAACTACGACAGAGAGCACGAAGCTGCAGGCCAAAGTCATCCAGGGAGACGATATCTACGACACTTCAGGCAGCACCGTGGTAACCGAGGAGGTCGTCACAGTAAAGCAGCTCCTCGGCCCGCTGTCCCAGGCAGACGTCCCCATCCTGAGGTGCGTAGGCCTCAATTACGCCAAACACATCCGCGAAGCAGGAAGGAAGCCACCGCCATTCCCCTTTATCTTCTTCAAGCCGAACACGTGCGTGCTCGACCACGGAGCCAACGTGGTCATCCCCAAGATCGCCCAGGACGACCAGGCGGACTACGAAGGGGAACTCTGCTTCGTCATAGGCAGGGACGCGAAGGACGTGTCCAAGGAAGACGCGCTGTCTTATGTCGCGGCTTACACTTGTGGCAACGACGTCTCGTCCCGGAAGCTGCAGCGAGATTCTGCGTTTGCTGGTGTAATACCGCAGTGGGGGTTTTCCAAGGGCTTTGACACCTTTGCTCCGCTGGGCCCCTGTCTCGTGCGATCTGACCTGATCGGAGACCCTCAGAAGCTTGACCTCGCCACGGTTGTCAATGGTCAGGTGAGGCAGCAGGAATCTGTCGGGGATCTCCTCTTCGACTGTGCCTACTTGATTTCGTACCTGTCAAGTGGGACCACTTTGCAAAAAGGGTCTGTCATAATGACAGGCACTCCAGGTGGTAAGTACAAGCAAATTTGATAAGAAATATTTTCTAGAGTGTTGACAAACATATTCAATAGGCGTCGGGATGGGCATGAGCCCTCCCCAATGGCTGAAGCCGGGAGACAACGTCGAAGTGAATATTTCTAAGATTGGGACACTACGCAATGGAGTTGAATATGCATGATTAAAACTTGTAACACGTATATATGTCACTTTGATGAAATCCATCCACTTGTTCCCTTAAGATTGCCCAGCTGTAGCAATTCATCTCCTTGTTTGGTTTCCTGGGTGACATGAAGCTTTCTATAACCCACATTGACGTAAGGTTACTTTTCTCCCTTGGATAAAGTTGAGTGCACAACTTTGCCGGACAAGACTCCTGTCGCGGACAGCTGAGATACCCCCGTTTCCGAGAATTCTTTCCAATGATTTGTTCATGCGTTGCCATCCCGATTTCGTCGGCCTCGAATTATGAGCGCGAACGAGGATCAAGGGGCCACGCTAAGGTGTTCGGTCGGGGAGTTAGGGAAGCGTACAGGAACCCGAGGCTCTCAGGTGTAGATGTGTAGTGTATCAAGCGCGCAGACGCATCCGCCGAGACATTGAGCATGTCAGGCCCTTGCAAATTCATCAAAAGATTTGATAAGACTCTGCTGTTCTCAGTGTTCGGGAGCTGTGATTCCAAGTCTTCATATGATCGCCACTGATAGTTTTCCAAGCTGTACGACCGCGAAAAAATGCCGATATTAACAGACTCTCCAGGAAACATCGTGACGTCGAAACACGCAGATGGTCCTATAGAGAAGACGGTTTCTGGCACCACAAACGGTCACACACGCAGCAACGGAGCGCATTCCAGCGTGGAACTGGAGGAAAAACCCAAGTTCACTACAACGTCGTATCCGTCAAACTGCCTGCGCTTTCTAGGGAATGCCCAAACCAATCCATATGAAAAACATACCGTCACTCCAGCAGCCAGGGTGAAGCTGAACATTCTAATTGTTGGAGCTGGTCTTGGAGGGCTTGCTACAGCAATCGCCCTGAGACGTACCGGTCATGATGTCACGGTTTTCGAGCAGGCCCCTGAATTAATGGAGGTAAGTGGAAGACCATCTCAGCTCTGAGATATCTTGACAATAAGACTCAAATCGCGTATGCTAGGTCGGCGCCGGCATCCAAGTCCCACCAAACTCGGGCAAACTGCTGAAGAGATGGGGCGTCATGCAGCGACTGGCTAAGCAAGTCGTCGAGCCTTCCAGGATCAACTTCCGCAGATGGCAGGACAGCGCAGTCATCGGGGTAACAGACCTGACGGCGGAGTTCAACTCCCACTACGAGGTTCCATATTACGTGGTTCACAGGGCCCATCTGCACACCGCGCTGTATCAGCAGGCTGTGGCCTTAGGAGTAAAGACGCGGCTGAACAGCAAGGTCGAAGTGTATGAGCCTGACACCGCCACTATCAATTTGTCCGATGGAAGCGTCTTCCAGGGAGATCTTGTCGTTGCTGCTGATGGTCAGTCTCCTAGTCATCAGGTGCTGACTGGTTTCTGGCTGACTTGTAGTATCAGGGGTGAAATCAACGGCGCGAAGTATTGTAGCCCCAAACGGCCGCGGTGCTCCCAAGTTCACAGGATACGCTGTCTATCGTGCAACAGTCGACGTGGCGAAGATGAGAAAGATCCCTGAAATCTCATGGGTGCTTGAACAACCCAATCTGAATCTCTGGTTCGTCGATCACCTTCCGCCTGCGCAGAACGAAGCACGCATGTAGTACTAATTTATTGCAGGATCGGAGAAGACAGGCATGTTATGACATACTGCATAGCTGGCGGACAGGCGTTCAACATGGTCCTGTCACACCCAGATCGATCCGGCTCTCCAGCCACGGGAGCAGAAGGAGATGTCCTGGAGACGATGAAGAAAGAATTCGAAGGCTGGCATCCACAGTGAGTTCGATTTGCCTATTTACAGATTAGACAAGTCACTGACCATTCCAAAGCCTCACGACCATTATCAGCCTCATCGACAAGGTAATGAAGACACCCCTGATGAGCGGAGAAGCCCTCGACAGCTGGGTGTCCCCGTCATCTAAGCTCCTCATACTCGGCGACGCCGCTCACGCTATGTTGCCCTACATGTCAGAAGGTGCGGCAATGGCAGTCGAGGACGGGGCAGCGCTCGCAGTGGCCCTCAGCCACATCACGTCCACGAAGCAGCTCAAGTTCGCCCTGCGGGTGTTCGAGAAGGAGCGAGTGCAGCGCACGGGCATGATGCAGGAGGCCAGCATGGTCAACTCGATGATCTGGCACTTCGCGGACGGCCCGCTGCAGCAAGCACGGGATGAGGCTATGCGGCCTGAGGTCGAGGGCAAGCACTTCCTCAGCAGCCCTAATCAGTGGAGTGACCCTGTCACGCAGGAGTGGGCCTACGGGTATGATGCGGAAAGGGTCATGGACAGGGCTTGGGAGGAGGCTGTAGATGAGCTCATTTGTCGGAGTGAGTGCTGATTGGGCTGCGATATCTGGATGAGATGGGAACGAGTAATCCAGTCCTTATTGATAGCACAATTGCACTTTTTCATCACTACCTATGTGCTCCAGCCTAGCAGAACAGATCCGAATCCTGGAACCCTTCCATGAAACCGGCGTTGAGAGAAGACAAGAAGCTTTCTGTTTCCCAGCCCAGTGCTGTAAGGTCAATATTGACTGCGTCAAGTGGTGTAGGCACAAATGGATATTGCCCGTTCTGGTTTCCTTGAGGCGTTGCCAAAGGCATGTGCCCGTTGACACCGGGTCTCGCTTGAGTAGGATCATCAAGTCCACTTTGATCTGTAATAAGGAAGGGTATTAGTATAAAACTTGAGGATTCTGTGCTTCCCCGGTGGGGCATACCTAGCAAGTTCAAACATTGCTGCAGCGTGGCGAGAAACTTGGCACATTTGTCGACCATCCTGTTCCCCTTGTCGATCAATGGTAGACAGGCCAGTGCTTCTGCCAAAGCGTCTCTCAGAGCCTGGTCAGCTACGCCACCGGGGTTGCAAGGTGCCCCAGGGATGGCGCTGTTGGCATGATTGCACAGAGCCAATGTGAAGATTGTAAGCGCGGCATTCAAGGCTGAGATTGAGTTAGATGGGCGATGAAAGTAGCCTTCGATTCTGGAAGTACTGACTGTAATAAAGCGTAAACCACCATGCACCCAGCAACCCACACTTGGGTTGCGGAGAATGAGTGATGATGTTGACGATGGAGATCAGTTCAGATGCTGTTTGGAGACAGACAGTTTTGCTTCGCTCTCCAACTTGTGTCAGCATCGACTCATGGGTATCGTAGCCCAGACCCTTTTCAATGCCGGTGAGGTAAAGGTCGAATATGCGACGATGAGCGAGGAGGCGGACATTGTGATATCTGAGTGTGAGGATCACCCGAAATCGTCTTGCTAAACTGAAGTCACCGTTGTTCCGTATCTCCGCGGGGTCAGTCAGAGACAGCAGAGGCGGGAGAGAAGCCTGCCACTCCAAGAGTTGATGCTCGATCTGGAGGATCTGGGAGGCTATGGAGAGAACACTGTTGTCGGGGCATGCTATGTTGCAGTCGTATAGTCGATCAATGATGGTCCACATGACTTTGTATAGCGTGCTGAAAGGAGGAATCAGCATGATTGTAGGATTGGGTGTCTCAGAATACTCACATCGTAGACACGAAGAAGTGTATACTCATAGTATCCTCTTCAGAGAGCTCCGAATTGGGATCGATATCTGTTCCACTGTACGGCTGAGGTAGTGGGGTACGAATGTATGATTCTGGAATTGCAGGAGGCCGACCAAAAGTCATGCTTAGGGTCCGATCCAACATAACACAGCCAAACCATGTTCGAGTCCGCGTCTCTCTCTCGAGTGGTGAGTAGGCCTTCAACGAGGTGGTGGAATGAAGGCCCAACTGAAATGCTGCTTTGACAGCTATGCCGTGCATATTCCAGGTCATGACTGAGCGGTGTGTTCCTTGTAGGTACTGGCTCATTAGCAGCATGGCTTGGACCGTCTCCAGGCTGGAACCGCTCAGCATTTGATCGAGACATAGAGCCTTTGCTCGTGTGAAGAAGACCTCTGCTTTAGCCCCTCTTTCCGTTGCGCTTGAGCTCGAGCTGACAGAAGTAAAGGTGGCCATAGCTAGGATGGCGTTCAGAAGAGCCAGCCACGATCGTCTGAACCTTCTGAATCCGATGCTCTTCGTCCGGTGGTACGTGTCCATGAAGGTTTTTGGATGGACAAACGGGAATAACGCTCCTGTATCTCTGAAAAAGCGTTCGACGATAGCATCCATCTCGTCGTCTGGCGGGAGTCGCAGGCAGTCATTAGTAGCCCGAGACTTGTCCATGTAATTACCTGAGACTTCCGCGGCTGATCTGGTTGGCTCCTTGCGCGGTGTTGGAGGACGAGACACATCAAGTGAAGGGCGTTGCGGGCTTCCTTGCCTGTGGGAGCGTTTTCCTAGGTTCTGGGATAAAAGTGTAGAAAGTGCTCTTCGAATGCTTCGCGTAAATGCAATATTGGAGGACGGTCCTAGGATCTGTTAGCCTTTGCACAAATTGATCGAGCTTCAAATCCAACTGCTGAATACCATAATACCCAGAATCATCCTCCTTTGTGAATTCGATGGACCCGATGCCATCAGTTGCATCCGGTGTCACAGCCGACTCATCAGAGTCTGGCTCATGGACATTGTTCGGAATGCGGTGGCTCGCAATGCTTGCCCTTCGATCCACGATGGCAGAATCTGGGACGCTGCCAGCTTCGCTCTGCTGGCTCTTCAATGAACGCACATCGCTCTCAAGCTGAGACAGGCGGGACTCGACAAGCTGTAGAAATCTAGTAGGCTAAGTCAGTCGTGTTTCAATTTAGATAGATAGATACACAGTGAAGACACTCACGCTCTCGGGACAGGCGTGGTCGTAGCAATTGGCGGCGCAAGATAGACACATTCAATATTCAGGGTCTGGCAGGTCGAGCATTTCGGCCGAGAGCCATCGCACTGCGGCCGAGAGATCAGCACTCATGCGGAAACTCACGGGAAGACCTCGATTGGTCAACACGGCGGGCAGCTCTCTGCCTGGATGGGGTCCCACGTGGGAGACACCGGCCTTACCCTGGACTTCTTGCTTCTGCAAGCACCGCACGCCACCGGGATTCTGCGGCGCTTCTGCGGCCTCGGCCGTGCCGGTGACCCGCCAATCGACCCGCCGGAGTCGTCTTCTGCCCCGGCCATGCTTTCGTTGTCCGGGAGTGAGACCCGGATGGAGCCTGCCATGGTCTGATATGCTTCGCGGATCTAGGAGTTGTCAGACTTAAACATGGAGCCGCACCCAGACATATGAGTGGGCTGTCAAGTCTGTCTGAGAGATCAGATAGAAGGGCAAAGCATTTGGTTGTTGAAATCTGTTCGGAAGCTTGAGCTTTATCTCCCCGCTCTGGGCGTCTGCGTCCGTGAGTTTCGTCGGCTCCGGTGCTCCCGTGTTTCGTGGCAGCCGGAAAAGCTTCCCTAAATCCGGGCGCAGGAACTCACCATTCATCAACTGCACTTACACACATATGCTTTGAATTTAGGTTGGTAAGAGCCATGGCGTACAACTTTGTATTATTTCTGCTACGATTCTACATTAAACGGGACGAAATCCTGTTGATGCCTCCTGTTGATACCTGAGAGCTCATCTCACCAAACAAGTGAACGATTTCAGCCTTCAAAATGGCGACAACGACACTAACAGAGACCGACACTCAAGACGCAACCAAGGCCCTTTTGGATCGGGCCGCGCAAGCTCACACAAAGCCACTATGGCTGCAGATGGCGCGCCTCAACCCGCCCCAGCCAGACCCGCGATGCGTCCCCCACGCCTGGCGGTACTCCCAGATCCGGCCCAGCCTCCTCGAGGCAGGCGAGCTGGTAGGCGAGCACCAGGCGGAGCGGCGCGTGCTGATGCTGGCGAACCCAAGCCGCGACCCGCCCTTTACGACCGACACGCTGTACGCGGGGTTGCAGCTGGTGATGCCGGGCGAGACGGCGCGCGCGCACCGGCACACGGCGTTCGCGATGCGCTTCATCATCGAGGGCGAGGGGGGTTTCACGGCCGTGCAGGGCGGGCGCATCGCCATGCGCCGCGGCGACGTTATCATCACTCCCCGCTGGAACTGGCATGACCACGGCAAGGACGGGTCCGGCCCCATGGTCTGGCTTGATGGGCTTGACCTGCCCTGCTTCCAGCACTTCCCTGTGCATTTCGTCGAGCACTTTGCTGCGCCGCGGTACCCGGCCGAGGATGCTGACTCGGCTGCTTCGCCACTGGTGTTTCCTTGGTCGCAGATGAAGGCTGGGCTTGATGAGGTGCCCGGGGACTGGACTGAGTTGCGGTATCTGAAGAAGGATGGGTCGGAAGGTGAGTGGGTCTGGTGGCCACATTCTCCCGTGTCATCGGACAATTTGACTAAATTGCTCACGATGATGACAGTGAGCAAGACCTTGGGCGGGGCCGCAACGCGTGTCAATGCAGGGAAGAAGACTCCCGTTGTGCAGGAGACTGCGTCGTCCGTCTATCATGTGATTGAGGGCTCGGGATATACCACTATCGGCGACAGGAAGTTTTCCTGGGAAAGGGGTGACACTTTCTGCATCCCTTCATGGTATCCGTACCAGCATTCCGCAAGCGACAGCAGCGCTGGAGCGCCGGTGTACCTGTACCGCTTCGATGACAAGCCTATGCTCAACTCCCTTGGATTCTATAGGACGGCCGATATGGACATTGAGTCGCTTGTGTCAACCTGAGCCTGATATAGAAAACCACCAAGAAGTCTGTACTGAAGCACATGGTTTTGAAATGTGCGTGTGCTGCGCATTGTCGGTGGATCTACCCGGTGCGCGATCTATGATGTGTAGTTTATCATACGCAGGTGCAGAGTCAACACTGATGTGACCCCAGCACGTGTTCCTAGGTCTTATGTGTACTCCAGCTTGATCTTACTCAGCTGCACCATAAAGCATCCAGTCGCGCCGTACTGTACTGCCGGCCACTGCCAGCCTGGAGCTCAGAATTTCGAAGGAGCTGACCATCGCCGGGCGGTCTTCCCATCTGTCCAGAAGGGAGCATCTCACTCCCAGCCAGCGCCCTCCCTGATCAACATCATCCCTTAGACGCAGCCATCCCGTCCACCAGCGCCTTCAGTCCCGTCAACCCAGCCAGCCCGACCAGCATCAGCGCGCAAGCAGTCACGTCTTTCTGCACGCGGTACCGCCCGTTCCACGAGGTGACGATGACGGCGGTGATGTACTGCGTGAGGACGAATAGGGCCCATTTCACGACGTGGTTCAGGGTGCCGCCGCCAAAGTCCCGGAAGGGCGAGTAGTGCAGCAGGTAGTAGAAAGGGATAGCGCCGTAGATGGCGAAGTGGAAGACCAGGAACGGGGTGGTGTAGAACCGGGAGAAGATATCCTCGTTGAAGATGGGATGCCGTGGGTTCTTGGCCCGTTTTGTTGTTGCTCCTGGTGTTTCTGCTGCTGCCGTCGCCGGTGTATTTGGTGTCGTTATCCTGTCTGCCGATGTGGTAGTGGCTCTTGATGGTGCGGGAGACCGCCGTGACGTGGTGGCGGCGGCGGCCGAGAGGGTGTCTACTGCCAGCGCCATGGGCGCGGGGATCAGGGGAAAGACCGTGTCACTTCGAGACGCCATACCTCGCGAGGGTGCAGGTCATGCCAAGCTCCGGATCAAGTAGAGGTAGATATAGCAATCGAGATTTTTCTCGAGGTGAGATGAAACTTTATTCCTTGTATGCTGAGGAGAGCCGAAGCCTAGAATCAGGTAGTCGTGAGTGGTGACGATGACGATGAGAGCTTGAGGTGAAGGAGGGTGAGTGAGACAGAGAGCGGGTGAATGAAGGTCAAAGTGGCGGACCGACAGCCCCCAGACCCAAGTTTAGAAAAAGCTGGGGTACACATTTGTTTTATCCAGGGTCCAAACCCAAAGGCCTGGGTCTGACCGTCTGGCCCGGGAGGGGGGCGACTTTGGGCCCGTGTCATCGTACTGAGCCGTATTCTTGCGTATCCAGGCGTATCCAAGTCCGTCAGAGTGAGCGGCCAAGCCTCTGTAGGAACATGTTGTGAGGCGCAGTTTCCTGCAGGGGTAAGCGACCGGACATGCGCATTCCTGACATGACATTGTGGACGGAGCAATGAGGATGCTGATGGGGCCTTCGTCCAAGGTTGTACCCGTGGAACATCCGTCATCTGGCAGTTCTCCGATAGGGCGAGGACGAGTCTGTGCCCCTGGTCTGGGGGAGTCTAGAAACGAGAAGCGACAAACTGTGACAGGCACAAGAAAGCATGTGCAAACAAACAATAGGAGAGGGTCGGCCGCCTGTCTGCCTGTCAGCGTCTCTGCCTGTCAAATCTGCCCGTCTGTGCCTCAACGGCTGTCGGCGCTTTACCTGTAGCGGTGACGGTCAGATGAGATCATAAAATATGTCTCATTCTGCGAGCCTTCGCCTCAAAGAGAGAGAGAGTGTGTGTGTGTTTGTATTTGCATGGCAACGGCGTGCTGCACTTGTGTTTGTAACCACAACATCATGTATCGTCAGCTGATTTTGCTGGGTCCTGATTCGATACGATCCATGATCATCTCCTCTGTCTCTCTTTCTCTCTCTTCTCCTGGCCTGTTGTACGGGTCATGTTCAAGGCGTTTGCTTCTTGGGGGCGGCGCTGGTGTCTCGGAGTAGCCACAAGCGGACTCGTTCCTTTCCAAATAGCCGGTGATCATCTCCTTGGCGCCAAGGTAGTCGCAATCCAGTCTGACGGGCTGACGGGCTCCTCATCTCGACCGCCACGGGTGCCTTGACTGGTTTGGTATGTGATAGCGGGTATTTGAACTCGAAACCTGCAGACGATAACGATGTCGTGCTGGTGATTAGAGCGTCTCGGCCCGCTGCGTGGGCCAGGGACCTCGGCATGAGGGGGAGGGGGGGAGCGTGGCTCAGGGGTGGACCAGGTGCCCATCTGCGGATCCTCACGCTGCGTACCCACCGCTGCTGCGCATCCCACGAGGATAGCGGATTATCGGTAGTGCGATAGAAGGGCTAGATGGATGTTTGTGCTCGCCAGACAAAAGTATCCAGGCGCCCCAGGCTAGCAACGATCACAGACACAGACTAACACCCTCAGAAACAAGGACAATTTTATACATGTCTTGATCAAAGCTGGATTGGTTGACTCTTTGGCTGGCGCCTCCAACTAGAGAGTCTGGACTCGGGACTCAAGTGCTGCTGTAACGAATCAGCAGCTGCCGTTTATACGTAATTCTAGTGCAGCTCAGCAGCTATAATGCCCGCTAGAATCCGACGCATAGCATTTCTCATCAAGATAGTCACTCCATCAGGAAACGGCTTAGATCTTGATAATGCTTGCGAAGCGGTCTCATCCAATGCCGCAGGCTTGGTTCCACCTGCGGCTTGTTGGTCTCCTTTCACAGACGTACCAGAATATAGATCCTTGTGGCCGTTCTACCAGCGAGACACCCGAGACTACGACAGACTCCGGATTTGTCTGACCACTCTGCCCAAAAGGGTGGCTTTCTGGATAAGAACGGACTGATAGCAGACAGTGGTCTGGATAGGCATCACAGACAATTGTGAGCCTGGCACTCGTATCGTATACATCTTGAGGTCCTCCTTGTAGGACCTGCCGTTCTTCTATTTCGACAGCCAGGTCGTGCCGAACTCGAAGAACGCGACGCCACGCTACAATGTAGAGGCAAGACAGGACCTGCAAGTTTTGTCCGCTGGGTCAAAGGGGACGAGGGCCACACAATCTAATGAAGTGTCCAACCGCATAAGAAGTCTTGGTCAGTCTGTTCTGGGTCATAATTCTCGTTTCTTGCACCTCCTAGCACCGCTCTGCCGACTGTATCCGTGGCGTGGTATCCGTGGCGTGTAAAGCCGACAACACTTGTTCGTCTTCACGCATGGTCATTTTCGATGTCGGCCGTTGGATACGCTCGCCTCGAACGGGTCCGCGGCGCTGTCTTTACCGTGCATCAACTCGAACAACTCCCTGAGGATGTGTGCGCCGGCGCCGTCCTGGACGTATTTAGCATTCGTATCATTGAATGGTTGTGGCCGGAAGGGGCCCTCGCTGTTGTACGTCTCGCTGTCGCATTCAGCACAATGTGCCATTCCTGACTGGGTACCATGACGAGTAGATCATCTAAGGAGTGGAACCAGTGTGGTGCAATACGCCCTGGCTACGTTTGCCTTGTGAATCGGGTTGACGTGGAACCGGAACAGCGGCCCCGAATACACAAGGCGTGTCATGTACGAGAAGCTCAAGTGCATAATGAGCAGCACGAGCAGCGAGAGGGCTATGCCGAAGCCCAACTCACGGAATCCGATATACGTGTCCAATAGGAATACCTAGCCGGCGGCGTTCTGGTACCAGAACACAACATGCTGTTCTAGGATCTTGCCGTCCTTGAGTCGTCCTTTTCCTATCTTGATTTCATCGGATGCAGCAGTCGCCACTGCCGGATCGGCGCGCGGCGTATCTCTTTTCTCGATCGATCGTCCGCTTCGATAGATGGGATTCGGGCCTGCGTTGGTGTCGAGTTGGCGACTGAGAGGTCGAAAGGTAGGATATGGCTGGGTTGCCGTTGATTTGGCTGGAGGGTTCAATCGACATCGCGGTCGGCTATGATCGTCTCGGGATGGATCGCCTTTGGCGTGCCTTCGTCTATTTGGATCGTAACGCAAAGCCCCGCAGGTCGCACGATGAAGGAGTCGATGGGTCCGAGGTAGTTTGGATGCTTCGGGTATAGAATATTATGTATTGAAGAAGTATATAGGACGTGAATATCATCAGTGAGATTGTGAAAAAGACTATGCACAAGAATGAGTAGAATGATGACTAATACAGAGCGATAATTAAAAGGCGAAGAAAAGAAGCGCCGGCTCGATGGTAGCAAAAATGTTGGGCGGATGAATTGGAATTGGGCTGGTGGGAAGGCAGACAGACACTGAATAAGGGATCACCACCTCGGGATTTGGGGCCCACGGCTGGAGGCAGTCTGCATCAATCAATCCATAATCCAACGCTGCGGCCTTCTGCCCTGCCACGACCTGGAACCGTCACACTAACGTCACCACCACCTGTGAGCCGCAGAACAAACACGACAGTGAACCTTAAACATCGATCGATCGAAAATTCCAATTTCGGCGACCTGGTCATGATTGGCCTTTGAACCGTTTCTGTGGATCGTCTTCAGTCCTGATGTCCTGCTGCCTTGCTTTTTGTCCTTCCCCGTCTCCAGCCCGTCTCTGCGGCAAACACGGTTTCCTGTTAAAGTCCAACTGCTGTCCTTCGGGGTTTGGTTTGGAAATATTTACACGCCTCGTTTGATAGGCTGGACCGGAGGCAAGCTCCGGGCCCAGGGATAGGCTGAGTCTCTTCGTGGATGTCATGTTGACAGTCACGAGCAACATTACTTCGCAGTGATGTTCTTGGTCCGGACAATGATGCAGAGATGACCGAGAAGGCTGCCCTTCTCAGGCACCTACAGGCGGAGCCCAACACGCGAATGCTCCAGGCTCTTGGTCAAGACAAGGTCAATCCCTGAGTATCAGAACACTGTGGTCATTCACGAGGGCTGCTCTCTCCGGCCTTGAGTTCCATACATACATCCACTGGATTCTGCCAACACGTTCGGCTACGTTTTCGTAGGAGGCTAATGTGAACATTTCGCCTCGTTTTGCACTCGTTGGGGTTGTTGACGCCGAGCCAGGCGGCACTGGAGGACTGCTCGCTGCCGGACGTCTCTCTTGAGGCAAGGAAAACAATAGCTTTCTGATCATCGAGGCCGGCAGAGAGGATTCATCCGCGTCCAGCTCACACTCGACCGATGGCAGCGCATGCTGTGCTAATCAGGCCACTCACACAGTCATCCGATGGACGAGCCGACAATCACCACAACCGGCCTGGGTTTCTCTTGTCCTCGTCAAGGCATGGCCGGGCGTGCGAGACCATCATGTCCGACAAGCCAGGCAATCTAGGGACACGGATCGGGATGTTAAGTACTCGTGGAAAGAGTCCTCAATGGTGGCAGCAACAATCTGGATTACTACACATGCCTGAGGAGAAGCGCGGCAACGGTTCCTGATCGGTCAGGTCTTGGTGGCCCGGAATGAACCTCACAGATGTGTCTCGAGTACTCCAGGAGCGGCGGTCCAAGACTCGAACGCGACATTTAGTGTCGCGTTTGTTGGTGTTGGCTGTCGATTCGCTGACACAAATTAGCACAACAATACAGCCTTCCACTGCGACCTTCCCCCACGATGACCACGGTCGCCTTATTGAGGATCTTCGAGACGTCGGCGATACTGGACTATAGTCATAACTCAAGCTTCCCCTTACGCAGGATATTCTTCTCGCCCAGGCTCTGGCGCAATCATGAACCACGCAGCCACCCCATGATCAACAAAGTCCTCGACGGTGTGATCAATGGGCTGAGACACGCCGTGCGCACCATATACCAAAGCGAAAGGATGTCCAGCTGCTCCTTCAGACAGCAGACTTGGGGTCAGGATGACCTCACAGTTCTAAGCCAATCCTACGCCGAACACCTGGTATTTGCGGATGCCACGGCGGTAGACATTGCCATGAGTGGGGACGATGCCCTAAGGAAACATTACAAACCACACCGGGAGACCACATTTGCATGCAATGCCTTCGAGACTCTCAACCTACTCATGCTACCTCGCGCTAGCACCTAGAAGAAGCTCGTCAAGAGCGGCGTGCCGATCGTGGTGGAACCGTCCTGTGTGAGACGCAACTTACACGACGGCACCAAAGTGGCCCTATGCCAATGGTTTGCCGATCATTCCTTGATCAAGTTCTTGCTGCCTGGCCCCAGATCATGAAGTCGCCATGAGGCAGTATCAAGAGACGCGCGCAAGAGCCTTGAGCCTCCAGTCTGCTTGACATGGCTGGATAGACAGCCGGGTTCACGAGTTGCCGGAATGGCTACAGCTCGTTGAGATCCAGTTTGTGAGTCTTGGGTCCGTGCTGACAGCTGCACTTCAAGATCGACTTCGTCGTAAGTAGCTCTTGTTCTTCACGCAAAACTCTCGCGTATCCTCGCGTATCCTCGTTTTCGAGGGCATATTTCCTGACATACGCCTAATCAAGGCTTCCATGGCTCTCCCCCTTCAGCCACACATCCCGACTTCGACAACAGGGCCACACCTCACCGTCATGATTGACCTCCTACGCACTCTGTCCCGCGAGCAGGTATCTTATAGGTCAACCGATGCGAACGACCGACCGCTCATCATCGTGCAGACACTAAGTGCGGCAACAGACGTGGCCGGCCCGCGTAAAGCGTTGCTGTTCAGGCAAGATGCCGTGCGAAGGCGATGTTATGAAGGGCCTTGTGCTTGGCGACTATCTCGAGCACCTATCGCGAGAATCGGATTGACAGCTCGAGGAATTGATCCACCGGCAGGTGTCATTGAGCTATCGTGAATTGCGCTCCTGACTCTGAGTCCCTCCTGTGACGGGTCCCGACTATTCTACCCACGCCAATAGCACGCTTGGCCTAACACCTGAACACCAGATCCGCATGGTACTTACCGGTTAGGGAATGACATGCAGACCGATGCCGTGTTTCAATCCTGCGTGTTACGCCGTGAAGGACCTCCGGATCATGGCTGCCTCTGTCCTCTCCATCTCGGACTGCAGGATCTAAGGGCTGGTGTACATGGTGGTTGAGAAGGTAGGTGGACTGTGTCACGATCTGTCTGGGGTCTGGGCTAATCAAAGTGCAATAGAGCATCGCTAAGCCGAAGACGACCGCACGGAACCCTCCTCAAGAACCAATGCGACCGGCAGCAAGATCCTGGAAGCTCTTGGCCAGACTCAAGGGTGGGAGGCATAATCGAGAAACGGCGGCGCGTCTGGCCGGAATACACGAGACGTGGGCAAGAAGCGAGCACGCAGGATCGAGAGAACAAAACCGAATATTCGAACGGCCGCCCGACTCCCAATTATGCGATCGCATTCGTTCGAAGCCGAATCATCGAGACAGATCAAGCATGAACAGCTATGCTTGCCACCGCCACATTCATCGAGATTCATCGAGATCTTAGGCGAGGTAACGGCGATACGCAGGACTGCGAGAATTCAAGATGGAGTGACCAGCACGCAGGAAGATAGCTATCGAAGACAATGACTTGTCTCGACACAATCTCTATGTATTGCCCCTGATGTGCTGTCTAGTTGTGTGTGGCCTTACAATACTCGTCTCGTGGCTAGCTATACTATCACATCTGGCTCCTTACAGTATACCAACTAATAGTGCACTGCTGTCTCTGATCGCACCGCCATTGGTCCCAGCTTCAACAGGAGATTCCAAGTGGCAAACAATGACGGAGCCGCGAGGGTTCGTGCGTGAAAGCATGCCTCACACCATGTGTGAGACCACCGATGGGTCCGACGACGCCTATTCGCTGGCGTCCTGACAGCTGCAGGTGTGGGGCCGACAGAAAAGAAGGGCCCACGATCTAGACCGCAAAGTGGAATCTGATTCTGGGATTCTGATTCCTCACTGATTGGATGACTGCAGCGCACCAGGCTTGTCCTGGCGTTGCATCTGTCAGCAACCGCAACCTTGATCTGCTCAACGCTGCTGTTTTCTGCCTATGATTTCGATCGGATTTCCCCCCCGCTGAGACCTGACCGGGGTCCTGGTTCGCCATCCTCGGCACCCTGTCAAGGTGGTTAAGTTAGTTGCTCCCGCCTGGGCAAAGGCATATGCAAGCAAGCATCTCGCTGCAACATTGCTATGTTGGTGTGGCATTATTGAATACCACAATCTTACACAGATGAGAGCACGACTAAGCATCGCGGATCGAGGCTCGGCTAGCTACTTGGAGGAAGTGGGCATAGGATTTACCACATATAGGAAAAGGGAACCCATCGTCATGTTGGCCTGGTCAGTAATCCATCATCACTCTTTAGACAGGCCGCGTTTTTCACTCAGGATGTCAACCCACCCATATATAATATAGACAAAAAAAATTAGACAACATGCGCCTCCTAACGCGCCTGCTCGCGCCCACCCTCGTGATTTTCCACACATCTCTGGCGGCACTCTACTACCCCGACCCTGAGACCGCGTTCCTCGAGCACATCCTCGTCGACAACTGGGGCGCTTACGCCTCCAACTTCTCGGCCGCCATCACGCCCTGCAGCAACTATGTGACCGAGGTCGGCGAGCCCGCGGTCAACAGCGGGCGCACGACGGCGGCGCAGTGGATGCGGGTTGCGTTCCACGATTTCGTCACCGCGGACGTCGAGGCTGGGACCGGCGGCATCGATGCCAGCATTGGCTTCGAGACGGAGAGGGGGGAGAACTCTGGCAGTGCTTTTAACGACAGTTTCACGTTCTGGGCGCCGTTTGTGAACGATGCTGTATCTAGTGAGAGGTTTCGCTGTCACACTGACGCAGTTTGATATGCTGACTTTAAATCAGTGGCGGATCTCGTTGCGATAGGAACTGTCATGTCCATGGGCCTATGCGGCGGGCAAGAAGTCCCCTACCGGCCGGGGAGAATCGATGCACTGCAGGCGGACCCTACAACAGGCGTGCCGGCGCCTGAGACTAATCTTGAGGAGACAATGGCCTTTTTTGAGAGGGCTGGGTTCAACCAGGCCGACTCCATCGGGCTGACGGCGTGCGGCCATACTATGGGGTCAGTTCACCATGTAAGTCAGCATATACGAACAGCTACTCTGAGCTTATTAGTGCTCGCCAAGAATACCTTCCCAATTGCTAGTCGCAAAATAACACATCGTCTAATTCGTGCAGGGTGGGTTCCCAGATGTCGTCCCAGAGTCTGCCGTGACCCCAAACAACACGAACGGCGGATCAAATTTCGACACGACGCGCTCGGCGTTCGACGCCAAGGTCGTCCACGAGTACATCGACTGGACGGGCAACAGAGGCGGGCCGCTCGTCACAACAGACAACATCACGACCCGCTCTGACCTGCGGTTGTACGAGAGCGACGGTAACGCCACGATGCAGTCGTTGTACGACATGGGTGACGCATTTCTCGGCACCTGCGTCGACCTGATGGGCCGTATGATAAACACCGTGCCGGCAGGTGTTGAGTTGGGACCGCCCATGTCGCCAATGGAAGTGAAGCCTGTCAACGTCACCTTCGACCTCGACGGCCAAGGAAATCTGTATATCTCGGGCAAGATTCGTGTACGCATTTCCTGTGTGGCCCTGCGTGGCCCTGCTTTTGGGGTTAGCATTATTGACGGGTTTCTAGGTCCTTACCCAAACAAGCGATACCCCATCGCCTATCCAGGTCTCCCTAGTTGCAGACGATGGCGACTCTGCCCCTATAACACTGGACCCCGAGGGAGAGACGGGGAGTTCAGTATACGGAAACACCCAGTACTACTCATTTTCACTCCCGGCCGACCAAAACAACACGTACACCACCCTGAGAGTCGATTGGGGCACAGCATCGTCCGCGTCTTTCCCACTGCAGAACAACGTCTTCGTAGTGCCCAGCCAGACAACCATCAATGGGACCAAGGTGGACATCACTGTGGCCGTCAGGCCGGGTCAAGCGTCCTCGCCGGCCAACGTCGTCGTCACCGCCCCTGTGCGGCAGCAGGGGACACTGGCGCCCAAGATTACCGAGCACGACGTGAAATTGGCCGGAACGGGCACGACGGGTTCTGGTGGCTACCAGCTGTGGACAGGCTCGGTGGACCTGGGCATCATCGACACGTCCATCACGGGGGCGGTCGGGGTAAAGATCGATGCGACAGGCGAGGGCGGCGCGGTGCGTGATGTTTTGTACCTGAGCGCTGGGGTTGCCGCATGGTAATTCATAAATCATCGGCGGCAGAAGCCCACAAGCAGGATATGCCTCGGGCGAGAATGTATGTAGATCGACCGAAGCGGACGGGTGACAGCGTGCGTTTTAATTAAATAGTATATATATTTACTCACATGCATATTATACGCGTTCAGCCCTGCAGGCTGGGCACAAACAAACACTAAGTGGTCAAATCCATGCCTACGCCCCTTCGGACCAATCAGTGGCGATATTGGCTGGGATGGGGGATGGTTGGTTGCCAAGTTGACGGGCTCATGTGTCCGGGTTGGGGGTGGGAATTGCATCGGCGGTCGACAAATCCGGTTTGGCCCAGTCCTACGTGGGTGCCTGGGCAACTCGCGGACAGTGGTCCATGATAGAAGTTGCAGCATTCCCGTCGCGCCTCACCCCTATACCCCTACCCCGTCTCCATTGCAGGGGCCGCCGGATCGGCCCGGCCTGTTGGCCGCAGTGGCTTTGTTGTTTTTCTCCGTGTTTACTCATATATCGCGTGCTCGTGCGCCGTGGCTGTCGGCAGCTATATGTGGGACGGACGTACGCACGAGTGTGGCTGTTAGGATCGTCATCCATTCGTGAAGAACGATGCAACGCGGCTGGCTGATAGTCGCGATTGTTTTTGGATTGCGATACTTTGGGGCCGCGGGCTGCCTAATGCGTTTATGCTAGAAATTTTGCCGACCCTTGGGCGAGCAGGCCGGGATGGTTTGGCTGCTAAGCACGGACAGATTGGGGGCTGGCGCCGGCGATGGCGCCGTCACCCCGTCCCTCGAATCGAGAAGCTCGGCGCGAGAGAGAAGGGTGTCATCAACTGGTTGCATGTGGTTTGGGTTCTAACAAGAAAAAAGGGGGTGCGTGTTATACTTAGTCCCCAGCACTTTCTTGTGTGAATCAAGTAGGAGTTGTGGTTTGCAGGGGAGGCTAAGTATTTTAGGGGGTTTGTGGCACTAGTACGATTTGACGTGTGGACGTATAGTCAATCTGTCAAGGGCTGTATCCGTGTCTGGTTCCGGGCAGCGATCTACGCGATCTGAATGTGGCAAAATCATATCATGTACACATCGGAGCCAATGGAAGCGAAGCAGCGCCTGCCGCCTTCAACTCCAACCTGCATGTGAAGCCATATGTGCAGAGCAGCAATATCTTGACAGCCGGTAAGGACCGAGTAGTCAAAGTTCTGTTATCTAGTCTCTTCTATCCTCAAGGTCAAATGTTTCATGCAAAGCTGGTTTCTTCACCGAATCAGACACCCCGGCCCAGTGCTTGTATATGAAGGGGATCCTCTTGTGACACCGGTAACGCACCGAAAACACACACATGGAACCCCGTCGTATTCATGTTCCATTTTTTGGTGGTATGCAAGCCAATGTCAAAATGTAGTTGCAGGCCCTTGATCCTCCGTGTGCTTGAGGTGAGAAGCCAACCAGTGAGGTCATGGGCGTCAATCGCGAGTGCTCGAACGGCCGTTGATATGACGAGCTCGTCATTTCTCAAGACCGCGCAATGCCCCCCGTCAAAGTCCAACACGATGTCATGCTCAAAAGCCGTTTGTGCTTCAAAATCTTGTCGACCGTGGGGACTGCCAGGCAAACGAGAGAACGCAACGAGACCCAAGTCTAGAGCTGAGGAAGCAGTGCCTCTGCTGGCTTGATGACCTCGTAGGCATGTTTGTCGAACCACGCATCACTCAACAACATGCCGTTAGCATATAACCTGAGCGACCACACTGAGCTCACATAGTGTAGCCAGCACCCTCCCACGAGTACGGTGACCAGTTTGCAAAGCAAGAGTTGCCTACAGGGAAAGCATTTGGTGCTAGACCCTGCGACGAATAACGACTTCTTGCGTAAAAGAGTGCTGTCGCATTGTGTTACTGGCTGACGTTGGTCCCTGCGCTGTTCTCGACTCTCCTAGTCCTTCGTACTGATTTGCGTTGTTCGAGGCAACGTGGGCCGTCAAGGCATTCACACAGATCCAAACTATAACCACAACCACACCCAACCTGCCATCATCCTTTTGTATAAGAGACCCCTATATAGAAGACGGAAAACCTTCAGCGTTCTGCTCCATCCTCACCTGTCGTAAACTCATCGAACATTGCCAGCTCGTCAAAGGCCCGAGCCAGCACGTCCAGCGACGCGGCGCTCGGGTTGACAGACGCCTCGTTGAGGTCAATGACAAAGCCGTTGCCGCCGGCCTGTGCGCCGGGGAGATTGGCGAGCCCCCTCAAATACGGGCCAGACCCGGCGCTAAGCTGGCCCCCGGAGGACCCGTAGGTAACCCTGCTGGTCGTCTCGACCCCGTCAACCTGCCCATCGACCTGTCCGTCGGTAAATTCGGCCGCCGCGGCAGTTGCAGGCATCGCGCCGCCCTGGCTCCGCGCAAAGTGCTCGCGGCGGTGTTGGCGCGACAGTTCCGTCTCGGCCTTGAGCTGGTCCATGATGGCGCGGCCGTCCACGGCGGCCATGAAGCCCTTCAGGATGGCCATGCTCAGGATGCCCTGCACGATGCCCGTGACGATACCGAACTGCGGCGCCAGGGCCCGCAGCGCGTCGACGCACGCCATGAACCACTTGCGGCGGTCCATATCGTCGTCTTCTTCGGACTCCTCCCTCTCGTCGGCCGAGCCTTCGTCGTCGATGACACCCTTCCTGGGCCCCGCCGCGCGCTCGTCTGTGGTACCATCTGGTTGTGCTTGGAGCGACGGGACGGTGCGCTGCAGGGGCAGGCACGCGTTGGCTATGTACAGCAGCGCGTTCTGCCACAGCATCGAGTAGGTGGCGCACGGGTACCTGGACCGGAAGACGAGGATCAGGTGTTTGAGCTGGTTCACCGATGCGTTGCACAGCCCTTCGGGCGTCGGTTCGTCGGTGTCAAAGCCGTCGAGCCGGAAGGGCGTCTCGGGCCGCTGGTACGGGAACGGGCGGAACAGGTCCAACACGGCGGTGTGGAAGTAGATGTGGACTATAGCTGCGTGATGAGGCATGCCGTCGCCGCGTGCCATAGTCACGGGCAGGGAGTCGGCCCACTCGAGCATCCTGCGGTACAGCCCCTGAGCGAAGCTGAAGGAGGCGCGGTTGGTAGGGGCCACGCCATCACCGCTGTCGTAGTAGTCGTGCAGCATCTCGTTGATGAGTGGCGTCAGCCTGCACAGCTCCGTGAAGCTTTGACCCATGTAGCCCGGGAGTTCGAACGGCTCCGACCCGCCGTCAGCTCGAACAATGGTTGTGCCTGGGATCGGCAACCACGACGGTATATCGATGTAAGCGTACTGGTAGTTCATTCCGAGGAGCCTGCCGAGCAAAGAGACACACATTAGCCGACCGGGAAACAGCCCACACTTCGCCACCGCCATGCAAGCCTTTTGGATCGACCTGTCGGGGCCCGCCATATCGACGGGGGGGAAGAGAGAGGTTGATTGGATGCGTCATCCAACGGGAAGAGAAAGGAAGTGAGCAGCAGTAGCAGCAGCCGCAGCATTCTAGATAAAAGTATCAGACTCTCAAGAGAACTTACGTCGCCCTGCAGAAGGTTCCCCATGCTGTATGTGATGCAGCTTTTACAAAGTCGACGTGGTCATCCAGCCAGTTCCTAGCCGAATGCATCTTGCCCACTGCTAGCAGGCCATTCTGGTGGGCCAGCTCGATGCCCTCGACCAGATATCTGAGCGCCAGCTCGTTGCGGCCATGGCATGTCGCCGCGAGGCTGAGCAACTGAGTCGCAGCTATGTTGGGGATTGCGAATTGGTACTGTGGGTTCCCCGTGCTCTCTTCCCTATGTAGTCGCTCCGCCTCGGTGAAGAACGCATAGCTCAAGACGGCCGTCTCGGCTTCGATGTTCGAGTAACCTTGCTGTTTAGAAGATGGCTGATGTTAGCCGGCAGAGCCTGATGGCATCCGGACAAGGGACGAAAGAGACGGAGAACGTGTGTGTGTGTGTTTTTGTGTTTGTGTCGTAGTCTACGTACGCAGGCAAAACAAAGCACGGCGCTGAGAAGCAGGGGACTGCAAAATTCGGTCTTGTGGGCCACAAGATCGCCTAGGAACAGGTCTGCATCAAACAACCCAAGAATTGGATGGTCAACTGTCAAATAGAAGGAGATTAAGCTCGCCGCTAACTGGTTTGAGATGGAAATCTGAGTCCAGTTGCGGATCCTGATGTGTTTGAGCCGCTCGTCACATAGCTCGAGGGGGACGCTCGGTTCAGGAGATGAGGGCCGTCGGAAGCCTGCCTTGGTGGGTGAGGACCGGAGAGACGAGGGTCGTCGTGTAGAGGAGGGTCTGGGTCACATTGTCAGTCACCCGTGAGCAGTGGGACGAGACATACCGGATAGTTAGTCCCGAGGGGGGCTGGCTGTTGGGCCAGGGCCAGGGCCAGCCTTTTTTTTTCCCCCTCTCCCTATTGCCCTAAGTCCTTGGGTCCAGACCCATGGGGTCACGCCGGATAACACCGGGAAACAACCTACTTTCTGGAGCCAGTGGACTCCGATTCATGCTCTTGGTATGGTAGGACCCTGAGGCCCGACACTTCAATCTCGGGAGACTCAGCAGCAGTCACGACGGGGTATAGTATTGGGTGTCGGTGGATCAGCTCGAACTCGAGGCTTGTCCGTGATGGCGCCGGAATGCTTCGCGCCGTAACAACATTCTAAAGAGACCATGGAGAGAGTCAGAGCTCGGCTTGGAGATTAAAAAGAATTCACGGCGTGCGAGGGCCCTGAGCTTACGTCGTTGACTCGAGCCCCTGATCGCAACTGGATGAAGAGGGCCACGGCCTCGTCCTCCGGCAGGGTCTTGAGCCGGTGAAGAATGTCCCCATCGTCGCCGCCGTGGCCAGGGACCTTCCTAGGTAATTCATGCTGCTGCCGCAGCTGTTCCAACTCGGCCCGTTCCTCAAGAGTCATCTCTGTTCGAGGGCTGTAAACACATTCGGTGCCTCGCCGATTGCACGGTGAACATATCGGTTTTTGGCCATCACACTGCAGCAATGCGAAGAGGAGTCAGACATGTTCGGACAGGAGGAGAGTTGCTATGGACGATGGAGTCTTATGCATGGCCAGGGGGGGAGGAGGAAAATGGGGGAAGCCCGCCGAGGGCTGGCTGGCTCGTGAGCAGCAGCAGCAGTAGCAGTGCTGTAGTCGCAGCCACCAGCCAAGGCAGGCCTGTTTCTATTGTTCGAAGCAGCCCCCGTGGGCTGTTCCCCAAAACAACAGGGCGAGTCTCCGGCCACGCTACCGGACCCAACAAGTTCTCTTCGCGCAGCCAGCACGCGGTATACTTTTGTAAGGCTTACTCCCCCCGTCTTTGAACGAACAGGAGGGCAGTGTTCTTTTCATTGGTGACAAGGTGGCAAACAGGCCGGCTGCACGAGAATGATGGAATGTAGAGACAAGTAGTGGCCTGCGGCGGACAAGACGAGCCCATAAGGGCCGCCACGCCGAGTGACCAGACTGCATGGGCTTCGCAACAGTGGTTCTCTTGATGTTGGCTCCCTTCCGGGATCTGTGTACAACCAAATACCGGAACGGGGAGGGGAGCCATCGCATGTTGTCAGGGGCCGCCTCCTCAGAAGGCGTGAAGGCCGGAGCCCGTCCCGCCAATGAAGAGCGAAGAAATAACAGGAAGGCCATACCGCAGACTTTTTGGATCGACAGGCGTCGCACGCGAACCGACCCGCTCGCCTCTGTCTCTTCGGAGGAAGACCTCCTACTCCTCCCAGTTGTAACGGGCTACTTCCTCCCTCTCCAGAGCTGCCTCGCGTGCCCTGTTCCGGGGCGGGCAATATGCGAGGCAGCTTTTTCTTCCCTAACAACCCTGATGATGATGACATCCTTTTCTCGGGACCTTGGGACCTTGGGGCCTGGGGGACTTGACGCGCGCCGCCAACAGCTAGGAGGCCCCGGGAGATCTGGACTGATTCTTGATCCTGGTATGCTTTGCTATCTTTTTGGAATTAACCTAAGGGCCCCAGTCGGCGTCGAAGCCGATTCTCTCTCTCAGTCTCTTTCTCTCCTATCAATCAACTCACACTTCCCGCCCTACTCTGTCCGCGCGCGTGCCGAGTAGTGGCAAGTTGGCAGAAGCAAAAAGCCTATCAGCTATTTATCCCTCTTTTAAGGTTAACGGTGGGTGCAGCTGGTGATAATAGGAGGATATCGGGCGATGGTGGTGAGGGCTGCTGTTACACGCAATGCAAAGCCGAGCTGCCCTTGCGCAGTAACCGCCTCCCAAGCTGAAACTGACGTCCTCTTCGCCCCCTCTCGCCCTCTTGTGTCTTGCTCGAGTACGTAAGCAGACGCCCAGCCAATCATTGCCGTCTCCATCGCAAAACGTCACTTTGACTCGTTCGCCTACACTATCATTGCCGGCGAGCCAAGGCCCCCCCTTATTCCCGCCCACGAGCGGGTGTGCAGCGAGCAGAGGGGGAACTAGACCGTGGCGAATACTGTTACCGCCCTGCGTGGGCCAAAACTCTACAGGTGGCATCACGACTTTTTTCCGGGGAAGAAGGGCCTCGCCCCCTTTATTTTTTCGCCATTCCAATCATGGTCGAGCATCTCGCATTCTGCATTACTGTGAAACCCACCAAGAACTTTCAGCAACCTTACATGGGGTAGTGGGAGAATAAAACCACTGCTCCACCGAGATCAACATGCAAAATCAATTATCGTGGGACATGACAAGGCTGGGATGGCCAGTCGCAACAACAGGTGTTACGTGAGGACCGCTCCCGAGCGAGAAGATCCTGGGACAGATCGCTCGCATGAGAATAAACAACAGTCTTACCGGTCGATTCCCTTTTTCCAGCTCGAGGTTCGCAATAATCCAATATTGAACACGTGGAACTGGACGCCATTCTCGTACAGTTTGCACACCGAGTGCCATCGAAACATCGTCATGCTCGTGTGTAGAGTAGTCCATTGCCGAATTCTACCTACAGACCTGTCTATCTAGAAGTAGCCGCGTCCCCTACTCACTCCGTCCGAGGACCACGAATATTCCTCGCGACTGAGATACAGAACTTTTGGTTGCTGCCGACCATGTCGACGCGTGGAGGGGGAAAAAGAGAACAAAAGACACAAGAGAGATGGAGAGGGAGAAATAAAAGACGAAGCGATGAAGAACACGATGGCCCACGTCAATCGATCTCGCTCCTCGGTTTTGAATCGGTGAATCACCCTTTCCTTTCCCTCTCTCTGACAGAACTCGCCTCTACGGGCAGTATCGTGCTGTATTCCTAGTGACTGATATGACTTCAAAATCCCCTAGATTCGAGAGATGAAGAAAAAACGCTGCGCGAAGAAAGTGTCGTCTGCCATGCCAATTACACTAGCTTTTGTCTTGCCAGTCAACCAACCTACTCCCATAGCGACTCAATTTTGACAGACGATTCGGTCTTCGCAGGCGATAAAATCCAGAAAAAAAAGAAAATTCAATCAACTGTCAACTGCTGTTTTCCCAGCGAGCGCGCGCTCTCTGTCCTCTTGCCCCAATCCGCCTCGCTCCTTTCCAGCAGGGGGGTATCAATGCTACTATGCCGGGCTCCATGTTATAACGCCTCGTTGCCGACAAGCAGCTTCTCCCTAAAAGGAGTAAAGCAAAATAATCCAACGCCACTGCTTCTTGTGCCTCCTCACGTCACATACCCACCCCATCATGTACATCATACCACAAATTGGGTGAAAACCATCCCGGCGGCTTTCAGAGAAGAAAAAAGATTGGGAACCCGTGGTTCTGCTTAAAAAAGAAAACCGAACAAAATAAAAATAAATGAATAAACACTATCTGCCGCCGTTCAGCGCGCGAGGCGAAGGCGTCGACGATGGCAGGCGGCTGCTGCTGAAGCTGCACCTCCCGTGCTCGTGCTCTTGCTGGTACTGATGCTGGTTGAGCACGCCGTTGCCGACCATGCGCGCCTGGTTGGCCAGGTACTGCTGGATCAGGGAGTCGTCGCAGTTGCCGTGCGAGAGCAGCTCATTCTTGAGCAGCAGCACCTCCTCGCGCAGCCCCTTGGCCGTTATGGACAGATGCTGGTGCTGCGAGCTCATGGCCCGCTCCGTCGACTCAAGGTCCGCCACCGCCAACTTGGTCTTTACGCGGCACTTTGTGGCCGCTGCGCCGGAGCCCTCTCCGCGCGTGCGTCTGCCTCGTTGCTAGTTAGAATCTGGCTCTCGGGGGCCGGGCTGTCCGGGATGACAATAATGCTGTTCTCTGGTGATGGTGTGACAGCTGGGGATGCCAAGGCGCCCCCGTTGTAGCCTGCCGTTGCCGTTGAGTCCATCCTGGTCATTTTCCGTGACTCCAGCTTTTGTTGTCTCGCAGACGAAGATTTCTTGCTTTTACTCGAAGATTCCTGTCTCGAGAATTTCGTGCTTGCCCGCGGGTTGTCACCTGGGCTCGCTGCGTGTTCTTGCACGGATTCGAATTGCGCGTCGAGCTGGGCCATCGCGACCGAATTGGCTCTCAATGTCGGTGGGGATGAGTAGCTATTGTTCCTTGAAGAATTTGGCCTAGGACCGCTGCAAGGTGACGACGTGTAGTGGCTGCTCTGGCTCTGACTGGGCGACAATGGTACTTGTCCCATGGGCCGAGGATGCCATTGCAATGGTTCGAAACCACTGATTCCCGGCATTGATTCCACTGTAACATACTGGGCCATGGGACTTGCCATTGCCATAGCGTCACCGCTCATCATAGGTGGATTTGTCCGCTTGTTCTGATCCCACAAGGCCAGGGCCTGTACTCCGTTTCCCTCGCTGCCGATCATTGCTGGCGCGTCACGGGGAAAATGACCCCCAACATCGACCAGAGACCGATCCCAGACATATTGACCGCTGTTGTCGGTCTGGCACAAAGGCGAGAACGCCAGAAGAGACTGGTCCACAGCGCCGCTGAAGCCGAAGAAGGTTGGGTATGTTTGGTAAAAATGGCCATCGGGAGGGTATTCGTAGAGCGGTGTTGTCATTGGCGCATCTTGTGGTGTTGTATGGGCATCGGCTGAAGAAGCTGCGCGCGTGGGAGGCATTCTGTCTACCGCTGATATCGCACCCGGATCCGAGAGATACGCAGACCCGGGGTTGTGCCAGGGATAGTCATCTAGGCGTGACATCGAGCCTTGCAACAACTCGTCCCAATGTCGCTGTGGCTCCGGTTTTCGAGTCTGTTGGCGATTTTCGCCGGAAGGAGGGTGTCACAGCCTGTGGTGTGTATCTGTGTGTCTGTCTCTCTCTCTCTCTCCGTGTGTGTGTGTGGGTGGGTTTGTGGGTATGTGAGGCTCGTGAGGTAGCCTGCCTCCTGTGTGGGCGTGGGCGGTGGTCTCAATGTAAGTGTACTCGTCGTCTTTGTCACTGAACACAACCGCTTGGGCTTGAAAGGTCACCACTATCACCTGCTTGGTCCGCTGGTGGCTTCTGGCCGGAGTATGGTTTTAGCGCAAGATAGGGTTAGAAGCGGTTTGACTCAAGGCTCTTCCCGCTGGAGACTTGTGTCCGGATCCAGTCGAGAAGGCTACTATCTCTGGTGAAGGGACAGTGAGGCCCCAATCTATACGGCTGGCGAGTGGTCAGACGGAGACTATGTCAATGCAGGTCTGAGGAAAGACGAACTATAGGGACGGGCAAGGGCAAGGACTACGAAGCGCAGTGAACAACATCAGCACTCCCACTTGGGCAGGTTATAACGCAGGGCAGATGACGAGGATATATGCCACGCAACGTACCTTGTTGTCTTCCCTGGCCAACTGGGACTGTCCATGGGCTAGCAAACACTAGCCCTACAACCGGACGGTCTTTGAGGACTTAGTCTCTAGGTCACCACTCAGGGCGGCACACTGTGCAATAGGCTAAGGGACCAATATGCAGCGTGGTGTGGTGGTGATGGTGGTAATAGCGGGAATGGTGTTGGTGATGTTGTGATTGCGGTAACAGTGGGATGGGGAATAAAACCGAGGGGCTTCAAACGTCGGCATGGGTTCCGGGCCAGCTGTGCCCGCTCAGATCAAGGGTCAGCCCTTCAGTGTGACCCGCAATCTGCAGCAGACAGGTGATACAGGACTAGGATCGAGAACAGGGCCAGGACCAGGTTCAGAACCGGGCCCGGGGCCAGACCCTGAACCGGAATCAGAACAGAACCAGGACCACAATCGGGAACCGGCGGAAACTAGGCAAGTTGGCAGACTGGCATGCGAGAGAGGGGGGCGATCCCCTTCGGTTTTCCAAAAGCTGCCAAGAGAACGGGCGCCAGCGGGTACCAGGTGCCTGTGCGAGTGGAGGGAGGGCGGAGATTTTGCTGGAGAAGCTGCTAGGCGCACCGACTGAGCTTCCAAGGCGCAGAGGTGGAGCCCCTTGGACCCTGGAGCTGGAGCTTGAACTGGATGGAGGGAGGAGTAGAGGGGAGAGAGGGCCTGGATTCGTGACCAGGGATGCTCGTGGTAGGACCCGTACCGACAAGTGACAGCTGCGCCCTCAAAGTCAATTCGATTGTCGAGGATCCGGATACCACCAAAGGGGAAGCCAAGCTGGATGCTGGTACTTTGGGGCAGTCCAGATGTCTGGCTGTCGTGATATTGATGGACGCGAAGTGATGAATACTTGAGGGACAAATTACGACAGCAAGTGTTTGTTTGTCCTTGTTCCTCCCGAGAACGAGGGTCTTTTGCCTCGTCCCGGCAGCTGATTATTATTATAAGTTCACCGTGGCGGATTCGCGAGGGAGCGCGAGTACGAGCGAGGGCGATACTGCCGGTGGGCCTGGACATGGAGCCAGTCTCAGAAGCCGTCTCTTCTGCAAGCAAGCAGCTCTTGCAGACCGAGACGACCAAAGGCCACGGCCGGAACGTCTCCTATCTCTTGCTCGACCGGTGTGGTGGCAGTTTTTCTTCTTCTCTTCAACCTGGTAACTCACCGACCGATCTAGCCACTACAGCCGCCCAAGGTACGGGTTGCGGGTGCCCTGTGCCTCTGTAGTCCCGGGCAAGTCGATCAGGACATTACTTGGCAGAGGGTTACGCAGTGCCGTTAAGTTGGGCTGCCGATGATTGGCCACCGGAGCGACTCCGGAGGTTAGGGCTGATTGGACGGGCGGACGGGCGGACGGCGAGACAGACGAGGGGGAGGTGGGAATTGAAGTGGAAGCGGAAGGGGGCGTGCCAGAGGCTAGAGACACGGTGCCAGTCCGGTGCCAGTCTCGAGCCGGTGTACTATGTGACTATGCGACTATGCGGCGGCATTTGACACCAGCACGTTCCGGATCCGGATTCTTTTCGTCTTTCACAGGAGCGACTGAACAGGTCATGACATGTAGACAAGACATGCAGACAGGACAGAGTGACCAGGACAGATGGGACCAGGCCAAAGGGACTACGCAAGAGGAACCACGCCAGGAGGCGAACCACGGACCTGCGTAAAATACGTCACAGGGAAACAGTCCGGCGGAGCCAATCAACGCCCGCGGAATGCTCTCCGGAGTCGTGGCCAATGAGAGGGATTAGCTGTGAAAGCCTGATAATTGCGATTTCGTTTCTCCTCAAGTGCTATGGCCAAGTGGCGGTAGACCATCCCGGCAAGCGAGGTATTCTACCACACATGTTTGTCTTGGAAAACCGATGACCATTTGGATGGCGAATTCCAAGATCTCGATGGGCCGAGATGGGCATGCGAGATATCTCAAAGCAACGACAGTCTGTCGATGAATGGGAACCCGGGCAAGAATTAGAGTTTCCCTTGCTACGCGAGGCCGCCCCCAGGGGCGAGCAGAGTGGTCCCTGGACAGACGATAAAATACTGCTCGCTGCCTCCCACAAACAGAAACAAGGACCACGAAACAAGCTCCCGAAAAGAAAGAGAAAAATAAAAGGGGGTCCTTGACCTGGTCGACAGATTTCTGTAGGCTTTCAGACGGACGGGTTTCCTAACATTTTTGCTTTATCCAGGCCGACCGAATTGACCATCTCCAATATTTCTGAGCAATTGCTGTCAGAAAGTTCATGTCCGGGGCAGAGCAGAACCCAAGCGGGTGCCTCTGTGGGTTGGTAATTACTGCTAAAACTAGGCGACGATCTGCCACAGACTCTACCAAGATACGGCACACACGCCACTGCAAACCCTTGATTAACGACTCGACAACGTTACTATACAAAGAAACAAAATCCTTCTCATGCTGTTTTGATGACGGACAAGAAATTTGAAGTTAGTTTTTGAAGAATCAAGGGCGCTGGGAGCAGCAATGTCCATCGTTGTCAAGCCCTTATGGACTGAACGGCCCCTCCGTTCCAAGGTTTGCAGAGCAACTCAGCAGCTTAACCTCTTCCCAGGTTTCGGCCACAGAGGCTCTATGTTGGATCACATCGCTGCTGAACCCTGCGACATGATTTTCCAAAATAAAAAGTGAGACATCATGTCCTGGATGACTTCCATGTGAATTCCGTGTCGATCTTATCTGGTTTACCAAAGTATGTAGCCCTGGAGACTGCAGCAGATGCAGCAGTGCCTTGATCAATGGTCAACAGTCAGCATCATCTGTCCCTCCGTTCCACGCCTGGATCAGGCATCATCCCTCTCACGAATCATCGCCTCTAGCCCTGATCCTTCCGTCGCATCATCAGATCAGGAGATTGCACTTGCTGCATAACGGTAAGAAGCAACTATTCGCGGAGAAGGGCGTGCTAATCTGTATACGCCAGACTTCCAAACGCAGCTGGCGAGAATCCGTGCTTGTTTGGCACTGCGTGTACATCACGACACGCCTGCGCCGTGATTCTTGCCGGCATAACTATGTATTCTGCACTACTTACATTGGAATATGGCCTTGCAGGTTACACATGAATTCACATCAAAAAACAGTCAATTGCCCGTCATGTTAGATCTCTGGCCACTCCGGTTGCACTGAAGCCCCTCATCCGACGACACGGCATTTGCTGCTCTACCTCGCTCATCGCAGGCCGAGCCTCTCGCTTACACTCTCTTGATTTCCCACTCTTGCTCTCTCACACACACACTTTTGTTCTACACATACGAACAAATGAAGACACACACAAACACCCAGCCTCTCTTCCTCCTTGGATAACAAGGTTGTCCGGCTGCTCCCCGCCCATGTTCGAGAACAGGTTCCATTCGTCAACGCTCCCCCTAGCCCCCATAGCCTGCGAAGTGGCAGTCTAGTAGCGCATGGTACTTCTGCAGACGAGGCTAAAAGACAAAAGCCATGCTGCGCATCAGCCAAGATGCGTGCGACAAACATGGGAGTCCGACAGCATGCAGCCATTTTCCCATCACACTCCCAGGGTGGTAACGCCCATGCCACGTCTAACCACGTCCGGAGCAGGACCCCGATGCGGAAATCCCGGTCATACAGCACAGTACCTGCTCATTGAGCCGCTGGTGAGCGGGCCGGGGACTGGGCCCCGTTGTGGAACGGACTTGAGAAGCACCTGGGTCCTGCGCAGCGTCCCCCAACTCTTCTGTCTCGGGCTAAGGATCGCTTAATCCACTGCACCACACCATTCCATGGGTCTTCTGGACGGTGAGCAGCCGCAAGTCAAGGAAAAGAATGACGTGGTCTTCACCCACGGGGGGCGAATTGTTTCTCGCCTCAAGTCAATTTGCTCGATGATCTTCTGGATCTCACCTCTTGGAGATTGTAATGTTCGCGGCAAGCGTGGTTGTCGTAGCTACCGCAGCATGGGGTCGCGGCACGCTGTGCCGCTTGAATCAGAAAATTCAAGATAATGCCACAGCCTTTCAAACATAGATAGGGTTTGGGTTCCGCTCACTAATATGTCTCTAGATGCATTACCAACTCAGTTACGAGCCCTGAGTGCCGGAAATACCTGTATACACGCGTTTGCATGTAAATATATATATGTGTGTGTGTATGTGTATATATACACATGTACATATATGTATATATGTATATATATGCCAACATTCACTTGTGTATATATAAGCACGTACCACTTCGCTTGATGTCCGCCTCGTCCCATGTGTCGCAACGCTATCATCAAGGTTCCCAGCGGCCTTGTTGGCTCGGCTGTTGGTTTTTATTCACATCTTGCCAAAAGGCCCGGACCAATTCATCGCTTTCCGTTCGACCACATCCCCACCAGCTACGAGAGACCCGCATCAAGAAAGGGCAAGACGAGCAAAGCAGAATCTCTTTGTATAGTAGTAAGATAGTATCTTGAGTATATGTTCCAGCACAAACTGGATGTGGATGGCTGACAGGGAACAAATGGAAGGGGAAAAAAACACATAAAAACAAGGAATGCTGGGCCTGTCTCAAGCGGGTCCCAGACATCTCGACAGCCAAACAAATTTACACGTCATACATCGTCACTGAGAAAACATCATGCGTTCGTGATAGAGTTTTGCTAGGATGTTCACTCCTGTCGCGTGGGGGGTGGGTTCCGTCGCGGGCATCGACAAAAGCCGCCGCGCATCTGCCATTGCTGGACAATAGCTGGCTGGCTGGATTGATGGGTCTCTGCACGAGGGGAATCCATTTGTTTGACAAAAAGGCGCCCAGAGTAGCCAGCCAGCCAGCCAGGCTGGATGGATGGATGAACAGGTGGTTGAATGGATGGATGGACTGCCGCCAGCCGTCAACTACTGGGACTCGGACCCCGTCGCAACCAAGCGAGAGAGGTTAGGCATCAAAAACCCAGCCCCGTGGAAGACAAAGCCCACGTCCCCTTTCAGCCCCCCCTCCCCTTCCACCGCCTGCCTGAACAACGAAACAACAACACCCCCTTCAGAGCCGCAGAACCCTATTCCGTTGTCGCGAATGCGGACACCCTACACTGCCCCCTCGAGGGAATCAGCCACGGCCAGCCGTATAATACGGCCGCCTGTTCGGGAGGCATCAATACACAAGGACAGCCTGCCCACCCACAGGACAACAATACAACAAATCACTGTTCAGCGAGTGCCCCCTCCTCCACCTTCCCAGCACCCAGCCGAGCTGGACGGCAAGGAGAGATTTCACGCGGCCATCGCGACTCGAATATAAAGTCACATGCCACGAACAATCAAGGTAGATATATAGATGCATACAATGCCATGATCGTTGAGAGTAGAACGAGATTGTCCACCGTGTCATCAAAATTTCGCGCGTTTCCATCTATGTCTCATCACTGTCTACATGTGAGCAAGCAGCCCAAAACTTCCTAGGTCGACGAGGCCATCAGGCCTGTCTCTGCCCATCCTATCCAATGCACAACGTCCAGCGACCCAGGGGGTGGTCAGCAACGTTGCGCAGCCATGACCGCGCCCCTTCCCTTTCCCATCCCCGGATACGCTCACTCCAGACGCTGCGTATCAAGCTTGTCACTCCCACTCCCTGCCTGTTGCTGGAACGACCATTCGCTTCCCTCCCTATGCGCCCAGGAAGGCAGTCTGTTCGCTCCTACATAGAGCTGCTCGTTCCCGCCCAGAGAACTCCGAGGACTTTGTCTCGTTATGACGGTCCCATACTATTACCATCTGCAGCGGGCTGTCCATCGCAGCCATTCATCCTCTGCCAACTCATCAACGCCACACGGCCCGATTCAATAGCCGACGCCTGCGTGTCACCATCCCGAAGTGTGCCCCAGACCATCCCCATTTGCGTGTCAAGAAAAAGGCAGTCCTACAGGTGCGGCATTCTCCGGATTAGTTAGTCAACGATAGGTGAGACGGAAACATACTCTGGCCGTGCCCAACCCCTCCCCGCGGAGTTCCAGCACTCAACAGGGCAGACCCGCTCCCAGAATCACTTGCTATACACCCTCTGGCCGTCTGACAACCGGCCCTCGCCGGATGACCTTCCTGCCGCAGCACAATCTTCTGCCGACCCACGCTTCTGAGGTCTGGTGATGATGACTTCCTTCCCGGTGTAACAGGGCCTAACCCACAACGACCGTCGCTGCGGCTGTTGGTTCGGACCCACAACCCTCCATTTTCCATCAATCCTGACAAGCATTTGTCCATAAGCCCTGCCTGCCGGCCTTTGCCAAGTTTCTGTTCGCTCTGGCAGCCCGGCACGACACGCCCTTGCCCAGACAGAAGCGTCGATCATGGCAATAGTCGTGACGACAAAATATTTCCCAGGTTGCTTTTTCCTTCCTTGGACGGAGGCTTCTTGACCAACAGGCCCCCATCTTTCCCTCCCCTCCCCCATCCTCCTGCACGATTGCCCCACCGCCCGTGGCGACTTCGACGGCATGCTGAACCCCGGGACGTCGGGCCTTCCGCCTTGCTTCCGACTCCCCTGATCGACGTTCAACGAGGTCGACGAGTACCCACGCGAGTCCCAGATCCCGAATTCCCGACGGCGTGAGACAAAGTTCTGTCCAGGTCGAAGCTGCCTAGAGTTGGATGGGAAGGGTATTTTCGGTCGTGTCCCCACAAAGGCAGAAGGGCCGAACGGTCACCGTCCGATGAGACAGTTGAGGGGTTGAAAAATAGTGGGAAGAAAGAGTCCAAATTCCAGCTCGTGCTGTCCGGTCCATGGCAATAACCACCTCGACAACAAGGACAAGCGTCCCAGTACCGGCTTTGAGGGTCCTCAAGCTCCAAACCAGCGGTCGATCATCGGAACGGGGAATATTAGCAGGCTTAACGACGATGAGAGGGCTTTGATGGACGGGGCAAACAACGACTCCAGCAGTGAAGATTCCGCGGCCCAATAAGACCGCACCAGATGTCTCACAAGCTTGGTCTAACCTGACCCAGCCCCGCCATAAGCCACATTTCATTGCGCGCTGAGTTGATCCCCCCGAGCCCCTGCATGGGTTCAGGCAGAGATACAGATGGTCCTGCTGGGCGGCTACGCCGGGAGCGACACGGGAGCCAAAACGTGGCGCCGTGCGCAACGTCTTCACATCGCCTTGAAGCAGGAAGAGCGGTTCATGGTTCCATCTTGGATCCGTACCTGCTGTCCGCGAGATAGGCAGGAAGGCGGAGAAGAGTCTTAACTCCGGTGAGGTGGTTGGCAGCTTGCCCATCGTCGGTAGTTGGAGTGTTGAGCAGGCATGGTTGGGTGTACACGACCATTCTGCCTTAGCCTCTCTTCGTGGTATTCACCACAACTGGAATGTGTTTGCGACCTCTTTGATATTGGCAAGCAAGCTGACAGCCTGACGTCAGGCTCTTTGTAGCCGTGGACTTTCTCTCGACAGTCCCTCGCACGGCATCTACCGTGTCTAGCTGCCACAAAAGCCTTTTCGACCTCGGAGACTGATATAAACGAAATCAAACCTTCGAATACCATAGACAGAAAAGGATTATGCCACTCGGCATGATTCACATCCCCTAGACCAACCCGAATGATGCGAGTCGATCCAATTTCGAGTTACAAGATGGCAAGAAAGGTGCGAGAAGAGACTGCGATGATAGAAAGAGCTCGGATTCTTTACGTGGGACATTCACAAGACATAAACGAAAGAGGAGGAAATACACACGTGGAGGGTGACAGAAGAAGACTGTGTTGCGTACAAACACTCTATTTGAATATGTTGCCTGGTTCGGAGGGAAAGACAACCAGGTGCAGGAGCCGACGGGAGTAACAAGACTACTCCCTGGACAGGGCGAGACTTTCCCGTAGTCGACTCTGCCGGCCGTCAGTCAACTATGGCTAAACTGCGGCAGAAGAGAACCGTAGGGCACTCAGCTGCCTCGATAACGAGGCCGTGCCGCTTTTGGCACCCGGGCTTCTGATAGCCCATCAGGACCAGGTCGAGGCTGGCCCTGTTCCCACTTGTCCCCGAGACCTCGTTCGGCACCTCTTAACCATGCGCCAGTGCCTGGGTTAGAGGTTGGAGGTTGGAGGGTGGTTCCAGCATGCATGGACACTACTTCGCCCTCCCTTGACCTCCAGGCTACAGCCAGTATGATCGAATCTGGGACGACGTAAGCAGAGTGTTCAAAGGCCACCAGTGGCGAAGCATTGGGTTGCCTACCTGGCTAGACGACTCGAACACACCACGAAACGTGGGATAGGTGGACGAGTGGACGGATGGGTTGTGATGATGGACACCCAACCGTCCTACCATGTCTCGTCACCGCCAGCCATCCAGGTCATCTTGGACTCCCTCCTGTCGGCAGTGGCCTTGGAGTCGAGGCGTTGGAGACGGGCTTTGGCGATGGCGCAGGCTTCGCAGTGGTGTGTCTTGTTTGCCTTGCCCTTGCGCGGGCTGGCAGCGTCCATCTGCCCGCAGTACTTGTGGGGACGAGTAGCTGTCCAGTTGGCTGGTGGCTGATCTGAGGAGTGGGTCGGCTTGACCTTTGTCTTCTTACCCATGGTGGCGTTGATGACTTGCTGAACAAGTTAAGACGATATATAGGTAGGTGTAGGCTGAAAAGCGTAGAGAGAAGGGGGTCTAGAAATGGATGTAGGCGAGTGGATGGGCGGGAGACTAGAGTGTTGTGGTGAAAGAAGATCTGAGTGCGTCGCCACCGTAGTGAGAAAGAAGATGGAGGTTGAAATAAGCACCGCTGCCAGGCTGCTGCACAAAGGGACGTAGATGCTTCTTCTACCCCGTCCCGAGCCTCTCGGGAGTCTCCTCTTCAGCCCCTAGTCGAGGACCCTGATCTGCAGGTGGCGAATTGACAAATACGATGACTCGGATTTTAGCACAAAGGCATATTCCGCCGGAAGAATGCTCCGTGATACCGTCTCTGAATCTGTGGTGTGTCTCTGTCGGCGGTCAGGATGGAGATGGCAAATGGTAGAAATGCCCCGACTTGGGGTGCTTACTGCGTAGTATGTGCAGTGTAACGGAGTCCAGAACCCTTGCCAAAGTCAGCCCAGTCAGCCCTACGTCATACTCGACTATCTGAGTGCCCAGGTGCCTAAATAGATAACCTATTGTTCCCAGCCCTGTGCCCTGTTTGGTTGGCGGTTTGGGTCATCCCTGGTGGGGAAAAAGCCGTGCACGAGCCAACTACCAGCAGTGCCTTATCTTATCAGAGCCAACGGTTTTTTTATCTCATCAGTGCCCTTGCCCACCTGAGTACCAAAGTACCTGCCCTCCTAGTCCAGGCGGGTAGGTACAAGCAGAGCTCTGAGCTTGCACCCGCGTTTGGCTTCGACTGCAACGCGTGTGATGATAGTCACAACTTTCCTCTTCACCTTCACAGTCACCTCCACTTTCGCCGCCGTCATTATCACCACCTGTCACCCCACCCCTATAGCCCTCACCGTCGCCCTCACCACCTCCCAACTACTTTGCCCCCCCCCCCCCAATGGCCCGCCCTCCTGTTCGTGAGCTGAGCAGCTACCTGCTCGCCGGCCAGCTTCACCACCACGGCTGTCTGCATCTCCGCCTCCGTCCTCGTCGTCCGCCACGCCTCCACCCAAATGTCCTATCTGCAGGTCAAGCCACTCCTGTCGCAGCCAGGCGACCATTCTCCCGGTCGGCCCTTGACCTGCACTCCCAGACCAACTCATCTTCCGCAACAGCCTCGCAACATGAGCCCGAACCTGGGTCTGAGTCTGGGTCTGCCACTGGTCCTCCCCCTCCCCACAGCGCTGTTCCCCTCCGCAAGAAGCTCAAGAGCATGGACAAGGCCCTCAAGGCCTCTGGGAACAAGAAGACCCCCAACGCCTTCCGCCAGAGCGTCCAAGGCTGGGAGCTCACCGTCGGCATCGAGATCCACGCCCAGCTCAACACCCCCCACAAGCTTTTCTCGCCCGCCAGCCCGCCACTGCCTTCTGATGAGCCCAACTCTCGTGTTGCTCTCTTCGACCTCGCCATGCCCGGGTCCCAACCACTCTTCCAGGCCGAAGCCCTCGTTCCCGCCCTGCGAGCCGCCCTCTCCCTGAACTGCGACATACAAGCCGTCAGCAGGTGGGATCGCAAGCACTACTTCTGGTGGGACCAGCCCAGCGGCTACCAGATCACCCAGTACTACGAGCCATTCGCAAAAGACGGGCACATTACACTCTACCAGAGGGACGGAATTGCCACAGAGGACGGCGAGCAGGTGCGCGTAGGAATCAGGCAGGTCCAGATGGAGCAGGATACGGCCAAGACCATCGCCCGTCCGGATGGTGTCCAGTGGGTTGATTTCAACCGAGTCGGTGTGCCACTGATCGAGGTCATCACCGACCCCGATATCCACCACCCAAAGACGGCTGCTGCCCTGGTCAGGAAGGTCCAGATGTATCTCAACGCAGTCGACGCCTGTGTCAGCGGCATGGAGTCCGGTGGCCTCAGAGCCGATGTCAACGTCAGCGTCAGGCGGAAGGATCACCCCTTGAACGACAGCATGCCTTTGGGCCAGAGGACCGAGATCAAGAACTTGAGCAGCTTCAAGGCCGTCGAGGATGCAATCATTGCCGAGCGGGATCGCCAGATCTCCGTGCTCATGGACGGTGGCGTCATTGCCGGCGAGACTCGTGGCTGGTCCATTGGCGGCACTGAGACAACGCGCCTCCGTGGGAAAGAGGGCGAGGTCGACTACCGCTATATGCCGGACCCAGACCTGGCACCGGTGACTATCAGTGAACAAGTCATAAACCACCTCGGTGAGAATCTGGGCATGCTGCCTGATGCCGAGATTGACGACCTTGTCAGCCAGTACGGCCTCAAGACGAAAGACGCGTTGGCACTGGTACAGCTGGACGATGGTCGCCGGCTTGAGTACTTCTATAATGTTATCCAACGCCTGCAGGAACGACTCGGTGATCAATGGCACCCGGACTGCGCCGTTGTGGCCGGCAACTGGGTTCTCCATGAGCTTGGCCGCCTCACCTCGGAGCGTAACGCCTCGGCAGACGGCACGGTCCAGACCCTTGACATGTCAACAGACGGCGAATGCGCCCGTGTCCCAGCAAAGCACCTCGCCGACATCCTGTACTTCCTCCACACTATGCGTATCTCCGCGCGCGTCGCCAAGGAGCTCCTCTTTGCCGTCTACCGTGGTGACCTCAGCGGCGCTTCAACCGGCAGCTACGCCAGCGTCGAAGAGGCCATCCAGAAGGAGAACCTCTGGTTCAACTCGCTGTCTCGGGAGGAGTACCACGACCTGGCCGTCGAGACGGTCAGTCAGAACAAAAATATGCTCAAGAATTTCGTTCTCCACTATTCAAAGGGCCGCGAATACCCCACGGGCCAGCTGATGTTCTTCGTCGGAAAGATGATGCGCACCGGACCCGCGGAGCGGATGGATCCCCAGGTTGCCCGGGAGGTGTTGGAGCAGGTGGTGGAGAGGGTGTGCAAGGAGACACCGGAGAGTCTCCAATGATGGATTCGACCTTGATCTACTGGTCAATTACGAGCATTTCCGTCCTATCGACATTGAACCGCGATGACGATGAACTGCCGTGACACGACAGTTCTCTCCCTTCGCAATCTATCTTGCAAATCTTGTGGGTCTTGTCCAAACGTCTCTTCCGCGTACCTTGAACGCTGTTTTCATAGGGCCGACCTACTCTCCTGGCCCACCACCACGTACATAGAAAGGACATGGCCTCAGGATTGACAGCTATACCCCAAGCCACTTGTTTGCATGCTCTTCCCATCGTATTTACTGAGGCTCGTTCCTATCTGCCCCGGCCACGCAGACATATTGACGATTGGCACCATAGATACAACTTCGTGTCTCCAGCCAGGCAATGGCTCGCGTTCTAGCTGTAATCGTCAATGCGGCCGGCGCCGTCATTTTTTACAGCAAGTGGCAGGTAAAATACCGCACACCCAATCTACGAGCAGGCAGGCCCGTACAGCGCATGGGCACGGCACGATAACACACAGGCGCGTGTGGGTCTCGGTTGATGGTAGCGCGCTAGGATGAGCAGGCTGCGCTTCCGCAGCCTGGCCGCGGATCGTGCCATCCCGTGGCCGATCCGGCTACCAGCAGCAGGCCAGGCCAGCCCGGGATGGCGGGTCGACCACACTCGCATGGTATTCCACTCCAGCCTTGCCTTGCCTAGCCTTGCGTCCCTCGGCCATCACTGTCGTGGGGGCTGTGGAGCTGCTCTGCAGTGTAAATAAACTTGCTGTGCTGTAGGCTCATTCGGCCATGGCCTGTAACTGGCATCCTCCCTGGACATACGGAATGGCTTCTTGGCTTTGGACGAAGCTAACAAGGGTGTCAGTCACGTTAGCATCAAAAAGGGCAAGAGGAGCTGAGTTCTGTTGGGATTCGAATCTGCTGACCAGCAAAAGGAGTATCACATTACGCACACGACTTTCACGACCATGACCTTCTCCAGTCAATTACCGTGGGAACATGGATAAAGGGTGGATAGCGGACCCTTGAACCTAGGCAATCTATGTTGCTTCGACTGCGCCATTACCACGCGGCAAAGGCCTGATCTTGACCAGTCTTATTGCGAATGGATGGTTTTAGCAAACTACGGAAAACTATTCTTCCCATCTCGACTCATCAAGCGTTCAGGCGGCTGTCGACGTTTCGGTGCCATCCTTGTGCGATGAGAGTCGAGTCTGCAAGATTTCGAGACTCCGGGCATATGCACGACACGTCTCGTCAAGAGACTGGTCTGTGCAATTGTCTGTACAATGGTCCGCCCTCTGCCCCAGCGATTCAGGTCGTCCATTCCCTAGCTACGGGAATATTCCATACCCGCCGGCCCTCAAGGGCGTAGGTCTCAGAGCTTCTCCTAGCCTCAGTCACATCCGATCCACTAGTGACCTTGCTTGCTACGCCCACGGGCAAGACCACATCGATTCCGTTGTCGAGCCACAAAGGTTGCCACTTCAATCCTGTGCCGCCCTTCTCCCTCTGGCTGGTGCCCCTGATGGTGCACTTGACCTCGATGCCAGCTTCATTTGTCTTTTCCTTGCTAAAGCCGATACTCACGGTGTACTCCAGAGTGAGGGTGCAACGCTGGACGTCTGCAATATGTGAGGCACTGATGCCGTCGTCTTCGTGCCAGGTGGTTTCGAAGGCTACCTTGCGCGGGGTACTGAAGCCAAATTGATCCTCCTCGGCGCCGTCGCTGTTTGGTGACCCAACAAGGGGAGGATAAATTTCCACTCCACGCCAGTCATCTTTGTCCTCGTGAGGGAACTCGGGATCTTCATAGGGAGACGATGTCGTGTGGCGGTTCTTGCCAACAGGTATAGCGCTACCAACCCGTGCCAATACCGGAATGTGGTTTGGAGCCGGCCGCCCGTCTTGACTTCCGTTGATATCCAAAGCAGCAACGATGCGTTGCCACCCGCCAGAAGGCAGGAATCGACCCCCTTCCTGAGCCTTGGTGTTGAAAAATCCGAACCTGGTCGTGGGTGTTGCGTCCTGGTTTGAGAATCGGACAACGTCGCCTTTCACGTCGTGACCAGAGTCGTTGGAAGACGGCAGATATACCCGTACATGTTCTTGTGCGGGTTCAAAGACCCCAGCAACTAATAGGGCGTCCCCAAGCCAGTACTGAGTTTCGCCGTCCTTGACCTCCTTTGTCCAGACGGTGTCATCGCTCTCGTAGCCCCATCCAGTCCATCGCTGCGGCGGCACGGCCGTAAGGTGACTCTTGATGCTCAACGAGTACATATACGGCAGCAGCTCATATCTCCGCTTGATGGCTCTGCGGATCAGCTCCGTCGACTCGGGGTACTGCCACGGCTCGATCACCTCGCCGACGAGGTTGTCCTCGGGCGACGTCTTGTAGCAGTTGATGGCAAATCTGGGCGAGTACACGCCCATCTGCACCCACCGCACGAGGTGCTCCGGCGTGGGCTGCGGGCCCTCGAAGCCGCCGATGTCGTGGCCGTAGCACTGGATGAGCGAGAAGCCCGCGTTGAGCGCCAGCGCGTTGCTGCCCCTCATGCCCTCCCAGCTGGTCACGTTGTCGCCGCTCCAGCTGGCACAGGCATACTTCATTGTGCCCACCGTTGCGCTCCGCGTCAACACCATCGGCCGCACGTCCGGCTCGGCGTCCACGCACGCTTGCCATGAGCTCTTTCCCATCAGCTCTGTGTTCGCCGCGCGGCCCCAGAGGCCGATGCGGTTGTCACCATTAGCCGGGGCATTGGTGTGAATGGTCTCTATGTCTTTGGGCAAGTCCAATGCGCATTCCCAGGTGTCGTTGGGGGTGTTGTACTCGTTGTTGTCGTTCCACATAGCATCGATCCCAACCTCCTTCAGGCTCTTGCACCCGTCGTACCACCACTGGTATCCGGCCTTGCTGGTGAAGTCGACGTGGCTGCCCTCGCCGCTCTCGCCACCGCCCGCGCTCCACAGTCGTGCCACCGCCGTCTTGCCGGTCAGGGGGTCCTTGAAGAACGCACCTGCCTCTGACAGCTTTTGGTAGTCCGGGTGGTTCGCCAGTACGTACGGCTTGATATTCGCCAAGATCCTGACACCCCTTTCGTGGCATCTCCTGGTGAAATCCCTGGGGTCCGGGAACCGGTGGCGGTTCCACGTGAAGACGTTCCTCGTCTTGGGCGGCGTCTCGGAGACGGTATACCCGGAGCTCATCTGGTGCGCCGAGACGGGTATGTCCATGTCCTTGCACTTATCCAGGAAATTCACAATATTATCCACCGCCCGCACCGGCTCGTCCACCATGCTGTACATCATCCCGCCCGACACATACCCAAGGTAATACCGCGGCACGAGCAACGGGAACCCAACCAGCTCCGCGTACGCCCGCACCACCTCCGCCACGCTCCCGCCCACAATCACGTACTCCTCCAGCCCGCCAAAGGCCTGCCGGTACACCTTGAAATGGCCCCACAGCCCATCGATTTCGCTGCCCACGGCCCAAGCCCCGCGCGCATGCGACGTTGACAACACGCCCACCGCGCCGCCGCCCGCACCGGGGAGGACGTTGATCAGCAGCGGCACGTGCTTGTACAGCGGGTCGGTGCGGTGCGCGTCGTAGCCGAAAGTGTCCGACGCCGTGATCGCGAACCCGCGGCCCGACAGGTCCATCGGCGCCGCCTTCTCGCCTAGTCCCACGTGCAGTGTGCCCTTCCTGTAGGCGCTGTAGTGTGCCACGCCGCTGCCGTCGAGCGCGTACGACCGCAGCGGGAGGTCCTGGTGGATTGTGTGGTCTCCTAGGCGGATCGTCACCACCGGCGTGTGGGTGTAGTCCACTGTCGCGGTGGTGCTGGCCTGGGCGTTGTGCAGGGTTATCTGCTTGGCTCCGGGTACATCACTGGTCTGAGTGGCGCTGCTGTTGTTTCCGACGCCCGGAAGGCGAACGCTTGGGAAGGGCGGCAGCGGGTGGTCCTCTGAGGTGAAAGTTGTGCGGAAGACGTTGGGCCGGATGGCTTCGAAGGTGAAGTCACATGGCTTGGTCAGGTTGCCGTCAGAGCGAAGGTGTACTGCATTGTGGTTGTTGCCCTTGGCTGATGGTGGTGTTACGAAGGCGTACCCTTTGGGCACTCGTTCCTCCTGGTGTAGCATGGTGAAGGACAATAGATAATAGTCTTAGGCACCTCTCCTTATTGTACAGGAGTGAGTGTATATAAATGTTCTTGATCCGTGTGCCCAGTGCCCAAAGCCTGGAAGTCGGTTTGTTGTTCGACCAAAAGGGCTGCTCTCTCACATCCAAGTTACAGAATTCCCTGCCTTTTATTGTTCCCTCTTTCCCAATTTCGTTGGAGATCGTGAGGGGTCGCCCCGATTCCACTCCCCAAAAGAGTCGTCCTGTCCTGCGGGACCGGCGCGCGGCGTGCGGAGATGCGGCATCGTGACTGGGCTGGCCCCGGCCCTGCGCCCACTGCCAAGTCAGCGGTTCTTTTCCTGGTCCGCTGAGGCCTTGCTTGACGCGAGTTGTCAGGGAAAGCCGCTATCAGAGTGCAAATGGAGAGACACTATCTCAACTCCGTTAAGGATGGATGCTAGACTGTTGAAGATCTTTCTCATATATGTTGCTCTGATCTGTATGTGGTTGCATAAGGCGCTATCCTCTCTTCATCCTCAAGAGAGCAAGGAGACACCACAGGTCGATGCCCGGTGTTGTCCCGACTCGGCCTAAAAGCGACCGAGTGATGACTCGGCGCGGCGGCGACCCCAAACACAAATGACCGTTGTGTCGTGGCGTCTGATATTCATCCTGGTCAAGAAATCGTTCTCCGCTCGTCAATTGAAACTTACGTGGGTTACAACTTTTGTGCGTGCGCATAGGCTTTTAGACGGAATGGGTGCCGGTACTAGACAGCAGACAAATCGGGTCATGAACCACGAGCGTCCATAGAACATGTTGTCAATCAAGGCGCCCTATGAAAAAAAGCATAGTGCATGATGATGGCCAGGTACGGCAATTAGTGGTCTTATGTTTTGAGATATCTTGACGGCCGAAGGCAATTTGTTGTTTTCCTTCTAAAACCAGATGCAAAAATATTGCGTGACCACGATTTGATGAAGTTAAGTTCATGCTGATTCTTTCTCTGATTTGAAAGTTGGTTCTTGTGGATGTAGCCCCCTCAACCAGTGGCCTATGATAAATTGCTATGTAGCAGAAAGAGATCAAGTTGTATAAGTGTCAAAAGAAGGGGACGAAACTCCTATGTTAGAACCATATGAGTTTTGTGCGCAAAGAGCTCCCTATCTCGTTACTACCTTTTTTCGCTGCTGTCCTAGCACTTGCAGTAGACTGAATCTCGGCGCTTTTAACTATTCACGACCTCGGATAAAGACTGTTGCAAATACTTACGAATACCTCCACCAAACAAGGCGGAGAGACATGAACGCGGGTAAAATCAGCCCATCTAGGTGCTCGCATCCAGATCATGAAGTTGACTCTGCACAGCTGGTTGAACCAGGACTGCTTGACCATCCTCAAGAATGCTTCGGCGGTTAAGACCAAATGATAATCATAAAGTGTCATCAATGACTTTTACTTGCCTGACAGAGAAATCCCCACCATATATTTCCAGTGGGACTTCATCTTGATGGGATGTGCACCACCAATGGCAGGCTGGAGAAACAGTGGCGAGGACTGGTTCTGAGGCCTGCCCTAAGGTGGAAGGGCCACACCAAAGACCGCCAGGAAATAAAGAGGGTATGATTATGGTTGATAGATACAGATTTAGGAGTAGAAGAGTGAAACCCACTGGACCGAGACATTCTCTCTGAAGCTTCAACATCAATCTCATATTGCTCTACTAGTACGAGGTACAGCAGGGGATCGCCCCTGCCAAACGATCCGCGACTGTCTTCGTGTCCGCTTTCCCGGTCGTCAATATCGAGATAGAAGGTGCCATCGGCAATCTCTTGCAGGACAATATTTCAAGTCCTAATATCCAGTCGGAATGGTGAGACAGGCAGGCTTTTCGACTTCAAAAAACCTCCCAAAATACCATCGTCTTCCGGTATCATAGCTTGCTGCCGAGCTCATAATACGCGCATCAATATTGAAACATTAAAAGGCATTCTAGGGCAAAGAATACACATTCGATCATTCCCCCAAAACATCTTCGAAGCCAACATCTGGTCACATCACGTGTATCAGCTGTCCCGGGTCGCCATACCTCACCGACATAGGCAGTCATCACGATGGACGAAAATGACGAACAAGATGCATGGGACGAAGCATTCATTGCAGCTCAAAGAGCTGCCGGCCAGTTGGGGCCAACCCTTAACGTTAGGCGAGCTTCCGCATCAGGTGCCAACCTCAGCGGACAAACAGTTCGTAGCACCATCCAGCCCTTGACTGCAGAAACAATGGGCATCGCAACTGACTGACTGCCAATGATCCACCAGCCGCCAATAGGTCAAGGGCAACATTTCTCCACACCGTCGCGAAGACCATTTTCCAGTCTACCGCCGCCGCATGTTCTCGTTTATCCGGGAGCGCACAATGTTCTAGGACCGCAGGCACCGCCATCGACGCCCCAGGTATCACGTCCTGAACCTCCACCACTCGAGCGATCTTCTGTCCAGCCCTTGTCGGCATATGAACGCATGGATTCTGCGGGGGTTGCAATTCCTTTTTTGGTGCGACTCCGCCGCCATCTCGCGAGGGAACCAAGCCCACCGCCATCTCCACGCCTCCACGCAGAGTCCCAACGTCAGGTGGCAAGACATGGACTCGCTCCGAGGCCCCGACGTTTGGTGACAAGGCTTGCATCCATTACGGGAGTCCCTGTGCCTGAATCTGAGCTCGAAACCGCCCGGACAGAAGCCATTGAAACGACTCGGAACATGCTGGTAGAGCTCGGTCCTCGGGATCCTCGACATGAGCGCAATGAGCGAATGTGGGCGCAACTCCAGTTTGAGCTCGTCCGAATCGAAACAGGACTGTATTCGGGGCTTAGTGATGATGTCTTGCAGTGGATACATGAGGTGGTTCAACGTTGGCTGATCCGCCGAACGTGGGCGTGGGGAATCTGACCTTGCAGCGACCTGGAGATCCAGGAATGTAAAGCATCCGGATCAAATAGCGTGTTTACTGAACATGAAATTGTTTCACAAAAAGCCTTCGATGCTGAATACATTGTTATCCGTGTCATTCCCAAAGTAGCCGATTTCGAGCATGTATACATCTGTGAAGTATGACGTGACTGGCCGGTGGATGCACGAGGGACCATGGAAAACAAAGTTGATACTGCTTGACGTTCATCACGTTTCAATCGAAGTGTACCAAAAGCGGGATGGTATCTGGCGAGAACAATTTCTTGGGAGCTCCGGAAATGGATCGTAAACACGACATATATGCGAGCAGCAAAACTCATTGGGATAAGTGCTGTAAAAATCTAATCCACCGGACCGCAATATCATGCAGTCTCGCGAAGGGGGCATTGATGATGCCGGTAAGAACCATTCCATGCCGAGGCGGTCGACCTAATTGGTGCTGCTGCTGTCTTGTGCTGCTTGGTGGGAGGAATGCTGCCGCTGTGCGCAAGGACCACACAGCAACCTTGGCTGTGGATTGGAAATACGCCGCTGGGTTTTGTCCCGCTCATATTCTCTTCTCTTTGCAGACTTGTCCTGAGATATGGACAAGAGGCCGAGGACCATGTTTCCATCCCTGGAATGACTAGTGGCACCTTTTTGAATCCAGGAAGCCTTATGGGGCTCAAACCATGCTCAGAGGGCATGAGTGCATCCATTTTCCTCTGTTCTAGTCGCCTCCACAGGATTGAACGGAACGGCGACTGAGTGGGGGGCCATATGAGATATCAGTGAAGATCACTTGGTAGATACGAGTCCTCATCCATGAAAGATGGACCAGATGTGGCCGGCCGTTCATAAATCCTCGTATGGGAGGCTATCCTGGACCTTATTTATTGCTTTCGAAGGCACATCGACGGATTATGTGCAAGTCATCGCGTATTCTTCCTCGGCCATTCAAGCCATTCTTGGAATCGCTGCGTAGTCCTAAGACGCCTTTCCACCTCGTCGAACAGCTGTTTCGACCAGCCCTGGAGGAACCAATACCGCCTGTCTGTGGTTGCTAGGAACACAGAGAAGTAGGCCAGGAGGAGCAGGGCATGATGCCTGTATTGTCGAATGTCTTGGACCACAGATTGAGGAATCATATATGCCCAGAGTATCACGCATCCGATCTCGATGTCAGGCCCGTGATTTGCAATTTGCCGTGATGTAGTTTCGAGCAAGGAGGCGGCTTTGACGTAGTCCTCTTGGTGGGGTAGTACTGCTTCGTTCTCATAAAAGGAGCGCAGCGAGGACAGCACGGAAAATGTGTCAGGAGGAAGCGGGGAATGCTCAAGAGCATGTTCGCTGCTATATACAAATAGTCAGTCCCGACTTTGTTCTTTGTTCGAGGGTGGTGGCCTCATGGGTAATGAGCTAAAGGCTGGGAACGAACCACTCCCATGATGGATCTCCCCCCTCCGGCCCGAGTATGGCCGAGACAAGGGGAGCCAGATTTGTCCGTACGAGCCTGGGGGTGAACTCCTCCAACGTTGTTCTTATGCCTCGTACAACGGAGAAAAACTCCCAGGTGCTCGTAATAGGCGCTGCAATGCATCCATTTTCAGACCGGGCTGCCAGGGAGCATACATGAACGATGACAATGGAAGCGAAGCATAGCATGGCTCTCCAGTTGTCGTCCCCAATATTTGACAAGTGGGCTCTGAAAGTCTCTAGGCCTAGTGTGTGATGGGAGGCGCCTAGAGTAAGATACTCCTGTCTTTTCGCTGGGAAAAGGTACGACTTGTGGAGAGCAGCCAATGCAAGAAGGCCATGCATGACGAAGGGGTGGCGGTAACCCTCCTGCGGAAATACAACCCGCCATATATAGCGCAAGTCTTCGCGCTGTGCCATGCTAATACTGGTAGAAACACAGTAGTGATGCATTAATTCGAGATCTCGCATCGACGAATCGGCCACCCGAGGTGAGCCAGGGCTGGATCCGCCGCCTTCTTGTGGAGCATGATCGGCGGCTGGTGGGACAGACCCTGAAGGAGCTGTGGATGATAGAAGATCGGACCAAGCTGTCGGGTCTCGAGGCGAGTTGACAGCGTGGGTAGATGCAGGCGTACGCACGGAGTCGGAATCGGGCCCGGGCTGAGGAGGTGCGGCGGACCGCGGACGGATCGGGGCGACGAAGCTGCAGGAGATTCCATACCGTGTGCAATTCCAACATGCGGGGTGTACTTCGTCGCACTACGCAACATATACATGTGAGACGAGCATGTTCCAGGTCGTGGAGGTTGGGCGAGGGGGGGGGTGTCTGGGACCGGGTTCGCTTTGTACCTTGATCTTTCTTCTCTTACATTCCGCGCACCCAAATCGGGACTTCTTATGAGCGCGACGTGTATGCATCACGAGCCAATGGTATGAGTGTTGGATAAAGTTGATCAGCCACAAGGTAAATCGTAAGTCGTAAAGAATACGCGGGTTTATGAGTGTGTGTCTGTGTACGGGGTCCGAGATGCGAAATCCGAGATACGGGATACGAGATACGAGGGCGCGTATCTATGGGCTTGGCAGCTCTCTGCTATTGGATAGATGTCACATTGAACTAGGGCCGAGGCTGTGTTTGCGAAATGCAGGCCGCGTAATCTTACTAAACGATGCTGACTTCGCCCGATGCACACAGCTGAGGACATGCATACTAGAGCTCAACCTTGGCAGAAGGCAGCAGCGATACGTCGAAGTAAAGTGAGCTATTATCAATTGTGAAGAGTAGGTGGCTTTCGAAGTCACCAATGAGTTTACCCGTATCATCGGGCCCGGAACCTACGGAGCTTCCTTTGTTGTATCGCCCGGGCGTTAGTACGTAGACTACGTGGCTACGTCTTCCGTATCGAAATATCGACAGTTGACTGGTCTTGGCTCTTTTGCTAAGAACTTTCTAAGGCTAGCTAGCTTTACTCAGGTATGGATATCTACGACAGTAAGATCTTTTGTCAACAAAATTGATCATAGCTCCATTCTTTTTTTTTTACGTAGGTCTACTGCTGTACACACTTGCTAAATTATACCCGAAATAAAGCAGATTGTAGTGATATTTAATATGCGGCTCAGGCTCATGTACCTAGGTAGTGAGAACATCATCAACGAGCACTTTCTGGTAGACAGCACTCTGAGGCAGCACTGAGATAAGTCCGTCTTATGGCTCCGTTAAATACGAATGCCGACGAGTTCAAGTCCATTCTTCCCAGGGCTTTGACCACGAAGTAACAAGCCAAGCTCTGACGGGTGGAACCAATTCATCCAGATCAACACGACCACCATCAGTTGGGCATCAAAGACGTAAAGGTACACCTCGGACCTCATCAGCACGCTGTCGTTGCCCATGAGATACTCGACGACCCGAAAGATGCTGCGGATCAGGATCAGAGAGCTCGTGACGTACAATGTCAAGAGATAATGCCTCCAGCGCACGGCAGGGTCCGAAGCCGTGGCTGTAGGTACGAGAGACATTCGCCTGTGGAAAATGCCTGCTACAACCACGAAAAACCCAAAGAAAGCGAGCTGAACGAAGAGGCCGACTACGATAATGTCCTCCCCTACATCGAGCAAGCTTTCGCCGACAGCCATCATACCTCCACCTGAAATGTCTTGAATTTAGTCGAGCTGAATCTTGGATATGAGGTGACGGACAGAGGTCTGCATGCTTACCTGATGCTTGAAGAAGCAGTGAAAGCACGTCACCGGTCACAAATATCTTGGTGATCCAGCGTCTCTTGATCAAGGAGTGCGACTCCCCGTCGGTGAGCAAAATGATTCTTCCGAGTATCATATAGATCGAGGCAGCCATAAAGGCAGGTGCAATAAGGATCAGAAGGTTTTGCACAATGTAAGTCCCGAGGGTCCAGCAGCCAGGTTTCTCCGTTGCATTGATGGAACGGGCGATATATCCAACGCATTCGCCTGCATCCGAAGCGATCTGTTAGTGTAATCCGGGAAAGAAAATGAATGGACTGCTTGTCCCTGTTCCACAACTTACAAAAGCCCCCGACTACCAGCGCGATGAGGTACCAGGTTCGCGTCTTGCACATCTGGAAGACGTGCAAGGTTACTGTGATGCCAAACAGAACGCAGAAAATTATGGCACCCGCTAACGACGGCTCGTAACGATACATAGACCAGAATGCATCTTTGTAGTTGGGGATGCAGTCCGGCATCTTGTGGTCTAAAAATAGAGAGCCGTAATAGAAACGGACAGAAATTTGGGCGACAGCAGTGATTTGGGAAAGAAGATGAAACACAGCTTGCACGAAACGACAAATTCGATATCTCAACGGAAGAGCTCTTATATGTAGACTCCAAGACTTGCACAGCCCCGAGCGCTTATCTTGTGCAAATCAGAGAACGGCTCAAAATTGAAAGGATTCTGAGAATATGCAGCTACTGGACGACGACCCTACAAGGGAGAGAGCCGAAGTACTAGCCATACGAGTATTCGGATCCGGACTTAAAAGATTAGCAGCATGGGGCTGTGCTCTTGTGGCTGGCCCTTGAGGTACTAATACTTGGGAGCTCGGGAATGCTGCTCTTTTCCCCCTCCCCGTTTGTCGAGTCCATTCTTCCAAATGAGGCCCATGTGCAATATATCTAATGCAATCTTTGCATGTCAAACACGGTGGCTGCGCCCATCCATGCTGATGACTGAGGTCAGTTCTTTGCATATATATCTCAGCCAGCAACCTATTTGGCATCTACGAACATTGTATTTGTCCTCCCTTGGCTTTTCACCATATGGATACATTCTGTTTCTTCTTACCAGTCCTGGAAATCCATCTCCCGCGACGTCAAGACTTGTCAGACATTACGTATAGACACCACTTCAGACAAATGAGGAGCTGTAGGCCGAAGAGGGAGCATATTGACTAAGGATTGCTAAATTCCAATGTAAAGGCATTTTGGCATCCGCGAGGAAAGTATGATCTAGCTATGCGGTCTCGGTCAGCTCTCACAAGATGAACACACGCAGGTCAATCTATCTTTTTCTTGAAACAGAATACTCCAAACTCCAAGCATTCACCCATACTTAAACCACTCCTCTGCATCCAGTCCACTTTTGCCCTCTCGAGCCATTCTTCCCATTCATAATCTCTCCTCAGATGAGGATTCCTGAGCAAAGACTCGAAGGCCTCGACCATCCCGATAAAATTGTCCCGTGTAGACTGGCGAATGGCAGCCTGATCCTTGGTCAGAACCCTTGGACGTCCGCCCTCACGCTCCCATTTGATAGTGCTTAGCGGAACGGCCACTCTCTTACTAATTATTTCTTCCAGAGCTTCTGCGCCTTCGACAAGATGCCCTGTCAGTAGTGGTCCAACCAAGGCGGATGGCATTGCTGACAAGCCCAAGTCCCCGAGTGCTGTCGTCAGCCATGTGTTATACTCCTTGATGTACGGATTGATAGGTGGTCCCAATGAATCTGTCTTCCCGATCGGGTAGACCCCCAGGCGGGTATGATCTGGGTCACACTCAGCCTGTACCTCTGGCTTGAGCGATCGGATTACGAAATCGTGCACCCATAACTCGAAGGTGCCGCCGGGCTTCAGCACCCGTACGGCCTCACTCGTAGCGTGTGAGTACCCCAGCCCGTCGAAAACTAGTGCCATGTTCCGTGCCATCACGAGGTCCACGGATCCGTCCTCGACGGGCCATTCCGGCTCACGCAGATCATACTGGATATACTGCCAATCCATGCCCAAGTTCTGATAAGATTCGTTGACGCCAGTTGGGGCCTTTATATCGATGCCGACGAAAGACACTTGGTGGCCCCTGCTTTGGAAGTACCGATGGCACAAAGAACTCCAGAAGCCGGTGTCGCAGCCGATCTCGAGGACGCGGCGGGGTGGGTTTTGCAGAAGCTCCGGCGACAGGAGCGGCGTTTCGAAGACAGCCGATGTGAGGAGGGCCATCATAACGTGACGATTCGACTCGATGAGGTCGACGGGTAGGGGGTAGATAAATCGTCCTTCATTGTCGTTGAGATAGGTCCTTTTCCCCTTCGAAATCAGAAGCTTTTCATATGTTTTCTTCTGGGGTCCGGCAGAAGATGCCTCTATGGTGGTCTCCGATAAATTGGACTGTGATGATGCCGTCGAAGGAAGAAAGCGAGACCGCATCTTGTTGCTGCTCGTTTTGTGATTCATGATGCCTTTTCGAGGCTATGAAGCGAAACCGGTCCCCTAATGATTTGTTCACAAATGTCGTTGGAAGATAGAAAATGCGTAATTCCTTCACAGACTTGCACGTCTTGCCGTAGCACTTGATTGAGGATGGATGGTTTGTATTGATCCACATGGTGACATCGCGGCTGCGGCCTTTAAGGGTTTGCAGGTGCGAACCCGCGGGGACAAGGGTGGTCAATGACTTCCTGTCTTATGGCGCATCTCATCAGTAACACACCCCGGTGGATAGGCCCGACCTTGACATTTGCCCGGGCATTCACCTCAATCTCGACAGATGTAGAGCTGGTCATGAGTTGAAAGGAAACGGAACAAACACGACTATGCCGCAGAGCGGGAACTAAATATACCGCAGCCACGTTAACAAGCAAGGATCATCATACCCGTCTGGGCGAGCCCCTGAGTGTCGGCTTGGTCCGGCGGGCGGATCGCCAACAGGCCCACACATGCGCAAGCAGTCGGCAGTTCTCCTGAGACATACATCCACCGATATCGTGCCACCCGTCGGGTTTGCAAGTGACTGCATCACAAAGCACAATCTCATCCTATCAACCATACAAGACTATAAGCAATACGTGACAGGCGGGACATTTGTTTTTACATGTTTTCTACAACGGGTTCCGAGATGTGAGACTCGTCTAAGCCGTCCGGGCCAATAATCAATAATGTTCTCTGACCATTTGATGATATAGGCAAGAAAAGTTTCACAAGATGTAACCACGGAAAGGCGGATAGAGCCATTAGTAATCGGCTTGATATTTGAAACGTTGTGCCCGCGAGACACGAGGAAAGTTTGTGCTTCTGGATCTCTTGTTTTCTACTCATTGTCTCCCAATCACTGACTGGTTAAATGCTGTGACGAACACTTGTTGCAGTAGTAAGTTGGGGGTTCAATTATTATTGGCCCACATTCAGGCATGTTCAGCGGGCCGGCCGTTGATATTGCACTCAAAATCAAAGGAAACGTTACCGCACTCGGCCCGGAGGAAGTAAAGCTTACGGCGATAAAGCAGAAAATCAGCAGCAAGCCGACAGCGTAAGCGTAAGGCAATCTAGCCTTATGTAAATATGCACGCTCATCTTGTTGCAGCCTTGATTTCAATTCTCCGAAGATTTCTGCCAGGGAGTGGGACGATTAGTTTACTTCTAAAATGTGGCTTTCAAGTCTGGGAAACTTGTTTATCGTCGACGTCACTTCTGATCTGCTGTGAGGTCACTGCGGCTGTGCCGACCATCCGAAGGCCGACTAAATAACTGCACATTGGGCATCCTCAACCCACGACTTAGCAACGACTGCGCATTCCTCCTCCGGGAAAATTCATCAAGAAAGACCATAATCAATTATTCATTTTATCACAATCCTATTAGACTGTCTAGATCTCATCAAACGGGTGTAATCCATTTCCTGTATCCGCCGACTCACTTCCCGCCTTCAGCACTCGGTATTTCAGGCGTTACCTCAACCTAGAAGCAAAGCACATTAAGATTCGAGGCTGTCACTTTTATTCTTTCACAGAACCTCGTAATGGCTCCATCTAGTAACCCAGACGCTGTCGCGCTAGAGCAGTCCGTCTACCATGCCGGATTGCACTCCACTAAGCCCCCCTTCACCTTTCAACCCTCAGAATGGGAGCCACAAGCAAAGGCAGTCCTCTCCGCCAACTCGTGGGGCTATATCCACGGCAACTGCGGCGCCGGCACTACCTACCGCAAGAACCTTGCCGCCTTCGACCGCTGGTCCATTGTGCCACGGCGAATGGTGGCCAGCAGGCTGGACCCAGCCACGGGCGCCGAGGCCTTCGCCGACACCAGCACAACGGTACTGGGCCATCAGATTCCATTCCCCATAGCCATCGCGCCAATCGGCGTGCAGAGGATCTTCCACCCCGAGGGCGAGGTGGCGGCCGTGCGCGCCAGCGCAGCAGTCGGTGTGCCTTACACGCTCAGCACGGCGTCGAGCACCAGCATCGAGGACGTCGCGGAAGCGATGAATGGCGCGAGCAAAGGAGGGTCAGAGGGACAAGGCCAGGGCCAAGGCCAGAGCAAGACGCCACGGTGGTACCAGCTATACTGGCCGTCGCGCGAGCACGATGACATCACCGTCTCGCTGCTATCACGTGCCAAGAAGGCCGGGTACACGGCACTCTTCGTCACGCTTGATACGTACGTACTGGGCTGGCGGCCGAGCGACATGGACAACGGTTACAACCCATTTATTCACCCGGACCGCATCGGTGTCGAAATTGGCCTGACCGACCCAGTATTCCAGAAGAAATTCAAGGAAGAGCACGGCTACGACATCGAGGAGGCCAGGCGGCACGAGAGCGAGTTGACGGGGCACAACCTGGGCGAGGCCGCGCAGGAGTGGGCCAAGATTGTGTTCCCTGGGCACTCGCACACGTGGGAGGATGTCGAGTTCCTCAAGAAGCACTGGGACGGGCCGATCGTGCTCAAGGGAATCCAGAGCGTGGCCGATGCGCGGAAGTGTGTCGAGGTCGGCGTACAGGGCATCGTGGTCAGCAATCACGGCGGACGGCAGCAGGACGGCGGCGTGAGCAGTTTGGGCATGTTGCCGCACATTGTGGAGGCTGTTGGCGACAAGCTTGATGTCTTCTTTGACAGCGGCATCCGGTGCGGTGCTGACATTATCAAGGCCATCGCGCTCGGGGCCAAGTGTGTGCTGGTCGGTAGGCCTTATGCCTATGGTCTAGCGATCGGAGGCGAGGAGGGGGTCAGGCATGTCTTGAGAGCCATGTGCGGCGATTTGATGATGAACATGCACCTTGCAGGCTTGACAGGGCTGGATGAAGTTACGAAGGATGTCCTTGTGAAGGAAGATGAGGTCTTCTAAAATGCCCTGGAGCCGTAATCCAAGCCTTGTCTCTGTCAGGCCGCTTGTTCTTGATTCTGCCGTCTCGGGAAGGTCACTCCTACCCAATGAAAATGATTTCCGCTCGATTTCGCAAGACAGCTTTCCATATGGGCGTAACTGTATGTCAAGAGCGTTGCATATCTCGTGTCTGCCAGTGTCTCCCTCCTGTTCTGGGCTAATCTAGTGGTCGGCCTAGTCGCGACTCGCCGTGTTGCGTTTTGAAGCTCTGTTCTTAGTCCCTGATTCAGTATTGAGGTTCTTACGGGAAAGACACTCAAGTCCGATGACTGAGCTTGGGATGAACCTGATCAAGGCTGACAAGCGTAGACGGCACATTCAGAACAAACTGGAACATTGTCATGCCTTACCAAAAGTGGGGGCGAGGCTGTTCAAGACACATAATCTGCGAGAGTGGCAAGGATAATACCTTTTCGAGCGATAAACAGTCCCAATTTGATGAGTCGTGATTAGAATCGGAAGTATTCAATCCGTAGAGGACGATAACGGGTCGCACCCGTTCATCACTCGTTAGGACTATAGTCCTCCCCAATGATGACCTGCCTATTTCATCCACGAGATTGTGTTCTGTAATATTTCCTGAGACAATTTTAGTTGCCGTCACATTCGCGTTTGTCCAATAAGGTGGAGTCTTCCTAGCCGTAGGTAATTTGGTTGAAATGGGTGAATACGCCTGAAAGAGACCCCGCCATGGCGATCGAGGGCACTGGGAGTGCCAACTGCACATGATGCAGCGCTGCCAAGTGGCATTCACTATGGACCAATCATATATAGTAGATTCCATCTCGAATTCCGGTTCTGGAAATTACATCTCAACTGCCGGGACTCGGTCCAGTAGGATGCAAGTTCTGCCGACTGTGCAATGTGCAGTCAGTATTCTGCATGCTTGGAAGCTGTCTATCCAACCAAGCATCCGATCCGTGTCCGCTCATATGAAGTGTGGCAAGTGACAGGTGGATAGAGAAATGCTGCCGATAAGATTTCTCTCGGCACTCAGGTCCGGCTTGGATGCCCCTGAATGCACTGAAGGGGAGAGACAGATATAAATGCACCCGCGCTTTCCAAGATTGTCCTACCGTTGTCTTCGGACCCTGTCGGTTTATTTGTTTCCTTTTCATAAAGTCTCAGTCAATCACCGGTACAAGAGTCCAGCGACAACTACAGTATCAGCAATATGTACTTCAAGGCTCTCGCCGCAGTGCTCTCCATCCCAGGGGCCTTGTCAGCCCCTGCGGTCGAGCAGCGCCAATACTCGGCTGCTCTCATGCGATTCGAATGCTCGCAGCTCACCATCGAGCGCCTTGACCCTCTGGTACAGCCAGGCTCAGTGCCTTCTGCTCATGTCCATCAGATCGCCGGAGGCAACTCGTTCAACGCCTCGATGACGCCGGGGACCTACGACCCTTCCGCGCTGTCCACATGCACCTCTTGCACGTACGCCGATGACTTCTCCAACTACTGGACCGCGAGTCTCTACTTCCGCGCTCGCAACGGCACGTTCAAGCGGGTCCCGCAACTGACCAACCTCGGCCTGCGAGGCAAGAATGGTGGCTTGACCGTGTACTACAACTCTCCCTACGACGGGCACACCAAGACCACTGCTTTCAAGCCCGTGAGTCACATTAATTGGATGTCGAGGCTGTTACGTTCCCGACAGCTAACAAGAGAATAGGGTTTCCGCATGATTGTTGGAGACCCGACCTTGCGTTCAGGTCAGAATGGACAGAGGCAGCTATGCCACCGCTGCGAGGCCAACATCGAGCAGAACCCCTTTGGAGGTGCGCCCTGCACGGGAGGAGACACCTTCGCGTTGCCGACTTCAACCTGCGGCGGCGGTATTCGTGCCACGATCACATTCCCGACGTACGTATGCACTACCCTCTCAATTGTCGATCAAGCTTTCTGACACGAAACGTGTGCAGGTGTTGGGACGGCGTGAACGTGGACAGCACGGATCACAAGTCGCATGTTGCATACCCCAGCAGTGGCACCTTCGAATCCTCAGGCCCATGCCCGGCCACCCACCCAGTTAAGCTGCCGCAGGTAATGTACGAAGTTATGTGGGACACGAGACAATTCAACAACAAAGCCGACTGGCCGGCAGATGGGTCCCAGCCTTTCGTCTACAGCATGGGAGACAAGTGAGTCTTCTCCATTATCTAGGTGTATCGTCGTTGTCTGGGACTCTTACTCATAATCATCACAGGACTGGCTACTCCTGGCATGGCGATTACCTCTTCGGATGGAAGGGAGATGCTTTGCAGCACGCGCTTGACGAGAGATGCGCCGGTGACACGTGCTCCGGTATGAAGACACAGACTGCTGACCAGGCCAACAAATGCATGATCAAGTCAACAGTCAATGAGGACGTCGATGGATGTAAGTTTGGTACTACTATTTATACTGTCATTTTCCATATAGCTAACTGTGATCTCAGGGCTTACCGAGCTGCCCGGTGGTATGCCGGTCGAATGATGTGGTGTTGGCGAGACATGTACTGAGAAATGGAACTATACAACGAAAGGAGCTCCCACACGTGAAAGTTTCGGGTAAAGAAGAACAGGAAGCGCAAGGTTCAAGTGATATTCTGTTGTCTGTAGCCAAATTTGATAGTGCCACTGATGTCCCCATCATGCCTATATATCCTGGAGGCTTACAAACTGGTAGTCCTGCTCCTACCCTGCTGTCTCTGTAGACCCTAGGCTTCGCGATGATACCCCGAGCATGACGTTGGTCACTCATGTCAAAGCATTTCAAGCTTCGTAATGCTTTTCAAACAATTCTAGCAAAGTGCTCCCCTCGAATCTGAGTACTCCGTCTATAGCTGTCTCCAGCCAACCTCGCGAGCAGACCTGCCATTCAAGAAGGCTAAGTACGGCTTGACCTTTTTCTCGATTCCCTGCGCGTCCAGCCCAAATCGGTCATAGTTACTGCAGTTCGACGCTGAGTATTCATAGGTCGTCATGCCTATGCTAGCCGTGATGTATCTCGCCCAAGTTGTCGCAACATATTCTTCCACGCTTACAATGGGCTTTCCATCTTGAGGAAAGACTGTATTTCTGTAGCCGTCCTCTTGCAGCTGGAATAGATCGAGACTTGGAGCACTGACTACTCTCGTAGAGACCCCCTGTCTATCGAGCGACTTGCCTGCAGCAACAGCATAGTGTAAATTAGAGCCACAACTTACGAGCGTCACCTCGTAGTCATCACGGCCGCGAGTGACATAGGCTCCACGCTGTTCCAATTTTCTATCAGTATTTGGAACAGGCCCTGTAGGATCTCGAGCGATTGATAGCATGGTGGGGCGGCTTTCCGCGGACAACGCAACTGCCCATGCTCCAATGAGTTCCTCAGCATCGCAGGGACGAATGTAACAGAAACCCGGCATGGCGCGGTAGAGTGAATCGACTTCGACTGATTGATGCGTCGGACCATTCTGCCCCTCCTCTGCGCCACATTAGCAGGAACTTCTACTGTACGCCGTGCCGGGAGGTGTGATAATGGAAACCTACGGAAAGAGTCATGGGTTGCAATATGGATCACTTGAAGGTCACTCAACGCTCCCATGCGTACACCGGGCGCTGTCTGCAGAGATCCCGATCGTCAGCCATACAATAGAGATATTTCCAAGTGTGAAGAAATGCTTAAATAGAGATAAACATGAAGAACGTGGCCGTTATTGGAATGAATGTCCCTGGGTTGTAAGCCGCCATTCCATTCGCTATGGACGCCATAGCGTGCTCTCTGATACCATTTCGCAGGTATCGGCCTTTATATCCTGTCTGTAGTAAGAAAACATCTTCCACCGAGTAGGAAACCATGTTGGAATTGACCAAATCGGCTCCTCCACCGCAGATTGAAGGCACAGCAGTCCATAGTTTTCCAGGATATGGCCATTTGTTTCTCGGGTGGCTTTCCCCTCAAATTCTCCACTGTCAATTGATAACAAAATGAACATGCCATCATTAACCTTGGACTTTAACCGTTCTTCAAAAGCCGCAACTTCATTGGGATACAGCTTTGAATACCGGGCGAGGCTATCTTTCCATTCTTGCTGGAGCTGAGCGCCGTGTAGTCGTCGTTCGCGGCAGTAACTCAGCGCTTTCGATGGGACGACGTGGGTGGAATTTGGGTCAAGCCCGGCAAGTTTCTTTTTTTTTTTTTTTTTTTTTTTTTTTTGATGTGGCAATGCTTTCTTTGTCAAAAGAACCGTGGTGGGCTTTGTGAGTTCCAGCCGATGATGTGCCTACCCCAATGACCGTTCTAATGTCGATGAACACGGGCTTCCCTATGCAAATTTTCGCAAGCTTCAAAGCTGCCACAATGGTTTCGACGTCGTAATTGCCATCTTGAACGTTTGAAACCTCTCAGCCCTGGGATCTCATTTTAGCATTGATGTCTTCATTGTTGATCCAGTCCAAGGGCCCGTCGCATGTCACGGCGTTGTTATCGTAAATGAGAACAAAATTGTCTAGCTGCAAATGACCAGCAAGCGATATAGCTGAGATGGTATTAGTACCTCAGTCGTCGTCCCCGTGTCCAACAATGAGCGCTCTACCTTCAAGTGCAACGCCTTCCATGAGACACCCATCGCCAGTTGTACACCATATTGTTGACTGTACAAGCTGGCAGCCAGGTTTGTTGAAATTAGCGGCAAGATACTTTGACGCAATGGTCAAACCGACAGCATTTGCAACACCCTGACCAAGAGGCCCTGTCATCACTTCGACTGCAGGTACTTGGCGCTCCGGATGGGCGTGGCAGATAGTGTGGTACCCATTTTCCTTCGGACTTCCATAGCCTTTAAGCTCGTCGATTGTCCAGGCATCGTATGCTACCAGATAGTTCATGACGTACAGGAACATGCTCGCATGGCCTGTTGAATATCAAGTCAGATCGATTCAATTCCACATGGGAAGGTACTACGGTGATTACCTTTCGACAGCACAAATCAATCACGGTCAAACCACTGCGGGTCCGCTGGAATGCAGCGCATAGCATACTTCCAAAGAGCAACGCCGATGACAACCATCCCTAGAGCTGAACCCCGTGGCCCCCGCCATTTTGTGTGCATAGATCAAACACAAGATTACAAACCGCCAGCACGGCGTCTTCATCGTCGCGGGTGCGCTCTTCAAGTTGCCCGCGCCCGTCGACAGTAGCTTCTGTGTCGATTTTCGCTTCCTTGGTCATCTTGAAAACGTGGTGGGACCGCAAACCAAACAAAATTCCATACAAAACTTGTGTCTACATAATTGCTAGGAGAGGCCGTGCAATGACTTATTGAGACCTTTTGAACATTGATAGACCAGTTGATCGTCGTGACTAACACCCGTGGCCGGGATTCCATGCTGGGAATTAGCTCGACTTCCAGCAACAAGTCGGGCCGGAAATCAAAATCCGAATCATGCCCAGCCCGCTCTGTACCAACACGGAACCATAATCCCGGCCTATGGACTTCATATTCCCTACCACAGATTCCATTTTGCCATGACGAGGCTTTTTGCGTTGGTAGTTGGCCAATCTTGGCCTAGAGAGAGACTCGAAAGCGATGATCTGGCTTTAAAATTAGTCCCTTCTTCATATCGGCCTCAAATGAATATCATGATGGCGATGGACTTTGACTGCTTGTGTACTCACTGAACCGATTCTGCAGTGCCTCCCTCAGTGTCCTTGCTACCTATTGACTCTATCCTTGTTATCCCGACCGTAACACTAAAGATGGGCAGCACTGTGATCGACCGGGATACCTCCCTCTACCTCCAGAGGTCCGTTCAAGACTTGTTCTCTCTGAAAGGACGAGTCACAGTCATTACTGGCGGAGCACGAGGTATCGGTTTGGCTTGGGCGTTCGCCTGCGCAGAAGCCGGGAGTGACGTTGCAGTTCTCGACCGTCTGGATCAACCTCATGAGCATTTCTCTAAGCTTGTGAACAATTTCGGCGTGAAGATCAAGCTATACACGTATGAACTCATTCTCGTTTTGACCAGATCCTCTGCTCGAGCTAGTTATATTGGTCTGCATATTGACTCCATGTCAGAACCGATGTGACCGACTACGCTTCCTTGGAGAGAACATTTGCGGAAGTCGTCAGAGATTTCAATCGGATCGATGGCCTGTAATAGATCAAACCTCAATTACCGGACTCAGCTTGCATCATTGTAACACAGCGCACAGGATCACAGCTGCTGGAATATGCCCGGAGTAGCCATTTCTAGACAGAAAACCAGAAGACGTGACACGCTGCTTCAGCATCAACTCTATCGGGACTTACTTCGCTGCTCAACTCACGGCAAGGCAGATAGTGAAGCAGGATGAGGGTCTGGCCAAACCTAAGGGCGGCTCGATGGTTTTTATTGCATCGATCTCAGCACGCATGGCCAGCAAGGCTCAGTACACAAGCGACTACTGTGCAAGTAAGGGAGCCGTCGTTGCTCTAGCCACCCAGCTTGGGTGTGAGCTCGCAGATCGAGGAATCCGTGTCAATACCATTTCTCCTGGGTAGGTTCTGTCACTTGGACAAGTGAAATTCCTTAGACAAGGCTAATCATGTCAGATACGTTGCTACGGACATGACTTTATCCATCGCCGATACGAGGCCTGGCTTGACGGAAGTCTTCTTGTCTGAGCCGCCGATGAAGCGAATGGCTGATCGTGTGGATTTGAAAGGTGCCGCTGTCTTTCTGCTCAGCGATGCAAGTGCTTATATGACGTCTGCGGACATGCTCATTACAGGAGGAATGCATGCTGGGAGGACTTGATGCTATGAGAGTCCTGATAGAGGCCGCGGTACCTTATTGGAGACTTTTGGCCATCCGCCACAATCCTATTATCAACAACGGTCATGGAATAACAGCATAGTTTCAACGAAACCGTCCCTTCAAGGTCCGTTTTTCAGGAGTTTTGTGTGTATAATTGACGGAGTCCGCTCCCCATTGTTTTCTATATAAGTGTCCCGAAAGTGGAGGAGGAGTGTATTGCTGGACATGAACACAGGCATCCAAAGATGATTCACGTTTTGGAATGAACCCAAGATATATACTTTAGTGTTCATGTACTCATTGATGCTTCAGATTGTAATACACTGTCAAAGAGGCCTCTCGCCTCTGATTTGCTACCGCCTTTGCAACCAGAAATGCGTCAAGCTAGGTTACCGGAGACATGAATCAAAACGCGGATGCACGTGCGAATTATCGAAAGGAGTCAACCTCTTTTCTTTGTGCCCCCCCCCCCCGGCGACCCCGAATTCAGTTGCAGCTGATTTCTAAGCATTGCTCGTTGGCGCCGGCTTTCTAGCATGAACACTTGGACTTGCCATCACGTTAATCACTACATATGCGCGTCCGTCATTTGCGTTTAGGGAGTGGCGCGTAAATAGTCTCAAGGGTTTCCAGAGAGTTTTTTTTTCTTTCGGAAATTATAATCCGGATTAGAAATTGCTCGAAGACTTTTCAAGCCTTCGTCTCATATAAATCATGCCACAATGGATAGCGACAGCAACCGATCCAGCAACATGCAGAGCAGTATCGCATGTACAAGAGAGTAAATCAAACACACCTTTGAAATGGCACACGCACTTATTCTCGGAGCTTCGGGTATCTCCGGATGGTCACTACTAAACCAGTCCAGAACCTACCCGACTCCAACGACGTTCGCTCGAATCACTGGCACCACCAACCGTCCTTTCACATTGGAGCAGGCCCATATTCCGCAGGACCCACGCATTCGGATCGCCTCGGGTATCGACTTCACCCAGTCAGTGGGGAAGTCGCAAAAACTCTGAAGGAGAAGATTCCAGACGTCGACTCGGTCTCCCATGTTTCCTTCACTGGTCAGTACAGGCTGCAATTACTTTGGATGCAAGAAGTTGCTGATTCAGATCTAGCGTACATCCAAACCGGTGACTTTCAGAGCCTCAAAGAAGTCAACACCCGCCTCCTAGAAACTGCAATACGAGCTATTGAGACTGTGTCACGCGCACTGAAGGTGGTCATTTTGCAAACTGGTGGGAAAGGGTTAGAAACCCCTCGCATCGCCTTCATTTGAAACGTTCTTAAGCTGACTGCATGAAGCTACGGTCTCGAGTTCCCAAAGGTTGTCAAGATTCAACCCCCACTCAAAGAAAACAACCCTCGCATCCCGGAGCCCTGGGCAAGCAAGATCTTCTATTATACCCAATATGACATGCTCAAGGAATTGTCACAAGGGAAATCCTGGACATTTTCTGAAATTCGCCCGGACGGTATCGTGGGATTCACTCCCGCGTCAAATGCAATGAACATGGCTCAAGGCATTGCGCTTTATCTGAGTATATACCGTGAGGTTCATGGGCTTGGTGCGACTGTTACTTTTCCTGGTCGTCCTCACGGCTACGAATCCACGCACTCAGACACTTTCCAGGACATGCTATCCAAATTGGAGATTTACGCTGCTCTGAATCCTGCCAAGTGCGGAGACGGCGGAGTGTTAAACGCTGCGGACGGCAAGACGGTGACGTGGGCTCAGGTCTGGCCCCGTCTGTGCAAGTATTTTGGGCTCATTGGCGAGAAGCCTTCTGAGGTCGGCTCGCAGTCAATGCAAGATTTCGTCCAGGAGCATCGCGATGCGTGGACAGCTTTAGCCAAGAAACACAATCTCAACGAAGCGGTCGTCGATCAGCAAGGATGGGGTCATGTCCATTTCATGCTCGTCGATTTTGACTTCGACAGGCAATATGACCTATCGCGATCGCGCGAGGTTGGATTCTTAGAAGAAATCGACACGGTCGAGGGATATGTCTTGGCTTGGGAACGCATGAAGGCGGCGAACATTCTTCCTCCGTAACTTATCTATTTCGATCCAACCCGATAGCTAATAAGCCCATCCTATGTGCTGTCCATGCAGATTAACACGCAACTTTTCTCAAATTGTGGACAACGGCGCATAAATACGTGTAAATGTTTCATTGAACCAACAAGGTGGGGACCTGTATGACGGTATTCCAAAAGATGGAGATATTTCTACCTAAGCCTCGTAGCTAAAGGCATATTTTGCTCTTGGAATTACAAGATTCTTCCCTTCGTTGGTATTTGGACGCAACATGTTATATTTCTTCAATACGGGTACTGTCTTAGGAGCACGGGATTCTATCTTTGCACCAGAAATTCAAACCTATTGGAATTATTCTTTTAAACGTTGATGCGACAGCCCAGCTCGTCAAAATGGATCTTCTGGCCTGTGGTAAGGCTATCTCTCGATGCGACTGCAATTTCGACCGCCTTGACAGCTCCGCGAAGACCAAAAGGAAGCTCTGTGCCATCAAGACAGGCAGCCGTGAACTCGATCGCCTCGGTGACAAACGCATGTTCGAAACGCCCATAGTAGTCGGTGGGCAGTTCTCGACGGACGCCACCCACCTTATGCATCTCAACTAGTGAGTCCGCAGGGTGGCTATTGACCACGATCTTCCCCTTGGTGCCGATGACCTCCGACATGTCGTGCTGGCCAGCCGCCATGATACGCGAATTGAAGAATTGAGCGACTTTACCGCCCCAGAACTCAACGATAGCAACGCCATTATCCACATCTCCGAGTTCTGCGAGCTCAGAGTGAACGGCACACACCCCACTTGCCGACACACTTTTCACGACGAGGCTCTCTCCGAGGAACCAGAGGCACAAGTCAATGTCGTGTATGTTGAGGTCCAGAAAGACGCCACCGCTCGCTTTGACATAGGGAAGGAAGGACCTGGTAGGGTTGAGCATGTCGCATGTTTGTGACCGGAACACCACAGCGTCACCGACGGAGCCCGAATTCATCTGGCTCCATGCCTTCCTGTAGGAGTCATCGAAGCGGCGAGAAAATGCGCAGAGGACTTTGAGGTGTGGCTTCTTGGCTGCTGCGTCGACAACTGATTGGGACTGTGATGGTTCAGCCGATTACATACAGGAAGAGCATAGGCTTTGTTGAGAAAGACAACTCACAATATCTGCACGGATACTAAGTGGCTTTTCGCAGAGGACGTGTTTGTCCTGCTCGATGGCTTTGAGGGCTTGATCTGCATGTGCTCCAGCAACAGTTGCAATCACGACTGCCTCGAGACCATAGTGCTCGAGAAACATGTCGTAGTCAGTGTATATGGTTGCACCATGCGGTTGGAGCTCCCTATACCAACGTGCAGCTTCTTGGAATCCATGGAGAGGGACACACCTATCGCGAGCCAAGCAGCTTAAGAAGTGTGACACCGGTGAGGGCCTTTTAGCAGGGGTGACTTGTATTATTGAACACGTTGTATAGACCTCGTGAGTGCAACCTCTTGTAGTATGCTTCCGGAATATAGATCCCGTACCTGTGGTGGAGTCTCGTGTTCAAAGAAGGCCGAGGGTTGCCAGGATGATTTGTTCCAGTACCCTCCAGCAAAGATCTTCCCCGGATTTGTCGTCGTCCAATGATGGCATGCCCAGAATTTCCCCATGTTTTCTTTGCCTTCCCCGCAAGTCGGCAATCCATCATCTTGGCAATATAAGTCTTAATAGGCGAACAGTGGTCGCAACCCTCCGCTATTGTGTAATGTCGAAAACTATTTAAAGGGGCCCCAAAGCCTCACTTTTCTCAAGATGACACAATGCAATTGTGGTATGGTTTTTATCCACATACGATTTTTAAACCGTCCGTGTCAACTTCAGACAGGATCTGGGCAGGATTCCAAAGACCTCAAGCTGAGAAACCGCTTTCAACTTAGACGGCGTCATCATCTGTGTTGCGCCTTCTCAGAGTTCACAAGCAGTATGTGGCTCCGAGATAGTGAGGGCAAAGCCTTGACTGCTTGGATCACATTTGCGGCGGGCGCTGGGTTTACACTCTTCGGATATGATCAGGGAGTGTTTGGCGCTATTCTGACCAATGAGTCTTTCATCAAGACTTTCAACGAACCGAATCCGACCCTTCAAGGACACATAACCGCTACCTATGATCTTGGCTGCTTTGCAGGCGCAATCCTCACGATGTGGCAAGGAAATAGATTCGGCAACAGGCGAATCATTCTCATGGGCTCCTTTATTCTAGTCATCGGAGCAATTCTTCAGACGTCGGCATATCACGTCCCCCAAATGATCATTGGCAGGTTTATCGGTGGTCTTGGAAATGGCATGAACACCGCATCAATCCCCGTCTGGCAGTCAGAAACAGTGCCGGCTGGACATCGAGGCTATGTCATGGTGCTCCAGCTGGCCGTCAATCAGGTTGGCAATGTAACATCTCAATGGATCAACTACGGCATGACGTTCATCGCCTCAAACAGCTTGTCATGGCGATTTCCCCTTGGCTTTCAAATGTTCTTTGCCGTTCTGACAATTGTCCTTGTCCCCTTTCTCCCGGACTCGCCTCGGTGGCTCATCATGAAGAATCGCAACGAGGAAGCACTTCGGGTCATTCGTCAGCTTGGGGGCAGACGCCGGTCGGAAAGGGAGAATAATGAAATGTTCACGGTCATCCAACAGAATGTCGACCACGAGATGAGTATGGGAAAAATCACCGTCAAAAGCGTCTTCCAGCGAGACGCCCTGCACACCACTCGTCGGGTCCTCCTTGGAGCCGGAACCCAACTTATGCAACAATGGACCGGAATTAACGCTATCTTATACTACCTCCCAATTGTTTTTGCCTCATTGGGAATCGACCACAACTTATCAATTATCTTGTCGTGCTGTAACGCCATGAACTCGCTTATATCAACTTGCGTTGGGGCTGCCTACATCGAGAATGTTGGACGCAAGAGATTGATGTTCTGGGGTGCCATCGCGCAGTCTCTATGCTATTCCCTTGTCGCACTTGGTCTCGCCCTTGGAGGCAAGCAATGGGAATGTGTTGCGGTGACCTTTGTGTTCGGTTTCATGACGGCCTTTAGCCTGTCGTGGATCGCTGTTCCCTGGATGTACCCGGCTGAGGTCAACACCCAACGTATGCGAATCGCTGGCGCCGGTATTGCGACAGCCACGAACTGGATCAGTAACTACGCTGTGGTCCTCATTACACCAATCGGCATCAACAACCTTGGTTGGAAGTATTACATCTTGTACGCAGTACTTAACGCTGCTTTTGTTCCCATCGTCCAATTTTTCTACGTTGAGACCGCAGGGCTAAGCTTGGAGGACATTGATCGCTTGTTCGAAGGACTTTCATCAGACCTCCCTGCGAATAGCGGTGCTCTTGGACAAGAAGGGGATAAAGAAGTTTCCGTTGCACATATCAACGATACATGAATTCTGGCCTTAGACGCACAGGATGATGGTTACTGAGAGATTTCCAACATAACCCAAGTGCTCAACCGTACTTCAGCAATTGTAATAATTTAGGGGAAGACGCATAGTCTCTAATGTTTTCAATAACCAAGTGAACATCTTGCCACATTTGCAACACAATTAACATCAGCGTCGCTAGCGTACAACGGTAGTAACTTTCTCTTGTTTGAGCAGAACGGCTGATAGCTTACGTGATGTGATCGCTGACCAAGTTCGCAAACCTTGGTATAGACCTTAGCGATAGCGCAGGCATTCCGACGTTTCCTAGTGTAATGAAGGGGTGAAGCAGACTAGCAGACGACACTTACTAGTAACATCGAAGTCATTGTCTGGGTCCACGCAGCGATCATCTACGAATGCCTCAGAGATGAACAACTAAGAATATGATGTGAGTTAGCGATTTGATCCCCGGCAAATCTGTGCCCATGGGACCCCAGTCTAGTGGAGCGGATCGGACCTCCAATGAGACTGGGCCGTGAGCCGGATTTCAAATTCCGAGCACTACACCTAATTGGCTCTGGCTCTGTTGCTTGCTGGGTCCCATAACCTGGGGCAAGTATCGTCCCCCACAAAGTTCTTCCTGGCTCGGCAATTAAACTTCGAGAATGAGGATGGGCTATTGTGATAATAAGGACAGGAAATTACAACTGAATCGGATAAAATTGCTGGTTCGATAGACAGGTATATGTTGTAAAATGAAAATACCAGTCAAAACTCCAAGGCCGCTAGCCCAAGGTGCATCTAGGCCAAGGCGAAGCCGGTGATTTAGACGTAGTAGCCGCATATCCCGACGACCCCGCAGGCCTCTCAGAATTTTGTCTCCCTGCCTTTGTGATGTACGTCGTGTCTGGCCTACTTTTGTTGTCTCCCAAAATCATCAGACCTGGTTTGAAGGAGGCTTTTCGCGTATGCCAGAACAAACATGTCGGACAGCAGCAGAGCTGGTGCCTCCACCACTAAGGCTCGTCGCCATATCACCACGGCCTGCTGGCCTTGCCGGGAGGACAAAATCAAGGTACCGTCCGCCCTGCGCTCTGACAGCTCATTAAATGTGGCGTCCTATTGAATCTGATATTCTGTGATTGTTTTTTGACTTCGTCTCCGTCCGCAGTGTGATGGGGCGACACCGGAATGTCGGCAGTGTGCCATAAAGAATCGAGACTGCACCTATGCTGGGGTTGATCGGAGGAAGTAAGTAGGCCGTTACCATCCATTATGGCCCACCTTTTCCCCGGGTCCAATCAGTCGCATGCATGTCCTACTATCTACTGGATATAGAATACCTTACTGACTAGGGCAGACTTTCCCTCCGCAAGGCCGTCGAAGCCTTCTCGCAGCGTGTGCGACAGCTTGAAATCTTTATCCATGCTCACAACCTCACTGTACCCCCAACGGATACAGAACACCAGGCAGTACTAGACCAGCTGTCTTCCCTGTACCCTCAAGAAACATCTGAGCGTAGTCATGCAGACAGAAACCATGCCGAGACTGTCCTTGCCATACCGCAGGTCTTTCCGGACCTCGGCTTAGGGGTTTCGACTGCTCCGGTCGTTGACATGACAACCACTACAGATTTGTCAGGAGTTCCAGGTCTTCTGCCTACATCTTCTCCTTTTCTCAGGACTGCTCTCCAGGCTCCTAATCATGCCGCCGACGGCCACTCCAATATGAGCCCTTTGGACTTTTCTGCCGCAACATTGCCCTTTAATCAATATTTTGATGTCGACTGGGTGTGGAATCATACCATGGTGAATTATTTGGACGGCGACATTGACGTTGATCATCTTCAACTCCCAGTCCAGAGAGACGACAAGCCTTTGTCACAGGCCGATCCTCAGTCCACCTCGTCGGATCCCTCTCCTCCAACACCACCCAACGATGACGAACTTACTGACGATGAAGACCAGTCCGCAGTCACAAACGAGCTTTCACATCGTTTGGGGTCTCTCTTAATGACAGATAACGGAGAGAGGCACTTTTATGGTGCCACGTCCAATCTCAACTTGGCACGCGGTGGAAGCTTGCCCGTAATGTACGGAAATCGCCCCGACCAAGGACGACAGGCGCATGCCCGCCTAGAAGTTGCCGGTATCCACCAAGATATCAGCCGTGATCTCGAAGAGCACCTTCTCCAGCTCTTCTTCACATGGCACAATCCAACTCTATATATTGTTGACCAAGCGCTCTTCACTAAAGCCCGCATGGACTTTGAGCAAGGGAAGCGCGAAACCGTGTTTTACTCGCCCTTTCTCCTCAATGCGATGTATGATACATCAAGAATATCCAAATATTCAAATAGAAGCTGACAATAGTCCAGGTGTGCTGTCGGCGCTGCTTTTGAGACACGTAAACATCCCAATCTACCGGCTCCGCTCGCAGAATTCTTCGCAAACCGAGCTACCACTCTTCTTGACTTTGAATTGGAGCATCCTCGTGTCTCTACTGTCCAAGCCCTTACCATATTGAGTAGCCACGAGGCAGCATGCACAAGAGATACCCAAGGATGGCTCTTCAGCGGTCAGTCGCCGGTGCCCTTCGCCCATCCTGCAGCTGGGTTTCGCGACAGCTGATATTTTGTCACGATACTCTAGGGATGGCCATCCGTCTTTCAATTGATTTTGGTCTACACATAAGCGCCAAGCCGTACGTCGAGGCTGGATCAATGTCAGTGGAGGAAGCAAGAGGCCGAAGCGTCGCATTTTGGGGCGCTTTTGCTACTGACCAGTGAGCTTCTACCAGCTCTGGCAAGCAGTTCAAGGAATGGAGCTGACATATTTTTGCAGCATGTGGGGTCTCTATCTTGGAAGGCCACTGCACAATATTTCTCAAGTCGTCACGGTGGAAACTCCAATGGCCTTCTCAGGAAACCGGGACCAATACCGGTCGCCAGGCACAATTGACCGGGAGAAAGGCACATTAGAACACCAAGAACTGTTCGTCGAGCAGTGGGTTCAGCTTCCCAAGATTATGTCACGTTTGGAATGCTCCCTGTAGGTTCACGGCCTGTGTCCGATTTCTGAGCGACCATCTGGGTATTGACCGTTCTAGGTACTTTGATGCGGACGTATCCAAGGTGGATCTAGTGAGGCTGGGGCAGCGTACATTGGCACAATTGCTCTCTTGGAGACAGAATTTGCCTGAGGCCCTCGATTTAGATCCTGATTGCGCTACACCTCCAGAACGTGCGCCCCACATCCTTATTTTACAGTGAGTTTACTATTTCCTGCGGTGTGGACGGTCCGGTATCTAACGGCGAGAAAAGCATGCTCTATGAGTACCTCATTATACTTCTACATCGTCCCTTTGTCGCTAAGCGTTACATCCAACCATTCCCATTGATTGGCAAAGGCCCTGAGCATGCACGCGAAATGTGTGTCCGATCAGCATCTCGGATATCGGTTCTTCTATCTTGGTATGAAGAGCAATACTCTCTAGGCCACGCCAACGTCTTGGTGGTTCAAATAACATTCAGTGCTGCGCTCATCCTCGTCTATGCCACTGTCTCCGAAACAGATATTCAGAATCACCGGCGCTTGACCGGCCATCTAGAAATGTGTTGTCGGGCATTGGCGGAGCTTGGAAACGTCTTCAATAATGCTACCCGCACTCTAGACGTTCTGCTCCACGTCAAAAGGACATGGCAAGCTCGCCTCATCGCGGCGTCGACAGGTTCCAAGCGCCGAGCACCCTCCACAGGCGGGTCACCAACAAAACGCCGCACCTTGTCAGATGTCGCCCGCGCCTGATATTGAGCCTCGGTGCCAATGTGGTTCTAAGCTGCCCAGCTGCCACGCATGACCGTCGTGTGCTGCAGAAGCCGGTTGGCTTGAACGGAACGTCGTGCCTGCCTCGATTTTCAGTTCTGCACAACCAGCTTGACGACCAACGCTCCAGTGTCGTCACTTGTCCTTCCAGCCATGAAAAGGCTTCTGGGACCATCGAGAGGCCCTTGTAAGAATGGGTCGTGAGGCCCCTCAGGTCGGGTATTGACCTATCCTTGGTGCATTTCTCCATGAGTTCGATACCTTGGGGATAGCAATTGGCATACCGCCACACTCCGACGAGATCTACCTCGCGCAACGAAGCAGCTGACATCGGGAGTGTCTGATGTGTACCCATGCCAATAAGGAGAACCTTACCCCCGCCGCGCGTAGCCTAGAGTATCTAATTAGTATGGGCGACTGATGGGCGGATCTGTGCTCATGGTGTATGCACTCGTCTGGCTTACATAAATAGCTGTTCTTACGCAACCTTCCACGCCGGTGCATTCAAAGGTCCTAGCAAACCTGTCTCCCTGATTCATGGCTACCAGATCCGCGGCATCCTTCTTGGCAAAAGCTAGGCCTTTCTCGATGCTGTTTGGCCTTTTCGATACCAGATTCACCGTGTCATCCGCGAAGCCATTCTCTTTCGCGAATGCGAGACGATTCGACGCGATGTCTGCCATGACAACTCGGTTGTACCCGGCGCATTGTACCCGGCGCATTTGGCTGCAGCAGCACAGAGAAGGCCGACCGCACCAGCCCCAATCACCAGACATGTTGCGCCTGGCTTTGAAGCCGCTTTCCGAACTGAATGGATGGCAACCGCTAAGGGCTCCAAGAGGGCTCCGTCAACATAGGAGAGGGTTTCAGGTAGTCTTGAGATACCAATCATCAGCTCCGTTTTCGAACAACGCTCCCACTGTTGCAATCAAGTACTTCAAACTGAAGGAGCAGGCACGATACCTACTTGTGAACCCACTTGGCTGGATGGTTGAATCGCTCCCGAAGAGTGCCCTGAAAGTGTGGGAAGGCGGTTGCGCTGCTACGGAACCGCATCTTTTCGCACACGTTGTAGTCCCCGTCAAGGCATACTTCGCATTTGTCACAGGGCACACCCGCCTCTAATGCCACTATATCTCCCACTTTGATGTCATGTTTTGACGCAACCTCGGGCCCAACAGCAATCACCAAGCCGGCGCTTTCATGGCCTTGTGAGAGCGGCTCTTTGATTTGGATGTCTCCGTTGCGGAAGTGTGTATAGTAGTGAACATCAGACCCGCACAGGGTGGTAGCTTTCATCTCAATTGGAACTTCTTCAGATTCGGGGGGTCCGATGCGCAGGGAAACCTGCAGCCGTCAGCAGGAGATCCAATCATGACCTGGTGTGTAATGATTTATACAAATCAGGCGCAAATCTTTCGGCCCATACAAGACCTGAGCCTGAATGTTGTCAGACGAGGTTGCCTCGGCGTTTCCCATCCTGCGAAATGTAAGAAGGAGGCTAGGTCTCGGCTAATATCGGATTTTCCATTCGGTCAGCGCTCATCTTATACAACAATGCAGTGTGATTTCTTTTCTTTTCTTCCCTTCTTCTTTTTGATAAGCACTACTGAGCACATTGGTGAATTTTCATGAAACGCATTGTCCGCGGATTAGCAATTCCAGGAGCGTGCGCCGGTTCGGACTTCAGAATCCGACGGCAGCATCTGGCCTAGAACTTCGAAGACAACGCGCGGAAAAGGCTTCCGGAAAGGCATAGAAGGCCAACTCTTTCAAGCTTCAAATGGCATTCTGTACGAATTCCGACAGCCAGATACGAGCGAACATTTTGGCAGTCGAAATTTGAAGTGCTTTCCTGGGCGTCTCCCCATTTCAGTGCCGAAATGTCTCTATCGTCAACTAGGGTAGATTTTTACATCAACCCCTTAAGACATGGCCCGTCTGTTCATGCCAACTATACCCTCCCTTATTTACCAAATTCTAAGATACAGCAATGGGTGTCAATGCTATCATCATCGGCGCCGGGCTTTCAGGCATTGCCATGGCTCACAAACTCAAACATGAGATTGGTTTCGAAGATTTCACGATATATGAGAAGTTGGATGGCATTAGATGGACGTGGAGGGCAAATACTTATCCCAGCTAATGAGTCCTCATTACGGAGCCTGTGACGCTGAGCTTGGTCGCATTGACAGTTTCGAAGTGGCTGTGACGTCCACTCCCAGCTTTGTTCCTTCAGCTTCAATCTCAATCCAAACTGGTCCAAGGAGCTTGCCGAACAAGGGGAGATACTGCAATACATCGAAGACACTGTCGACAAATTCCATCTCAGACCACATATCAATACATTCGTGGAGTGTGTCGGCGCGGCCTGGGACTCCGAATCAGCGCAGTGGATTGTGCAGATGAAAGACCTCAAGACAGGTATCAACTTTACTCGACGGTCTACAAGATTCGTCAGCGCAGTGGGAGGCATCTCTTTTCCACGCGACGTAAGCAGAAAGGCATTTGACGTGTGGTCCAAATCAGCTGACGATGTCTCATAGGTCCATTTCGAGGGAATGGAGGATTTCAAGGGACCCATGTTCCACACTGCACGGTGGCGCCACGACGTTGACTACACTGGCAAACGTGTGGTAAGTTGTACTGTCCCCTGAGTCTCGTAGCAAAAGCCTAATCTTAATATTTATGACTTAGGCTGTCATTGTAAACGGCTGCAGCGCCGTTCAGGTCATCCCTCGCTCTCCAGACGCGCTGCTTCGGTCAAACAGTATGCTCGTAGTCCTCAGTGGTATCACGAGCGGCCAAATCACCAGTCCAGCCCTCTGGAGAAGGCCGCGTTCCGCTATCTTCCCATATTGATGCGACTACGGAGATGGAACATCTTTTGGAGCATCGACAAGCAATCTTATGCCTATCGAGGAACCGAAGACGGCACCAAGCAGAGACTGAAGGAGGCACAGCATGCGAGGAACTACATTTACAAGAAGGCCCCCGAGAAGTATCACGATATTTTAGTCCCCGACTTCGAGTAGGCTGCAAGAGGAAGATTGCCGACCCCCACTATCTCGAGTCTTTGCATCGTCCCAACATTGAGCTTATTCCTGAAGGCTTGCAGAGAATTACCGTAGACGGCATTGTGAGCGCGTCCGGGCGAGTTGGTAAATACGATATAATGGTCTCGCAACTGGATTTAAGGTCTCGCAGTTCCTCACTCCTATGCACATCGTCGGTGCCGACGGAAACTCGCTTGACCAACAGTGGAGGGAGTGCCGAGGTGCTCAAGCTTATCTCGGCACCTTTGTCCATAACTTCCCTAACCTTGCTATATTGTGAGTCTCTACTACAAAGTCCGGCTCTTCGGCACTGTGCTGACTATCTTCTGCCAGGTTCGGCCCCAACACATTTCCAGCCAATAACTCAGCACTGTACGCCTGCGAGACTCAGGTCGCTTACGCAGCAAAAGCTCTCTTCCAACCCTTGCTGGACAACCGTGCCTCCGTGATCGAGGTGAAAGAATCTGTTGAGAACTGCACAACGAACGAGCTACATCAGAGGTTACAAGGAATTCCTTCTCTGGCAGCTGCTCGAATTGGTACATTGGCGAGTTCGGCCGGAACGCGGCATAATGGCCTGGCCTGGCCATTGAGTATTATTTCGCCACGCTCTTCCCTGATTGGAAGGCTTTCACTACGAAAGGCGGAAGCAGTCTGTGGTTTCTCAATGCCCTGAACAGGTGGATTCAGTGCCATAAGAGTCAATATCTTGCGAGCGTCTTCATGGCCGCTGCGTTCAGTGGAAGAGTCGCATGCGTCGATCTTAACAAAGATGTAAGAAAGCGCATCCCGTCACTGTCAAGGTTTTGCTGAAGAGAGACGAGAAGTATTGTGCACTCGTGCGTTGGCTATCTTGGTATATGTGCTGCTAATTTTACCTCTTTTTTATATTCTTTTTGTTGAGCAAAAGAGGGATAATCACAGCGCAGATTCAGTCCATATGGTGCGTGACTGGCTCAGTACTTTGGGGGTGAGATTGTGCCGTATGCAAGGTGCCAAAAGAAGTTCCTACGCCCTGGAAAGGCGAGCTCGATCTGGCAAGGAGCTAGTGGTGCCAGTCCCGGTTTTTTTATGATGTTATAGTTATATGACGCCAAACAGGTCATCTCATTTGGTTCAGACAGTAAGGTATTCCAGGGTCGAGCATTGCCTTGACATCAATCATCAATGGAAGCTAGCACGCAGAGACGACTCGCAGCTCGAGTTGAGCATCGCCTGACATAAGCATCAACAATTCGCGGAAGAAGGAGTGAATGTACTTGATCATTTGAAGAAAGGTAGAGACTGTATACATCAAAACTCATCATGAGCAGGCCAGCCCTCATACGTAGCTCGAGTGTAAAAAGACAAACAATAATGCACGACCAGTTTGGCCTGGACCGTCAAGCTAAATACACATGCCATGCAAAACGTTGCAAATCCTCTCTAGCTAGCAGGTTTGGAGGGATTCACAAGCCGGCCGACGGTCTTAGATGGCCTTTTTAAACCCTTGCAAAAAGTGAGCGTGGGATCTGGTTACGACGGGTTCAATCTTTCCGACCAAAGCACCGCCGAGACTAATTGACTCTGGAATTCCATCAAATGAGACTCTTATTTGCGTCAGTGGCCCTCCATTGGAATTTCTCGCAGACACAATGATGGTTCCCCTATGCCTTTCGCAATTTTGTTTCTCGACAGGCACTCCGTGGCCTACATGTGTTGTCATAAACTACGCAGTCGTTTGGCCAATTATCTTCCGTTTCTAAGAATAGACGAACTTGAGGTAATTATCCAGGCACCTATAGCTTGGTGCCTGGATATTTAAAAGTGACATATCAGTGGTTGCGAAATTGGACGAACGACCGCAAAGCAAACCAAATGTGGCACGTTCAAACTTGTACGTCTTCAACAAAAGGAGTGGCTATTTCAGGAAACTTTCATGCAGTCGTCTTAAATGTGGAACTTGCGGTGGTGTAGCGTAACCAGTTGTTCGACGACGTGCCTGTCGCACCAGTCTCAATGGTTGCGGAGTCCAAGGTCGAGACCAACACCAACATGTTCACTTCATACCCTCCAGCTCGCTTTAGCACGAACTCTAAACAATCTTGGTATAAGTCAATGTATTCCCTGACGTCTGCAGTAATTTAAACTTGATCCAAGGACATTAGCTCGTTGATGCTGCGATGTCTAGACGTGTACCTCTTGCATCCCTCGCTGGACAGGGCCTACGAGGGATCAAGGTCACGATAATGGGCTATGCACCTAACAATGTGTGATAATCTGTCTGGTTGGTTTCATCAACAGCGGCGTGGTAAACTCAGTAGAGTTGGTCAAGGTCGGCTGGGTCTATGCCGACCGATTCAGGGTCGCTCTTTGCTTCTAAATTAGACATCGATAGCCAGTCATGTCACATCGCCTTCCAAGATGATTCACTAGCTTCAAATTAGCTCCAAAATGAGGGATCCTCCTGCTAGTTGTAACTCGACTGTTGGCTCTATCCAAGAGTGTGTTGTTGGGCGTTGTATTGGGGAACAATGTTATCCCGTTCCGCCGTGCGGCGCCCGACAATCACCTCCATCCTGATGTTCTAAGCTACAATGCATCCCACCTTGACAATTGATCTTCCATACTGGGAGCGAAATTGGCCGACTGATTGTACACATTACTTGGCCCTTTGTATCCAAACGACGTTATGAGTCCGATTACATACTCTTGCAACCTGTGCGGCTTCACAGTGCGCCCCGGGCGTCCAAGGAAAGCCCCAGTCTCTTGGCTGAATGAATTCAGAGCAGGCGAGTTTTAGTCTCGATATGGCAGCTGAGTGTTTTCTGACATTTACAGCAGTCGTTTCGTCTTTTGGTGGGCACGCCAAGTTAACAGGCGTGGGCCTTTTCGTCGATGCCAATACTGGCTCCTTCGCAGCCCCTCCTGACACGAATACCCACTGGAACGACAGTGACTACAGTCGGAAAGACGGTCAGGAGTTTGGCGTAGGAATCGGTTTTGAAAACGGGCTATACGGCTTGATTTTCCACTGCAGTTGCTGGTCCGTCCTAGAGAGAGTCTTCCACCCCAAGCCCGTACCAGTGGACAGTTTGTACGAGCTCTGCTTGTCCATGCCAAAGCCTCTTCAAACAAGCTGCATTAACTGGGGTCACGACTATGGAGGGCTTCATTACTGGGAGAAAAGACCCTATCTACCATGGGATGTCATTGAGGAACCCACGATCTATGACATGGATGATCTTCAGGATCCTGAACCGGGTGATTCTGAGGCCAGCAGAGAATGGGCAGCAAAATACGGCCTTCCGCCATCGCGGCAGGACGATTCTGACGACGATGAGTGGACAGAGCCTACTCTTCGTATATCAACTCTCATTAGTGACCCCTATCACTTAGATGAGATCCAGAGGATTCTTCAAGACCCGCCAAAGGCACCACCAGAAAGGGCCTTCCGTTACTTGTTACCACATGCGGACGGGGACTTATTCTCTCAGCTGCCTCAAGAGCTTCGCATTGCAATTTCAAAATACTTACCCACTGCGGACTTCCTCAATGGGCGCCTGGCACTACGGGGTCTCTGGGATATATTCGACAGCCAGCAGTTTTGGGCGACAAGGTTCTTAGGACACAAGGCTGAGCGATCGTGGGTTTTTGAGTCTTATGACCTTGTGGGATCTACACACGACTGGCGGTTCCTGTACAAGCAAACTTCAGATGCCTTTGTTTCCCAATCAAGCAGCTTGCGGAATAGAAGTCGAGTGTGGCAACTGGCGCGGCGACTCAGAAGTATCCTAAGCCTTAAGCCACTAACACGGCTTCCTCCCGTCGAGAACCAAGCGGGTGATGGTGAGTTTGAGTGGTCGACCGCGCAGGCCGACGTTTGCCAGCCATCGCCTGAGGAACCGCACAAGGCTTTTGTGCGTGGTTGTCGCGTACTGCACCGCCAACGAGTGCAACTAAAATCACCAGCGAGTAACCAGAAGATTGGTCTGTCTTTTGTCAAGGTCGGCGAGAAGTCCTATCTTTCAGGGCTCAGACTCAGCTCCAGAACGGGAGAGGATGTTCAAATCGGGTATCAAGCCTTCAACGAGCGGATCGTCGATCTTGGTTGCGAGGAATTGACGGGCATCAAGCTTGCGATAAGTCCCAGAGGCATACAAGCGCTTCAGTTTGTCACCAATGGCAATGGTGACCGTGCGAGATGGTATGGACAGCCAGAAGACGTGCCACAAACAAACCGCCTGGTATTAGAGAGCCCTCTCACCGACTTAGACATCGGGTTGGACGTAGGTAGTTCTTGGCGCGAGTTGGCACTCTCTCACTAATACTCTTTTTCATAGGCGTGCAAGATTGTTAGTCTCGCAGTCCCTCGTGAGCCGTCACTGCCCCGAAATACCATCTCAAGGGTCATTGACAATATTCGTCCCGAGAGCCTGCGGCAAGCTGGGCTCTGGTTTCCCGGTATCCCAATCAAATATCACAACTTTGGACGCCACAAATGTCTCGGATCCCAATGCCATGCCGAACATGTGTTCGAGATTGATGGACCTGGCGGCGAGCTGATCACTTCTCTCGAGACTATGCTCTTCACATTTCATGGTAATAATGACGATTTAGGAAAGGAGAGCGATGTGGTGGACTTGACGGTGTGTTGGCAATCATTTGACTTATTCTATATCCTATAATCAATCGCTAAACGCTTTGTTTCCTATGTCTTACAGATCAGAACCAACCGAGGTCAATCACTTCGGCTCAGAGACGACACAGATCTTCATCTCATGACCGCTCAATCAAATGGCAAGATCTTCAAGAGGAGGTTGGATGTCAACGAAGGAACCACAATCACTGGTTTATACGCTCACCAGGTATGCGCGACGAATCGGCTCGGAGGACTTGAGCAGATGTGGCTAACAGTGATATATGTCAACAGTTCCATGGAAGTAGATCCCAATTTATGGCACTCGGTGTGATTAGTGAACAGCTTGTTTGACGACCTCACGGCTTTGTCACATAACTTCGGAGTCTCGGCACTAAGCTGAGAGGGTATAACTGTATCAAATCTGAGCAAACAGTCCTTGCATAGTTAGCGGCAGCTTTTGGACCGGCCATGTGTTGATCAAGATGATTAAGTCAGCGGTGATGCTTCTTATCAGACGTTAGGTGGAGGTGGTGGTAAAAGACCAGCGTGCGGCGTAGATGTGCTCTGATAACAAGAGGCAATTCGTCCATCCCTTATCACGCGCTCATTTCGGTATGCATGATGCGTCACGACGTGATACCCCGCCGGCTGTCCACTCCTGCAAGCCACTGCCCGTGCCGGGCAATAGTTAGCGTGAACCTAGTCTTGTCTGCCTGACCTGAGTGAAACACTTTGCGAAGCCGGTCTGCTCGGTCACAGCAAAAACACGCTCCCTCTATCAACTGGTCTGTCACACCTGCAAAAGTCCGAGTCCAGCCATGTCTAAGGCGTTTTCAATTATCCAAACCGTGCCCGTTGCCAAGGGGACACCAGAGTATGAAGAACACCGGGACCGCATTGTACAGGAACATTTCACGGACAAGGTCCCAAAGGAGCTCCTTTTGCCGTCCGAGATAATCAAAAGCCCGCCTAGAAATGTGACCAAAATCCCCCACGACTGCGGGCTTCTGACCTCAGAAGAGCTGGACATCACCGAAAATTACGATGCGACTGCACTCGCCGATGCTATCCGAGAGCACAAGCTCACGGCTGTGGCTGTAGCCACAGCCTTCGCCAAGCGCGCCATCATCGCCCATCAGCTTACATGCTGCTTGACAGAATGGTTCCTGGATGACGCCGTTGCCCAAGCCCAGGCACTGGATGACCACCTTGCCGCCACCGGTAAGACCGTTGGGCCCCTCCACGGAGTGCCGATCTCCATCAAGGAGCACGTGCAGATGGCGGGCCACTGGTCTGCGGACGGTTACATCTCCAGCCGCCAGGTCGACAGTGAGGACTGCAATCTTGTAGCCATCTTGCGGAGCCTCGGAGCTGTCTTCTATTGCAAGACAAATCAGCCCCAGGCTATCATGCACCTGGAGACAGTGAGCCCGTACGGGCGCACCCTCAACCCCCACAACATCGACCTCTCCGCAGGAGGCTCGAGCGGGGGAGAGGGAGCTTTGATAGCACTGAGGGGCTCTGTTCTGGGAGTTGGGTCGGACATTGGAGGGAGCATTCGTGGCCCAGCTGGGTTTTGTGGTATATACGGCTTCAAGCCGACAAGCCACTACCTGCCGACGAACGGGATGTTGCACGGCGGAAATCCCGCGGAGTTGACCATTCTGGCTACTTGTGGACCAATGGCCGTATCACTGCGGGATCTGGATTTGTTCATGTCCCTTGTTATCGGTGCAAAGCCATGTTTGCGAGAGCCGAGCCTGGTTCCGATACCTTGGACTGGACTCAGCACTCCATCGCCCTCATCTACTTCCCTGAAGGTTGGTTTCATGATGCATGACGGGGTGATACAGCCGCAGCCACCGGTTGTTCGAGCGCTCGAATGGGCGATGGGTAAACTTAGCAATTCTTCCACTGTTACCGTCAAGCCTTTTGCGCCCTATCGTACAGCCGATGCGATAAGAAACATCCGCAGAGCTTACACACCCGACGGCGGCGCCAGCCTGAAGGCTGGGCTGGCCAAGGCCGGTGAACCCATGGAGCCCCTGACGAAATGGATCATTCAAGATGCCGAAGGCCCTCATTACAACTTCCAGCAAATGTTTGATATGCGCTGTGAGCGTGACAATTTCCGTTGCAGTTTCGCCAAGCACTGGTCGGAGCAGGACGTCGACGTTGTCATCTGTCCTGTGTATGTAGGCCCAGCATGCGTGCACGATACAGGCCTTTATTGGGACTATACCGCGTTCTGGAATTATGTTGACTGCCCCGGCGTGGTCATTCCGACCCCAGTCAAGGCCTTGAAGAAGGGCCAGGAGCAGTATGCACCTGGCGAACCACTCAGCAAGGAAGATACGCATGTACGCGAGCTGTGGGCAGAGGGCGACTTCGATGGGGCGCCAATCAATCTGCAGATTGTGGCGAGGAAGTACCACGACAATGATTTGTTCGCGGCTGTCAATGAGATCGAGAAGTGTCTTCACACCGACTAATATGTATCAGATGCTTAGTTGAGCCTCAGATTACATCGCAGACGTAAGATCGTCGCTGTAATGGCTTGCTCTTTCCCTTTTCCTACCCCTCTGAAGAATTACGTGCTGTGATCGTGATATTCTACTGGTTGTGCATACCAATTCTGTCCCAATTCTGTCCCAATTCTGTCCCAATTCTTACCCAATTCATCGTTATCTGAGCTGAGACTCAAGAAGGCAGCGACTGAAGACCTCAATGAGTGCCTAAACCCACCAAAGTACACCGAAGTAAACCGAGGTGTGGGACATAAGAGCCGCAGAGCAAATCCCAGTAGAATATCGTAAATGAGGCTTCCCAGCTTCCCAGCTTTCCGTGGCCTCCGGGGCGCGGTCCAGAATTTGGCAGTGCAGAAGCTAACTACATACGGGTCCACATCCACTTATTCGGGACTCGAGTGCCGTCGTACAATGGTGATCATGACATGAGCAACGGCTCTTATCAGCGAGCGCTTACCTTACGCCGCCCGCACTACCCGTTTCGACCCTCGATTACCACACCGACGCCCATTCTTGTGGTGGATGGCATTTGCGGCAACGTAAGCCGGCTCCCTAGTTGCCTACCCACCTTTGTCAGATGTAGTCACGTTATTGGGGGCTGTGCACTTTTTGGGCTGCCTGACCACCCCGGATTTGACCTAGGAACAATTGAACACCGCCTGAAAATACGCCCGTTCAAGAGAAGTTGGGGGCTAGAGAGTAGTAAAAGCAAGGCTTTCAGTTTCCAGGAGGATCACCAACCGCAGCGCCGAGTCATATTGTAGGCAGTGTGCAAAACACCTGATTGGCGCGAGCGCGGAGAGAGCCGCCGCGGTGTAGGATCGTGGACTCAATCAAGCCCCCAAGCACCACACCAGTTCGTGTCAAAGTAGGCAGAAGTCTCGTTGATAAACTGCTATAAATGCCCGATGTCCTCTTTTTCAACGGACATCTTTTTAATAAGGCACCAAGGCAAACCTCTCGTTCTGTCACTGCGATATAATCACCCACCATTATACTCATTGCTTGTCAAGACCGTCCGAAATGGGTAGCTGCGAGCCATTTCCAGACCTTACGATGGCTTCAGAGCCAGCAACAAAACGAGACTCGCTGGTCTCGAACGTCCGGCCTCTCATATCCAACTTCCTTGAAACAATCGACTATGATCCGCCGTCGAGGCCCAACAGGAGCGCCCTTCGTGCCGCCATGACTGAGTATGCCGCCACTTCCGGAGTCCCCTACATCGAAGACAAGCACTCCCGCCAATGTTTCGAGACGGGACTCTCCGTCGCCATAGTAAGTCCCGAGTTCTTACACTCCATACCATCTATTCGGAGATGCAGCCCTGTAGGGCTGCATTGTGCAGTCATGCGCCGAAAGAGCGGGACCTGTCAGCTTACGCCCCATTTCCAATCAGGACATGTATCCTAGCCACCCTCTTGAAGTTCAGCTCCACATCGGGATCTTCACGTGGCTTGGATTCCTCATCGACGACACGAACAAATGCATAAGCTCCGACCTGGCGCATTTCCAAGCCCGCTTCTACACCGGCCAACCTCAGCCGTCGCTATTATTGGACCACTTTGCACACACTCTACGTAAAACTTACCAATATTACGACCCGGTTATCGCCAATACAATAGTCCTCTCCGCACTAGCCTTTGTGAATGCAAATGCGCTCGAGACACGACGGGAGTTCCAGGAGCTCGTGCCCTCACAGGCAGCTGCAAGCTGGCCGTACTACTTTCGGGACAAGGAGGGCCTCCCTGACACATATGCCGGCTTCATCTACCCGAAGGCTCTGTACCCCAATATCGGAAGCTTCCTGCAAGCCTTCCCAGACATGGGAAGGTTCATTAACCTGACAAACGACATTTTATCGTATGTTACACAAAGCTACCGAGGAACAAGAATGAGAGCCATTGCTAATCCGCAGCAGATTCTACAAGGAAGAGGTCGCTGGCGAGACCAAGAACTACGTCAACAGCAAAGCCAAAAGCGAGAAGAAGACGGCCATGACGGCCATGAGAGAGATCGTCGCAGACACCGCTCAGCGATACCTGAGTGTGACAAGCGTCCTCGCCGGCAAAGAGCCCTATGCCCGGGCGTGGCACGAGTATGTCATGGGCTACGTGGACATGCATCTCAGGAACGACCGTTACATGTTTGCAGACATTGGCCTTGACGACAGGTTCATGAACCAATAAAGCCAATTCTGCCGTGAACAAGGATCTTGTTGGCCACGGTGATGTATTTGTCCTACGCAGAGGGAGGTCGCATAGCGCTTTAGGAGTAGCTGGCCTGCTCAAACACTCACACGCAGCGTTAGAATTTTCATTCGCATTGGAGGGAGCGCTTCAAACGGGTGGTATTTTGCTCATTTCTAATGGAGCTTCAGCGGGCGTTGGGTCGAAAGGACCTAGGATATCCATTTGTTTTGTTAAGATAACGTTCCTCGCGGAGCCCACTATGTCAACTCTTCCAAACAATTGACACTCACGTTGATTGGATTATCTCAATCATGTAAACATTTCTGAATATCCCACAGACTCTTTCTACAAGACTAAAGGTTAAGAGGCAGCCTATGCTCTCAAGTCCTGCTGAAATCTCGTGAATATGATCAAGTTCAATAACAGGTACCTGGCCAAGTAGGGAGCATTTGTCAAAGACAAATATCCATTTCAATTACTCGTCTTGGATCCAAGCACTACATAATAAATTTCTCCACAAGCCATGATGACGATCAGCTAGATCCTGTCTGTTGGTAGTCACCGACAAACAATTTTGCTGGTCTACGCTCGAGTAAATATTATGTCATACCTTCCTTGATTCTGGTTCTGGAGGTTACGAATACAAAGACAAGAATGCGTATACCTGTATTTCCAAGAAATGCCACTTTGCTTTTGTGGCTGATAAATGAGGAAAATATGCACTCAAAGCTACACCGATGAAGACCATGCCATCCGGCTCGTCTCTTCCCGACATGGCATGGATCCACACGATGCGCTAGCCGCATGATGCTAAGGCTCAGGCACACTACCAGAATCGAATCAATTTGTGATTTAAAAACTTCTGATTGGTCGAGGCCCGTATACTCTCCACTTGCTAGGTCGTCTCTGAAAAGTCTCTGTAGTATATGAGCCAGATTCTCGCCGCTTAACACCATTTCGAGGTATCCATAAACAGTCCGACACGTACTAGACTCCACTGGCCTTTCAACATGCGTGTCCCAAGGCATCAGGGGTCACCTCCTCCTGTCCAAGGTAAATACCCTATCTAAGCGCATTGATAATCAGTCTCTCGAACGCAAAGCTAAAGTGTCGATATCAGATATGCAAACATTCGAGGACGACGAGACCTACTCCGAAACATACCCCGAGGGTGGTAGAGATGCATGGCTCGTTGTGGCTGGCGCTTGGTTCGCCATGATCCCTTCCATGGGTGTTCTCAATACCTTGGCTGTCCTCCAAGCGTGGGTGTCGGAGCATGAGCTGGACGGACTGCCTGAATCCACCATTGGATGGGTCTTCAGTTCTTACGCTTTCTTTCTATACTTTTGCGGTGCCCAAGTCGGTACGTGTTATCAGTGTCCTAGGTGCTGTTGGCGCCACACAGAAAGCTAACATGATGAGCACAGGCCCTATCTTTGACGCTCACGACATCCGATTCCTCATCATACCGGGAAGTATCGGGATTGTGGCAGCTATTTTGTTGATGAGCGTGTGCAAAGGTACGTGCATCTCTCTTGAACTCTTCAGAGAACTTGCCAGTCTCGGACGTCAAAGGGAGTCACAGCTGATCAAGTCCAGAATACTACCAATTTCTGCTCACCTTTGGAGTACTCGGAGGTGCTTCAGCGTCCTTGCTCTTCAATCCCAGCATCGCCGCTGTAGGCCACTGGTTCTCCAAGCGACGCGCATTGGCAACAGGGGTAGCATGCACCGCCGGAGGCGTCGGCGGCGTCGTCTTCCCTCTCATTATCGTGTACATGGCCCCACGCGTTGGATTCCCCTGGGCGATCAGGACGGTCGGATTCATCTGCGCAGCTGCGTCCGTAGGTGCGTGCCTGCTTTTGAAAAAGCGGCTGCCGCCCAACAAGAAGAGCGGCGCCGCTATTGACTTAAAGGCGCTGGGCGACCCCAAATTCGGTGCGACCGCCCTGGCTGTCTTCCTGATCGAGTTCGCTGTCTTCATTCCCTACACGTATATCTGCTCCTACGCCATCCACGAGGGTCTCGGCTTGCAGCAGTCGCTGCTGCTCAATGCCATCGTCAACGCAGGCGCTATTCCAGGGCGTGCCTTGCCGGGCTATGTCGCGGACCGCTTTGGGCCCATGAACGTCATGTGCGTCACGGCGCTGGTGTGTGCGGCGTTCATCTTTGCACTGTGGCTGACGGCGGTTGGAAGTGCGGGCGCGACCATCGCTTTCGCTGTCCTTTTTGGCTTCTGGTCTGGCGCTGCCATTAGCCTGACGCCCGTCTGCGTGGGTCAGGCTTGCAGGACCGAGGACTATGGTAAGAGGAATGGGACAGCCTTCTTCATTGCCAGTTTCGGTACATTGGTCGGTGTGCCTTTCGCCGGCGCCATCGTTCAGTGGTGTGGCGGCGCTTATTACGGCCTTATTATATTCGCTGGTGGTTTGTATGTCCTCTCTCTGTGTGCCTTTTTCGTCGCTAGAGGCCTTTGTGGTGGTTGGAGTTTGAAGATTCTTTTTAGAATGCGTCCTGAATAGTATCATCTATAAGTGAAAGATATCTGTAGACATAAAGTGATATAGTTAAAGAGACTATTGACCTTAATTAGCCTTATCTGAACCTACGGACGAGTGTTGTAGTCTCAGGTATATAAAGTCATACGGATCACATGATCTCAAAACATTTGGGCTGGGAAATCAGATATCGTCGACTACCATTCCATCAAACTAGACTTCTGCATTGATTTTGAGTTCTACTTATCGGCTGGTGGTCTTCGTGCGCCTTAAGGCCATAAATGCACTCGAGGATATAGGTTCATTGATGTAAAATACCTAAGATGTGACCCATTGCACACCCTCAGCAGATCATTACGTTTCAGGGAAATGATTCATGGTTAAATCGTCTTGGATTCATTTATTCATGCTATGGTAGAGATCAAGAACGCTTGTCCACACCCGCACAGGCAGGCTACTACACAGGTCCATCGACTTGCAGCTCATCAGAGCCCAGTTGTCCCAAAGCCTCGCGTCGGGTCGGCGCGCTCGGGTCGAAATACGGTTTCTCGGCCAGCGAAGTCACGCGAGTTCCGTGTCTCGGGTGCTTGCCGGCGTAATCCCAGCTTGCGTTGTGAATTGTGATTCTGAGGAGATGTTGTCAGATGCTTTTCCGACGTCTCAAATTTTGAAAGAAGCGTGGGTGACTGAGCATACCTGTTGTCCCAAATGGCGCTGGTGTTCGGCGTCCACTTGAATCGCACCTGGATATCGACGTTCTTCTCATACACATCGAACAGATAACCCAGGATAACATCACTCTCGGCCTTGTCCAGGCCCACGATCCGACGAGTCATAGCCCTGTTGACGAAGAGAGACTTCCAGCCAGTAGCCGGGTGGACCCTCACCAGGGGATGAATTCGCTCAATGTGCTTGGGGCCCTCCTCAGGGTGCTCACGCTCTAAGTAGGGATGTGCCGAGACATAAACTGCCTGCTTTCCGTCAATGATCTTGCGAAAGTCAGGAGACAGCTTCTCGTAGGCAGAGTATCCGCTTGCCCAGAGAGTGTCGCCGCCGACGGGAGGCGCAGAGTCGATGTGAAGGTGTGTATAGCCAGCCGGCTGAAGTTCATGGACCAGGTCTGTGTGCCACCGGGATGCACCTCCTGGGTTTCTGAAGTTGGCCGCTCTTTCTGTGGCCATGAGATCTGGCCAAATGATGGATACACCGGGTAGGCCCGGCACTTGAGGGACTTGGGGCTGGAGTCCAGTGTGAGTGGCTCTGTTTCCATGCTATCGATCGTTGCAATATATGAGATAACTTACATGGACCTCAACCTCACCGAAATGCTCTCCCAGTGACAATTGCTGTTGAGGGGAAAGGTCTTGGTCTCTGAAGAAGACAACGCTCCTTTCTGCTATCAAGAGTGCGAGCTCATCTTTCTGCTGGTCAGTGAGGTCCTTCAGTTGAAGGCCCTCGATCTCAGTGCCGATGTACGCAGTCAGGTCGGTGACCTTGGTAGCTGCCGAGAAGAGGGACTTCTTCTCCTTGTCAGCCCTGGCGCCGGGGTCGTTGTGAACACGCTCCTTGCTCCTGATTTTGTATACATCGTCTAGGTAGAGAGGACGCGAAGGTCGGTATGGGTAGCCGTTGCTGAGGTCGATGTTTGCCTTCTTTAGCCGGGCAGCCGTGGACTCGGGGAGACCGAGGTTATCCTTCCGGGGCTCGGCAACGTCGACGATCTCAGGAATAATAGGAGCTGGGGCCATGTTGGTCAAGTTGAATATGTTTCAAAGCTAAGTTTCAAATAGACTGATTTAGTAAATTGGCAGTGTATCAACACTTTTTGCGTTGGTGACAGATATATATGCATTCAACTTGAAGCAGGAGACAGGTTGCAGTCATCGTAAACATTCGTGATATCCCCCCAAATAACGTGAAGCAACGTATTTCTAAGCATCATGCCGCAGGGCGAGTTCGAAGCTCCGCATGAGATGACTCGTATTGCCCTTTGATGCGGAGAAGATGCCGAGTAGCTGTTCGAAGCAGTCGTGCTGCATCAGGATGCACGTCTTGTGCAAATCACAAGAGACGTTGGCCCTCCACCAAAACACATCTAAAGCACGCCATGCCTAGATGTGCTGCGATCATCCCGCATGGGATCGTATACCCCAACTTACACGCGGATGGCTCGACGCGATATCTGCGGGGTCATAGTACTGTGCCCAACAGCAGAGCAGCGGGGCTGTATTGCGTGATACGCGGCGCGCCTTGTGCCATATATAAAGCCGTTTTGGCAGACACGCTATAGGCTAGTTTGGGGGTTTCACTATGCTCAACTCCATCGGATCCGGATGGAACCTCACAAATCAGATGTTTTCGAAGATAAGCAACGACCGCGGCAGGGAAGCCGGTGCAAGTTGTCTGATTACCTGGCCGCCACGTCTTCAAAAGACATTTGAGCCCCAATAGCACGTCATCTGTGCTGGCGACGGCATGTGCCGCGGAATTCGGCCGTTTCAACTGTACAAGCAGTTTGATCCATCAACTAGCATTCACAAGCGCCAATGAGGTGTGACTGACATGGTAATACGCTGTGCTCTTTCTGTTATACACGAGATAGTATCATAGTATATTCCGAACACCAAAAGACGTTTCCTTGTATCGGCCCGATATTCGTCAGCCAAATTAATACGATTTGAGAAGCCTGGCTCTCTTGCTTCAAATTTCTTTCCACGATTGACTTCCCAATACACGCAGGCGGCACAGACCTTTAGGATTGAAAAATTCGAAATGAAGTGAATACAAGTGTAATTCATAGCCTGGGCAGCATACTGGGTCGCCAGCTGAGCCATTTCGGCGCGTCAGAGTCCACTAGCTTGCAAACGTACTCCATTGATATCTATTTCGGTATCATATTGTTCATCGCAGCGGCATAAGCAGCTTTTTGCATGGCTGACAGCAAGATGTTGCTGGAGCAGTTCTTCGAACCGCGTGTTGTTGATGGTTACAGAACCTCCCCGTCTAGCAGGAAAGAGTGGACAGTCTGAACTTGCTTTCCCCCTTTCCTTGACATTTCCTAGACGGCTAAGGACATTATACACAGGCATATGCGATATTTGATCGGTTGAGTTCATTTGTCCTGTCCCAGCACTATGGCCTGGAATGGAGGCCCAAGACTTCAGGACCTTAAGGACTGAAGGACAATTGAGATACAACTTTGTCTGTTCAAAGTCACATTGATCCAAGAACGAAGCTTGACGAATCACTCAATTTCTATTCAGGAATCTACATGATCTGATCAATCGCCCAACTCGGTCCTCGTGAACAAGACGTTCTTGCCACACATGTCATATCATTTGGGCAATAGCGCGAGTAAATGGCTACTTTGGTATGCGCGGAAACATATTTGTGGCGGGCCCGGGGAGAAAATAAATATCTGCTGCCATGTCTAGACATGAATATTCGTAGCCAAATCAAGATTTATCCATATTCCCAAGCACGTGTGCATTCGACAGACCGAGACTTGACCTCGATGAAAGGGCGTGGGAGCCGGGGTCTGTGTGCGGTTGGCTTTCGTTTAGAAGATTTGGGCACGTGCAGGCATGTGTCATTCAACGCCTTGTGCACTTCAACTCTATATATTGGTGTTGAACTGATGTCTGAAATGGTCGAATTTCCCTGACAGTTCTCGCAGAGTCCAACTGCAATACGGTGAATAGCGCCATCTGTTGCTGCAGGCGTGGGACAAACTTCACCACCCAGCAAGCACTTACGAGATTATCTCAGCCTCCTAGAGTAGACACGTATATATCGACAGGCCAATTGGTCTATGCGTCAGTCTACAGTACCGCGACCAATTCTCAAGTATTTCTCAGCGACGACTGATCCAAAATCTGTTAGGGTTGACACCCCTCTATAACGCAATTCGCAGGTGTAAATGGCGTGCTCTAGCGGAGTATCATCTCGGCGCCGACCGCGGCATAAGCTTCGTTCCCAGGGGTGTCAAAACAACTTATCGGAGAGTATCCGGTCTCTTGATTTATGAAAGAGTAGAAAGAAATGCTGTATAAACGGTACCTTGTGACTGAACTCTAGTCCTATGAGAACTTCCCAGACCTATCCCAGCTTCCTCCCTTAGGTCCGCCCTGACCCCTGAAAGACGTTGGACGGCTACTGCAGCACCTCTCCGGACCCTGAATCGTCTATGGCTCCAATAAAGACAGTCGCGGTCATTGGTGCCGGTATCAGTGGTGTCTCATCAGCAGCTCACCTTCTACGCCACGGCTTTGAGGTCGTCGTCTTTGAGCGCTCCAGCGTTACTGGCGGTGTATGGCACTTTGATCCACGACCCGATCGGGATCCCCAGTACCCAGGCACAGATTCTCTTGAATCTGACACTAACGGCACACAAGATGGCGCCGTCCACGCCAAGGAAAACGGCAAGTCGCAAGGCGAAGACGACATCGCACTCTCGCATGCGCCACCAGGGCCGTGCTATGAGGGGCTCATGAACAACGTCCCAACCTCAATGATGAAAACCACCTTGCTGAAATGGCCAGAAGGGACGCCTGATCATGTTACCCATCACGAGATCGAGACATACGTGCAGCGTCTATCGCGAGACACCGGGGCTCATGATGTGACGCTGTACGATACCCGCGTCGAGGAAGCCGTCAAGAATGCAGAAACCGGGCAGTGGGATGTGCGCACTAAGACACTCCAGAAAAAGGACGATGGTACATACTCCGCTCAAGACAAGGACTGGAAGTTCGACGCCGTTGTCGTCGCGGCAGGACACTACCACATCCCGCTTATTCCGGAAGTCCCGGGTTTGGCTGAGTGGAAGAGGAAATATCCCGACAGGGTGAGACATTCCAAAAGCTACCGATATCCGCACCATTACAAGGATCAGAACGTCCTGCTCATCGGGGCCGGCGTCTCATCTCTTGACATTGCCAAAGAACTCGACGGGCTGGCCAACAAGACCTATCAGTCCTCGCGTGGCGGCAAGTTTGATCTCGACAAGTCCTTGCTGCCACCAAACTCGGAGCGGGTAGCTGGGTTGAAATCATTCAAACTCGACGAGGGGAAGAGCCTCAACTCTGGGTCGGAGACACCTGGCGCGCCCATCCCAGGCACAGTGCACCTGGCCGACGGACGTGTCCTGCAGGATATCCACCATGTCATAGTTGCCTCTGGCTATCAAACAACTTACCCTTTCCTCACCGGCCTCGAGTCCGAGACCATAACTGCCGACGACGCGGATGAGAATATCATCATCACGGCAGACAAGTGTGTCACACACAATCTTCATAAAGACATTGTCAGTACCCTCAGGCGTTGTCATGCGGTGTTTTGATTCAATTTCAGTGGGCCATGCTAATTGCGCTTATCACATAGTTTTACATGCCAGATCCCACCCTGACATTTGTGGGCGTCCCGTACTATACCTCCACATTCTCCATGTTCGATTTCCAGGCCGAGGTGGTGGCACGTGTGTACGCAGGCCTCGCGACGCTGCCGTCACAGGAAGCCATGCGGAGCGAGTACGGAGCTCGCAAGGCGAAGGGAGACAAAGGAAAAGCGTTCCACAGCTTGATCCAAAACCAGGTCCCGTATATGAATGAGATCCTGGCCTGGGTCAACGAAGGCGTTGAGCAAAGGGGTATTGAGAAGATGAAGGGCGTCGATGAAGACTGGTATAGAGGATATGAGGAGTTCAAGGAGAAGTCAAGGCGTTTGATACCTCTTGACTCTAATCAGATACAGCAGCCTATTGCTAGTAAGTATTATACGTCGGACGAATAGACAGCTACAGTAGAGATATTCCCCAGTTTTTTTAGGCCTGATGGTTCAGTAAGATGTGTCTTTCAGAAGGAGGGGAGATGCTTTTTACATCTGTTACCAATCACGCACGAGCTTGTGCACGAATTGCGTGACTTCGGACTTTAGAATCGCCTCAGTCTTGCAACGACAATTGAACATTCTTCCCATTGCATACTGTATATTGACTAACGTGATAGTTCCTATTGTACATCACGGCTGACAATTGAGGCTGTACAAAACCTGATTGAGCTACCCTAAGGCGTGCGCAATCAAGAGACAAGAATGATCCAATACACCGCATCTACAGCCTGGCATGCGTACCATGAAGAAGGATCGTGTTTCGTCCCGATCTACCGCCAATTTTCATGCTGATCCCCTGAGATGCTGCTCTGGGAGACTCAATTTAAAGGTCGGCCCCATTCTAGTCCTTCTTCCGCCCTTTGACCACGGGAACAGCCTCTTCACTAGCCTCCGCTGAAGCGTCAGATGTACTGTCCGTCTTGAGGTTAGATTTAGACCTTGCTTGCAGAGCAGACTTTGGCGGTAGCGACGCCTCCGACTCGCGAGATGGAGACATGTCGAGCTCTTCTTCATCGACGAAGACCTCGGGTAACAGCTCCTTCTCCGAGCGCTGGTACTCCGGCACGACGTCCTCCGGCTCCTGGTCGATACAGTCTGCCATGACTGATGGCAAGGAAGTTGTGCGAGATTCGGTAAAGTCTTCACCCAATGAGCGGAGTGCCCACCTGCGGACAGCTTCATGGGTGACGGTCACGCACACAAAGCGTCTGCCAGTCCACTTCGTGATTGAATGCCGCAGCTCGCGCCCTCGGAACATCTGCAAGCAGCCCGATGGGGCTTCGATTTGCAGACCCAATTCTCGGACGACGAGATCCCCTCCACTGAAATCGCCGACGGGCACGAGGAACGCGTACCCACGGTGCCAGTCTCCGGTGTCTTTGTGCTCGTATGTCATCAGGTTGACAAGCAACGCTCGCATCATGAATGGCTCGTCTGACCGCCTTGTCTGGAAAGGCACGGTGTCCAATTTACTCACTTCGTTTGCGACGCGAATGTACTGCTGCAGCAGACCTGGTTCGAGGATCTGAAAGAAGAAGTTGATAATTTCGGTGCAAGCGCCGAATGCACTATAGCGCAGTTTCACCAATTGGTGGAGAACGTTGCCTTGTTCAGGCACTCTCTTCCCAGCACTGTCTTTGGTGGGAGCTGGCATGTTACGCCCGTTCGGATCACCTACTTCACAGCGGCCTCCAATATGGAATACGCCTGACGCGAAAGTCATTAGCTGAGCACGCGCAAAGTTTACTACAGACCTTTCTGGAACTTACCCGATTTAGCCAATCGTGGATCGTTGTTCGGGTTTCGAAAGTCCAGGTCAGGTCTCTCCCGGAGAAATGCGATCCAATGTAAACCGTGTCGTGTCATATCTGGGAACGGTACAGGAGTGCGGGAGCTGTAGGTCTCGAACGATTGGACAACGAGCTTTTGAATAGCTTTTGTAAGAAGCTGCTTAAATACATCGCTGCACTGAAACAGGATGATGTTGTCTGACTGGTCCAGCACCAGGACAATGTCAGTATTTTGTATGTTATAAAGCAACTTGTTGTCTGTGGCGTAGTCGTTCCTCTTGGCCTGATGGTAAGGGTTGAAGACCTTGGTTGGGCAGCCTTCCTTCACAATCTCCAACATCTTAAAGAAGGCTGGATCCTTGTCATGGCCGCCGGCCTCCATCTGCTGTCTGACTTTGTTTTCAAGATCAGGGTTGAGATATAGCTGTTGCTGTGCTAGGCTGCGGGCCTCTTTCCAATACTGATCAGTCCTGCCCCCGATCTGCCCGGCTTTGCAAAGAAGAACATGGGTCGTCACCCATCGCTCGATTTGAAGGTCGGGCTGGGCTCCAAAATCCTTGTTGATCTTCCGTTCGAGTGCCCGGGACACTTTAGAGGCGCTGTATGGAGAACCCTCGCCGAAGACATCCACATCACTGAATTTGACCCGAGAGACGGTCCGTCCGTGCACCTTGAAAGTCTCTATGGTACGGTTGTTCTCTTGTAGACAATTCACTGTTCCGTCAGCGATCTCATGCGGGGGCATGGATCGGATGTTGTTCACGTCTTTCGCAAGATCCATTATGGAAGCTTCTTCGGAGTCGATGTGGGTGCCTTCTTCAAAATCCGGGACGATCAATGAATTGTCGCGGGGATGTCCAATGTTACTCCATGAGTATTGTTTGCTTCCTTGAACAGTTCTCTTGGGCCACTCACCACTCCCCTCGTACATCGACTTGAGCGGAAGCCTGGTGTCGGGATCGTCGGCCCACGCAGAGGGCATGGCCGGCCAAGGGATCAGGTCATCGATGTATTCCTCGATCGTTTTCAAATCTTCGTGTTTGGTCTCAGCATGATTACCCGTGCCTGTGGTTGTTTCGACGTCGACGACAGGGCTTGGCCGGTCCTTTTCGATGTTGTCGTGTTTCGCCTCCTCTTGTTTCTTGGCAGTTGCTCCCTCGCCCACTTCTTCAGACTTTTCGATCCTCTTCTGACGGAGTCGATACTTGGCTTGCAGTGCTAGCTTGGCCATGTTCAGAGCGGCCTCATCGTTACCCGGCGTCCTACGTTGCAAAGGCTCCTCGCCTGGATAGCGAGGTAGTCGTTGGCGATTCGAGGCGCCTTGTGTTGTCGATTCGGACATCTTGTTGTTCAGTCCTCGGCTTTGTTGATGGTACCTTTCTTGATTGTCCATTCGTTTGCGTCGTGAGGCGACTTCACTGCTATGGCCAGATTAGTTACCGGGAGATGATGGTTGCAGAGCAAGTCGAAAATGACTCCGATTTTGATTATCTTCTTGTGATTCAACTGATTGCTCGATACCTGAGGCAGAACATACAGAAGTGAAACTGTTTGCAGTTCCTGGGACGTCTTACAGAATGAGATGCACCGTGAGAAACTTGGCCAGTTCTGCTCGATCTGAGGTGGACACAGGAATTGCATGAGACTGAGACAATTCACATATATCGGGGTCTTCGTTCTTGAATCATAATATCGTGGTAAACTCTGGTATTCACTGTGGGAACTGCTGAGTCTATGAATTTTCCTATGCGTATACCAGGAATAGATGGATGACTGCATCTCCCAGCAGCTAGGATCAGCCATGTCATTGACGGATGGCTGCATTTCGTCAAGTTTAAATGTTTCTAGTGCTGAATCAAGGCTATCAATGATGAGGGGAGGAAATACTCGCGCTACCTAGGGATACCACCAGGTAATACTAGAAGCTTGACTCGTTCAACGAAGCAAGCATACCGTCTTCAAGAATCAGCCTGGTTGTATGCTCTGCAAGTGCACATATCCAAGACCCCAAAGGTAGTATCTCCATCGCTGATGCAAGAAAGACTGTTTCAGTATCATGACAAGGTGCTGGTCTGGTGTCTAGGTCCAGCAAAAGATGATGACATTCTACTTTCAACCTTGAAGCAGAATGTTTTACGGCACCATGTCGACCATGCTGATCGAGCCGGATCCTAAGTTGCACATACACCCGCCAGTGGACCTGCATGCGGGTATTATCCCGATTGTTTCATGGTGCAGTGCTCGAAACCACACACCTTGATTCACGTATTCATACAGAGTAAATTTGACACTATGTACGCATGTAACGAGCTTGTATCTATAACATCACTCATTACCTCCTTCTCAGAGCAGCCCGCTCGGCCTTGCCCTCCTCAGTGTAAAATTCTCCAACCCACTGCACGATGTGGTCAACCACACCATCCTGGACAGCCTTGACACCGGCATTCAGCCTGCCGTTGGTGATAGACAAGTCGCTGCAGTGGATTCCACCCGGGATCACCAGGACAGGTGCATCCGTGGTGCCTTGGTAGGGCCCACCGGGCCGGAACTCGCTGGAGACGGTGGCGTCCTTCCAAGGGTCCCACTGTCCGTTGACGAAGACCAGGCGCGTCGTGTTACCCGCGCGGTCCCATCCGCCCGTGTAGGCGTTGGTGTCCTCGACAGTCTTGCCCTCTGCGCTGCCGAAGGTGCCGGGCGGCTTGAAGTACAGGCCGCACTGGCGCTGCCAGTACTCCGCCGTCACGAGACGAGACACGATGGTGGGCGTGCCGGCTGGGGCGCCGTCTTGCCAGAAGGCGAAGGGGTCGTTGCAGAGCATCCACTCCCACTGGCGGTCGAGTGGGTTGCTGACGGTCAGATCGGTGTAGATGGGGCTGGTCTCGTTGTATGAGTCAAAGCAATCCAAATTGTAATCGTCAGACCACTCGTCGTAGCCGTAACCGGCACAGTCTATTCACGCTGTCAGCAAGAGATTTATGCACAATTTCTGCACGTGGCAATGACTTACAGCCGGGGATGAGCTCCTGCTTGACCCAATTGGCGTATCCCTCCAGGGCCTTCTCCAAGCCAACACCCTCCGCGCCAGGAACAGCTGTTGCGCTCGGGTACAGGGGGCCGACGTTCTCAACGCTGTCGCAGAATTGGACTGGGTAGAACTCGCAGTTAGCACAGCCTCACGAATGCAACCCACAGCCTTTCGCTGGGCTAGATTTCCAGAACGGAAGCAAAGATCAAGGTGACTCAGGGGTTGCTTACAGAAGCTGGAGTAGCCTGAGGCGAAGTCATGTCCCTGCCACTGCCAAGGGCCGTTCTCCAAAGCGCTGGCAAAGTCATCATCGTGCTCGATAGCGCCAAGGCCGAACTTCTCCTTGATGGCCTGCTTCGCCTCCTCGTCATCGCCCAGCAGGATGCTGTCAACGTGCTCGATGACCTTGGACACGTCCGCGCTGCAGTTGGCGGGCATGCCCTCTTGCACGGGAGCGAAATATTGCCACTATGTCGGATTTTATGTCAGTCTCTATTCTCGGCATTTACGGCTCATTGTCAAATGGCAATTCATGCGGAAAGCTTACGAAGTCGTAGATGACCTCAACCACGGCGCTGGACGCGTGGTAAGCCCAGAAGGTGCCCGGGTCAACGCTCTCGACCCATGCTGACAGGGCTCCGCTGTAGCTACCACCGGAGAACACCCATGGCACGCTGTCGGCATTACTGCTGGCGTTGGTGGCGAAGGGGAACTTCACATTGTTGGCGAAGTAAGTCGTATCGTAGATCGAGTTCTCGAGCGTGAGATAGGTCAGGTTCTCGGTAGTCAAGGTATCGTAGGGGCTCGACTCGCCCCAGTACCGATGCTCAAGGAGAACCACGGCTCCGCCAATTTCCTGAGCCAGCAGACCAGTGAGGGTTCTGTTAGTCAGATAGCCGGTGTACCCTGCGGCGGCAATCTCGCCAGGGGTGAAGAAGACGACGGGCGAGCCCGGCCCCTGCCAGTACTGGGTGCTCCACCAGAAGGACTGGCTGAAGGTGCCCTTGGAAGGGTCTGAGTGGTCCAGGAGCTGCTGGAAGGTGCCGTTGCCCATGGTGGCTGACGAGTTGGTGGCACGCTTCTGGATGCTGCCGGCGAACTCAGTTTCCTCGATGTCGAGAGGAGGAGGCACCAGGCGCATGAAGTTGGTGGGCGTGATGGCCGTGACGCCGGCGGCGAGCAGGGCGCTGCCGGTGGCGAGGAGAGCTGGCACCTTCATCTTGGCGTCGTCGACTTGCCGAACCCACGAGAAGACAACTGACTGGTAGGGAAAGACGGGGGTGAGGAAGGAGGAGCAGCTCGGGAGGGAGAAAAAGGATGTGTGGGCCAGCTCTTAAATAGGACGCGAGCTGTGCGGACGGACGACGCGTCGCAACGTATCAACGGAGGTGAGGAACGTTGACGACGGGCACAGGAACAGGAAAGACGCCCCGAGCATCGGCACACAACCTTCCAGAAGGAGGTGCAGATGCTACCCTGCGGGTGCGATGCGAGGTGTCATCGTGACCACCAACCGGGAGGGCTGCTCGTCGAAGTGGGCCCAACGGCCAAGATGGTATCCACAAAGCTTCTATTGCCATTCGTCTGTCGGGGGGCAATGGCAGATAACCTTAAGATGACCATCCTCCAGGATGCTGCGGATACGAGACCCAGTGCCAGCGGTTCTGAAGTCCGTGTTGGTTGTACATACTCACACGACTTGGGATACCGCGCACCCAGTTCTGTAAGTGCCCGAACATAAGAGGTGGAAACACGGCGTTCACGTTGCATCGCAGAGAACTGCAGTGGTTTTGCATACCGGCAAAAGCTTGTTACAGGTGGACAAAAAGACGCCAGTCGAGACGAACGGTATCACGACTAGGGCATTATCTATCATGAAGCTGTGTGGTGATGGCGTGATAGAATTGAAATCGAGTTACTACTTACTAGAAGATAGACGCGAATACAAAGGAATGGGGGCAGGGGCTATGCTGGTATGCATGGGGTCGTCTGATATCAAGCCTTCGGCAAAGCGGGTCCTTCCCGACGACCTTCTCGATTAGGTCTCGATGATCTGCGGTGAGGGAGAGCATAACAATCGAGTTAGTCATCATGCCCTATAGAGAGGGACTATCTGAAAGTTGTAGCAGAGTGAGTGTTCTCTCCAGACTGGAACTATGCTGCTAACCAAAAGTTCTCTCGGCGGGCTGGGCACTCTATCGAAGTGCGAGAGCAAGCCAAGAGCGACGGCTAGGATTCGCGGCGGCGACGGCAAACACCGGCACTGGGGCCTGTAGCTTGGTGGGCTTAGTTGGTGGGTAGTATTGGTGCCACACAGCTGCTTCATTCGGCTAGTCTTTCACCCATGTAGGTGACAGCGCAGGGTAGGGACGGGGAGGTGTGAAATGCACACCGTACGGTTGGAGATAAGACTGTCGAGCCCCTGGCTCAAAATGCTTGGATGAACTTAGGTTCGGACAGCCGTAGGGGAATTTGTTTGTGTTTGCGTGTATGACTCGGGCGAATTCATTTGTGGATATCGTCAGCGTTCAACAACTTATCTACACATGGCGTTTGATTCAGTGAATATGATTTGACCCTAAGTGCTGCTGCTGCCTTCCTGGGTTTCTCCTTTCCGACGGCCTAGTCGAAAGCACTAGCTAACTTGTTGGACTTCTTGAAAGTTGGCCGGAAAACATAAATGTGAGGGTGAGCATCAAAAGTGTAGTGGGATACGAATATAAACCCGTTACAACATAAGCCTTGGCCGCGGTACGAAAACTTTGGTGACAGTCTCTCATCATCTACACCGGAAGCACGGCCGTATGATGGCCTATTCCACGAAGGACTATATTTGGGTTTGTGAATAAGGTTTCGTTGATCATTCCAGTCAGGTGGATACTCTGAGATCAACTATAGACACTCCAGACTCGCCTACGGCATTGCAGGCTGATGAGCACCTGTGATGGCCACTTACATAAAGGCTTCCTGGGAATTCTGCAACATTCTATGCCTCGTAAAATGTCATGAGAGCTGTGGTAAAGCAATACTGTCATGCATGTAAAGGAAGTGTGCTACGCTTCGACTGAGTGATGTACTCGGCAAGCCCTGGATTTCGGAGGAGCTATACGTCAGGACATCCGAAAGAGTTGACGTGCTAGGAACGTGCCAGTCCAAATGTATGAAGCACATTGAAGCCAATGAGGAGAAGGATTGTTAAGACGAAGAAGTCAGGCACTACGTCGTTAACACTTTGGGAGTAGCACCACAACCTTGAACAGAAACCATTCATTGCACTTTGCATTGTTTCTGTAAGTGAACTTGGTAACAGCGTGATTCTATCCAGTCAGTGACGCACTGGGCGTTTGTCGTGACCCAGCGGAAAGCTCGGGAGCAGTGATCATCTCTTCCAGTCATTCACACCCGTCAGACCGCGTCCTCTAATGGGAAGCCTGCGACGCTCAGGAGCAGAAACGCAGTCGTGCGTTCCTGAAGATAAGAACACTTCTCCTTGGAAACTCTCATTTCACATCAGCCCTACATAACAGCCAAATGTCGATCTGTTCTCACCTACTGGCAATACATACGCACACCTACACGCACTAATACCCTGAGCATGGAGACTATTCCTCTGCTGCATTGCATCGGCTGCCACCGATGCGTGTGCAGCGGGACGTGTCTTTCAAGCCACCGTGACCGATACTGTTGCCACAACAGCAGCTGCGTCTTCCACGCGCCCTGTCCGGCACCTCCCGAGCCCAGTGAAGGAGGAACGGCTCCGGCTGCCACTCCATCCAACAACAACACCACCACAGCGGATGGCAGCGCAGCCAATGTCTCACAAGATTCGAATGTGACGTGCAGGGAAATCATCGTTCGCGAATGGCGCTCAGTCGGAGAGACTGCTGCCACGAGCCCGGCCGCGGCTGCAACTTCAAGTTCAATTCAGACCTCGACGGGAGATGCACCGGCCAGCACGAACCCAGGACCAACACCCAATCTTCCGGTTATGTTCACGATTGAGGAGTTCGAGGCACAGGAGCGTCTACTCGCCCATTTCCGGCAGACTCGGGACCGGCAGGCGCAACGAGGACAACGAGGACAACGAGGTGCCGGACGGAGAAGGCCTAGGGTCCGATTTGAGTCAAGAGTACGGGTTGGCCGCGAATGGAGGGAGTATGAGGACTCGGATGGAGAGGACGTGTGAGAAGACGAGGGAAGCTATTGCGTGTAACACTGGGTGAGAGGCAGTAAGGTGTCGAAAGAGGGCGGGTGGCGGTCCATTACGCGTTGTCGACGTGAACAGACTTGGACGATAAGGGTATCGCAAGGGTGGCGGTTGTGGTCAAAGCACGATGAAGGAAGATTCCTGCGCAATGATTATCATTCGGAAGGCTAGCCAAGACGGATGTGGCCAATCCTTGAGAAGGCGTTGAGTTATGTGACGTGAATTTTTTGTCTCAATCTTTGGAGCCCGTTGACATTGAAACCGGGACATGGTCGTCCATGTGATGCGTCGTGACCATGTCAGGTCATTGACAAGCCAAGCACCCTTGGAATACGGATGAGCAGTATGCTACCCGCCATGGTATCAGTCCAATACCCTTCAGCGAATGACCAAATTGATGACATGGTTTCGAGGATTAACTCAAGGAATCTCTAGGCAAATATCGCGGCCCTGCGTTCATTGATCGAGGAGTGTACAAGACAACCTCGAGTAAATTTAAAGCAAGCCTCTCACACTCATTAGAGCACGAGTGCGAGACCGTAATTTTACGGGATCATGAAAAGCATCTCAACAGCTTGGATGGTATCAAAGGGCGTGCGAAATTCTTTTCGACCACTTCGGATCACACTCTGTGCTGTTTCGTGTGCAAAACAAATTGCAGGGCGTTTTGAGGACGCCTTGCCCTGACTCTGTATCTGACCACACCAAGACGTTCAAGGCCAAGATGCTCAGACGGAAAAGTACAGCTCGTAATGCTTCGCACACCCAGGGTTGAAGGCAGACGTACAACCCGGGCACTTGTTCCCACAGCTGAGGTACTCGTCGATGGTCAGTTCGCGGCGACATTTCCCGCAGAGCACGGCTATTGCGTGTCGTTCATCCCGTGGCCAGACATCTGAGGCATGTTGGGCCAAGGCTTCGTGGCAACTGATGCAGGCGTAGTACTGGCCGCAGCACTTGTGCTTGATGGCGATGATATCCAGGTCTGAATGCCAGTGGGCGCATTGTGTGGTGGGAGCGACGTCGACGCCGTGGACTATTGGACGCGATGAGCCTTGGCTGGTTTCTGGAAATGAGGTCATGGTTGTTGGACTAGAGTGCACTCTTGTGATAGTGGCGAGGGTCCATATATGACATGGCATGATGGCATGGCATTGTATGTGGCTGATCGACGGAAAATGAAGATGTTGATGTTCTATGTTAATGCTCTCAGTGGAGGTGTGTGACACTGTACGTGGGTCTGGACCTGGCGTGCCACAGCTGCAGCCAAGCCTGTCGCCTATCCCCTGTACCGCTCCAAGCTTCCCAACCACCCACACAGGAGCTCTGTCTTCTCCGCCATGATGCATGGCTGCAACGGCGGTCTCTGGAGATAAGACGGCCCCATCCTCCATCCCACCATCCCTCCATCCCACCAAGAGAGACGCGTCGCGACGTGTCAGCCGCTTTGCTTCTTTGTCTTCGACATGCCCACTGGCGCTCGCAAGCGCAAACGGGCCGCAGGAGCTGACAAGGCAAACAACGACAGCAGCAAGGGAAATTCCCAACAAGCTTGCAACAATAATTCCAATGGCTCGCAGGATCCCAACGTGAGCTCAGGCTCGCCCACAGATGGCGCCAGGAACCCATTGACCCCTGGTGCCGAGTACACCTCCCTACGCCGCATCACCCGAAGGCTGCCCGACGACCCAGAGCACCTCCTCGACGGCGTCGACACAACAGCTGCCGACCTCAGCTGGACCGCACGCGACGAAGGCGACGACATCAACCCCAAAACTGGCCAGCCGTGGCTATTTCCCAAGAGGAGGGGGAGGAGGGAGGGATCCAATCTCGAGGACTTCAGGCAGGAGATCGAGGAGAGGACAAAGAATGGCCAGGGCTGCAAGGCCATCTCCGACGCCCTTGTCGAGAAGGGTGTTGACACCAGCGTCAGGGCCGTCGCGAGGCAGAGGATGAAATGGGGTCTCAGGCAGAGGGTACGCATGCCTCTCATGGTCTCTCAATGCTCAATAGCAGCAATCACGGAATGATCGACTAACCTCAACTACTCTCTTTTTCTCTTTGCAGGCACCTAGGCGCATGACCGAGCAGGGTATCGCCAACATCAGAAAGGCTCATCTCGAACAAGCGAAGCGAATGGCCAACAAAGACCCCGTACCCGTGAAACGCGTACGAATCCGCGTTATGCGCAAGGCAGAGATCATTCGCATGACAAACGAGGGCATGTCGCCCACCCAGATAGCAGAGAACCTACAGGCCCGCGGTGTCAAGCTCAAGCGAGGCGCAGCCACCGTCGAGCGGCTCCGTACCGTCTGGGGCCTCGTCCCCGACTCCCAACGCAATATCAACAACCTCCGCCAGTTCTGCCGCAACCAGGCTCTCAGACTGCAGAAGACCCAATTCGAGAATATTGCTGCCGAGCTGGGCATCGAGGATGTCAAGGCCTGGGTCAAGAGCAAGATGGACGAGGACGTTGCACAGGACGCTAGGCGTGAGCACGGCTACAAGCTCATGGGCCATCTCCGGCCCAATCATGTACATGCCGACCGGTCGGCGCGGGACAGGGAGAGCACGAGTACGATCAAGGCCGTGGGGGAAACCAAGAAACGCGACGCAGAGTCGGAAGGTGTTGACACGCTCGACCAGCTGGCGGCATCTGCGTCGTCTAGTGCCTCGTCTGGACCAGGAGCGGCCCATAACCCCATCGAGCTCTCCGATGACGAAGCTGAATTAGACAGCGAGGGGGACGAGGACGATGCAGGCGATGACCAGGAGGCGCCGACCACGGCCTTGAAGCCTCAATTCTCGTCGTTGGCCATGGAGCTTGATCATCCCGAGCCTGTACCTTCGCAATCCGCCTCCGCCGTTGACCTGATCAATCAATCGCTTCACTTCCCAGGGGCAGGATCAGTTCCTGTCTTCATCGACCCAGCAAGCCAAGCTACTCTGGTACAACCCATCTTTTCCAGTGTCGCCACAGATCCAAGTTTCACAGCTGGCATGTGTTACCCACAATACTGGCCACAGACAAACATGCAAGAAGTGCAGCCTGGTTCAGACGACAATGGTCAGCAACAACCTTCGCACTCTGTCGTGGCACAGCAACCGCAGCAGCAAACGCCCGCAGAAGACTACAATGCCGCTCCTTTAACCCCTGGCTCGTTCCAGCCTCCCTCACAAGGCTTGCGTGAACCACGGGCGCCGGTCCCACCACCCATGTCAATTCCGGGGTCCACGACTCACAGGCTCATCGCTCCCAAGCCCCCTCAGGTCGTCGTGCAGCCATTATCCGGCCATTCATTCATTGCGCCTCATCTCTCGCCTGTCATAACACCTCCAGGTGAGGCTGAGCTAATGGCCAAATATGGCCTCTATCCATTCGCAACATTCAAGAGGCCGCCTCAGAAATACCTCACCCCCAGCGGTTTGATCACCACAGAAGGTTACGAATACTTACCCTGTGCTCGTGGGTTTCCAGGGCTCTCCGGCTCAATGTCCGATTCCGTCGGCCGTGGAGGTCCACCGCTACCACCGCAGCAGCAGCAACTGCAAGGCTCACCACAACCCACCCTGCTTCCCCAAAATTACATCCCTACCCAACAGCCATCAAACTCACAGCATCTCCCACCCGGCGTGATCATGGTGTCTCCCCCAGCTCCACCAAAGATAAGCAAAATCCCCGCTCCTCCGCTGGTTATCCCACTCGAGGAGGCCGAGAGACACAGAGCCAGCCACAGCGCCGTCGATCTGTACCACAAGGCTGCGCTCGAGTGCATGGAGTACCTCGCCGCGCGGGCGGAAGCCCGACCAGTAGCCAACAGCCTGACCGGCATGCCGCCTAGCCTGAAGGATGTCGAGGATGCCAAAGGCAGGCTGAAGGAGGCGGCTGGGGCGATGCTTGCTGCTATTTGAAGGTGGTGATGGTCTGGTGCTGCGTGTTGGATATTGGCGATTGTACCAATTTGTAATTATTTCGTGGTTGGGCCCCACGGTCTTCTCTTCGTAACACCGATCACATGCGCCTGGTGTAACACTCTCAATCTCGATCCTTCAGGAAGTAAAGACCAGCTATATCAGCAGCTGATATCTTTCGCTAGGGACTTACAGCTCCCCTAGGAGACTTTGCACATTCTCATGCGACCAACGTTGCCGATTGCATAGTCAACGTGTAGAGGCTTTGAGCTACCCCGACGTCTCGATAGGTCACGTTCTCCCATTCTCACAGCAATGCGAGCTTCACGCCTGTGATATGATTTTATTACATACTGATACTACTAAGAGCTATTTATTGTATGATTTCGAGGTTTTTCTGGGGCAATTGCATCGATTTAGAAGCCTATGCGCCCGGGTAAATAATGGTTAATGTACGTTGGGTAGTCAAGCGACTGCATTTGGCCGAATGCCCATGTCTAATTCGAGGGTCTCACCACCCGTTCGTACGCTTCCAGTCCTTCGCACCCGCGCGTATAATATAACACCAACGCATGCGATTGCGTACAGAAAAGGCAGGCTGCACAAGGCCATGGCAGAGCTGTCGGTAGCCAGCGGTAAACCACGACACAGCCAGCCCATATATGCGATTAAGGCCCCCACCAACATCCAGTTGAGCACACGAGAATGCTTGCTGCCGGCTGTAAAGGCAAAATTAACTAGAATGACAATGTGGGCGAATGTCATAAGGTACCACCCAAACATTAACAGATTGAAAGCCGCAGTAAATAGGTCTTCAGCACCAACGAGATAAGTGACGCTCGGAACAAGCGGGAAAGCTGCATCAATGGTGAAGGCCAAGTTCGAGACCCAACTGAGAACAATCGCTCCGGCGACGGCCAACACAATCATGTGGTTCAACCAAGTGGCTTGTGAATATTTTTGACGAGAAAACAAGCCTTCTCGAGATTCGTTTGCGGGATTCTCTGCGATAATCTCGTCGCCTCCTTGTCCGGGCGCGTCGATCTCGAAATGCCCACCATCTTGTTCAACAATCGGATGGCTCTCAGTACACGGGGTATTTGTCTTAGTAGGGTGAGATCCTCTTGAGAAGGCTTGGATCATGGAGAAAATAGGCGCAGCAAATAGCAAGAGGGGCAGAACCTGTCCAAAATCCGATATTGTATCCGTCGAGCTGGAGAAGGACTGGGTAGGAATGAAAAGAATTCCAAACAGCCTCATTGTGCCATTTGCAGCTATGAGCAATAGCCATAATATCTATAGGATTATCATTCAGCGTTACTCATTGCACACATAATGAGCAACTGTATTGACTTACGTCAGAGAAGGTCGAAGTATAGAAGTCTGCGCCAAATCGTAGCAGCATGTACATGGCTAGAAATGGATTGCGTAGCAAAAGTGTCCCTGTTCGGCCCTTTGTCGATGATGCCTGGAAGACTTTCATGACCATTTCTCGACAGAATCGAGCCGCTGTGGACCGAAAATACTGCTGCACAAAATTGGATGATGTCTTGAATAGCTTGGCTAGTCGAGTTGAAAAGCTCAAAACCAATATCACCATTGACGTGACCGTGTTTAAGAAGCTTCCAGTCAAAGTTCCAAAGCGGTCTTTCAAGTTCCCTTGTCCGACATTTGTAGTATAAAAGCAGATCGCAGGCCTGGCAGGCCATGCATAATCCGGCCAGGAGTCTGCATACTCCCGCGATGTGTTGTCCATCCATGTGAACCAAGCAAGAGGAACCATTGCCACAATTAGAAGGATTGCCAACACAGTCATCAGACTCACCCTCCAACGCCTCTCCTGTTGGCGACCTTTATGGTGGAGCTCGCTGCGCAAGAACACCAAGCCGCTTTGGTGCGTCAGGTTGGCAAACCAGCTCAATTGAACAATGACGGCCCAATCGAAGGACTGGATCGTCATCGTTGATAGAACAATAAACCCGCTGCACAGCATGCCAATGCCAGTGAGGATCTGTATATCACACATGGCCAGAATACACTAGCACACGCACATCAGTATTACTCCTTGGAGTTGACCCTCCATCGATTGAAAGTTTCTGCTTCCCCGATAAGATATGTAAGTATGGATTTATTACCTTTTGAAATGCTTTTCGAAGCCTTTCTTTATCCATGTCTCCATGTGAATGGTCGCTGTTAGGAAGTATACGAGTGATGGCGGATGACAAACTCGCAATGCAGACTCTTCCGAAGCGATGGATACGCTGGTCCACGATATTTGGAGTCCAAACGACATCCCCCGTCACAGAATTTGATGCATATTCCAAGTCCTCGTCAGTGATATGAGGCGGAAAAGGATTCACGTCCGGATCGAAAGTGATGAAGTAATGGCAGCAAAGTACTAATACAGCGAGCCATCCTGTACCGAGGTAACTGATAACAACCTAGTGTAACGTCAGGTTCCGAACCACACAATTGTTTCCTTCATCTTAGGAAGCAGCTTACACCGAGCCCGGAGATATCAGAGTTGGGCTGGAGGGCGTCCCTCCAAAATGTTTCGTTGCCGCGACCAAGATCACCTGAGCAGTTAGCCCAGACAGGCAGCTGCTCTCGTGAGTTCATTCTTAAAATCACTGTTTAAAGGTAAATGCATCCTGATATCATGGTGCATTGGCAGTAGGAACCGGTGTGAGCCCAAAGTCGGGCTCCAACAATCTCAAAAGGCAGGATCGTGTATCACGACATTCAACGCCGTGTTCACACTTCAGGTGCTTGGAAAGGGGTCTGACCACCCTTGAGTATTTGTACCTAGGCATTAGCTTGTACAATATAGGGCATTTGCGCGGGCGCCTGATGTTGCCCGTTTCTTTACATTGACGCCGTGTCGTGTTACATCGGGGGCGTAAGCACGCTGGCATGTTCCACTGTGTCCCTTGAGCATCCGATAAGTCCTTAAAAATAAACAAAGCTGCCCAAGCCGTCCAATGCATTCGCTGCTGTGCCGCAAATTTCATGAACAAGTGTGGAGTACAGAGGCGAAACTTGCAAGGCGTGTCGCGTTCCGATCCAGTCCAACGCGGCAGCCCCCACGCGAGTTATTCATTTTCTCAGGTGCTGCAAAAAGAAACAGAGTAGAGGCCAAGAAGCTGGTGTCGAAAATGCCAAAAGGCATGTCTACTACGATAAAGACCATATGCAGAAGCCTAGCTACGCATGTCCGCCACATGTGTACCAAGTGAGACTAGGTGCACGTATCGCCAACGCGCACATATATACGCAGAGTGGATACATCATTCAAGAATAGACCGTCCGCCAACGTTCATCCGTGTCGCGGTCAATTGACTCCTCCCTTAATCGCATCGTCTAGCAGTTTTGCCGCCGCAAGCACTTCCTCATCCTTGAATCGTTTCCCAGCCAGCTGCACGGCTATTGGGACTCCATGAAACAATTCTGGATCATCTACATGGCGTTGTTAACATCATGGCCATGTCATTAGACAGTGAGGGCACTTACAGGATTTCCACTCTTCCCCATCAACATCGCTCCTCGGCTGATAAGTCTCGTCTCTGACGTCCACGTTCTTGTCACACCTGAGTCCACTTGGCAAAACCACAGAAGGCAGGTCCAAGATGTTCCAGACAGATGTGTAGTGCCAATATTTCGCACCACCTTGCAGCACTCCTGCGCCAACATATGCCGGGCCTAGGATAAAGTCCACACCGCGCTCTTTCATCATGGCATGGTGCTCTCGCCGGTAGTCTTCCCGCTCGCGGTTCAGCGCCCAGTTGTCATGGACACTGAGGGGCACCTTGCCAGAGTTTCTCGCGAAGTCGAAGGCGTGCAGCGTCAGAGGCAGGGCGGGCTCACCTGATTTGGCAAACTCGTCCATGTAGCGCTTGCCGCCGTCTGGGAAGTAGAGAGGAGCGACAATATCCCATCCTCGCTGATGGTCGTACGGCTCCCAGTCCACAACACTCACTCCAGTTGCCTTGAGCTTGTCAACTGCAGTCTTCAAAGCTCGCAGCACAGGCGGGTGAGGCTTGACGATCCCGTCATCCCACATCACGCCCACAGTGAAGTCTCCCAATTTCACATCCGATCTCCAAGGGACAGGTGTCAAAGAAGTGTCGACGTCCCAGGGTTTCTGGTCCAGCACCGTCTTCATCCAGACCTGCAGCCCCTCCACACTCCGAGCCAACGGTCCAGCCACACCGCGTATGCTCTCCTGGCCTCCGGTCAGACCAGCTTGGCCCTTTGTAGTAACCCTCAACGCCGTCGGCCTTAACCCGTAGCAGTTGCCAAACGCAGCGGGGATCCTGATGCTCCCGCCGATATCCGTTCCGATGCCGAGTACAGAGCACCCACTGCCGACACTCACGCCCTCACCGCCAGACGAGCCGCCCGGCGAGAGACGCAGGTTGTGCGGGTTCAGCGTGCGGCCTGTGATGTTGTTCTCGCAGTCGAGGTGCATGAGCGACTGCGGCTGGTTCGTACGGATGTGGAACACTGCGCCGGACTGCTTGAGAAGTTGCACGAGGTACGCGTCCTCTGCAGGCACGGGATGTTTGATGAATGAGACAAAGCCTGCGTTGGTGATCCGGTTTGCGAGCGAGATGTGCTCTTTTACTGAGGTTGGAATGCCGTGCAGGGGCCTGGCGAGTTCGCCTGTGGATTCCAAGTGGGCATCGAGCTCGTCTGCTCGCTTGAGGGCGTCGTCTGTTAGGAACTCGGTCACGAAGTTGGTCTTTGGAAGACATTGTCAGCACTTTCATCCGACTCATTGCCTGGTGTTCTCTTACCAACTGGTTCATTATAACAGCTTTCTTTATGAATGCTGTGACGACTTGTCTCACTGTCCATTTGCGAGCTCTGTATGCTTCCAACAGCCGGTAGACATCAGAGTCTGTCATCTCAATTTCATCCGCCGTGAGTTTTCCAGAATCTGCCGGCACACCCAACACTGTAAGCTGATCTTTTGATGGTAGGCTCTCCGGTTCCAACAGCCATTGCTTTGGTATTGACTTGTCACGAACTTCAATGCTGATCTTTGCTGTGCCACCCCACCACTTCATTCTGTCCAATGGTTTGTTGATGGAATCGTCCTTGACGAGAGATCACTTTAAAATATAATATTATCTTTGCTTGCAGTGTAATATCCGTTCGTTGATCAAATGGAAAGCACGATGGACAATCTGAAACACAGCCTGAAGTTTTACTTGGTTGTGGTAAGTCTGTGCTTTCTTGGAAGTCAAATGTGAATAGAGTTGGTTTCTGCGATGCTTTATGGGTTTTCTTAGATATGGGCACACGGGCATCTGCCAACCGGCTGCCTCAAAAGAATGTCTCCACTGATAACATGCCTCTTGCAGGCGAAGTGATGTCCCCCCCCCCCCAAGGGTTGTTTCAACTGTGCCACGCACACCACACAAATTCAAAGACGACCTCAGCCTCTTTACGATTTCATAATTATCATGTCTAACTTTGAAATGACTTGTTAAGCATAGTATTGACATATGTAGTTGTTGTTCTATACAGAAAACAAGAAAAATGGTACATACAAGGTCTTCAAGTTTAAAGCTATTTGTTGGGCGACACAATGGGCCCCTTTGAAAAGGCCTCTATCGGCTCATCGGCTTATCGGCTTATCGGCTTATCGTTATCTAATCTATAGACTTGTACCAAATACAGTTAATATGGACTACATTGACTACACCCGAAGGGCGTGCCCACATCTGAAATGCTGCATCAGACAACTAAGTTTTATCGTCACAAATCGCAACATAGTAGAATATCACCACCATGAAAGCGGCACAAGGCTGTTGGACATGTAAGAGTACGTAACCCCATACTATCCTCAGGACTAAGCTGAAATACTTACTTAGTTACCAAAAAGAACGGAAGATTGGGTGTGATAGGAGCATCCCCTATTGCAATAATTGCAGCCGAACAGAGAGACAATGTGGGGGTTACGGGATACGCTTGAATTGGCCTGACCAGCTCAGTAACTGGCGCAAAGATTTCGTCGCATGCAGTGTAGCAGGTCTTGCCAGCGTCGAAAGGTACCCTCAAAGCCGGGAGCGCAGATACTTGAACTTTACCAATAGGGATTTTCGCCTTGCCGAGAAGCGCCTTGCCGAGACACACCTCACCTGGCATCCTTTCATGGAAAGAATCTCTGCAAGACCAAGCCTTGCTCTCTCGCCCCACTCACCCGTAGTTGGCGAAGATGCCATGCTCTTGGCTTATTGTTCGTGTTAATCTTCTTACTCACTTCGAGTTCTGACCTCTGACTAAAGCAACAATTGCAGACGAGCAGATCATAGCACCAATGTGTTCAACAACTCGGGCGCTAAACGGCTTTCGACATCACATTCTGTCCATAGCATTGTCCCGCCGAGATCGGGCCACAAGAGCTTTGTGCCGCTCCATGCTGGCTATTGCCGCACATCACCGTCAGAGACCACGTGCTGCGCTGACTCACAAAACGGGCGCCATGAAGGCTCTGTACGAATCTCTCGCAGCGCCATCAGACGATGATTCAGTTCTAGGCGCCGAGGCACAACTAGCTACTAGCATGATGCTGTGCATGTATGATGTGAGTTCTAGACTCATGATACACTGCGTAAACATGGTTGACTTTGTTTTTTTAGGTCTTCGATGAACAAGAAGCTCAATTTCATTTGCACCTGAACGGCGCTAAGAAGATCTTGAGCAAAATGAGTCCGCTCCAACGGGAGCACCCGGTGTCCCAATTTCTCATGGAATGGTTGCTGTATTATGATGTTCTGAGCGACTTCGCTCATCCTTGTCGAAGTATTCAGGATGAGTTGAGACTACCTTTCTACTCAAATCCGGTGCCAAATTTGGTCCGCGAGACACATGCACACGCCAGAACTTCCCCCACTGACATATACAAAAGATAGTTGGCCTTCTCGGCTGCTCTATAGAGGTCTTCGAAAGTATCTCTTCCATCAACCAAATGCGCACAATGATACTTGACCTAGATGCCGAACATCATGTCCCGGATAAGACTTTCGAGCAAAGAGCGGCTGTAGAACAGAAATTACAGATTGCATGGCAGCAGCTGAGCCCCGATGAAGTCGCCACCTCCACGGACGCACAAATGAAAGCTGCATTGGCGACCGCAGAACTGTATCGTTTAGCGAGTCTACTGTATCTACAGCGTGTTGTACCTGACATCGGCGACGAGGTGCGAAGGGCGGCCTACTTACGCCAGGCATTTGCAGCTTTGAATGATGTCCCAGTAGCCACAGGACCATGGCCTGTTTTTATAGTCGCATGCGAAGCACGTACGGACGAGGGGCGCATTTATATCCTCGAAATTCTCGATCAAATGGACAAGGTTCGAAATGTTGGGAATGTCCGCGTCATGCGCACTATATTGGAGACAATTTGGAAGCAGCAGGATCTGCGGGAACATTCCGGCATGACTGAGATGAAGCAATGGTGGCTTTGTGCCGACAGCAGCGTTGCGGTTCCTTGGTTTGTCTAACGCGACAACGATGAAATGACTCACTTGGCTAGCCCAGAATGGCTGATCGCGTTCACCTGTCGTTACCATGGGCCGTGTGGGGCCTGGTAACCACCGGCCGCGGATATACTCATACCGTGGGACGGGGACACAGTAGGCGGATCCAACATCCGCCAACATCCACCAACCGGTCAAGACGGCCTCGGAGATCTTAGACGCAGACCTCTGCCACAGAAAAGTATAAATAGAGCTCAAGAACATCAATAACCATCACACCCTCTCAGTTCCTCGATAGTTCCAGTCTGCGCATCTGAGCCGATATTTGCTGTCACTTCCCTGCAGTTTGAAATTGTGAATCCTCTGGGCCTACATCATGTCCTCTCTCTCGCCCATCAATGCTCCGGGACACATCCTGCAGCTCCTGTCTGAGTTGCACGCGAAATCCCTGGAACAGGAGGCCGGCATCTCGAAAACCGGTAAGGTCTTCTCTTCCGATGTCCTGGGCGACCTCGAGGACCAGCACTCGCGTGTCAACTCCGCGGTCGAGTTCGACAAGCTCATGCTGGACAAGTTCATCGCGCTGGACGAGGACAAGTGCCAGTTTACGTATCAGCTCATCAACGCCATGGGTGCCACCAACGTCGTTGAGGCAGGCACGAGCTTCGGAGTCAGCACCATCTACCTTGCTCTCGCTGTTGGCAAAACCAAGGCTGCCACGGGCAAGTCCGGAACGGTCATTGCGACCGAAAAGGAGACGCAAAAGGCAGATGTTGCGCGCGGGTACTGGGCGCAGTGCGGTCCGGCAATCGAGCAAGAGATTGATCTGAGGGTGGGAAATCTGCTTGAGACTCTGAAGGAAAGGTTGCCACAAGTTGATCTCCTTCTCCTCGACAGTGAGTTTTCCATATTATTTCATGATGGGGGATAAAATATATGTAATGATTCATGATTTAGTCTGGTCAGCCCTCGCTCTTCCGACACTTAAGGTAGTTCTTCCTCGGCTGCGGAATGGCGCAGTCGTCCTGACAGACAACACTCTATCCGGTGCTGAAGGGTACAAAGATCTGCTGGAATTCCTGAGAGAGCCGCAGAACGGGTTTCAGAATATGACTCTTCCATTTACGAACGGGTTTGAGATGAGCGTTTATATGCCAGGGCCGATATAAATACGTGTCGGATTGACTGAGTCTGCAACGAGACGTATCTATCCCCTCTTCGCTACATCTCAAAAATATACACAATTTGAGTTCAAATTTCCTTCTTAAATTATTGGAAACCATGAAGATGACCCGGTGAGTGCAAATAGAACTTTGACGGACGAGTAGATATGTGAGAGGACGTCTGGTCACCCGTCGTGTGTGATTGCGCCTCCATCAACCTCAAGTGCAACATACATGTAGCTAGGCTATGTAAGTAGGGGCACTGGTTCAATCCAAAATTCGAATGGTAGATTCAGCGTGGGTCATGGTGCTGGGTTGGCCACCTCCGAGTAGCCGTCCTGTTGTCATTCGTCTTTCTCTCAGCTCACTTAGCAATGAGAGCGCTGGGTCTGTGCCATTCGCTTCTCCGAACCTGCCCGTCTCCTTGTCAAATTTAAAAGCAAGTGGTCCCATTCTTAGTCACGAATTGACCCGACGTATACTTTTATGACTCACATGCGGCTTTTCGTCGACCATGAGAGCTATGACTGTGAGGAGATTCCCGAGATTCCCGAGATGCATAAAGTAACTTAGATTCCAGGCCAACCCCACTTGGCATTGAGAAGAGGAAAGAATTTGCGATCACGGACCCTGACACTTTAAGATCTTATCCTGCCTCCACGTCGTCTTATATCCTCAGTTGCTTGCACTAGTACATAGATACATAGACATTGAACCTCCTAACGTGTTGAATGTGCTCCAAGCCTCAATCCCGCACCGACAGGGACGAGCCCTTCACCATGTCACCGATCCCTCCGCTACTGGTCCCGTCAGTTTTAGATGCCATCAGAAACACGCCCGTTACACAACTCCCGCGGGTCGTGCCCGAACGCCGCGGAGATCCTACACCTAGTACTACAGTCGTCGAAGCTACTGCGGGAGGACTCCTTTCCAGACGGCTATGCTGTCAACACCGAGGAGTCCATGGGTAAAGGCAGAGTGAGAGTTGACTTGTAGACATAAAACGCCCCAGGATGGCTTCGCCCTTCACGCCGTATTCATCTCTCTATCCATCTATTAGCCGTGATTCTCGGTTGTTGTTGGTATTATTCCTTCTTCTTCTCCTTCTGTTGCTATTACTGCTGATGCAAATTCATCGTGGCTATCGATTTGAGAGGAGACAGCAAACCGTCAGTCAATTATTTGCAGGCTTGGATCTCGGCTTAGCCTCGTTTGCACATTGGGACAAGGAAGGGAGGTGACGCAGGGAAGACAAGAGGCAATATTCCGGAGGAGCAAAGACCACTCCCACCACCGGCTCAGTGAACCACCGCTGCAGGAAAGACGATCAATATTCAAGAAGCAGGTTGGACATGGGAGGACAAAGTTTCAGACGACGAGCCAGAACCCCGTCGAGAATGACGAGACATGAAAGTACTATGATGATCCATGTATTGACTAGAGATTACGATCAAAGGACGGCGCTCCCAACTGTTCGCGCCATCTACGACCCTTGAACATGAGGATAACCACGCCTGAGTACAACGACAGGCCAATGATAGCCATGACAGCCCAAGCGGTGCCAAAGGTGGTCTTCTCCGCGAAAGGGATCATATAAAAGCCCAGAGTGAAAGAGAAAACCTGACGGCCAAAATTGAGCAAGGTGGAGATCTCTGCTGATTGGGGCTTGTAGCACTGCAGAAGATGTCGATTAGCATTCTCCAAGACTTGAGGCCGCAGTGAGTGAGGCTTACATCCGTGATGTAGGCATAGATGTTGGTTGTGACGATCTGCAGGCCGACTGCTCCAATTGCGATACCCATGACAGGGCCCATATAATGCGTTTTAAATTGGAAGCAAAGACCCTCGATGATGACGCCAATAGGGATAAGTATGGCTCCAGGAATCGTCGCGTACAGGCGACTCTCCGGGTTTATATCACCATTATGTGACTTGGCGTGCAAATAAACTACTCGATCGGATACAGGACCCGCTGCGATCTCTCCGATGAGCGTACCGATAAAAGTAGATAGGCCGATCGCAAGCCCTATGCCGACAGTATCCTATCCAGTACGTACGTGTCAGTGATCTTGCTTGTCACATTGCCCTCCGTTCCGCGAGAAGGATTAAAAAGCCATACAAAGTGGTAGATGCCGCCGAAGGCTGCTGCGCCGGTCACAGCAAACAGCACACTGCCCAGTCCGAAATGAATGGCGTAGTATAACGCTGGGAAAAGCACGCTCGGATACCGTAACATCAGAAAGACATGGGTAAAATCCCATAGCTTCAGCTTTCTTTTGACTGTGCCACGATGTGCTCTGAAAGTAAAAAGGTCCACCAATTTGATAGTCTCCTGTAAGGACTCGCCAGTGAGATTGTTGCGATGGTACAGTGTCTCCGGAAGAGCGACAAGAAGCAATATCCAGGCGGACCCCAGAATAATCGCCGGAATCCAGAAACACCATCTCCAGCCGAGATATTTCGCGATGGGCCCGCCGATCATACCAGCGACATGCGCTCCATTGGTGATAAAAACTGTATATATTCCCATAAACCTGCCGCGCTCGTGCATGAAGAACATGTCGGCCACGCAGGCTGCTCCAATGCCCATCCCGGCCGAAGTGCCGACCCCGACAAAGAATCTAGCCACGAGGACACCGGACCATGTCTCGGCAGCTGCCGATGCGGCATGACTGGCTACCCCGAGGGCGGTGACGACAAGGAAGACGGGTCGGCGGCCGTAGACGTTGGCTATCGGTGCGAGGAACAGCGGCGCAATGCCCGCGCCGAGAATGGCGACGTTGGTGACGTAGGACGCGGTCGTGACGGAAATGTGGAATGACTTTGACACAGGGACAAAGGCGCTGTTGATGACGGCCTGGGTGAATGGTCCGAGGAAAGCGAGATAGGAGACTTGGAAGAGCACCCAGAGCTTCAGCCGAAAAGGCCAGTTGAGAGGGTCCTTGGCATCGTCTGGATAAAATTCGGTCAGGATGCAGCCCAGGCTCTAAAGATTAAGATGCACAGTCCACGTACTGGAAGGTTGTGGCCTCAATGGAAGGCCATGGGTGTCAAGCTTCAGAGAGCCAGTCTCTTTAAAGGTGTCGTGGTCATGGCCTTCGAGGTGGGAGACATGGCGCTTGGCCGGGGCTTCTATCTCTGGGTCTCGTTTGTTCATATCTGAAAACAGATGGCATGAAAACGACAAGAGGGAAAGAAAGGGATAGTATTGCGGGCGAGGACTGTGTTTGTATACAGATCATCACAATCCGATAGAGTGATCGAACCGATGCCACCTGCCGATGTACCTCACCTCTGAGATGAATACAATGCGGAGTAGACTAGTCGTAGACTAGATCTTGAACGATCGAAATAGCCTATAATGATCGGCATTATACCGTTGCATGGCATGGCCTGCACAGAACATACGCCACGTTCGACTCTCGAGCCTCGGGAGCTTTTAACTGGTGGGAGCCGAGTTCCGGTGTGGCGGTAGAGAAAATGGGATGGGGAAGGGAGGGAGAGAAAGTGGTTGAGTCGCAATCGTTACCAATTTGTCACATTTCTTCTCCATCTCGGTGGATGGATCATCCGCAAGCGAGATACCCAAGGCAATTGAAGGTCGATTCCCCATGTGGCACCGCTAATGAGAACTACGTATTATATGTAGCTTGCAGAGCCTGGCAACTCGGTCACGTCAGCTCTACATTCTGACATCTTCCCCCCTGTTTGTCAACTACCTTTTGTATCGCTCTCGCAATTGGCATGCCCTAGATTAGCACGATGGCACCCCTTCCTATCACCTTCGCGTCAGGCCTGTATGACCGCATGGTCCCGCTTGCTACAGGCGAGGTACGTCCGACTGGCATCGATCTGAACTTCCTGGAGCTGGATCACCCCCGAGATGTCTTTGACCGTATGGTTTCGACACAAGACTTTGACTGCTCCGAATTATCAACATCAGAGTATATCACTATGTACGCCGCAGGCAAACGAGACTTCATCGCCATCCCGGTCTTTCCCTCGCGCGCGTTCCGCCATAGCTTCATTGCAGTCAACGGTGATCGGATCAAGTCGCCAAAGGACCTCAATGGTAAGCGCATCGGCGTTCAGCACTACACCATGACTGCTGCAGTATGGCAGAGGGGGCTGCTACAGCATGATTACGGTGTAGACCTCAGTTCTATAGAATGGGTGGAAGGTAAAATGGAAGGGCCGGGATCGCACGGCAAGCCTTCTAGTCTTCCTGCCCTGAAGCCAGTTAAGATCACCCAGAACACGAATCCTGAAAAGTCGCTCAGTGATCTTCTCCGCGACGGTGAAATAGACGCCACCATAGGAGCGGATCCGCCAGAGTGTTTGAGCACGGCGTCTCACATCAGGCGGCTGTTTCCGGATTTCAAGCAGGTAGAGAAGGACTACTTCAAGCGGACGGGGATATTCCCAATAATGCATCTGGTTGCTATCCGACGGGACTTGTACGAGAAGAACAGGTGGATCGCAACGAATCTGTTCGAGGCACTAGACGACAGCAAGAATCTTGCGAGGAAGAGGATGATGACGACGAGTGCTCTCAGATATATGCTCCCATGGCTGCCGGAGGCAATCGATGATATCAGGGAGACTTTTGGTGAAGACTGCTGGCCGTATGGACTGGACGCGAACAGGAAGACACTCGAGGCGTTAGTCGCTTACTTGGAGGAACAATCGATGATTGACAAGAAGATACCCATCGAAGAGTTGTTCGCGCCTGTAAGGCCTGCTAACTTCAGAATCAGGTAGATCAAATACTTGAGCTGAAAAATTCGATCCATCGCCCAGTGTGTGCTTAACGTGCCGTGGAGCGTTATTGTTTGGCAAGGACTTCTGTGGCGACGAGATGGGGAGCCTAACTGAAGGGAGAACAGCGGGGTATAAGCTGTAGCATTACATCTATACATATATACTACTACCGTTTTTATCAGAATGCGTCTTCAAATTTTGACTTTTCGAACGATTAACGGGCATAGGCCATAGTGTGGCGTTTCATACCGCTATTACAAAATGTCGAGTTAAGATACAATCTATGTAACGAAGCATGTGCAAACTATACCGTTTTCATTCTATAGTAAGAAATGCACTTCACGCAACTTTAAACATCATTGTCGAGTGGCTGTGTCTTCGCAGTATCTTGCTGATACAAATAGAAGTTGGGGCTGGTTTTAAATTTCCTTTCGCCAGTGGACGTTAATTAATCTGTTTCGTCTAGATCTTACTAATGATCTTAACGTAGATCTTGACTACAACCGGCTGCGGGCTCTGAGGTGCCAGTTCCCGGAGGGTCAGTGTTTGTTAGCACTGATATTAAACTTGTGTACAAACGTCTCTCACATGCCGTTATGTTTAAAACATCTCCAGAATTGAGAAGGCGACAAAAGGGAAAGAGCAAAAGATACTCGTCTATCCCAAGTATTGAATTTTGCAAATAGTAAATATAGACTCAGACCAGCAACAGCTGACGCTAATTATGTATCATCGAAGGAGTGTGTGATCTTCAACTTTCTTTGTGTACAGCGCCACTCCCACGAACACCACACGGAAAGCAGATGAGCGGAACGCCTCAGGGAACACAGGCGATAGCCATCCAAAACAAAGGATCCAAAAGAGGCTGCCGGCAGACTGATTACATCGAGATCTACATGCATTCGGCATAAGCCATGTGGAACATTTCATATTCATCAGCTTATGAAAGAGAAACTTATTAGAATTTCAAGAGGCGCCGAGACCATCTCAGAAAAGACGCTGCATCATAGGTCTCTCCACTTCGAGAAGAATACCATCACTTGGCCTGAGTAGTTACCAGAAGGTATTTCACAAGACTGTTATTATATTGGGATGCGATTTAATAGTCTAGTGTACCATATGTCAATTGATGCCGGATGCGGTATCAACGACCTCTTGGGGCGGTATACATGTACCGGAATTCGTTCTGGCCGGATAGAATTTATAGAAGAAGACAAAGGATGCTATCGACCCTCATTTCCACCACAGACAGACGCGAATTTCAAAATTTCCGTGGCCTTGTCTGGCTTTGCTTCGATCCTTCCCGTGTATCATAACCCTTCGACTTGAATCAAATTGGTGGTGCTGTAGCAGAGAGCTAACACAGCAGCCGGTCCGCCTCCAGCGGCGTTCTTGTTTTTGATGCTTAAGCTCCCCCTCTCAGATTTCTAAAGTGACTGTCGGCGTTGCTTTCAACCAGGTGGAAAGTTAGTGCGTGCACAAACCACAATGTCTGCAGCGTCACCTTCTCCTTCAGCACTCACTGTGCAAGGGTTTGAGCATAATGAGGTCCTGGGATGGGAACGAATGACTCTGAAGACGTCCCAATGGGTGCTTGCAGGTGTATCTTTCGGTGCTATCGCTGTAGGCATTGTCTACGTCTTTTTCGTCATACTTCATTGGATCATCAACGCTAGACGCCAGAAGAAATCGTCGACTACGGTCTCGATCAGCGAGCTCACCTCCTCAAATGATATCGCCAGGGTCGCAGAAATCTCCAAAATCGGCAAACAAGTGAAGAGAAAAACATTTTCGCCCGAAACTAGCTTTGGTGTATTTCTTGGAGACTTCGATGAAGACCGTGTCACGGACCAACAGGTCACCAAGATCACGTCGTGTTGGGATGTTCTTGTTGTCAACGCCAAAGCGTCGCGTGTTGAACGAGCGGCCAGCGTTTTCCAAAGCACCTTTCGTCTCGCCAGATTTGACGTGGGAGAGGTAATCGGAGTAAGTCGTATGAAGCGCGATGGGAAGAACCAACTAGAAATTCAACGCGAGGTCAACCAAGCAAACACAAAGGCTGTTTTCCTCGATATTCTGAACACCCTTGAAGCTTTGGGAGAAGCCAACAGGTTTACCGGCGTCGTCATTGCTCAATGGGAAGACTACCTCTCAGCAGGCGGTATCAATGCGTTGATAGCGATATTTAACGACCTCCCTTTCTACATCGAGACCAACCCCCCATACTTCCTTCAAGACTCTCATGCATCGCTCCAGCTTCAAGATGCTGCTGGTATCATCATCAGAAACGGGTCGATGATGCCCGAAGCAGTTCGAAGGGACTTCTTTAAGCTTATCAACGTCAACGCTTCTCTTCGAATGGCTTCTAAACAGACTATGGTTCGCCGCGATTTCCTCTTAGCTGTATACAACCCGTTTCAAGGCGATGTGGTTGCTAGCAACGCTGAGCTGATTCGCTGCGAAAGATGGTGCTCATTCTATGGTATCAAATATTGGAACGGATCCGACAAAGCCTTACACAATGCAGATTTGTTTGATGGAAAGCACAAGGTACCTCTCGCAGCCTTAGATTACCTGAAGACGAAAGAAATTATGGATGCTCAACGCTTGTGGGCAAATGTTGAAGAAATTGATATCACTACCTCCGACCACGCGGATCGATTTATTGTCCAAGAGGCACACTTGTCGAATATTAATCTACCAATGGAGGATTCAAAATCGGTGATGCTAGAACTCATGACAGCGGAAATAAAACGTACGAGTATCACGGAGCATGCATTAACAGTGCCAACTTGGCAGGTTCAGCCTTATCAAAACAGCCGCCTCGGCAGCTTTGCAGATATTTCCCCCTTGGGAGAGAGCTTAGATGGACTCGGAACGTTTATGCTCAGCGAATTTCCTACCCACGAGCAAAAGGAAATCATCGCCTCAGCGCAGTCGAAATTAGCTGGACTTAAGAGCCTCGACCGGGCTTCCGATGATGAAAGAGCAGATCTGGCTCATAAGTTCGCACAACTCTCACAAGCCATGAAAAAGGGCCAAAAATGGGCATCCATCGAGAGGATCGCTCTTGAGACAATTATTCGCGGGCTCTCTGTCGATCCTTCAAGCTCGTCTTTCCAGACGCCTAGCGTTGAGATCTTCCGCACCCTCGACACAGGATTAGTCGTTCCCGCGCCGGACTTTAGCACGAACCAGGAGACTCCTTGTCGATTCAGCGGGGTGTTCAGCCGTAATGAGAGTGGGAGAACCATGATATTTGTTTCCAGGATAAGCCACAATTTCGAACTTTTGGTGCTGCATACGGCCATGGCCGCGTTCGGGATTCCCCGATCTACCTGTTTTGCCGTCGAAGCTCTTTTGTCGCAGTTACTCGGCCATAAACTTCGCGTTCCTAGCATCAGCAAGCGTCTCGAAGAGGAAATAGCCCAGCTTAGTCCCAACGAGGGTCTTCGCGTCCTCCAGCATCTGACACGCTGCCCTCAGATTGCTGCGTCTCCTTTTTCGGATGGTGTTCTTCAGCTTTTGAGGAGACTACTCCTTGTCGCACCGTCGTCACAACGCCTCAAAGAAATATTGTCTCATGTCTATTTGAAGGGGGATATATCAGCATCTGAATTGGTACAGTGCCGCATTGAATGGTACGCTGAGTTTGGTGCAGAATTACTCCCTGAGCCAGTTGCTGCCATAGCACTGTTCGATGAAGTCTCCGTCAAGGTATACAACGCTTTGCGAGCTCAGCACAGCCACATCATGAAAGACCTCCTTCAACCACTGGGAGTAATCGGCACCCGTAAGCTGACAATGGCTGAGGACATTTACATCACTTCGCTATTCTGCGCCCTGCGCAAGTGGACCTTGGACGAAGTAATACTTGAAGCAACAGATCGGCTTCCTTTATTCGCCAATCATTCAGACCAGGCAGCTGTTTACTCCGAAATGTGGGTTCTCGGTTCGGATATAGAATCATTTTTCCATTGCTCACCCCAGCAATTCGGCAAAGTAGTGTTCGACAAGTATCGTGCACAGCTTCAACGCGACGAACCGCCTTTGGAATCCCACAACGGCTTCGACCTCTTCTCAGCATATCAAGCTTCCAAGGTGGATGTGGATGAGGAAGCCATGAGGAAGATCGACGGCTCATCAGACAGTGCACACACAAGCTTCCGTGCCATGGCTTATTTTGGTGTCTTTGCGATTCCAGCACTAATAGATGTCCTCCTGCTCACATTCCATGGAAAAGGCCTTTACATTTCATCGGACATGGGGGACTGGCAGAGTAGAATGGCGACCCTCGCTCTCCTTAGCGCTCTGATATTCTGCGGCGCCATCACCAATTTTATCGGTGTAGGCGGCTCTTTCTACCTTTATGCCAACACTTATGCCACCATGATCAATTTTGTGCTCAAACGCCTTATTTCTGGTCTTTACCTCGTCGCATTGGGCACTTTGATCAGCTTTATAGTTATATCAGCAACTCTTGGCCCCCTGAGAGGTCTTATATTCGGCTTCTACTTTTTATTCTTGTCCACCTACTTTGTCTGCATGGGAGCTCTCTGTGTTTTGCACTGGTCTGGACATCCACTCCCTTCCGGCAGAACACGAGTCGGCTATTGTCTCTTGATCCTCGCTCTCAACCCAATCTTGACATCTTGCATTAAGGGATATGACTTGGCAATCTGCATGAGCGTTTTGGCCGTTTTTACCATCATTTTGTTGGAGAGAACATTCGATCTCCTAGCCGTCTGGACCATGTGGCTTCGAATCTGTCCGACCCCAGATGATGTCGCGATCATGGAATGGTATGCTAAGAAACACGGCGATGGCGACAGACACTCTACATTCGAAGGAGTTCCGGTCCCAACTGCCATGGAAATTACCAGAACACAGCTTACTAACGAGACGGATATCGAAATAAAACGGCATTTCTGGGAGAAATCCACGACAGACACCTTTGTGGCAGAGCTTGCTCGTGCAAGACATCTCTCAGTCGCTATCCTCACGTGGTACTCGACATATACAAAGGCCTTCATGCCCTTACCGTATACCTCGACATGGAATCTTCAACTCAAGGTGGGCCTCAATTCGCTTCGAAGCTTCGATAAGGGCCTCCACCCGCATAACACGTTTATACTATGGCGCCACGCAAAGATTGAGGTTGCCTTTGGTCTCATATATTTCATCCTTGCACTACTCGACCGTTGGGTCGAACTCTTTTGTGGCGGACAGATCATCGGTCTGCTTCTCCTCAAGGAGAGCACGACTAGGGTTGCTATCGCCCTTGCCCTTACTGTATACCTGATCGCTGCCGTCGTCATGGACATCAAGGTCTACCAGCTTTATGTTCTTGTTCAACTCAACACCTCGGGAAGCCTGACAGACACGAAGATGCTCAAAGAAGCCGATATTTCAGACAGAAAGAGCAGGCGCAAACTATATGCGTCTTACTTCCTCTCTATTATCATGCTGACAATGATTGGGTTTGGTATCTGCGGTCTCCTAGTGTGGACTTTTGTACCCGACGACGAGGGTATCGAAATATTTGCTGCCTACGCAGCTGGTTATGCCGGTCTTCTTTGGTATCAATACAACAGAGTGTTTGCAATGAACTCAGCCCTCAAGCCCGCGATATTAGCCATTATTATTGGATTTGGAGCCGGCATCCCACTTCGACTCATTTATCCACACTTCAGATTCGTGGATGTTATCGCGTTAAACGCCGCCACGTGGTCTGCTGCTTTGCTGAGTTTTCCAAAAACCAAAATTCTACCCATGACATTTTCGGGTGGAGCCGCCTCTATCGACGTCAAAAACAACGAGAAAAACGAGGTGCTTTCTGCCGACGAAAGAAAGCAACAACTCATTAAGGAGCTATCGACAATCCCAGCCTCGCGGCAATCGAAAACAAACGTCATCTACAGCGATGCCGACGAGAAAACCAAAAGAGCCTGGGAAACGCTTCGATATATATCGGAGGACAAGACGTCTGCTCCCAATCTCGACTTTGGCCTGCCGCAGTGGCGCAACGTCCTGGATATCGCTTCAAAGAAGTGGCTGAACAGGTCGCTGACCGTCGTGATGGTAGACGAAGACCTCATTTCTTCAACCCGGGTTGATTCTTTCCATTCCAACGATCCAGACACTGGTGTCGTCGTGATGCCCACTAATGTAGTTGAATATGAAGGCGGTGCTCAGCTTCACTCCCCGTCGGAATACGACCTTGCTGCTGTACTTGCAGCAGAAACATCCAAGCTATGGTTTGGATACTCTCGGGAGAGCGCTGATGCACTAACTTCTGCTTTGTTTCCGTGGATCAAGAATGTGGATTATTCATCTACGCAGGCCTCGAGTCTGCACCACGCCGCTCTTGGCCTCGATGTAGACACTTGTTGGACAAGCCTCCCAGAACCGGTGCGCAAGTTTATTTACGCTCGTTGTGAGTCCAATGTGGAATCTCAGGTCAGCCTCTACAATGACCCTGCCACTCTCCAATGGCTCAAGGACCACTGCGCAGCAAGCGAGCTCGAGCCGCTGGCCTTTGTTGCGCGCAGCAACATCCACCCAGCCACCGCGCACGCCAGATTGGCCGCATCCTCCTCATTGCAGGGCTGGCTGTCCGCAACTGCTACAGCCACCCCATCGATCCGGTCGAAGTCTATTGATAGCACACATATACCAACAAAGACTGAGACGACGTATCGATCGGACTTTGCGCAGCCAAAGCATCGCTTGTCTCCCTGGGCCTGGGTCGAATCTGTGGTGGATAGAGTCATTGGAGGGACCCTCAACTCAATCGGCAAATTCATTTTCGTCATCTCCTCGGCTGATCCTGAATTCCACCGCGAAATTCACTATGAACTCCGCAAAAACCCCCTTCGCGTTCCCATCGTCTGGGTTTTATCTCAGTTCTATATCGTGGCTAAGATATTGCACTCCTCCACGATGGATAGGTTCATTCGCATGAAACGTCCCCATCTCCAGCCATTCATCGATGCTAGTCGTCATGGATACATCACAAGGGTATTTGGTGACAGAGTTTCCGTGGAGCACCCCTTAGAGCCACTTACCGGTTTTGTTCGCGTACGCCATTCGAATGCGGATGTTGAGCAGGGGAGCTCGACACCGGATTTTCATGACTCTGAGGTGGCTTGCCTGCGAATCTATAAGGGCCATCACCCTAAAATACCAAAGACAGACCAAAACTTGACAGGTATCGCGTTTTACGGACCTCGTCAGCGCTTAATGCGAAAACAGACATATGAGAATGGAAATCTGAAGGCTGAGCACAGCTTCGAGTACAGAGCCGAAACATCTATAATGCCCATCGTCAAGCGGCTAGAGTGGTCAGAGAAACACGCTAATAGTACCGCTAGCCTCTATGATAGACACGGTCGAGTTGCTACCGGTGAGCAGACTATAGGCGGCGTGGTCTACAACTTCACCTACTACTATGCTCGTAGATCGGACGACGTTGTCAAGATCCAGTTTGAGTGCCAATATGAGGATGCACGTGACACTCCTGTCCAAATCGAGGCTTTTTATGGCAGTAAGCCCAGACGGAGATCAGACGACATCACAAAGTGGCTTCCGGCAAAGCATCTCATGCGACTTGTCGTTAAGACCAGAGTCGGTCAGACGGAAGAGACCCACTGGTCATACCATCACAACGCTCATCCTACCCTTACTACTACTGTGGATGGACAGGTGGTGCCCACGCCGACTTACGCATTAGAAGATCGATTTAAGCTAGCAAAGCCACCATCAAGAACGAGTTACCTTGAAGAGGACCTTGTGTGGGGATTCAGGCATGCTTTGCATGGCAAACGCGGTCGTCTGTCTGCACTTCTCCTTAGTATCCTCGGCCTGGACTCACGCCGAACAAAACTCACGACATGGAAGAACCGAGAGGCGCTGTGGAAGAAGTGGAAGGCCAGCTTCGACATTGATGCGGCGGCTGCTGTACACCTTGACGAGCAGTGTCTTCGGTCTGAACCCCTCCTCACGCCATATTGGAGAGCACGCGACCGAGGTGATATCAAATCGGCTGTCAAGTATTTGAAGCGGCACGTCGACGCCGTCGAGGGCGCTATAGACCTCGCGCCCGAAGTAGGAGGCTGGACTTTCTTGGCGATCAAGATGTCGAATTTATTTAGCATGGGACCTGCCGGTGACATGGTCGTCAACACCCGGTCAACGGAAGCGCTCACCGTAGGCCGCGATAATAATGGGCCCAGTCTTCACGTTCTTGCGACTGATACTGGTACGTGGCCCACTGAAGGGGGTGGTGTCAGCTGTTGTCGCAGAGACATGGTGGACAATCTGAACAGAGTCAAATGGCACATCATTGCAGAAGTGGCCAACGACCTGGGCATGCCGCGGTTCCAGACGACGAAGAACGTCCAGTCCGTCAAGCTGCTTGCGCAGTGGGGTCTCGACTTCTTCACTGCCCACCACGGCGTCCTGGAGAATTATCTCGATGGTCAAGTCGAGGAACGAATTCAACTTGTCTCTGAAGAAGAGATTCGAAGGAACTTCGTGCCAATATTGAAGGTCATGGTCCGGGGTGCTCGTACCAAGAGGTTCTCGAAGGCGGACATACACGAGGTCACTCAAATGCTCCTGGACCTCAACTCATTTTTCGAGCATCGCGACTGGAGACAAGTGTGGACTTCCGACATTGTTCGACAGGCGTGGCGCAAGTTCTGGCTTTCTGACGACCTTGGTGGAAATATCAGGTCGGCCTCAGACACTCTGATAATAGAGCAGCCCACTATGAGGGAGCTCGATGCAACACTGGACCTCTACATGCGATACATGTACATCTTTTCTCTCAAGATCCCCGACTCGGTCCCGACTGTATTTCAGGCTACACACCACTCGGTAGGGGCGCTTTACGGCATCCTGTACAAAATCAAGCGCGGTTGCACTTTTCAGGTTTGGGACCATTGTGTCATCTGGAGAGAGTCATTGGGTTACCTCAGCGCTTCGCTGTGCAGCCACAAGCCTTTTGTGCAAAATTCACTAATTGCAATGATGCGAGTCGCAGCTACACTCAATTTATACCACGCAGACGTCGTATTGCCTTGCACCAACTACTTCAATCCTGGATGGGAAGTCGAGCTTGGAACGGAAGAAGGTACACTCGGGGCACGTGAGCTCTACCGTCGAAAGATAGACCCCATTGTCAACGGAATCTGTAACATGGATAATTTTGAGCCTTTCAAGGAACTTGTCAACAAGAAGCCAACCGTCACTATGTTGAGCCACGTCCAATACGTAAAAGACATCAAAACCGCTCTTCTTGCTGCGGACGTTATTATCAACGAATGGAAGTTCGACGACTACCATCTCGAGATATACGGCGGTCTCGATCGTGCCCCATCGTATACGGTCGAGTGCCAGGAGCTCCTCGCCTCCAAGGGCCTCCACGGCAGAGTTCTCTTCCAAGGTTACGGTAGTCCCAAGGCGGTGCTCGAAAAGACGTGGCTGTTCATGAACTCGAGTATATCAGAAGGCCTTCCTTTAGCTATCGGCGAGGCTGCGCTGACAGGGGCTCCCATCGTATGTACGGATGTGGGTGCTACGAAACTCGTCCTACAAGACCCAGATGACGCCGAAAAACTGTACGGCGAGGTCATTTTGCCCAACAGACCGCGAGACCTGGCCCGTGCACAGATTGAAATGCTTGCTGTCTGCGGGAAATGGTCCTCTTTTGCGACCGACAATGGCGGCGAGTTTGTTCACGGTCTTCCCGACCGTCCTACCAGTGAGCAGGTGGCGCAAGTCCAGCAAAGGATGTACGATCAGTATAAGTCTCGACGCGCTCTCGGTCTCAATATGCGGAACACCGTTCTACGCAAGTTTGATGGTGATAGATACCTCCGTGAGCACGAGCAGATGCTGTGGGTAGGCCAACTAGTTCACTATACTAGGCAGCGACTATACAAGGCCCAAGGTGAGCGACAAGTCCAGACCAACATGAGAAACCTCGAGCACAATTTACGGCGGGTTGGTCGTCCAGCTATGACTCGCGGATTCTCCGCGCTCAGCTCGAGTGGTCAAAGTCGGAGTACTGGCAGTAGTAGTCGTGTGACCTTGGAGAGTCCAGTGGTGATGGAGGTTTGATTCCTGCGGCGAGACACATAAATTTCCCTTGCTCGGACTCTTAATTTGTATTACTAGCGGAGTTTTGGTTTCCCACAAAACCGTGTTAATTGGGTGATTATTTAAAGGAGTAGCAATATTTTATAATAGTATGGTTTTGAAAAGTTCCGAAATGAAGGATTTACATCTGTTCACTTTCATATATGCGCATCGAATTATGTCAATTTCGTGGCTTCTACTCACTAACCACTTTTTAAAAACAATAATTGAGTACGCAAAGAAGCCTTTGAGTGTAGCTTAATCGTTGTGGTAATGATCATAAGCAAACGACTGGACTCAGTCTCAGAAACTCTCCAAACCTTTTGAATGCACTACATTTGGTTTCACATTCCACAGGCTTTAGGAAACACCGTTTCATCGACAGGTTTGGTCTGGGTCTCAAGCCCTATGGGCATATACTTCAAATCATTTGATAATGGCGAATTGTTGTGACACAAGCATTGCACCAACCTATACAGTCTTTTTGGCAGGTTCTTCGTACCCATAATTACAATGGTACACTTGTGTGATTGAATAAATCCGTCTGAGTATTCTTCCCATGGTCAGGACAGAGCAAGCGGGTCTTATGCTCAAGTGTGGTCAGCCATGTCAATATGAAGCAAAATTAAGCTTGATTACCTGTCTTCCTCAATATTCGTGGTGGAAGAGTTGGATGGGCCCGTCATACGATAAGCATTGCATTTGCTATTCGTCGTTTCGTTGTACAAGTTGCGGAGAGTGACACAGTCGGAATCGGAAACATGGAGGGACTGGTTTGTGTTGCGAGGAGTTTAGCAATCCTTAGAGCCGAGTTACTGCTTACCAAATCCTCGAGCATTAATAATTGGACCCCTGCACCTTGGGCGGACACAGCGCCCGAAGGATTGCTTGGCGTGTTAGCTGTGGCGTACACTCAGTACTCGCTCTGTATAACAGAAGAGCTACACGCGCATCCCTTTGCTTGCTACAACGATCGTGTACATCAAGCAAACCAGACAGCCCAAGACACGAAACTCGAAATGTCATCTGTGAAGTCAATCCTCATAGTCGGAGCCGGCGAGTTGGGCACAGCTATCCTCGCAGCCCTCGCAAGTCATCCTTCTAAGCCTCCACATGCCAATTTCTCCGTCTTACTTCGTCCGGATTCCATCACCTCTCCCACTCCTGAGAAGCAACGCTCCAACACCGAGTTGAAGTCCCTCGGTGCGAGGCTTGTGCCTGGGAATTTCGTTGATGATGATACCTCTCAGCTCTCGGTCATTTTCAAGGACTACGACGTCGTTATCCAGGCAGGTGGATACGGTTTACCGAAAGGAACGCAGCTGAAGTCTGCCACCGCTGCACTTCAGGCCGGTGTTCCGCGATACTTCCCCTGGCAATTCGGTGTTGACTATGAAGCAATTGGGGAGGGCAGCGCCCAGGACTTGTTTGATGAGATGTTGCAGGTCCGGCGATTGCTACGGTCCCAGACTCGCACGACATGGACCATAATATCAACAGGACTGTTTATGAGTTACTTGTTTATCAGTGACTTCGGAGTAGTCGACATTGAGAACAAAATCATTCGTGCCTTAGGATCTTGGGAAAATAGAGTCACAGTATCAACACCGCGGGACATTGGTCGCTTGACAGCTGAGATGGTTTTCGTACCGGATGGAACACTGAATGAGGTGGTCTACATTGGAGGAGACACCATTTCGTATGGAAAACTAGCAGATATTTTGGAGGAAGTGTTTCACGGGAGTTTTAGCCGAGAAGAGTGGGACTTGCGGTTTCTTAAAGATAGGCTTGCGAACAACCCAAGCAATCTATGGTATAAGTATCAGTGTATCTTCGGCGATGGGAAAGGAATATCATGGGATTTGACCAAGACCCTCAACGGCCAACGAAACATTATTATGACCACCGTTGAGGAGTACATCAAACAAAATTTGGCCATGGTTAACTAGACTGAGAAGCTAGTATGCATATTTCAGAAACAAGCTCCAGTCACTATGGTGTCGGGTAGCTTAGAATTTTCAACATTTCGGACATCCTGATAGCCTCAACTATAGAATATTGGTCATTCAATGTTGGCATTCCAATCACACAGCCTGTTACGAGTTCAATTTCTCAGTGAGATTGTGATCTATGTCACATCCTAAAAATGTAAGACCTTTTAATCATGAAAACCTGTCATCAAAATATTTATCACCATTGACAAAAGAGTTCTTTTTCAGAGGTCAATAGATTAAAACTCAGAATTCAAATCTTTGGTTCACACTCTATGTCTATGTTATGCCTTGGATTTGGCTTCTGCCTCATCTGTCATTCATACAAGATTCGCTGCCTTGGCTTTCTTGCTTCTTAACCTTCAGCTTTTGATGGCCCTGCTGTGCCCACTTTTAAGTTTCCGTGTCCCCAAACCCTTTCTTCCGACTTACATTATCGACACGCTTTCCACGCGCATTGAGAAGATTGTGGCACGCATATGCTGTCATTCCATCGAAGGTATCGCTGTCGCATTGTTCGGCGACAATTCGTGCATCTTTCGTCATACCGTGATCTGCCTGTCCAAACACCGCAACACAGAAACAAAAGCAACATTAATTGACAAAAGAATTGCCACTGGAAATATACTGGTGATCATTCTGATAGAGAGTAAGGAACATTATATTCTGTTCGTCTTTTCTAACAACCTCCCTGCATTTTCAGCGAGAATTGCGTTACAATCGTCCTCATCTGGGAATACCCGTGACAGCTCTGTGTCCATTATGCGACTCATTCCAAGAGCACCACTCCCAGGTGTAAATGGATAATCCGTTCCATACAACAACCGACTCGCGTTTACATATCTTAGAATGCCATGGATTTGATCTGGAAATACGTAGCCAGCTAGATCGAAGTAAAATTGACGTTCAAAGATGTGCTTGACTGCTTCGGTATTGAATTCGATGGGATGACCCAAGACGGCAGTGGCAACATTGGCCATACGCTCGATAAGTGGGGGTAGAGCTCCACCGGCGTGACATATGATGACTGTGATTTTTGGAAATCTATCCACGAATCCTGTCATAAACATGTTGATAACGGCCCGCGCAGTATCGAAGAAGAACTCAAACATCGGGTTGGGGTAATGGCTCAGCGGGCTTGCAGCGTGGGCCGTGTGACCATCGCCAATGCACGGGCTGGTAGGATGGATGAAAACCGTGGCACGTCTGTGATTCAGTTCCTCGAAGACAGGATCAAGGACACGATCGCCCATATAGACGCCATGCATGTTCGTCTTGACTGCTACTCCATCGGCGTTCAGCACGTCAAAAGCGTAGGCGAGTTCTTCCAGGCTGCCTTTGACATCAGGTAGGGGCAAAGACGCCCAGAAGCCAAACTTGTCTGGATGCTGCCGCTTCAACTCGGCACTAAACTCATTGCATTCCCTGGTCACTCGTCGGGCGAGATCATCATCGTCCGGGATTAAATGTGTTCCAGGAGATGAGATGCTCAGGATGGACTTTGCAATGCCTGCCTTCTCCATAAACTCCAGATGGCCATCTTTACTCCAATTCTTTCCTCTGATTAGCATCTCGTCTAATTGAATTGCAGAGTGACTTGTATTCACCGGTAATGCCGGCATACCATCAGGCTTGCCGTAGCCGGCCTCGATGCAGGCCTGTCTGTAAGAAGGAGGCAGAAAGTGCGCGTGGGTATCAATTCGTTGGATAGTCATGTTCAAATCGAAGTTCGTGGAATTTGAGATCGTAATACGACTACAAAGATTGAATCGATTATCTTCTGGACGAAAGGTGCCGTTCAAATGAGCAGTTGTTGAAAAAAGTACACAAACTCCATCAGCTTAGGTTCTAAAATGAAGATATGTTTTGAAGAAATTTAATAGCGTGGAATAGAAAATGCGTTAGATCGCTAACAAGCAGTACTTCGAATAAATAATTAAAAAGAAATTCGAAAATAGTTTGTTCATCATACAAATCAGGCTACAAGCGTTTTCGTTAATAATCTATTTAAGAACACCAATAGAAATATTCTTTTCACCATGTAGGTTGTATCTTCAACATACCAGTACAAAAGTATCACTTGGATTGAAATATGTCAGCACAAGAACACCCTGCTCATTGCACAGAGTTTATCCCAAGTACGTCAGCACAAAGGTACCATCCGTGCTGCAAGGAGTATATTCAAAGCACGTAAGCACAAAGATACCCCCCTTCCTGCATGGAAATCACATAACGCACGTCAGCACAGAGACACCCTCCTTATTGCACGGAGTTTATCCGAAGCACATTAGTTCAGCGTATGTTCAGGGCGCGTCAGCACAGAGTTTATCCAAAGCATGTCAGCACAGAGATACCCTCCTTACCGTGTCGAGTCTATGCAAAGATGCCTGTATGTCACACTAGCATAGAACAACTAGATATGCAACAAGAAGCCTCTTGTCCGAATAAGCTCATGCATATACGTAGGGCCGCGTTGGCACTCTTATCACCCGTGAGAATCACACTTCGAACAAATTGAGAGGGTGGATCTAAAAGAGGTTGTCACCGGATCTGATGTAATAGCTGTATATCTGTTTCCACCTGCTCAGCCATATGCTAGAATACCTTCATACATTGATCGCATTGGATTGACGCCTCGAAATGAACAAGGCTGGCAGTTAAGCTGTTAGACTCACGTACACCGAGAACTAAATCGACGCTAATGAGTGCTCGGCTCGGCCACAGAAAACTCTATGCAGAGACGTAATTCGCAGAGCAGAGGAGATTTTCCTGGATCGACGAGAGAATACAAAATCAACGGGGCTGCTAGCATCAGCATCTATTAGATCCACCCTGACGATTATTTGATATCCACGCCTTATATTAAGGTCCCTATAATGACCTGATGATACATACCGGCATCAGCCTGCAAAGAATGGCTCAAGGCATCTGCCGGCCCATCCATGCGAGAGCAGCGAGGATGTAGGTATGATGAGTGCAACACAAACTCAATTTGTAGCGTTCCATTGATATAGGACGTACAAGACATGTTAACACACACCTCCTCAAGGCAAAGCTGCTAGCGCCTCACGCAATGTTAAAAAAAGATCATGTATCTCGTCCGTGTTGCCTAGGTACCTGGGCAGGTAGCGCATGGCAGAACAAGCCCGATATCGTACCATGCTGCTACGTTGGCGGTTGCTGCTTCGTTTCCATCATTATCTGTTCGTAAAAAGTTCAAACCAGAGTGAGGAAAAGTCCCCAGAAGATTGAAAACCCCGAGGGATTGAGCCTTGTACGATCTCCTGCAGAACTCCCAACACAGGCGAGTTTTCGCATGTCTCTCTTTGTCCCCTACCCACACTCCCACGTCATTTCTAGCAACCGATTGCAATGGAAGTCACCCCGCAAGAGTTTTTTCACAAGATCCAAGAGATCATTGCTCGAGAACTTGGTATCGAAGTAGACGAATTACAAGATGCAGACGTTCCGTTCTCCCAACTTGGCATCGATCCGATATTAGGGCGTGTAATTGTCCGCACGATCTCACAGAAATTGGACCTGCAACTCCCCGAAGACATATTCCAGAAGACTGGCGATGTTGGGCACCTTAGACAGCACATTCTCGACTCTCATGCTGCCGCGACGACGACGATCGCGACGACGACAGCGAAAGCAACAGTCAAAGACGAAGAGACAAGGCCTCAGCCCAAGCCGAAAAGTCATGTCGCATTTCCAGTTTTGATTCGAGGAAACCCAACCAAGGATTCAAGGAACATGTTTCTACTGCCTGATGGCAGCGGTTCGGCGATGGCCTACGCTCGTTTGTCGGCACCAGCCCCAGATTGTTGTCTGTACTCCATGCATAGCCCGTTTCTGGCAGATCCTAGCGAATATAAATGTACAGTTGAGGATCTTGCTGCCATTTGGGCTCGAGGAATCCAGAAGATCCAGCCACACGGGCCCTACACGCTGGGCGGCTGGTCTGCAGGGGGATACTACGCTTTCGAAGTCATGAAATATCTTCAATCCGAACGAGAAGTCGTGGATAAGATTATTCTTATTGATTCTCCGTGCAGGACCAAGTTCGAGACGCTGCCACTGGATGTCGTCCGATATCTTTCTTCCCACCAGCTCATGGGCGACCAAGACACAAACCAAACCCCAAAATGGCTCATTGATCACTTCGAGGTTACCCTACGAGCTGTAGAACGGTACAAGCCCACCAGAATGTCTGCGATTCCTGTCAAAGCAGCTCCTGACGTATATATCATCTGGGCGACAGATGCCGTCCTACCACATGGTGGAGCTGCGCAAACGGGACTGGATTGCGGTGTTCAGGTCACTCGGTTTCTACTGGAGCAGCGGATCGACCTCGGTCCGAATGGCTGGGAGACGCTATTCGCAGGATTGAGCAAAATCTTCATTGCCACCATGCCGGGAAACCACTTTAATATTGTCCACAAGCCATACGTAAGTGATCGACCACTTCTTCTTTGGCTCCCACAGCTTAACACCCAAAGACGGCCCCAACACTGGCCAGGCAAGGTGCAAGGTCTGGTCTTAATTGACACGAGGGCAACAGGTGACTCATCTTGCGCAATTATTACGTGAAGCTTTCCAGAATGATTTGGAAAGTTGGAGGACCGGGCATTGAATATCCGTCTGATCCCGGAAGAATACTACAAGGTTTCATAAAGCACCACTTCCGTTTTTTCCCAAAAGGTCTTTGAGCTTCGCCCCTTAACATCTCACCATAGATTGCCAGAGCTGTCGCAGGTGACACTGGCCTTGTTTAGTCCGGTTGTGGCCCCACGCGACTTCTTGACAAAAGATGATTCGGCTACTCTATTTTCAAATTGATACAAATCTTTCAAGACTCCATTATACCTTGATATATCCTTTTTTTCCCCCAGGCTAGATTACTCGTTCAACCTTTATTTGATGACCGCCCTGACTGTAAGACAAGATGCCAATATCATTGTTCAAGTCACTCAATCTTGATCCTCCTTCATTTGACTCAACACCTGTTGACAAATTTTGCCAAGTGAAGCAATCTGATGAAAGGTGAATGATATTAGCTGATGATCACCAATATGAAAAGGCACATCTGTTGTGAAAGGGATCTTACCGAGGAGAACTCCAGAAATGAGCCGCTCTCAATATCACTTTCTTGCGTGCGCAAGCCAGGAATGAGATCCTGCCACTTAGAGCTAGCTGGCTGGTCTTTCGCGAAGACCTGCACGCTGAATCTTGGGCCATTCGGTTTGGACAAGGCCCTGGGTTGGTATGAATCGCAGAGTGAGATTATCTTTTCGATATGTTCTCTCTGACCTGGCCCTGCGAGCGAGAACATGGGCACATCTGTGTCAGCGGCCTGCGTACTTGGGATATCAATCCTGGTGGAATCACAGTCCAGGATCAGTAATCCTTGGACTTTCTCTCCGGCTTCCAAGAGTTGCCGGGCAACCTCATACGCGATGATGGCTCCTGCGGAAAGCCCACCTATGAGGTACGGTCCTGAAGGCTGTTCCTTTTGGATCGCCGCCCGATAGATGCTCGTCAGCTCTTCGAATGTGACTTCGGTGTCTTCGACGTTCTCGCTTAGTGGAGACTCAACGCCGTAGACTGCAACGTTTGCATCCAATTTAGGGAGGTGGATAAACTCGAGTGTTGACCCTGTCTCGTCTGCCACAAGAAATAGCTTGTTGGAGTCTTTGGACCGGCCTCCTTGATGCTGTATGACCTTGCAGACAAGTCCTGGTTCAAAATGTTCTGGAGAGCTCTGATCTCTTCTTTCCGGTATTTCATCAACTTTTGGTGGATTGACTTCTTCCAATGTCAACTCGCTTGATACCGTAATTGAACCATGCCTGAGCGTTGACGAGACAGAAGATGTTAAAGGAGAAAGCTGTGCAGTTTCCGAACTTCGGGCGACAGAAAACAATGTCTGCTCGTCCACAGCAGTCCCTGGGGAGGAAGTTTCCGTTTCACCGCCGAGTAGATCTCGCAGAGCCTGCTTGGAGTCCCCAATCGTCTTGTTCTCCAGGAAGAAAGCTGCCGGGAGTTGCATGTCTGCTTGGCTAGCCAGCTTCGCTAAAATGTTGATTGCCATGACTGAGTCGATGCCAAGATCCGTGTATACTGTATCGTCCGTCATCTCATTTATGTCGTATTCACTTTCTTTAGCAACGATAGAGAGCATCAGGTTGACCTTTTCTGCAATGTTGACAGCAGAAGCTTCAGCATCAATGTCTGTTTGCCTTTCGGTTGTATCCAATGACTCCGGCCATGTTTGGGGATTTTCAGTCATGGTGTCTTTGTGTGCTCTAGGGATGCCACGAGTCCGAGATAGCTCTGTGGCCTGGCCTACAAGTTCCAAGCGAGTTTTGTTTGGCTCTTTGTGCGTGGCCTCCGGGTTCCCTAGAAGCCCACTTGCGGCAACTCTGTTGAGCTTCAAGAATTTGATCCCCCTAGTGGCCTGGACCATCTCGTCATCTTCGAAGACGTAGCAATCGCCCTGGACGAGATGACTGTTGGGAGTATCCTGCAGACAGGCATAAACCGTATACGTCTTGCCGGCTGAGAGGCCTTTGGTGGATTGCCAGTAGTCAAATCCAGTAGCCAAACAGACGAGATCTTTTGCATATTTCAAGCCCGAGTTCAGGACGAATCCAGTGAGCTGTACAGAAGCATCTGCACAGTAGGGACTCAAGTGGTATTTTCCCAGCTCAGATACTTCTGGAATTCTCACTGTAGCAATAGCGTCGTTGCAATTAGTATCCATGGTGACTTCTTCTAACGATTGGTACGTTGAAGAGTAGGTGACAACATTTGAGAAAAGTTGGTAGATGATGGGCTTGAGGAGCAAATGCGCTCCTCTCAATCTCGCTTGTTCTTTCAACCAGTTGATTCTGGAGGCCAGAAGAAATGATTGAGGTGGGTCTAACTTCCACATAGGACCGGCATCGAAAACGACTCGACATTCGCCATGAAGTGAGGTCTTGTCTCCTGTCTGGGAGTAGAACTGGATGTGGGCGCCATTCTCAGTTGCATGGTAGGAAGCATTGACACGAATTACCGAGTCAATAGGCGTATCGGCAACGCTGAGTGCCTGCGTTATGTTGATTCCACGAATACACATGGTTGGTGGCTCGGCCTGGTTGTGTAGCTTGCCGTAGACATATTTGGCAGCAGTAAGTGCCATGTCGTGGAAAACACCTAGGGAGCAGATCGTGTGGCCAAGGACAGCATGCCCTTGGATGGCTTTGAGAAGAAATGGATCGGAGATGTCTGAGACGAAAACGGCTTTGATCGTTTGACCCTCTACCGTTTCATCCTCCACGTGTTGGATAGAGTTTGTAAGAAACTGACGAGCCTTCGCCGCCTGGGCCGGATCGGCCTGTCTCGAAGACTCCGTAACGTACTCTGGCTTCACATAAGGCACCCAGAAGTCTTGACAATCGAAAGCGTAAAAGGGTAGGTCCAATACTGTCAGCGATTCTTTGAACCCCTTATGGACCTCGGCCCAGTTGACTGATATACCCGACTCGTAGGCTCGCTTCAAAATCGAAGAGATCGTCTTCCAGTTGCTCTCGCCGGATTTTAATGCTGGGAGAGTTCGGGATGCAGTGATATGCAAAGTGTTGCGAGCGAGTCCCAAACAGATAGGTTCAGGTCCGATCTCCAGCCACAGAGAGTCATCTTCGCAGAATCCCGCTGCCTCACATGCTCGAAGTGCTCCTACAAAGTCGACTTTTTGACGAGTTTGGCGTGTCAGGTAATCATCGGAGAATACATCTGCTTCTCTCTCAATCTTTCCTGACAGAGTCGAGGCGATTGGAATATCGGGCTTCAGGAATCTCGTTCTTCTGGAGATTTGTCGCAGCTCCTCTAGTATTGGCTCCACTTGGTCGGAATGGAAGCCATAAGGCACACGCAGTAGCGTTGTCTTTGCACCCTCTGTCCCTAGTTGGGCTTTGACTCTTTCGATATCGTCCACCTTCCCGCTGGCTACTGTTATCGATGGAGCGTTCAAACATGCGACTTGGCACGAGTCAAGTTTCAGCTCACTGAAGCATTTCTCAAGTTGTTGCTCCGTCACGCTTGCCACCACCATGGCGTGGGTGTTGGGATGAAGGTGCTTCTCCATGAGAGCTGCTCGGTTGCCGACCAGGAGCAGTGTGTCACTGACAGACAGAACACCAGCAACACAGAGTGCTGTGTACTCGCCAAGGCTGTGCCCGATAACAACACTCGGGGTAATGCCATAGCACTTCATGAGGTGCGCCAAAGCCAGCTCCAGAGCCGTCAGGGCAACTTGGACCTTGACTGTCGACTGCCTAGACATATCAACATTGGGATCCGATATTATGTCAATGAAGTATGGCAGCCCAATCATGGTAGCCATATCTTGGTACGACATTAGAGCCTCCCGGTATTGTTGGCATTCTCGAAACAGTCCAGCCCCCATGCCGGCATAATGTGACCCTTGGCCAGTGAAGAGAAAAACACACTTTCGAGGCCTGAAACTTGTTTTTGGTACGTTGGACTGTTTGCTCGTATCTTGTCGTAGCTGGCTGATGAGGCTCTTGGTGGAATCCCCAGTGTAGGCTACACGAAGCTGTTCGTGTACCCGACGGGCGGTAGTCGTGTAGGCTAAATCTGCCAGCTTTGTATCGGGATGTCTCTCAAGATAATCCAGAAGTCTCTCACGGTTGCCATGCAAAGACTTTGCTGTTCGGCCGGATATGGCTACTGTATGCCAAGCTCGGATATCCTTGCGTTTCGACGGACGGGATGGGGCTTCTTCAATGGCTATGACAGTATTACCTCCCTGGGAGAGCCAAGTTAGCGCGTTGAGTTCTTCGAAATATAACATTGTATCATCATTCTACGTACCGAGGCATCAAAGCTGTTGACAAGCAGCTTGATTTTCTTGTCACCGTTGGGGCTCGGCTTCAGGGGGCTGGTCTTGGTCGATATTCTGACATTGTGTTGGGCCAAAGGTGGGAAATTCGGGTTGAGTGTAAAGGGCCAACCAGGCTGAGAGGGTATCTCACGCTCTCTCAGCATCAGAATCGCTTTAATGAGTGATGTGACACCGGCCGCCTATAGCACATTCAAAGTCAGTCTACTTGTACTCTCCAGCGGAGTCCAATATGGTAGGGTACTTACGCCTTCCCCATGGCCCACGGCAGCCTTCACGGCGCCGACAGTCAGAGGGTTATCTCGCTTTCGTCGTGTGGCAAGCGTGTTGATCACGGAACTCATCTCTTCAAAATCACCAGCTTGTGTGCCTGTTCCATGCATTTCCACATAAGCAATTTCGTCCGCGCTCAACGCGGATTGCCGCAAGACTTCATTATAGGCCATCTGCTGGGACGCAGCACTCGGGTGGGTCATGGAATCCGCGGTAGGGCTGTGCATTCTAGCCGACCCCCTGATGACAGCAAGGATATTGTCATTGTCGGAAACAGCATCCTCTAGTCTCTTGAGCACGACGACTCCGGCACCCTCTGCCCGGGCGTACCCGTCGGCATCGGCATGAAAGGTTCTGCAACCGCCTGTGGTGGACAACATGCCCGATCTGCTCAGCCCTGAGAATACGGTGGGTGAGTTGATGACTGAGTAGCCGCCAGCTAATGCCATGTCACACTCGCGTGCTATCAGGGCTGACCTCGCAAGATTGACGGCTGTCGAGCTGGTCGAACAGGCCGTGTCAAGCGAGACAGCGCCGCCACTCCAGTTGAAATGGAAATTGAGCCGGCCAACACCAAAGGCTCGACTGAAACCAGGGACGTAATAAATATCGGCTCCTTTCTGATTAAGAATCTCTCGCCACTCATCCGCAGCTTGACCAAAATAGGAGGCGATTCTGGAGCTTCCATTTGCCAAGCTGCTGTTCGGCGAGTAACCGGCAGCTTGTAGTGCCTCGTAAGCGACCATGAGAAGTAACCGGTGGCCTGGGTCCAGTTGCGCGGCTTCTCGTGGCGACACGTTGAAGAGTCGGTAGTCAAAGAAGCCTGGTTTATCGATCCAAGCACCATGTCTCGCAGTGGTCGAGTTCTTCTCCTCTCCATTGGAATCATAGCAGCTGTCGAGGTCAAATCTGCTTTTTGGGACCTGTTGGGTGACACTTGTAAGCATCTTACTTGTCAAATTTCTGCTGGATAGTTCATACCTCCTTTATGTGGCACTTCCCACCCATGAGATCTTCCCAAAAGCCATCCACTGTTTCACTGCCAGGAAACCTTCCCGCCATTCCTACGATTGCAATGAGGTCAGAACCACCACGGCTGTTCTCGCTCTGGGACGTTGCCACCGGTGGTCGGACTTGGTATTTAACCCCCTTGGCTTGCAAAGCCATCTTGACGGCAGCCAAATGATTCGTTGGGCCCATCACTGACAGTGTGACATCCTTTGTCACGTTTAGCGTGGACACGCAAGTGTGGACCAAATCAGTGACGCGGAGAACATTGTGCGCAATATCCTCCAGAATCTCCCCCAGGAGATCACCCAGTGTCAGGTGAACATATTGCTTGCACGAGCTTGGCGAAAACATCCGTGCTTTGGCGAGATCGATTGGGTGGCGCAAGAGGGGCGAATTCCCAAGAATTTTGTCAACGTCGATCTTTGGCGCGTGTTTGGTATGAATGGGACCCGTAACCTCAGTTCGGATATGGGAGGCGTTCCTGATCTCCGGTGACCAAGATGTCAATTGCTGCAGAGAGGGTGGAGGACCGATTAGAGTAAGCCAATCCCTGGCTTCTACTCCGATGGTGACTCTTCTAAATTCAGGAATGCCCTATTAACAGCACTAGTCAGGATTTAAATCTGGGGAGCATTGACAACTTCGAACGCACGTGATATTCATGGAACTTATCTAGAATATCCCGAACAGTGACAGATGAAATTCCAGTGTATGTTATTCCCCAACTTTCTGGTGACTGGTCGATCAATTTCATATGTCGATTGACCTGGGCAGCTAGCCTGATGCCCACAGAAAGAATCTCCCGGGCTAGTGGGAATAGCTCGCTGGTATCTTGGGCTGCCACTGCGACGGCCGCCGGAAGGAGACCTCCGCATAGAGCGATGACATCGACTGGCTTCAGGGTCGAGCCGAGGGTGGTCGGATCATCATGGGCGTAACTGTCACCTTTTTAGATGCTGTACAAATCCGGGGAGACCAGAAGGGCTTACCATATGAGCTGTCCCAGTCTTCCAGAGCATGCCAATGCGGTTGAGACAATGATGTTGTCGTCATTTGAAGCGTCGTACTCCTCTGCGATTCCCAGAAGAGAGTCCAAGGTCCTGTGCCAACCATGTTCTCCTGGTCCCAGTCGACTAAATTCGAGCTGAATGACATCAATCGCGTCCTGCAAGAACCTCCTGGCAGCTGGATCAGACTTTGAGCTATGTACAAGGGCTTGGATTGCCGTCAATTTCTCAACGGATTGATCCCCAAAGATGAGTAAGTGGTTGGAAGGTGTTGAAGCTGCCATTGCGACTGTTGAAGTTGATTCTGCGTGATTCGACAAGAGGTGCCGCAAAAAAGATTGAAGTAAAGGATAATTTATGAGGCATCGACACAAATTGGGGTGACTGCCAGCTATTACTTTCATCCCCTATCCCCTTGGTCACCTAGGTACCTACGTATCAACAAACATGTCATTATCGGAGGTGTTTCCTGTAACGAGGCTGTTTCTGAGAATAGCCTGTTGTATTGATAGATTATTTTTCTGTTGAAAGTTTAGAAATTTTGTGATTCATGTAACGGTAAGCTTACTGATTCGATACTGAGGTTGTCTTTGAGATATTGTTGCTGGTAGTGCTTACCCAGCTGGCAGTCCGTCAAAGAAATCGTTCACGGCTAAAGAGTAGAACCATTGTACCGCAGGACTCATGTTTATTTACCGACCATAACGTTAGATTCTAATTAGTGTTTGGATGAACCTGATAAGCAACGTGTATTTGTAATCCATCGGTGTACTCAAACCCGAACATGTACTCTTTCATGTTCAATGGTCTACATTCCAGTTTCAAAGGCTTTTGCAGTTAAGGCGGCGACTGGGACTGAGGCCGATCTCTTTTGCCAGTTGACGGCGTAGCTACTTAGGTCACCTAGGTGTGCATTCAAGTGTCCAGATTCGGCGGCTTCAGGGCATCTAAGTGGTTGCGACACAGCGCGGCAAAAGCAACTGGATTCTGCTGGCATTTCTAGAAGGTACCTAGCTGTAATATTGCACAAGATCGTCAAATGGAACGAGTGAGATCCAATGATGGGAAACTGCTTATACGTGCCTGACATCACGTTGATATTGGTGTAGATAAGCTACTCCCGTTGCAGGTCAATCACGCAACATAGAAACAGGCATTGCTACTGGTAGCATTAGATATTGGTCGGGCGCAAAATGAAGGTGTGAATCCTTCTTAGGGCAAAAGGTTGGGCACGAAATTTTGCGGGCGTTAGAACTTAGTGTTGACGTGAGAAAATGGTCTTCTTCAAGAATTACCACAGGCGCATCTCCACGGGGCCCCTGAGAGTAGTATTCGGCCAGGGTCGTAGCAAACTCAGGGTCGTAGCAAACTCAACTAGACCTCGATATGAATCCAATTAACGATCTGTGGAATCATTTCAAGTGATAAGCGATACCTAAATTGGAAATCTTCGCATGTGATTCACCATGCTCACTCGAATGGGTTGCTGACAAGAAGGGATGTCAATATGCATCCCTTCAGGGCCAGCATCAGCAACAACGTGGCATATCTATGGAGGGACGAATTATGAGCTGCAAATTCTGATAGCAACGTGGCAAAATCTCGTAGTTCCGTTCTACCCCGATCTGAGCCTGTGAAACTTGTCGCAGTAGATGTCCAACTTACAAGGAACATTGTTGCATATCTGGCTATCTCACTGGAAAGGAACCTATAGCTCTTGTATACATACCACAGTTATGCAAGGATATTTCGGGAGCCGAAAAGGCTGCTACCGTTGCGGCCCCCAAAAGGGACAGTTCTAGATCTCTTGTCAAATAACACTGCAGGCCGCGTGCAGTGTGCGGCATGCGGACGATATCACACACGAAGAGCAAGGTTGCCAGGGAGTCCCGGGCTCACATGGTGCATGTCAGCGATGAAACCTGCACAATACTCGCACAACCATTAACTGTTACTTCGGTATTTACATGCCATGTGGCATGTCGGCATGGGATGACCTGCATAATTAGCTTGCCGGGAAATGGCGTCCCAAAAACTTTATTTGCCAGGTCTACCGAGCTATCCAATCAACTACCCTGTTTGAAGCACTAGATCAGCGCTGACACGTACCGGGTACTGATGATATCACCTAGATGACACCGAGTGTTAGGTCCCTAGACTTCTTTGTAGTCGAGCAGGGCTATCGGAAATTTTATTTGATCGGCGCAGGGTCTCTGACCCGACTGTCCAATAAGATTTGAAGTTCTGTAGACCAATATCCTAAGGCGCTCTGGGCGCGTAGTAAACAAATCGAACGTTTCGAGCGACGCGCGGAAGTTGGGCGTAGATATTGACTGTTACATCCAACCATGTGGATCACTAATCCTAGCTGCGCTCCGCAAAGATGATCGATGTCCGCATGACCGGCGCGTACGGCTTGATGTCAACGATCTTCAGCCCTGCTCTACCCAATAGCACCGCCCAATCATCCAGCGTGCGCTCCCGAGCACCAAATGTCATCATCATGAGCAAGTCCTGGACGCTGGGCCAGATGTGTGCCTTGGTGTTCGGCACGGCCATTTCATCAATCAAAACCTGGGAATTTGGCCCTAAAGCAGGGACTAGATTGCGAAGAATCTCAACCGACCTGTCGTCGTCCCAGTTGTGTAGAATAGTGCGAAGATAGTAGTAACGGGCGCCTTGGGTCATAGGGGAATCGATCAGCGACGTTTCTCTAGATGTGCATTGGTTCGGTTGCGACTCACCTTGAACTGGCTGCGGAGTGAAAAAGTCGTACCCCTGGAATTCCGCGCCATCCATTGCCGGAGCAAACTTGACCACCTCCTCCAAGTCTTGCACAATGACATGACCTTTAAACTGGGGGTACCTTCCAAGAAGCTCAAGGCACCGGTCGCCCATATTACCGCCAACATCTACAAAGACAGGCCCATCTGATGGATCGACGGCCTTTGGAAAGGGGATGACACTTAGCCAGTCCACGGCCCTGACAGATGTGGAAATCGCCATCAGCTGCAGGGACAACATCTTCTGGAAATCTTGGACCATTTCTGGCTTTGTTTTCAACCAGTCGTAGAATGTGAGGTCCGTATTAGCCGCGGCGTTGAAAACGCAGGGATTGCCAACGCCATCTTGATAGTTGCGTCTTTCTAGGAAAGCTGGCAACTCGTGCAGCATTGGGTCGATCACTCCATAGTAGATGTTTACACCTCCCTCCAAGCGTGCATCCGCTAGACAGTGCGTCATCTTGCTGGCAGAGAATTGGCCCTTGTCGACCTCGTTGATGAATCTGTTGGCCGACAGGTAGCGTAGTACCCTGTTCACAAGTCGTGCATCTGCCTTGGTAGGCTCACACAGCTGCCCAAGAGTGAGGGGCGTAGGACTGTCAGAGAGAGCTTTAAACACGCCAAGTTGGTAGCCAACTTTGATCAATGGCGTCATGTTGGCCTGAAGAATGATTGTTAGCGTTTACCTGAAACATATCTCTAGTGTAACATACCGAATTAGCAAGACGCATCAGCAGATCAAAGGGCTCCTCAAGATCCTCAATGACCTTACTGAGGGCCGCAATGACCATGTGCCTGGTCTCCTCATCATCTATCTTGCTATGGTAGTTACGCAAAGTTTCGAGCAGCGTATCTGTTGCCTTGGCATTGCTGTCGATCTTGGTTTTATCAAGTGAAACGGACATGATGAATATGTTTTGCAGACTGAATTGAGCTGTAAGGTGTGGTACAAAGCGACTGAGTACAACAGTTTATGGTGCGAAGAGACGATTCAAATCATGGGAAAGGAAAGTGGTTTGATAAAAGGGCACGAACGTGGCAATTGAATTTATCGGTCGAATGCCTCGGTGGGTATGATTGCCAGGAGATCCGACTCGTGGCCACGGGGTGTATCAATCGGGGACCGTACGGGAGGGCCACAGTAAGTTTGGGAAAGGCTAGAACTCTCCATTCATGGTGTCAGAGGTGTATTGCATAAAGGGCGTGCTAATTCAGTAAACGAGTTCTACAAGATCTATTTAAAGACCTAGGTAGCGTATGATCAGTTGATAGGGTAAATGCTTATTTGGTTACATACACTAAAACAGAGTTAAGGGGCTCCACGAAATGGTGTTATCATTTATGGTTTTTGTGCCTAGATTCCATTCGAAAGAATTTCTGCTTCTTCTTTGCTACGGTCGGCCGCTTCTATCTTCCAAGAGTAGCATCTGCCTGTATTAATAGCATTCAATATGATTCCTCTTAAGAGGAGACATGTCAGATATTGCAACCATCACTGCTAAATTTACAGCAGTGTGCATCCACGACCAATCGTCATTCAAGGGAAGAAGCAGTAGATTGAATGGCGTTGGCTTTGGGATTGTTGACTAGAGTAGAATCTGTAGAGTGGTGGATCCATTGCACATGCTTTGAGCAACAATGGCGATTAGGAGCTTGACAATCCAGAGCCGCTGTCCCAGAGCAGACCTTCAGCCGCACCGGCTGTACCGGCTGTACCGGCTGCTCTTCGATTACAGCCCTACTCCCCCCTTCTCAGAGCTACTAGTTCTAAATCTGTTTGCACTCGACGAGGCCAGAAGAAACACGCTGTTGCCATTTCAAGCACAAAAGGACATCGGATCCCTCTTCGACTCTCCTTCCTCAATAGCCGCTCATTCTCATTGCTCTATTCACTTCTTCTTACATCACCCTAGAGTCTTTCATTCATATTAGAATCACAACCGAACATACACATATAAATTAGATGTAACGGTTTAGCGATGGCGAACAACAACAACAGCCCAATAGCCATTACAGGCCTGGCATGCCGGTTTCCAGGTGATGGGAAGAACTTGAGTCAGTTCTGGGATTCATTATGCAATGGAAAATGTAAGTTCTTAAGACGGATTACGCCTTCTGCTTGTGAACAACTCAGTAACTTGGACTTCCAACCAGCCGCGTGGACACCAATTCCCAAGACCAGGTTCAGCCCCGATGCACTTTCCGCATCCATTCCTCAGGGCGGTCATTTTTTGCAAGAAGACATCTCGCTTTTTGATTCAAATTTCTTTCGCATTCCCCGCACAGAGGCTCGTGCCATGGATCCCCAACAACGACTCATGCTGGAGGTCGTCTATGAAGCCCTCGAGGCCGGCGGATATCCATTAGAGGGTCTGGCAGGTACTGCCACGGGTGTCTATATGGGCCAATTCACGAGTGACTACAAGGAACTCGTGTGTCGAGACGCTGAGTCAGCGATTCCGTTTTCCGTAACTGGACTACAGACGACTTCACTATCAAATCGGATATCTTGGCTCTTCGACTTGAAAGGGCCAAGCCTGACAATGGACACGGCCTGTTCATCTAGTTTGGTGGCACTTCACCTTGCATGCCAGAGTCTGCGAGCCGGGGAGTCACAGATGGCAATTGTCGGTGGTTGCAATTTGATGATCAGCCCAGACATGTTCATGTTCGAGGCTGGGCAGGGCTTTCTCTCTCCGGACGGGAAGTGCAAGACTTTTGATCAGTCAGCGAACGGGTACGGACGTGGTGAAGGATTTGCAGCGGTTATTGTCAAACCGCTGGATCTCGCCATTGCTGACGGAGACCCAATCCGCGCAGTAATCCGTGGGACAGCGGCGAACCAAGACGGCAAAACCAAGGGCTTCACACAGCCTAGCTCAGAAGCACAGGCGAGTTTAATATCCAGCGTCTATCGTTCGGCTGGCTTGAAATTCGATGGAACTGGATATGTTGAGGCACATGTAAGCATCCTAAGCATTTGGTCCAAACTTCACCGGAACGTCTGCTCTAACAGTGATCTCTGATAGGGAACCGGTACACAGGCCGGAGACTTTGAGGAGACCACGGCATTGGCCAAGACCATTGCAGCAACATGCTCCCAGGGCAAGAAGCTGATCGTGGGATCAGTGAAGCCCAATGTAAGTCTGACGATTCAGTTCTACTACTTAACAAATCTAATACTCTCTAGATTGGTCATCTAGAGGCAGCTGCTGGACTCGCGGGCGTGATGAAGAGTGTGATGATGCTGGAAACAGGCATGATCCCTCCGAATCTTTACTACAACAATCCCAACCCAAAGATCAGGTTCGATGATCATCATCTCCAGGTCCCCACTGCAGTAATGCCGTGGCCGAACGAGGGCCTTCGTCGCATCAGCGTCAACTCGTTCGGATACGGAGGATCGAATGCCCATGTCATTCTTGACGACGCATACAGCTACCTTGACCAACACCGGTTGCGCGGTCATCACATCACTAAGTTCACCCAGCTGAACGGTACCTCCGACACTTGGGATAAGCCAAGTTCATCCTTCTGCCGTGTCTTCCCCATCAGTTCTCATGATAAAGATGGGCTCGGGAGAGTCAAGCGCGCCTTAGCAAAATATCTGGCAGTCAAATCTAATCAATTGAGAAGTATGAGGGACAGAAGCAGCTTTCTCGACGATCTGGCTTTTACCCTCAGTGACAGGCGTTCGAATTTGCAGTGGAAGGCGTATTTCATTGCTTCGTCACTCGAAGACTTGTTGGCTGCTTTGGCCGCGGACAACACGACGTTACCAACACGTCCGTCTTCACGCAAACCTCGGCTGGGTTTCGTCTTCACCGGCCAAGGCGCCCAATGGGCCGGCATGGGCATGGATCTCATGCAATACCGTGTCTTCAGAGACAGCATCGAGGCTGCGGACCGCTATTTGCAGCACGAGTTAGGCTGTACGTGGTCTGCCTGCGAAGAACTGAAGAAGGGAAAGTCAACTTCCAGGCTCCGAATGCCGCAATACAGCCAAGGGCTTTGTACTGTACTTCAAGTCGGTCTTGTGGAACTCCTTGAATCATGGGGCATCAGACCAGTGGCTGTCGTCGGACATTCGAGCGGAGAAATCGCGGCTGCGTACTGCCAAGGTTCCATCTCTCGAGAGGATGCTTGGAGAGTGGCATACTTCCGCGGAGTGGTATCTTCCAAGCTCAAGACTTGTGGAATTGATGGTTCGATGATGGCAGTTGGGATATCTCCCGAAGGCGCTGGCGAGCTAATCCAACAACTGGCCCCGAAGAAAGTTCACCTCGCCTGTGTGAACTCCCCAGCAAGCGTCACTTTGTCGGGTGACGCAGACGCCATCGACGTGGTCTACGACGCCCTCCGGGAGAGAGGAGTCTTCGTTCGTAAGCTGCAGGTGGACGTCGCCTACCACTCACCTCACATGCAGCTTGTCGCCCGGGACTACTGGAAGACCATCGCTGACGTGTCGACCAAGTTCTCCTCAGGAACATGCAACATGTATTCCAGCGTCACCAGGGAATTGGTCCAACCAGGAGAAATCGTGCCCGCATATTGGGTCAGAAATCTGGTATCTCCTGTCCAGTTCGCCACAGCAGTACAGCAACTCGTGACCAATGAGAAGTCTCTAGATCTTCTAATCGAGGTCGGACCCCACGCCGCATTGCAAGGACCATCCACCCAGAGTTTGCAGAACATTGGCATTACCGATTTGCCGTATCACTCAGTTCTTTTGAGAAATCAAAGCGGAGTCGAAACGGCTTTGAACCTCGCTGGCTCGCTGTCTGCCCAGGGGTACCCAGTGCGCTTCCAAGAGTTCAATCACACAAAGAGGAGAACGCCACAGCCGCTTGTCGATCTGCCAGCTTACCCTTGGAATCACTCACAAAGCCACTGGGCTGAGACACGGGTAGCGAAAGAGTACAGATTGCGATCCTTGCCGTACAATAGCCTTTTGGGAGCACTGACTCCAGGGTTTGTCACTGGTGAGCGTGTCTGGACACATCGTATTCGATTGTCCAAGCAGACATGGATTCAAGACCACAAGATCCAGGGAACCGTCTTCTACCCTGCGGCGGGGTTCATTGCCTCAGCCATCGAAGCTGCCCTCTTGAGTTCTGATGCTTCCCGGGCAGCGGCAAGCTTCCGTCTACGAAACATCCATCTGAACGCCGCCTTGGGTATCGATGAGGGCGAGGAAGTGGAGTACTCAGTCTCTCTGAGACCATGTCTGTCCGACACTCAGGAGACATCGTTGTGGAATGAGTTCAACATCGCAAGCTGTCGAGGCGATGGGGCACTGGTTAGACACTGCTCTGGTCTTGTGATGGTCGAATACGACTCGTCCATCGCTCGTGAAATGGAAGAGCAGTTGACGCTCGGGAATGGAGAGATGACCGATGCCAACCTGTCTGCAGTCGATGATGACATTTTTTACAAATCTCTGTCAGATGTGGGTTTCCACTACGGACCTAGCTTTCAGAACGCGACAGATATTCGGGCTGGTGCAGGCCGGGGCTACGGTACCATCCACATCCCTGATTTAGGGTTAGACATGACGCCGAGGCCTCATGTCATTCATCCCGCGACCCTGGATGCTATCTTCCACTTGATCTTCGGAGCCCTTACAGGGAGTCCGGATGGGATGACGCAACTAATGGTGCCAAAAACGATCGACGAGGTTGTGATAGCAGCCAACATTCCTTATCAAGCCGGCACGCAGTTGAAAGGATTCTCGGATATCACCAGCCGTGGATTCAGGGAAGTAATCGCTGAATTGATCATCGGCGATGGCCCTGCGAACACTCCAGCCGTCAAGATATCAGGCCTATGCCTGCAAGAGGTTGGAGGTCACACTGAAAGCCTCGATGCCCAGTCTGCTCGAAACATTTGTAGCTCACTTTTTTGGAAGCCCTCGATCAACTTTTTGCCATACCAGGACCAAGAAAAAGTCATCAAGGAGGTTTGTGCAAAGCCACGTGTCGACCTCCAGAAGACTGATTTTGCGGAATCAACCGAGGCTCAAGCCTCAGTGCAGACGTATCAAGCCCTCTCGGAGCTCATCAAGTTGTTGCACCACTGCAATCCCAGCTTGTCAATTTCTGAGGCTTTCACCCTGAGCACAACTCGACCAATTCTTTCGCATCTACCCGATCTTGTCGATGTTTTGAAGACAGCCAATTGCACAATTTGGTGTGCCGATGAACTTGCAAGACAAGTTGCCGAGGAAAATTGTCACGAGTCCAAAGATATCCAGATCGAATTGCAGAATCTATCTCAGTCAATTCCTCAAACCGGAGCACCGTTGCCGACCACCGATTTGATCATCATGAACCTCGACTCAAACAATTCAGGTGACCTGGAACGACTGGTACGGAACGCCAAAGAATTGCTGGTGAACGATGGACGATTATGCTTGATTGCGCCAGACAAAGAATCCGAAATTGCTAAGACAAGGCTCAGGTCTTTCGGGCTCTCCAACTGGTTTAAGATCAGCGACTTCGAGGATGCTGAAGGTAAACAACAGGCTCTTCTCCTGGGCTCCAAATCCGCCAACCTAGCAAACGGCCATACGAGTCCTCAACATGACGATGAAATTGTCATTATCCAGGGAGCTGCTCCATCTCAAGCAGCTAAAGACCTCTCTGATCAACTACTGAAGTGCCTGACTGGTCGTGGACACACAGCATTCTCGGTGCCATGGGACGGCAACACGCAATCCTGGACGGGAAAACCGTGCATTTCACTCCTGGAAGTGGACCGTACCATCATGGACGACCCGACAGAGACGGACTTTGAGCGCATCAAGAACTTGATTTTGGAGACGACTAAGACTCTTTGGGTCTCGGGACAAAGCGACCCCTCGAGTGCAATAGTTACCGGGCTAGGGCGCACTGTACGCAATGAGGAACCGGGTCTCGCCTTCCACACACTGCAGTTTGATCTTGCGAACTCTCAAGATCTGAACAAAATAGCCGATCTCATCCTGCGTGCTTTCATTGACGGCAGCGAAGACAATGAGTACATGATCGACAACGGTGTCATACATGTCAGTCGAGTCCTCGAGGACGATGCCACGAATGACAAGCTGCATCTGCTGGATCCCTTGCATAACAAGACCATCAGCACCGCTGTCATTGGCCAATCTGACCAGCCCTTGAAGCTTTCGATTCAAAATGCTGGTATGCTAAGCTCTGTTTGCTTTGACAAGGATCTTGGTACCCCCAGCACCAGTCTCGAGGAGGATGAGTTAGAGATCGTGGTCAAATCATCATCAGTCAGGTAAGCTTTTCTAAAACCCAATGTGTACTACTATTAGTCTAATACCAAAGCCAGTGCAAGGGATGTCATGACTGTCATGGGCCAGCTGCCTAGTACAGACATTGGATTCGCTGCGGCCGGTGTTGTACTCCATTCAGGATCCGCCGTCGGACAATTCAAACCCGGCGATCGGGTCGTTGTATGCCATTCCGGAGCACTCTGCACGGCTCTCACAGTCAAAGCAGACAGCTGTGTCCTACTACCCGAGGATGTGACTTTCGATGAGGCCGCGATGATGCCGCTCACTCACTGCACCGCATGGTACGCTCTAATGCAACGAGCACGGGTGCAAAAAGGCCAATCCATCCTCATTCACACTGCCGCCGGAGGCGTCGGAGAGGCAGCCATCCAGATAGCGCATCGCGTCGGGATGGAAGTCATGGCCACCGTCGAGTCCGATGCGATGAGGAAGATTCTCCGCACCACCTACGAGATCCCTGATGACAATATCTTCGACGTGAAGGACTCCAGCTGTGTTTCCGGTGTGAAGCGGATCACCAGGGGGCTTGGTGCTGACGTAGTTCTGAGCTCCGTCGCTGGCGAAGCAATGCGCCAGGCAGGCCAATGTCTTTCACCCTGGGGCACATTCGTCGACATCAGCGGCAACAATACGCCGGATAACACATCCTTCGACATGGGGTCATTCCCTCGGAATGCTTCATTCACTACGGTCGACTTGCAGCGACTTGCCAAGCTTAGACCCGACATCATGCGAGACGTCATGCGAGACTCGTTTGAGTTCTTGCGCGGAGACGATGTTGAGAAACGCATCGCTCATGTCCCTGTATTCCCAGCCTCCCAGGTCGAGAGTACGTTTCGGTCGGTGGCGACAGGGCAACACGGGAACGAAGCTGTGCTCTCCTTTTCCGACGAGCAAGTCGTGCCGTATCTGAACCGACACGAGCTGACGTTGAACCTCGACCCTGAAGCTGCCTATGTCCTGGTTGGTGGTTTCGGTGGTCTAGGCCGAGGCATCGCCAAAATGTTGGTCGACATTGGTGCTCGCCGATTATGTTTCCTCTCGCGGTCAGGTGCGGAATCCACCGGGGCGCAACAGGTTTCGCAATATTTGGAGAGCCGTGGCGTCCAGGTATTGGCACAAGCCTGTGATATAGCCGATCCGGAATCTGTGCGAGATGCTCTCGAGACGTGCTCTCAGCAACTCGGCCGCATCCGCGGTGTGCTTCAATGCGCCATGGTATTGAGAGACGCACTCTTCCGAAACATGACGCACCGGGAATGGACCGAGTCCATACGACCCAAGGTACAAGGAACTTGGAATCTACACCAGAATCTTCCCGAAGTCGACTTCTTCGTTACACTGGGCTCCTTCACTACTATTTTCGGGAACAGAGGTCAGGGTAATTATGTAGCCGGGTGTGCCTTCCAGGATGCCGTCGCCCACTACCGGCGGGCGAAAGGCATGCGAGCTGTCACCATCGACGTCGGCGTGGTACGAAACGCGGGCGTTCTGGCTGAACAAGGCATGACAAATACTCTACGCGATTTCGAAATTCCATACGGTCTTGACGAGCATGAACTTCACAACATTATCAAGATGGCAATCGCTGGTAGCGAGTCCGGTACCGTCGCGCCGCAGATGCTCACCGGCCTTGCGACTGGGGGCAGTGCCATCGCCGCTGGTGTCGACGCATGGTACCTCAGTGATCCTAAGTTTGCAATCATGGAAAAGATCGGGGCTGGGCAGGCGACCGGAAAGGCCCAGCAGCAAGACACGAGCGTACATGCGCAGCTGTCCGCTGCCAAGTCTCCAGCGGAGGCCGCAACCATCGTGTTGGAGGGCTTAATGAGCCGCGTGGCTGATGTCTTGCACACGGATCCTTCAGAGATTGATGAACATCGCTTCTTGCATACGTACGGCATAGACTCTCTGGTTTCTATCCAGATAGTGGACTGGGCCCTGAAATCATGCGAATCGCGGATCACGGTTCTGGATGTCATGGCTGCGGTGCCCATCAATGAATCAGCCCGGAAAATTGCTGCGAAATCATCGCTCGCGCCAAAGGTTATTGAGGTGAATTGATTACTTGAAGCTTATCAACATATGTTGAGGAGTGTTGTTGAGGAAGAGGGTGTTTTACGACGACATAAACTGTACTGTCTAAGGCGATATTAGATTGTTATGGTGTTTCAATGTTGAACTACTTTTCATTGGTCACGAAGACATCAGGATGAATTTACATGCATTTACAAGACGCATCTTAGTATGTTTGAGAGATCATCAGACTGTCATCATTCTCTTACTGAAAATCTGACAATTGTATCCGCATTTGTGCATGGGTTGATTTACTGTAATTGTAATTCATTCTCGACTTAAATCTGTCCAAGCGGTGTTTTGCTGCTCCTGTTATCAGGCGGAGATCACACAATAGTTCATGCCCCCAATGATTTCCGATTCTGCACTACGACAGCTCGTCTCTTGACAGTATCCGGTCCAAAACGCTTGAAAGCTTGCTCTCACAGTCTGGGACCATCTTCATTGATCGCCATGCGACAAACCTGTCCGGGCGAACAAGCACACATCCGTCGTCTTCTATCTCCCGTCTGGTATACCATTCTCGATAAACGTCATGGTAGTCAAGGCCGAACCCTATGCCGTAGCTGTTGATTGGTATGCCCGTGTTTTGAGAGATCTTATCCGCGGCCTGTTTCCAGGCATCTCCCCCATGTCCAGTCAAGAGGCAGAACGAGCCCTTGCCAGCTATGTCTTGGGTGGAGACCTTCTTCCTACGCGTTGACCATTGGTCCAGCCATGCATGTGGAAGACGTGTGCCCGGATATGTGCTGACGTGAAATTGAACCAAGCGATTTCCTTTGAGTGGTGGTCTCGGCCCGCTCTCGTCATCCAGAAAAACAGCGTTGGATATGTACCACTGATTCCCAGTAGCACCCAGACTCTCGGCTTCTAGTCTCATGCCTTCCAAAGAGGCATGCAATCTCGCTCGAGAAGCTGCACCTTCCGGCGTCCCCTTAGACAGGTCTGTGATATACTGCATTCCTTGCTCTGGTGTCTCAGCAAACATTCCGAGCGCTTCCCAAACGCTAGAATGTAACCCGAGCCCGTAGGTGGCATCTTTGACGACGTTTGCCCCAACAGGCTGTCGCTCAGCATCATAGGAGTCTAGGAGCCCCCTGCCCGCCAGACCCTTTTCAACGTAAGCAATCTTCCACCCAAGATTATACGCATCCTGAATGCAAGTGTTGCTTCCCAGCCCGAATGCTGGCGGATGATGGTGAGCGGCATCACCCAGGATAAATGCGCTTTGTTCCCGAGAGAATTTGATTGCAACGCTGTCGCGCATTACCCACGGATCAAGTCTCTGAACTTCAATATCCACAGAGTCGTCACCAATGAGTTCTCTGATGTAGTCTATCAGTTCGGCACTCTTTGGTGTCAAGTCTTTGAATGGATCTTCGGTCGCTCCTGGAGTGAAGGCGATCAACATCCATTGTTTCCACGGTCTGATCATTCGGAGAGTTGGGCTAATTCCAAATCTCGTCTTTTGATCTGGCTTCATTATCCAGTGCAGGTCTGCTTGCCGCGCCGGGTGCATGATGTGGTCAAGATCGGCTTTCAGAAGAATGTTGCAGGCAACACCCCCACCTGCAGTCTTGGTAAACTCAAAGTTTAACGACCGAGCTACCGTACTTCGCGCTCCATCGGCACCGAAAATATACTTGGCACGGAGTTCAAATTTGATGTTGGTAACCAAATCCTGGATTTCGCAGGCCCAGAAATTAGATGCACGTCTCACGCCAACGAGCTTGGTGGAAAAGCGCATTTCGAAGCCATGATGGGAGGCGAACTTGACCAGGAGCGGGTCTAGATAACTCTGTGGAAGATCTGTCCACTCGCAAGGGGACGCTACATTGGTATCCCCCTACGTTCTCAACGGGTAAGCAAATGGCTGATAGAGTAGTGATATCGCTATGCATACCATTGTGTCGGGGCTTGAGCCCCAGTAGTAGACTCTTCCATATTCCTCGCCGACCATACTGCGACACCATCGAAAAGCCTGTATGGGTTGGCCCCTCGTGGCTTGGCTCAAAGCATCATCTTCCAGTCCGAGGTCCCGCAGACATTCTGAAGATAGATTAATATAGAACATTTGAATGGAAGGAATCACATACCCATCCCAAATGGGTTGAATACATGTGCTCTAGGCGTATCCGCCGTGCACGAGGCACTGGATATGACCAACCCCTTAAGGCCTTCCAATATGACAATCAGCTTGATACACACTAAGTATTACCCTTGGTCATGTCCTGTCTTACCATTCTGCCCCAGAAAAGCTCCTAGGGCAGCCCCAGCCGGTCCAGATCCGACCACCAGAAAGTCAGTGTTTGCTGCAGAACTCATGATCCCAATTGTTGAAGCAGCACAAATGATGAAGAAGTAGACAGCAATGAAGCCAGCATCTAGATGAGTAGCTCACAGGCCGGGTTATAAAAATCCCAAAGTAACAACGGCATTTGGAATGGTGATAAGCTGACATCAGCACTAGGTTAAACTTAAAGAGATGAAGGCCATGGAGGAGAAAAGCTAGACTCGGCCCATCAATTCACTCGGTATAACAAATAGTGATGGTGATGGGGGACCGGCCCCATTCGATTCATGTGCGTGTCAGGGGAAGTCTTGAACCTAGTCTGCTGGCAGAATTACTCCCCGAAAACACCTGTTTCCCTCCAACCAAATCGTCCCTGTCACGCCCTACTACACCATCCCCTGCGGCTTTAACATTAAGCCCACATTATACACAGGTTCTACCATACCATACATCAAGGTCTATGTATTCATTGTTGACTAAACAATTGACTTATTCATGAATTGTTCTTATTTTCGATGGGATAAACAATAATCAAGAATGTTAAGTTGTATTAATACTATAGTGTTTATATAGAAAGAATATCAAAGATGTAATTCCTTGCTCTTGTTCACTTGAATGTATTTAGAAGTGGAAGGACCCTTTACAGTGAGATTTGATCAATATATAAAGAATAATCTGTTGGAAATAATTTTAAGAATTGCCCTTTGGAAAATATTATCTCATCAAACTTTTGTTTACATCAGCCGCAATGGGTTCTGGATCCAAATCGAAATGGACTAACTGGAGCTTATAGAGAGATCAATGCCCTGAACTACCTATTTACTATTGTTGAGGCCAGTGAAGTGGTCACATGGTAATGTAATGCATCCATATCTCTACAGCCAAATCGGGCCTTCGAGCAGTGGTGTAGTGGGAATCCTTTCAATCATCAGGTGGCTGACGAAGCCCTTTGCCTTTTTCATGGCCGTGAGCTACGACAGTCCTACGACTTGGATATTTTCATCGGCGGCAGAATTTAAGAGCTGCTTGTATGTACCGCTGGTCTTGGATTGAGAGCTACGAAATGGTCAACAGACTGGCTATAGTAATAGTATGTAGTACTTGGCCCTATCGATAGGGCTTATCGATAGAACCCCCACCCCCCGCGATGCAAGTCCTCAGTAGTCAACGTCTAGAGCCTGGTCATACAATGAGCAATGTGATAAGCGATTTCGAGTTCAAAAAAGACGCCCTCACCGCAAGCCGGTACTTCGTATTCTGATCATGGACCCAATCTCGCTGACCTTCGGCGTTGTCGGACTTGTCCCTCTGGTGGCAAGCGCCATCAAGCTTGCCCGGAACTACTGGACGGGCGTTCGCGGTGCCAAGGAGAAAGTCGCGACGCTGGTCACAGAATTGGAGGCACTGCAGCGCAACCTTAATGCCTTGCAAGATTTAATGGATAGCAATGGCCTCGATTCTGATCCTATCGCCTACGACCAGTCTTCAGTCCTCATCAGCTGCTCTACGGCATGTCGCGTCAAGCTACAGGCCCTTGTCCAGAAACTCGACCGCCCGGACGTGGCGAAAGGCAAATTGTATGCTCTGAAATGGCCTTTAGAGGAAAGAGAACACAAAGAGACTATATCCGAGCTTCGCAGTCTAACGGCTTGGATGCAATTTAGTCTCTCTATTGGTGGTTATCGTCTTCTATCTCAGTCTTCGGCCGAAGTTCTAGAGACCCTACGCGAACAGCTTAGTCGTTTTGAAGAGGTTAAGAAACAGCAAATCAGTCTACGCCAAAACTTTGATCAACAGCAAAAAGCGTCTCAAGATTTTCAACAGAAAAAGGAGAATCATGACCTCTTAAACTGGCTGTCGAACTTAAACGTTCAGTCCCAACATGACAAAATTCAAGGAGCTCGTACACCAAACACCGGGTCATGGTTCCTGCGAGACGAGACCTTCCTTCGCTGGCGGGGTGCTTGTGCTGATTCTCATCTACTCTGGTGTCATGGGCTTCCAGGTTCAGGCAAAACGGTACTATCGTAAGTTTCGGTTCCACCACTCGTAGTACGTGCCCTATCTTCCGCCTTGAGTGGATTTCTGACTAGCACCAGCTCTTTGGTTGTCGACGACCTATTGGCAGAGTCCGGAACGTCTTGTCCTGTCGCATATTTCTACTTCAATTATCGAGAGGTGGACCAACAAGATCCTCGAACAGTCTTGTCTTGTCTTCTTCGCCAGGTCGCAACTATGCTGAACGAAATCCCACCCGAGTTGCTGCAAATGAAGCTCACCAAAGGGAACTCTGGGCCCATGAGTCTCGAAGAATGCAAGAGGATGATGTCAATCTGCTTGGCTAAGACGGAACATACCTATTTTATCCTGGATGGCCTCGATGAGTGCGACCTCTTGCAACATCGGAAGACCCTTCTGGAGACTTTACATTATTTGGCACAGCTCCCTCAGACCAGACTCCTTGTTACAAGCAGACCGCACATTCAAGACATTGCGAGAAGCTTTCACAAAATTCCGCAAATTGCCATTGTGGCCCACGACGAGGATTTGGAAAAATATATTTCCGTGAGACTAGGTACTTCTCATGACATAGATCATCTGGACGAACACTTGATTACAAGAATATGTGTGCAAATAAAGAAGAAAGCCAATGGAATGTAGGTTTATACTCGTTCTTCGCTTGTCTTGACATTGAGGTCATAACTGATACTGGATAGGTTCCTCTTCGCAGTACTTCAACTTCGATTCATTGCCAATGAGCCAACTCCGGGTGAAATGGAAGACGCCCTAGATGCGATGTCTGGAGACCTCACGGAAGCTTTCGAGGAGACCATCTGCCGTATACGGAACCTTACACCGAGCAGGGCCCAGCTTGGAATGGATGTGCTGATGTGGCTGTGTCATGCCAGACGAGCAATGAGCGTAGCTGAGCTCAGCGATGCTTTGGCATTCCGGAAGTGTCGAGACTCAAAAATGGCAAAATACCGTCCTTCACTGAACATGATGCTGGAGTGTTGCCATGGTCTTGTCGTTATGAGTGCGAACACAAAGGATATTGAATTGGCACACTACTCCATTCAGGAGTATCTCCAAAGCAACACGCCAACTCTCTTTCCTTCCTTCGAACAGGAAATGGCATCAACCTGCTTAGGGTATTTGATGCTCGAAGATTTCAAGCGGGGACCTGAGGCCATTGATATCGACTACAGCTTGATTAAGGCACGTTTACGCGACTTTCCTTTCGCATCTTACGCTGCGCGCTTCTGGGACAAGCACATCAAAAGTGTTCAAGCCACCCAGTCAATTTGGCCTCTTATTTTGGATTTTGTTTACGACCTAGGTGCAATAACGTCTGCAATCCAGCTTCAGCGTTTTGTACTCAACTTTCGCTCCATCTATTTTGACCCCAGGGAATGTCTCAGCCGGTCGCCATGGCATAATGCAGCTGAATTTGGACTCGAGAGTCTCCTGATCATGGAGCTGCAGAACCCCGATGCTTCTTCGACCATCAACTCTAGAACGGAGATAGTAGGCTCGACACCGATCATAATGGCTGCTTCCTCTGGCCACATCGAGATTGTCCGGTTACTTCTACACCACGGCGCCGACCCCTACATCGCTAATTGGTACGGCAATGCACTTCATTGCGCTGCCGAGGCAGACCAAGCGGAAACGATAGTCGAGCTCGTCGGCTTCGGTATGAGTCCAGACGAATGCGATGAGTACAGGAAGCGGTCTCCCATCTTATGCACCCTCGACCGTGACAGTCTGTCTGCTCTGAAGGCTCTCATTAGTCTCGGAGCGTCTGTCGACGTGCATGTCTTTGAGGACCGCTGTCAACAATCATTTTTACACGAAGCAGCGATCTCTGGCGCGCCTAATATTGTGGAACACCTTGTGCGCAACAAGCTAGCTGATATCGATTCGAAGTCGTCCACGGGCCTAACTGCCCTGGACTGTGCGCTCGCCTCAGGATCTACCGAAACAGTTCGTACACTGCTGAGCCTTGGAGCAGACTCCCGACAGATCAGCTTGCTGTCGTTCTCAAAGTTGGAGGCCTTGGGACTTGGCCCTTGAGCTCCCAGATATGACTGAGGTTTGTCGCTCATCTGCTACCTGGTTACGTCTCATGAGATATTCTTTACGAGGAACACAACATGTTTCATTGCAAAATTCAACAGCTTGTTCATTGGTCCAATATGCATGACATTTGAATTCCGGGCATATGTAAAACGAAACAACGCGACATTCCATATATGGTACATTTGGTGGTCTCCAAGAAGTAGTCCTTGTTCGGTTAGAGGACTCATTGCTTAAATTTATTGGGTGGAAGTGTCTTTATCACGTTTTATAGTACTCCAAAGGCTCTGGAAAGACGTGACCGAGGTGCGGTGCTTTAGTCCACCGGACAATTCGTCGCAACCTATAGGAGCTGTTCGAATCCCCCCAGGTCTCTCCGAACTGAATCATATATGTAGTTCAAAATGAATCATGTGGCGCGTTCTAGCATTTTGTAAGACTTTCGGGCTGCACAAAGGCACACGAGTATTGAAAGACTCCACATATATTAATAGCTATATCCGGCAATAGAAATGCTTCTGATAAATATGCATGCCGTAAAGCTGTCTCCACCGAAGAAATAGCTAGTCCTTGCCAAAAACAACCCAAAATTTCGCCTCGTGATAACGGTTCCAAACGGTGTGATACGGCTCCAAAACCCGTCAACCCGTCACCACCCGAAGGCAGCCCGAACAAATGCCGCCTCTACTACGCATTTGCGGTCTGTTTAGACTTCCGATACATCAGAATCATCACCGTATCGTAAATATACGAGTTCGTCTGGGTCGGTAAGTCCCGCACAAGGTCCCGTTCCGCTTGACTTCGGGCCTCGCGACGCCCTGCGGTGTTGCGTGAGAAAAGCCCCCGATTTAGGTAATTTTGTGCTAGTTGATCAATGCGTCCAGCATGCTCGTCCATGAGACGATTGTGGTAGGCTGCAATACCATAGTAGGCTTCCAGCACCCTCTGTGTCTCACTCCTTCTCATCGCCGTGTTTGCCTCAATCTGAGCATCCCTTGTTTGCTGGATAGCGCCCGCCGACCCCGAGGGGTATACTCCACCGACCATGAGATCGACCTGGGTTTGCTGATCTTGTGACGATGCAACGTTAGGAAGGTTCATGAGAGAGGCGAAGTAATATTTGCGGCGGAAGTCCCTGGGACGGTAAGAATTTGATACAGACCACATGAAATGGGAAATTGACAAGATAGATAAAGTTGAGAGGAGCCATAGAAGGTCGAATGTGCAATCAAGTGGAAAATTTTAAACAAGACTTACGCGTCCACTTCCATGCCGTTATTTCCCCCTGCCAAAGCAAAAAATCCCGTGATAACCGCTGCAGGCGGTGTATGACGGTTGCGCCAGGTGAAATCGACGGTTTCGCGAAGGATGTGAGGGGACCTCGTCACATCGTAGACGAGACTGCCGGGAGTGATGTAGTTTCTTAACTGGTCTCGTGTTGTGTTGTTCTGAATCGTCTGGATGCCTAGGTATTGGAGAGAATCCCAGGTATAAGGGGTAGTTTGTGGATCATAGGCCCATATGTTGATTCCTATTCGGAATCGTTGTGTGAGCAAGTTCGCCAGGTTTTTGGCGACTACTATTTGTGTGAAGAATACTTTTTGGCTGTACTGGAGGTACCGGTCCAGGAGCCGGTTGTTGCAGTTGTCCACTTGCTCCAGGTAAGTGCCGCCATTGCCAAGTCCAAGGATGATTATGCTGGTTACTGCACTGAGGCGAGGTGAAAGGCAAATGTTTTCAAGCGCTCGAAAATTGTTTGGATTCTGAGGGTCGTTGGTTCGGATCTGGTCCCATTCATTCCAGTACCTCTCGCACAGCTGGTCCAAGACCGGCCTCTCCATCTTAGCTATGTGTAAAAGCTTTTGAAGAAGAAGAAGAATTATTTGACGCTCTTGTGCTTCCGCAATCCGAGGCGGTTCAGTAACGTGATGTTCGCTTTCTGTTATCTTGACAGAAGATCGTGCACAAGAGGAACAGCAACAGCAAAGCAACGGGCTCATTAAATACTAAAAATGGAGCGGTCGAGAATGATTGAAGTCCCCTATGAAACTCACTATCCGGCTTGATCAACCTAACGACACAATGACAAAGATGGTGATCGTGGCCAATGGTCGGAACTGGTAAGTCAGAGTACAGCTCTGAGGAACTGGCAGCACCGAGCGTAATGTCTTAGATCCAATTCATGACTTACACAGCAGCAGTGATTTGTTTTCAATCTACAAGATTATGATAAGTGATGAGATGTTTTACAGCTAATCAGCAGACCTTGAAACAAGCATATTTGCTGTAATGTATGCGGGTGACTGTCTGGGCAAGCCAGCCGCAAGTCAGTTGGGATAATTCATGGTTTGATTGAATCGTGACTTGACATCTGACCAAATACAAAATATACTTCCAGATGGCATGCCAATACAACTGGTTAGCAATATGTGCTCGCCAGGATATCAAGACCAATACTCATGGTCTCGTACCTTTTCTTCTGAGATCTTCGAAAGCTCGAACAAGCCAGTCACTTGGTCTCACAGAAGTCTTAAAATCCGAGAAACGTCGCTTCATGACTTGATGTCCAATATCAAATCTGTAGAGAACCCACCAGGATTGCGATATTTCTGAATGGAGTCTTTAAGTGCCATTTACCAAGCTCTTCATGGCTTTTGCCAAGCGGAACTCATGACTTGAAAGAGATCATTTCAGATGGCTTTATCTACCAAGGGGAAGCACAAAAACACCACTGGGTAACGTGAAGACCATCAAAACCTGGCAGTGGCATTGCAGAACCTGGTGTAGTCCTAGATCGTCTTTGTGTACCGAGTCCTGACATCATCTAGGGCGCTGTGAGGCTCCAAGGTGTAGTCAAGACCAACGCATTACCTCACTGCTGACCCTGCTGCATCGCATGCTCATCCTTGGCCCAGGACTTCCAAAACTCATGAACAGAACGCTTTTCGTAAATCAAGGATACGGCAAATCAGGTTGATTTTTATTCTCCACAAAGGAAACCCCCTCCCCCCTACGAGTCCCAAGGAGAAGAGGATCATCTGGGTGCGGCAGGGTATTGGCTTAATGATGAAGAATTCTGTATAGGAACGGTGTGTTTAGAGGATGCCCTTCTCAGGAGTATCTCTTCAATTAGATGCTCGCTTGAGTCGGCCTTGACGAGTGTTAGGTGCCAACTGAGGTTGATGAGTAAGGCTATAGAATTGTTTGGATTTCCCGAACTGCCTGGATGCATACGAGCCATGCTGTATGTTTACATACGACGATGTGCCATACTGTATGGCTGGCATAGCGCGCTAGTCACTATGGCCTGTGACATTAAAATAGCAGTTTATTGCTTATAACACATGAGGCTGTCTGTAATTGAACTCCAGCAACCTTTAGAGCTCGATTCATTCTTATTGTGCGGCAAACCCAGTTCGATGAAACTGGTCAGATGGCGTGCTTGGGTACAAGTGTTGGATGTGCTAGACGGCGGATTTATACATCATTTGTCAAACTAGCCCCATCGGTCAATGAACTCATGTCAACCTCCGTCGTCTGCTCACACTGGTCATGGCAAGAATACAGACCGTAGACCGCAAAAGCTCGTGGCGTGGTGATTGGGTGTGATAGCTTACGGGCCCAGTTCCTCACCGTGAGATGGTGCTGCTGGGCCAGTTCGTCGGTAGAGTGAGTCCAAAATGCCAGTCTGTGACGAGGCAAGCCAGTGACATGTTACTCGTCGTTTGCCAACCTGTTGGATGTCTACACCTTGGTGTAGGAGGCTTATTGCTTTGCCATACCTACAAAAGAAGCTCTGTGGTCGAATTGCAAGTGTTCATCAGCTGGCTAACAGTTTCACGGGCAGCACAACAGCACTGAGCCTCTGAGCAAGAATAAATCCTTGGGATGATATCTCCTCCGTTAGCTTCTGCTGTGCGGTAAGTGATTGAAATGTCTGTGGTTCACGAGCTTGGCCAGCTCGCCAGGAGGCTTAGACCGCTACAGGCCTACAGGGCAGGGGTCGTTGGCTATGGCCCAATAGTAAGCGCAGGTGTTATCTGGCGGGGGCTGACAGGCTGGACCCCTGGAATCGGGGCTCAATCGCGCCGAGGCTCGGGGGTGCGCGTTGGTCTGCATTGCATCATCCAGGCAACCCTCCAGCTCCTGAGCTTCAGCTTGAACGAGCAAGACTCCGGCGACATACGAGCACGACATCTTCTTCTTGTCTCCTCATTTCCTGCAACTGACTCTTGACTGGCTTGATCAGTACTTGTCGAGAAGCCAGAATCACCATAAGCCGACAAGATGCGCTCTTCTCTATCATTCAAGCTCCTGCTCATTCTCACCTGGTCCGACCGAGTCATCAGTTCCCTTCGCGATGGATCGCAACAGGTCGTTATTGCGCCGCCAGAGAATGTCAACGATGCCGCGGCTGCCTCCTCCGACTTTCATCACGAGCACATCGTCGATGACACGATTCTCGCGGCCCTCAAGGCCTACCCCGACCCCGTCGACGCCATGATCTCCCTCCAACCTGAGATGGCAGCACAGCTCGCCGAATCCAGACTGATCCATATACTGGGCGAGGACAAACCTAGGTGGATGAAGGAAGGCGACAAGCTGAGACTGCGCCAGAAGGGGAAGAAGTTTATGGATATCACAGATCACCAGGAACTATACGCAGACGGTGTGGGCGCATGGTCTGGGAAAGCCAGTACGCGAGCCCCTGGAGAACTCCTTGTCCTCTCGAGAATAGAGTAATGCAGTGCTGACACCGTGACTACTCAGATCTCCCCAAGTTGACTCACCAGAGACTCATCAAGCCTCTGTTCCCCAAGGTCTCGACCTCGCGCATGCACGACGTCCTTAAACACATGACGAGCTACTACAACCGGTATTTTGGCGGGGAGACGGGCGAGGAGTCGTCCCAGTGGCTGCACGACCACATCGCGGCTATCATTGCCGACTCGCCCTTCCACACCCACATCAGTCTCGAGTACTTCACGCACCCCTTCCCCCAGTCCTCCATCATCGCCCGCTTCGAGCCCAAGGTCCGCGACTTCACAAAGCCTTTGACCATCATTGGCGCCCACCAGGACTCTGCCAACTACCTGTTCCCGCTTCTGCCAGCGCCCGGAGCCGACGACGATTGCTCGGGCACGGTCTCCATCTTGGAGGCATTCAGGATACTGGCCACAAGTGGTTACATACCGAAAGATGGTCCTGTCGAGTTCCACTGGTACGCTGCAGAAGAGGGAGGACTGCTCGGCAGCCAGGCCATCGCGGCATACAAGAAGAAAGAAGGCGCCAACATCGGCGCCATGATGGAGTTCGATATGACGGCCTTCATCGCCCGCAACGCAACGGAGAGCATCGGCTTCATCAAGACCGACGCCGACGCCCCGCTGACCAAGTGGGCCGTCGACCTCAGCACCGAGTATATCAAGTCCATCCCGACCAGCGTGTATGAGTTGATGCCCGGTGCCGGGTCAGACTACATGTCCTACACCAAGCTGGGGTTCCCAGCGACGTTCGCATCGGAGGGTAACCCTGTGGCTGGTGGATTCCCTGGCGAGTTCGATCCGTATGTGCACACGATCAACGACACGATGGACGTTGACGACGAGACGGGGTATTTCTCGATCGACCACATGGCGAGATTCACGGAGCTCGCCATCGCTTTTGCAGTCGAGCAGGCGAGCTGGGACAACAGCTGGAGGTAAGGAGTAGCATAGCATGGTTTGAATATAATCCAGTTCCCAGCACAGCTCGGATAGACCGACACAGGCGGGGGCCGTTGGTGTAACGCGATCGGTTTGCAACGGCCGTTCGAGCCCCAACCAGCCCATACCCTAAAATGCGGCACCATTCCGTCGGTTATATTCCCACAGCTGTGCCCCGGTGCACAGCTCCTGGTGTGGATGCTAAAGCTTTGAACTCGTGTGGCTTTTGCTAGTCATTGCTCTCTGGCAAGCGGCAGTCAGCACTAATTAGCTCGATAGAGCTGGGCCGCACACTTGCAATGTACTAGCCCCCGTCTGCTTACGAGGGATCGCATGCAGCCACTAGACTACACGATATTGGAAGCCTCCCGTCTTGCCGCGCCCGACTTTCACATGGGCCCCACCCGGGCTATCTGAAATGTTAGCCTATCATTCCAGAGCCTTGCAGACACGATGGCCAGCTTGATTTTTTATAGAAGAGCAACAACATCCTCAGCCTGTCGGTCTGTGGGTTCCATGACATCTCCTCCCAGACACCACGTGGAACGAAAACACCGTCTGCCACAATGAGTGACATCAAGATCATAAAAACGCTCGTCATGGGCAAGGTCAGTCCGAGCACCCTGGATCACCGTATCCGTTGATCCACTCACCCCATCCCAAAATTGATCAGCACAGAGAAGTCACATTTTAACACCCTTCACCACTAGGGCGTAAAATTACACCTCATGGTGGACACCTCCCAGCCAGAGGACTCCATCTCGAGGTATTTTACCGAAGGCGTGGTGGAAGGCAAGCCCGGCGACGACCTGTTCGAGGTGCCGCTGCACTGGCACAGGAATCACTCCGAGTATTTTGAGGTGCGCGAGGGCCGCGTCCAGGTCACCATCGACGGCGTTACGAAAATCGCCAGCGCGGGCGAGACGACCCACGTGCCCGCGGGCTTGGTGCACGGCTTCAAGGGCTTCCCGGGGGAGAGGCTTGTTGTGAGGGAAAGGTCAGATCCGCCAGGGGATTATAAGCATTTGTGAGTTCTCTATGCTTTCTTTTCTTTGTCTTTTTCTTGTTTTTTTTTTAATAAAAAAAAAACAAGGAAAAGGCTTTTGCCCTAGCTGGCCATTTTGGCGCTCGAATCTGTGTCTCAGGCCAGCGATCTGTGAAGCTGATGTGGTCTAATTTGCTTCTTAGGTTCTTTGCCGACTTGCTTTCTGGGAGCTGGCCTGCTGGGTTTTGGCACACGATGAGAACTTTCTACGACGGCGATGGGTACCCTGCTCTGGGGCTTTACTTCAAAGCCTTTGATTTTGCTGTGAGTTGAATTTCCCACGGTGTGTTTGCAACTGTTGACTGACGGGAGTACGCAGTTTGTCACTTTGTTCGGAGGCATTGCAAAGCTTTTCCTGCCGAAGAGACAGGAGAAGCTGGAGTAGAGCGAGATGTACAGCTAATGACGACAAGGATTGTACCGGAGCCTTCTTCTGCACTGGTTTTTTCATTTCCTGCTTCATAGCATAGCCCCTTCACTATTCACCTTATACCTCTGCGCACGACGAATCGGAGGCCACGGGGAAGCATAAGAGCAACTGCATCCAAATACATCCAATAAATATCTTTACCTAATGAAGATGACCAAGCCAAACCTCGGTTTCCCAAACCTTGGTTATTCTTTTCCAGGAATTAGACATTTGAGTTGAGTCTCTCTTTCTTTTCTCCTGTGAAACCTCATACTATTCGCATTTATTTTTCTCTCACATGCTCTTTAATGCATGATGAATTGATCTGAAATGGAAAAGCAGTTCTCGTTCATCCCGAGAGGAGTTCTACCCATGTTGGTATACTTGAAAATCCAGGGGAGACCTGGGCTTGTGCGTACGCAAAACGATGCTTGAGTTACTAGAAAACACTAACACTACGTTCTTTCGAACCTCATTACTTGTATGATCAAGGTATAAGTACCGTCTTTCAGTCGTTGTGAGTGAGAATGGTGTTGGTGATGAATCAATTTTCCTAGGAAAGATGGCGCTTATGTAAGATTAGACTCGGCCCCCTCTGTTTCTAAATCTGGAGCAGGCCTCGGACGTGCAGCTACTCCACCTCCGGCCCATCCAACTGAATCCTGGACCGTCTCCATCCTCACCTCACCAACCTCGACTCACCTCAGCTCAGCTGGTCTGGCTAGCTTCACTCGCCCTCTGGCCCGGCGGCCGTATCTTTCCTCGTCCGCGCTCGTCATGGCCGTCATGTCTGGCGACTCATCACTGCACAAGCTCACCTTCATCACATGGAGTCCAAGCCCTTCAACGACAGGCTCTGGATCAGACTCCTCGTCCTTCTCGCCTATAAGACTGCAACTCAGAAGCACGCCAACCGGCTGACGTTCACCAGCCAGCCAGGCCGCGTCATCTTCATCTCACCAAAATGCTGCGTCAAGTCCACGCCGTTCACCAGGCTCGCAGAGGCCAGCGCCATGCTGTTTGTCGCCCAGCACTCATCTGTGCCCGTGCCCAAGGTCTATTCGGCATTCGAGCGTGACGGCCGGGTGTACATCGTCATGGAGAGGATCGACGGAGAGACAATCGCGCAGGGTTGGAGCCACCGAACGGACGAGTCCAAAGCCGCGATACTCGAGCAGCTCCGGACCATCGTCAAAGATCTTCGGGGCATCAAACCGCCGCCCGGCGTCGGCGTTGCAAGTGTAGACGGAGGGCCCATTTTTGATCACCGTCTGCCGTGCAAGTCGCTGTGGGGCCCATTTCCGTCCATCCAGGACTTTCATCAGGAACTGAGGGGTGGAATCGCCGCAGAGGATATTCAGGACGACGCATCTTCGCCGGGGGTCAAGCATATGGCTTCGTTCCACGAGCAGGCTTGTCAAGCCCCGGTCTTCACACATGGTGATCTGAGCAGCTTGAACATCATGGTCAAGGACGACAAGGTCGTCGGAATCGTCGACTGGGAGACGGCAGGCTGGTACCCGCCGTACTGGGAGTACACGTCCGCGAAGCACCCCAACCCGCAGAACAGCTGGTGGCAGGACGAGGTGGACAGGTTCATCACGCCCGAGCCGGAGGCCTTGGAGGCGGAGGCCATCAGGCGGAGGTTCTTTGGCGACTTCTGAACGAAGCGGATACAATAATACACAGTAATACATATTTTTACAAACACCGTGGCGGTACCTGACCTATCCTACATTGTAGCCACCCGTGACCATCAAGCAACGATCTCTTCACCCTGCAGCAAGTCGTACGTCGCGACGCGGTTCATATCAAACCAGCCAGGCGCCGCCCTCCCATCAAAGCGATGCTCGCGCTCCTTGCGATGCACAAACTCCATCGCCGCCTTCCCAGCGTCCTCCCATGCAATCGAGGACGAGCGGCTCAGCGCCTTGCCATCGGCTCGCAGCATCTCGAGCGCCTCCCGAAGCCACCACACGCAATTCCAGCCGGACTGGTTGTCTCTGACGGGCACCTCGCGCAGCAGAGCGGCGACGCGCTCGGCATTGGTCACCTTGCCGATGATCACGCGCACTAGTATCATGGCCGTTGGGTTCATGCCTATTTCGCGCTCCTCGAATACCCAGCGGCTCTGCGTGCGGCCGTCGACGGTCGTCATGGTCTCCTTGACGTGATAACGTTTGCCTTTCGAGTTGTTGTCTTCGTGTTTTGGGCCGACGAGGAGAGCCCAGTGGTATCTTTGATGGATCATCAGCCAGTGCACTCATACAAAAGGATCTTGGGAGTTCCAACTCACTTGTCCTCGCCACCAGACATCAGGCTGTCTCCGCCCCTGGCGTATAGTGCGATGTATAGCCTGTCCTTGTTGGACGGCCTCATGTAGACTGGGACGGCATGCGGCATCTTTCCGGAAACCCAGCCGAGAAGTGATACACCACCATCAAAGTGAAAAGAAGAGTTGATACTAGTCGGAAAACCCAGCGACTAGCTTTGTGGCACAAGACGTTGAAAGACGAAAAAGACCAAGTATGTGCTTAGAAGAAAATGCAGGAGCAATCACAGAAGAAAAGGCCGCGAAGGCATCGGACCGGTGGCCGTTTCTTTCTTCCTGTCCTGTTTCGGGAGACCACAATCCTCCTCAAGCGGTTGCTACCGATGTCGAACACATGTCTGAACAGACGATCGGGTCAAGTAGTGGTGGTCAGCCCAAGGCAATATAGGGTGAGCTCTTTCACGCGGCCTACATATATCAAACATTGATATGAACAACATGTCAGCTACGAGGAATGGAAGCCTATTAATCCTAGGCACGTCGGGGTGTTGCCATGTTGGCACTCCTGGCCAAGGGGCTTGTAACGTGGGGCTGCTATTCTTGAGAGTGATTCCGGCCTGCCCAGGTGGTCGGAGTGAATGCGAGAGGTAGAGACAGAGCTGATGGAGACTCCGAGGATCTCGATAGGCAGCGGGCCTCGGGAGTTGGCCCGAAACATTGTTTCAAGTGTCGGGGAGCGTGGTCACTTGGACTCGTTCCAATGTTGTTCGGGAGGACTGTTTTCACTGGCTCATGCAGAAAGCTTAAATCCTAAAATATACGTAGGTAAACAAGTATGGGTGAGGCCATGAGCGACGCCCTCTTTTGTGGCTTGCATATCCCTGACACAGCCGCCCTAGTGTGTAAATTTGGGTTGCTGTGCCGCTTGTTCCACGTTGCTTATGGGGAGAGTTTGTGTGTCGCAGTCTCATGGCCGCGGCACTCGAGGCCCGGATCCGAATCCTTCGACTCCTCAGCCAAACAGGGGTATAACAGCACGGTGAGGTCCACTGCACCACGCAGGGAGCACGCATATAGAAACACACAATCGTACCTTTGTAGCGATCGATTGATGCAAGCTGGTGCCCAGATCTGTATAACGTCACCATCATCCACAAATATGACGAAAAGGGAAAACGAACATGTGCATTCGGGATATCACCATGGAGACGTAGTTCTTGAAACACCCGAACGACAATGGGATGGCTGACACATGAAGGTCACTTAATCAAGGTTCTTCGAGACGTCACTCCGAGCCGGGATTTCATTATCGCGCTGTGCAACACATCACCATCTCAATCAATCTGCAACAAATAATAACAACATTCCCTTCCATCCTCACTCACAAGCTGATAGTAACATTGTAAGCAGTATCATCCTCCAACCTGACCGACTGTCCCTTATACGCAAGCACACCCACCGTCCCAGCTGGCGCCGAAACAACACATCTCAGCACATCACCGCCCTCGACCGCCCAACTAACATCCAGCACCCCAAACGCCGTCACCACCTTTCCCCCAGCCCGCGCCAGCCCCAACGCCACACCAGCAGATACATCGACAACCCAGCTCGCATACCCGAACCCCGCCACCCCATCCGCGGGCCGCAGCCCTAGCACCCTCTCCGTGAGGACATACGTCGCCGCGCCACCCCACGGGTGCGCGAGGCTGGTGAACAGCCCCAGCCCGGGGTCTCCCGTCTGCGATACATACTCCCAGCTGCCGCCTGTGGATGTGGCCGCGTTGGCGAACATGGCGCCCCACAGCGAGCGAACCAGCGCGCCGGCGGTGGTGATGAGGCCGCTGGCTGTGTTGTTGTCAGCTGTGACTGATGCTGTCGTGAACAGCGCGTCGAGGAGGAACCCGTTGGTGTTGGGCGAGATCTGCCCTGTTGCGATCGTCGAGTCGCGGTAGCCTGGAGACAGTTTCAGCTGAGCCTCGACTGCGGCCAGAGACCGTGCGGCTTGTGTCTCGTTTGCGACGCCTGAGGTTATACAGAACGCGGTGGACGCGACGGAGAAGTCGGCCGTGTCGCTGAGGGACAGGCCGTATACTCCCAACCCGTCGTTCCACAGCTGCGCATTGATGGAGTTACTCAATGAGTCCGCTGCCGCGGTCCAGGCCTGCTGCGAGGCTGTGTCGTTCAGGGCGTCTGCTATCTCGGCCAGGCCGCGCAGCGCCTGCACCGCCAGGCACGACACGGCTGACCCTGCTTCCGGCGGGCCGAGGAAGGCCACGGGGATGTGGACTAGCCCGTCTGCAGGACTGATTGTCCCCAAAAGAAATGCCACGGCCCTCTGCCAGCCGGACCACGTGCGACCCACGAAGGCGAGGTCGTTCGTGTACCTCACATAGCTGTGCAGGCTCGCGAGCCCCAGGAATTGGTAGTCTACCAGGTCACCGGTGGTGTTGTACGTATTGGTCGGGTCATACCCCATCGGCGGGTCAATACTGAGCTCCCCATCGCTGGACTGGGTATCGAGTAGGAACTCCAGTGTTCCGCTTGACAGGTCGTTTCGGGACGTGCTGGTTGCGATGATGCGGGCGGTGTGGTAGAAGTCGCCTAGCCATACCATTCTGTCGCGTTTGGGCCCGTCTAGACAGACTGAGCCGACGTTGGCTTGAGTCCCATATTCGGCTAGCACGTCTGATGTAGTCATGCCGTTCGAATACAAGGCTGCGCCGGTGGTGGTGTCTGTGACTGCCACGTTGCGGACGTGGGCTGATTGGTCCTGCCAGCCACCAAAGCCGAAGCTGCCGCTGGTGGAGATGATTCCATTCACGAAGTAGCTTGATAGTGACACGTTAAAGATCTGCTGCTGGCTGACCGAGACTGACAGGTAACCACTCTGTGAGAGGGATGTGGACAGGTGGTACCATGCACCCTCGCTCACGTTGAACGGAACAGGGAAGTAGTCGAGCAAATATGACGTGACAAGCGACTGGTTGAGGAAATTGAAGCCATAACCTAACAGGATCGTGTTTGGTTGGAGGAGGGCCTTGTTCGTGTTCACGAACGTGGTCGCCTCGGGCAAGTCGCTGACAAGCATCAACTGAATGCCTTTGTTCCCCGGTGCGCTTGCCACACTCCACCAGATGCCGCCTCTGACAATGTTGGTATCGAAGTCCAAGGTGTAGTTGGAGAATTCAGTAGCTTCAAGTGTAAGGGAAGGCTTCGTCGACCGAACCAGTACCCCATTGTCAAAATCCAGCCCCCACACTGCGCCTTGCGATCCTCGGTCTACGCAAGCAGTGGAAACCGCCACCGCACCCAACGTCCACGCCTCGTTGAACGTATCATCGCTACTGTTAAAGCTGCCGGGAAGGTCAGAGACCGCAGTCTGGTCGACGGTAGCCTCGAATCCGACGCTCTCAAACGTGATACTTCCCGCAGTGATGAGGGAGATAGACTGCCACCGCTGTCCACCCTGGACCAACGGAGCACCAAAACGACCCAATTCGGTCACGTTAAACGTCTCGGCGCGGAAGCCATTCGCGAGCATGGGGGAGAAGAGAAAGGGGCCATCAGACCATGGCCCGCCGAGACCCGCGAACGGCTCGCTGTACCTGACCTCTATCTGGACCGGCTGGCTGAGGCTGGACACCGTGAAGAAGGCGTATCCAGCTCGTTCGATACCGTAGTCAAGTGTGGCCACTGGTATCTGCTCACTCAAAGTGAAGGGCGTGAAAGTGCTGGTTTCGATAGAGGGTGCAGCACCCAGGGCCAGGCCTACTGGGGCAACATCTGGTGCTCTGGAGGAGTTGGTTCAAGGCCATCAGCAACTTTTCGTTTATATGAATTGCCTCTTCTGAGCACTTTGAGATGTCATGTCGACTTACCGACGGCTGAGCGCCGCAGCATGCGTTAAGTCAACAACCGCCGCCAAAGAGACAAAGAGACTTCCTAGATTCCTCATATTTCAAGCAGCACTGGGGGGTTTGTTGGTCCCAAACAATCCATGGATCTTCGTGGTGGGACGGGAGGGGGATAAAGCGGTCATCGTGACCTCTCATGCAGGATAGAGGTCATGCATTCCAGTGTAGCATTGGCAGAGACAACTCACCGGCATACTCACCACTAAGGGACTGGAACATACCGTATGTTTGTGTGACATCACATACGGGCCGCTTCAGCACGACTGCACACCACTTAACGCTGGCCCAGCTGGTCAAGAAGCAGGGTGCAGGACAGTAGTGATAAACGAAAGCAAACCCTGGTTCGCGGCTTGACATCTGCTCGCAGCTCAGGCACGTTGCATAGCAGATTCTAGCTTCATTGTCCTGCTTGCTTCCCTCACCCGACTTGTTCTTGTTGCTATGCGATGATCTGAGGCTACTGCACCTACCCCAATAGCTCGTCCCATGCCCACATTCCGAGCGTGTAATCTCCGATTCTGTCGTGCACGCCGGCATATGTAGATCCATGGAAGCGGTCAGAGGTGTGATGCAACGTTGAATATGCGGAGTAGATCGCCGACCACGTTCTCTCACGCATTTTGTATGTCTGAGCGCATACTATTCGTCACGGGAACCTGCTTGATATTCATGTTGTCCATTATAACACTCTGACTATACACAATTCAATTGACCCAGTATGTCTATGGATCTGTGTCGCCACCACCCTTCCTTGCCTGGAAGATTCTCTGCCAACGAGAAAAAGTCTCTCGAAACACAAGAGCAACTCATACATACGTCACAGGAAGACGTGTTTTTGATACTTGACGTGACAAAGCACGGCCATACACCCTGCTCTCGAATAATAGCTTTTGCAGCTGTCATGGTATCACGATCCTACAACAAAGCCTTGCTAGCTCGAGACTGGAATTTCATGAATTCTAACATTCAGTTCTGTCCCTGAAACCCGACTTTACTATCAAAAAAGGCATCTAAAATATGTATCCCCGCGCGTGCTGCGTGTAGACATGAGAAGCTGAGGACTCCCAAAGCCCGAGTCTAACTGTGGTTCATCCCGGGCGTCATGAACATGCTTCCGGCGTTAGAACAGCCACAATCTTGGCAGGCGAGCATTCGCCGTCAGGAGCGATACTTTCCTTGGCAGGTCTTAGTTTGCATTGTGCTAATTTAGAAGACTATTCGCTTACTTATCATTTCAATGCCTGGAGCGGATCAATAAGGTTTTACAGGAGATGGGTCAGTTGCACATGTAAGTCCATTCGCACGTAATAAACTCAATACTTCGAATCCTTCAATCAGGACAGCTAGTGTGTTGGATCCCGGCACGGAGCAATCTGACCACCAAAAAAGTCTTTCTCATCGGTTCCTGGCATATGCATATTTCGTATGCAGGATTGAGCTTCCAACCGGGTACGGTCCTCTGCTTGGACGGGTAGGGACATGCGAGGTACGACAAAGTCAAAGTGGCGCGTGCATAAACCAGGGAGGACAATCTACTCAACGCTAAAGTCTTTTGCTCATCGCCGAGCTTGTCACACTGTGGGCTTGCGGGACGACCGGCGCAGTAATGTTCCACAATAGCCAACAGAGCAAAGTTACACAAAATCTAGGAAGACCGAGACATTGATCCTCCCGGCTTACATCTTCTCTCAGGGTCGAACGGCTGCCTAGTCTTTTCCTTCTCGTTCCTCATGCAACATGAATACGCCGTAGAAAGAAAGAAAAACCAAAATGCGTACAATCGTGGCTATCTGCCTCCTTGTGAAGGCTAGCTTGGCCATCTTCGTCCCACTCACGTTCCATCTCACTGCACGACAGACCGGGCTGCTCGACTGCCTGACCAACAAGTCCGTACCACTGACGGTCTCCACCAATGCGAACTGGCCGGATTATTCCACGACCTACAACATCCGTCTGCAGTACGAACCAGCGGTCATCATCATCCCGGATACGACCCAGCAGATATCCGACTCGGTCGTCTGTGCCTCGCAGAATGGGATCAAAGTCCAAGCAAAATCAGGTGGCCACTCATACGCTTCGACCAGTTCCGGTGGACGAGATGGCTCCATGGTCGTTGACCTCCAGCGTTTCCAGAACGTCAGCGTGGATGAAAGCACCGGAATTGCGGCTGTGGGCGGAGGACTGAGGCTCGGAAACATGGCTCTGGCGCTGAACGACAAAGGGCGAGCGCTGGCCCACGGCACTTGTGCGGGAGTTGGTGTAGGGGGACACTTCACTCTTGGCGGATATGGGTACACTTCGAGGGCCTGGGGCATGGGGCTAGACCAGATCGTCGGACTGGACGTTGTGAAGGCGGACGGCTCGATTGTGCATGCTTCTGAGAACGAGAACTCAGATCTGTACTACGTAAGTTTGCGGGTTTGGATATACTGCGGACACCCAGGCTGATGTTGCTTTCTAGGTCATGCGTGGTGCGGGCCCCTCTTTCGGAATCGTCACGACTCTCTATTTCCAAACTCAGCCCGCTCCTGCTATCACGACCTACTTCGGCTTTTCATTCCCCGGCGCCGCACCTGCAACGAGCATCGACACGGCAGTATCATCTTTCATTCACCTACAAGACGTGGCTCAAAACACCTCCGTAATAACTCGCAATCTCAGCTTCGGGGTCACTCTGGGTGCCAACGGCTTTCAAGTCCGCGGCGTGTACCTCGGGTCAGCAAGCGACTTCAACAGCACGATCTCGCCGGAGCTTCTGCGCGGGCTACCGCAGCCGGAAATGCCAGTTACCGTGCAAGAGCTTGACTGGCGCTCAAACCTAGAGTTATTGAACGGCGGTAGTCTAGCCGTGTCTACAACCGAGCCGTACAGAGCGCGGGACAACTTCTTTGCCAAGAGCGTGGCTGTGCCAGAGCCTGGATTCTCCAAGGCGGCGCTTACGAGTTACCTTACCTATATCGCGAACCAGGGGGCGAACCCGCCTAGTCCCGTGTCGTGGTTCGCCATAGTCAACCTGGACGGTGGAAGCGATAGCCAGATCAACGCGCGAGATGCGAATTTCTCTGCTTACGGGCACAGGAACCTGATGTGGACGGTGCAAAATTATGGATTCGTTGGAGCCGACCAAACATTCCCTGACGCGGGAATCGACTTCATGAATAGGCTCAATGGGGCCATCACGGATGTCTTGGCTGGTGAAGGAGTTGAGTATGGGGCATATATAAACTACGCAGATCCAAGTCTCGCGGCGGAGGAGGCGAATCGTTTGTATTATGGTGATGAGTTGGTGACGAGGCTAAAAGGTTTGAAGGCGGTTCTTGACCCAGACAACATTTTCGCTCATCCACAGTCCATCATCCCAGGTAGTTGAGACATTGGATACTTATCTAAGTCTTTCTATCATGTGCAACAGCCAACCTGAAAGAAAACCAAAATAATTCATGGACAGCAGGCGTGTACTTCTATTGTTCCCAAGCAGGTCTGAGAGCGCCTTCAGACCGCCATGTAGTAGTATCGTGTGGCAGGATCATACTCGAGGCAGATTTCGGCGTTCATCGCCTCAGTATCGACCACAATCTGCCGCCAGAGATTGACCTCGTAGGTCTCGCTCATGAGACCTGGAACGATCAAAGCACACAGATACCGCTTCGCCTTGCCACTACCGGTAGCCATCTCATTGTCTTCACCAGAAGCCGGCGAATTAGCCTGGCTTCCAAACACAGTCTTGGCAGCTTCACCTGCCGCTTCCGCTGGACACAACACTAGGACCATATTCATCCCCCCAGGTAAGCCCAATGGGAAGTTGGCTGGTGGAGTCCAGCTGACCACAGTTCCCGGCCTGATGCGGTCCTTAAATGGCAATATTGATAGCTTGGGGTCCACCTCGCGGCTGGAAGATCTCTCTGCCATAGTTAGATGACCAAGTATCGTGTCAGGTTCCTCAGACTCTGCAGCGCTTGGTGCGTCACTCTGTTGCAAGGCTCGTTGAGAGTCTATGTGAAGCTGCCATAGCTTCGATCTGAATGCTTTCGCTTGCTCTATGTTCATACCAGGGGTCTTCATACATCGGGCTTCGAACTCAGGGGCTGGGAGCCGAAGTAGCTGTGGTCCCGTTTCGGTTGGTGCCAGGACAGACGACTGGATTGGCGGTGATCCGGACTGTGCTTCGTCAGAGTGCGGCCAAACACATTAGAGGCAGTAGATTTGAAGCTCACATTATTGTCCACCCATTCTTTCAGCTGCTTGTTCGACCAGGTCGCCGGCACAGCAGGATTATAAGCAGCCGGCTTGGCATTTGGTACGAGGACACGCAACATCTCGGCGTACCGGAGGGTATTCTTGCTGGCTCCCACATCGACAATGCTAGGATTGACACAAGCAATCACCACAGTCTTGCAATTGCGCGTCCCAACGGGATCGAAGACGTGCTTCAAGACCTTTGTCAAGGCGCTCTGTCGGAATGGCACATGCGGCTTCTTCATTTTCATCCTCTCAGACTTGGAGGCGGTCAAGGACACGGCCGCCAACGCATCGGCCTCGACTTTACCTCGGATGCAGTCTTTCAGGACAGATAAGCTGGCGTTGATCTCCCGTGTCTCCTTCATCCGATCAGCGCCGTGGGACGCCATGTCACGAGCTGCCTCGGAGCCCGCTAGGTCAATCAGGTACAGGATGCCGTCCTCGCTAGTCTCATCTGCGGCCTTTTCGATTCTGACACGGCATATGGCGTGTGAGCGTGAGGAAACATCGTTCTTTTGTGTCGACTGGGTTCTTCTGAACGATGTAGCTGTCTCAATGAGACCAAGGACATCGTTGGTGCTTTTTGCTTCGTATTCTTGAGCACCGGCCAGCTGCGTGACACCAAATGAGTCCTCAAGGATGGAAATAGGTTTGCGTGAGTTCAGCAGATCTGGTGACGATTTGAATGTCAGATCGGGCGACTACAACTGGGTCCCATGCGACTGTCAACTTTTGTGGGAAGAAAACCCACCGTATGACGAGTTTCCAGCCAGCTCAATAATGGTGATGAAAATCTTTCTTGATTTATGAAGATCGCCTTCCATCAAGGCCTTGACCACCATCTTCTCAAGGCCACTGACAGTAAATGTCTTCCCGGACCCGGTCTGGCCGTATGCAAACAGGGTACCAATACCGCCAGAACACGCAAACGGAACCAGGTGGGACACCACGTCGTACACATCCTCGGTCTTTGCGTCGGAGCCGAACACTCGGTCCACCTGGTAGTTGGAAGACTGAATTACAAATGTCAGTTAGAATTGCTCCGCCCCATTTTTGTGATCCTTGTCTGCAGGCTTACCGTCAACGTAGGCAAACCTCTGACTGTTCTCCTGAGCTCATGCACATCCACGACCCCAGGCTGGGCGTCTCGAGGGAACACCGACTCTGAGAATCCGGCAGCATCTTCTTCATCTAGCAATGGGCGTATCCTTGTGCTGACAACAATGTCTGGGCTTGTCGACGATTTACTTTCGATCGAAGTTTGTGTGCTGGCTCCAGGTCTGAATGCCTTTACTAAGGACTGGTACCGCTTGGCATTCTGTACGAGAAATTCCTCCATTTTGACAGAGATTGTAGTCGTGAAAGAATGTCTGGGCCAGATGAAGTTTCGGGTGCTGGTGAAGCCAAATAAAGTCGATTTTATAACAATCGGATCGAAAAGGATTGAAGGAGATTCCTGATTTAAATCCGAATGTTGTGTTGTGTTGTTCGTCGGTGACTTTTGACCCACCACCCCCTAGTCTCCGGTGACTAATGATGAAACGCCATTTGCCAAAACACAAACCTGCCATTCTCCTGCCTATTTCAAGACACTTGAAAAGCATGTTGCCATAGAGATCATGTTTGGCCTTGTGCCATCCGTTCATATCATTGCTGCCTGGGCTTATCTGTCTTGCCAATACCAGCCTGGGCATGATGTCTGATCGCTTAGGCAGCCATTTAATGCGATGCCGGCTAATCGGGACCCTGTCAACAAACCACGAAACACAAGTCACAAACACTTTCCCCCCAAATTTACCCCTGGCGAGAGGACCTAGCTTCTGATTACAGTCATGCAGGCTCACAGCATGCGAATGTGGCGACTGATCCTGCTAGCATTCTGCTGTTGCAACACACCTACTACATCGAACCCTATACATAGCCCAGGAATATCTTCATTGGCCACAATTTAATCTCATTCACCAAATATACCTCTGTAGTGATTCCGCAGAATTCTGATTAGTTATCGGAAACCAGTCAGACTACAAGAAACCTACGTGCTTGTAAGGTAGAGGTGTGTATCACTCTGGAGAAGAGACTTGCACGAACACACTAGCTTCTGCTGACAGGATGACTGGATGTTTCTGTATTCAAGCCACTGCAATGTCTTTGACTGTTGTATTTTCTCAAATTCCCATTTATTTTGTTGTGCTGTGTGCTTGCATAACATCAAATCATATGCTCATATTGCCAAACAACGAGTTGAAGCCCTTCAACGGCGCTCGAAAATTTCAGCCTCATTCACAATTGGACAAGCTTGTCATGCCGGCTTCGAATGGCTTTTGGAGTAGAAAATGGTCCTGTATCTTTCATACTTCGGTGATATCCTCTACTTAATTAAGTCGCTCGATTGCGAGCCTGGATGATCGCAGCGTCGGGAACCATGGAATACCTGATTCAGAAATACCGTGTGCGAAAATGTCTGCAAACTGGCTTCTTGACCTCCAAGCCACTGCGGATGCAAATTAAGTTACATCAGATGCTCACAATATCTTGAATATGTCGTCTCACGGGTAGACATAGTGTTAGCATGTATTCGAGCAAAATTTGTGGCGTCCATCACTTTCAACCTTAGGTCGGGCTGTCTGGGCTTTCCCTCGTAGAAGCGGGCTTACAGTTGGAGATTTACAACAGTCCTCGGAGGCTTACGACAGTGGAGTACTGTGGCTATACTACGGGTTGGCAATCTGTGTATCAAGATCTTGGTGAGGATATACATTGCAGACTAAAAGCTCCCGGAGCGCCTGTTCTGGAGGCTGCAATGGAGAAGCTTTGACTTGATGTAGATTCGGTCAAGCTCTCATTCTTATGATTACTTTTCATTCAATGTGTGGACCAAAAACACCTTCCTTGGTGTTGCCAAAATCATCATGAATGGTGGGGTATCGTTATCTCCATTCTTTCCCTAGGTAATTACGTACCAACTCAATAGAAAAACATGATCAGCAGTATTACGTTCTGTTAAAGCCTCAGAGTAGCTACATTCAAAGAATCTGCGCCCAAGGCAAAGAGCACACATAGTCCTCAGACACGAGTAGTTTGTGAAACAACAGGGTGCTCGCCCTTGGTCTCACTAATTTCATCCTCGTCTCCAGCGAGGTGGCGGGCCTTGGCCGTAGCAGCATCACCGCCAACGATGGCCGCGTCGCCGTCGAAATACTTGGCAATTTCCTCGAGAGGTGTGTTCTTGGTCTCGATAAACCATTTCCAGACCACAAACGTCTCGAAGGCGATCCAGCAGACGTAGACAAGATAGTATTTCCAAGTGATGGCCGAAAGCGCAATGGGGTTGACGTATTGGTTGAACCAGAGGGCGATGTCGACAAACAGGAACATGACAGTAAGACCCTGGTTGGGAGATGTTAGTTGTCTCCGGCCTATTGTCAAAGCATGAGTGGGAGGCGGGGCATACCTTGGCACGAATCCTGTAGGGCAGGATCTCCGTAGAGTATGACACAAGTAGCCCACAGAAGCCCAGGTTGTAGAAGATGAAGTAGATGAAAATGAAGACAATGACTGCATGGCCAGCTGCAGTGCTCTCCGTCTTGGCGTACTGCGCAGATCCGATGGTCTCGACGATAAAGGACACCAACATCCCGACGCAGGACGTAAGGAATAGCGGGCGGCGACCGATCTTGTCAACAAAGAAGCAAATTCCGACAGCTGAGACGAGCTGCACAATGGACAAATATCCGTTGATCTCGAGCTTGGTCTTGTCGTCGTGAATACCAACAGTCTCAAGCACACCGGAGAGGTAGTACGAGACCAAGGCATTGCCAGACCACTGTGAAAATAGGCCAAAGCTGACGAGAATGAGGAGACGGTGGCGGTTTCCCGGCGTAGACCAGAGCTCACTCCACGAAGTCTTCTCGTACTCCTGTTCAAGGGAGATCGTCTGCTGGATTTCATGGTATTCGACACTGACCAGCTCGTCGTCATGTTTACCTCCAGCATGGTATTTGGTGAGTATAGACTTGGCTTTTTCATGCTTTCCCTTGGCAATGAGCCATCGAGGGGACTCCGGAACAAACCAGATGAAAAAGATCTGGAAGAGTGAAGGAATCGCCTGCAGGAGGCAAGGCACGCGCCAAGCCCAATTACCGTTGATGTTGTTAGTTCCGAACGATACCCAGGCGCCAATCAGCGACCCGAGGTACCAGAGGGTATTATAAATGGTCGAATAGATGGCGCGGTGCTGGGGGTGTACGAGCTCAGCAATCAAGAGGGGAGCCGAGCCGTGAGCGATGGCGATTCCAAAACCGAGTAAAAGGCGGCCGATGATAAACATGGCGATGTGGAAACCCATGGAGAGCAGAGCAATCCCGACGAGCATGATGGAGCAACCGATCACCACTCCCATACGTCGACCGAGGAGGTCGGCACAGTAAGGAACAATTGGAATGGCTAACATCGAGCCCATGGCCATCGAAGCGGTCAACAGACCCATGATGGAAGGGCTTGGGTGGTGGAAATAATCCTGCCACTGAGACATGCTCTGGAGACCGTTGATCAGGGAACCGTCGTATCCTGCAAAAAAGGATTATCAGCTTTGGGAAAGGCGACAAGTGATCGAAGTCGAAGCCTCTTACCATTGGTGGCCGAAGTCAACATAGCAGCCCAGAGGAAAAGATAGAGGGACCGCATGTTCTTCGTTTTCCACCAAGTGATCTTCTGCCACTCACGGCCCGCAAGGGTGAAAGTTGGCTTGCCCATGATGAGAGACTCAGACGAATGTTGTGAGGACCAGAGCGCTATAGGTGACCCAAATATGTTGAAACACAATCCACCGACGTGTAGGACGTGGCCAGAGAAACAGGCTGAAAACCGAGGATCAAGAAAGAGACTCCAGGAAGGCGATGGGCATCTATATACTTTTCTCCGGGAAGCTGACTTTGGAGGCAAGCTGGAGCTAGGTCCAGAACCCCGCCGGTCACCCCTTGCGCCAAATACAAGCATGTGCGTGGTGGCACAGAATGCAGCGAGGCAGGGGTCGCTGAGTGTTGCAACCAATAGCTGCTGGATTACCTTCTCGACAGGGCCGAAACTGGTCACGTAGACAACGTGCGGAAGGTCGGTAGCCGGTCCGGTCAAGCGATCATGTCTTCTGGTAAGCCTTCCTTCGCAAGCTCTCCCCGCCTTCCCACGGCCCCCAATTCCCTTGTTTTTCGAGTCAGCTCTCGAGTGTGAGTGCACATTTCGCGTCGCTGGACGACTGTGCCGTGAGATGATCGTCTAATCTTGCAGAGTGTTGACTGAATAAAGTTCGTCCTCAATCGTCTGTAATGACTCTTCATGAGTTCTGTGCACTCTTGATGGTAATGTATATATTCCATGGATGGCCTCATCCGAATCGGGACACCAACAGCAGGCGACTGTAGAGCCGTTCAAACATCCCTGGCTTCCCCGGATTTCATTATCGGAGCATTAGTGGGCCCACTCGCACTCAAGCTCGACTTGATGGCGCCCTGCCCTCGATGACAAAAGTGACCGACCGGGGCTAGAACAAGGACTGAATTCAGCCTGAATTATTTACCCATAGTCTAGCTGTTTACGGCAACGCTTGGCAGGTTCAGTGATCCCAAAACCGTAGAAATTTGGAGCATCTATGGACCGGCCGCGCGTGTGGAAAACAGCAGGCTCGAGCAGCTGAAAAGGTCTGGTGGCATGTTTTTTCCCGAAATTCTATGATGAGCTGGCGTTCTTGCGTGGCCTTTGACCAGCCAAGCAAATCCCTTTGGCTGCACTGATTGCGAGTTGATACTTCACACGATGGAGTAAGCTTTTACGCGTTGGGGTAGAGGCTTTCCACGGGCCGCCAGGACAGTAGTTTGATGTACCTCCACCTGTCAGATCTGGTGAAGATCGATCTTCCAAGCATTTCCCCGGATTCGCGACTCCACTTTGCTAGATTGACAGGCTTTGTATTCAACCATCAAACTTGGCATGAAAAGCTTGACCCGACGTGCTGGTACTGACTAGACTAACCTACATAAGCACGCATAGATCCACTTGTCACGAACTGCTATATTTGTGGCTTTTATCCATCCGGCCGAGCATCGAACTCCAGACTAATGACGGATAAATCACTGCGGCTGGAATAAGCGTGCGCTTGGAGCAAGCGCCGCATCTGAGGTTTGAACGAGGCGTCTGACAAATTTCACATCTCGCGGGATGCAAAGAATCGCAGTGCTTGACCTACAGTTCTGAACCGGGCGGTCGGGATCTGATCGTTCGAGTCGATTCGAAAAGTCAGGTTTATGATCTGGAATCTTTTTATTTGGCCGTCAAGCAATAAATATGTGACACCAGCCCATGGGTCAAACCCCAAGATTTTGATCCTGACGAGTTAAGTGGACTCAGAAATAGTACGCATGGCAATATGAACGTGATCTGGAGTTGGCTACAAATAGTCCGGAGCATATTACTGTTCGTCCTGGGTACCAGGAACGTCGACCTCAAGACACATTGTAAACGAAGCGCGGTGGGTTGGATCTTTCAGAGGCGCTATCTGTGAGGGTGTGTGAGCCAACAATTCGATGGATGTGTCGAACCTGCATGTGCTCGTTACACAACTTGAAGGAAGTGGCAGCTGTGAAAGGCGTTTTCGTCTCGGACCGTGATCCTAGCAGGTGGAAAACAGGCCCGCGCAAGCTTCTGCGCCTGCAACAATGCGGCAAAGTGACCAGTGATAGTGAGCAAGCTTGGTGACACAAGTTTGGTACGGATCACGGAACGGAGGAAATCCTCCTATCATTGTAATCCTTCTTCGTTCCCGCCAAAGCACATAACAGCCACAACTCTCCGCTGTGCGGCTAATCGTGATCTTGGATGTCTATGACAACCTGACCAACGACCGCCACGTACCTCGACTGCTCTAACATTCAGTTCAGGGGCGTAGGACATACTAGCAACAGCTGACACAGGCCACTCAAAACACACAACTTACATGATTGTATACGTTTTCAATCAGGTCTGCCGGATTGATCCCATTGAATGGTCTGCCCCGATCTCATTACCCGTAGCCAATGATACACCAAATTTACATCCTAATTTCTTCTTCAAAGCAAGTGTGGCTGCAGGCACCCGAACGGCACGTGCAACTTCGGGTGTGGAGTTTGAGGTGAGGGAATTAGATATTCCTAGGCACGCAGTGGAGGTACAGAAACCTACCGTGTCGGTCGCGCGGATCAACTGTTGCACAACGTCCGCGTGACATGATTGTGCACCTCTTCAGACTAGACTTAGGCTTTGTACATATTGAGGATACAAAGCCGGATGATTACGAATGACTAATCATCAGCATGCTCTTGTTTCATGGATTCTGCCGAACGCCGTTTGAAGGCTCGATGTTATTTACTGCATTATTTTTTATAAGCGTTTGATATCTTCCAGGGTGATAGTCTTTACTAAAGTAGAAATGATCTAGGATACTTCTCGGATATGGCTTGCGAGTGCCAGGGAAGAACGCTGTGCAATGACCGTGCAAACCCGAAGTTTCTGATGACGGCCCAAACCCTATCTGCAGTGGTGAGAAGGACGAAGTTTGGAAGTGCCCTGTTGAGCTCTGGCATGAAATCGTGAGCCGCTACTCCGGCCTGAGCCTCAGCAAAGAGCAGGAGCGGCTTGCTGCCATCGCCACCATCTCCAGGCAACTCTCATTCTATCGCCCAGCAGAAGTATACATGGCAGGGCTACGGTCGGGCTCGCTGTTGCTGGACCTGATGTGGCGCAGCTTTATTCCCAGTCACGGAAACCAGGAGTCGACGTGGACTTCGTCGTCGGCAGTATCGGCAGTGAATTTCATGCCCTTTCAAGGCATCGCGCGTCAAATTTGTCGACTACATGTACCAAAGAGGAGGCTCAGACCCTCTTCGGCATCACTCAAGGCACGCCTATCACACCTAATCCGGTTGTTCCCATACGCCTGGTAATGAAACCGAATTGGAATCTACCGGCTGATAAAAGCGATCAAAGAACGTTGAATTATTGGACATCTACTTCCTTTAGGTATGACGGAAATGGCTTGATTATTTCTGTCGGTCTGGAAGCTGACCGGAAAATTGTAGAAGTCATACGCCGGTTCCAAAAAGCGCTGGTATTCCTGCTAGAAATGGCCGAGAGGTCGCCAGTTACGAATGGCAACAAACATGTAGACGACCCCAAAGTATTCTGTCTATCGCTCTCTTACTCAGTGGATGATACTGATAAAGAAGCTTTTGTTCGCGTACGCTACGCATCTCTATCTCTAGATGACGCAAGGAGATCGCTTTGGATAAAGCCTGAATATGTCCATACGTGCACTAAAGTATGAACAACTCCAAGTTCGCTCACGGTGGAAATGAGAGAACGTGGAAATAAAATACCAGTTGAGGCTACTTCACAGATCACGTCACGGCATTGAAGACAAAAGCAAGAAGAGTAACATAAGCAAAAATTTGTCTTTTTTTCTAAGCCTTGGGCTTCTTGAATTTGCGTTTCATGTTACAAAGTTACCAGTACCAGACTTTCAAGAGCCACCCATTTTTGTGACAAAGGAAGAAATCACCGGAAGTATGAGATTTGAGCAGAGCAAGTATTATATATAAAATCTCGTATCAAATATTTCAAAATCCATGTTCATAGCACGGGAAATCTGGGGGTTAGTGGCAATCATGGATGAGGCTGCGCACTTATGACCAAGATGACGCTCTCAACGGGTAGGAATCGAAGTATGCATATGCATATGCAGGTATACGTAAGAGGTCATCCGATGCTGATTTCATTTTTTCAACCTGATCCCCGCATGTTTTGTTGCCTTTCGTTCTCACTGTCATTTCTCCCATTTCTTCCCTCAAAGCAACCACGACTCGACAACCCAGCCTCTCAGACTTTCACTCTCTGTGCACGTGGACATGAGATTACTATCCACAAAGACTCTTGAGGTTGTATCAATAAACGAAGATGAGATACCACCGTATGCGATCTTATCCCACACCTGGGGTAAGGACGAGGTCACGTTGCAGGATATGCAAGGCTTCGGTGTCAAGATGCTGTCCACCGCTAGTCGAATGAACCTTCTCAAGGCAAAGCAAGGCCTCCAGAAAGTCCTAAACGCAGCCAAGCTCTCTGCTTCAGAGGGATATGATTGGATCTGGATCGACACCTGCTGCATTGACAAAACCAGCAGTGCAGAACTTTCGGAAGCCATCAATTCCATGTACAGATGGTATCAGGATTCAGAAATATGCTATGTCTACCTAGCAGACACAACAGTGGGCGATGAAGAGCTTCAGAACTCGAGCGACGATTTTCGTTGATTCAATTGATCCGGGATAGTCGCTGGATTACGCGGGGCTGGACTCTTCAAGAGCTAATAGCCCCTCGAACAGTATCATTCTACTCAAAGGATTGGTCGTTCATAGGCAAAAGTAACGAAGACCATATAATGCGCCCTTTGGCAGAAGCAACTGGTATCGACATCGGCGTACTATCCGGCGACATCGTCACGCAGGAGGTCAGCGTTGCCAATCGAATGAGATGGGCCTCCAAGAGAAAAACAACGCGCCAGGAAGATATGGCGTACTGTTTGATGGGACTTTTCAGTGTAAACATGCCGTTATTGTACGGAGAAGGGCGGGCTCGCTCTTTTATCAGACTTCAAATCGAGATTCTTCAAGCAACTGATGACCAGACGATATTCGCCTGGTCAGCGCCGCCCGGAGAAAAATACCACAGAGAAGCTTCGGGACTATTAGCCGAATCTCCGGAGTATTTCCAGGATTCACCGAGTATGTATCCCATGCCAAACTGGTATCAACCCGAAAGCAGCACCCCATGGAGCATGACCAATCGGGGGCTCATGGTCCAGCTGTATCTTCGAGCTTCAAGATCCGGGACCAACGCGAAGGGAGAGTCTGCAGATGATTTCGTGGCTGTCCTCGACTGCTGTGCTGACATCAAAAGACGGGACCAGTCCGGCCGAGAGTGGATTCATGAATACAGTCCAGCAATATCACTACGGCGGCTGTGGGGAGACCAGTACGCAAGGGTCCACACGGATTACAGTCAGTATGTCAGAACGCATGACCGGCCAGGAGGCCAGGTCAAAACGCTCTTTGTCAAGCAAGACCAGTCTCTTTCTCTCCCTAGCTTCATTGTTGCAGAGAAATTTCTCAGAGGTACTGGAAGCTTTATCGTTTCTGGAGTCTACCCCCGAGATCTATGGGACTCGAAATCTGGCATTTTCAGGTCCGGCCTTTCCCGACAACAATGTATTCAAGGGCTTTTCAGATTCTCCCATCCACCTGGAAGTGGTGTTTCTGATGGACTGTTTGACGTCGCTGTCGCTTTGCATTCAACTGCTCCGGGTCAGTTCGAGGCATTTGGCATTCTCAGACCCGTAGAGGGCAGGACGGTACGCCAGGCTTACGACCACATAAACAAAACATGGATTTCGGCTTCTCGAGGTGGTAAAGCTGAACTTGCGGACGAATACCGGGATAAAACGATTGCTCTACTTCAACTGCGTAGGACCCAAAGACTCGGTGGCGTCTCCTACGTTCTTGATTTGCTTGAAAGGGTAGAGCTCGAGCCCATTCCCTCCCGTCCACATTTGAAGATCGCAGCTTTGACATCTCTAAGAGGCCTCAACGTGTCTAAAACTTCCATTAGCACTGAAGAACAATTGAAATTACTTTTCAAGCCTATTTGCGTTTCAGAAAACTCTCACCCAGGTCGTCTGATCCTTTTGGACAAACAAATCAGGGTGCGCGCGCGCAAGAATCATGTTCTGGAACCACAAGGTCCCCAGATTTCAGAGAATTCGACCTTGAGCGTGTCCGGTACATCTACATCGAAGTCAATTCTCACGACAGATACCTCGCCCGCGGCTCTTAACCGACGGCAAGGTGAAGGTGAGAGGTGCAAATCCATCTGTCACGAGATAAATTGTGACAGACCGAACACGGAGAATGAGATCAGTTCCCTTTTAAGCCGAATCATACTCGTTTTTGCGAAAGGTGATAGCATGAGCGCGGTACAGGCAAAGGATTCAGGTAATGCCAACAAGCTGATGCGATTTGGGATATCTGGAGACCGACTTGTTCACTTCTTAGCTCTTCGTGGCGATCCTTCACTTACCTCTTGGCTGATTCGTCAGTGCTTCGATTTTGATGCCGGCGCGATTACAGGAAGGCTTATCGCGTCGATATTACGCAATGGAATGAATTTCGCCGAATTGCTCTCGGATCTGGACAGAAGGACTGACTTTACTCCCGACGTCTTATCGAGGTTCAGAGAACGACTTGGAGCCGTGGAAGGGACCCAAGATACGGCGCTCCATTTCGCGGCAACGTACAGCACTGAAGAAGAGTTCAAACTTATCATGACGTACTTTTTCCGAGCCTTAGAAGGTCCAGATCCGTGGGAAGATTTCGATATCAAGCACGAGTGGAGTTATCTCTTCAGGCTACAGAACGGCAACGGAGAAACAGTACTCCACAGAGCGGCGGCAATGTCCAACCTTGGGGTCGTCAGTTACATTTGCCAGCATGCCCCCGAAGCTGCGTGCCAGATTGACTCAATGAATCGGTCGACATTGTGGCACGCGGCTTGCGGAGGCGACGGCAGAATCATCCCCGTAGTAGCCACGGTCCTCAAGTCCTTGGCGTGGGCACCCACAGTCGATTATCCGGATGAAAATGGCCTCACACCACTGCACGTGGCATGTCGAGAAGGCTACGTGGGCTGTGTGAAGGCGCTTCTCGATTTTGGCGCCAGTCCTCTCTGTGCCACACAGTCCGCTGGGTTGACACCCATTCACTACGCCTCACTGTTTGGCCACTATGATTGCTTGATGGCAATTGCTGAGCATAGTCAGGCCTATGATGACTTTAATCAGGTTGTAAATATGGTGGAGGATGTGGAATTGATCCGGCCGATACATCTGGCTGCTGCCAACGGGTGGTACGAGTGTGTGGAGTTGCTCGTAGAGCATGGAAGCCCATTGAGCTCTCTCACATCGATCATGTGCATTGCACGATCAGGTTCAATTTCAGCGGAAGAGTTCGAAGTGCAGGTGCAGAGTATCCAACTGTCGACACCAGAAGATGTTGCTGCCATGAGAGGTTGGGACGAAGTAGCTGGGTATCTGAGAGCTAAAGACATGATTTCGCGTGCCGATGATAGGCCGACGTGTGATTTAGAGCGCTATGTTTCTATTTCAAATCCGGAAAGGAGCGCCAAAGTCATTCCTTGATAGCTGACTGGCGCAACATGGCAGCAAGCCAGAAACATCGATGACAGAGGCTTAAAACCACACTTGCACCTACACTTGGCTCCTATTAATAGATACGATGTCACAAAATGTACCTTCGTAATTGGCAAAATAATCAGGCTAGACCATTGAATTTCCTCTCGAGAGTGCCACTCTTTAGTCGAGACCCCCATCCCCAGAGTTCCAGCCTTGACTCGTCATCACCGCTATTGATTCACAAGAGGCTACATCCAGTGAACAACGAAGCCTAGCATTGCGTTTAGCGTTTGGTTATTTAGAGTACGGCTTCGCGAATGGTCGTCTGAGAGGATTCGGCCGGTTTGAAGGTTGCTTACGCGTCGTGTACATGTTTCGAGTCCTCTGCAGGTAAGCATTTGCCTTCCAAGCGGCCAATTCCCAGATCCACACAGTAGTTGACTGTGACATGATGAGATGCAATGAGACTGACAAAAATATTTTAATTGGAACACTGGCCTTTTGCGGTCCATACTAGGTCTTGTTTAAGTTCAAACACTGGCTCCCTGGTGGCCACTACCCCAGACAGGGGTTACTCAGCTGTCCGTTCAGGCGGCCAATTTTCCGGGCCATCGGGGATTTATCACCCACGTAAGCACGTAATGCTTTTAGGGTGCTTACGATTGACCCAAATATGTCCTCAAGGGCAATTTCTGAATTTCCGCGGTTACCATTTCGGGCCGCATGTCCTTTTGACCACACACTCTCAGGCGGCCGCTCGTGAGTCGAAAATATGCCAGACCATTCGCCGCAACGAGATGTTATGACAGAATCAGCTATTCTCGTAAATTTTCGATGCATTGCTGCGGTCAGTCAGCTTACCAGACAGGCCTGCCCTGAAACTGATGCCATCACGGATTCAAGCATGCTACCGTTGCGAAACACCTCATCAGACCTTCGGCGGTCGTTGCAATAGTGTCATGTCAGGCCAGTCGAGATGAATGGATATAGAGGATCTCCCAAAACTTGAGAGGTCGTGTTCTATAAAATGAACTTGGGAGCCCAGCTTCAGAGGTGTTTGATTCATTCCTGCATCACAACATTCAAGCATTCTCTCTACTCAAGTCCTCTTTTCTTTACTCCACATCTTCCATTCTACAGGTACGCCGGCGTACTTAAAACAACAGTCACTTTAACAGCCCTACACCAATCAATCACTTTCGCCAACCTTCAAAATGGGCAAGTGCAGGACCTGCGGCAACGACTCCAGCGACTGGGCGGGATCGATCAGAGAAACGGCCAACTGCCCAAAGCTCTCGGGCGGAAGATGCAGATACTGCACCTGGGCTGGCAACACTCGAGTCAAGTGCTGCCTCGGGAGATGCGACGGAAAAGGCAACGAACTTTGTACGACCTGTGGTGGTAAGGGGTGGAGGTACACCGGCAACAACATCTTGTGCGACAAGCCTCATGCCCCCAGCTCTGGCCGGAGGAGGAGGGGCTAAGCTCGCCCCGGTATGGGGGATCCTTACTCCATCAAAATGACGGTGACGGACTTGAGGACCATCATTGGGGTCTCTGCAGGACAGACGACCACTCGCTGAATCCGACTTGAATATTGTGCAGCACTACAAGTGGCAAGTCTCCACACAATGAGACTCGGAGGATAGATTACAGGATACACACAAATACAAGACTCTGGCAGTCAACACTGTGGTTCTTCTAGTGATCTTTACTAATTGGGGAGTTCTCCTTGCTTTCGGTGATGACATGATCCCTTAGCCAGACGGCAACGTCTTCGTTTCTCAACATTTACTCGTCAAAGTCTCCTCTCATGATAATGGAAGTGGTTATCTTCTGTGGAAATTACTATACAAAACGAAGCTGAGCTGACTTTGCATGCCTGACAGTTCTGGCCCGATTCTCTTGATTCTGAAAACCTTGAGTAAAATTGAAAGTCACCAGAAGCAGTTTTCTCTTTCATACGTGAGGCCGACGGTTCCCCTCATCAAGCACAATAATTTAATTTTTTTTTCTGACGCACAAGTCCTTTGGTTCAATGAAGAGGCGGTAGTAAAGGACAATACCTAGGTACGAGCGGGCTGTACTTACTGCCTCGCAGGACAGAAATGAATGCCGAGTTGACTAGAACAATTGCTATGCAAAGGGAAGGCAAGAAAATTTCCTAAAGAAGATAGACGAAGAACGATATCAACAAATTATTGAATGTTTTAGGCTGATATCTGAGGGCGCTGCAAAAACGCGTATCGTCATCGGGGTTTCGCAAGTCTCCGGAAGTCGTTGCTGCTGAACAAGGGGGACCCCGCAAAGCCGAAGCCACCACTAAAACTTTATGACAGCATCACTCCGTCTGTATGCCACTGGCATGCTCTGCCGAGACTGCAACCTTCTCGTTTCAATCTCACACTTCTTGTATGCGTCTAATAACCCCTGTGCGGCTGTAAATTCTAGGTACTTCCCTTGCATTCAATCTTCAATGATTTTGCAGTCCACTCGCATCTATCCCAGCAGACGGATAATGTCATCGCTAGAAGATCTGCGCGAGAGTTGGAACAACCTCTACCGCACCCGATTGCCTTCCCTCGCCAAAGCCAAAGATGGGTCTCAGCCGAAGTGGCCGGTCCAGTTGGATCATTGTTTCGCTCGCATCATTCTTGACAATGCCATAGGCAAGGATAGACCGTGGAACCAGGTGTTGAAAAGCCCAGCGTACAAGCATATGAGCCGCGAGCAGTTGGAGGCTGCTATCGCGCTTGGTGAGAAACTGTCAACTGGTGACGAAGATCTTGTGGCGCTGGATGAGAAAAGTCTCTCATTGAGGGGCAAGAAGAGTAAAGTGAACAGCGAATCGCAAGCTGTACAGAAGAAGAGAAAGGCTGAGCTGCACGATGAGGACACAAAGCATCACAAGAAGCATATAGCAAATCGCAAAGTTTCCTCTTACTTCCAATCAGCCTCAGCAGCAAAATTAGAGAGAACAGAAGAGACCGGCGGAGACTTCAGCAAGGCAGATCCAGCATCATCAGAGACCATCGAACTCATCAACTCCTCCTCTGACCTCACTTCCTTCCGGAAGAGTGTTTTAGCCCTGCTCACTCAAGTTCCACGCGGTCGCTACACGACGTATCAAGCACTGTCGGATCATATCAGCGAGACGTCTCACAAGTCATCCGCCAGAGCAGTCGGCAATGCGATGCGAAACAATCCATTCGCGCCTGTAGTGCCTTGTCATCGAGTACTGGCGAGTAATGGCACGATAGGCGGATTTGGCGGTGAGTGGGGAGAAGATGGGCAACATGCTTCTGAGAAGCGAACTCTACTGAGAGAGGAGGGGGTCAAATTTGACCGCAAAGGGAAAGTAATAGGACAGGTTTTCCGCGGATTTCGGTAGTGCGTGTTCTGAGTGCGGATTGGTGGAGCTTTTTTTGGAGCTCCAACGTGCTCTTGGTGTTTCACCAGTTCATCTCGTGCATAGTGGCAGTACATGTAGGCTGACTGCAAGGCCGTTTAGGTGGTCAGACCTATTATTTCACGCGCTATATATACTCAACCCCAAATACCTATATTCTGGCAGCATATGCCGGCCTTTTCCCCTTGCATTAGAGCGAATTCAAGCAACTATGACTTCCACATCTTTCAATTCGGTTGCAGAGCCCTTGATTCCGGAAACTTCTTCATCCGTCAAGGTAATTCCAAACCAAGTCTTCAGGGCGTCGATCCTTTCAGGTTCTGTGGAGCACACTTGGACAACCTCCGTCTTACCGCCCGTGTTTCTTTTCACAACGCCGTTTACCAGCATAACCTTGCCAATTATTTTACCCTCACCAGTGTCTTCGTCTTTCCCTAGCAGGAATTTGACAATCATGATAGTAAAGTTCTGGAACGTTCCCGCCTGACTGGTGAAATAGTTGACCACGTTGAAATCAACCTCGAGGAACTCCGTGTCGTTGAAAACGTAAAATGAGTTCCAGGGTTTCGCAGCTGAGTTACGATACTGATATACCCAAAATTCCTGCCTCTTTGAGCCCGGAACACGCTCACGGGCAAACCGGATTTCCTGCGTCCCGAGGTTTTTCGAGATCGGGCCGGCCTTCAAGGGCATCGGCGCAGTCGGTCCGTCGCCTCCAAAAGCCACGTCGCAAACGTATTTGTCGCACTCTTCTCCTTTCAACTCAATAATGAGGGCCATGTGTGTCATGCCGACGTAGTCGCCCTTTGGTACTCCATTCTCCCGGAGCCGGATTCTTACTCCGGTTGGGTAGGCTTCGAAGCCAAGACTGCGAAGGACATGCAGGAAGAAGAGAGATCCTTCCATGCAATACCCACCACGATTGCGCCCATTTTCGACAAATTTTGTGAACAGAGTTTGGGGGTTCAGGTCGACGGTCTTGTGCTGTGAATAATGTATAGAGAGGTTTTCGTATGGTACTGCAGCGATCTGGTGGATGTGCAATGCCGTTAAAAGGGACAGGTCGCGAGGGACATCATCCCGTCTATACTTTTGAGGGAGTTGAACATGGTCGAAATATTTTGACAACTGGTCTTTATTAAAGGTTGGAGCCTCCGCGGGTTCGGACATATTGGCTGCCAGGTCAACGGTAATTAGTATTATTGAAAAGCTTAATTGAATTGGTCTAAATCATTTCGAGGTCCAGGACCCGGGATACTTATTGCACGCGCCTTTGAGTGACTCACTGTCAGTCATGTCGCAGGATCGCGCAATTTGACTCATGGCAAAGCCTTCCGGGGATTTTGCATTACTAGTCACAAGCGATTCCCGAAATTGTCCGACAACAAAATTAAGACATGATCCTCTTCCCCAATTTTACGGGAGGAATGGTAGGAGTTTGCGATCTCTCTATTAAATAAACTATGTCAACATCCACAATGTAGTCTCAAGTTGATGCTCGTGAATTTGAAAGGTAAAAGTCGTGATTCAGCGGCACTAACCCTTGCTAGGGCGCTTTACAAGGCGCGGACCAGCTAGCTCGAGCCCAGCGCGTAGACTTCATCAGAATCAATTGCATCGTAATACTGAGTGTCCAAATATTTACTCGTGGCCACTCATTTTGGTTGGTTCAATTGCACTCCCTAGCAACACGTGTCGGAAGACGTGGGCCGGGCGTCAGGTTGGGCTAACAGACTATCTTCCACGACTTCGATTCATCTTCTAAGTTGTGAGCCACGAGGTCTCCCACATAGTGAATCCGTATCAGACTCTAGATCCTTTCCCCCTCAGCTCTCTAATGCCGATGCACGATCCCGAAACTCGCTCGGGACTTTGCAGCATCACTAGGACAGACGCGATAACGCGGTCTAGTCAGGACCAAAAAGAGCCCATGCCGCGCTTGTAGACAAAGGAAGTTATCTGCAGCGGCACACTTGTTCCGAGCGCAATATCTTCTGAAAAGATTGTTGCTTCTGCGTGTCTGGTCGACAATAGCGCCCAACGGTTCCGGGAAGTGGGAGGGAGACTGGCTACCGAAGCCATCCGTTTATCTAGGCATATATTTGATGTCTCATGTGACTCCAACATGACATCCGAACACATACAGAAGGACAATCTCGTTGAGATCAATGATAATTCTAACGAAGCATATTCTGCAGGATGGTAAATCGGTCTACTCCTGAGATCGTCCACTCGATTGACGTGATCATTACATCGATCATCGCCGCCAGCCATCGCGGATCCGGCTCATCGTTTGCATAATATGCCTTCCTGACTTTTCATAGGCACACTATAATTCGTTACCAGTATAGGTAGATGTTGAATAGTAACCCTTTTTGATAGGGAAGGGCACAATTTCGGCGGGTGCCGCATGGATCAGACTGAAGTGCCAAGAGATATGTGAGTAGTGTGGCTTCGGTACGACTGGCAACCGTGTGCACGGCTTAATGCGTAGACATGTGATGCGTTCGAGTCGCAGCTCTTAGAAACTTCCTATGACCGTTGAAGAAGTCCCATCAGCTTGGATGTAGCAATATTTCGATCAGATCAATTCCTATGTTGGCGATAGCTCAACATATTCCCGCGAGTGCATCCGCTTCTAGACCTTGCTCGAACTGTTCTGCGCGGCGCAATTACGGGGCGTTATCGGGATATAAGGAATCATGACAGTAATTTATGGTTGAGTTGGAGACACATGAGTCGCAATTCTCATGCCTCGATAGTAAAAGATCTGGATCAGATCCGCTAGATCTGCTCGCGTCTCTGGAGTTCATTGTTGTGATGAGCAAGCTCGAGGCCGCCCGCGACCGATCTTGATCCAAAGGTCAAGCTTATTGACAGATGCAGGTCTCCTCGGTTTCTCCCGTGCGTTCATCGAATCGATTGTGCACAGGCGGTCGTCCGATCGCCGCGCCGTCGCTCATCCGCCGTCCGTGAGGCCGCACCAAATGATAGCCGGGTGGGTGCGCTTTGACAAGCCAGTACATCCCTAGTGGCCAGAAGTTGGGGTGGCAGGATCAATAGCGTGCACACCTAAGGTCAACGCAGCTGTCCTTGACCCTGGCGATGACGACTATGATATTGTGGCATTTTGCCGTGTGCGTGGGCCCCTTTGATGGACTGTACCTTTGTTAGTCTTGCATTTAGTACTTGAATCAATGCCCTCCGCAAGTGACCTGGGCACCGTCAAGACGCCAGTACTGGAATACGTGCCGGCGAACGTCTGGATGCAACGTCGCAGGGGCTGCAACCGTCTGGGTCTCTAGATCAAAGCTTATAATGCCGGGTAAAATCGAAGCTTCGACGGAGAAGCGCATGAGCTTCCATGTGAGAAGTGTTCTGTAACGTCTGGTGACGTCCAGACATGCAGAGTAACAGCTGAAGCATGACAAGCTGCAGCCCGGGCCGGACGACGTCGTCTTTAGGTTTGTTTAAAGCCTAGGCCGGGCGATCCATCCTTGGGGTGACCCACGTCCCCCGCGCTACTCACAGCCCAGTTTGCTGGACCGGCACCAAACGGTCCCGTTTCAGTCAAGGGGTTCATTGCTACCTCGCTGCTTGTCAATCAAGCTTGACATGCACGGGCGAAACGGCTAAGGCAGAGGGGGAACCCTTGCCCCATGCGGCAGCTGGGCGTTCACAAGCGAGGGGAACAGTTCCGTATTCCTCCTGTCTGGGAATTTGGTTGCGCGAGTGCCGGCTAGACCATTATCCTTGCTTGGACTCGTTCGTAGTTAAGTGGCATGTGCTCCGGGTGGCGTGTGAGTGTGACTACTCGATAGAGTGTGTGTGACTGGCGTGAATGCGTGGGTGGCTTCGCTTTGCTTGAAGGCAGCTCTTAAAACCTGCAGATCCTCGTCTTGACCTGCACGCTGTCCTTGCTTTTAATCCCCGGCTCTCGACGTTTTTTCCTAATCCCGACTCTGCCCCAAGGATTGTTAAATTAAAATCCCCCATCCCCCAGTCCTTTGCAGGGGCAGAAACCCTCCTTCCGCTTTGAGTGCGTTCATCCCCCACGGAGAATTTCCCATATTTACTGGAGACCTCCTCGGCACCTCCCGAGTGGATCCAGATTTTGTGTTCGGTCTTGATGGTGTCTTTTCACCAGAGCGATGTCGTCGGTATTCGATCTTCTCGGCGAGGCCGATAATTTGAATGATCCCGAGCCGGTTCTCAATCGACGGTCTGCAATCTATGGCATGATCTTGTCATTTCTAATCCTCTCGACACTCTGTGCTATCTGGCGACTTTGGATTCGTTTGTTCATCACTCGTATACCTGGATGGGATGACCTTTTCGTTGTGCTGGCCGTGCTATGCAATGTTGGTCAAGCCGTGGGCCTCTTTCTAGCATGCGAGCACGGCCTAGGCCAACATTTCCTTCTGCTCGGGATCGATGGAATGCGGGAGTTCATTAGGGTCTTCTACATCGCGAATGGTACCTATCCCATGTGCAGCACATTCATCAAGCTTGCCCTTTTGTTCCAATATCTGCGACTGTTTAAGAAGGGGACAAGACTGTGGATACTCACAATCGTCACGATGGTGGTCGTCTGTCTGTGGGGCTTGATTTTCACGTTTCTATCCTGGGTGCCATGCGTACCTGTGCAGGCGTATTGGAACTGGACGATACCCGACTCTGAAGTCACACGGTATGGGTTCGGATCACATGAGGTGGACACTTTCGTGGCCACGTACCTTACCCATGCCGCGACAAACGTGGTTCTTGATCTCATCATATTCACAATACCGATCCCTTTGTACATGGAAAAGGACATCCAAACAAAAACGCGTTGGGCGCTGTGCGGCCTCTTCGTGCTCGGGGCAATGTGAGTAACTCTCTTGGGTGGTTCGAATTTATACGGGCCCAATGGTCATTCTAACACAACTGCAGTGTCAACGTCTGTTCAATCTGCCGACTCGTTACAATGGTGGGAAATCGCGCCGCAACATTTCCCACATTGGACCCCAGCTGGTACGGGTCCGTACCATCTGTGTTGTCAGCACTGGAGGTGAACCTGGCGACAATTTGCGCATCACTGCCAGTATTCTGGCCCGTCATCGAGGAGAACCTAGGCAGGATCCTGGTTGTCCGAGAAGTCGACGTAACGCGCGAGACACGCGATTTCAGTACTATCAACAACTTCACCAGCTCGTATGAAGACAATGACATGTACGCCTTGAAGGTCGTCAGCTCAAAGCAAGAAAATTACGTTAACCAGAACTACATGCTGGCACACATTGATCCGCTCCAGGAGGAGAAGCCGACAACGACGACTGTCATGGCTGTGGGGCAGCAAGCCAACGGAGGTGCTGGGAGGAACAGGTCGCTTGACCACAACAGGTCGCTTGAACACAATAGGTCGCTTGACCTGGGCTTGAACTTCACCTCGAGTTTGGCAGGCCTGGGTTACCACCGGCCGGTTGTGGAGAAGAGAGAAAGCAAAGAAGTATTATTGGACGCTTAATGGTCCTGAACATAAAAATTACAACATCAAAATGTGTTAAGCGAGAATAAGAAAAGCAAAGAATACGATATGTTCATAATACATGAGTCTTTTCATAAAATTAATGATCCGTGCCGCATTCATGCATTTTTGTCAAATTGTTTCACAGCCGGTCCATATATATAGCTCCTTGGGGCTTGTGAGCACGATGTAGACGGGATTCAGATGCGGGCAATAAATCTCCCGATTTCATTACTCCGTCTTACTCTTGTCAGAAAACCGGTTGCCGAGCGACTTGCTCTCAAAAACCTGGCAACAAAAATAATATCTTGATTCTTCAATATTGACGATTTAACTAGCTTTGTCAGACGTGAAACAAGAAATTGACACCTGTCCACAGCAGTCGGCTTACGGCGCAATTCATCCTGACAATCCCCGGGTCATGGGGTGAAAATTTGCACGCCATCGTGACCAGCCCAATCATCACCCCTGTTTGTGATTTCTTCCGCAGATAAGACATTGCACCGCAGGACGGGTTAGGATCAACGGCGTAGGAGCGCGCCCAGGCTGCAGTTTTTTTTCTGACCGCTCGGTGAATATTGATCCTACTAAAGTGACTATTGGTGTATGAAGTATATAACTTTTTGAGTCTCAAGTTGAAATATCATAATCATTCATGGCGCTCAAGGCACGCATAAATCGAACAATTGACGAAAGAGCGCAACAGCCACAGCTTGCATCCTGGCCACTTCAATAACTTTGCAGTCTTCTCTCTCAGTCATCAACCACCATGCCTGACTACGTCATCCAAGGCTGCACAATTCAAGATGCTGCAGACGTAGCCCGCAACAACATGTCCTCCTTTTGGCAAGACCAGAATTGGCGCATTGTATGGAAGCACTCCACACTTCCCCGCGTCATCGAGGCGTGCACTGCCCGCTCGCCACGGAACCTTCTCAAGGACCGGGCGCTCCTCCGCCACTTCAAAGCCGTTGACCCCGAGACGGGCAAATTCGTCGGTTATGCCCGCTGGAAACTCCCACCCGGATACCACACCAACGAGGACGGTACTGCCGTCTGGCCGGAGGGTCAGACACCGGATGTCAGTTCCGAGGAAAGGGCAAAGATCGAGGAGGTCGCGGATGCAGCAGACTGGAACCCGGATGACGAGGGGGACGACCTTGATGCGCCCATCACAAGGAGGAAGATCGAGTACCTAGCAAAGAAGGATTACATAAGTAGGCCGCCATTTCGCTCTCATTTCAAGAATTTCACTATACTCCTACGTTCAGACAAATAAGACCCAGCTGACATCTACTGAGTAGTTCTTGACTTCTTTGCGGTACACCCCGAGAATCAAGGCAAAGGCGTCGGAACGGCCCTCCTCGAACATGGGATCGCAAAGGCCAGAGAGTTGAATATCGACATCTTTGTTTTGGGCATGGTTGGCGGTTGGCGAATTTACAAGCGGATGGGATTCAAGCTGATGGAAACTGTAGTCCAGGATGCTACAAAGTATGGTGGTAACGAAAATTATGCATTTCAATTCTTGGAGTACGAGATCAGGAACAAGGACAAGGACACGGAGTAGCATTGTTCACCCATTTGGCATTCTAAAAGTCGGCAGGCACGCAGTTCAAAGATAATGCGTCGGAGTAAGTCGACTGGAGTTTTATGACTGTCCAAATAATTTCACGATTAAGAGGAGCTCGATCGAGTTCAATGTCTGTCTTAATAAGCAGACTGTTCCGCATAGTAACCAGAAGCCTATCACCACCACGTTACTTGTAGAGTGTCATGGTGATTTCACGATTCGGAGCTGCAAAGAGCAAGAGTTTGAAGCACATATTTTTCGGATAATTGATCCGAATTACCCCATTGCATGCACTCGTGGCGGTCAATTTGAAAACTGGCTTAGTGGATAGACCGAGTCAGATCGTCACCAATACAATTGTGATAGTGACACTAGATACTAGATAGACTAGGAAGTCCTAGTTATACCTATTGGTTTCCAGGACTACCGTCATGACTGAGCTAGTTGCCCTCATTTTATTAACCAGGGACGAGAATTAGGGAGACGAATACGATCAGATACCGTTGTAGTCTCAACCATAAATTATACAGAATAGGGATCGGGCGGTGTTATTTGTTGAGCCGCTCGGCACTTCACATGAAAATAAAGCCTCTGGGTTCTTGTGGTCGTAAGGTCGAATCTTGAACAAATGGGCGGAAGGGCACCACAAGGGGTGGAGCCTGCGGCTTTCTTTTCGGCTGGCGATTGCGTAGAGAAGATTTTAGACATTTGGCTGAGATGAGTTTGTTCCTGCAGCGTGTTCTGAAATTGTTCAGGCTCATTCTTAAGTACCTCAATGTCGGAATGGAAGGTCTTAGCGTGGTAGCACTTTCGACTTGACTGCCGCTTAGTAGTGTTTGGTAAAGCACTATATCATCCTCACCTCCGCTTTTTAAGACCGCTTTAAAGCTTATTGCTCACTAGATATTTGCCGCGAGGAGAATCCAGTAGTAGGAAGCATCTCGTCATTGGCCAATGAAGACGAAGTCGGGTGAACATGCATGTCTTCCTCCACTTGTAACTGATTGCACTGTCTAAAGACAAGGTGGAAGCTATTTGAACTGAACCATGATGTGGCTGGAGACTACAAACATTATGTCACAATAGGATGAGAGAAATCGGAGGCAATTCGATAGCCCAAAGCGAGAGAATGTCTTCCTGAAGAGCATGAGTGCTCTGTAAATGCATGATATTTTCAGCTAGGCTGTCAAGGCTAAGTCATACGGCGTCATGAGAAAAGAGGTCCTCCACTTAAAAATAGGAGTAACGAAGAGGAAATGCATTTTAGTTTATCAGACCGACCAAAGCCGCCAGCCTCTACAGACCGCTGAGGTCCAGCGGCTCCGAGATGATCTTGCCGGCGTCCGGTGGCCCGCTGGTGTTGCCGGCCTCGCACCAGGCGTCGAGGGCGTTGCACTTTGCTTCCCAGAGGCTGCAGCCCCTGGACTTGTCGTTGCCGTTGATGACGGGCTCGACGCCGTTCCAGCAGTCCGTGTTCTTCTCCCAGCAGGTGGCTGACGCGGCCCAGCACTTGGGCAGCGAGCCGGCCGTGTCGTCGGACCATGAGGTCAGCTCTGTGAAGCACTTGTTGCCGACGGTCAGGACCGTGTCGGAGGGGCATAGGCCGACCACGTTGTCGGTGTTGGCATTCAGCTGGCTGATCTTGAGGGCGGATTGCGACACCGGCACCGAGTACACCTCCGGGCCGAACTCGGGGAACTCGCCCCACGGGGTGCTGTAGATGTCGTAGGTGAGAGATGGGCTGGAGGCGGTGACATGGCCAGGGATAGACGCTGTCTCCGGCGCCGCGCCGCCGACTCCACCTGAGATGTAGACTTGGGCGCATCCAACAAAGAACTGGGGAACGATGTTGCCGCCGTCGCGGTTCTGCAGGCCAAGAACCTCATCACGGACCAGGTAGTAACCGTCGTCCAGGTCGGAGGGAAGAATGGCTCCGGTATATCCGCCGTTGTTGATCATGACATCTACGCCCCACAGGCCAGCGGCCGTGTCCAGTCCGTTCCACGAGATCTTGAACCAGCCCTCTCCTGACGCCGAAGTAGACCAGGGATCCGTGGCACCAGGTTCCGCGACCTTCTTCAGGTAGACGGCGGTGGATCCCTTGTGGTTGCTGTCAATGACACCAGGCTGAGCGCCGTCGGCCCACGACCGATGGTTCATGACGATGCCATCGCCAGCCGTGAGCTCGATTGTCCGGGCCACGGAAGTCAGTCCGTTCCTTCCACAGGCCATGTCAGTGGAAGTGAGATCGGTGACGGGAGCTGTCGTCGTGTCTCCGTTGAGGTCCATGCGGATACCAACTGCCTCGCCCTGTCCCTCTCCGTTGCGGAAAAGCTCGACCATGCGAGTGTGCGCCTCGACGCCACCCATAAGGGCAAGCGCCGTGATAATTGAACGTGAGACCATGTTTGCTTGAGTGTCCGGGGTTTAAGTCGGCGGTCTAAGTGATTTGTTGCTTGTTTATGTTGTTTTCTGAATGAGTGACTGTATGTACTGCGTGAAGAACCGGGCCACAGGCCGAACGCAAGCGTTTCTCAAAAGAATGTGAAATGAATGGATGAGGACTTTGCCGTAGCCTTCTTTCAGGCCTGGAGGGCAGAACGAGTGGGCAGAGGATCAAATAAATACACAGACTAGGCATGCAGGTACGCCAGGCAGAGTGGAACCAGCCGTCTGTGCCTGTCCAGGCTTTTGCCGCCCTGGTTTACGCGCAGCTTCGCACGATTTGACCCCATCAGCGGCCCACAAGGGTTACGACTTGGGCCGAAAAGGAAATTAGTGGTGGCAAGCTTGATTGGAACCTTAAACAGCTGAGTGCCGCCCAACAAACACCCGAAAAAGCCAAGCTATGTTTCGTTTGTCGCGCATCTTTGTCGCTCTTCCGGCTCCCCGTTACACGACATATGCACAGTCATATTTATGTTTATCGCTCAGGGGCAGCCGCTAAGGCTGGCTGCATCCTTTTTGACGCCGCGCTCATCCTTTCAAACACGCCCTAATCTCGGTGGAGTAAAAGATCTGTCAGTAAGCAGATCGGAAGTTATCACGGTAGTACCGGCATCCCCTGCTACTTTTTCAGGTCTTGGCAGAAATCAAGCCGCCGAGTCAGGGGCCTCGCTTGGCAGGTTGATTCGACGGGAAGCTCCCCAGGGGCGGACATTGCTGGCCCAGGAAATTGGCCGCACTGTCTCTCAAACGCACCGGCCGCCAAAGCCAACCTGCTGCCAACGAACACCTCAGCTTGGTGAGTTCACCTCTTGGTCGAGGCCATCAACAGCGGATCTCTCAGACACTCAGACGCGATTGTGAAACTATGATGCCTTGAGATTAGGCGGAAGCCTGCACCGAGATGGCTCGATGATTGTGTCGAGAGCAATTACTCGATGTGATGAACTCGCTAGACTGACTAACTCACTAACAAAGAAAGTGTGATAACCCTGACTGCAATGTCCTCACTGTTTGACGGCTTCGATAACCGACAACGATTTCCACGGCCCTTCGCCTCTCGTGACATTGGAAATCCGCAGTCCAACAGATCCCAGAACCTCTTCCCAATTCTTCAGTGTGCGCTGTTTCCCGCCAAGCCCCAGCATCATGAAGTCCAGGTGGGCTGCCCACTGGTGAGGAGGGTTCTCGAGGACATCCTCCTGAATCAGAAGCCTGCTGTCGTCAGCCATGGCATTGACAATGATCCGAAGAATGTTCCTGGACACGTCGTCGGAATAGTTGTGGAAGCAGCGGCGCATCCAGTACGTGTAAGCCCCTATATCCCACCAAATTAGCTGAATTTCTGCCAGCGGCGTAATCAGTCCCCACAACGCACCTTTGACGGGCTGATCCTTGTGAAAGTCAAGGGCCACCCTCTGAACACCCGCCAGCTCAGGCTCGTTCAACGCCTTGCCAGCCTCGATCGTCTCTGGTCGGTCCTCCAGGACAAAGCGATGGATGGGCAGGCCCGGAAATTCCCTGTGGATAGCCTTGATGGCTCCGCCCTTGCCTCCACCGATGTCGACGAGCACAGCCCTGTCCGAGTCGGGGTGCGCCCTCGCTTCCGCCACCAGCCACGAGAAGTCGTATATACCCGCAGTGACGGGCATGCGCGACTCGATGTGCGCCATACCCTTGAGGAAGCCGCCCACCCATGCCTCGTCCTCGGCAATCACCTCGTAAAATGACAGGTCAGGCTTGCCGTGCGCGAAGCTGAACGGCACATGGTTGATTGCCTGTGGCTCCTTGCGGCCGTACTTTTCGAAATACTCAGGCATCTTGGCGTAGGGAACGAAGGCATTAGTCCAGCTGTACCTGCGGTTAACATCTGCGCCCTCAAATCGTCCCTCCGCTTCTAATGTTGCAGGAATCTAACCTCATATTAAAGACGTAGTTAGACGCATTCTCACTCCTATACCCGAGTGACTTCTGTGTATGAAGGATATGGTCCTCTCCATTTTGCTTCAAAACGTCTTGGGATACAAGAACTCCTCCGATGCGTCCTGCGTCACAATTTCAGTCAGCAGAAACCCCGGCTGGAAATCGCAGTGTGCTTCACTCACTCAGAAGGGCCTCTTCCGACTTTGTCACAACGGCCAAATCCTGGTACGAGATGCTTCCCTGCACTGGGATGGCCTCGAAAGCTCCCCACTTGTAGAAGATCTGGGCTGCAGCATACCGTGCGATGTTCATGTTTACTGCGGAAGTGTAAGCTAGGTGTTCCAGAGTGCTCGCCAGAGATGCCTGGCGAGCCGTGAAAAGGCCTCGAGACGGGTGAGATGGGTCTTTCGGTAACTCACGGTCAAACCAGATGTCGTCAGGCCTCTTGACGGCGTCCAAGACCTTTTGCGCCGCCTCGATGATTTGCTGGCGCTGGGCTTTGTCCGCCATATCGCCAGCGCTTTCGTTACTGGCAGCAAAGGTCTGAACTGCGGCATTCAACTGATCCGTCGCGTCTTTCACGTCACTGATCGTTGTGTCCCTGGCCGCTGCCACGGATGCATGGCCGTTGGATTCGACTGCGCTCATCTTGAGAAATTCAGATACGTTGTGTCAGTTCGCGAGGAGTGTTCAAAAATGCTGTGATGAGCTTGTTGATTGCCTGCTACCTCACTGGAAATGCTCGCTGGCATCGGATTATATACATGGCAGAGAGATAACGCATTCAGCTCTCACATAACGAAGTCTTCAGCCCCCAAGGTTTCGGCTGCATGAGGGGTCGGCAAGCCACAAAGGGTAAAAGGATGACCACCTATAGTGAGCGAGCTATGGGACGGATGAGCTCACGGCAGGCCGATCCAACTTAGTTTTGCCCAGTGGTCGCAAAACGCGGCTTCGGATGTCGCTCTGAGTTCTCTCGCCGAAGAGGTGAGTGTGAGCTTACCATTTGCCTGTTGCAGCTGGCCGACGGGCTGGTTCACCAGTACAATGGATCTGGCCCACATTAACGACCACGGTGATCATCCAAGGATTACCACGCCGTGCCGAGCCGGTTCGTCTGATCAGCTCATTCGTCCCTCTGGCCGAACTGTTTGCTTGGCAGCTCACGCCGAAGGCAGCTCGTCATCCTATGTGGGTCGAACACGCAATGCCATGGAAAAGCACCCGAATAAGGCATAAACATTGAGCAAGCACTGCGGCTGTGAGGTGAGCCTGAACATACTGATCGCTGGGATAGAGACAGCATATGGATGCTTGACCCCAGCCTCTCGTTCGTGAGTAGGACCTGATGGTGCGCTGCTGACTACGAGGCATGAAGGTGCTTGTAAGCGCAGAATTTCTTTTCGGGTGACCTAACAACATTCAAGATACCGTGCTCCTGAGGAACTGTTTTTGCAGTAACCAAAAATTGTATCAATATTTCGTTGGTCCTCTATTTCACTCATTCTTGCTTGCAAATTGCCAATACCCCCCGCCCCAAACAGATGCACAACCACGGACACGTCAACTGGGCATCCGAAAGCATCATGATCCAGTCTTCAACACGAAATCGACCACAGCACTGTTCGGACCATCCCATCCTCTCTGAGCTTTGAGAAACCAAAGCGTGATAGCCGCAACGAGGACCGCCCCAAAAACGGGGCCACAATAATTCATGTTGGAGGCTGTCGCCGGGAGATCAGTAGGGAAAGGCAGCCAGATCATCGCATAGATGGTGTAAATAAGTCCCAGTACATTGATCGCAGTGCCGGCCCTGCCCATGTTCCATTGGCCAAGTTGGAGTCCATTCGTCAGACGGGCATAAAGGACGCAGGCGAGGACAATGGCGTAGCTCATGTATATCGCCAAGGACGAGAGGGATACGATGGCGTTGAGTGCAATGTAAGAGCTGCTGCCAATGTTGAGAAGTGAGAGCAGTAGCACAATGATGGAGGTCATAAAGACTGCACGTGCCGGAACGCGAGTTTTGCCATCGACGATGCTGAAATATTGTGGTAGCCCTGCATTTGTGTCAGCCCGATCAATGAGCAGTAAAAGCCATCGAGAATGAAGAGCTTACCGCCGTCTCGTGCCCATGCCCACGTGAGCCGAGATACGGAGGAGACGACACCCATGTTTCCTGATATGCCCAGCACCACCAGGCCGGATGTCATAGCTGTAGTGGCTTTGGCGGACCCGGTGGTGTTCAGAATGATGGTGACGAGTGGGCTGGATGAATTGAGAAGAATATCCACAGAAGGCATGCACATCTGTTTACAGGCTGAGTTAGCGCAAGCGGTCGAGACTGCAAGCGACAGAGAAGATTGGAACAATTGTGAGGCATACCGCGAATGTGATGATCATGATAAGGCCAAGGAGGCCGTTGGTGAAAACAGCCCAAAACATTGCTGTCGGAACGGCACGTTTGGCATCACGGGTCTCCTCGCCCATATGAATGACACTCTCGAAGGCTGAAGAGACAGAATTCATCAGTTATCTTCGTAACAGATGAGAGAGCTTCCACGAATGACACTCCACTTACAGCAGAAGAGGAAAATATTCGACAGCGCACCCAGGTTGGCCGCCACAAAATAATTGTCCCAGCCAGACGAGACATTGCTCTCGAAGAAGATCGCAGTATTATTGCGTGGCGACAACACCCAGAGAACAACGATGAAGATGAAGAAAAGGCAAATGTTGAGGATACCGGACAACAGCTCAAACCAGGGGACAAGCCGGAAGGCGAACAGATTTACTGTAGAACAAAATGCAACAGTTGCAAAGATGATCAAAGTCGTATGCCAGCCCCCTGGCTCATAGTTGGGATGCGTGAGCTGAATCATGCCCTCGAGGACCAGCGTGTTGCCATTGAGGCAACTGGCGAGAAGGGCGACGTAGCCTGCCGGGCAAGGTGAATGTCAGTCAAAGTCGACACGGATGCGAAACTCTTAGCAAAGCCAATATTCTACCTACCAGTCCAGGTCATCCACCCTTGCATCCAAGTCAGAAAGCGCTTGCAGCTGGGAGGGGAGAAGTTCCACGTCCAGTAATACTGGGCACCTGCTATTGGTTGTATGGATGCCATCTCACCGAACGTTGCAGCTTGGCACAGAACACCAGCAACCACGATGATGTAGCTCCAGAACCATGCCGCAGGACCGCCGTTGTTGAGGGCAAAGTACATATTTCTGGTAGATGAACGTCAGTCAAGCCGCTTAAGTAGTGAAAGATGGTCAACTCACGTGGCAATTGAGTACCATGTCCCAAGATACACCAAAGAGAAAGCGAAGAGTTGTGGTGTACTAAACAGCCGTCTCGTTCGAGTCTGTTCCTCCAGTGTGCCTGCCCCTCTCTTCGCATCATCCCGACCGAGGGCGCCATTCTGCTCCGAGACGTTGATGTAGGCCAGCTCCTGTTTATCCTTCTGACCCATTTTGATGAAGACTAAGGCAGCTTAGTGTCACAATTAGGACTTTGTGCTCATAAATTTCTTCGAAAGAAGGGAGTGGGAATCAATTTGGGAGAAAGAAAAGGTCAGAGAACTCTTCAAGCAACTGACCTGTCGACAGAAAAGATGTGGGACCCCCAACCGACACCATGCTATGCGGGCCCACGCAGAAATTGCGGACTTCTTAGTGGTCATCTTGACTGAAGAGGTACGCCCAACACGCATCAGTGGACATAGCAAAACGAATCTACCCCGGTTGGGAATGCCCCCGACGTTCGGGTGGCGGTCAATAGCTCCCGGAGATGCTTGATTTGCGCTGCTATCGAATAATTGTTCTTGGCAGCGGCATCTGCGTTGTTTCTGCAGGCGATTGCATGTATCCCTTCCACAGAATTCGGCGCACATATATGTGTGTCATACTGTACAGGTCTGACCAAACTCGCCTATGCTCCACTGGCGCCTCGATGCGTGCCTTCTTGCTGTGCATGTACTGGAAGTCCCCAGGACGGTATGAGAAGGACGAGCTTAAGCTCGGGCGTCCGCTTCGCTGCTAAAATATCTCCGTATCGAAGAAGTAGATTACAGGGAGGCCAAAATAGAAATAAAGGAACTTATAGGATTACCAACTATAGGATAACCAACCATAGGACAGTCAACCATAGGATACTTAGCTGGAGACCAATCTTATGTAGGACAACATCAACAGTCAAGCATGTTGCTTTTTCTTGAGCGGATGACAGGGGACGGCTCAGCTCGACATGCTTTCGGGCGCATCACAACATGCATCACGACTTATGTATGCGAGATATTGGGAAACTTCTGAGGCGGATATCTGGCTATCTATCTGATGCCAACCAACAGCACTATTGAAGTGTCCATAAGTGCTCCTGCAAGCTACCGCAGACCATCTCGAAAGCAGAAAAACGACTGACTCTTGTTAAACATGGTTCCACGGCATCCTGCCCTGAAATATCAACTGCTGCACATTCTATCCGAAATCCACCGTCAATGAATGCGCTACCAATCCATCGAATACGGTGCAACACAAATAAGCCAACTCAGGTGTACGTCGCCTCAACGCTGCCCATCTCCTGGCCCTTGAACTCGAGAGAGAACTTCATGTTGGCGGCTGCGGTAGAGATGACTAGGTTGAAGTTGAGGTCGTAGTAGATTTTGCCATCGGCGCCGGTCCGCTTGACGAGGTTTCGGGGGTTGGCAACTTCAATCAAATTGGATGATATCATGCAGCACTCCTTGACCTGCGGTCCAGGATAGGTAGGAGCGACCGTGGCCTCGGAGTAGTAGAGCGTATCGGTGAAAAGAAGATTAATTGGCGTGAAACCCTGCTTGAGAGTCCGCACGAACGGAAACTTGATGGTCTGATCTCGCTTCAGGTCCTCTCCCTTGTAGATATACCAGGTGAGCTAGACATGACACCCCTTGTTAGTAAACAAGGTTCCTGTCGGGTATACTTTCCAGAGAACGGCGTACCTTTTCAACCATGTAGAAGCCATGCTGGGGGAACCACGTAGTCTGCCTGCCCTGGTCAATGAGAGGATCGAACTGGCACATCGAAGAGACACCATAATGCCGGACGGCCTGAGTAGAGATAACGGTGGCCCGGTTGGAGACGCGGCTCAAGGCGGAGCCACTGTGGTATTGTTAGCGGCAGGGAAAACCTTCAAAAGAATTCACAAGAATTGCAAGGTGCAGACGGTCGACCATTTGCTTACTTGACAATGGCGCCCCACGAATCATGTGGCTGGATGACTTGGATTCCCTGCGGCTCGTATACCTCGTGGAGGCGGCGCTTCAGGTAGCGGTTTGAGCCGAATCCACCAACTAGGAAGATCCCCTACAGATGCAGAGTAAGCTGTGTGTTGATAGTGACATGTTCGGATGCGGGTCATAACTGTAAGAATACCTTGAGGCGCCGGCCGCCGCGCTTGCGGCGAGCAGCTTGGACCTGGTTATCCACGAGCTGTAGAATGTCCTCGATGATGGGATCAAAGACACCCTGAAGAATGTCACTAAAATACACAGTGTGAGTATTTGTACGATCATGGGACAAAACATGAGACACGCGCTCACCTGGTCATCTCCCAGCAGTTGCCGAAAAGACCCTTGGCGGGATTGTCCTCGAGCTTGGCCATAGGGAAAGTGACAAAGTAAGAGTCTGTCGTATCACCATTGAATCCGGTCTTGATGGTCTTGTCAAACTCATTCAGAGCCTTGGACCAGCCAACGCTGTCCTTCAGGGTTGTAAATTGCTTCGCGCCCACCATGTCCTTGACGGTCTCCTCAAAAAGCTTGTTCAAGCCAAGAGAACCAGCCATTCCACCTGGACGGACGCATGTTAGTTTACACGGTCAGAGGTTCCCCAAAAGTCGGAAGCTTACCGTCACCAGGGACCAGCTCAGCCAGCTCCAGGTAAGGCAGGATCTTCTTAATTTGATAAGTAATGAGATCAACGGTACCACCACCGGCATCGCAGAGCACAAAGGAATCACCCGCTGTGATGGTGTGGTCGTAGGTGCTCAGGGTGTACAAAGCAGCTGCCTCTGGCTCCTTGATCAGAGTAACGGGATGGATTCCGGCTTTCTTGGCAGCCTACGATTTACCTGGTCAGTGTTGCTGCACACTCAAACGGCATACTGCGGCCTAATTTTGCCTTACCTTCAGAGTAAGGTCTTTGGCCTTGTCGGACCAGACGGCGGGGACACTCAGAACAAAGTCTTTCTGACAGAAGCGGAAGTACTCCCGAACAGTGGAGGACTCGACGATGGAAAGGGCGTGCTTGTAGATGGCGCCGAGGAAGTCGGCAGCCACGTCAACAGGATCCTTGTCAAGGGCGTTGCGATCGTTCTCGAAGCTGGAGGCGGGAAGATACTTGGGCTTGGGCTGATCGGGATCCAAAAGCAGCTTGACGCCGTGAACAGCAGGCTCACGCCATGTGACTTGACCACCCCACTTGAACTTGGAAGGATCATTCTTGTCGTACATAATTAGGGTGGGAACCTTGGGCTGACGGTAGCCTTCGAGGCCTGTCGCATAAATGTTAGTCGTTTTCCTTGGCGTCGCTTCTCCCCAATATGTGAAATAATGTTCCGTAAGATAATGTGCTGTAGGTTAATGTGCTGTAGGATAATGTGCTGTAGGATGACCTCCGAGTAATCGAATCTCCGATGAATTAATATCAGGAGGATGGTCTCGGCGTGGATGACGTGCCAGAGCTTTATTTTCGAGTGGGGAAGAATTATGTGATGATGCCACTTGCCCATTTCGTGGCTGGGGCAGTATGGAGTGAGGATCTGCGAAGAGAAGGAATCAAAGCTTACCAGGCCACTCATGAATGGGCACAATATCTGCCTTCTTTCCTGGAACGTTGAAGGCATACGCGACTCCGGAGTAGGTGGTGCCAAAGTCAAGAGAAATGACGAGGCGGTCCGCCGCCAAGTTGGTGACCGGCGCTGACATCTTGGACGTGTTGGATGTACGCACCCAGAGTGAGCCAAGTCAAGGGAAGTTCACAAAAGGATTGATGTGTACCGTCTGAAGACGGGTCTGGAAGAGAAACTCGAAAGAGTCAGGCAACAGTGAAGATGGTAAAAACAGTCGCTCGAAGGGAAGCTTGCATACTTGAAAAACACAGGGTCAAAAACAGATAGACCTGGAATTTTGTGCTGCTTCAACAGGACCGTTTTCAATATGGGATGGAAAATGGGACCCACAACTTCTGTGGCGGTGGTTGGAAGCAAAGCTGCGACCAGGAGCTTGCATTGTTCGCTTTGAGCTTTGGTTCAGTTCACTTCAGCTCAAGTTCCTAGACAGGCCCCCTGAGACTGCGTTTTCCAATCCATTCACCCTTTCTATCCCTGCTCAAAGGTGTTTGAGTTTCGACGCCGGGCCTACGCAAGCAGGGACCACGTCTTCCTTTCCCAAAACTTCCACCCTCTTCCACCTTCTTGGTATCACTTTGACATTACGAATCGAGCAGTCTCTGAGTTCACACAGCCAGCACCATGGCAGACGAAATGGACGTAGACACGAATCTCTTTTCTGGAAACACTCTCATGGATGACAAGACTCGACGCATGCATCGGAATTCCAGCGCCTCTGACGTGGTTCGAGAGGACGGTCTAATCAGCCTGTCGGACAGTCGGCAGCAGGAAGTCACTGAGGCTGCAAAACAAGATCTGGGTGGCCGACCTTCCAAAGCGCCGGCCGCCAGCCACAAGAAGGCGTGGTCGGTAAGTACAAGGCTTTGTTATTCTACAAAATCATCGACGCACATCTAACCAAAATGACCCATGGCAGCTTCCAAAGTTCTTGAAGCCATACATAATCGGCAGTGATAATCACCAGCGCTGTGAAAACATGAAGATGGGGGAACTTTTCGAACGCTATCAAAACCTTCAAGGGGATCTCGAGGCACTGAAACAAACCAACGGAAGCCTCCTAAAGGCCCAGAGAACCGCCGAGGATAATGTTGTGCACCTGATCTCTGACGTCGAATCAACCAGAAAGATCAACGAGAAGCTCGAAGGCGATAAGAAGAATGCTCGCATCGAGATCGCTCGCTTGCGTTCCCTGCTAGATGCCGCCAACGGACAGCTTCAGGCACATGCACAAATGCACCGCCAGGAGAAGGCGCGTCTTCAAGCCGAGATCAGCTCCCTTGCCAAAACTAGCGAGGAATTCCGCGACATGCTTATTCCTGTCTCAGAGAAGCAGGCTAGTGATGCTGATATAATGCAAAGGTTCGCAAGCCTACGCTCCGATATCCTCAGACTTGTCAGACAAACCTGGAGCATGGCATTCAAAGACGGTGTTGATACTCGGCTCTTATCTGGCGACCAGCAAGAGTTCTTGAAATCCGAAATTCCTGCCACATACGATCGACTTCGCCAGGTGGTCTTTTCCTGCGTATACCGCAACATTCTTGGCTCGCAGAGATACTTTCTCAAAGAGGAACTTGAGAACCTTGAGCAGCTGTTCTTCAGGGCGGAGGGAGAGCTGAGCAGAAAGTCATCACAAGGTATACCCGACAACTACTCAAAAACTTATCTTTGTCCCTTTTTACATCTGCTGACATATTGGCAGAGAACTGTAAGCCCTTCATTGAGTGGCGGAATGCTACCTTCAAGGTGACGGAACCTTTCAGAGACCACAGCCGCCACTGGTCCTCTTGCACACAGGACCAAATCTGGAACTTCCTTGGCCCTCTGCAAACAAAGAGCGCGGATGCAGAACAGAACGGCAGAAAGAGATTGAAGACAATCTGTGACGACGCTGTGGAACTCAGCCTCATGATTCGACAACTGAACAACATTGTTCTTGTTGAGAATTTGGCCTATGCGATTGGCCAACCCCTCTCGAAGTTGAATCACATCGCTGAAGAAATGGCATGTGTGGAGGCGAATGACAGCCACCAGCCCGGTGTCATTGCATACGTGATTGCTGGAGCTCTCATCAGGCCTCCACAAGGGAAAATCAAGGACGTCATTGTTCTCGAGAAGGCGCACGTTGCCGTCTATAGGTAGGATCCAGGCATCATATGAGGGGAGGATGGCGAGGCATGAAGGTTGGATGCTGAGAATTGGCAAACGACAACACAAAATGATGCCGTGGATCTGATTGTTCGATGAAAGGGGCAAAGACGTGAGGGACTTGACTCTCAAGTCCATCCTGATACGGGAGAGCAGACTTCTGCTCTCGTTCATTGAGCACAAGGAGCACCGATGTTGGCTGTAGAGCACAGATGTAAAAGGTCGATTCTATTAATCGAGAGAAGAGACCCAAGGAGGCCAGGCTCTCCATAATATGCTACATAGAAATAGACCTTACCAGATGAGCATACTCGCAAGTGATTTCTGCACTGAGCCATCCTCATGTCTCACGGGGCTCCAGGCCCGTTTTCCAAACGGCGGCGGCCCCGTGTTGATGAGGGGTCGCGCAGGGTCTGCCACCTGCCAGTGGACAATTGCATGTTCTCAGGTGAACTGCAGCAGTGCAGGCGAGCGAAGAGAGAGGATAGGGAAGAAGGATGCCCGAACTTTAAGACTGACCGGTATGTTCACTCTTGCGTCCGAGTGGATTCAAACAGCTTCGAGGTTGAGAAGAGCGGACATATGATGTTGGCTGATTACATAATCACAGACATCATCTCCAAGCGCGCCGCCTCCACGTCGGCGAGGGGCGACATTGAGAGGTCTCCGTCAGTCCCGCCCTCCCAAACAGTAGTTATGTTTCACTGAACCGACCTCCACGCATATGGATGTGATAAACCTTCTTTGCCCATTATGGTCTTCTGGGTGAACTACATTATCAGGACGGCCCTCGTTCTCGAGGTAAGTAGCTGCCTTTGCCGCACCGTCACTTCGCCTCCGCGCCTCGAGACGGCCCATGAGAGCTGCAGCTAACTCTCCTTGATTCACAGGACTACATTGTCGAGCGAGTATGATTCGCATCATTACGCCCCTCTTCTACGAAACCCAAACTGACACCGACGATAGATCCTCCGCAGCCCTGGTTTCCACAGCACGGTCCGTCGAATCCATCGTAAAGTACAAGACCAGAGGCATGGCCGCGATCCGAACGAGCCGCTGCACCCGGGCGAGGCGACAGAACTGCCTGGGGCGAACGAAAACAAGTCCTTCCCTAAATATTTCGTCGAGGAGTTGATGAACCAGTTCCGTGGCTCGCCAACGAACCCGCCGCCGCCACCAGGCCCTCCTCGAAAGCCGAGATGAACCTGAACTTGCGACGAGTTGGTCAACAATAATGTGCAGCAAGAGGGCTCGCGAAACAAGGCATTCGCTACTCCTCGAGACATGTGTCAAATATTGGATCGCCCCGTTGGACGGCGAGAATGGCACTGCTCTGAGCCGATGACGAAATAGACGCGTCTTGCAGTACCCGAGCAGCATTTCCTGCCTTTCCTGTGCCTGCGGACGTCGTGCCCAGTAACAAAGGAACTCAGAATTCCCCAGGAAATTGGACAGATCTGTGTGTTACGGAAATGGCGACCGAGATCGTCGAAGCGCGCAAGACCATCGGGTGGTTACACGGCCTGAATCCAACGAAGGGAATCCCATGACAACGGCCGTAGTGGTTCAAGACAAGCTGGAAAGCTAAAGGAAAGCTACGAGGATCGTCGCTACAGTACTTGCGACATGTCACTGGCTTGGTTTCATCGAAGGTGAATGTTTCGGTCGGTCATGTTGGATACCAGAGCAATGTTTTCAAACAACAAACGAATAAGCATACTCCTCTTCACGATGCATCCGAGTCCTTGCGAGAGCCCTTCTTCCAGACCTCCTCAACTGGGCATCCTGGGTTTCCAATACATTCCCAGTGACCAATTCCATATTCTTCCGGTGCGACCCTGCACCCTCTGCCGCCACCCCCGACAATAAGATTTCCGGGGCGGTACGACTTGTCCGCACGCATCCTCCGAATCACACTCCCATGCACCTTCACGTCATCGGGAATGTCACGAACCTCTCCGCCAGGCAAGGGCCAGCGGATTGGTTTCCAACTGCCGTCCGCCTGTAGGTCCATCCGGCGGAAGGGCATGTACTCCATGATCTTCCATGCCAGCACCGACGTGTAGCTCATGCCGCAGTCGTGGCTGAGAGAGTCATGGGTGCGAGCAATATGGGCCTTATGCATCAGCTCATGGAAAGGATTCTGCTGAGGCTTTTCAGCTCCATTAGTATGACCAGTGCCGTTACTGGTGAAGTTCAATCTGGATTCATCTTCCGCATCCGGTGAGACTGGAGGGCTTGACGGGTCGACGCGGATGTCCGGGACAGCAGTATGCTGTTGGTCTGCGGGCGCAGGCTCACAATCCAAGACATCAGCACATCCCATGGCAACGACCTTCTCAGTGTCAAACTGCAGGCCAGCCTTCATCGCTTCACGCACCAGCCATACAAGTGGCACATGGCTAGTGCTTTTGGTACCCGATTCAACTGGCCACCCGCCACCAACATCGCCGTGGCCTCCAGCGAACCACACTTCATCGATGTCTTGTTCCGCCTCATCGTCCGATTCTGGCTCCTCGCCGTCATCGCCAGGCCCAGTCTGGGACAGGTTAGAAGCTCCATCATCGGCCGTACTACGCTTGGTCCGGGACTTTGAGCGAGTGTGCCTTCGATACGGCGCGGGCTGTCCGAGCTCATCCTGTCCTGGCACATCGAGCTGATCGGCCTGTGAACGCCGCCGGCCACGGTCTTCTTTGTGCATCGTAATGGCTCCTTTTTCAGTCAGACCTAGCTTTGGCCGATGGCGGTACTTCTCACGGATGCCATGTACCACCTGATTCTTCCTGTCATGCTGGTCGGCATGCTGCTGTTGTTGCTTCTTATTTCCTTGGCTCTGGTACATAAGGTCCTGTCGAAATTTCGCCCTCCGTTCATCGATGCTGACAGCATGACGAATGACTTTGGCCGAACTGCGCGCCGTGTACGGGAACTTACTCCTCTGCATCCAGGCTGTCTCAAACTTCGGGACTGAATTGACGGTGTCAAACAGCCCCAAAAAGCGAATTCTTCTGACAGGGCGGCTAAAAGTCTCGCGAAAGCCCGTCATAAACTCATACATCTCCGCCTTCTTCTTCCTGCCTTCGATGTCGCCCTCGCCAGCCGTCTGGCGGCACTGCCACTGCGAGAAGGCTTTCCACGCGAACGCGACCATCTCCTCGTTGCCGTGTGACAGCAGGCCGACATAGTCGAGCATCTCGGCCAGGAAGCGCGCGATGTACGCGCCGCGGCTGAAGCCGAAAATGTAGATTTCATCGCCCGGCGAGTAGAATCGCATCAGGAAGCGGTACCCGCCCACGACATGCTGGTCGAACGACGAGCCCACCGCACTGTCCTTGCTCTTCATGTACCACGAGCGGATCCGGGAACGCAGCGAGGTGTGCGAGAGGGACTTGGATACCACATAGGTGCCAATCCCGGCTGCACGAGCCGAAAGTCCGGAGTTAGCTCGTCTGATGTCTGCAGCTACTATTGGGGGCCTTGTGGTTCTGCTTACGCTGATAATAATGATACTGGTCATCTGCAGTTCGATCTAGCATTCTGAATATCTTCAAGATGTTTGAATCGCTCTCGTTCCCATGGAACTTGTTGCCGGTCCCATCGAAACACAGTACGAGCTTCCGGGGCTTGTGTCGTCGCCCCGGGGCTGCGCTGACGTTTCTGTGCATCGTGGGTCTCGCACTGGGGCTAGGTTCTCTGCTGGGTGCAGGAGTAGAGAGGAAGCCAGACCGGGCACCTCCATGCGTGTCTGGTTTAAGATAGGGACCAGAAGCCTGACCGCCTCCTTCACCAGTGGCTGTCCCCGTGTTGCGAGGAAACGCCTCTTGCGCTGCCGCCATCTTGAGTCGTGTGTTGGGTGGCTGTCTTTGTCCAATGATACGGAAGATCTCACTCTATGCCGCACCTCGCGTACATGCCCAGTTGAGCGATGAGGGGTCGGAGACACTGCATGCCAGTGGTACGAGCATCGATTTACAAATAACCTTTCCTCGGCCTCAGATCACCACTCATCCCGTCTCACCGGTGAATGCGTGGCCAGACGCCCATCGATGCTGATACCCAATCCCGTTGGCTGTTGATTCGGCGTTACTCTCGACCATTGATCTATCACAAGCTGATGACGCATTTTAAGCCAGCCGCTTGAAAGCCAGGGCGCTCCATTGTTCCCAGATCAGCGATCAAGGCCAAGTAGCGGCTGAACATCATGGAAGACGATATTTCCCGAACGGGTTCTGCGCAGGCACGAATTGGAGATCGCCTGCATGTCTCGGCTCAATTTCCAAGATTTGCTTGTGCCAGTCAGCCACACGCAGGACCCTTACTGTAATTGATGTGCGATTCTGACATGGTGTACAGGGAGGGGTTCGGGAAGCGTACCCATTGGTCACTCCAGAGCCATGTTTGCCATCAAGGGTCGCTGGCGACATATTCGCCATGACACCTTGTCTTCGATCGCACGGCTCTTCGCGGCGCTAGGGAGCCGGGACGGCCCAGCGACTTCGACCTGCTCCGTTCCAACAAAGAACAGACGATCCCCGCCGGTCCCACGCCGTCCTACAATGATATGCGCCAGTTAGGCCGGAGGCTTGCTTCTTCTGGGAACACTTGCACCTCATTCCTCGGACGGCTGCAGCTGAGAGATAGCCTCGCTTCGGCATTTCTTTTAGCATCGTACATCCAGCCCTTGGCGTTTTCTCAGCCTTTATCCACTTCGATTCGATGGATCTGCATGTTTATTCTGACCGCGAATCATATTCGAGGCGATCCATATCGGTCAAGCGTGGCTGGTCTCATCGCAGCTGAGGACGGGTGATCATCACTGAGAAGAGCACCGGGGGAAGCGACCTTTCAACAACGGACGACCGACGCAAAGCCACGTAACCCAGCTCAACTGGCACGGCATACGGGCGTCCACCGCTCGAGTGGCCCCCAGATAAGACACACACAAAGAAACCATTAGCTGGGCTGGCTTGGGTGACTGATCGACACCCACAACAGCATCCCTGACCACTCGGATCATGCCATCGTCATCTCGATGGGTGACAAGGCTCCAGGCGGGGTTGTAATACTTGATGTCAAGGCGGGACACGCATTTACCGTGGGCTTTGAGGGCGGAAGTGCGCTTTCCGAATCGCTTCCCTCAAAGCAACATTGCATCAACTTGGACCACGATCAGGATTGTCAAACTCGAAAGAAGTGACTTAGACCTGCTATATCTCATCCCATACACACCTTCGACTACGTCTAATGAAGGTGTTCATTTGATGTTCTACAGGTCGTAGATTACGAGAAAAACCACCTCGTCTCCTCATCTGAACATTTCTGGGGTATACCTAAGATTTAGCCCATGTACACCCAAAATGGCACCTCACTCAGAAGCAACAAACGGCGCGAGTGGCAATTACGGCGTGCTTGAATCAAGATCGAACTCAAAGCCCGTAAATGAGTTCGCATCTCCTTCTGGAGGAGACGCGCCATTGGCAACTGCACAGCACCACAAACCGCTGGGAGCTGACCGCGATGGCGTCACGGCTGCTTTCAAACGGTTTGCACAATCCATTCATGATCCTCGACGACCTTTGCCCACGCAAAGTGGGGATGGGACGCTGAGTACGAGGAGGACGCAGACCGGACTGAAGGTGGATTTGAAGCATCTTGGGTGGAAAGGTATGAGCAGTTCTAAATTGACTTCCACAAGCGAACATGGACTGACCATTGAGAAAGATGTCAAGACTCTGGTAGATCTCGTCAAGAGCAAGATCCACAGCACTGAGCCACTCGATGACAAGACCATGCTTATGGAGCGCATTATTATGATAGTCGCTGGGCTTCCCACTAGGTCTAGGACTCGAGTGTTGCTGACAGATCAGTTCATCAACGAGCTATGGTATAGTCTGGACCATCCAGTGCTCAATTACATCGGCGACAAGTCCATGTACCGCGCCGCGGATGGCTCCAACAACAACCAGCTATTTCCATCAATGGGCGCAGCGGGCACAACATACGCCCGCTCGGTCCGTCCTACTATCATGCCTCCTGGTGCCTTGCCCGACCCGGGGCTAATTTACGACTCGGTGATGAGACGCTCCGACAGTGGGTATAAGAAGCACCCCAACAATGTCTCAAGCATCCTGTGGTATTGGGCCACCATCATCATTCATGATCTCTTCTGGACAGACTTCCGCGACATGACAAAGTCCAAGACATCGTCGTATTTGGACTTATCACCGCTGTATGGCAGCAACCAGGAGATGCAAGACACCATCAGAACGTTCCGCGACGGGATGCTCAAGCGTGACGCGTATGCTGACAAGCGGCTCAATGGTATGCCGGCGGGTGTTTCTGTCCTGCTGATCATGTTCAACCGGTTCCACAACCACGTCGCCAAGAACCTCGCACTCATTAATGAGGGCGGTCGTTTTACGCCACCTCCTGGTCCGCGACCGGGTTTATCTGATCCACAGCCGGTCAACGACGACAAGGAACAAGATGAAGCCCATAGGACGAGTGAGGCCGCGTGGAAGAAATACGATGAAGACCTCTTTCAGACAGCTCGACTCGTCACTTCTGGGCTCTACATCAACATCACGCTGGTGGACTACGTCAGGAACATCGTCAACCTTAACCGCTGTGACACAACCTGGACACTAGACCCTCGTCAAGCGATGGGCCGTGATGCCGGCACCACTAAAGGCGCCGACGCTGGCACGGGCAACGTCGTCTCGGCCGAGTTCAACCTGTGCTACAGATGGCACAGCTGCATCTCCGAGAAGGACGATCGCTGGATCCAGAAGTTCTATGCCGAATTGTTCGGAAAACCCGCCACCGAGGTCGGCATGCAGGACATGGTTATGGGCTTTGCAAAGTTTGAGAAGAGTATCCCTGAAGATCCTGCGGAACGAACATTCGCGGGTTACCAGCGTGACCCGGCCACTGGCAAGTTCAACGATAATGATCTTGTGGAATGCATTACGGAAGCCATCGAAGACTGTGCCGGGGCTTTCGGCGCGCGCAACGTGCCGGTGTCCATGAGGCCCGTGGAGATCCTGGGCATCCTCCAGGCTAGGAAGTGGCACGTCGCAGGACTAAACGAGTTCCGCAGGCACTTCGGACTGAAGCCTTATGAGACCTTCGAGGAGCTCAATTCTGACCCTGAGGTCGCCAGCTGTCTTCGCCATCTTTATGAGCACCCCGACTTTGTGGAGCTTTACCCCGGCTTAGTGGCGGAGGAAGCCAAACAGCCGATGGTGCCTGGCGTGGGCATCGCCCCAACGTACACCATCTCCCGCGTCGTGCTGAGCGATGCTGTCGTCCTAGTCCGAGGCGACAGGCACTACACGACCGACTACAGCCCCCGGGCACTGACAAACTGGGGCTTCAACGAGGCGCAGTACGACCTGAACGTCAACCACGGCTGCAATTTCTACAAGCTGTTCATCCGGGCCTTCCCCAACCACTTCAAGCAGAACTCTGTCTACGCGCACTACCCCATGGTCATCCCGCCCGAGAACCGCCGCATTCTGACCTCCCTCAAACGCGCCGAGCTGTTTACTTGGGACCGCCCGGCGTATAGCCCTGCTCGTGTGGACGTTGAGTCTTCTGGCGGCTACAAGGAGGCGCTGGGAAATGCTGCAAAGATCCAGCAGACCTGGCGCGAGGGAATTAGCTCACTCCTAGGCAAGAGTGGTATTCGTTCCACGGTCAAGGCTGACTCGTCCTACTCTAATGGAGAAAAGAATGGTGTGCAGAAGTCGTCCCCCGGCGGGCTCTCGGAGGCGACCAAGGGATTCTACAAGCAGACCACGGAGCGGGTACTCAAAGAGAAAAGCTACGTGCTTGGCGGTATCCGCATGGTTGACGTTGTGCGAGACGTGAGCAATGTTGTGAATGTCAGTAGCTTTCTTACCTCCCTTGCCATTTGTGAGAAGCGTCTGTAGTTGACTTCTTCTACTTAGGTACACTTTGCCTCGCGGCTCCTTAACCTACCTCTCAAGACCGCATCAAGCCCAAAGGGTATCTACACCGAAGAAGAGCTGTACGCCGTACTAGCACTAATATTCATCACCATCTTCTTGGATGTTGATCCCGTGAAGACATTCCCCAACAGGCAGGCGGCGAAGACTATCAGTGAGCAGCTAGGCAAGCTCATTGAGACCAGCACAGGTCGATCGTTCAAGAGCTACTTCTCCAGCGGCAAAACAGATTCGGTTCATAGTCAAGGCACAGACATGATCAAAGCCTGGGGCAAGGGCGGAATGAGTGCGTCCGATGTTGCTTGGGGTCACATTTTGCCCACAGCTTGTCACCTGGTGCCAATTCAGGGCATGTTGGTGAGTCAAGTATTCGACGTGGTCGCAATAAGCTACTTGAGCTTGAGCTAACTTGATGACAGTTTGCCCAAGCGGCCGACTTCTACCTATCCCCAGCAGGCAAGGAACACCTACCGAAGGTTCAAGCACTTGCCCGTGAAGCATCCTCAGGTCAGAATGACAAGCTGATCCTGGGCTACATTATGGATGGAATCCGGTTGTCAAGACGCACTCCTACACCAGAAGATACTCTTGACTCTGATGAGTCACAGAAGATCACCCCTACGAGGGCCCTGGATGAACATCCCGACTACGGACTGGGCTCCAACCCTCACCTGGCGCGTGACGTACACATGGCGGCCCTGACGGAGATGTTCCGAGTGGTCTTCAGCAAGAAGAACCTCCGCCGCGCCCCAGGCCCACAGGGCGAACACAAAAAGGTTGCCCAGGAAGACGGATCCTGGGCGTACCTGACCGAAGACTGGAGCAGCATTTCGCCTCTGCCGACATCGATGCGGGTGTGCTGGGATGAGAACTAACTAGACGCGGCCAGGCACGCGGGTGCGACCTAGGCACGGCAGATCCCTCGGGTGGTGGAAAGACGTTGCACCCAATTTCCGGGGAGGGAACTATAACAGGATTCTATTAATGTCATGATATCCAGTCCAACTGTACCCGCCACCTGCCCGCATATCCACACGAACACGCGGAAATCTCTTTTCCTTGCACCGGTGTGTTATTCCCGGTCTGTAGCGCATTATTGCAGGTGACAAATTTCCTGGCTTGCTACGCACTGCTGCTGCCGTAGCATTCGACCGAGTTTGTTCCTGAAGCTCTGCCTTTACGTTTCCGATTCATGTTTCAGCTCCCAGCCTTATATGTGATGCGTGGTCGATCCCATTCATTTCCTCAGCGTGTGATTCTGCCCAAATACCGTCGCACCCGAATGCACGGTGCGCGCGAGACGAAAACTTTGTCCCTCGTCAGCACGCATCCTTCCGTTCGTGGGTCCCGCGTATCCCCCCGGCGAACGTACTGCACGTTATCTTTGTAGCCGCCGAACCCCCAGGTGCGATATGGCACCTAGACATATAGAATAGAGCTGCCGAATCAACGAGCAGGGATCCGGATGTGAGCCTATCCGGAAGGTTACCGCGGTGCAACTGTACACGGCCCGCCGGGAGCCTGGGCGAGGCCGTGTTCGACTGCTGTGGGATCGACCCAGGCAATAAGATATAGAGCTACACATCTCGGCCGAGAGCTTGTTTTGGTTGCCTTGGGCGCTAGACGCGCACACCAACCAACCAACCAACCACCCACAACACGAGATGAAGGCACGTCCACACTTCGACCTGCCAAGTGCTTGTCGTCCGCGCCCGGTGGTCCCGCGATTGACAGCGTGAACGGACCGTGATCAACATCATGTTTCTTCCCTTCATAATCTATCTGTATCAGCGGTCACCCCTGGAGAAGGTCGCACACGAGTAACTTTCGCCCTGAGGATTTCGAACATTGCACGGCGGGCGCGATGAAGGTCCCCAGAGAGAACATCAAGTCCACCGGGCTGAACGTGATTTACGAGCCAGACGTTCGCACTGATGTGAATCTCGAGTATGAATTCCTCGTTTAAGGTCAATTTAGAGTCTTTTCTGACTTGATGCAGCATCGTTTTCGTCCACGGGCTGGGAGGCCACGCGGTGAGGACATGGCTTCACACGCCAGCCCGCACGGTCCCGGCCAAAGAGCCGGTATCGACAGATGTCGCTCCGTCACAGGAGCAGCCAGCGCGAGCCATGTCCATGAAGTATTTGACGTCTCCAAACCAGAAGAAAGGTAACACGCTGAGGAAGCCCCGTACCGGCGAGGCATCGCCGCGATTACGAGTGTTTGGCTCGCCGTTCCGCCCGCGATCGGTAGACCTCTCGGAAGGCCTTGGGAGATCTAGAGAGGAGATTACGGTTTCGAGGTCAATCAGGGCCCCCAGGCAAGGTTCCCGCCGTGAACGTCGCGCCCCAGCGCCAAGGAGACCGGTTTTCGAGGAATGGGCCGACGAAGAGGACGAGATCGACGGGATGAGAGGCCGAGGAACTTTCTGGCCTTCCGACCTGCTCCCGGACTTATGCAGCGATGCGAGGGTGTTTACCTGGGGATTCCAGACCCGCAAGGCCGACGGGCAGCTCGTTCCGGGGCAGCTGGATATTTTCAGCCGAGGGAGGGAACTGCTCAGCGATGTGCACGACTTGCTCGCTTCGTACGGTGAACATGGCCAGCGTCGAGAGGTGGTCTTCGTAGCCCACAGCACGGGCGGGATAATTGTCAAGGAGGTCAACACGCGAGCCCCCCAAGATTCACCCGGTGATTTCCACCTGAGCTGACATTTATTCCAGATGCTGCGTCTCGCCTACGCGTACGAAGACACCCACTGCGAGCCCTTACTTGCATCGATAGCAGGTATAGTCTTCATCGGCTGCCCGATGAGGGATTCAGCTAGTGGTACCATAGTAGAGGCCATGAAGAGCATGGCAGCCGCGGCGATCGGTGTCGAGATGCACGACCATTTTCTCCAGGAACTTCTCGGCGGAGAGACATCCCTAGCTTACGAGGGCCGTGATGCATTTGAGGAGATACGGCGAGAATACGGGTTCCAGGTGAGGATCTATCGAGAGACCATCGTCATTCCGCCCGTGGACGACACATTATGGCCATGGGTAGCTCTGGCACTCCGTCGCGACTCGGAATTGTTGGAGAGTGCAGCGGAGAACACCGAGTATATCGAAGCGGACCACCTGAGCATGTGCAGATTCCCGTCGTCGGGGCATGATGGCTATCGCTCCATCTCTTCGTTCCTCCTCAGGCTGGTGCACCATCAGCTGCTTAGAGTAAGAGACTCCATTTTCTCTCGCGGTGCAATGTTAATCTGAAAGACTGCTCACGGCCCATCTCATACAGAAGCACCACTTGACACCGGAAGAGAAAGTCGCCCTGCAATCACTCTCAGCACCTGGGAGCACAATAAGTCAGCCTTTCGAAGCGCCAACACCACCTTTACTTTCTCCTGATGTGCCCACTCGTAAAACACCACCCTGGATTCTCAAACATCCAGCCTTCGAATCGTGGTACCACCGCAAGAACCCTCAAGACCGCCACAAACTCCTCTGGCTGCACGGTCCGGCAGCGTGCGGCAAGTCTGAGCTCCTCTCGTCCATTATCTCGCACATCGCGACCGAGTGGTCGCCTGCAACCCACAGCAGCGCCATCATCACCGCCGTCGCAGAGGGCCAACCACTGCTCGAGTGGGTGATCCAAAAGTCAGACGGGGCAGATAACCAAATACACAATCGACACAGCTATATCACCACACCTCCGGAATACACGGACAAAAGCGGCAGCCGTACCACCACCACCAGCAGCAGTGCCACCACCACCACGCCCACGAGTGGCCCGACACATGAAACAGCCACCCCCCTGCGTGCCATTCTGCAGCAGCTGTGGGCGCACGACCCGCGGCTGCGGAACCTAGTGGGTGGGCAGGCCAAGGCATCATCCCTGCTGGGCAAGGGCGCAGATTCATGCGGCGGGCCAGCCAGGACGCACAGTGACGCCGGGGCCCAGCAGCCGCGGCCGCAGGCGTCCAAAGTCTATTCTCGGCGGCCGAACAGTGGTCCCGGCGACGGGCATGGTGCTGTTACTTATAATAATAAAGAGGGCAGTAGTAGTCAGGGGGCCCAGCTATTCCGGGCACAGCTCGGTGATGCCGGCGACGCTAAGGAGGGAGACCGGACTGCAATTGAGAAGCACAGCACTGGTGATGATAATGATGATGATGACCACTCCTGCAGCCCCGAACAGAGGTACCTCGACGACGCGCGCGTCGTCTCGTTCTTCCTGGAGGACTACCTGCGACTCGAACTGCCCCAGACCCGAGCACAGGCCAGCGAGGAGGGCAGCCGTGCGGCGGGAGTGAAAGCCAAAGCTTCAGCCGAGGAGGAGGAGGAGGGCGACAACAATAGCGATCACCCCAGCGCTGCTGCCGCCGACCTCCCACTAGATACGGCCCCTACAAAACCAGCGGCGGTCGTCCGCACCCCAGGCACGCGGCGCATCTTCGTCTTCGTCGACATCGCGCCCACGACCACCAGCGCCACCGTGCGCGACCTCCTGTGGTGCCTGAGCCAGCTCGCCCGGCGCAGCACCACGCTGAGCATCTGCGTCGCGTCGGCGCACGCCCCCAGCAGCAGCATGGCCGTCAAGTACAAGGACGCACGCGCGGACGCGTACGCCGCCGCCAGCGGGCTGCGCAGCCCGCTCAGCGAAAATGCGTCGGTGGACGAGGACACGATGCTGACGGTGGACGTGCCCCGGTCCAACGCCGAGGACGTCGCGGACTACATCGAGGCGAACCTGCTCCCGGACATTGAGGACCGGGCCATTCTGGCGATGAAGCTGGCCGAGAGGTCGCGCGGCGTCATGTTCTGGCTCGAGCACGCGGTTGCCATCGTCAACGACGCCAGCGAGGACGGCGTCTCGGGGGAGATTGTGTGCAGCATGCTGGACGACATTGCGCCTGCGTCGAGGAACGACTCACTGGCAGCAGGGTCGAACCCCACGCCGCCGTCTTCGAGGGGCCGCAGCGGATCGTCGTCGTCGGCTATGGCTTTTAGTTCAGACCCTGGCCAGGCGAGGCTGGACGACTTGTATGCTTGGAAGCTGCGGCGGCTGAGCGTGGGCGAGGCGAGGGCTGCGCTGGTGCTGATGCAGTGGGTTATGCTTGCTCCTGAGGCGCTGCGGCTGAATGAGCTGCTGGTCGCGATACGGCTGACCATGTTGGTCTGGCCACAGAATGGTGGTGAGGCTTATGGTCAAGGCGGAGACTTGGGAGTGAAAGCACTCGACATCGAGCCACCGATGAGCCTGAGGGACCTGCGACGAAGGCCAACCGGAGGAGCAGAGGACGTGCCGGCAGATAGCCCATCACAATTTTGGAGATGGGCGCGACGAATATCGCAAGGGCTGGTGAAGCTCGAAAGCGAGACGAGGAGCACGACCAACAGCAGCAACAGCAAGGTCTCATCCGAGCCACTGGGCCTGCAACGCGTACTCCCAGCCCACGAGTCGGTGCGACGGTTCTTCCTCGAAGGACGAGGCTTCCAGATCCTCACACCACCACCGCCCCCATCATCATCATCATCGAGCAAGACAAAACCCCTTCCACCACCAACACCAGACCACCTCATCGACACAGCCTACTACGCCCTGCTACACACATGCCTAGTCTACCTAAACATGACCGACTTCGACTCCCTAAGCCGCACAACCGCACACTCCCGCACCCCCTCCCAAGCCCAACTGACCACACCCTCTTCCGAGCCCCCCTCCGAGGCAGAAGAAGAATCCACCCGCCTGCACAGGCGCAACACCGAAGCCCAGCGCGCCCTCGTGACGTCCTCGTACCCGCTACTCCGATACACAGTCGACAACCTAACCTTCCACCTGCTCCGGCCGCGCGCCCTGCGCTACTTCCCCCCGCAGGCCCGCCTGCTGCACCTGCTGACCGCCAACGGGTGCCGCATCTGGCGGCGGTGGACGCGGCTGCTCGGCGTGCCGGACAGCGACGGTGCGATATCCTCAACCACACTAACAACCACATCCGCAGCAGACGCCCCAGCCGCGGTGCTAGAGAAGGCGCGCGCCCGCCCCAGCGCCGCCGCCCTGCTGCGCCCCGTGTACGGCGCGGCGTTCCGGCTGGAGCGGGTCCTGCGGCGCGCGAGCAAGACGGCGCGGGAGCAGACTGCGCAGGCGGCGCGGGCGAGGATGCGCGCGAGGATGCAGAGGCAGCGGAGCGCGCGGAGCTTGAAGGGTGGTGGCGGTGGTGGTGGTGGTGGTGACAGGGCGCCTCCTACGCCTAGGACGCCGACGCGGCCGGCGATGGTGCGGTCCGCGAGCGAGTCGAGCGTGGTGTTTGCGCTGATGGGCGGAGGGGACGATACAGGGCCCAAGGCGCAGTGGTTGGTGCCCAGGAGCCCGCGGTCGCCGAGGGTCAGGAGTGATTCGCTTGGTTCGCTCGGGTCGTCGCCGATGTCGAACCCGGCGTCTCCTGTGATGCTTGTTGGGATTCAGGAGGTTTGAGTGGGTTTCTAGTTTGGCGTCCGGAGATTCATAACGAGATGGATATCTTGTGCCTAGGATGGATTTCTTAACTTTGCGACTATATAGAGATTCGCTTGGGAGAATGAATAAAGAGTGTCTCTGTGTGAAACTACCGTGCAACTATTGGTACTTCAGACTTGGTTCAGCACCTTGAGGATACGACAATTTGCATTGCGTCGTGGAAAGATATCTATAGACCATTCTTGACATGGGGTCCAGCAATCATAGGGACACCCGCTTTTCCTTCCCACCCCCACTCATCCTCCAAAGTCGCACGCCTACTAATACAATATTTACAACAAGCTCTCACCCAAAGCACACCTGACCAGACTGCACCCTGCGCGCACCGTCTCGCTGGCGCCAGGGTCGTTCTGAGAGGCGACCAGGCTGGGGTTGACCTCGACCAAGTCCATGGCGATCAGGTTGCCCGTCTCGTGGACGCACTCGGCGATGTAGTCACCCTCGCGCAGGGTCAGGCCGCCGCGCACGGGGGTACCGGTGCTTGGGGCCCATTGGGGGTCGAGGGCGTCGACGTCGAAGCTGAGGTGGATGGGGGTGTCGTTACCGATGTGGGCGAGGGCCATCTCCATCACGCGACCAATGCCGTGTCTGTTTGTTAATTGTTAGCTCTTGTGTCTCCAACAAGCGAAGATCAGTCGAAAGAGTGATTCCTTGTACTCACCTGTCAATGTCAAACATGCTGAATGCCTTGATGCCGTTCTCCCTCAGTATCCTCTTCTCGCCAGCATCAACGTCCCGCAAACCGATGTACACCAGCTTGCGCAGCGACAGACGGTTCGACTCTTCCAGCCAGCCAAAGTACTCCTCCTTGTCCTCGTTGGCCAGCCCCGTCAGGAATGCGACGGGCATGCCGTGGATGTTACCCGACCCAGACGTCTCGGGGGTGTTGATGTCTGCGTGGGCGTCGACCCAGATGACGGCGATCTCGCGGCCGAGCCTCTCGCGGATAGCCTTTGCGGTGCCGCCAACTGTGCCGACAGCGATGGAGTGGTCGCCGCCCAGGGTCAGCACGAGGCGACCCTGGCTGGCGTGGCTGTAGACCTGGTCGGCAATGCGGCGCGTAACGGCGGACACAGCCTTTGGGTTCTTCATGCCGCGGTAGGGCGGGTCATTGCCAGGCGTAGGCACCAGGTCGGTGTAAAGATGGACGGTGTCGTCGCCGTGCAGCTTGTAGCCCAGCTCGTCGCGCAGCTGGGTCAGCAGGCCGGACTCGATCAGTGCCGAGGGGGCGGCGTCGACGCCAGGCTTGCACTGGGTGGAGAATTGGTGTAAGTCGAGGTTAACAAGGGCAGGGGGGAAGAGGGGCAGGGAGAGAAGTAAGAAGATCGTACCTGTCCACCAGAAAATCCCACAGCTACCACACCCAGGTCCTCCGGGTTAGACAGGAACTTGGCCTTGATCATGCTGGTGTTGAGTTCCTTGTAGTGGTTGTAGTGGCCGTACGAGACGCTGGCCTTGCGCTTCTTGTTGGCGCTGCCGTTGCTATCGCCAGCCGCGACGGCAGTGCGGTCTTCAAGGGTTGGAGGGACCATGATGGGTGGTATTTGAAGGGAAAGTGGTGGTTAAGTCTATTACGGGAAGTGACTTTATTCCTGAGGAATCCTGAGGAAGAGGAGCAGGAGAAAGAGGCGGTGGTGTCTTCCTGTCTGACCGACCGACTGACTGACTGACGGCGCCGTTCGGCTCGGCTTTGCGGGCCTAAGGGAGACGGGCAGTGGTGGTCTAGTACGGTACAGTTCAGTAGCTCGCGGGATTGACGTTGGGACGTTGCTAGGGCGCAACGCAACAACCTTGGGTAGTTCGGGAGGAGCTTTGAACACCCCTTTGGCGGCAGGCACGAGGTGGACTGAAGCTGGCTGGCTTGTGATGATCAGCTGCCTGCCAGTGTTTTTGACTGTCTGATTGATGACGACGGTGAAGACTGTTGTCGTGGGGGTTGTGCTGTGCTGGCTGAGGGATAGAGAATGTGTGTGAATTATCGACAATAGATATCAGATCTCAATTGCATCGCATTGCACTGCACTGCTCTCTGCCGTCTATGTGCCGTCAACCCATCTCGAACGAGAAGGAAAGGCGGGAGTCAGCCATCCTTTAAATAGACAGAGACTCAGAGACCCAGAGGGGCAGAGACAGAGACTGCCAGGTCAACAACAGGAATGAGAATGGGCGTGGGCATGGGCATGGCATGGCATGGGCAATAATCGGCCAACGGAATGGGACGGGTGAAAGGGGGCGCAGGACCAGAATGCGTGCAAGGAGTGCAAGGAGCGAATGGCCAGCTGACCGACCGCCTATCTGCCCTCCGCAGGCGCCATTTCGTAACAAATTGAGTAAGATCAAAGTCAGACCAAGAAGGGGCCGTGATGATTTTTCGTGGTGTTGTCCCCTAAGTGCAGGAGATGGCTATACCTGCACTTAGGGGAAACTCCAGTCGCGCCCAGTCGCACCCAGGCTGGGTCCCCGTCTGGGGCTGCCCTTGTCCCCCTCCGCGACTGGGCGTCCCCCTCCGTCATCGGGTCCCACCTGCTGCTCTCGGCTGCAACTCGCTCCACTCTTTTTCTTATCAATCCACACCTTCCCTCCTTAGGACTGACTGCCCACGACAGCCATTGCCTACCACTGCGCTTGTAAATGCCGTATCCAGCCGCTTCCACATTTTACCGTCTCTTTTTCTTACTTCCCACCAATGTTCACCTTCAACAACAGATCACGATCAACTGGCATAAATGGTTGCCCTCTCCTACAGATGCAACCACTATAATATATCTGCTCAATTCATTTGTCACCGCTACGACCATCATCTTCCACTCTACCCTCCCATTTCAGCCGGTATTTCATTCTACCGTATGCTTACCATTGTAGTATTTATGTGATGATGAAAATATAAAGACTGTCCTTGAACTGCAGCCAACGTGTTCTTCTCTGCCAATTGGACTCGAGATCTTCCAGGTAACAGAGCCTTGAGTGCTGACTGACTGGGGATGTGGCCATGCTCTGTTCAAACTACCAAAAAAGAATTAGAACCCTTCGAGACGAATGTAAGCCTAGGACATGGTTTTCTCTTCCTTGCCGCTCCTTCAGAGATGTTTAGAAAGGCAACATGCCACTCTGCCTTCTGATAAAAGTCTTCCAACCACCTAGGTATCTAATACCGCAGCTCTTTCTACACAGGACAATACGGATGATCGAGTAATGTACAGTCAATTCTGTGTTATCCCGCATCTCGAGCGTCGATGCCTGGTTTTCCATGATGGCAATGCGCGGAGTCTTCAGCAGATGTAGATATCTGATGACTGCCTCTGTCTACCCTCGAGCCGTTCTTGGAGGCTTGCTCATCAGATGGATAACAGTCAAGTGGTCTCTGCAGCAGTACAAAACAGGCGACGGCTCAGCAGAGGTTTGATTCTTGCTCACAAAGCCCTTTTCAGTACAAGAATTATTTGATTGTGCGACCAGAATTGATATGACGGGTGTCACTGGGGCCGTTTTTGCTCTTCTTCTTAACGCACACTACAACGCCGAAGTGCTGGCTTAGAAGATTGCAATGCAAGCTGATGTAAGATGCTCCGTCTTCCGGCCTTCGTCGTACAAGTGCGGCTGAACTGCCACTTATTTACATCCCCGACGTCAAGCTTGTTCATTACCATCCGCCGCACGTTGCGCAATTCGCGTACGCTGTGATGGATCCTTTTCGAGGCGGCCCGGTTGTCGGCAGTCGACAAAATTTACGTCCTGAGCCAGAGCTAGATCAGGATGGCACCTCTCGCCGTGCATCGCCCAGTCTAGAAGCAGCCGAGGAAGCACTTCGCACATGCGACAACGCTCATAATTGTAAAGAACAGAGCGGCTTGACAGCACCCACGCGACTGCTAGATGTCGGCCAAGATGAATCAGACCAGATCAAAGTGATCATATCCGCGGAAGAGGACGAGCTGAACCAGAAAACCTCGAAGGCTTACGCAGCTCTGTCATACTGCTGGGGAACCTGTCCCGCCTTCAAATCAACCCAGTCTAACCTATCTAGTCGTACGCGAGGATTTTCACTATCTGAGATGCCCCTCACTCTCCAAGACGCCGTGCAAGTTACAAGGAGGCTGGGCCTTCAGTATCTGTGGGTCGATGCATTGTGCATTCTCCAGGACTGCAAACAAGACTGGCAGCGGGAGTCTGCGCGGATGGGAGATGTGTACGGCCATGCATACATTACGATTTTTGCGTTCGCCGCCCGAGACTGTGAGGGAGGCTTGTTCTTGCCTGCGGAACAGATTTCCCAAGCAGCATCCCCGTACATCTATCGGATCGAGCCACGTTTCATGGATGAGCCACTCAACCTCCGCGCCTGGGCGTTGCAGGAATGGTACTTGTCGCCTCGCAGGTTGATGTTCACGTCCTGCGGCCCCATTTTCGATTGTCTACACGGCCCGGAACATGAATATATATGTCCATTCTCGAACGTTTACAGCCACAGGCCTCTTCCGACTTGTGAACTGAAACCTTTGGATTGGCAAATGATGGTCATGAACTATTCTACTCGGGATCTAAGTCATACCTCGGATAAGCTCCATGCCATTGCGGGCCTGGCGGGGCAATTCGACAGACTCTCAAATGGTCGAAACGGGCGTTATCTTGCTGGGATCTGGGAGGCCCATCTGCCTTGTTCACTACTCTGGGTGCGCTATAACGAACCAACACCAGTCCGAGCAATTGTCGATAGAGCACCTTCCTGGTCCTGGGCCTCAATCGATGGGCCCATCAACTTCGTCGGTTTGCGGGAAAGGGGAGATTGGGAAGTCACGGCGCAGATACTTAGCTGTGATCTACACCTTGCCGTAGAGGAAGAGCCCCTTGGGCCAGCAACTTGCCGTCTCCGAATTCGTCACCCTATGAAGTCACTACCGAAGGACGGCTTGAAGGTGGTTCCGAATTTACTGCTGAGATTTAAAACGAAGGAAAAAGTTATCGATGCCGAACTTCGATTGTATTCTGAGGGAAGTTTGGCTGTCAGCATATGGGGAGATGAAGCGATGAATCCCTTTGTAGAAGGTACAGATGCTCTGCATTTCTGCGCTATAATGAAGAGTAAAGTTGAGGCTCGGTTCTGGGGACTACTACTGGTAGAGGTAGATCACGCTACTTTCCAGCGTATCGGATGCGGGTGGTGTATAGCATCATGGTTTGAAGACGCTGTTGAACGCGACGCAGAGATTATTTGAAGCATAATTTCGCTTTTATCCATGGTCCATGTGTGGGCATGTGGCAAGTCTATACAACATGGCCACCACAATGCTGAATAGCGCCTGAGGAATTGCTTCATGCAGCACTCAGTTGGCAGCGCCCCCCGTTGAGTTAAGCCTCCATCGGACCATGGAATATTTTAATGGTGAAATTCATTGGATGAAAGTTGTCATGCGCTGCAAAACGGGGCACAGCAACGGCCTTATATATATGAGTTGATGACCTTGCCAAGCCCTAGATCGCAGTGTTAACGCAGGCTTCCGTGGTCAACCATGATTGAAACAGCAAATTGTTACATATTTATTCCCACTATAGGCGAATTTTGTGTATTTAACAAGCCCTCTACAAAACGTATTGAAACAGGCTTCATGCCTGGGTATCCCCTGACCCGCGAACAACCGAAATACAACGATGGTTTTATGGTCGAACTTGAAGACGTATTTGATAAGATTGGCCTTTATGGTCCCTCTATTTTCCATCAAGTCTGAAAACTCAATGAGCTTGTATTCACAAATTTTCAAACCATATAATGCGTTTCTGGGAGTGTGACTGAGCCTACTTGCCTCATATTTCCGAATAAGAACTCCACCGCCTGCTTGCGCGGAGGTGTGTCTTTCTCTGTAGCAAGACACAAAATTGTAATTCTTGGCGTGTTTGTGGCATTTAAGGTTTCAGATTCTAGCGTCAGGAAAATTATAATACCATCTGATCAACTACGTAGGCAACAGTCTGGTCCGTTGGTCTTGATGGGCCCAACCCTGGCATCGTTTGTCCGCTCAACTTGCATCTCATCACATCACTGGTATGGAAACAAGCCACTTGAGCTTTGTAACTTAGGGTGTGAGAATATCTTGGCAGTAATTGTTGACGATCTGTCTTGTGACGGTTAATCCCTGGTTCCCATAAGCGGGTTGGTTGATGAGTGCCTCATGTTGAGCGTTGGTTACCCCAGGATTTAGGCAGAAGGCGCACCGCCGCAATGAGTCCCTCCGAAACAATCGCATCATTGTCGCCCTGGATAGGCTATGGATGCTTCAATTGAAGTGTTCGATCGAACTTTAAATTTGACAGCTTTCTCTGTTAAGACCATCACTCTCTAAAGATGGCATCAAAATTGGACTGCGTTCCACCAGAGATCCTCGTGCGCATTGCGGGGATCCTCGACACTGCGCACCCAGCCAGCCTTCTGGCCTTTGCGTGCGCCAACAAGGGATGCTATGTCATTGCGAGTGTTTTTTTGTACCGTACGATCAAGATCACCATCGATGAGGGGCAGCAGCTAGCACATGACGTGAAAACCTTGGAGATGATGCTTCAACGTGACGACAGCTTTGCACACGTTCGCCGCCTTATCCTCCTCTGCAAGAGCCCAGGGACACGCTATCGCTACATATCGCTCGACCCGTGCGAGCGAATGGAGGATGATCTGAAACTACGAGGATGCTGGGATCTCTACCGCTCAGAATCGCATCTATGGCCGTCCAACACCGGCCGCATAGCTGACAGTAGGTGGCAACAGCTTGGCCGCTTGGTGAGGCAGCTCCCGGGCCTTACCGATCTATTCTGGGCCAGTCCTCAGAATCTCCAGTTTCCGCCACCCTTATTACAGGCACTACACGAGGACATACCGCGATGTCGTCTACATCACTATAGCTTTCACCTAGACAGCTTAGATGGGGAATCTAGCCACCCTCATGACCTCGCCACTGCCAGATCCCCTTGTCTATACAGTATTGGAGATTTGTGGCACTGCGATCACACAATGCTCTTGGCGGCAGTGCAAAGATTGCGGCCTCCGCGGTTGAAGAGGATATACCTCTGGAAGAATAGCAGTGGGATCGGGTGGGATTCAGATAAGTGCCAGAGGCCGCAATCCGTGCTTCGCGAGCATATTCAGCTGGACGGGCCAGAGTCTCCCCGTTCTGTGCCAACCGACTTAGTGTCCACTCGAACATTCGGCGACATGTCTGCACTGCGGGTACTCAAGCTCTACATCGTCGTTTCTCCAAAGAGCCTGCCACCACCAGAGATTTTTACCTCGCTGGTCACCTTGACTCTCACATGTAGCACGGATGCCAACTCTCGATCCAAGCAAAGTTGGACTTATACTGCCTTCTTCCTACGACACCTCCCACGCCTCGCCACCCTGCAGCTCCGAGAATGGGACCGGCGTCAAAGCATCCAGCCATGCCTTGGTTCGAACCTGCGGACCCTGGAACTCTCCACGCGTCGGCGGAGCTCAATTTGGGAGCCTCTGAAAGACGATATCCTCCGTCATATTGCCAAGTGCTCCCCTCATCTCGAGAGCCTCGCCGTAGAGGTCCGGCGCTCACGCGGGGACGCGGCCGAGGTAGCGCGTTATCGAACTTTAGGACGCCTGCCCCGGCTCCGGCATCTTGATCTAACACTGGACGCAGCACCTCCAGGTTTCTTCTATAGCTGGGATGCGAACGGCGTCATGACTCACTATGACACGGGCATTGAGACATGGTTCGACGAACAGGACAAAAAGTACCTAGACGGAAATCTCCACCCGCTCCGCGAGGGCCACGCGCGCGACTTCCTCGTCAACAGCGCCATCGACGCGGCCCTGGCGCGCTCCATTTTCGAGGTCATCGACGGCGCCAAAGCGAAGAGGCCTGACGGGCTGGCGCCAGTGTCGCTGGAACGGCTCAGCTTGCGCGTCTCGGGAGGTAGCTCTTTCAAGGAGCGACGCGCGGTAAACTCACCTACAGGCTATGTCTGGCCATTCTTGACTGCTGTGCAGCGGACATGGCTGGTCGAGAGGGACGTACGAGATTACGCACGGGGTGTTCTTCATGTGCACGAGACCAGGCCTTGGGTCAGGACGAGCTGCTTAGGGATCCCCCGTGTCGAAGAGGAAGAGAAGAGCCCGCGGTGGATGGCCATCTGGCGGCGGATATGGCCGAATGAAACAGAGGGGCGTGTCTGGTGGGATGACTGGGAGAGCTTTCCGCTTGCTTTGACGCCTGAACTGCCGAGAAATGGTGACTTGACCTGCTTGGAGTCGAATAGCCGTGAGCCCTTGAGAACTCTTGAATTGGCATGGAATAGAGTACTCTAGATGGAAGTCGAAGAGTTCATCGTATTTGACCGCGAACCATTACCAATCGATGTCGTCTAGATTTCCCCCCCTTTTTCAGAAAGATATGCACTTAACATAACGAGCCTGTCTTCAATCTTTGTGCGATCTACCTGTCCTTTCATCCTACATACACCCAGTAAGATAGACATGCTATGCAGATATCGTGAGGATGCCATCAATGTTGCATACATGAGTTTGTGAAGGATCAATACGATTCAACAGGCTGCTTGACATCTCGACAGGTTCCACCAAAAGGCTGCAGTCGCCGCCCCATTTCAAGGTTGCGATCGTGGAGAAAATCCTTCTCCATCTGGCGTGCAAGCACACCAAGATAATGAAAGACGATCAGTCAAGATAGGTTCCAAAGATTCCCTAACCGGCCAAAACCAGCTAGGAGTGGTCATATTATAGTTTTCAACTAGCAAAAATATATTCTCAGGCGAACCTTCACTGAATACATAAAGCCCGTGCACCAGGATGAAAAGAGAGAGAAGTAAGAGGGAGTTCGAGGACAGAGGGCGGGGGACCGCAATGGTTTATGTACTCCTGCGCCAGGTGAGCGTGATTCTGCTGCCTCCGTGGACGCATCGTCTCCGCCTTCGATTTCTAGCTAGGCTAGGCTGCAGGCCAGGCTGCAGACTGAAAGTGGGTCACCACAATGTGAAAGTGCATGCAAGTGCTGACACAAAGTCCTGACGGGGACTTTGTGTTTGGGACATTCATTATTGATAAGTCACGATATGTGTCACGGTATTTCAGCTAAAATTCAGAAATGCTGTCTTTTTCCATGCCCTTCCTTTACTGTTGAGCGTTTTCACTGTAGCCAAGTACGGGGACCTGGTTAAGCTAAGACAGGAATGCACACCAAAGGCATCATGTTTAATACCTATTCGTATCAGGACTGGGTTAGCCACAAAATTGATACATACATGATAAATGACCGGTGTGATAGTTGGGCTAGGGATGAAGACACAGATCAGGACTCCCAGCGTGATATGTCATTCACCACCGACGCTATGAACTCGCTACTACTGGCCAATACTATCCTGTGGAAGCACAGTTACAGCAATCTCTAGAATTCATGTGTGCCCCAACGAGACAAACAAGCGGCAGACGTATACGCAACAGGAGAGAGTCCCCACAAAGTAGCCCCATTTGATTCTACTCGCGCCACTTCACACAGCCAACCAATGGTCTCACTTGTCGGCGATATCCAACGTCCCTGGGTTGTGGGCAACAGGCTTGCCCTTCTGGTCTGTGAACAGCACCTGATCCCTGTATCAGCATCTCTCGTTGCACAGCCAGACGTGGTGGATAACTCACTTTGGGTGGGTTCTTTATCCCCTGCTGCTTGGCCTCATCCTCGGTAGTCACCATCTTCTCTACCTAGCGCGCAGTGAGCAACAAGCTAATTTACAGCTTACATATTTTCATTTTCACCTTGCCCTCATGTCTGACGCCACGGATCTTGGTGTAGACGTGGTCACCCTCTTCAATAGGCTCCCCATGCTTCGATTGGACCTGATCCTCTTGCTTTGACGACATGATGCAAGTGTATGTTTTCTACATGCCCAGGTGAGCTAAAAGATGAGTATCTTCCATGGAAACCAAAAGAAAAGTGCTAAAGTAGATTACCTGTCTGAAACTTGACGTCTTTACAAGCTCAAAGCTCCATCACCGTGACATCATTCACCTTGCCATCTTGACTGGGCCTTGCATGAGGCCACCACCAATGATTACGTGACTAGCATGCTCCTTGGTATCCACAATCAAATAGCATGAAGTTAATCTCGGAAGACGAGTCGCTGCACCATTGAGATCAAACCTATATTTGATCGTGGACGTGGCTTGGAAAAGTATTCTTGTAACGTAGTTGTTTGAAAGCCTTAAAAACTGGAAGATTGCGGATTTGACAGGGAACAGAGTTGTGACATCAGCTCCAAAGTTATGGGACGCCATCAAGGATAAATTGAATAATATTTATAAACTTCCGAACTTTTAGAACAATGTCGTGACCTTCGGGTCTCCTACAATTAATTAAATAACATGTTACATCAATGTGTTGCTTGATCCACCCATAGATGATTTTTGCGAGCATTTCTGGAGCCATTGCAAGAGTGATTGGAGTGTAGGAAATGATTGTAGGGATGAATTCGTGAGTGGAAGGCAGAGTCCCGGCAACAGAACTTCACAGATCACCTAGGGTTTACCTCCAGGTTGTACCAACTCAAATATCTGTGCCTCGTAAAGTCCATCCTGAAGAAGCATCTTTGCCTCACCGTCCATAAGACCTGAAACAAAACACGGGCCGACAACTGAGTGACATTCATAAGGGCCAGGCCGAAGTAGAAGTGGTGCAGCACATCCTTTCAAAAGGCAAACCTCATCCTGGACGGTGCATCCCCTTGGTCCAACCCCAAAATACCCTCCCTCTGTCTCAAAGAGCTCCACAGCCCCCTTGACACGTTCTAACATTGGGTCCCAATCAACAGACACAGTCATGAACAGGTTGTCAATAAATTTATACGCCAGCTCCGTCTCGTTGTCAACGCCGTTTCGGAGACGTTGTCTGCCCTCACGGAGATGCGCCCAGGAGCCTGGAAACTGCTGTACTGCTGAATTCTTCCAAATTCGTCCTGTTGAATAGCTCGGAATGTATAGTATTGCATGCTTTCCTTCCATTATTCCGTTACTAAAATAGGGATGTCTGCGTACCTGCCTTGGCAGGTACGTACTTGTTTATGTAATCTGGTGAGGGTGAACAGCGAACAAGCTCCAGTATTTGTGCGTTGAATAGATCACAACTGTTCATCACAATTTTCTAAAGTCATTGCATAATAGAGAGAACAGAGTTGATTTGGCCGTTGCTGAGTTCCAAACCACGTAAGCCACAGTAATTGAATGGAGGTCAGCCCAGGTATCCGTCTGCGAGGGCCAAAACTAGCTAGTCATCCCTAGGAAGTACTCGAGACAAAGACTGCCAGCACAGCCGCATATGCAGAAGACACAGCCATCATCTCAAAATTCGACGCCTTCATCATCGCGGCGACCAGAAAAGAAAACATCAGGATGCACACAGCCACCACTGCAAGCTGCATATTGGGAGGCGACTTGGGGCTCAATATCGCCAAGGGAACGACCAGGAAGAGACAGGTCATGAGTGTGGCTATCAGTCGCCCGAGGAAATTGGCGATTGGAGCGGAGTTCTGATGCGAGAATCTGCCTGCCCTGCCTAGAGCGAGCTGTGCCTCGACGCCACTCGTCCCACACCGTCTTGAGAGCTTCCAGTACCGGAAATCCCGCAGCAGCCTATGGATCCAGTGTGACACAGGGTCGGCGCGCGACCGGGGTGGGAGATCTGGTCTCAGCAGCCTGGTCTCGTACATCTCGGGCAACGTGAGGTCTGTGCGTGCGCTAGCTGCTTTCTCGTCATCCAATAGCGAGCATCTCTCCATGGTCATGATATTGTTGAATGCTGATAGGGCTTCATCTGTATATTGTGATCATTAGAAATTTGAGTGGACGAATCATTGTGGAGCCTGACATGCGGGTTTCGAACCGTACTGCCTAAGAAGGCCGCGAAGCTTTAGAACCAACTCTTCTGTAATCGTCGCGCTAATATCGGGCACATGCGGGTCCTTTCTACAATAGTTGAGCCCAAGCTTATTTGCGGGTGCATGGTCCCGGCCTAGAGAGAGACCAGCCTGGTAGATTACATGATCAACCTTGGCGATTTCGTCTTCAAGAAAGCGAAGGTTCAAGAGGTGAGATGTCTTGAAACGACGGAATCCATAGAGGGTGAGGTCATTGTCAGCGCTCGCCACTTGCCAGTTCTTTCGAAACTCCTTGGCGTAGATTCCGGGACTGGGCTTGGTAGCATGGCTGTTGGTCTGAGGTTGTGTGTTTGTTGACATATTGGAAATTTCCGGACGTCTTAGTATAAGTATTTAGGTAGTTGATCCAGGTCAGGGGTCGGTCCGTGGGTTCGCGTGGATTTATATTGTCATTTGCCCATCTTCTCTACACAACTTTGTACACGATTGTGGATGTTAGGCTGCTACATCTTCATGTGTTACCGACGATGCCTGCTGCGTCACAATGCCTATTAAGCCACAATGCAGGCCAGACCGCTTACTGGAGTACGTGCAGCTCGGCGCCTGCGCAGACCAGGGGCCTTCGCCTTAGAAAAGTCTACGAGAGGGCTCCAGCTTCGGCAATAAACCCCAAACAAGAGTCCTGGCCAATGAAGAGTGCATTCAGCAGGAAATTCTGGTGGACACTAAGCAGGCTGTGTCGAACCCTTCAATGAGATACCAGATGTGGGCGGCACAAGCTGCTGTGCAACCCGAAATCATTACACCACACCATACCATGCATGTGACTACCGCCATCCAGGCGTTGAACAGCCAGTAGAATACCTAGGGCAGCCCGTGAGGCTCTGCTCTGCTCGCCCATTTCCCGTTTGCTCGCCAGTTTCTTCCTAAATGGTGCACCCTTCATTAAAGTTGGTTACCCCGGTTCTCTGCCGTGCTGCGGCTAAATTTCCCTTTTATGCCTTGGACTTCTCCGACAACCCAGCACCGCCAAACTGCCCCCACACAGCTTTTCAATCCTCACTCTGACTAGAGAACCGACGCTGCCGAACGGCAATGTCGCAGGGCCGTGTGACGAAATTGGACACGGCGAGCTACCACGTTGCCTGGATATGCCCCGTGGCCAGTCTCGAGTTGACTCCAGCGCGCTTGCTGCTAGACGAATCACACGAGCGCCCTGAAATCGACGGTCAATATGATGACAATATTTACAAATTCGGCTCGATGGCGGGGCACAACGTTGTCATCGCCACGTGCCCTGCTGGTATGACTGGCCAGGTTGGCGTCGGATCTATCGCGGGGCCGCTGTTCAAGACTTTCCCTAATATTAGGATGACACTGCTCGTCGGCATAGGTGGCGGCGTTCCTCAGAAGCATTTGTTTTCTGAACCCCTTCAGGACGTGCGTCTTGGGGATGTGGTTGTCGGTTGGCCTAGCTCTAAAGACGGTAAACCCGCTGTCATTTGCTACGACGCGGGAAGGTCCCGGATCCACGGTTTCCAGGCGACGATGCAAATCAACAGGCCACATATGGTCCTATTGAAGGCGCTCCCGATTCTTGAGAACGATCATGACTTTGGGGAATCGGAATTTCACACCCTTCAGGCCAAGCTCCAGAATCACGAGAAGTTCGGAAGTCAATTTAAGCATCCTGGTTTGGAGCATGATTTGCTGTTCAAACCCACCTACGAGCATGTTGGGGACTACGATTCCAACTGCGTGGAGTGTGATAAGAACAATCTTGTCCAGCGAAAGTCACGCCGTGAGGATCAGAAAGAAAGCTTTATATTCCATCAAGGACGAATTGCGACTGGAAATGCAGTTATGATGGACGGCCAGAAGAGAGATTTGATCAACGAGCAGTACGGCGACGTTTATTGCATCGAGATGGAGGCAGCGGGCGTGGACATCAACAGCAACTGTCTCGTGATCCGAGGGATCTCTGACTACGCCGACTCTCACAAGAGTGACCTGTGGAGGTCATATGCCGCAGGAAAGGCAGCAGTCTTTGCTCGAGAGCTACTGAACAAGATTCCAGCGAAAGACGTTAAAGAAAAAATGGCTACAGGTCAGTTAGCACTTTACTACTCTGAACCTATGGTGAGAGAAGCGGACTAAGCAAACAAAGTGGGTGAACAATCGTCCCAGCTTCTCCTGAGGGCCCCAGAGAGAGACAATGTTCCATGGGATGAGAAGAAAAAGCGGGGCCTTGTTCCATGAGTTTCTTCTGGCCATGTGTGATTTCGAGTAGATACGGGAGGGGGATTTCTCAATGCTGATACATAGTTGCCGCAGGGAGGCAGCCATTGGGAGGCATATGACGATCTGAAACTATAGGAGATTTTGACTCATTCACATCCACTAATTGTAACTTCGTGGTTGTAGTTAACAAACATTGGCTTGTTCACCGTTCCACAAATCCGCACTTCACCGGACGGCACAATATCATCGACAAGATTGTCAGAGCGATCAGCCCCGAGCCCACGACAGATCAACAGCGGCGGTTTGTCGTGACTGGTATGGGTGGTCAGGGTAAGAGTGAGATATGTCTTCATGTAGCGAACGAGGTCCGAGACAGGTACGCCCCATATTTGTTTTGACAGTACATATATCTTAGGGCTGAGAGACATATTTCAGGTTCTGGGCAATATTCTGGGTCGACGTCAGCACCCAAAACACAGCTGAAAACAACTTCTCCGAGGTTGCAGACGCTCTGGGATGTCCAAAAAGTATTGACGAAGTCCGAAAGGCGCTCTCCAATCTCCCACCGACGAAGACATGGCTTTTGATACTGGATAATGCGGACGATCTGCGTAGAGACCATCAGATTTACATACCCTCAGGAAACCGTGGAGCGATTCTCGTAACATCCCGGAATCCCCAATGCGGACGATTAGCATTGGCCGGCGGCTACGAGGAACTCGACAGTTTGCAGGAAGCCGAATGCATGCAACTCCTCCGTAGATCCTCACGATTGCCTGAGTTCTGGCAAGAAACCTCAGAAGATACGGCGGCTCTTGTTCTCGTCAAAGAGCTTGCATACCACACCTTGGCTATTAATCACGCTGGTTCATTTATAGCCACTACGCATTGCAGTGCAGCGGAATACCTTGGATATTTGAGAAGCAATCGCCAACGGATATTTGAAAGGTCCGGAGGGCAGGCAACATCACGATATGACACTGTTTATGCCACTTTTGAAGCATCGATGGAATTTCTCGAATCGTCGGAGACTGGTGCATCAGATGAGACACGCAAAGATGCACTCCGGCTGCTGCATATCCTCTCGACGTTTCACCATGAGAGCGTACCTCTCGACATCCTGATAGATGCATGCGAGGGATCTGAAAAAGCACTGCAGACCCCTAAGGAATGGGAGATGGACTCTGGATGGCTGACAGCCTGGCATGTGGCACAAGTTCCCGACCTCGTCAGGACGGAGAAAGACAATGCGAGATTTCGAATCACTGAGGCAGTGGCGCGGCTCGAAGCGCTCGCACTGGTGAAAACTGACAGTCCCGTGCGGACGGGCGTTTGGAAGTTCGTATCGATGCACCCGCTCGTGCACGGCTGGGCGCGTGACCGCCACCGCGGGGAAAAGAAGAAGGCGGCGTTGCGGATGAGCCAATGCATTGTCGCGCTGGGAATTTATGGATGTCGCGGTTGGCGCCCATATCATATCCAGTTCAGAACTCATTTGTGGCAGCTGGTCGATTCGGACGCAGACTTGGTCGACGACGCGGCTCAATCTAGACGGATTTTGCAGATGTGCGTGAGCATTGCATGGGTTTTCAAGAGCATGAGACTTGAAACAGATATGTACAAATTGGCAAATCGAATCTTGCATCGGTCAGGCCTCTACGACCAGGAACCCACCGAAGAACTCCGGGAGTTATATTGCTTGTTCGCATTAGCTGTTGGTGGGGTGGGAAGCCGGCCAGCAGAAACAGTGCGGGCATTTGAAAAAATAGCGCGGCTCGACGAGCAAACACGCGGTGAGAATGACCGGTGGCGGCTGGAAAACTTGCGCCGCCTCGGATGGGCGTATCAGAAGAATGGACAGACAAAGGAGGCAGTCGCGTTGTTGCGGAAAGTGGTCAGAGCGTTTCAGGAGCTAGGCGAAGAGCATGAGTCTCTACTCAACGCGCAACACGCCCTCGCAAGTGCACTGGGGGACAACAACGAAACTGAAGAAGCTGCTGTGTTGCTTGAAAAGGTGGTCGAAATCGATGAGAGACTTCTCCCAGCAGACCACCCTGACCTACTTACATCACAGCACAGTCTCGCTGTTGCATACCTCAAGAACGGGCAGGTTGCAGAAGCCACGGCCCGATTGGAGGAGGTGGTCAAGCATAACGCACAGACCCTCGGCGAGGAACACCACCATACGGCAACAATACTGGCTTGGCTTGCTGATGCATATCTGCGGGCCGGCAGGGTGACAGATGCTATCGAGTTACGCGAGCGGGTAGTCAATATTCAAAAATACACCCACGATGAGAAACACCCTGATCTTCTAACATCACAGAACAACCTTGCTGTAGCATACTTCAAGGTTGGAAAAGTGTCGGAAGCTGTTGGGTTGCTTGAATGGGTGGTCAACATCAGAAGGTCTACACTCGAACCAAAAAACGGTGCTCTATTGACATCACAGCTCTGCCTAGCTCAAGCTTATCTGGAGGCTGAAAGAGTGCCGGAAGCTATCGAGATACTTGAGCGGGTGATTGAGGTGGCCAGATCGTGGTACGATGAAGGCAACCCCGGCAGGGTAAGATCACAGAGACTGCTTGACAAAGCATACGCAATGTGCGACTACCCTTCTTCACAGTCGTCAGAGACATCACTCTCAGTATCGGAGACGTCTCAGCTAGATCCTTTCTCTGAGTTGGTGGAGGAACGGGCTTCGGCTGACCCCGACTGTGCTCCTGGTGTCGAGGCTGCATAGCACGGGGGCCCCAGGCCAGGAGTGACGATGGAGGGCACGATTGCAAACAGTGTGATACCGGGGAAGAGGTCTGAACGGGACGTGCGGATCGTCTACATGCAAGACTGTCCCGCGTGTTCTCCAGAATATCCAGCCCTAACCCGGAAAAGGCAAAGTCAAACAAGCCAGGATAGATCGATCATCCTACCGGCCCTAAAATCAAGGCTTCAAGCAGCTTCACACTTCAGGCCGATTTTGACTTTCGTCTTGGTTGCATCACCAGTCGCCTTGGGGGCCTAAGATACGTGGAGAATATTGAAATAAAGGCTTCTTCTGCCAATCTGCAGTCCACAACAGACTTACGCCTCTTCCCGTAGATTGCAAGTCGAGCGAGGGCCCACTCAGGATTATGCTTCAAGTCAATCACCACGAAACGGCAAACTCCACACATTATCGGGAAAGGGTACAACCCCGTTCCTTTTAGCAGTCCTCCACGACAGACGGCCTCTCATCCAGGACGCTTACAACCTGAAGATTTCGCCAGCCGTTTGGGAACGCTCCTACTGGCCTAGTGCTGTCTGCAATTACAGCAGGGGTGAACCCGGATCTTCAGCTATTTCAGTCGCATCCTGCGATTTTGGGATGAGTTGCTCTTAGGGTCAAAGGCAGGCAGAAATTCAGGTGCTTGAAATAAGGCCAGAGCTTTCATATTGCAGTCGAACGCCTCACGTTTGAAGTCGTTTCACGTGACTATTCAGGGATCATCCTGATTCTAGACACATTTGCAGCTTGGCTCGGAGGAGCCCAGGGGTTTTTTTTGGGGGGGGGGGGGGATTCAGCGCCACTACATAATTACCCCACAAGAGGGCTTTTATGAGAATATATTCATTGTCTGAACACCTCAGTATCCTCCTGTATTTTACACGTCAACCGGACTCCTGTGGTCCCGGATTGCATCAGTCAAGAATACCACGAAGCCACTCATGACGTCTTTGACGCGGTCCTCGGAGTAGACATCCGGCGAGAAGCACATCGACAGGCCCAGCATTCCATCAGTCTTGCTCACAATCTCAAGCACAGCTCCCGACTTGCCGACAGTTCCCGGCTCGCCCTCCTCGCATTGCCTCACAACAAGCCTCCTCCTCAGCCGTGCCCCGATTTGCTCATCTATGGCCTGGTGAGCCAGACCCAAAGATTGCTCGTGTGCTGCGTCCAGCTCTCGTGCAGATAGTCTCACCAGCTCGCCAACCGTCATTGCATTCTTTCTGTACTGCGACGCCAAGCGCAGCCGCACCGGCACTGGTTCAGCATCGATACCACCCGTCACCACGTCGAGCAGCGTGTCGCCAGCCTGCTCGCTATTGCTTCGGAACATATATGCCCACAACGCGCCCAAGATGAACTTCAACGGTGTTGTTGGTGCCAATGCCGACCCGGTACCGTGAGAGGCGATGGTGAGGTCCTGTTTGCATATGCGTTTCATGCGTTTAACGTGGTTCGCTGGGATCGTGTAGCTGGGTGTCGTACATGTCGTACCAGAAGGGGCATCATTTGAATGAGAGGCAGGCTCAGCTTTGGTCATGGCAAATGGGTCCGTGGTAGGCGCATCCGCCAGATATTGCGACCACCATGCGAGAAGCGCTTCAGTGTCGACCGAGCCGTTGATCGGGCCGTTGACCTCGGTATCAGTCTTGCCATTTATGCCGTTCGGTGTCCCGTTCGTCGCCGCAGATTTTCCACCGGCAGTCTTTCCTTGCTGGCCGCTCGTTGTCACCTTGGAGCGCGGTGCAAGACCAGTCGAAGACGACTGGGCGTCGGTCGTGACGACGATCTGCGCCGCGATATACGCAGCTAGATCCTTGATTGCCTTCCCTCCCAACAATTCAAAGAGCGGTAGGTCGATCTTTGTCTCTGTCTTGACCCACTTGCGCAGCTCAATCGCCACAATCGAGTCAAGCCCGTACACAGTTGGAGGGTTCGCTGGGTCGATCAGCGACATCTCGATGTCCATCACAGCCGATATCTTCTCCATGAATCGCTGGGTGAGAAGTGCGCATCTCTCTTCTACATCCGCGGTTCCTGCAAGGGTCTTGGCTAGGCTCTGGGTGGCAGCGGCCCCCGCCGCAGACGACGAGGTCTGCCCGATGTCTATATTGGCACATAGCTTGCGATATAGCGGTCTCTTGCTTGTTTCTGGATTCGAGGCTAGCCCGTCGACGCTGACTCCAGTAATGAGTCTCTTTCGGTCGACTTTATGGTTGCAGCCTCCTTGTGCTCTAGCGATGAAGCGGCGGTCGCTGAGAATGGCCTCTTCCACAAGCAGCATCAACTCCTGCGTATTGATTGTCTCATCGAACTTGAGACCCAGATCGGCGGCAACACCAACACTTGACACGGCCGCGACATTGATACTTGCACCCACACAGCCCTGAGCGCGGCGCCAATCCATCAGGCCGTCCAGGTAACTGTTAGCAGCACTGTAGTTTGCTTGGCCCGGGTTTCCCACGATAGTGGATATGGAAGAGAAGCACGTGAAGAAATCTACAGGGCGATTTTGTGTTGCCAGGTGTAGATTCCACGCTCCAGCACATTTGACGCGAATGACCTTGTCCCACTGCTCATAGCTCATGCCCTGAAGCGATACATCTGCGAGGACCATGGCCAGGTGGAACACGCCAGCGATCGGTCCCATGCTGTCAAAGGCTTTCTGAACCTCTCCCAGGTTGGCCACATCCGTTCGATATATCTCAATCTCACAGCCGCGCTCCTTCAGCCAGGCGACGGTGCGCCGTGCGCTTGCTCTCAGCTCGCCTTTCGGACTGAGGGCTGACACGGTGAAGAATGACAATTTCCTGGCTCCTTTGAAGTACATCCACTCTGCAAGCTTCAGACCCAGGCCACCTAGTCCTCCTGCAACGAGGTACTTCTTGTCCGGGTCGAACAATTTGGCCAAAAGATGATAGCCCCTGGGTTTGAGCATCACATCCTTATCCCCGGGAACCAATATAATCTTGCCAATATGCTTCCCCTGTTGTATCAGCCTGAAAGCCCTCTCGACATCCGAGAATGGCACCTCAAGCAGGCTCTCCGGCACCTGGATTTGACCCCCAAACACGAGCTCACACGCCTCATCAATAAGCCGACCTGTCAGGATCCGATCTCGCTGGACGACAAGCACCATGTCAATAGAAGAGAAGCTGACATTGCGCCGGAAGACATCCATGGGCAGGCCTGCGTTCTCGTGAACATCTCGCTTGCCAATCTCGACGAAGCGGCCAAAAGGCGCGAGACACCTCCACGTCGCCTCGAGCAGCCTGCCCGACAGGCAGTTCAGAACCACGTCGACGCCCTGGCCGTTCGTCGCCGCCAGCGCATCCGCTTTGAACGAGTCGTCGCGCGAGGAGAATATTTGATCGTCAGAGAAGCCGAATCGCCGTTTAAGAAATTCTCGCTTTCCCTGCGAGCACGTCGCGAGAATGCGCGCCCCACGGGCCTGCGCGAGCTGGATAGCCATCTGGCCGACGCCGCCGGCCGCCGAGTGAATGAGGATAGTATCGGTGGCCTGCAGGCGGGCGACGTGGTGCAGGGCGTAGAGAGCTGTCATGGTGACGGTAAGGAAACTCGCCGCGGCCGTATCGCTCACTCCCGAGGGAATCTTTCGCGCCAGCCAGGCGTCGGCCCGCGCATAGTTCCCGATGCACTCGCCAGCTGCGACGACGATCCTGTCGCCGGGCTTGAAGCTGTCCTTGTCGACCGAGGACCCGACCTTGGTCACGATGCCGGCGCACTCTTCGCCAAAGTGGTAGTCTTGGATCAGACCGACGGCGATGGCGATGTCGCGGAAGTTGAGGGCTGATGCTACCACTTTGAACTCGAGTTGGTCACCTCCGAGAGGCTCATTGAGCATGTCCTCATTGGGAGCGAAGTAAAGTGTATCGAGGCGGCCTATGTGGCCGATCTCGAGGTTGACCGGTGTGTCGTCGGGGAGCGGCTGGCGGCTGGGCTTGCTGTCATCAAGCTTGGAGTTGAGTTCGTCGTCTACTGCAAGCCGAGGAACAAATACGGCGTTGCCTCGAACAGCGACCTCTTCTTCATCCAAATTCTTGTCCAATGCCTTGAGAATCGCTGCGCCCGCATCTGGCGTCGTTGTCACTAGAGTGTCGGGATCGAGATCCAGAGTAACAAGTCGGGACATGCGGTTCTCGTTCCTCGCTGTTCTCAGGAATCCAGCGAACTTCGCCATCTCTGGGTTCGTTGCACCCATAAAGGTCCCCTGAAGCACCCAAATCATGTTCTTTTCCTCTTCCAAGGCCAACTGTCGGAAGCGAGCGAACCCTTCCGTCGACGTCATGTCAGTGGATAATGAAGCAAGAATAATAATATTCTGATGCCCTTCTTCAAAATAATACTCCTGTCCCAGCTGCACAGTGGTCAAGTTCCGGATTTGGTCTCTTTTCTGTGCGAAATCTTTGACTTGATTCAAGACCCGGGCCTCCATCTCCGACGGACTGCCAGAAACAACCACAGTGAGCTCTTCCAGAATAGATGGGACGATCTTGTCAAACTCAGCCGACTTCTCCCACTTCTGCTCGAAGTAGAGCCTCCGCTCAAGCGAACCTTGTTCCTCCTTTAAGAAAGTACTCTCCTGGTCCTGCATGTGGATGCAAAGCCTACCCTGCTCATCCGAGACCAGCAGCTGCGAGATGACAGTCCTCAATCCGACTCTGTCTCCAAACGTCCGAATAGTGTAATTTTGCAACTCATTTGAGCCAGAAGCCGAGCGTGCGAGTAGGTGGCCCGCCAGCTCAACAGACTTGTACGACCGGGGCACACCGACGCCGTCCTCGTCCGGCCACCACTCCCAACCATCAGAAGACCCGGACCACGTGGAGTGCATGACAGCATCGAGAAGCGCCAGTGGGACAAGTGTTACCTCGTCCAGGCCCTCGATTCTGTAGATGCTCGGGTCAAACTCGAGATTGGCAACCGTAAAGCCTTCGCCGTCATCCATGTCGCCCTTAAGCAATCTGAACTCGTCGCGGTATTGCACCCCGCGCTTTTCGAGTCGGCGGTACAGATCAGCACAGCTAGGCCTGTTGGTCGATTTCTGCCTCAACTCCTCGACGGACGGGTACCGAGGCAGCGAGCCGTCTAGCTCGACAGCCTGTGGCTCCCCCGCGACGATGGAGATCCATCCATGGCAATGCTCAGAATAGTGGCCATCCACGTCGAAGCTGCTGATATGAAATTCGAGCCACTCGTCGCTGAAGCCCTTGGCAGATGTCGTCGCAGGCTGCAAACTTAGGATCATCTCCGTGCCGACCTCGTTGTCGCGGAGTGTCATGGCGGACTTGATGTCGATGTCTTTGAACACAACCTTTGCTACCGTCTTTCCCTCATTAGTAGGATATCGCACGGCGGCCTCGACCGCCAACGAAAGGTAGCCCGAGCCGGGGAACACGACCTCGCCTTCGATGGCATGTCCAGCCAGCCAGGGGATCTCGGACACACGGATGTAGTTGCGCCACAGCATACTATGTGGTGTCGAGTGTGGCACCGGGGTCCCGAGAATAGTATGGTTGTGCTTTCTGTGTTGCGTGCTGCGCATGGCGCGGGTCGTTGGTGTCCAGTAATGCCGGTGGTTCCAGGCGTAGCTTGGTAGATCTGTAAGAAAGGTACTCGGATGGGTCTGGTCCGCATTCACAGCCACGAGGTCGACAGGGTAGTTGGCGGCGAAGAGCTGGCCTGCCGTCTCGAGGAGACACTCGAAGGCGGGCCGGTTGCGACTTAGAGAGGCAAGATAGGAGACATCAAGCTTTAGCTCTGATGCCACCTGCTCTGAGGGGCCTTTGAGAGCAGGGTGCGGCCCGATTTCCAATAGAATATCAACGGCCTGCTCCTCATCATCGTCCAGGAGGACACCTGTGAGGGCATCCGCAAAGCGCACTGCACCAACCATGTTTCGAACCCAGTACGTGGCGTCTATAGCTCCATCGCGAACGACTCTGGCTGTGACACTGGATACCATCCGAACCTTCCAAGGCCCAGTTTCCGTTCTGTACAAGGCGCACTCGTGCAACGCCTTCTCATATGCTGGTGCAAGGGGCTCCATATGGTGTGAGTGAAACGCCTGCTGGACAAGCAGCTTCCGCGCAAACACCCCACGGCTTGATAGATCCGCATGCAGTTCCTCGATGGCATCCAGGTCTCCTGAGACGGTGACGCTGGAGGATGAATTCACAGCTGCCAGGCAAAGGCGACCTCTAAATTTGGCCAACTCAGAAGTGGTGTTTGTTTCGCTGAGGCCGACTGCTATCATGCCGCCCACGACTTGTGGTTTGTCTCCCCCTCCTGGCGCCTGTTGCTGGCTCATGTGGTAGCCGCGGTAGTAAGCTACAACCATAGCTGCCTCAAGTGACAGAATATTGGCGGAATATGCAGCCGCCACTTCGCCTGAGGAGTGTCCACAGACCGCCCTCGGTCTGATTCCCCATGCTCGCAACAAATCCACCAGAGCAATCTGAAGAGCTGTGCAGATCGGTTGTGAGAGCCGTGTCTCACTGAGGCGAGAGTCTTTGGGGTCCTGTGGTCCCAGTAGCTCCCGCACAATAGACCAGTCCGGTCTATCAGAACCAGGCAAGCTTTGCAGTACAGCATCACACTTGTCAAGTGTGGCTCGAAAGGGCGGGTGGGACTCAATGAGTTGCCGGCCCATGTCCCAAGTTTGTGCACCCTGACCTGTGAAGACGAAGCCGATTCGGGGTATTGTATGTGACGAGCGTGTTGTGGCTGTTTTCCATTCTGATGAAGCACGAGCCGTCTCCAATTCGGCGACCAGCTCATCAGCGGAGGCCGCGATAGCAAAAGAGCGAACTTTGTGCACCGTGCGGTGAGCTGAGAAGGTATAAGCAAGGTCGCGAAGGTTTGTTTTATTTGTGTTGCCATCCTTTCGCACCGTGAGATACTCCCGGAGAGCGTCCTTCAGACGTTCGCCTGTTTCGGTTGTGTGGGATGAGATAGGGACCAGAAAAGGTCGAGCTTTAGCCGGTGGCGCCCCGTTCACCTTCACAGCCGGGGCAGAGCTTTCTGTCACTTCTTCAACGCTCTCCAGCACTGCGTGGGCGTTCGCTCCTCCGTATCCAAAGGAATTCAAACTCGCCCGCCTTGGCTTGCCCCTGGTGTCTGGCCAGCTCAGAATTTCTGTAGGGACCTTCAGTCTCCAGTCCTGGAACCGAATTTCGGGATTCGGCCTATCAAAGTGCATTTGAGGTGGAATGCTGCTCTTCTCGATGGCCAGCACCGTCTTGATCAAACCTGCCAACCCAGCGGCACCCTCTAGGTGACCAACATTGCTCTTGATACTGCCGATGACCAGATCCTCACTCCTGGTCTGCGTCCCGAACACGTTGCCCACGGCACGGGTCTCGTTCGGATCGCCAACCTTGGTTCCTGTGCCGTGACACTCGAAGAAATGCGTGTCGTCGGGGTCGAGGTTCGCAAGCTGATAGGTTCGGCGTATCATTTCCTCTTGCGCCTCGGAGGAGGGCACCGTCAGCCCCTTCTTAGTGCCGTCGTGGTTGGACCCTGTCGTGCGGACGACGCACCTGATGCGATTGCCGTCGCGGACAGCATCGGACTGCCGCTTGATGACAACTGCACAAACACCTTCACCTCGGACATACCCACTACCATCCGCATCGAACGACCTGCATCGTCCGTCTGATGAGAGGAAGCCCATATCTGACAAGACGATGGCAGTGGTTGGGTCAAAATAAAGCGCAGAGCCAAGCACGATGGCGTAGTCGGACTCCCCACTGATGATGCTCTGGTGCGCTAGGTGAAAAGCTACCAGACTGCTAGAACAGGCTGTATCGACCACAATGCTTGGCCCCTTCAGGTTGAAGAAGTACGACACGCGATTGGCTTGCATAGCGTCACCTATCCCGGTGATGCTGTGCAAGGGATAGTATGCCTGGTCGCAAAGCAGCGTGCCGTAGTCATTGCTTAGGCTGCCCTGGAAAACCGCCGTTTGCGTGCCAGCTATCTCGTCAAGAGTGATGCCTGCATCCTCCAGAGCCTCATAGGCTACCTCCAGTAGCAGCCGCTGCTGCGGGTCGATGGATTCTGCTTCTTTGCCTGAGATACCAAAGAATCCTGCGTCAAACGCTGTGACAGGGTGGTCAAGAAAGTAGGCTCGCTTTTGATTTATCTGTGCAAACCGTTAGATTGGCTTAGTCTCAGGAGATGAGGTCTGTCGGGATTGGAGCTCAAGTCTCCTAACTCACTGTGCCTTTGTTGGAGTGATTAGGGTGAAACCATGTGTCGACATTGAACCTGTACCGGTCATCTGGAACCTGTCTTTGCACATCCTTCTTGTTCATGAGGTTCTCCCACAGCTGGCTCGGACTGTTCTCATCTGTGTCAGCGTTTTGCGAGTCCCAGGAGGCCACAGACGTTTTCCGCAGAACCCATGTCTGAGGTTGACTAACTTGTTCGCGCCTGGAACGCGACAGGCCATGCCGCACACCACGGTTCTTCGATCCATATCTGCTGTTTGTGTCTCACTGAACCTCAGCAGATTATGCTCGTGGACCATGAAAATGATGTTAGGCGAGCAATAACACGTCCGATGCTTTGCACCATGTGTAAATTGTGACCGTTGAAGGACACAGTTATCCCATGTTTCTTTTGCCCCGCCCTACATACGCGCCCGAGATGTAGATAAGATGTATCTAGATGCCACCCTAGGTTCGTATCGATATCCATTGATCGTCTCACACAAGGTTCAATGTTTTCCCTGTTTCCCTTACTGGCACCCTCAGCGGTGTGCGATGCTGACTCGCACCCGACTGGAAAACTTGCCACGGCATATTGCTTCCGATAGCCTTGCTCACCATAAATCCAAGATCGACATCGCGGGGAGCATTTATGGCCCTTTTTTGACTCTGGGGATCGCGGGGAGTATGGAGGGAGTCCACAATATTTCATCCACAAACGCTTCTGCACCCGATGAACCGACTCAGATAACGACGACTGAGTCAAGTAGCCAGAAACCGAAACACCCGGTGGAGCCACGAACGGTTCGCAATGGCATTTGATACGAGACATTGTTATACCCGTCGTTTACAAGTCAATTGCGCACCATCTCCCAAGCTGCCAAGCCCAACTTGACCTCCGCAACCCTCCCGCACATGGCCTCGGCAGGATCCACACCACCCGACAAGCGCGCGCATCGCGTCCAAGTCCTCTCGATAGGGCTTCCACGAACCGGTTCCAAGTCGATGCTCCGGGCTCTTGAAATTCTTGGCTATCGGAACGTTCATCATCTTGGCCAGATATGGTGGAAACCGCGGGAGTGGGCATTCCTCGACTGCGCAGCAGATGCCTCTTTCCACAGCCTGTCCACGTACAGGCCCGACCTGGGTCCGGTAGACTGGGATCAAATGTTGGGGGACAACGAGGCTATCACGGATGCCGCTGGCACCTTTGCGGCACAGCTGATTGAGGCGTATCCCGATGCCAAGTGCGTGATGGTCGTGCGGGACTTTGATGCATGGGCTCGAAGCGTGGACGAAACGCTGCTGTCGTATCTGTTCAGCTGGTTTAAGTGCCCATTTTCCTTGCTGCCGTGACATTTATTTTTTAGGCTTCATCTCGTCTCGATTCCAGAACTTTCGAGTTAACATAAACTAGACGGCTGGCTCAGCGCTTTCCTGATTGACCCTATAATAGGAGCATACTCGACGCGGGCTATGAGGAAGATGTTTATGGGCGCAATGCGGTGCCGAGCGCAGGACGCGAGGAAGACACAGGTTTTACGGAGATATTATAGTGAGCATCATGATATGGTCCGAACAATGGTACCAACGGACAGGCTGTGTGTTTTCAGACTGGGCGACGGCTGGGAGCCTCTAGTGAGTGACCCCTGCAGGTGATGCCCTTGTCCCAGGGTGGTTTGTTTTGCTAATACCTCATACAAGTGCCGCTTCTTAGACAAAGAAGTGCCAGAAGCTAGTTTTCCACACGAAAACGACACCAAAGAGATGCATTTAGCATGGCAGTATCTCAGACGCGGCATTCTGAAGGCGGCGGTGAAGAGATCCATGCCTTGGATCCTTGCTGCTGTAGTGGTTTTAATTGGAATCATGAAATTCCTATGAATAATTAATTGTGTATCATGCAAATTTCGGCCATATTGTATTTCGCACGAGAGGGCTCAAGGGCTTTCCAGCCATGTTGTAAGGCCTACGGGTTGAAGTGAGCCCAACAGTTACGGAAGATCAAGAGCACACAAGTTCGAAGACTTATAAGCCAGGGATTTTTATGCTTGGCAGCAGCCATGGGTTTCTTCAAGAAGGATCTAGAACTGGTCATTTGGCTGTAGTGCTGTTGTTACGTTGACGCGGCTCAGCTTCCTCCCGATGTCAGCGCTAAGCGGGGCTCAGCCAGCTTTTCTTTTTACTTGAGGGCTTGACTCCTGAATGTTAACTTGGAACCGGATTTTAGATCACTGCAAGGACGAAGAAAGCGAAGTGACAATGACGAGGACGAGGACCAGCACGCCAAGGACGCGAAGTGGCTGCCAAACCTGTCGGTAAGTCGGATAGCTGGTGTTCTTGCTTCAAACCATATGTTCACCTGGACTTGTCTAATAGGATCAAAGCAAGAGGCACATAAAATGTGACGAAGCTCGCCCGTCATGTCTAAGATGCACTCGGGCTGGATGGCTATGCGACGGCTACGCCGGGGATAAAGCCATGCCAAACGCTTCTACCAGCAAGAAGAATGCATCCGCGGTCACCATGAATCCCATAACCAATTCAGTCATGTCCATTAGCAGCTATGCAATCCCATACAGAGTCCCAGGATCCCAGAGAGACCGCCAAGTCCTTCACTACTTCTATACACGAGGTGCTCATGAGATTGCCAGCCACTTCAACGTCGACTTCTGGACAAATACAGTCCTTCAGCAAAGCCACGCAGAGCCTGTAGTACGGCAAGCTCTCGTGTCGCTTGGCTCACTCCATCTTGACTACACAACCGCAGCTGTGCTTGGGAATAGCACCACTAAGGATGGTGCCCTGGCTCAATATGGCAGGGCCATTCACGCTCTTAGAAGGCGTATCGAGAGGCCTGACCGTGAGACGTTGAGGACTGCTCTCATCTGTTGCATCCTATTCTATTGCTTCGAAGCAGCTCTCGGCAACAGCAAGGGTGCAATGCGTCACTTGAACAGTGGTTTGGACTTGCTGTCTGCGGGCCGTCACCGTCAAGACCAAGACAATGCTGGTGACGTGAACGCTCTTTCTCTTGTTTTCGAGAGTCTGGACCTACAGGCTACCATGTTCGACGACGGCCGAGTTCCTCATCTAGTTCTATCAACCAAGAAGGTGGAAACGGACACAGCCACGTTTTCGGGTCTTGGTGAAGCTTACAACGCTTTCATCAGACTCCAGAACTCTCTTTTTCATTTCCTCACCAGCCAACTGCAATATAAGTTTTGTGCAGAAGGCTCACTGCCTACATCCGTAGTGGAGCAGAAACGTCTTCTTCAGGAGCAGTCTGATACCTGGCTGTCCGCCTTCAAGCAGTCAAAGTGTGGTACGGTACAGAATGAAGGGAAAGAATCCGGCTCCCAGATCCTGCTAATTCAGTGGCATGTGTCAAAGATGCTTCTCGAAGCGAACTATCCCATCAATGATGACATTTTTGGGGCGTCACCGAATCCCAGAGCCATGGAAATTCTGGACATGGCCCAGAAGATACTCAGCCATGCTCTACAGGATGGCACAGAGCCGGAGCAGGGTCATGTCTGCCAGCGGCGTACATTTTCATCGGAAAATGGAATTATAGCTCCGCTTTTCGCCCTGGCTGCGAAGTGTCCTGACGAGAGTGTATGCAACCGAGCTCTCGAGCTGCTCACCGCATCTCGAAGACGCGAGGGTCTATATGATGCTGAGAGTATGGTCGCGATCATTCATCAATTTCGAACAGCGAGACAGCAGAAGATTCTATGCAACGATCAAGTTCTTGGCGAGAATTCAGGGGGCTTGTCGTTGGAAAGCTTATTTGAGCGAGAGATTGATGGCATGACTGGTGGTATGGACAACCTAGCTGACTGCCTGAAAATGGGATCTACCACTACATGAGAATTGTATCACCAATAGCCCCTCAAAAGCACCATATGGCGATAGCTAATAGTAAAATGGTACACTACCATTCCGCGCCACAATTTCGACTGATAGTGCCTGAGATGTACGTCGGAGCTGGGTCAGAACTGCTGTCGACCCTGGAAGCGAAACGCATCTCCTCCCTCCCAAAGTCAAATACGGACACAACATTCCTCAGAAAAGCGTCTCCCAGGAAGTTGAGACCAACATCATCACCCTCTGCAGTAGGCGCAATACTTGAGAAGCAGGGTCCGTCCACACGACGGTAAATGAGATCCTCATTCTGATGCCAGAACGTCTTTCCGTCCAGAACCACGCCAAACTCCGGGGGTGTGGCGTTGCAATGTACATTGTATACACGGGAATCCGCATCAAACACTCCCGGAGGGCTGAAAGCATTATTGACAGCCTCTGCAATGGTAGTGGGAAGCAGGTTCAAGTGGTTGCCGGTGTCGACCACGGCCTGGAACGCAGTTGAATTAGTGGTGTGAGAGCCCGTTGATGGAGAGCTGCCCCAGGTGATACCATCCACAGTCAACGTCATGAGCGTGATCTGACGCACTCTGCCGGTCAATACATCGGGAAGGCCCTCTGTGACCTCGATGGGCTTAGTTGCCCAAACATCCGAATGCGCCACCGGCGGTAGTTCTCCCAGGCCAAGCCATCCGCCCGGGCCGGTCGTCGAATTTTTGAGCGGTCGCTCGATCGCGAAGCTGTACCACGGTGCCACGAGCCCTTGCTTGTACATTCCAACGAACACCGGGTCGTAGACGGCACGGTTGAGCAGCAATGTGCTGTTGTCGAGCTCCGAGCCGGGATGGGCGGACGTCAAGGAAGGGAATCCCAGGCCTAGGACGCCACTCCCTATTCCGTCGCCCATGTCGCTGCTGCGGTCGACGAGGCCGATCTTCTGATGCTCAATCTTGATGCCATTGAGTGTAACATTGGTGTATGCCACTTTTCCCAGGGCTATTCCGGTGCCGTACTGCACGCCAAAAGTTTGATTTGCGACGTATTCGGTTGTATTCGGCACCTGGAACATGTTTGCAAAGTGACATTCTTCCTGCGGAATTTCGTAGTTACTGGCTGGATGGACACACTGGAAGTCGGCTACTGGGACCCAGAGATCGCTGCTGCCCGTGTCGGGGATGACATAGAAGGTCTGGTTGTTGATTTGAATCTCGACCTCGAACGTGACTCCATTTTGGGTCGAAATGAGAGATGACGGATCGGAAGATTGCCGGCGACGGATGGGGGCAATGATGCTAGAAACAAGGCCAGCGCTGGCGAGCAGGGCTAGAACAGCTGCGGTCTTCATGGTGGATTATATGTAAGGAACTTGGGGCAAATGAAAAATCAAAGAAGTCTGCATTGGCACAAGCCGTTCAGGAGCAGATAATTGCTGCTTTTTATATGCATGTATGCTGCTGGATAGACTTCCTGTCTCTTTTCAGTCCATCCATCATTTTGCGAAAGCAGAAGACTCTCACCCACGGACATTGCATTCTTTGGACGCCATTGGCTCCCTCGTCAATTCTCGAGGCAGCCCCATGTGGCGCAGGTATTCCTGCAATTAGAAATACCTTTGCTTAATCAGTCAAAAGCAACCCTTACCATTTCAAATCGACGCGTGGAGAGCTGTGGAGGACATGCAGCTATTGTCAAGAACTACCGCTCATCATTGGCTCCATCGTGTATTTCACAGCTCAATAGTAAGCCCGGGCTTAGTGTCATGGGGCTACGGTACGGTAGGATCAGGAGACGCGTGAGTGTTGTCAGACCTGATGCTGTTCCCCTCGCTGTAAAACAGAGCTTTGATTCGCTGGCCCGTGTATTCTCACAATTGTCCTGTCAGCCCCATCCTTGGCTTCGTTAGTTGGAATAGAGCAGGGGGCTAGGGGGCCATATCCGGAGTGTTGAAATTTGATGCAAATTCATGAAAAAGCTTAAATATCAACAATTCCTAAGCCTTGTGAAGTCCTCAGCGGCAATCTGATCACTCCAAGATAGCTACTATGAATATGTCCAGAAATTTCTTGCTTTCAGAACTACGCGATTCAGGGTATGGTAAGACACATCAGGCAATGGGTACGCAAATGTATCGCGGAACAAACATTCTGAACTTGTTGCCTTGAGCTAACATCGCATAATTTGCTGTTGCATGTTGTGTTGTTCAGAACACCAAGCCGATTACTCAGTTTGCGCTACGGCGTGGCCGATCGAGAGTACTTCCATCGGCTGCTCCAAAGCCCGGTCTATTTTGCCCTCAGGCGGCGACGTAACCCGGATGAATTCCTCGTACTCACCATACACATTTTCCGATCCAAGCCCGAGATCCCGACAAAGCTCGTGTACAAGGTCCCGCCTGGGTGGCAGTGCCAGAAGAAAATCCAAACACAGCCTTGCATCAGCGGATTTCCGACTGTCGACGGCGAACATGAGAAGTTTGATAACCACTGCCCGGGCACTGGCTTCATCCTCCAAGGCGTGGACGTAGTAGGCGGTGGCGCTGTTCTTGGACACAGCTAGAGGACTCAGGGCCGAGAAGTCCTTGTCCGGCTCGACGTCGTTCGTCTGGGGACCCTCCGGCAATGTGATACCAGAAACGTCAAGCGCGTAGTCTTCCGTCGACCCGCTGGTTTCCAGGTGGATGCCGCATCTCTGGACCAGACGGTGCAGTGAGAGACGTGCGGGCATCTCCCCGTCGTAAACAGTGCCGTGGAAGTTACATATGCTGAGCTTATCCCGCTCTGGGGCAGTCCCAGCAGTGTTCAGCAATGTTTTAATTGTCGATCTAGAGCGCTCTCCAAACTGGCCGCCTAACACAAGTCTTGCCGGACGCTCCCAACAGGCAGGTTCCTGCGGCAGATCGGCGTTGCCTTCTCCTTCCCCCATCGCCTTCCAGGGCCAGGCCAAGGGTTGTTTGAACTCCTTGGGTTTGAAGAATCGTTTTAGGAGCATGATGATGAACCAAATCACGTGCCAGTTTTCCGACAAGAAAATCTGCGTCCGCGGTTCTATGAGATTTGCACGGACCAAATTCGGGTGACGCTCGATCATCGTCTGAGGCAAAGGGGTCACATCGATAACAACGGTCTTGATATCGCCAGGGGGCAGCATCCGCAGAGCCTTCATCCATACCTGCCCCATCCTACGGAGCTCACCGCCGCAATAATTGTGGTCACCAAGAGGGCGAACGTGTTCAATCTCGATATTGGACCAGATCAGCAGGCGAATCTTGCGGACCTTGTTCTTAAGGCCCAATGTCTGCATGGCGCAGATGAGACGGGGAAGGCGTTTAATATCGTCGCTGCGCGGGATGAGACAGTCGAACGACCATGTGCTCATGAGCTGGATTGTATCAGCGCGGAGCAGCTTGCAAGTGAGAAGCAGTTGATCGACTGGGTCGGGCCACCCAGTGTAGTCGAGCCGGATTTCTTCTGGCACGCTGCCAGGGATCAGCCGTATGATATGCTGCCGGAGCTCGGCGGGGAGATCTGTGAGCAAAGACATGATGGTGTTATAGGTGTGACCTGGCGGCTTTGACGGCTGGCAGAGTGATTCTTGAGGCTCACTCAAGGGTGAGGGTGTCAGCTATAAAGGCTGCTGACTGGGTGCTCCGCCATTCCAAGGCAGCAGTGCGCCAAACGGGTCTGGCTGCGCCAGTAACAGTATCCCTAACCCACAATTCTTTCAACTTCCTGAGTGGTCAATCCAGGTTCACACGTACTGGCTAGTGCACCACTGCCATTTACTGCAATCCCTTCTGATTGCAGTCCAACAAGACAAAAATGGACTTTGTTCGGTTGTGGTATACCATGTATGCCTGGCCGACTACGCTTGGAAGCTAAGCCAGAAGCCATCTTTTTTCTCTTTTCTCCCTCTCCCTCACTGCCTCTCTACCTCTTTCTGTGTGTTCCCTCTTCCTCTCGTAATGGTTGAGCCGAGCCGGGCGGCTAATTTTGATCAACATAGACTCTCGGGGCGGCCAGATCCAAATCGATACAAACATCCTGCCGAATATGAAACTACACAAGGTCGATGTGATGTCGTTTGGCTGTCTCGATTGAACTGTCACAGATACTCATATGCACCCTTGCTTCCTACCTATCTGCCTTCCAAAGCCTTGCCTGAATCCTTCTGAGCAGCATAGACCTTGTTTCTACGCAGAGACGGAAATCTTCAAGATCGGATATCGAACTCGCAGGGACCGCTCCTTTGGAACTCACCTGGGCTGCATGCTAGTTGCGGGCATTGCTGTGGAATTGAGTTCCAGGAGCCGGTCCCTATGAGTTCGTTGCGTTGCCAATCCGGCCCTCATGGGGCCTCATGTACATATACACACAAGCGCAGTCACAGAGAATCAGGGCAGAACGCCACGAATCCAGAATTGGTTCAAGCTATGACAATACGACATTATCTGATCAAGAAGACCTGCTTGCCCAGATTTTCGCCCTCAAGCGAGCGAATGATCTAAATCGTTGCCAGCAGGTCTCATACGAGCTCGACAGGAAGTTTGAAACGACCAAAACAGAGCACAATTGGCCCGGGAATGAAGAGTTCAATATTTGGAACGACAACATATTTGCGATCACCCGAACTACTGCGGCCCATACCGACTCTCGTCAATACGAGAAGCCATAGAATACACGGATCCCGGCCGAGAGCCAGCTCGCCAAGCAAGCTGCAATGGAACCCGTTATCCAATGTAACTGCATATGTACGGAGCAATCCCCGTGAACGGCATGTCTGAGGTCGCCTGCTCACGACCTTCCTAAAAAGATGGGTGCCAAGAGACAAGGGTGAGAGCAAACCACCTGCTTTACCATAGTATATAAATTGTTGGGCATTCCCCCCGAAAACCCGTATTGGAACACTTAGATCTCAAACCTGCTGCCAGACTCTTAATTATTTGTGTGCTTTTTTGGAATCAAGTGAGAATGCGTATTTCTTATATATTAGGTGTTTTGCCTCTGCTGTCCGGCACCGGCGCCGTGACATTCACATCATGCACCGACGCGCAGATATCCACTCTCGAGGTGGCCATCGACCGGGCCACTAATAAGTCCTATGCGGCCATAGAGCACCTGGAAGCGAACCCCAATGGCAGCGAGATCCAAACAACCTGGTACGGTGCTTTCAGCACGGAACGGTACAATCGGGTCTTGACTGCTTTCAAGGTTCGTCATGTTGTTGTCAAGAGGCCTTTTCTGGGAGGCAAAAGATACTAAGACCAAATGTTTCTAGAAATTCGCGCCCGACCTGGCCACAACATTCAGATATGACTGCTCCTGCGTGAGCGACGCCGTCATCGCAACGATCGGTGGGACATACGGAGACGTCAGGATCTGCAGCGTGTACTTCAACGAGGCCATTGTTCCGCCTTCCGGGCAGCATCGTAACCAATGGGAGTAAGTTAGCCTCCATTTCGCGGAGGAAGAAATGCTTTCTCACGATAGGATTCTCAGCACGATTGTCCATGAGGCGACGCACTTTAGAGATGTACTAGGCACTACCGACTACGGCTACGGTGTCGACTACTGTAAACAGTTTGCTCTGGAAGATCCTGAAAAGGCTGTCAAGAATGCTGAGTAAGTTGAGAATCCAACCCGTGATGCCATCTACTTATGTTCTTTGATTTTGACCTTTCATCTCAGTAATCATGCTCGATTTGCCGTTGAGGTTCCCCCGTGGGGGCCTTAGCTCGCAACAGTCTTGAGTGCATGAATTGGGAAGTTGGACGTGCCGTTGAAGTGGAGTGTAGGGCCTTTATGCATGAAGACTTAAATCAGCTGTTCGAAAAGCTTTCTATCTACTGTGGCTCAAATGCTTAATTATATAATCATCGGTGAGGAGTGAACGAGTTCATTTCGTTTCAGCCAGACATCCACAGCCACAATGCGAGCCAACAAACGGCGGCAATTCAACATCGCATTCTAGCTAAAGCTGTTCCAAAAAGCCGTGAGCCCATTCAATGTTCAGCGCCACAAACTCCAGGTGTAGTGGTAGCCCTTCTGAACTGTACTACGTATAAACTAGAGAGGTATCCCAACCCTGATGCAAATGCCTTGGTCACGCCGTGACCACCAAAAAAACAATAAACTTAACCTGCTCAGTCCAGGGAGGAGGGCTGATATGCCCTCGACGTCTCCCGTGTATCGCATGTAGGTGCCGCATGACACCTCGTCGCTCTGTTTTCCTCTTGTGATTTGTACAATATTGTGTCATGGAGCGTGCACCGTACCTAGATACCTCAGCTGTCAGCTTTGGAGGTATCGACCAGGTCTCCCACCCATCCCATCTTCTCTCGTCTCTCATCGCTAATCCGCGCGTATTCCAGCAAGAGCCGTAGCACGTAAATCTGCATGTCCTCCTTTCGCAGGACACGTTCGGCCCATTCTTTGCCCGCGGCGGCAATCTTGGCAGCCTGCTCGTCATGGCCCTTCACCTCCTTGTCGCTGTCTTTGTACCCAAGGAAGTACTCCATAATGCCGAACCAGTCCGAGAACCGGTTGTCCATGGGCACGAAGTGCTTCCATGCTATCAGCCGGCTGTCATGCCACTCTCGCCACACCGTCGCCTTGACCGGGAGACTAGTCGATCGGAGGAAGCCCAGGTATCGACCACTGAAGGAGTTGCCGTCGATGTCGGGAAGGTATTTCCAGTTGAACTGCTCCGCCAGGGTCACACCCTGCTGCACCTCAAAATAGGGCGACGTGTATTTGCACTGCCCGCCCTCTTCTTCCTCCACGCACATCAGATCCACGAATGCCACATCCGCCCACTCGTCCACCCAGGGGCCGAGCTTGGTCCGTGTGGAGCCGGGCGTCGTCGCTTTCTGGGCCGTCAGGCCATATTTCGCAGAAGGTAGCTCAAAATTAACCGGTAGCTCGGTCCAATCCTCGGCTCTGCCGATCTTTGTGCCGTTATTCATGGCCACGAACCGGTGTCGTTGGAATGCGCGCCAATTGTTCTCTCGATTGCGACCACCTGTCGCAACACCTCGCCAGATGACTCCGTTTGTCTTCTGTGGCCAGTCCACACCGTGCTGGTTGCCGCCGGTAAATCTCTCTTCTTCATTCCAGTACATGGGCGCGGGCAGGAGGATCTCGTTGTTCACCGCGAGCTTGGAACCGCCAAACATGGGGAACAGCGTCTTGGTTGCGGACACGGTCAAGGGCTCGATGAATATGCCATTGAGGCCCTGGAGGTCGGGCTGGTGACAGACCTGGGTGGACATGGTGTAGTTCGAAACGTATCCCTGATACATGTGAGGCTCTGCGAAGGCAGGATTGAAAGTCGGTGCGTGGTCAAAGTCGGACATCATCTCTGCTTTCCGGGCAGCGCTGTCGGGTGCGCAGCCGCGCTGGACGATGTTCCAGTAGGGTTCTAGAAGGAGAAACATTTCAGCAAGGGTCTCACGTAGTCTCAGCTCGTTCAGCGTGGACATGACTTACTCGTTCCCTCCCAGTTCTTCTCAGGCAACGGGACCAAGCGATCGGGCCCTTCACCGGGTGCCTTGAGGTGCTCAAACTCGTTGATGGCATCTTTGGCCGGCACCATGCTCCTCGACGCGCTTGCCTTGTTCATGTGTGCATTTATGTCCTCCCAGGGCACCACCAATCGAGGTTCGTCCATCGCGTTGAGTGCAATATCCATATCTGGCAGCAGGTGCTCGATCGTTTTGATGAGGTTCAACCAGATCTGGGTCCAGAACCAGTCGCTTTTGGCTGATGCATTGCCGTCTCTGACATTGATGGTCATTTCGTAGTCCCAGGCGCCCCTGCGGATCTCCTGGGCAGGGAGTGCCCAGAAGGGCTCCAGATCGTGGTAGATCTGGTCCCAGAAGGCCTCAACCATGACTGCATTTTGCTCCTTTGCGAAAGCATACCATTGATCGAAGCCAGGTGGAGGGTGTCGGCCGCGGCGCTGGCGGTAGGCAGCGGCGGCTTCGGAGAGGGTGTGCGATTCTTGGGTCAACTGGTCGGCGAATTGCTTGTCGGCCAGATCGATGAGTCGATCGATGGGGTGGGCGCCTTTGCCGGAGGATTGTGATCCGGAGCTGCTGCCGCTGCCTCCTCCCGATCCTGGGTTCTTGCCATGGTCCAGCTGCAGCGTCTCCTCCTCTTTTGGTTTTGTCTCTACTATTGGTTCTTGGGCAGCCTGTGGCCTGCCCTGGCTGGAATCGTGGTGCTGTTTCGCGCCCGAGTCGGAAGGCTGGTCGGGGGACTTGCCGGCAGGGCTCTCGTGGCTAAGCTGGCCCGAGGCTTGTTGCGGGAGAGAATTAGGCGGCGCTACCCATGTTGTAGGAGGTATGGAGGGTGGTTGTGGTTGTTGGGGCCCGCTGAAGTAGTAGAAGAGGGTGATGATTATTATAGCGGGCACAAGGTATCGCACAATGGCGGAGGGCCGGCGTGGGGGAAATGCGGGAGAGCGCATTTTGGATGAGATCATGGCCCTCCAACGCATGGGCGCATTCTTGTTAACCGATCGGCCGCGTGCGTCAGAAGCGAAGGAAAGAGACTTGAGAAGAAGCCGTCGGGGGAGACAATATGCCGAATACGTGGTCGCAAGCCTGTCGGTGGGTCGGTTTGCTGTCGACTGGTATCGCGAGAGAACGACAGGGTGGACTTGAGATGGCCAAGAACCGAGGTGCAGTACTGGGCAGGGCAGAGCAAAAGATCGACAGAGGGCCAAGGAAAGAAATGCCGGGTCTGGCAGGCTGCCTCTCTACGGGCAGGACACGAGTGGACACGACAGTAGAGTTTGGTCCAGTTCAGGCCGTGATCGAAGACGGAGACGAAGTCGACAAAAGGTGGGAGACTGTCAAGGTAAAGTCGGTGGAAGGCAGACACGGTCAAAGGGTTGCTGCTGCGTGGGAGGGAAAGTCTGGGCACATTTGCAAGACGGTCCCCAACCCCAGGCAAAAAAACGGGCCAAGGCTAAGGACGAAGGGCCTTCAAAATGCAGATGCAGGTGCAGGTTGCAGTCGCAGCGGCTGGACTAGCCAGGGGAAAGAGCAAGCCAACGGCCCAAACGGACGGGCCAGACGGGCCACGGTGAATGGCACGGTCGCAGCAAGAAGGATAGTTCCTCCTGCCTCCTGCCTTCCTACCAAAAAAAACCTGCTACCGTGTGTCCGTGTGGCCGTGTGCCAACCTTCCGTGCCTTCCCCAGCGAGGCGATTGGCGATCAGGCAGGCACAGCCCGCCTCGGATGGGCAAGAGCACGCTATAGAAGGAAGTCGCAGGGGTCCTAATGGGGCTCTCTGTGCAGGGATCCGACCCAATCCAGACCGTTTCGTTCCTTTCGCTTCTCTGGCGTTTCCCATCTAGCGCCGCTCGCTTCGTTTCTACGTCGAGCTTATTCTTAAATCTTGATGCTGTGAACTCCGTATCTCGAGGCTAAATCGACTACAAACAGCAGTTCGAACTCAAAGTCATGTGTGCGGACAATTATTGCCGTGCAAGACAGTCACCATGATTTCATGGGCGAACCACGCAGACTCAGATTTTCTGCAGGGCTGTCTCACCAGAGAACCCAACCTCCGGGATAGTGTGCCCTCTGTCTGTCAGTCGGGCAGTCGGGCAGTGTGTTCAGTCCAGCATGGCTGCTCTGGAATGGCGGGGCAGACCACGTTTCACACTCCAACCTCACCTCACGATGGACAAGCAGAGACAGAGGGGCTCCTGTCTGCCGGCATTAAGAAAGGGTTGGTGAGACATTCAGTCACGCGCAGGGCGGAATACTTCCTGTTCCTGTCACCTGTCACCACACCCACCCAGCTTTGGAATTACTATGCAGTAACAGTAACTGTCGAAACGGCTCTCCCTATCTTGGCTGATTGATTTGCCTGACTGCCTGACTGCCTGGTATGAACGGAGAGCGAGAAGACGGCAGCCAGGAAACGGTAGCCTAGAAAAACGGTGCTACAGCGAGCCACCATCCTTTCATAACGGGCGCCTCATGCAAGCCCCTGAGGTAGATCATCATCAGCCATCAGCAGCCACACGAGCAGCCCATCGCGACAGATTGAGTCAAACCCTCAGTCAGCAACCCTCGTATCGCCGCCTCAATCACGTATTGCCCACTCATCCATTAGCGATGTCACCATCATCCACCACCGTTGACATCGCGCAAAAAACGTTGCGTGATGCCACGCTCTGCACTGACTTCAACTTAAGGTGGCCGATCTCAGGGGCTCCCCCGATAGCCCCCCACAAGCTAAACCATGGAACTGTGGACGGCATGATGGGAGATCGGTCCAGCCCACTGGGGGAGCGGAGCAGTCCATGGGACCTTAATTTAGATCCTTGGCGACCTGGACACCCAGACTCCCGACTCTCTCTGCCCGCTCCAGACACGCCGCCTTGCCCGATTCAGACGACAGATGCGACTCCTGAAGCCTGCATCAGACGTTTTGCCTGTCCAAACTGCTCCAGGCAAAAGGCAATCCATTCATGGACGTCAAAACCTGTCGACATCAAACCGCCCGAGCATGACGGATGGCCGTGCGCTCTCTCTTGATCTACCGGCCGAGAGATTCGACATCGGCGACTACCTGCCGATTTGATTGAACCAAGTCAACACACTGCCCATGTCTTGGATCGACGCCCGCGCCTCCGAGACACGCATCTATCTGGAGCCTGGAAACAAGAGGAAATGACCAACGCGGTCGCTCCTCGTTCCGTCCCCCGCTCAGCTAATCAAATATTTCCAGAACCAGGTGCGACGGCGGCCACGGCATCTCAAACATGAGACGGTTGACCGCATCAATCGCAAGCTGCGACGCCAAACTCCCGTGTTCCCGGTGGCCTGGGAGAGCTGCAATGTCCCGACGCACCAGCTGCTGTGTCGTGTTCTAGATCTTCCACCGGTGTTGATGAGGATCTTCAACGTGTATTTTTACCTTCACAAAGGTTGACAGTGCATGATATCCTCGCCGGACTGCAGCAACCCGATTGATCGAATCCTTCCTAGTAGCACAGAGCTCTTCCGGAGGTTTCCCGCAAATAAAAGCATCTATAACATCTTCTGGTAGGTCGGAGCTACATCTTATGCCACGCAAGCCACGAATAAACCAGCACGAGAGACAACATCACTGCATCAGGGCTCGTGGCCTGCCCATTGTTTTGAAGGAGGCACCCAACTCGCCGGGAAGCCCAAAAGCAAGACCATTGCTTGCAGGGTCTACCTTGACAGCATCCCTGGCTACCAGACCTTACCCAGGCCTAACGCCACGGAAGGTACCGCGAAGGCGCGAGCCCTTGATATTATCACTCAAGTGCACAGCTGCACGGCCCGTTCTTGATCTGATCACCCTGAGTTGAATGAGTCGACCATAGTTGAGGCCAAGATCTGGACATGGGGCTGAAAAGAAAGTGGCCTCTAGAGTAAGAATTTCAGCATGTAGAGTATGCGATTTGTAGATTCGATGATTTCTATATGCACACGCGTAGATGCAGACAACTCCAAAATATGCAAACCCACCCAGCAACCTCTACGCCGATTGCAACCAAAAGGACACCTAGAATGCATCAATGGTAGTATTCCCCATCCCAATGCCCCCAGGCCCATCTTCCTCAATCCCAGTCAGGCTGGAGTCGTCCACCAGCCTGTCGTCCTCGAGGCGGCCCACGAGGTCGGCGTAGCTGGGCATGAACGGCCACTTCATGAACTGCTCGAGCAGCTCGAGCAGCTGGACCTGGTTGGCGGCGCGGCTCCCGACGGCGGCCTCGCCCGTCAGCGGGGTGCCGCCGCGGGCCGGGTCGACGAGGGACTTGCACAGGGGCTCGATGCCCTCGCTGGCGCCCGGCCAGATGAGGTCCATGTTGTCGATGAGCGGGACGACCGTGTTGGTCATGATCACGCCGAGCATCAGGTCGAAGATGTCGCCCGCGTTGGTCGTCCCGGGCCCCACGTGCCGCAGCAGCTTGTGCGGCGCCTTGGGCTGGATGTCGATCAGCGCGCAGGGCTGGTTGGGGAAGAACTCGGTCGCCTTGACGCGCAGCGGCTCCCACGGCCGCCGGTCCCACGACAGCACGGGGCCCATCTCCTCCGGCTGCCGCAGCACGTGCAGATGGTCGCGCAGCAGGGCCAGCTGCGAGAGCACATAGTCGGCCAGCTGCCTCACGGCGCGGTTGTACTCGTCGTTGAGCCGCTTCGACTCTTCTAGCAGCTCCTGCGCGCGCTCGGCTTCCCCGTCGGCCTCGGCCTGGTCTGCTTGTCTCCGCACCTCGGCTGCGGCGTCGCGCTGCTGTGTAAATTCCAGGAGCCTGCCGCCGAGCTTGTCGATCCAGCGGTTGTAATTACCGAGCATCTTGAACCGGCGGCCTGCTTTCGTGCCCTTTTCTAGCCGCCCCGTATCGAACTGCCTCTGCATGTCTTCGAGCTCGGCCTGGAAGGACTTGTCGTATGAGAAGCTTTCCTGGGTCAAGGGGAACGGAGTGTCCAAGGAGATGCCCTCTTTTTTAAACTGCCGCAGCAGTCTCGTCTCCCTGCCCCTGGGAGTCTTAACTCCGCTGTCCCGCATGCGGACCATGGCTTGGCGTAGGCTTTCGAAGTTGAGTTGATGTGGCCGAACTTTGTCGTTCCTCCCCTTGACACCCTCGTCTGCATCGTCAAGAGTTCCGTCCTTGCCGCACACTTCGGCAATGTACTCCGTCATCAATTCGGCCTCTATGGCGCCTCGCTTCCTCAATTGTATGACACGTGGTATTATGGTGGTCTTCTCATCATCCGGGATCCATACGAGCATGCGCACCTGGCCGTACTTTTGGAATTGGGTCGAGGTGCGGATGGACGTGATGAGTTGGTACAGGATCATGCGCGACATGGAGTCGAAAAGATTGTATTGTTTCTTGGGGTACATGGATAGGTTGATGTCGACGAGGAGGGTATCGTTTTTCGGGGGGTCTTTGTTGAGGTCGAGGCGGTCGAATTCAACTTGATTGGGCAGGTTCTCGGGAGTGAGAGCCTCCTGGAGTTCTTGCCAGATGATACCAGACTTGGGGATCAACTTGACGTTCTTCTTCTTGAGTAGAGGCTTGAGGAAGGGTTCGTAGAGGTCTTCATCGGGCTCGAGCAGCAGGTGAGACCGGGGCCCGACTGCATCATGAAGGGCCTTGGAGAAGAGGCCCGCGCCGGGGTAGATGGATACCAGATCGCATCCCTTGTGTCGTTGGAGAGAGGGTTTGAGATATGAAATCACGTCGCCTGTGAAGCTTCTTGATCAGCGCTGTCCTGTCTCGGTTGTGCAAAGAGCGCACTTTTTGGAAGGAGGTGTAGGAGGGTGGAAGGGAGTGGGCAGACGTACTGACAAGCTTCTTATCGACAATGTTGACTCTTGACCCGTCAGGGGCCTTGGGATCTTTCTTGCTGCCCTTTTTCTTCCGCGGCGCGAAAACACCCGTGTTCTTGAGCTCCGTGGCTACAGCAGTTTCAGCTTCATAGAGAGAGCGGTTGGCAGCCATCTTCCTCGTCCATGATCGCTGCTGTTGGAGGGGCCCGAGACATGTCCGGTTGGGGATGCCGTTGGCCGGGCTCAGACGGGTGCAAGGCCGGAGAAAGGCATGGAGAGCTCTTCCATGGTGGCGAGCTGACTGGAACATGAATGAGAGGGAGGTCAGAGGGGAGGTCGTGGGCAGGAGAAGGAATGCGGAGGGAGCAATGCATGTAGAAACAAGGCCTGTCGCGAAGTACAGGGGAGAGCATCTGCCCTGCGAGCTCCAAATCTGCAGAGCAAATGGCCGGCAGAAAGCCAGACTTTTTTGGGCGGGAAGCCTCGGCTGTACACAGCACCCACTCACCGCCTTCTTCATTGATCAGAGCAGCTGCGTCAGACCTGCAAATGCTTGGTTTATAATCGCGTCACGTCGTTTCTATTCGACTAGCATCGCAATGGTGTTTCCTGAATCCGCTCAGGAAGAACTTGATAGTCTGTAGAGATACTCTCCTTCTTGGGCCCGAGAGAGTTGAAGCCATTGAACTGGTTTTTACCTACCGCCAATGCTCTGGTTGCCGAGCCATCAAGCACTGTGTTTACAGTTGCGTGTATGTTGCCAGGAATTTCCCCTGGTACATAATAGGAGGCATGGATCAAGTTGTATTCTCGATTCCGAAGCACGCATGCTATTCAAGGTTGCCAGGTAAGCTGAGGCACCAAATTCGGCATGGTTTCTGTACGGACCTTAGCGGCCACAGCAGCTGGCCCCCATTGTACTCTGCCTTCTCACCACCAACATGTATGCATGTGGAGCAATGTCGCCGTGGGATTGCGCTAAACTGCCAACTACCATCCTGCTGGCTGCGTGACGCCATGGATGACCGAAGTCACTCGTTCTGAAACCTTTCACCTCTACATATTTTTCGGCAGTCCGACGGCATGGCGAGCGCCCTTTAACCTTACTACAAAGTGTCCTATTCCACCTACAGGCATCCCAACTCACACGGAACACTTTTCGGTTATAATATCTCGTTTTCGACTGTAACCACGGGACTCTTTGCCACCATGGCGAGTCAAGATGCCTACTACTCTGTTTCGACCTTGGCGGTTAAACCTGAGAACCAAGAAAAGGTGCGCAACAAACACTACTAGATACCATCGTGCCTACTTCTTTCATGTGCTGGCATTGCGCCTCGCCTGGGTGCTAATATCCACCATTTATATGGTTAGGTGGTCGAGTTCTTTGCCCGTGTAGCCAAGGCGACCGAAGAGCTGGAGCCTGCTGCCCAAATCTACCGGTGGTACAAAGTCGAGGGCAAAGACGAATTTGTTTTCATTGAAAAGTGAGTACTGATTGCTAATTGCCACCTGCGAAAGTCAGTCGCTTGTGGGCAAGGAGAACCAAGCCCCGAGCCAGCCTCGAAGTGTCCAGAGCTAACCGAAAGACCGCTGGGCAAGGTTCACCAGCGAGCAGGACTACCGTGCGCATCAGAAATCATCGCATGTGCAGGAGCTCTACCGGGAGTACCTTCAGTATCTCTCGGAGCCATTTGTATTCCACCCTATTGATACTTCCAAGGACAGGCTTGTGGGCGGTTTCGAAAGAGCCTGAGAAAATCGAGAGAGTATCACTACTGCAAGCATCCTTGGGTGGCACGATGAAATAGTGATCGCTCGATCATATTACGAGATGCACTTCACAAATCAAAACCATGAAAACATCGCGTTGTAATTTGAGAGCAAGGGAGAATCGAATTTCTTCGCTCATAACAAGAAACCTAAATCATGGCAATGCTATCATATCCTCGCAAGTCTCTAGATGGGTGCCAAAGTTATATCACCCCCTTCGGTCTCCAACGGAGCATAGTGGACGCCTCCGACCCCATTACCGGTCATCCTGACCGACTTTGTCTTCTCGTCCATCTCGCCTGTGATTCTGAACACGGTGGTTGGTTGGTCCTTAACCTCCATGAGCGCCGCAGTAAGAAGGCTCGTCATGGTGCATTGTGGGTTTCCTGTGGTAGAGTCGTATGCCATGCAAGCGCCCAAGAAGTTCTACGAGAGTAGATGTTAGCTGAACAGAGTTTGCAAAGGATGTGATTCTGGATTTCTTACAAGTTTCTTAGGACGTCCGGCGTTCGATGGAGGTGGTAGCAGCTTGTTTGATGTAGCGGGCCCTTTGACATTTGTTGCGTGGCAACAGTCCATGATGACCAGAACATCACAGGGTAGACTCATAAGCGTCTTGTGTATATCATCGTATTCAATATCATATTTGTTTCTGTGTGTGAGACAAGAGGATTTTAAATTAGCCGGAGACATGCGATTTGCACCATGAGGGGAAGGAATCAGAGTTCGGGTAGAGATCCTGGAAACTTACCCTGACAGTGAGAGCTTTCCTCCAGGAGCTCGCCCGCCATGGCCCACGTAGTAGAAGATGAAGAGATCATCTCGGTCCATTCCGGCCGCAAGCTTCGCAATGGAGTCGGTCACCTGGGCGGATGTTGGTGTCATCTTCTTCCCGAGTGTGTTACGTTGTCGTCTGATTTTGTAATCTGTTGAGGAGAAGTGATAGGCTCCGCTAAGGACTGTCTTTAATCTTTTCAAGTCACTTTTGCAGTCCTTCATAAAGCCAGTGTCGTGTTGATGTGGGATGGCTTGTCCGTTCTTGTCACATTGGTGCACTCGTCGCCATCGCGTGTACATGACCTGAACCTTGTTGTAATTTGCGGCCATCTTGATTAACTTGTTTGGCAGGTGAGACAGATGATAACGAGTAAATGACGGTATTTCTAGACTGTGTCCAATGATATGTCGGGGCTTGTATGGGAAGAGATACTCTGAACATAATGTCTCCATTTTGAGAACGCCACAATCTCCCGTGTTGGCATTTATACAAGAAGGATAGACGCAGCTAGCAACGACGCACGCTGATATGCATCAGCTCAGTACTTCCTAAGGGGGCGACATAAGCTGACTGGCCCCAAAATAAAGAGCGTCAGCGGCACACATAGATTCCAAACGTTGAGACATCTGCTGACTGTTGTCCCTCAGGTTGCAACACACAACCTTTTCGAGGACATATCTGCGACACCTCTTACAAGCAAATTTCCACCCAGTTCTCAAGCGTGGTCACCCTTTCGGGCTCGTGGCGGCGTGGGCTCTGACGCAGCATCTCCCATTAAGGATAATTAATTAAAGATTGTTGATGGGTAGTAATAACACCCAATATAGCATGTGACCACCAACATGACATAAACTGTCTCATGCTTTCAGCTGTACGCAGGCCGTGACCCGCCCCCGTTTCGAAATCTCAGTGCTACCACCTTACGCGGGACGTTCAGCTGAGAATCAGATACAATTCTTGACTCCCAACTCAGTTACTTGAAGCGATTTCTTGATATGATCTTTGGTCAATAACATAATTCAATTGCTGTCTTTACCTAACGCATGTCTTAAGGGCATTAAAAGTCTGGTTACCACGTTTGATTTACGTCCGGGCCTTTATGTACGTATAGAGTAAGGATATAAGAAAAGAAATGATCAAAGTTCGAAGACTTTGGATCATAAGGACATGGAGGTGAAGAGGCATTGTAGTTGCATCTTTGGATATGCGGACCTCTATGTAGTTCGTGATGCGGTGCTATGCGTGGTGTTGTGCATTGTGACTAGAGTTATGAAGCGCAGGTGCCCAACAAATTACAGAATTCAATGCAATGACTCTAGCGGGAGTAAATTAATTAACTTCAAAACTGTTTGAAGCACGGCGTTTCCTGGCTTGTAAATATTTGAATTGACGCACGAAAGGGGGCTCTGGAAGGTCAAGACCACGCATCAACTGCTCAGGAGGTGAGACTTGGTGCTCTCAAGAAATACTTTGGTCTTGATGAAAATACACTGAAGAGGCGGCTGAAGCCCTTCATGTCTTAAAGTTAGATCTATTCGAAATCATTTGCTACACTTAGACGGTTTACATACATAAAAATGATATGAATGTCTCATAATTCGTATTTAGGAAAGTTTGAAGGATTCCGAATCCACTCGATGACAGTATGACCCAGTTTAGGCACACAACTGATTTTATGGACCAACTTGAATAAGGCAGACATTATACCTTAAACCCAGGCTCCAAAGAATGCATGAGGATGCTCAACTATCTAGGCAACATACTCTAAATTGTCTTTTGACATGGCTTTGTCCTTTTTCTGTCAGTATCCAAATTGGCATGGTGAGGACTCAAGATAGCGGATTCAAAATACCCTGGATACTTTCAACCAACAAAGTTGTAAGTTGACTACAGGGGATACTTGCGTATGATATTTCTTCTTGCGTGGAATTATGTTTCTTTTTTGTTCAACATTGAGAATTGACGACACTCAAATATTTGTTCAAGTCTTTCTCTTTTAGGTATCAATAAGAAGGGGCGGTGCTGTACTTAGTGGCTTTCGCGCGTTCAGCTGCAAGGTGCTTTTGGCGGAAGGATCGCAAGCCTGTCTTTCGCAATTTAACCTCGTATTCCACACTCCACAGGAACATGTCGCAGACGCGCGTTGTGGCTCGAGCCGGGATCGATGTCATCGATTCCAACGGACTTTTGTAGCATTTCTACCCCTGACCGTAGCTCTCGGTATATATATCCGAAGCTTTTCTGACTGCTTGCTTGTCGAAAGTTCTTCAATCCGTGCTCACAAGCGCGCTTCACTATCACTCGTTTAATAGTTCTGTATTTCAACGGTCGCGCCAATATGAAAGCTTCTTTTTCTGCCTCGCAGGCGCTGGGAGTTGCGTTGATGATTTCCCACGCTCAGGCTTCACTCATCCCACGTAGTTTCTGCGTCGGAGAGCAGGTCAACACGACAAGCGGAATCATCCAGGGCCATGCAGCAGCAAACCGAACCGAGGTATCAGAGTATCTCGGCATCCCCTTCGCCCAACCTCCAGTTGGAGACTTGCGGTTCGCCGGTCCTCAGCCTTACCTCTCCAGCGAACCATTCGATGCCAGCTCATATGGGTTGATGTGCATGAGAAATGCTGCGGCGGCCAATTACAGCATACTCACGGCCGAGGGGTACCACCTGACATCGATCGCGGCAGAATATCTGGATACAATTCAAAGTCAGGGCTACGCCATGGGCGAGGACTGCCTTACACTCAATGTCTGGACGAAGCCGCAGGTGGGAGAGAAGGCCAAAGCAGTCTTGTTTTTCATCCACGGAGGCGGTATGTGTACTCAAGCGTTGAAGTCCTATGTTACTCAAATGCTTGGATAGTTCTCTTGCTGATAAATTCCAGGATTCCAGGGAGGCTCTTCTCACAATCCGTTCTTGACGGGTCAGTACTTCGCCGATGATGAAGACGTCGTCGTAATCTCCACAAAGTAAGCAGGCTTGTTTCCGGAACATGTTCAGCATCATCAGTCATGCTAACTCCACTCCTCCCAGCTACCGCACCAATTTGTTCGGCTTCCCTGGTCTAGAGCCCTCGGTAGCCAATGTCGCGCCCAACGCCGGCCTCCTGGACCAGCGCCTGGCGATCGAATGGGCCCGCGACAACGTAGCAGCCTTTGGAGGAGACCCGACACGCATCACCCTCTTCGGCCAGTCTGCCGGCTCAACCTCCATCTCGACATACGGCTACGCCTACGCCTCGGACCCCATCGCCCACGGTCTGATTACCCAGTCCGGGACAGCCGACGGCTTCGGCATCCCATCGCCGAACTCCACTGCATCGTTCCTGGCCCTCTCGACCCTACTAGGCTGCAATGCCACCTCCTCAGACCTCAGCACAGCCGTGGCCTGCGTCCGCGCCCAGCCCGCCGACGCTGTGCTGGCTGCGAGCGCCAGCGTCCCAGCAACGACCTCCGCGCTCGGCACCTTCTCCCCGACCGCCGACAACGTGACCGCCTTCTCCGACTACCCCACGCTCACGGCAGCGGGCGCCTTCGCGCAGATGCCGCGGCTGCACGGCAGCAACTCGGACGAAGGCAGCTCCTTCGAGATCGACTTCGCGCTGCAGGGGCTCGTGCTGCCGAAGCCGTACTGGGACTGGCACACGCTCGCCTTCTTCGGCTGCCCGACGGCCAGCTCGGCGGAAAGTATTGCGCAGGCGGCGCCCGAGGTGCCTTCGTGGCGGTACGTGTATGTCGCGGACTACCCCAACATGCGCCTCACGGTCGACCCTACGCTCGGCGCTTACCACGGCTCGGAGCTCAACCCCCTGTTTGGGACTTCTGAGTCGCTGGGCGAGCTTGATACGCCGGCTGAAGCGGCCATGGGCAAGTATATGAGGGCGGCGTGGGCGGCGTTTGCGAAGGACCCTTACAATGGGCTGGCCGAGGAGAAGTTTGGCTGGCCAGTGCTGCCGACTGATGACGAGGATGAGGCACAGACTGTAGTGTTGGGGCAAGGCAATGCTACCGTGGCGGCGTTTGAGCTGAGTTCTGTAAGGGATGCATTGTGCCCTACGGTTATGGACGCGCTGGAGGCGGTTGGGGGAACGCCAGGCTTGCTCCTGATTGCGCTGGCGTTGGCACAGGCGCTGCAGGATGTCGAGGATGGGGATGTTGCTGCAGTGAGCGAGGCCATTCTGGCTCTTGCTAGCGGAGGAACAGCCAAGTGAGATCTGCAGTAATTCTCGTTTCTTCATGGTTCTCTGTTTGTCGTCCCGGGACATTTGGGAAGCACATATACATCACTATGGAGTTCATAATATTGTTAGTAGACTGCTACGCTCATAGGGTTTCACATACTTGCCACATCACACTGGCTCTCCGGTTTGACATTTGAAAGACTTGCACAGCTTTGGTGCCTCGAATCGAGACCTGAGTCAAAAAGACGCAGCTTTGGTCCGAGGCTATAAACAAACGCTAGTTTTTTGTCTTGACCTCTAGGGTGTATTATCTTCTATACAAGCCCCGTGCTTGCCCTCCGCCCCTTCTCGACCTCTTCAAAGGCTATCTGCCTCAAACGGAACGCTGGCGGCGGGCTAGTCAGTCCGCTACTTGACAGCGTCTTGCTCCTCCTGTGAAGCCACTTGATTCCATCCTCTTCGCTCGAACTGGACCCCTTCCTCGAGCTCGGGAACATGGCCGTGCCACCTTCGACCACAGACTCCCCCCGCCGCACAGACATGTATATGAAGTCGTGCAGGAAGCTCGTCTCCAGCTCCCGCGGCTTTCTATCGTCTGTCCAGTACCTCTCCTCGCTCAGGTCCTTGGACAGGTGCTTGCGGAAGTACCTGTCCTGGCCGACCCACCACGCCCGCCAGCACACCAGGATCCCGATGGTCAGCGGGATGGTGATGGACCAGTATATCCAAAACCGCCAGCTGACGACTGCGTCCCCACCGCCGCTACTGTCGTCGCTTCCGGGCTGCCAGTCAAAGATGGACATGCCGAACAAGGAAGACATGAATTCACCCGGGAGAAATATGGCTGTTATGACTGCCAGTGCTTTCATCGAGGACGAATCTCGTGATGAGGCCACGGCCATCCGGGCGTTGAGGTTGTTGTCTTCTTGGGCCATTTTACTGTAGATCTAGGTCAAGTCAGTATAATTATCACCTTGAGGTAAGCATGCCGACTTACAATATCCACCAAAGCTTTACATCTCATCTCCAGAATCGTCCGGTCAGTCTTGAGCGACAGGCATAGCTGCAGCAACCCATCCAGATACTGCCGAATCTCATGCCAATGGCCCGTGAGCGGATCCTCCTGGATCCTCGCCTTCAAGAGCCCAGTACCAACTCTGCCTCGCGCAGACAGTGGCGTGGGGAACACGGCACTGCTGGGAGTGGGGCCGTCAGAGTCCTGACGCACGTCGTCGAGGGCATCGCCGGCCTCGAGCAGGATCTTGATGGCGCGGTCCATCCAGTTCAGCGTGTCGAGCAGGCGGATGCTGCGCTTGAGCACGTCGTGCGCGTTCTTCATCAGCTCCGTCGACTTCTTGTACACCTGCTGCTGCTGGCCCGACCCCGTCTGGCTGCCGTTGCTGCTGCCGCCGGGGTGGTGACCCGGCGGCACGCCGTACCGCCCTGGTGTCGCGCCCGAGGAGCTCGTCCGCCGCCGCCGTGCCGTGTCGTCGAAGGCGTCGAACCCTGCCATGTTGCTCACGTCCTTCTCCACCGCTACAACCTCGCTGTGGTTTTCTGCCACGGCCCGCTCTGTCCATGCGAACTGGACCTGGAGCAGCATGACTGGGATGACCAAGGGGTGAGCCCAATGCGATTTGCAGGTTTGCATTCGCTTGTCGTACTGGTCCAGATCCTCGACGGTGTGCTGGTTCGCGTCGAAAGACTGCCTGACGAGAATTGTCGTGATCCGGTCGGAGACGCTGTGTGTCATCGACAGGAAGTCATATGGTGCGCGCGGATCCGACGGGAAGGACATGATAATGCTGAGCTTCTCATGGTGTCGGTCCCAGAACATGGACTCGACGGTCGTGCGCCTCACATACTGCAGCGTGGCTGGGTGAAGGCCCATCAGATTGAAGTCTGCGCTGGTGAGATGCAGCCCGTCCAGGTTCATGTCTTCGCTGGACTTATAGTTCGTTCGGCGGTGGCAGATAACCTGCCTCACTCTGCCCTGCAGCAGGTGTGGCGAGCCCTTCCACTTAGGGCCCCAGTTGCCCTGGATATCGACGGACTGGTCCTCCTTCATGGCCTGATAAAATAACTCGTCGCCATTGCCATCTTCGCTGACGATGCACTGGCCGATGTGCTTGAGAAAGGGCCGGTCATGGTCTGTCTCGGACGACTGGATCGTGCTGGCGTAGTCGGAGTCCTTGGCAAAGACCGCATATTCCTGATACTTCAAGTGAGAGACCCCATCATGCAGCAGGACGTCGTTCTCGAGCGCGTCGGTGTCGAAGATGAAGAGGTCTGAGCGGTGAGGGTCCTTCTCCCCAAACATTCTGCCCTAGCTGGCCTATTACCAACGGCAACTCGGCAACTCAGGCACAAAACTCGACCCTAAGCCAGCACTGCCACCTCCGCAAAAACAAGAACCTGCCCGGGGTGCCAGCAAGAGTGCAACGTCGATCACTCCATGAATCGATCTGCCGAGCCTTTTGTGTCCCTTTTTGCCTGTTCTAGAATCTAATCAACGAGTTGCAACAAATCTAGGGCGGAAAAACAACAAAATCAAAATCAAAGCCTGCCAAGAACCATGAGTGTGGGCTTCGGCGTCGTGAGCAAAAAAGCCAGGTAAACCACAGCATTGCGTTGCTGGAAACGGCGAGAAAGTTTTCTTCGCAATTGATCGCCCTCCAGACCCCTGACTCGTCTCGTGCTTGGCACAGAGTGTCCTGCAGGATGATGGTGAGCTTGTCCAGCTGGTCACCGCTTGTCAGCTCCACCTGGGGCCGCGATGAGAGGCGCATGTGGGCAAGAGGGCCTGTCCAGCTGTCCAGCTGTACTGTTGATTGGTGACTGGCCGGCCAGCACCGAGGTCTCGACCCCGGGACCCTTGCGGATCCGTGGTGATAAATCGGCGATAAGTGATGATATATGGCGGGGCTTTTGGACGGGGAACAGGATGATACCGATCCGCTTGCGGCCACGCGATGCACCAACGGGAAGGTAAGTCTACCGCAGTATCGTCTTGAGGCCTCTTTGGGCATTTGCCAGGAGGGATGGGAGGGTGTCCGTGAGGAGAAAGGGCCGAAGGTGCCATTATGCGCCGCATGACTGCATGCTAATCTGCCTGAGAGGATGGCCTATCGCCTACTAGCGGCTCGCGTGACCATGCTTTAGGAATATTCGGCGGCTGGTCTGGCTAATCTGGCTGATCCTCGGAACAGTTGAGGCTCTGCAGCTGTGAGCATTGAGTTTAGAAAAAGCAAGAAAGCCCAACGACTGGTCTCACTACCGTATGTTCAGACTCATGTTCAGACTCGTGAGCCGCATTAGTCAAGACACGACCACGAGGATCGGCACGCTGATCGTCAATGTTGCCGAGATGCATGACCAAAAGCTTCGACGGATGAGTCGGGACCCCAGGTTCCAGTTCGAATTCGTGTTTGTGAAATGCGGTCAAGTCACAAGGAATAAGACGGTCCGACTGGTCTAATACTACAATGGTATTATAAGAATCTCGCTATGCTATATCTACACCGTCCAGGGCAAAAGTGTGTGTTTATATGTACACTGAAAGTCATGACATCAATAAACCCTATCCCGAAGAATCCACAAAAGAAAGAACCCATTTGACTTGCTTCGCAAGCATGCACTTCACTCCTCATCGTCTTCTAGCTCGATCTCCTTGCCGCTGCCCTCGTACAGCATCAGGCTCGAGATCCAGCCCCCAACAGCAACAGCACCGACGGCCCACCAGCTGAAGGCGACCATGCCCCAGTCCAGCCCGACGCCGTACCAGTAGCCGCCGACGATGGGTCCCACGGTGCGGAAGCCCGCCGAGACGGACTGGCCGATGCCGTGGATGGTGCCCAACACGGATGGGTGAGGGCTGCAGTTGTTGAGCAGGATGATGCTGGCGGGCAGGGTCATGGTGCGGGCCGAGGTGTGCAGGAAGAGGATGAACACGATGCCGAACCACAGGACGGTGGACGTCGTGGTGGTGCCGTCCTCGGCGGTGGACTGCGGCATGACGGCCAGGAACGGCGCCAGCAGATACGCGACGGGGAAGATGATGAGGAAGTAGCGGAACGACCGCAGCGTGCCCAGGCGTGCGTGCACCGGTGGGTACATGACCACCTGCAGCAGCATGCCCAGGACCCCGAGGATCGACGTTGCGTTGCCGACCGTCGACGCCGGCATGCCTAGCCCACCAGCGAACCACAGCAGGTTGCGCTTGCCGAGCCCGCGAGACTCGATCTCCGAGGCGGTTGGCATGGCAGAGTCGACGCGGGCGGGCGCGAAGCCAGGGCGGGGAGACGACAGGAACAGCGACCAGATGTTGGTGAAGGCGCCGAGGTGGAAGTCGTAGAAGGCCTGCGATAATAACGTGCAGATGACGTTCTTGGTCCACAGGCGACTGAAGGGCAGTGTCTTGCGCTTCTTGGGGGCGACCACGGCGGGCTGCGGGTTCTCGGACTTCTCGTCGAGGCGAAGCTCAGAGTAGCCGGTGCGCGAGTGGTAGACGTAGTCGAGGGGCCGGCGCAGCACAAAGGCCTTTGCGCGGGCGACGGCGTACAGGCCTGGGTCGAAAGAGTTCTTCTTGCTCTTGGACGTCTCCTCCAGGCCGAAGAAGACAGCGAGGAATGTGACAAAGAGGAAGACAGCGTTCATGATCGACGGCAGGGCGAAAGGGTATGCCTCGATCATGGACGAGTGGAAAGGGGCGCCGGGGCCGAACCAACCGGGGAGGGTCATGGCGGGAGCAGCCAGCCAGCCGCCGATGATGGGGCCGAGGATGCCGGCGACGTTGAAGCTCATGGGCAGGATGAGGAACGCCCGGGATTGGTACTTCCTCTCGACGGTGATCTCGGAAATCATGGTGCGGATGATGCCGACCAGGCCGTTGACGGAGCCCGAGAAGATACGCCACGCCATGGCAGCAGCGAAGCTCTGCGAAAATCCGTATCCGAAGCAGCCGATGGCCGTCCCCAGGGTACCGATCAGAAGAACCATCTTGCGACCTCCCCACCATCTCGATGAGTCGGCAGCCTTGCCCCAGGCGATGGCGGTCAGGACTTGAGCGCCGGTGAAGCATCCGGTGAGGAGACCGGCTTGTGCTGATATTTGAGAGTCGGAGAGGATTGCTTCTGTGTGAAGTTAGCACAAGGCATTAGCTTACGGGTCAGGAGTTTTCTTTGCCATACCTGCGCCGCCAGTCTGAATTGTCCGTTGCTCGGCCAAGTGCTTCAGCTGATAGAAAACATAGGCCTGCAGACTCGCCACCTGCAAGAAGTCCACAAACCGGCACATGAACAAGATGAGCAGCTGGCCCTTGTGAGGCAGAGACATCCAGGTGACGTGCTCCGGCTTAGCCTTCTTGCACTCATCTTTCTCGAGATCTCGAGACAGGAACGGGGCACTGTCCTTTGCAAGATCATCTTCCGAGTCGAAATACCTCTCACGGTTCGGACTACTTGTTGGGTCGAAGATTGTGACAGACGAGGATGATGACGCAACCCCAGGTGAGACGGCTCTCCTCGCATGTTCTTGATTCAGAAATGTGTCGAAGTCTGCCTCGCTCCCGAATTCTCCCTTCTCGTTCATGGATTCGTCCATGATATCAAATTGGCCCGGTGGTGCTAGCTCGCTCTGTTGTGAGTGAGCTGGGGTTGTTTGTTGTGCCATGATAGTCAGTGTGGGAGCCTGCTCCTCCTGCTCTGGCTGATTATGGTGTTGATTGATATAGTATGAGGATGCTCTCCTCCGGAACTGCTGATGCTTCCCTCTTATCCTTCACGTTTGGTCAGATATCGTCTGATGATACTGTGTATGTTCAGTGAATTGTGCAGTAATATCGGGGATAATGCCGGTTGATAACAAAAAAGGAAACAGATTTGGAAAACGTTGAACAGTGGGTGAGTGAGTGTGGTAGAATGGTATGAGAATGGGTGAATGAGTGACGGGCCGAGAATATTGACGGCAGAGATGTTTTGAAAAGACAACTCGGAATGCACAAAAGCAGGATGGCTGGAAATAGAAATGGAGGGTTGGAAGGCAATGTTCAGGCGGAGCACAAATCGACGTCGACAGCGGCAAAGTTGCGTGTACTTACTTGACAAGCCACAGTCTGCGTGGAAATACTGGGCCACCGGGATGTTGGCTGACGGGCAATCAATCTCAGTCAATCCCTGGCGAGACGGCCGGATGATAATCAGGGTCACCAGATGAAAACAATCAGAAAACAATGGGAACAGGTGCAATGGAGGGAACCAGGGCCTTGTTGTAGACAGGGAGGGTAGAGTATCTGAGCGTATACCCCTGACCCGGGTTGTCACCCTGGATCACCGATGATCGACCACCCTGGTTTCCCGAGTGGGAATGCCCTCCTCTCCTCGGTCGTCGGTCCCACTGCCAGAAAAGGCTCCACCGGAGAAAATGACTGCAATTCCCCACAGGACCCGGCTGCTGCCATCCACTCGCATGGCCGAGTATGGCAGTGGAGGAAACAGGACCGGGTACTCCAGATTCTGAATGGGCAGCAGAACAAGATGACGATATCAACTGCGTCCAGTGCAGGACAGCAGCGGGCCTGTCAAGCGTCCCTGGCCACTGAGCCCTCCTGGCGATGACCAGGAAGCCACCGCATGAGACAACAGTAGGCCATACTCGAAGCCGAACTTGTCATCGGCCGCGCACTCACTTGAGAGTTGTCTTTCATCCTGCGACTCTACCTGTCCTGCCCGCGGGCCAGATCAACCAAGATCTGGCCCAGAGGGGAAGGGCATTACGCGTTGCGTGGGTTGTTAACAGGACCCTCTTTTCCGCCCCGTTTCCTTTTTGATCGTCTATGCGCGAGGGAAAGGGAAGAGAGAAAAAAACAAGAGACACCCGAACCCGCACAATGACGAAGCCTAGCCTCGGTACCAGCCACTTTACATGCCACACCGCGAACTGCATCTGATAATCGGCTGTCCATCTAGCGGAGCGCCACATCCCGTTGACAGGCGAAGCCATTCAGCCGTCATAGCTTTGAGTCGTGATGTCTTGCGACCCCCAACCTACAATAGAAACAGAACAAGGTGCAGACCCAGATTCTTGGAATTGGGTGATAATCCCCAAACACCTGGGCATTATGTTCGTGTCGTGAGCCAAGCCGGCTGGCCGGCGGCCAAGCCAGTTGTTTCCGTTGGCAGAAATGCAGTGCAGTCAACCCAAGAACGGCTGATTGACTTATTCATGTCCAAGACGAGCCCGAGATGTGCAGGACCGCGTATCTGGAGTGTGCAACCACGAGCCTGGGTTGCAGTCCTCCATGTTCTCCCCTTTTGTTTCCACAAATGGGACCCCCTGATTCGCGCTTACCGGCCTTCCGATCAATCTTGATATGCACGGCGGCAGCCCGGGACTCGGTTTGGCCCACTCATGCGGTATCAGGGCTGTCGGGTCGGCTGCCGCTTTACATTTGCCGTTTCACTGTGGCGTCCTTGGTTCCTGGATTCTGCAGGTGACAGGCGGGCGGCTTTGGCAGGCTGGCAGGCGCCTACGACGACGATCAGCAGCAATCAGGAGGTCGTCGATCTCTCTATCTGTAGATGGGGTCCATCTTATGGATCCATCTATGGATGATGCCGGGAATCGGGCGTGCTCCCTCTTTGAAACATTCTCGCCAGCCAATCCATCAGTTCATGTCACAGTCAAGCTCGCCTCGATGGCGGAATTGGAAGGTCGGAAGGTCAAGCTTTTGATGACTGGAGCTTGGGATTGACAGTGAAAGTCAATGCAGAGGCCGTCTCCTGCCTTAGTTGGCTGTGCTTGGGATGAACGGAGGCAGCGGGCCTTGGCGACACCTGTTGTCTGCACGACCATTGGCGAGCCGCTGAAACCTCACAGCCCTATCATAACAAGGTGGCCCCCCTGCCAGCCTGGTGTGCACACCCTTCTGCCGCGCTATCAGGCTACTCGGGCTACTGCGTATCTGCGACAAACCATCGACCGTTCAGCCGTTGCACCTACCATAGTACGGTATCTTTCATCAGCAGTTGTTGATCGACCGCCAAGAAATGCGGCAGCCAAGCGAAATGACAGGCTAAATATCCGCCATGTACTGTGTAGCAGCAAACTTCCGCAGCTTCCTTCATCAGTCAGAGATGCGAGCCGGGGGCCGGAAATGCTCGGCCGTCGGGGGCGCTTCCTTGAAGGGCAACGACTGACCGCCCGTCGTATTTACGAGCAAAGACGCGTGTATGGCAGCGCGTGGTGGTGGGTGGTCGTCTCATGCCTATGACGACTTGTCTCCAGACGGTTTATGGCCTGGATGCCATGCACAGAGGTTACCATAATTATGTATGCAGGCCTCCGGCTCCGGGGCTGGGCCATGTGTCCCTGGTGTCCCGAGGGCACGGGATGGGCCTGTCAAAATCGGGCTCGAGGACGAGACAGGCTTGAACGCGACAGCAGACGTGGGTTTGGGACGAGGTCGGCTCGTCGACAGGTTCAGCCTCAATGCTACGCAGTAGCACTCACGCAGGGGCTTACGTAGGCCCCTGGCCTTGAAGTGGATCGGGCAGTTCCTGTCAAGGTCCGGGGTATCAGGCCCTCTACAGATCAGAGTCGTCCATTCCGGGTGGAATTTTTGACGACTGGATGACGATGACAAGGCCATTTTCGATCTTACCCAGTGGATGGGGTCTCGCGAAAAAAAGATCGAGGTTTCAATTATGGTCCAAGATGGTCCAATGTGGGAATTTGTTTCAACCTCCCGCTCATTCCCCCGAAACAGGTGAATTGTCGATGCAATTTCGAGGTCAATGGCAAGCCAGTGGGCAGGCTTCCTATTCGAGGGTGAGTGTTGGTCATGATCGTCCTGGTCACACCCCGGAGAATTCTTTTCACTCAATCACATACAAAGGTCCAGTTGGATGGCGAGCCGTCTCATATATCAAAAGTCTTGGCAGTCTGGAAGCCGGTTTATGGCCAAATTCGATTCCCACCACCAACCACTCTTGTCAGTCTATCCCCGACTTCCGAGATTCCATACTAGGAAATGGTACCCACAACCCGCAGACCCACTCACAAGCGGCGAATTTGCAAATGTGGCTTCTGGAACCCTTCTGCAATCAACTTGAGAAGAGGGAACAGACTCGAGCTAGTCTTGTTCGTCAGCCTGCTGGGTCAAGGCCGTGGCCACAGACCAATACGCCCAAGCCGGGCTAAGTTTCAACGCGACATCCCATTTTCTTCATCTCAGGGGAAGGTAAGGAGACTATGGGGTTCAATGAATCGAGTGCCGGCCCGACAACTTGAGGCGGTTCCCACCGTGAAAGGTAGAGGCCCAGGGTCACACTGGTCGGCATTCAGAGTCTGTGTCTAGCGACTCCAGATATCAGACGATGACGCTAGTGGTCTAAGCATTTTGCAGCCACGGTACAATATCGTGCATTGACTCGAATAATCGCACTGATAACGTTTCTTGCCCGCGCGAGTGAGGCCGCCAGATATTTCTGTCATGGGGACAATTCCCACAGGATCAACGCAATCACATCGGCTCAGATAAAATACGTCTACAGTGGTGGTATATTGGTGGCGCAACTATCGTCGCCCGCGTCCAGGATATCCAGCCTGAATACACAGCCCTGTGTCCGGCCGTGAGAGCTGGATCCTGGGCACGAACGGGAGCTCAATATCAGCATGCAGCCACTGCCGCACGCAGAGTCCACGCCTTCCCGTACGAGGCGATACGTTGATATTCAGGGATGGACTGGGATTGCAGAGTGTACATACGCAGCAGGACCAAGCCTCTTGACCCTCGAGCCGCAAGGAAACAAAATGGATATGGGACCCACTTGGCCGATCTCCATTCTCTCCTGACCCCCTTGTTCATGTCCGTTGGTGGACCTGACTACTTCTTAACTCTCCTGGTCCTCCTTCTCGATGCTCCATCAAGTCCATGGTTCATTAGCTTATATCTTCTCTCTGTCTCTTAGACATCGACGTACAAAGGCGGATCGAGCATCTCTAGACGCCATTCTATCATTGCATACTCTGGTGCAAAACCATTGACCAGACATACACTCGTTGACAGTATTCTTCAATTCATCATCCTTCCTTAGCGACTTTTCAAGTCTACTCATCATCTCAAACCTCTTCCAAGATACCCAAACACCCCATAAACCACCATCACAATGTATACAGAGGTTCCACAAACAGAGAAGACAGGGCAGGAGGTTGCCAAGCTGCCCTGCTATGCCGACACATACTCCCGCAAGCCCATCACAGACATCTTCACAAAAGACACCGACGTGGACAAGCGGGGACGCAAGAGGACAGTTCCAATGAAGGTCCTGCTGCTGGCGGTGGGAAGAACAGGCACAGCTTGTAAGCAAATCTCTCACTCTGCCTATATCCCAGATATCAGACTCCTGTTGTCCAACGGTGGATACTAACCCAATTTTCACAGCTATGCGCGCGGCAATGCAACATCTCGGTTACGTTGAGACCTACCACATGATGTGCGCCTCCATCGAGAACCCACCAGACGCCCTGCTGTGGCACGACGCCCTCGTGGCCAAGTACTTCCCTGAGAAATCACCCCTGCCTGCGGGCACGATTCGCACCCGCGAGTTCTGGGACCAGCTTCTGGGCAATTGCCAGGCCGTGTGCGATTGGCCTGCGTGCGCCTTTGCCGAGGAGCTTATGGAGGTGTACCCAGAGGCCAAAGTGGTGCTGACGGGCCGTGACGTGGACTCATGGCACAAGTCGACGATTCCCACCGTCTACTGGCGCGCCACCGACCCGGAGCTGCGCATGCTGGGCAACACGGTGCTGCCCTTCGGCCTGTCCGGGTCCTGGGCCGCCCAGATGTACCAGCCCATGCTCAAGATGTTCTTCGACACTTTCTTCGAGGGTGACTTTGTCCACCGCGGCAAGGAAGTCTACCGCCGCCACTACGAGAAGTGTGTGCGCCTCGCCACCGACGACGGCAAGAACCCTGACCGCCTGCTCGAGTTCCGCGTCCAGGAGGGCTGGGAGCCGCTCTGCAACTTCCTGGGCGAGCGCGTGCCCAAGGCCCAGAAGTTCCCCAACGTCAATGACAGCTCTGACTTTGTCAGCCGCAGCCGCAGGAGGAACAGGATGCAGATGATGAACGTCGTCATGCGCCTGCTCATGTGGTGGGTCGTCGTGGGCTTTGTGTGCTACGTCCTCATGGGCATGTTGACTTCTTAGAGAACTCGTCTTCTCTGGCGTTGTCGCTTAGAGTAGTGCATCTGATACCATTGTTTGATTTACGGGGTTTGGGTTAATGATATCATACACATATACTGAGTATACTTGGTTTACTTGAGGGCGTTTGGGACTTTGGTGGACATCAAGCAAATGGCATCTGGGCCAACTTGCGAACACATTCGGGGGTTTCATGAGGAAATTTCCTCGCTTGCATTCAAAAAGCTCCCATTGTTGACTTGGGCAGCAATTATCTGTACATAGATTATTCAAGTACATCTGATTTTCACAAAACTTCTTTAATTGCTCAAGAGTGACAATTACGCGTTCTCGCTAGCCGCCGGCTACTAATCTAACGATGATTTGGCCCCCATTCAGTAGCGCCCACTCCGCAATCCTCCGCCCATTGAGCCATCCCAGATCGTTAGATCCACACACCAGTGGAGTCGGCTAAGAGTGTTTTCATTCCAGACTGCTCTAGAGCGGGCCGACCGGACTTTCGATTGTCGGCGAGCGCGAAGGTCGGAAGCATTGGTCAAGAGTGAACCTCAAGAACATCCGACTTCTACGCCAATGAGGAAACATCAGTCATGGGAGCCGCGTAACTATTGTTGACTGCCCACTCCCAAGCTGAACTGCTTGCGCAATCAAGTGGGTCTCATGAGATGCATCCTTTCTTTGAGTTTCTCCCTCCTTCCGGTCTGTTGGACAAACATGGAGTCTCACGGTCAGCATCACGACGGTCAGCGAAACGGTTGAAAGGAGGCCGTTCAGGCTCAGGAGGTGTTTCGATGCTGCATTGGGCAGTCAATACCTGCCAGAGGATGGCGACCAGACCAAGGTCAGGTTCCACTCCGTGTGGCCGATCAGACCAATGCATTTGACGGTCAGCAGGTAGTGAATACTTGGGGTTTTGTTTGATACAATGTGTGTAGGAATGGTCCATAAATGCTCAGCGATGGATTCGCTCTGGTTGCATGTCGGTTGATGGCTTTGCCTGCGGTGGCCTGCCAGGCTTGTCTGCTCGTGATCTGCCTCTGGACCCTCTATTCCTTCGTTTCATCTTCACGATCCGGGCAAGTCACTGCCTCAGGAGCGCTTATCAACATCATTGTGTATACATGACGTCTCGATTGACTGCCTTGTAGCAAGTCAAAGACCTTGCTCCACGCTGTGCTCACGAGTATGATTGACGGCCGGTAAGGAACGCAAGCAATGAGTCAATGGGCCATTGTCTTCGAACGTTGAAGTCTCGATGACTGCATTTCCATTTTGGACTCATTCTAACATCCGTACTGTCACCTAATCGCTATCTCCCCTTATACTACCTGATTCGTTTGCCGGTCTCCTTTTGCCGAGAATCGTTGTTGTTGTGATTCTGATCACGATGAGGATGTCGACGCCAAGACCGACATAAGCCACCACAAATGCATGTTGCATGAAGCGTAACTTTATTTGTGCTTTGACTACCCCAGGTGGTGTCTCACCGTCGTGTGCCGCGTAATTGCTGATGTGTTTGTGTCGCTTTACTGAATTGTGCTGATCAAGGAGTTCGAGGCTGGGAGATTACATCTCTATCCCAAATTTAGTGGCGAAGGGGCATCCGTCACTCGAGGTTCGACCTCACTCGCTTCAGTGGGTTATCAAGACAATCAATTGGGTGATTTATAGAAATGTCACCCATTGTGTACAATCGTATTCAGCATCTTCATCTTCTGCGTTCACTAGGCTGAAAATGCCCCAACGCCCTGCAGACAATCGAAAACGTGTGAGTCTGGGACAGATGGATGGCTGATAGGGGTCTTGATCTGTTCCTCATGGAGTACATTACTGTGCATAGCCGGGGTATTGCTGTCATCCCTATTGCTTGATATTTATGGAAAATAATTCCAAAAATTGGTCTGTCGAATCATTGACGCACGCATCGTGGGATTTTGACCAAGCCCGTCCTTCTACAGAGCAAATAGTCATCGGCTATGAAGAGTATCGTTGGCATCACCCAGTAGGACAGCTCCGCAACAACTTCGGCGTGCAGCTGCATGTCGTAATCCACACGGGCGACTGGTTAACCATGTACAATATCGCTAGTCATCCAGCCCGACTGGACCACGCTGCCCGTAGTCATGTTGGCTACGTTGTCGCTCGAGATCATCATAACCATGGTCGAAAACTCCGCCGGTTCTAGCACCAGGGCTGAGCTGAGCGGCATGGTTGCATCTGTCCTAGCCCCAAACTTGACCAAATGCCTCCGGTGCGCTAAAAGAAAAAGAAAAAAAAACAGAAATTTACGGCCGCCGCTGGCCTCCTTGCAACCCATCCGTAGTCTCACTAGCCTCCAGCCTACTCCGAGAGCGAGTCAAGGTCGAGCTCCTCACGGCGTCTTCTGACGAGCAGCCTCAGCCCCGGGTTGACAACAATGCCGCTGCCCACGTTGACGTCCTGTGGGTCGTGACCCTCGGGGAGCTTCCAGTCATACTTCATCAGCAAGTGGGCCAGCGCGATCTTGACCTCGTTAGCGGCGAAGAATCTGCCGGGACAAGCGTGCTCGCCATGGCCGAAGCCCATGTGCAAGGTGCTCGTGCTGACGAGGTGGGCAAAGTTCTCCTTCTCGGGCTCGTCACGCCAGCGCATGAAGCGATAGGGGTCGAACTTGGCGGGGTCCTCGTAGCTGCTGCTGTCCCACATGTTGGTGGTGTCGACAATGATCTTCTGGCCCTTGCGGATGACGAAGCCGTTGGACAGCTTGACGTCGGCCAGAGCGGAGCGCCGGATGCCGATGAGGATGGGTTTGAGCCGCTGCGCCTCCTTGAAGACGCTGTCCATCAGCCTGAGGTTGTAGAGAGACGTCTTCTTGAGCCCCTGCTTGCCCAGGACCTCGACGACCTCGTCGCGGAGGGGCTGAACGACCTCAGGGTGGCGGGCGATCTGGAGAATCGTCTGCTGGAGCAGGTCGGTAGTGGTATCGATTGCTACGATGGACAGCATGATTTGCAAGTTGACGGGGTCGTGATCCGGGCCGTACTCCTTCTCGAACCAGCCCATGGCGTCGTCGAACACGGGCAGCGTCTCACCCCGGGCGAGCGCCTCTGCCTTGAGCGCCTTGCGCTCTTCGACCACCGGCTGGAGGATCCGGCGCGCCACAGCCAACTTGGCGCGCACCTCCTGGCACGAGGGCAAGAACCAGTGGACGATCGGCCGCATGAAGCCGGGCCAGGTGCGCAGCATGTTGGCGGTGTCGAAGGCGATGCGGGTGTAGTCGGAGACTGCGCCGACCCACTCCTCGTTGCGGCACATTTCCTCGCCCATGAAAATCCTTGTCGACATCCGCGACACGAGCCTGGCGATCTCAACATGTGCCGTGATTTCATGCCATTCTGTTTGTGTCAGAGAGAGTTGTTGTCCAGCGATAAGAGGAGAATCTGGCGAAGAAGGGGGAAAAACATGTAATACAGAAAGAGAAGAGAAGAGCCTTACCTGGAGAGTCTGAGAGGAGCTGCTGCAGTCCCGTAGTCGCTTGTTGTGACAAGGGCATAGTGAGCTTCGCTTCACGTGTGCGTGCAAGATTAGCTGGAGGATTTCAAGCCCGCTGTCTCGAGGCTATTCAGGACGGGGGTAACCACAAACTCACCAAGCGCCTTGGTCAGGTTTCTGTTGATCACATTGACGGTCTGTTTCGAGAGGTCAAAGGGCTGAAATCCAGGAATATCGCCGTGGGCATCCTAGGAAGAGAGAGAAGTCTGGTGAGTCTCGAGGGCCTTCACACAATTGAATCTGAGGTCTACTAGGCGGGCATCGGCTTCGTTCGAGGCATACTTACATGTTTAGCTTTCTCCAGGAATGACAGTGATGCGTTGTTCCGAATTTCCTGCATGAACTCTGAAGGTAACACGATCACATCGCCAAAGTCCGAGTACAGCCGGTACAGCTTCTGTCCGTACGTTTCTCGGCCCTGAATTAACATTTGTTTGCCCTTGGCGAGATATTCTGCCAGCAGCCGACGCGTCGTGAGCTCGAAAGGCTTCTTGGGGTTAAGCCTGGGAAGGTCATCCTTGCTGTCTTGCAGGGCGTACACCACCAGGACGAAGAGAAAGGCCGTAACAGTATATACGAAGGGCTTGTCTATGGGAGCCGAGAGGGGAAAGCCTGCCCCTATTGGGTCTGGATTTGCAAGTCGCGCGGCCATGGTGGCAGGCGCAATTAGACTGGAAGATGAAGATTTGTCGTTGTGGGTTTAGCAATAGGTGTTAGATTTTTGTCCCAAAACCCGTCAAAGATGACGGAGAAGTTAGGTTGAATGATTGCATCCCATCGATTCTCTAAGGAAAAGAGGCGGTCATATATTGGAGATTTGTTGCATAGCACTATAGGGGTCTCCACCTACCTCTGCGACTTAATGCTCGTTGTATGGCCAATGCTTTCGGGATCATCTAAAAGCCCGCTGGCAGTTTATGCGGTGGTGAGGTCCCAAGAGGGGATCCACCCAAGCTGCTGCATGGGCGGCTCTTGGCCACTATACGTGTACTTGGTAGCTTACTCGTGCTGCGGCTCTCCGATGCAACAGCTGCACGCTATGGTTGAAACGCCCCGTCTACGCGGGTCTTCGGGAACATGTTAGGTGCCGGAGGCCGAGGAACGCCCGTCAACCCACATGGCATGTTCAGTATTTTCTTTGCTTCGGCTGCGGTTGTGACTGAGCCAGAAATCTATGCGTCCTTCCGACTTTGCCAGCGCAATAGCTGTGCACGTCGTTTATCGAGACATCAGAGGGAGTACGCGCTCAGTACCTATCCAGAGTTCCGGCCTTAATAGCCGTGCCGGTCCTATAGTTACAAGAAATTCGTGCTGACGAGCGCTGGAGAAGGCTACATCAACGACCGTCTATGAAGCTCCCGAAGAACAAAGGCGATAAATCCATGGACCTGATTTGTGTGAAAAATGCAAATCCACAGAATGCTCCAAATAGGGACGCATTTTGTGCCACACGTTCGATTTATCCATCAGAGCACCCTCAATGAGCAACTCAAAGTTCATACACCACCACCGCTCGTCGTAGATTACGTTTTGAAAGACAGCGGCCAGTGACCAATGCATAGTTCTGGGATCAACAGTGTCATCCCTCAAATTAGATTGTTCGTTCAAAGCCTTTATCCATGACTCAAATTGGACCTACTAAAGCAAAAGCACCTATCTCAAGGACCCCAAGCAATTTGAAAGCCATGCTGGCATGAGACAATATACGCTGGGTACACCGACGTTTGAGTGCGTAACGTAGGCTCGAACATACTCCCATTGTGTTTTATCTCAGACCTTCCGAGACAGATCAGGATTTTTTAAGATTTACAGTATATCGATAGAAGAGTGGTTTAAATTGGGTAAATTTTGAGTTCAAGGCAAGGAATTCTTTTTTCAGAAGTAACGTGCACCGCATGCGTCGATTCCAGTATGGGATGATGCACATGTCTTGGTGCTACCCGACGATGACAGGACGCGGCTATGAGCGTCATGGAGGATCGGAATTTCGCAGCAGAACATCAATGTGTCCCAAGGCATCCGGGATGAGGACCCTGCGGATGAATGAAAAGGGACACGTATGGAAATGAAGCGAGAAGCGTCCTTCGAGGATGTGCCGAATAAGAAATGAACAGACACGTTCAACCTCACTTCTGTTTCCTGCCTATCGAAAGCCACCAGCCTCCTGAAATTAGAGAGGGCAAATCAATAATATCAATTGTCCAACATACTAGTATTCCACCTGACAATCACCATTCAAGGTCTCCTAGACACAGCCCCGGCCTCACCATTAGCAGCGGGTAAGTTCCCAAGATTCTCATTACCGCATGCCGGCACATTAGTTTCTACACAGGTACTAGATGACCTCTTTCTAACAAAAGAAGAGCCACGCCGGAGACAATACCACCGCAGCCTGGGCATGCGTCTGCAAGGACGCTCAGGCGTGCGACAAATGCCATGCAGTTGAGACCTAGCTTCACAAAGACTTTAAGGAGCTAGAGGATTACGCTCGCTTATCTCAATCACAGTGGTGAACGTTGCCTAGGTATGTTCTCACATTGCAAACGCCACTTGTTTGGCAAGACCAAATTGTGAGTCACTTGAGCAGACTCTGAAGCCTCAACCTTCTGCTTAAGTTGCTTGAAGATGAGAACCATTGTTTCCCCTGACTAATTGCCCCAGGCAAAATTCCACTGCTGCCCGCTGTGTGAACAGAGTAAGAAAATGTGCATCGCAGTCACGCACAGACGTGACGATCCTCGACGCCTGGATGGTGGTACATTCGGTTGCGGCCACAGTCCAAGAGCTCACAAATGCTGGCACTGCTTCTCGATCCCCGTCCTCAAAGGGTCTGGAGGAGCCGATACTGTCGGTTCCTCACTGCCTCTGATCTGCTACCGTAGATAGAAGGAGAAAGCCAGAGAGAGAACATGGGCAATGCTATGTATTCCCAATTCATGCTGTGAAATCGGCTATTGCCCATTCCCGCATCGTGGCTACCCTGTCGTGGGTGGTTGGGTGGCTGGTCAGATCGGGAGCGCCCGCGCTGGTATCCCTGTCGAGCCAGGTACGTAAACCTGGGTACCTTGGTACCTGCGTGCCCGCGTACCCGAGGACCAGCCCCTCGCTAAGCCTGATTGGGTGGGAGGGGCTGCTGACTGTGCAGCACTGCAACTGTTAATACAACTGCAATAAACAACGGCAACGGCAGTAGATCGTTGGGACCAGATTCAATGAAGACACGATGACGTGCTGTATCGGGATGCGACATCACTACTGCAATAACATGTGCAGTCCTGTACAGCACGGTACTGCGGGTTTAGCATTTCTGCGGTACGACGACGGTCTCGTATTCTCAAAAGCTAGGGGAGGGCGGAATACTGCGTGCTTTGCAGTAGGAGAGCGCCTTGAGTGGGGCTAAGCGAGTGGCTGGGCCAGTAGCTGGTCGCAAACACCGCAGTAAGCAATCGAATTGAGTTTTTGGGCTGAGAGAACAGACGGTAACATGTGCACACTACTCGTCCCCCAAGCTTCGACGGACAAGTTCGAAAGCCATCCACTGTACATCTGCATCTAGTGTATTTACTTCTGCATCTGTACTTGCATGCGACAGGCTGCATACGAACCTGCGATGTCACGATTCTGTTTCTGAGCAGCCAACCCTGTTGCCTGCAAAATCTCTGCAGCTCCATGACCTAGCTAGACTCTGCCAGCTTACTTGATCTGCTTGTGACCTGCTCTGAAGCTGTCCTCTCTCTCCCCTCCCAGCCACCCCAAACTTGCGACATTGGGCTTCCAAGCCTTCCACTCCCCACCACCTTTTTTTCTGTCTCTCTGTCTGGCTGGCTGGCTGCTGTCGATCCCATCTATCTGTCCATCTGCGTGTCTCTCCCAGACCGTCAGATTGCCTCATCAATATCGGATGACCCCCATGTGCTGCTCCTAGTCCCCACCCACCTGCTCCCTCTTCCTTTCTCATTGCTCGTTTACTTTGCACTGCGCGACTCGTTGCACCACGCTCGCTTCAAGCTTGCCCGTGTCTGTTTTCTGTCCCTGTCTGTACATACAGCATACCAGCATACATACAAAACACTCCCGTGCATACGACCCGCACCCATCCCATGAGGTGAGATGAGCTCCCCACCCAAACCACGAGTCCAACGTGACCGCCAGAGGGACCAGTACGAGCGCTCATCCCCTCCAAAGATCGACTTCGGCATCGACTCCACCGCTAGCGATCTGATGCCACCCGTCCGCGCCCCCTACGTCTCTCGCAACAAGTCCAGCTCCGTCTCTTCCGGCAGCACCGCCAGCTCGCCAGACCGCGAGAGGGGGCCCATCACATACCCAAACTACTACGACTTCACTGAACCTGAGCCGCAACCTCGCCCCCACCAGAACGGCCACTCGCCCCAGCGAGATCACGTCAGGCGCAGCAGCAACGGCAACAACAACATGGCCAACATGGCGATGCAGGTGCCCATCCAGCAGCAGCAGGGCCAGGGTAGACTCGTCGACAACGCACGCAACAGCAACGGCCCCGTCACCACCCAGCAGATAGCCCAGGCCGCCCGCAACAACGCCGCCCCGCGCGGGTCCAGACCGCCCAGCTACAGCGGCTCGCAACACGGGCCCCGCTCGCCCGAAGACGCCAGCATGGCCCCACCAAACAAGGTCGACATCGACGCCGCCCGCTACCGGCAGACACAGCAGCGGCGGCCCCAGCCCACAGCCAAGGACGGGCGGCCACCGACAAACGGCAGCAGCGGGGGCAACCGGCCGCCATCATCAGGCATGGGCCGGCCCGTCAGCCCGGACTCGCCGCTGCTGTCGCCGGCGGCGCACATCCAGCGGCTGCCGACGCCGAGCATCACGACGAGTGTGCTGCAGCCGCTGGACGCCAAGGTGACCGAGTACGGGGCGCTGATGGCCGAGGCGCAGGCGGACATGGCGCAGCTGGACGAGGAGCTGCGGCAGCTGCAGGAGCGGCAGCGCGAGGCCGAGGCGCGCTTCCTCGACGCCAAGGCCAAGCACGACGACTACCGCCGCCAGTACCACGACGTCGAGCGCGCCCTGCGCGGGGACTTCGCCAACGCCAACGACGGCATGCGGAACGGCAACGTGCCGCCCATGCCGTCCATGCCCAACCTGACGAACCGCCACGACATGATGATGGATGGCCCGAATAACAACCGTGGAGGACCCATGGGGGGACAGCCGCCGGCGATGAGGAGCCAGCGCACCGTGAGTGCCCATAGCGAACAGCCCAGCATGATGAGCCAGGAGTCGGTGCGCACGCAGAAGAGGGGCCGCTTCAGCAGGATATTCGGGGTCTGAACCGATGCCTTCCGGGGGAGCGATGGTTGCTGCTGCTGCTTTGGCAAATCAGCGGTGCATGATGAATGATGAAGTGCATGGAGAACGAGGAAGGGGGATGTGGTCTGATTTGGTGCTTTGATTGATGCTCGGCTGATCATTTTAACGACGACACGAAACGAAATTCAAAAACTCTCGGGGTCCCTGGGGCTAATGATGATGACTATGAACAGGTCTCTTGGGCATAATGGGAATCTGCACTCTGTGATGTACGTATGCGCATCCGTGGATAATGGAGGCGGACAGGAGGCGGAGACCACACCACACACAGACGGTGTAATTCACAGAAGGCGTTTTGGGTTGGTTCAGGACATACAGGGAACCGGGGGGTGTTTTGTCTAATTTTTCTTCCCTGGACATTAATGATCACCACCGGACAATCTGCAACGAAAGTCAATAAACCGCTTTCATTCTTGGTCAACTATAGAATCAGGAGGGTATCAATCCTGCTTTTTCTTTTTTTTTTTTTAGGTAATTACATGGACATATTGCATTAAAAACTCGCCGCCAGAATAAAGGTCTAGTTGTGGTGGGAAAACTTTCCGACTCTAAAACGCCTCGCTCACTTGGTTTTGGTTTTTAGAAAAAAAGGAAAAGTGTGTGTGTTAGAGAGTGAGAGCTTAGACCTGCCCTGACAATGCTGTGTGATCCCCGTCCCAGATGTGACGATCATAGCATCCCCCCATATCCGCCTGTGGCAGTCACAGGCTTCATGTACATCGGCGCCTCGGTCACAGAGGGATTTCGCCGGTGAGATGACTGCTGGCGCGAGTGGTTGTTCTGGTACTGGTTCTGGCTCTGTTGCTGCTGCGAGTACTGCTGGTATTGCGGGTATTGTTGTTGATATTGTTGTTGTTTCTGCTGCTGCTGCTGGCCCAGCGGCACAATGAGCTCCATGCCCTCGACCACGCCCCTGGCCTGCGTCCCGTACGTGTCGATGAACGCGCCCGTGCTGTACTTGGAGCTGGACCGGTAGTTGTTGCCGCCGTAGTAGCTGTCAAAGTGGTTGGCATAGTTGCTGTTCCCCATCATCATCCCGCCGCCAGACACGCTCGACCCCCGCAGGCTGCTCTCCTCCTCCAGCGGCGTCAGCCGCTTGCCGTTGGTGCTGGGCTTGAGCGTGTCGCGGCCCCCCGCGTCCGGGACGCCGAGCGTGTTGTCGACCGTCGGGTACGCGTTGTTGTTCCCGTTCTGGTGGCCGTGGCTGCTGTACACGGGCGACTGCTGGATCAGGTCCTCGGTCGATGCCTCGTGCGTCAGGCCCCTGTCGCCGCCCTTGAGGATCGACGAGCTGTCCGTCCAGAAGGACTGGTTTGATGTTGGCCGTGGTGGCCGCGGCGGCGCCGCCGTCGAGTTGGGTGTCGTGGCGCTCACTGCGTGCTGCTTGAAGATGGGCGCGCCGATCCGGCTGTCGTCTGTCCGCACGACGCGGATGTTGTCGCGTGAGAAGAGTTTCTGGTGCCCTCGTGATGGATTCAGAAGGCGTAGCGTCGGGATGGACACTACCATGATTGTGATGGTGGGCTCCATTGATGCCCAGAGTAAGACGCCGATGTTGGCTTGCTGAAAGTTTGAGTCGGTTAGGTTGGAGAGTTTAACACATGTGACGGCTGATGTTGCGCTCGCTCTGTGATCATAGTGTCAGTCGTCTTTTCTCATTATCTCTCCACTTCGATCTCGTTTCGCAATCCACATTCTCGAAGGGAGCAAACTCACAAGACACCGAGCGCCATCAAAGTACCAACACCAACCTTCTCCCCAACACTCAACCCCTTCGTCCACAAAACCTGCCACACAACAACCACCAGCGCAAGATCCATGGCCGCAGAGAACGCATGCGCGCTGAGCTGCACGATATTCTGCACGCTGATGCTCCAACACGTCCCATCACCAACCCCCCACCCAGCCGCGATCGGCCTGCACCGCAGCCAGTGGGTGATGGCCGCGCCGGCGAGGACCATGTTCACGAACGCGATGATCACGTACAGGGCGGCGCGGATCGGGCGCGGCGACTGCAGGCGGAGCAGCGTGCAGGCGAGCGACGTCTTGCTCCACGCCGCCGCCGTCAGGGCCAGGCTGCGGGTGACGTGGTCCAGCAGGGGGATCGCCGACGGCGCGCCTGGGGGAGGCTTCGAGGTCTCGCGACGGCCTGCGCCTAGCGCTAGCTCGAGGGAGGTCATGGCTGCGTAGAAAATTGTGATGACCTTGATGTTTTGTTTGTTAGTATATTTTTCTTTGTTTGCTCGTGCTGGGAAAGAAGACGTGTGACCCACCCATGATGCTATCAGGAAACCATCATCTGACCACAATTGTTGTGCCCTGAGCCACTTTGTGAATAGTCGTAGAGCCAGCAGGATGCCTGCTACGAGTGTGAGAAGCCACACCACCAGGTGGGTCATCAAGATGTTCTGGTCCACCGAGAGGGCTCGCCTTTCCAGGGAGAGGTGGAAGTATGGAGGCATCTTGGGAGGAAGAGAATATGATAAGCCAGCCCTGGATGGGAAAATTTCCGGTGACGAACTGGTGGGTGGTATGCTATACCACCCCTCGTCGACGGGTAATGAGCGTGATCAGCCTCTCTTCTTCCAGAAAGAGATGAAGGTTACGGATGTTTGTGAATAGGATTGGCGTGTGTTATCAGTTTCCCTTTCCCAGAAGAGACAAACGGTTTCCTCGCTCCTTTCTCCCAGATTCGCACTAGCAGGAGCAGGGCGGCTGGCATATATCAACCATCACGTCTTCCGGCAGATGAGAGCGGTGATCAGCCGGTGAAGATTCCAGAAGAGGGATGGAAGAGAGAATTAAGAAAGGTGGTGATTCGCATGCGTCCCGGACGGCACGGACGTTGTCAGTTGTCAGACAGGAGAGTAAAGACTGGACGAACTGTGTTTTGTGGACCAAGGCACGGAGGAGACTACCCAGGAAGGCCCAGAACACTACCCCCACTGTGAACAGGTGCCAGTCACCAAAGCTTCGGGAAGGCGACGGAGTGAAAGGGGGGTGTGGAACGCCGGTGGGTAATATCAATCAGATCCTAAGGCCATGCCGTCTGCCCGTGGTGGGCCAGTCGCAAAGTGCCCAGGTGGTGGTGCGCGGCGTATAAGTGGAAACGCGGACAGTGATCGCGGTGGTGGGCCAGCGAGACCGAGCAAGGTAGGGTCGGGGTACTAGGGTAGCGGATCTAGATCTGTGGTGTGATGCGATGCGATGCCATGTCAAGCAGGAGGGCGATCATTAGAGGGCCGGCTGTCGGACGGGGCCAAGAGTTTTCTCTAACACGCACACGGTTGCAGGAAAGTGAGCTACGGACAGGACCTATGCCTACATGTTATATGTGGGGATGGGCCATCATGAACATGTTGGGACTCTACAAACATCAACTCGCGACAAGGTGAAATTGCACGAATGGCAAGAGGTGGTGGGATTGTACCAAGATCCGGTTAACCACATACCCGCAACTCTAAAAGCTGCAATGCATGAATTACAACTTGTCTGGCCGGGGACGGGGTCCACAACATCACATCATCGCGACCCAGTGGACTAGGAACGAGGTAGGGATAGTGTGGTAGGGCAGGTGGATAGGCCGGGGCGGACAGTCAGACAGTTGGCAGTGTTTTGCTGTCAGTCTCCAGTTCTGAATTTTCCATTCCTGGACCCTTCCTGGACGCTGCAGAAACTCATCAATTAAACCGCACGCATTTCCGCGATGGAAGCCAGGGTCAGCTCTTCCCCGACATGAACCCGTTGGTTAGTGTCGCGGGGCTAAGGTCTGAGATTGATAGAGAATAGTTCGTTCGGCAGGGGTTTGCTGGCTGACGTGCCCCTGGTAAAAGCAATATACGTGAGACGACAAGGTATCATCCAATGTCTTCTATGCAGTCTGACTGCCACTTTTGATCTTCAGCCGCTGACCACCACCAACAATATTTACCCCCTTGCCCTCGGGAAGGTCACCTCCCTCCACTTCATCCGATCTATACCGCGGCAGCTCAGCATTCCCAAATCGGACGTGGCGCCCGCGGGCACTAGCACCGCTCAGTCGAGATCTCCTTCGGGACAGGTGGGAACACACCACTCATTGGTGTCGACATCAGACGACAGTCAATATGATCCGGAATATCTCGCCGTCGTCTTATGTTTCCTCATGCCTACTTCGCACGGGAATTGGTGCAAATGCAATGCGTCTGCTGCGTTTCACAGCCTGCGAAACAAATGTGGAAATGAGGGCACGCGAGCGAAGCGTACGGATATTTTTCTCTCCTCGATATTTATATCCATCTGATGAGACCGGTCAACCAAGAATGTGACAGCGAGCAAATTATTCGCGTCGGGGATTTCTTTTCGCTTGACGGCCCACAGCCTGGGTGCCCATCAAGTCTCAACAACTCTCCGAACCCCCCGTAGCGTCTCGTCAAGTACCGTAGATTGTCGCCGTCCTGCCTGCGTCCAAATCCCGCCCAAAAGCTTCGCCAAAACTCTTTGGGTATCATCGGTCTGCAAGAGGACTGTGGTGTCATTTCGGATGACCGTCCTTTTGGATGTGTGTAGCCGCCGGGACTCGTCATGATGTCGTCGCAAGTCCCTGCCTCGGCTGGGTTCTCGTCATAATATTTTTACTTTTGTTCCCCATGTGACATCCCAAGGGTTTGAACTCGTCCTAGCTCTGCAAACCTTCCCCGGTCCCAGAAATGCTTGTCCGCGACTGACACACGTTGCGAGGCAGAATGAAAGGCTACACTTAATCTCCTGAGTGCCACAGGATGGAGCTATTCTCTGCCGAGTGCCGGCGTCATCCTTGCACGCAAGGCACACTTGAAAATGTTTCAGCCGCACTGCCGTCCCGAACTAGAAATTGCTGCTCCAGCACAGCCCACTTGTTCCTGGTCCAAGAACACACAGGCTGAGCGGCAACCAGGTGGAGCCCGGCAAAGCATTGCGACAAACAAAGGCTGGGAACCGTTGACTCCGTGCTGTATACTGCAATGAGTGAAAGAGCTGCACAAACTTTGCAATGCTCATCCATCGGGCTGGAGGTCCGGACCGAGACAGTAACCATAATCGTAACCATGTTTTGAAGGTGTTGGAGGTTATTAGATGGTGAATCGCAGACAACTGACTGGCTAGGGGGCACGTGGAGGTGATCACTCTGACTTTGTTTTTTCCCCGGTTGGGTAAAGCCAGAGGTTTCTTTCATGAATGACCCTATGAACTCTCAGTTCTCAATGCCTGCATGGAACAGAACAGTAAAGGCAGGGACTGGACGGCAGATAGTTAGTACGAACTAGGGACGCGTTTGCGAAACCGGGAATGAGACGGGATAACTTTAGAGCTATCCATCATATCGTAAGGCCGATACTGCGGCAGGACGGACGTACCGAGTTCGAACCGCCCGGTTGCGAACATTGACGCGCTCGTGTAGTCAATTTACCCGCACTCCATCTAAAGTTTGAGCTACGATAGCCTCTAACAAGCCCTACTGCACCTGTCAGCTCAAACGTTGGCTGCCCCAAGGTGATCTGGGATGACTTTAGCCAGTGTATACATGTCATGTTGACACATCACATCTCAGAAACAATCGTGAATCTAGCAAGATTAGATTCGATGGTGAAGGAAGTCACTTCCGTTTCAGATTTGGCAGACAAGGTGATACATACGCTTGTCTTCATATCATAGGCTAAAAGAAATACATACAGTTCTATGAGGTAGAGATGGAGCCAATGTAGACTAAAAAATATGAGCCGTTGAATTCTACATGTACTGAGTGATTTGCAGATGCTTGTCCCAGGCAATCAAGATGAAGGCATTGCAAAGTTCGAAAGTAAGCAGCCGACAACGCGGACGAGATGCGACCTGGCGTCGTGTGTCATGGCAAGTGCGTCATGAGGACATGGGATACTCAATGGAGCAACACGCGCTGTAAAGAGAGTTGAAACCATTACTTGGTAAACTCGATTGAACCCCCGAATGTGGGCTGCTCCGATTTCGTAGCTATGTAGTTGACGCCCGAGACTGACTTGCAGATACGCACAGGCCCGCCAGCCCTACAAAAGTAGAGTCCGATACAGAGCTGTTGACAGCTGTCAGAGACAGGGAATTTGATTGGTGACATCAAGCGCGATGACTCTAGAATGTCTGAATTTTGTTATGACTTTACACTCCTGAGACGTAATGGTGGTGACCAGGTCCAAGGAAGCTGGTGGTGTGTGAATATAAGGGTCAATTATAGCATATTGACAGAGCGAATACCCTCGTGGCATGTGCCTTTAGCCGGGCCGGCCCTTCCTTAGCACATAGAGACCAAGAGGGCATTCCTCCAAATACACAATATGACCACACCTTTTTACCCGGATCTGGAACTCTGGAGCCTCAATTTTGAATGTCACCCAAACATGTTCAGGTTGGTCCTTGAATTTTGTCCAGTACGATTCCCGTCAGTCGTTCACCAGAGGAGGCAATCACAGTACAAAGGACATCACTTTAGCATGCTCTGTCCGTGTGTCTCCACAGCCCGGCCTCAGAAAACACTAGATGATTAGCCGTAGAGGCACTCATTGGTAGCACAGTAGCTTGAAACCAGAGGTAGGGAGCTTGACTGATGTTTCAAAAGCAATGGTCTATGCCTCATTTAATAGTCTCACAACGTCCGCTTCGAGTCATATTGATATTTACTCAGTGAAGGGGTTTCGAAGAGCATAAATCAGCCTCAAATTGCTATTTCATGATCGAATTGTAGAGTTGGAATAGACAGCAGAATATTGAACACAACTCCTGTCGGAACGGTTATGGTTGATTTTCAGTGTGTCTTACATAACAAGATGATAAGAGGAGGATGATTTGATTCAGAACCAGGCCCAAAGCAGCATTTCAGAATAAGAACGAAAACCGAGTTATAGTAAGAATGCCTATATCAAGGTTGTCACAAACTATGTCCCTTCGGCCCAGTCGGAGATTTCCAAGCCCTGTGAAGCCATTGAGGGGAACATGGCCGGCCACCCCATGCGCCAACGACTCAGGCTCAATTTCCTCTGCACACTGACCATCAACCCGGTTCCCCCGAGCTTAATGGATCCCTGGTACGTGTCAACCCGTTTTGCATCACTTTCATGTGCTTTCTTATCACCTGATTTAGTTCCTTGGAAAGAACCAAAAGAAACCGAGAGGTGATCCTCCTCTTTATAAGGGAGCGAATGAGGCGAGAGGATGCAACATTACCGAGGTCAAAACAACGTCAAGTGGCAGTGTTCCAGCTTTGTATTATAACAACAGTTACTTACTTCGGTAACCTTCCCCCACTGCCACGCTCTCCTTCTGCATTGCCCAACACGTGGCTCCCGCCAAGGCTATCCAATACCACGCCGGATGAGCAGTCAAGGAGAACACGCGCGCGTCCACTTGCACAGACTTCCCGAATGAGCAGCGTGAGCCGCGCCTACGCCGATCGCCAGACAGAGACACACCCGGGCCCCGCAGCAATTGCCGGCCGATGATCGAGATTACGACCTGACAGGCGCCCACTCGGCCTTGCTGGGCGGCATCATGCATCCGCGGCTGGATGACGCGGACGCCGGGATGTGGGCTTGGCGCCAGCCTTGGTCCTCACCCGTCCGCGCCCCGGCCAAGCGGGTCCAAGGTGGGCGGAGCTGGCTGCCAGAAACCTAATTGCGCTGTAGCGGACTAGACACGCGCCAACATTGGGCAAAACCACCTGTTGATGTGCGTTTGCTGTGTAAAAGGCAGTCTTTTTCCTAAGAATGCCAATGCAGTCTATGCAGTGGCGTTGACTTCTTGTCTTGAGATGACAGCATTACGGCCAATGGGATACGGTTGATTGGCAAACCTACCTCAGCCACGTAGAGGAAACGAGGCACTTGGCTATAACAATGCGAAAACAATTCCAAGGTCCTGCAGGATGGGATAGAGATAAATGTAGACGCGGTCCTCTCGTAATTTGCAATAGAGAATCATCCGATCGCTGAGTATCCCAAGATCCCATAATATTTCTCATCAAGGCGGTTGCATCAATATGAACTTTCCAAGTAGAATGCTCTTGCTGGGCCTAGGTAAGTTGACGAACCACTTTTAAAAATCCCATGGAGTTCTTCAAGCTAACCTGTGCTCTCAGCGTCCCTGGCCCTAGCCAAGCCTGATGCCGACGATGCCCTCGAGGAGTACTGGGACGCACGAGAGGACTTCCTCGAGGCAGAGCGCGTAGCGGACAACATCCAGACCGCGCACGGCATCCTAGGCTGTCTGGCGTTCGCCCTCTTCTTCCCTATGGGCGCGGTGCTGATCCGCATTTTCCCGCGCCGCATCACCGTCTGGCTGCACGCCGCGTGGCAGATCTTCACCTGGTGCATCGCGCTGGCCGTCATGGCCATGGGCATCTGGATGGCCCGCGGCAACGAGTATATGCAGAGCCACCACGCCAAGATTGGTCTTGTCGTTGTCAGCGGTCTGGTCCTTCAGCCCTTCACCGGCTTGCTGCACCACTTGCGTTTCAAGAAGACTGGGAGCCGGACGCTGATGTCGTATGTTCACATCTGGTGGGGCATCCCACTGATCACGCTCGGGACTATCAATGGCGGGTTTGGACTGCAGCTGGCTGGGTCGAGTCGCACGTATATGATTGTGTATGGCGTTTTTGCGGCCATCATTTGGGTTGGGTGGATGATTCTCTCCTTCTTGTCTCAGTGTCTCAAGAGATCCAAGCCGTCACCAGCTCACAGTGGGAGAAAGATCTCGAACGAGGAGGTTCCGGTCATGCGAGATGTTACTGCTGATGAGCCACATGGCGGGCACAAGCAATATGCGTAGGCAAATTGGGTAGAGGCAAGATGTGTAATTGTAAGAACAGTGTTACTTAGCGGGTTTGAGCACTACGGAGTTTGGAGTATCAACACGCAGATACGCAGACGGTGGGAGTTGACATTTGAGACACAGATACCAATGTCATGACACTATTGCCCGTACTTTTCCCATCAAGGGCTCATGTGCCTCCTTTGGCTACCGACCCATGCTGTTTACTGGCCGATGAGTGAGCGGACTTTTCTGGCGGGGGCTTGTAACCATAACCACATTCACTCCTGAAGCTTCCATCTTCGTATGTTGGATCTCTTCTAACTTAACTTCTAGTAGTTGAAATGGATGTATCTACCATAGAACTACATTGCCGGTCTGAGACTTCATCGATGACCTTGTACTCTGCAACGCTGCATGGAGCGTCCTACTTGTTGTGGTAGTCACTAATGTAAAGCTGCACCCGGTCATCAGCGGCTCTCCAGATGGACAATGAGAATTGTGATGCCATATTATGGGTAGATGCCTCGAAGAGCGTCTCGTGGATTAGCATGTCTATCTCGTCCCTGTTGATCCTAGGGTCATTGTAACTGCTGCAGCTGATGTAGTCGACGGGTAGCCTGCCGATAAAAACCGCTCCACGAGGCGCTTAAGGTGCTATTGAGCGTGAAATTCGGAGGGGGAGGAGGCATGGAAAAGTTCGCTGGTAAGAGAATGGATGTGTAAATAGGACCGATCGAAGAAGCGGTACTGAGAGGCATAGCGACGCAACAGATTGCAAAGCCCAGGTTACTTGAAATTCTTGCAAGCCACATGTTGAAACTTTGATCGTCTCTATAATGTGTATGCTGGGAGCCTTTCCTACCTTCATTGGGGCCGTAACTGGAAAAGGTGTGGAATTTGTAACAATTCTCAGGGAGAATGCTAAGTCTGGGGCAGTCAGACAATACGAGACTGTAGAAAGAAGGGGTCTTAAATGTTCTCCGAGGCAAGCAGTCACAATACAGCCAACCTTGGATGTATTGAGCCTCTGAGCCAGGTCCATTCTCCCGTTACCTTCTAATGTCATCGACCTTCGACTGTCACACCGGTATTATGCACAATTCGCCGTTCGTGCGGAGCAGTTCCTGACGTGGCTGACCTCAAATGCATCGGCTGTGGGGCTTGTGATTGAACCCCCTGGATGCCAATGCTCTTCAAGTAGCCGCAGATAGCGCAAAACTCCTGGAAATGGCGCGTCTTTAGGTCACCATCTGTATCGCATAACCAGCTGTGTAGTTGCTAATTTGCCACCAGCCCGGCGACCTCAAATGGGGATTCATATGAAAAGAGAGCCGAGTTGCCATTGTATTGGAGATCAACTCACTTTCTCCCCTGATTGAGCATGTTCCTGACTATCTCTATGCTATTGAGCGATTAAACAGCCGAGATGACAACGTCACGAACTCTGTCAACTTGATTCGATCGTCGAAGCTGCAACTAGCCAGCAGCCAAGGGATCAGCGTCAGAGGCCGAGAACCCGAAGTCTTTCCAATAGAATTAGAGTGATGCTTTTCTCAGCCCAGTGAAATTGTGGACTGCATCAAGTTCAAAACATTGCAGCTTACATGGAGTTGACACTGAGGCGTAGTACATGATGAGAACGAAGTTGGTAAGGCTCCCGCCTCTTATTGTTACAGGTTGTTCTGAGCCACTCGTTCTGATGATCGGCGCCCGGATGCAAGGTACGCGATAGCCCCGAGATCTGCTTATACCTGTTTAAGATACCTTCGCCGCCTTTTGCCAGTTAGAAACTCTACAACTATTGCGGATCCTGCGTTGGCACTGCAGAAAATGGTCAAATCTTACTATTGTCTGAAGTCTATTGGTCTTTGACAGCTGAAATCAAACCTTGCATCTCCAGATCCAGACTCAAGCAGAGCGCGGATGAGGCTCGGGTTTGAATTTACATAGTGTATACATGTTACGGTTGATCCTCCGGAGGTTGGAGACTGAGTATGTTTAAACAGGTAGTTCAGCGTCATGCACGCTGCAACAAATGAATCGCTAGATATTACCTCCAGTGAAGAAAAGAGGAAGGATGATCGCGTGTGGGCTCTCTTCCGCCTCACCCAAGTTTTCCAACCCAGAACTTTCAAGACGTCATCCCACGGTTCCACTCTTTACCAGACCCACCCCCATTCTCTGCGACGTCGAAACCCGGGGAATGAAAACTGGGTCTTGGAACCACACTGCTTTTTCAATGGACCTCTTCTTCAATTGAGTCTGGCAGAGTTCATGCTCAACTTCTGTTAGTAGTATAATCCGCCGAGCGTGTTCTGCTCATATGCAGGCGAGGGACCACTTCTTATGTACGCGCACAGCGGCCGGACTTCCTATTTTTGGCGCCAAAGGACCTGGCCTCAACGGTTGGCTGGTGGAAAGCAACAGTCCAGACCCGTTTCAAGCCCGGCCTTGGTCGGTGGAGTGGATACCGCCCGAAACTGCAACGGGCCGGTCGACGACGGTCGAAGATCAGAGAATAGCAACGTAGGCACTGACCACGTCTGGCGGTTTTGTCACTTTCCCCGATTGTGCCCAATGACGTCCGTTATAATGCGGTCCTGTCCGTGCCGTTAGCTGGCGCGTGATGCGTGGGTCCTCTCCGGATTGCTCCACTGGGCGGTCACGATCCTTGGCTCTGTGGTATTCCCGCGCCTCATTGTTGGCGAGCTGACATGTCGGTCGCGGATTCATCGCCCAGGACGTCATTACATAGCCCCAATTGGACGGCCGCATGGCCATGAAACAGGAACATATAATGAAGCCAGCGGCCGCGATGTTTGGGTGTTGTTTCGTTTGCAGAAGCAGTCCGCTCAGCCTCTTATCACCCCCCCCCCTTACACTCTACCACACTGATACACTGTCCGCCTGAACAACAAGACAGTCGTGACCAATCCAATCTTCTCCGGCCGCCTTCATCTCATACTTGCAAAGGCCAGCCATACCATGTCGAAAGCAACTAGTGCGGCCACTGCCGAGAACCCTCGGAAAGACGCCATCTTACACCTCGCCCGAGATGACCACGCCATGATGAGCGCGTACGGCAAGGCCAGCTTTTCAGCCGTACGACAAAATACCTACGTGACAGCAGTAGCAGCCTTCGCTGTCATTGGTGCACTCTGCTTCGGCATAGACCAAGGTATGCTACCAGAGAGGGACATGCCTTCGTCACAAACACCCCTGTGTAAGCTTGGCGAAACTAATCCCACAACGAACAGGCCTGATGTCCGTCATCCTCGTAATGAAGCAATTCCAACAACAGTTCCCCGAGCTTGCAGACGGCGCACCATCACAAGGGTTCTACAAGGGCCTGGTAACAGCCCTCCTCGAGCTGGGCGCCTTCATCGGCGCCTTCGCAGCGCCCCACATCTCGGATCACCTGTCACGGCGAATGGCTATGCGCTTCGGCTGCTTTTTCTTCCTCGTCGGCGCGGCCATCCAGACCGGATCCATGACATACGACACCGTTGTCGCGGGCCGTTTCGTCGGCGGCATCGGCATCGGTTTGCTGTCGAGCACCATGTCGGTCTACATCAGCGAGATCGCGCCGCCGAACATGCGCGGTATGCTGCTGGACCTCAATGAATTGTTTGTCGTGCTCGGAATAGTAATTGCGTACTGGACCTGCTTCGGCACCAGGTTCCTGGCCGGCGCCGCGTCGTTCCGCGTGCCGTTCGGTTTGCAGATGGTCCCCGGCGTCATCCTCCTGGTCGGCTCTTTCGCCATGCCGGCTAGCCCGCGGTGGCTGGCCATGAAGGGCCGCGACGACGAGGCCCTTGTCGTGCTTGCCAAGCTCCGCCAGCGCAGCACCGACGACATCCTCGTCCAGGCTGAGTGGCTCGGCATGCGGGCCGAGAACAGGGTCACTAGCGAGGTCCAGATCGAGCGACACCCTACACTTCAGACTGGGACTTTCAAGGACAAGGTGAAGCTAGACCTATGGGCCTGGGTTGATACCTGGCGCCCCGGCTGCTGGCGTCGGACTCTGGTCTCGGTCCTTCTGTGCTTCTTTCAGCAGATGATCGGCATCAACGCCCTCATCTACTATGCCCCATCAATGGTCGCCGCTCTGGGCTTCTCTTACGAGGAGCAGCTCGTCCAATCTGGCATCATCAACGTGACACAACTGGCTGGCACGATCATTAGCTTCTTCTTGATTGATCGCCTCGGCAGGAAGCCCCTGCTTGTCCTTGGTTCAATCGGCACCACCATTTGCATGGTCATTGTTGGCGTCCTGATTAAGCTTTTTGGCGAGTCTTGGTCCGCGCATGGCGCCGAGGCCAAATGCGCTCTTGCATTTCTCAACCTGTACATGGTCATCTTCGGTTTCAGCTGGGGCCCAGTTCCTTGGGCCATGCCATCCGAACTCTTCAGCTCATCCCTGCGTGCACGTGGCGTCGCCTGGTCGGCAATGTCAATTTGGTTGTTCAACTTCATCGTCGGTCTCATCGTCCCTCCCATGCTGGAGAGCATCGGCTGGGGAACCTTCATCTTCTTCGCCGCCTTTGCCACTCTCGCCGGAATCTGGACCCTCTTCTGTGTCCCTGAGACCAAAGACAAGACCCTCGAGCAGCTGGACAGGCTTTTCAATGATGCAACTGGGCAGAAAGACGAGGAGCGCCGGCAACGCATCCTAGCTGGTCTTGCGGTGGAGATATACGGGCAAGGGGGACGAAAGCTCACGGGAGATACTAGCTCAGACTCTAGCTCAGATAAAATCCGTGTGGAGAGACATGAGGAGGTGTGATTTCTTGGAGTTGGGGAACCGCTTTGTTTCGGTCTTTTTTTGGGGGGGGGGGAGGGGGGTTATCTTTTGCCATTGATTCATTCTAGTTTGGTAGCGAATGGCGTTGTTGATTCAAATATCAAGATACCATTTATTGTTCATGACCTTTCTCACATATTCAGTGAGCTCTGACCTCAGGTCTGCAGTGATATGGTATCCACGAATGAATGACAGTGTTGGTTTGGCTTCCCGTACGGGTAATTCGTCACGAAACGAAGGGTTTGTAGTGGTGTAGATTCTGCTTGGTTGGTGTTGAGGTTGCAGCTGAAGGCTGCAGCCTACGTACGTCTGGCTATAGGCTGGGCAGTCAAGTGACTGGCAGCTGGCGCTGCCATCGATAAGGCTAGTCTGTCCAGTGCATACTGCGTACGCTACTATTCCCACAGACAGAGAATATAAACACTTGATCAGCGACTTGAATCAGTGTTAGGGCAATACAGCCATTCACCTTATCAATGTTAAATCTATGATCCGTCTATGATTCTAATACCAAAATCATCCCAAGCAATCAAACAGCATCCTCATGACATGTGTCCCATGTCGACGGCCGCAAAATGAACCTCAGCTCAAGAAGCTGTACTACTGAAAGCCTCATTCTACGACAATCCTAACCCAGCTTCTTGTCACCCATGATGAAGCCGCTCCTCCCAGTATTGAAGAAACAGCTCTTTCAAGTCATCAAGGCCCCGATGTATCAGGCAGAGGCAGAAAGACAAGATCAGCCGGGGAAAACTGCCTGGCGTCGTGGTGGCCTCGCAGCTTCTGGTACCAACAAAGGATCCCCGACTTCTGGAGGTAGGACTCCAGCATCCAAAACCTCTTGTACCCATTCTGCGCCTCTCTTGATTCCATAGTTATCCCACATTCTGTGTCGTAAGTCTACCACTAGTTTGTGGTTGCGACCACCAGGAGCACGCTCACCACAATAAATATCCTTCTGACTCCGGTGCGGGCCGTAGTCTTTCACCCCATTATAATATGGTCTCCCCTTAAAATCGAGACCATGAATCACAAATGTGTCGGGCATGAAGTAAGTCAAGATGTGCTTGGCATGGGATGGGCCAAGGGGCTCTTTTCTGATCCCAGCGAAGGTACTGTAGGAAGGGCGTGTCAGAGGTTGGGACCTTTGAGCTTTACGACGTGACTGGCTGACTCACCCATTGATCGCTTGCAACACCTGGTCCATCCGTTCTTTGCTGACCAGAGACTCTGTGTATGGGTCGAGATATAGCCTTACTCCAGCTTTCCCCTTGACCCTCACTCTTCTCTCGATCATAACCAATATTGCTTCGATGGCGTAAGCCTTAAGCGTTCTGTCAGAGGCATCGATGAAGAGATCGAGCCACCTCAAGTTATTGCCATTCTGTATCGAAGTAAGAAAGGTTTTAAGGTGCGAGAGACCTGTGAGAAAGCATCTGTAGACATCTCTTGGGCCGGAGGAGGTGTGTACGTCCTCCCTCTCTGGAGACGCAATCTTGAGGTTGAGCTTCAGTGCTGTTGCGTGAATGAGGTACTGGTGGGGCATGATGCAGGTCAGCTGCGAAGGATCGACGACAGGTCCGAGGGTGACGACGAATTCAGTGCGATTGCACAGCATGGGGAACGCCTCGGAGTATAGCTGTTGGCATGTTCTCAGGATCGGGGTGAGGGTCGTTTTGCCGCCTTTATCTATATCACTAAAGAAATTGGCAGTATTGTCGTAAGTGTTGCCACGGATATAGAAGCAGACATAGAGATAGTCTCTCAGCCCATCGATGATATCCGTGAAGAGAAAGTCGTATATCTTGATAGCTATTCCAGCTGGAATGCCTAAAAGCGTGGGCTGGGTTGTTGTGTCTCCATCAGAGTCTGTTGAAGTTGTGTATCCATAAGAGTCTGTTGAAGTTATGTATCCATAAGAGTCTGTTGAAGACATCTTGACAGGAAGCAATGTTCGAATGGCGCTTTACTCTGGTAGTGGAACAGAGCCCGACCTTGAGTCCCGGAGCTAGAAGTTTGATGGAGATGATCTGGCTAAGAGAAAGAGAGAATGCCGGGGAGAAATTGTATGCGTGGAAATTTCCAGAGTTGTTGCTGACCCTCTGGACCTGGAAAGTAAACAATGCGTTCTTAGTCCAAGGCCGCCTCAGGGAAAGTGCCATCATTCATGATCCTGGTCTGGAAGATCAGACCTTTTGGAAGGGGTTGCAAGCGGAAGTTGCGAAGCCGCCGATCCAACTCCCAAGATTGTGAAAGGAAGAACCATATTTCAATTTGATACTGGTGAGAAGGCTTGTGGTAGAGATTTGATTTCCATCTTCCCAATTAATCAAGCCAAAAAAAAGCATGAGCGAGGTAGCAGTACGCAGCATAAAGTTGCTATGTAATTAAATTTATTCTAACTACTTCGTCGGCCATTCCTTGCTATCATGATCTCCGATATCAGAAGAGCTAGACGTCGCTTCCCCGATCGGAAACATGGTCTGCCTCTGCTCTGGTGGCCACCCGCGTGGTGGTGGCACATTGTCAGGCTCATTCAATGGCCATTCTGGATATGATAACGGCATTGCGTACTCCACAGGACTCGACATGGTGGCATACGTATCCACGATCCCACCGATTGTGCTGTTTCCAGTCTTTCCAGACCTCACTGTGACGCTGTCCTCCACCATCAACGTGTCGCTGGGCCTGCGATGTAAGCTCTGGCTTGCAAGTGGCGCGGCTGAAGTCTGCTGCAAGAACTCATGCCTCGCCATGCTGGCACTTCGGATGGGCACACTTGTTGAGTATTTGTGCATTTTATGCCTGCTGGTAAATGTGGATATCGAGGGCACATCGGAATTGCTACGCGCCAGGCGCTGATGAATGATCTCGGGAGCGGTAGGCCGTGTTTCGGCGTCTGAAAACCTGCCAGGAGGCATTGGGAAGGCGTCGACCTTCACATCGGCCGTCTTTAAGCTGTTCATCCTCACGGGACCCTCGCGGCTGATGCTGAGGTCGGTGCCTCTCTTCGGGTATCGGCTTCGCCCGTATCGACTCCCGCTGTATCCAAACCTGCTGCGGATTGTGGATCCGTTCAGGACCGGCCACACTCGGACTGCAAGTAGCCTGAGGGTCGGAAGACTCGTGCAAATCATACCGACATTCAGCTCCTGCCATGCGTTAGTCAACTACTATTGAACCCGAAAGTGGGCATTCTGGACGATTCTAATGAAAACGGATAGGCAACCGCAGCGGGACAAGGGTTATACTGACTATGGTCGACCATATTGCTACCGATGTGTTGTCCCAAGTCGCATTCGAAGAATTGGCATATTTCATCAATGACTGAAGCCGTAAGATGCTGACAACGGTCACGAAAGTGCCGACGAAAAACATCAGGCCAACACCGACCTTCTTCTTCCAATGCAGTTTTAGACCAGGCAGCTGAGAAAAAGGGATCGCCAACATCCACACGTCCAAGGCGACGCTCACCGCCGCTCTAGCAGGCAAGGAGTTAGCAATCTTGGCACTAAAGAATCCCTGTTGAGGTCCCAAGACCACAATTATTGGATGAAGAATAGTGAAAGAACAACTGGGACGGTACATACTGAATCCATACAATGGCGTGGAGGTTTATGCATTTGCCTTTGTGCTCGCCATCCCATGATTCCCAGAAGAATGATATAGGCGAACACTCAAATATGGTCACAAATAAGAACGTGACACAGAATATGACAATGAGCACGACCGTTCCCCAGAGTACTCTTCGAACAGGCCGTGCAGGAAATACCCGGAGATAGAAAAACAAAAGTGACAGTTTGACCATGGGGATGCCTATGACGTATAGGATCTGCAGGATATAAAAGCACTTGGCGAACATAGTGATGTCGTCAAATGATAGAGTCCAAATGTCACGCCCGAGTCCATAGCCTCCTGCCCCGAGAGTAGCAAGTAGCGTGGAGGGGATTCCGAGGATAAGCGTGGCCAGTATGATCCAGTCATCCGTACCAACACTTCCGGTATCGCCCAGAAAGATCCTGACATAGAGCCGTATGCCTACGACAATGGCGGACAAAGCAAGCAGCGCATACGAGATGACCTCCAAGGTGAGCCTGCGGTCTCGGACTGGCGCATTGCATGTAGTCGAGCTGATGTTGAGTGTGGTGAGCGCCTCCTTTACTGTGCAACTTGCTAATACGCACGAGGAGACGTTGGCCTGCAGGGTCCTGCTCTCGCAAATGCATGTTTGGTTGGTGATGGGACATGGCGATGATGGGCTTGTCAGTGTTTCCAAGAGGCAAGACAACTAAAGATTGTTAGGAGTATTTCTTGAGATGTCGGGAACTTGAACGCACCGCACAGCTTGGCACACCGGCCAGCACCGATGCCTGGCTGAAAGCTACTTGTACCGTGCTAAGAAGGACGAGCAACTTGGCCAAGGGCACCAGCATCGTTACGAATGGGATGCGTGTCGTGTTCGGGAGGTGTTCCTCTCGGAGAACAACATGCAGCGCAAGGCAGAAGAGAAACAAGGGAGACCAGGATGATAATGTCGTCCGGATTCGACGGCATGCATCCCAAGCCGGGGGGCCGAGAACTCAAACATAATACATACAGGATTGAAGATAAGACCAAGGCACATGGAGCACGATACAATATCGGTGCTCTGTTTCAACATGCCCTTCTGAGATCAACGCCCGCATGTTTCGCAGCAGGCTGTGGGGCAGTCTCCCGCGCGCCCTCGTGCCATGCATGAACCATGCCCATTGGAAGCTGCGCGCTCGCGAATCGTGACGAGAACCTTGTGGTCCCGGCTCATCTCGCTACGGAGGGATTGGCCGAGTGAGTGGTGAGTTTCCGCGAGCGGACCTAGCACACGCCAGGGAAACACCCTCTCGCGGCGATGCGACTCTGGAGCCAAGCGCTCGGAGCGCAGGACCGGCTCGCGGGGGGATCCAGAATCTTGGGATATCATGACTCGGCCGCTTCTTTTGCTCCATCACGAACGGCTAGGACCCCGGGACCTGCAGCACTATCTGAATAGATTGGGATGAACTGCGGGAAGATAACCGTGTTCTGCCAGTCTTCAACTGGGCATTACATAGTCATGAGGCTGCTTTCTGATTCAGGATGGGTTTATCAGTGGGTATTTCTACCTTAAATGAGTGTCTCCCGCTGTAGATTCGGGACCATGGATCGCGAGGCCCTCTTTTCTCGACAAGTAGTGCGGTAAATGAGGAAACCTTATTTGTCTGATGTATCACATCGCCTCCCTGCGAACGGTCCTCTAGTCACAACGGTGGGTTCTAGCGAACAGACCCGAACGAGCACGCAACCACCATGCGCCCCGAGACCATTCTCAACCCTGGACTGTCTTTACTCATCTTGTCCGTTGGCGCCATTTGAAATGGCTTCACGTATTTGGTAGCTGATGTGACTTTTGCACGCATTAAAAAAGCTCTATTCTTCGATTTTTTGTGTTCACAGCGCGACAGGTTGAGACTAAATTTTGCTCTCCGGCTGAGCCTATGGATATTTAACTATATCATAACACACGGTAGACTGGCGATCAAAATTGCCATCTAAAAGCGAGCAAGAATCTCGACGCACGGCACGCGATTGTCGCAAGAATGTTTTCCCATTTGGCACCAAAAATAGCAATTGACTAGACATCGACCAGTCACACCTACGAAAACGTAATCGCAGTTGAAACTTTCCACGGAAGTGATGGAATCATCATCAATACAACCTGTGCTGAAATGCACGCCAATCGGTTGCTTCTAGACTCCAGTTTTGGGGGTTATGGTTCTCGATGACTATCCCAGCGCCAAAGAAGCTCAAGCTCAAGCCTTCGCCGGCTTGAGACCCAGCAGTTCCGCCTCGACGTCGACGATATTGGGCACCTCCTCCTTCAGGCTCGGAGCAGTCGGATTCCAACCAAGATATTTGCGAGCCCTCTTTGCCTGGCCACGTGAGTTTAAGCCATAGGACGCCGCCTCAAATCCCGCGATTTCCTTGGCCTCGGCGACATCGAGAGGCTTGACAGTCGATTAGCTTTTGCAACGGGCGGAGAGAAGGAAGAGCCCGGAAACTTACCTCCAGCTTGGTGTCCTTGATGTAACCTCTGGCATGCGCGGCCTCAGCAACCCATTGCGCAACCTCGCCCCAGACGTGGTACCCTCTCTCAGCTAAGAGGTAACCTTCTTTTGGGCCCCAAATATGGCCATCGATTTCAGGCTTAGGGTTGAGTGCGGCATCTACCATCTTGATGTACAAGTCGGTGAGGTCGTCTAGTATGCGTCAGTCACCTGCTACGGAGCCAGAATCAATGTATTCTGGAAGATTTCAATAAAGCCCGGATGGGTAACCGCAGCGAAGAAGAATTATACGTACGAACGTGGACATCATCCATGGACGCCTTTCCAGTCCCAATGATAGGTGCCTTTCCACGCTTTAGCGTCATGTTGGCCATCACGTAGACTTGTCGACTCCTAGTGTTGCCGACTCCTCTGCCCTTTCCATAGATGGTGGGAGGGCAGATGATTGCCGCCTTGATCGCCGGATGCTCAGCAGCGGCCAGCACAATCTTGTCGACATTGCGGTGGAATGCGTGGTCAGGGAGACCGGTAAGCGCATCGATGCCCTCGAGATCATTGTACGGCTCGTAAGCCAGCGGCTGCCCATACCGATCGGCATCAGTGTCCTGGTAAGTCAGAATGCCTGTGCCGCCAGTGTGGATCCAATAGCCTGGCTTTTCTTTGCTGTGCCCTGCTGCAAGTCCTGCCGCAAAGGCCTTGGCTGCTCCTGCATGATCTGATGCGTCGGCAGTGTCTACTCATTGATCAGAAGTCGTTCAACTCGGACGATGAGGACACAAGGCAGAGTTATGATATTGACACGTACGGATGAGGATGTCAGTCTTCGATGCCTCTTCCTCCAGCACCTTGGAGTCGTCTAGCGTGCCGTACACAATTCGGACATTGGGATACTTCTCCTTGACGGGCGCAGCCTTAGACTCGTTTCTGACCAGAAGAGAGTACTCAAAATCCGGATGGGTCTTTTCCAGGACATAAAAGATGTCCCCGCCAGTATACCCCGTGATTCCTGTCCTGCAAATTTGCACTCTGTCAGCTTCTTCGAGCTCCGATCGTGAACTACAGTCTGGAACAACTCACAGGAAAACTTTCACCATTTTTGAAATATTTCACTGTTCGATCACTGAATAGCGAATGAAGCCTCGGTTCGGAGGATATCAGAGAAGCGCAATTCTGAAAGAGGGGATTGATTATGAACAGCCACCTGATTACAAACACATTGCCGCGACGACACCTTCAACATGACGTCCTCGAGCTGGTATACCCTAACCCGCGCTTAAACATTCTTCCACTAGCCGTGATGTCATCACTACTCCTCAGAAGCTACTCGATGATGGTCGAAAACATTCCAGAGTATTAGGGCCGATGTAACCGGCAAGACATAGATGGGTTCGATCACCGGGAGAGTCTTTACGCTGAACAGACCGTGACCATACAAAATCATCAACTAGGAGGTTTACACCGCACACCACCCGCGTGTTAAAGATGTCCCTCGCAGCATTCCGTCGGCACAACCAGCACGACGAGCTAGCCCAGCTAGCCGAGTCGCACTTCCAGCATGACCTGACCACAGACGACCGCGAGGTTCTCAAAGGAGCTGCCAAAACAATCAGCTGGCACGCATCTCTCGGCTCCATTGTCGGCCTTGGCCTCGGTTGCTTTCTTGCGTATCGAGTCCGCGGGCTCCGGAGGAGCTGGTTCAACGAATTTAGAACATCTGATCAGCCGAAGCAGGTCATTTTCCAGAGCGGAAAGACAAGTGCGTCCTGATTGTCGTGTCAAGTTACTGACTAATAAATATTGGACTAACGTGACCCTCGCAGTGGATGTGCCAGACGTGACATCGAAGCTGGCGCCGTCACCTGTAGGAGACTTTGCGGCGTACTTCTTCCTAGGCATGGGAGGGCTGTTCCTCGGAGGCGAGACCGGTTTCCTGACCGGCTCGTCTATAGCGGCCAGAAGGGTCAGAGCGGATGCCGAGAGACGCAAGCGAGTCGAGGATGCGTACCGAGCTTTCAAAATCGATTTGCTTCAGAAAGAGGTGAAAGCGCTTCAGCAAGGTGGTGCTGTCTGGTAATCATGAAGCTGTGGAGAAGTGCAAGGACAAATCTCTGCCCAAGACAGCTGAACAAATCGCCTGAAAAGGGCGCTGAACTCAGCTCGACACTCACAGCCGTCCCTGAGATACGCACATCAGAAACATGTACTGTATGTATTCTTGTGAAGTGAGTCCCTAATATGGTTATTCATGGTTGGTCATGCAGGGAATGGTAGTTCTTCAAATTTAATGTTGTAGTTGAGAAAAATTACCTCAGTCCTGGGGCATTTGCTGAAGTGCCTCGACATTGAAAACTCGATTCTTCCAACAAGTGCGCCATTGCTTACTCTCTTAGTGTCACATTTCACACCCACGTATCGCTGAAGAGAGCATAGTCATGGACCATCTCACTTGTCCGAAATCTAGTCGATGCAAAGTAGTGATAAGTCTGCATCTCGGAATACAAGATGTAGCAGAACAGATTTAGAACAGGAACCACGAACCTTGTGACAATGCCGGACACGATATTACCTAGTGTAGTACACGGAGGCTCCTGTTGTAAGGTACGGCAGCGGATACTGGAACGTACCAGCATTTACTGATCAACTACTCAGCATAGTTCTGTGGCTGTCGTAAAATCTGACGGCCGTGGCGAGGTGAAATGGATAACTGTAAGTCAAATATTCACAACCTCTTAAAAGCATGGAAGCACATCAGCTTTTGTCCATAAGGAGGAGTATGCTACTAATCCCCTCAGGCACAGCAAATCCACGCTCTCTCTGGGCACTTTAACGCAACTCAAGTATTTTACGATTAATCTGATTCTACTGGATTCAATGAACACCTGCGTGGTCCTAACTCTCCTATCGTTTCCCCGCCTCCTACCTCGTCACGTTGCAAAACGACAGGGTTTTGAGCGATGCCAGGGTTGTAAAATTAGTCTGTAGTTTTAGTCAGACTACAATTAATCTGTAGTCATGTAGTCGTAGTCAGCCCGAAGGGTTGACTACATGTAGTTTGGTAGTCTGTAGTCCGAAGAGCTGACTACAAAACTACGTGATTACAGAATAATTGTAGTTTTAGTCAGGCTACTGACTACAATTATACAGACTAATTCCAACCCTGAACCAGGCTAAACATCCTGTATTTGGCTGTCCAATGGTTCCAGGAAAGCAAGAATATCATTAATAATTCTTGAAGAGCGTTAGAATTCCTTGCTATGCCTGGTTGAATGAAATTTGTCAAACACACCTATCAAGCTTCGCTTCCTGCTGCAGTGGGCTTCTAAGCGAGGAATGTTGAAGAAAGGACCACGAGCACGAGAAAATTGGAGAGTGCTGATGTCCGCTGACATGTTCAAGCTCATATGATGAGCAAATACGGCCTTGAGCTTCACTTCCCGGGCATGGTCAATCGTCATGTATGAACTCGCCTGAGATCAGTTGACACCCGAACGAAGCCATTTTCGATCCTGGCGCAGATTTACTGGTCGTCACAAATTCGCGATAGCAACGCCAAGTCGGTCAAGACGGGGGGTATAATATTCTCCGAGTCAACGCCAGCTGCTAACGAAAACCCGCTGAGTGCTCTCCAGGTCCGTCTCGACTCTCCACAACCAGTTCCCACGACGGCGGCGAAGATGCCGACGTAATCGACGACAAAACGCTCCGCATCACTGGTTCCCTCCCTCCCATTCAGGACTCCCCTTCGGCGGTTCGAATCACAGTCCTCAACACCTAAGCGTGCCTCCTGGCCCTCCTCTTCTTGGAGGCACACTTGCTCTTGACCTTCTCGGAGGTGGCAGCACCTACCTGTGCCGGAGAAGACTGTCCGGACGAGCCTGCGCGAGGGATCTCGGTCAGCTTGACGGGGCTGTTATAGTCGCCACTCCAGCCGATGACCTCGGGGCACTCCCCCTCGTACTTGGACTTGGCGACAAGCTCATTGCCCAGGGGGGCTGCCGTGGCCGTGGCGGTGGGCACGAGGAGAGTAGAGTTGCCACGCACCGTAACGGTCGCCGTCACAGTCGCCGTGGGGGCGGCGCAGGTCGGGGCCGTGGTCACTGGGGCCGTGTCGGTGCAGGCACCCCCGGCGATGGAGAACTTGGACGTCTGGGCATAGATGACGTAGACGTTGGTGCCGTTGATGGCGTTGCTGGGGGACAATGTCAGTGCTCTGAGCAGAAACGTGATGCGATCAAGATGTCCAACTTACAACTGGAAGCCGTACGAGGGGTCAACGTCACAAGGGACCTGGACGGAGGTCTCGCCGGTGGTGGCATCGACATCGTAGGCGACAGGGGTGTAGAATGGGGGCCAGTTCACGAAGTTGACGAGGTACACGCTGAAGGACTCGGGGTCGGTGTCAACGGAGGACCACTGCAAATCAAAGGTGGAGCCCCGAGTCAGGGTCGAGTTGACAGCCGGATTGCTGAACTGGATGGCCGACGCCAGAGGCGCAGCGAGAGCGAGCAGCGACAGGAAATGCATCACGACGGCGAACAATTATCAGATTATTTCTCAAAAAAAAGAGTGTGGTGGGCTTGACGGATCAGGCCTGGTCGGTGTGATATTCAAAGAATGACTTGGGTGAGTGAGCCCTGGGGTTGAAGGAAAAAGAGGAGAGAGCGCAACGAGTAGTATCTCAGGGGATTGATGTCGTTTTAATCCCCGAGGACAGGGAAATTGCTTGCTACTCTCATCTCGCTGCCTTGACACCTGCCATCTCGTTTGGGGAAAGCCAAGAGGGCCTGAATGCAACGCTACCGTGCTTTTCGGGCTTGATAAGGGGCAATCTCCAGGGGTCCACTCAGCTTTACACCTTAGACTCGGCCTTGTTCCTGATACCACGTTGGATCCCCAGATCAGCTTCAGCCCTACATCTCAGTTGCACGGACAATGAGCTTTTTTTGCTGTGGTACGTGCTGACGTGTTGTAAATTAGGTTAAGCTGTAGCGTTCTGGAAGGAGACGGCGACAGCGATGGCGACGATCTCGACTTCACGACCGGGAAGGGAACTTTTTGCAGCACAGTCCTCTACAGATGCAATCCCGTCCGCGGCCCGCCGAGGCGGCTTACTCTATACGAGCTGACAGCCTGAGGCTCTTTTTCGACGCATCGTTGGATGGCTCACGAATCCTCCTAGGCACTTGGCCTGAACAAGTCTGGCGCTGGCTCCTGGCAGCTTTGACATCTTCGGACGAGGAAGCGCCCAACGAGTGTAATTTGGCCGTGGTGCCTGCCAAGCCTGCACCCTATGACACGGCGCAATTTAACCGTAATGACCAAAGCGCTGTTTGGCGGGTTGCCGATAATCTTAATAACCAACAAACTGAAGGGTCTCGGTTGACGGCAACCGAGCGTGCTCAAATCAAGTCAATCATTTGATTGGGTGGATATCCTCTTACAAGCCGTGCACGCAGAACACACAGACAAACAGACGAACAGACATGGCCCACCCAGAGGAGAAACGCACAATAATCTCATCACTAATCCCTTCTGAGCCTAGGCCGCTGCTGTGCTCTCGTTGTTAAACTCGTCAAAGCACACGCATAGCGCCGCCATAAGGGCATAGTCGACGCCAGGCGCGACGGTCAGGCCGTACTCGTTTTGCCCGGTAGCAAAAGTGGTGAAGCTCTTGAACATTGACTTTCTGTGGATTCGGGCAACAGTTACCCCGCGAGTCTCGTCAATGATATCGGCCGTTGAGTCGCGCCAGTTGCCCTTCATGACGAGCGTCTCCTCCTTGCCGGCAGCGGCTGAGGTGAAGGTTGCCGTGGCTTTTGAGCCGACGACTGCGAGGGCGGAAACCATTGTCAGTATGATGTGCGAAGGAGTGCCAGATAAATGATGTATCATCAACAAGCAACGCGGCGACTAGACTCACGCGAGAAGCCACTTTTCACCTCGAAAAACTTCTTTCCACTTGGATCAACCGCCTTGAAGTAGTTATGGACCAGATGGAAGTGCTCCTTCTTGACATCGAACAGGTGGTTGCCGTTGACATCGTGGAAGGACTTTCGGCTAGTGATCCAGCTAGGGTCCACTTTGAAGACAGGGTGGGGCGGCTGGCCGTTCTGCGGATCAATCTTGATGTCGAAGGCGTCGCCGGTGATGGACATGACCTTCTCCTTGATGATGAGCCTGGTCTCCTGGTGCGGGTTGATGAATTGCGTGCACCCGATGGGTGGGTTCATTGGCTGCAGTTGACTCATGGTGGAGATCTTGGTGCTGTGTGTCGTCAAAAGCAATGGCGATGGTGATGTCTAACGAGCAGACTAGATTTCGGCTGTGGTCCGGGACGAGGGAGACGATAAATTAGAGGATTCTCGACGCTGAAAGCGAGGCCTGCATAAGCTGACTGTCAGCAATGTGGAGTCAGCAGGCCTCCCTACAGAGGGTAAGGGGTAACAACGACGAATGGCGGGGACGGTTCAGATGGAAGAAGCTGCGCCACCACAGACACAACAAGCTCAATTGCTGCAGCAAGGGTCCTCGTCCTCCCAACTGAGACCTCCCTCCCGAGTCTCTGAGACCAACAAAAGAAAAACCGCTGAGACGAAACGAGACATATGCAGTGTTGCGACAGGTGCTTACCTGCATGTCAGAATCTCATCGCTTGCTGGGATCACAACAACTGCCTCAAATCCACTTATTGATTAGACGATACTTTTATTCATGAGTCTCTAGGTTATCCGTGGATCAAGTACACACCAGACCGCCTTCCCGCGCCATTAATCCCCTTCGCGACTCGGACATTCAATCCGTGGGCTGGTACCGAAGTGGAGCGTGCCTAAGAGGAGCGGCAACCTGGTCATCTCCGATCCCTCAATGCTGCTCCTGTTATAGCTCATTACACACCCCCGTTGAGAAGCCTGTCCCAGAAGGCCGCATGAGGACGAGGAGCACTGGCCGCAGTGTTATAGTTGAACGTTCCATTGTACATGTTGAACACACGATCGCCACCACATATCTGCGTCGCATCGCCTGAACATTTCATGTTGCACCGCGAAGGGTCCGTAAGCATGGCCTCCGTCGACACGTCATCGTCGCACCAGCACTCGTCGCCGTACTCCAGCCCGGCGTACGGCCAGCCGCTCAAGCCGCAAATGTTGAAACATGCAGCCGGTGTCATCTGGTCGGTCGCCGTGCGGGAGCGGTCCATCGCCCGCGTCCCATCAGCAGGTTCGGCGTAGCAGCCGGCAGCTTTGAATGTGATGTTGTTGACTGGACGCGGGGGAGGCGGCGGAGGGGGTAGGTAGACCGAAAGCGACTTTTCGCTGCCGCAAATTTGTTGTGCGTTGCCAGTGCATACCATGTTGCACTGGCCATCTTCGACCGGGAACGCGCCGTTCTGGATCGAGTTGCTGCACCAGCACTGCGAGCGGTATTCCAGGCCCAGGAATGTGTAGTTCATGCACAGGTTGGCACACTTGTCGATAGTCATCCGAACATCGTCCTCCAAGAAGAAATCAGGCAGCGCTCGGCCGCCCGGTCCTTCACTGTAGCATCCGAGGGGAAGGGCTGGTGGGAATGGGGAAGGGGCTCCGCAATTCGCAGACCGTGTGGAATAATGTGTTTTCGTGACAGTGGCAGTGGCCGTGACGACGAGAACAGACTTCCGGCTTGAGCTTGTCGTGAGTGTGCTCCGAGTCGATGTTGAGGAACTGCTTGAAGACGTCGAGGTGGCTGTGGGCGCAACGGTCCCTGAAGAACTCGGAGTAGATGAAATTGAAGTTGGACCTGACGTTGGTGTAGTACCAGAAGGGGGTGAGGATACCACGGTAGTTCCAGAGACTGTGGTTCCAGGCATTGTGGTTCCTGAGGCTGTGGTTCCCGGCATTGTGGTTCCTGAGGCTGTGGTTCCCGGCATTGTGGTCCCTGAGGCTGTGCCAGTGGTTCCTGTGGTTGTTACAGTCCCGGTGCCGGTGGTGTCTGCAAGCACTGGGGGGAAGCCGGAGGTGAGTAGGACCACCAGAAAGCCCATTTCGAAGTAATTGGGCCCCATGATGATATGCGAACAACGAGGTAACGAGAGGAACCCAGAGTTATCGAATTCAATGATGCAAGAGGCTAATGAATGCTTCGTCGACGATATCATGGAAATCACAACGAACCAGTGAGGAAACTTGTCTAGTAAGAAAGGTTTCTCGCGATGAATAGACGTCTCGCAGCACGTAAAGACTCGCAATCTTTGTTTACAACGGCGAGTGACGCGTCTTCTGGTAACTTGGGTTTGGGTCAGTTGTTCTTTCCTACCCACCCATTAGGTGATCGCGTGGGCAGTCGCTGATGTAGTCCATAGCATGGCGTTGACGGGGTGCCGGATAAGAGCGAAATACCACTACTCAAGCTAAATTCTCGTCCTAGCAGTCATTGTCACAGCCAATTTGAGGCATATAAGGTTGTTGGAAGAAGCTTTCTGCGCAATGGTGCGTTGTCTTCAATTGAAACAGCCCAGATATCATGCTGATCGTGATAAATAATCGTGAGAAGTCTGAGCCGCTTCATCGATTGTATCAGAGGACTCCTGATCCCAGTCGTTTCTGCCCGGTTGGTGAGATGATGGCGGCTCTTGCAGCTGATTCATCTCATGGGTCAGACCTGGATGAGTGGAAGCCCCTGAGTGGTCGACTGGTTGGCCAGCCGTGCGCCGCTCCTGCATGCTCGGCCCGAACTTCTTTGGCCACACGAGGCCGAGGAACCCTCGCATGAGTGGCAAGCAGGCGCCCGTGTAAACGATCACGAGCTCAATCCCAGACCAAGCGCCCATACTTGCGTACTGCCACGTAGGATCGATGATACGGCGATTCTCTATGACGGAAACGAGGCGGGCGACAGCAGCGAGACAGCCACTTTCGTATGAACATGTCAGTGTCTTAGGCCTAGCGAAAATAATGTTCATTTTCGAAGACTTACAAAGCTCCCAAACAGAACAGACCCATCACAAGGACCTTCTGTCTCTTCTTCATTTGCAGTTTGCGGACTTGAATGGCCGGAAGAACAACAACGGCCACATCCTGGATCACGCCCACGGCCGCACCCATTCCGCTTGGAAGAATTTCAGAGATGCAACGGCCCGGCTTAATGTCTTTGTTCCATGCATGCTCTATTGGGCTGCAGGTGAGCACGGCGAAGAGATCCATCGCCAGACCAGAGACGGCGATAAAGCCCACAACCGCCCATGCCGCGATCTGAAACCCCTTGGATGGGAAGATGCCAAGGTAAAGGAGGACGATAGATATCTTGACCAAAGCTAGAAGAATAGGGTAAATAGCCGTAGCTATAAAGAGGCTCTCGAGGACCTCAAGCACTTGACCGTCTTGCAGATCCCACATGTGTCTGCCCATGCCACGATATGACACTGTGGAATATTAGAATTTTACGCTGAATTAAGGCCGGCTTGAACATACTGTAAATGGAGAGCCCGATCACAATAAGAGCAAGGACGAAGCTGATGGCCATGATCAAGTCGTCCAGGCCCCAGTTCCGGACCGCGCGTTTTCCCGCAAGTCGAACGACTGTTAGCACAGACAAGAAGATGGCGCTCACAATACCGCCCACTATGGATGCTGTGGATGAGTTCTCGGAAGGCACATCGCAGACACTAGCTTGAGCTTTGAATAGTCCTTGTTAGACGTGTTAATTAGTGGCTAAGCTTCCCGGTCTGACATGGATGTACATACTGAGTGTGTCAGCCATGGTGCAGTTCGCATCCGAACAGCTGCTTGCTATGACCATGGTCTGGTATTGACATCGGCAGGCTGTTGCCGAAGAGCTGCAGCCTACCTCGGCGACAGCCTGGTCGAGGCATGTTTCCTGGCTAGAACTCAGCATTCTGTGATCCAATTGTCCTGAGCGATTGGATTCCCCAGCTTTCTTACTCCACATGTGGTAAGGCTGTAGTCACGAGTTTCGTTACTCAGAGCAGAGACGTAGAAGCATAGCCAAAAGAGCAAGAGACCCTGAGTAAGTAACGAGTTGAACACTTTCATGACGGCTAGCAATAGGGTGTCACATCGGTTCATCGTCATGTTGCAGAATCTGCGGGTTATGTGCTCTGTTTTGGGAGGGAAGACGTGGACTGAACTCCACACCGTGGCTTTGACCACCAACTACGCGTATATGTGAGGAAGCTCCTATCTTCCTGGCAGCGCCGAAAATACTTTTTCTTGAGATATTGTGTACCCACTTTACTACACTTCATGGCTTTTGACGAAGCGTTTTCTCCATTGAATAAAGCCAATGACTCAATCTAGCCGTGCCAGCCTTGTCGAGTGCAAAATCAACACGCAGCATTGGACGCGTTCGCGGGAGATCAACGATATAGACCCAGGATCTGCCCGTCAGATCTCGGGGCGCCCCACTTTATCAGTCTTTTTTCGTTGTCGAATCCCGCCCGGGAGATGAGTCTTGTTTTGAAATCCCCGCCGATTGCGTCGTGGATGCTCGCCTGTGTGAACTATTTCCCGGCGACCCGACAGGCTGTGCTGTGGACTGCGGCCCACTACTATGTCGTCCGGCAGCCTTTGTGTTGAGGGCTGGGGTTTCCGGAGACGGTCTTGGAAGCCCGGAGCCGAGTGACAACAGCGTTTCCCCCGCGACTTCGACTGACGTAGACGTTTGTGTCTAAGGCACTGGCTGTGACCAATGTCGATCTCTCGGTGACTACCCCTATACATGAATGCATTTCGATTTCGAAAGCCAGCCCCTGCGCTCTTCGGCTGCGAAATAATGTTTTGATCAAGGAAAGGGTGAAAGGACAAATAAAAGCTTTTGAGTAGGCAGCATTCCACTGTGATTCATGTTATTTGTTTTACCATGCTGGCTCTCCGATTGGACTCCTGTTTGTAGATCGACGCAGCTCTGATTGCATTTACGCGATCTACGAACCATCCCCACCCCACTTAAATTCAGTGAATGGCCAAGCTTAATGAAGACCCTGAAGCTGTAGCAAACACTGACAAAGAAGATAAGGGAAAGGCCCAGTTCATTGATCTGACCACCACATAGGCTCGAAGGACGAGTTCTCGCTTCCGTCGTATCCGTATTGGTTGTTCAACGTGGAGAATCAAAGCCCTGTTAAGGTTACTTGGGGTTTCGTTAGGCACAAGCTAACATACACGTGGAGGAAAATGTGAAGCAGGCTGGGTTGCAGTCGAGGAATCGGCTTAATCCGACCAGGCGTTTCATCCCAACTTGATGTAACTAGGGGCTAGAATCTAACACTCGAGCAACTCACTCAGTCAAGCAGAACCTCACACTTGCCTTATGTACTGGTCGCCGATTGGTTCAAGGCAGGACGCGGGGCGCCTGTTTTTGACTTTAAGCTTGAATCAAGCGGGCGAAGCATTCCAAGACAAGGGAGCACCCGCGAAACCCCTTTCTCATGCCATTGCTTATGGGTAGGGGACGATGCATACAACAGTTCTTATTATCTCAAGGGTGGGCACTGATGTTACAATCCGACTTTCCCGCTGAAGTTGTGCAATGTGTTCAGGCAACATCTGTGTAACATAATCTTTCAACAGGCTGCGCGTCGACGCGCTGATCGTCTACATTCATTACTTCCACGCTCTCTTTCTTCACGATGCGCCAAACTTTGAATACCGTCCTCTACGCCTTTCTGGGCAGGGCATTGGGTCAGTTTGTAAAAGCACCGACGGATCTGAAAACAGTGAACAGCACAAGCGGTATACCTGTCCGGTTCAAAGAGGTGCCAAACGGGATCTGCGAAACCAATGCCAATGTCAAAAGCTTCGCCGGTTATGTTGACATCAGTGAGACTCAACACATGTACTTCTGGATGTTCGAAGCCAGGAATGGAAATCCTACTGCCGCACCGTTGACAGTGAGGCTGGACGGAGGACCGGGGGCCTCCTCCATGAACGGCCTGTTTAGTGAGATGGGGCCATGTACTATCGACTCCACTGGGCAGGTGGTCAATAATCCACTATCATTCACGCAGAACAGCAACGTTGTGTTCATAGACCAGCCGGCGACAGTGGGCTTCTCCTTCACGACTCTCACCAAAGCCTCGCAATCACCGGACACGTTCGTGATCACGCCAACTGACAACTGCACCACCGCAGACCCTGGATGTGGAACTTTCTCGTCGCCAGATCTTACATTGACATCAAACTCGACCGTAGACGCTGCCGCTGTCTTCTACAAAACGATGCAGGGCTTCATGGGCGCCTTTCCGCAGTACAGCGCCAATGGGGTGCACCTGAATGGGCAGTCATATGGTGGACATTACGTGCCTATTTTTGCCGACCATGTCATTCAGCAGAACAAGCAGAACAATACCGGCGCCATCCAGATCCCTATCAAGTCTGTGACGATTGAGGATGGCTTCTTCGATACCCGTGTGCAGTTTGCAGCATATTTCAATTACACGGTTAATCCAGGAAACCCGTACGATCTGGCTCCATTCAATCAAACTGCTGAGACCCAACTCTTTAACAACGTTTGGGGCCCAAATGGGTGTCAGGAACAACAAGCAGCTTGCAACGCTAACCCACCACCGGCGAATATAAACGAAGTTTGCTCGGCGGCCGATGACTTTTGTGTCACGAATGTGGAACAGTTCTTCGACGTTAATGCCCTTCGTTCGGAAGACGACATCAGGCAACTCCTTCCAAGCCCCTTTCCGCCTGCTTTCTACGTGTCGTACCTCAACCAGGCGGAGGTCCAGGCCGCCATTGGGGCTTCCTCGAACTTCACCCCAGCATCCGTCCAAGTAGGCACCGCATTCGCAGGCACAGGTGACGACTCCCGCACAGGGAAGCTCATCACAGACGCCACCTCGCGACTGTTGTGTGAGGGAGTCACAGTGGCTTTTTTCACAGGCGACGCCGACTACGACAGCAACATGATCGGCGCCCAGATCGTGGCCAACAACGTCGCGGCCCAGACCCCAGAACTGGCGGCGACGTGGGCCAAGGCCGGGTTCGTCAACATGTCGCAGCTGCTCAACGGGCAGGTTCCCGGCCAGACGAAGCAGGTGGACAACTTCAGCTTCACGCGGGTGTTCTTCGCGGGCCACTTCTCAGCGTTCAACTCACCCGATGCGGCGCTCCTGATCCAGCAGCGCGCTACGGCGGGGATGGACATCGCTACTGGCACGGAGCTGATGGCTAAAGGAGGGAATAAGGCCACAGCGGGCACGCCGACGAGTGAGTTCAAGGAAGGGCCTGACACGGTCCTCAACACTGTCACGCCGCAAGGAGCCATCTATAATACTACGACGCATGTGCCTGATGTACCTCTTGGAGTCCAGGCCGCGGGCAAGGCTGTTGCTAACGCAGATGTTGGTGCCTCTGCGGTGCTTCATCCGTTCGCTGGCATGACGAGTAGGAAGATGAACAGGGTTCTGGCTGCGCAACGACAGCAGAAGAGGAAGCGAGACTTGGAACAGATTGCTAGACAGCCCTTCTAGGCATCTTTAGTGTTTTAAACAGTGTCCTGCCATAGATTGAAATACAATCTCGGTCCTACTTTGGCGGGAAAAGCCCAAAAGTGCTGCCAACGGGTTGACGCGAGCTGTATAGTGAGTGCTGCATTGGGCGGAATGGACCCCATTTATTCCGCATTATAATATTCATTTTGTGCACGGGTCATAGTGTATAATGAACAGATGCCACGGCCACTGAACGCATCACCGCGAATAGAGCGCATTTCTAACATCAGTCCTGATGTCTATTGCCAAGGCGTGAAGCTCGCTGCCTGGAGCACGAGGGCGGAAAGCGGGACTTGGTGGGCCTGTGCCAGGGCTAGGGAGCGGAATCTACAATAATACACATATCTTTCACATCCTGCCACGAATTCCTGCATGATACATGTTATTTATAGATATGGATTCAGCAGAGTGTTTGCCTAAACACATCGAACTTTCGTTCGTTGCAACTCGTGATACTTCACAGTAAGCGTGATGACATATGTTGCAGCCCCTCCTCGTATTCCTCACACAGCCACTGCAGCGTCACCCAAGCACCCACCTACGTAATGATGCTTGGAACGGGATGAACACAAGATAATTGCGTATACTTATCTATGCTTATTGCGTCTGCTACTTGATGTATTATCTTTGCCTCACTATCTTTCTCAACAATCGAACATATCAACGAAGCCACAGCAATCCGCTCCCTTACGCCGGTTCCGGTGCCGCACAGACCATGGCAGAGCAGGATGACATGTCATTTTTGGCAGCAACCTCCAGCATCCAACGAGTATCACTGGCATTTGGAAGTGGAAACGATACATTAGTCCATGCCGGAGCGACTTACCTGCAAAATTTATACCTGTCCGACCCCCAAAACGACCGAGAGGCCTTATTAAATGACAAAGGCGCGATCACACTTGGCACTTGCGAATGGGTACTGTCAACAAATGAGTACAGACTATGGGATCGAGGAGATGCTCGTTCCTCACAGCTCCTCTGGATTTATGGCGGCCCAGGTTCCGGGAAAACGATGCTTTCCATCTTCCTGTCAAAACACCTGGAAAACAACTTGATCGCACAACATCCTCAATGTGAACTGAAGAGAAAGCAGCGCTTGGCGCTTTTTTTCTTCTGCGATGGATCGGATACGCAAAAAAGCTCAGAGACAGGCATCCTGCGTGGCCTATTATTCCAGGCAATCCGTCAACGGCCATCCTTGCTGGGCCACCTGATAAGGATTTGTGAAGATCAAAGCAAAGATCTCTTTCAAGACTGGTCTTTCGAATGTCTCTGGACGGTCTTACGGGCATTTCTTCTCGATGCGGCCATACCTGGTACGCTTGGACTGAAAGAGGACGAGTTAGAAGATCCTCAAAATCCTTCGGCCTGCATCATCGTGGACGGCCTGGACGAATGTGAAGCACCCTCCATACGCAGATTGGTGCACAAGTTGTCCAGGCTTGAGGAAGACGACGAACTACGTGCGCGAATGAAGGTGATCGTCATTAGCAGGGAGAGGCCCAACCTTCGATACGCGTTTGTGGGACGTTATTTACAGCTGAACCTGGAAGACCCGCGCAATGCACAAGCTGTCTTCGCAGACGTCCAGCGATACATCGTCCAGCAAGTGGACAGTATAGCTTCTGCTGACAAAAAAGACTACCCAGAAGAACTTCGCAATTCAGTGGCAAGTTTCCTTAGCCAAAACACACAAGCGAAGTTCCTTTGGGTCTTCCTGGTCATGACGGAGCTGGAGGCAACATCCCGCATCGAGGCATGGGAACAACTCAGCCGTCTACCTTCTACGATAGATGCTCTGTATGAATGGATGATTATGAAAATACCGCATCAATGGCGAGAGACGTTGTCCAAGGTTCTTCTATGGGTCACACTTGCCTATCGTCCCTTGTCCGTCGCGGAACTGGCTACAGCTCTAGATGAACGACGTCTCGGGTTGACAGACTCGGAAATAATACGCGGCTGCGTCAGCCACTGTGGCCAAATCTTACGAACGGCCGCTGACGGAACAATTCATCCAGTACACCACAGCGCTCGGGAATACCTCTATGAACGACTCGAGTCAGCTCCATCGTTCTTCAAGGACTGCGTCGAGCTGAATCCTTTCAATCTCAAGGAGGGCCACAAGTTCATTGCCAGTTTTTGCATAAAGAACTTGGTGATTCCCAATTGGCCAGGAATTCGAGATAGTGGTAAACGAAGCAAGAAAAACGAGAAGACCAGGGACCGTGCCAGATTCAGCTCGGGCACATCGACTGCCCTTTCGGACTATGCCAGAGAATTTTGGGCAAGGCATATCAGAAATGCCGAGGACTTGATGTTGGAGATAGCAGACAGCCATTCGGAGTTATTCGGAGAGAATTCTTCAACGCGTGGGTTGCTGGCCCATGAGTTCTCAAAGGGTCTTTTGACGATGGACACTCCCATCCTCCACTTCGCGGCGTATCATGGATTTACACCACTCGTCCAACGACTTCTTAAGAGGGGATGGAGGAATAAGCTGAGGGCACGACGTTTGATGAGACAGAAAGACAGCCTTGGTCGCACTGCTCTGCATCTAGCTACGCACTACCACGATAACGTCCCTATCGTTGAGTTGTTGCTTGGTCGAGGTGCCGACGTGTCTTGCAAAGACCACGCGGGCGCCACAGCGCTCGATCACGCGACGAAATACGGCACTCCCGAGATGGTCAGCTTCCTCGTGGCTCAGGGACAGCAATAATATTTGGAACAGGGCAGACTAATTATCCAGGCCTTGGGAAGTTGGGTCTTGAGCGATGGGCGAAACAGCCCTAAGGTGATGCGAGGCTCACTCACTGACCTGGTGCTTTGAACGAACATTAATAATACTAATAGCTAGTACTAGTACCTATTACCCGCAGCCGGCTTTATCAATTCCCATCGGTGCCTCCCACGTTGCTATTAACATTATGTTTCGGGACTGGCGACCTAGGCTGCATCATGCCCCTTCCCTTTCTCGGCTCCTTCCTTCTTTTTCGGAGGTATTTTTTTATTTCCTAGCCCCCATGAAGTTAGAAACGACACAATCCCGAGACCCATAGCGAGGTAAAAGGTATTTTTGATGCTGGCACTGTAAGCTGTTAAAGCAGCGTGTAGATCACTAGGCGATAAGCCCATTGTTCGAAAGCTGGTGGCTCCGGAATTTATTATACTGGAGACATCAAGTCCGGCGATCCCTGTCAGGCCGCTTTTGAGCCCTGTCTGGAACAGGACTGTGGCAACCTGCAGAAATACGGCACCACCGAGGGACTGACTGAAGGACTGCAGGGCGATGGCAACGGACACTTTCTCCTTCGGACACGCCATCTGTAAAGCGACATTTGCCTAGGTCCGTAGATGTAAGCCATGAATTCTTGTTAAGATGCAATTTCTTCATGTGTATTAAACTTACGACTTGTGTGGTAAAACCACGCCCGATGCCTATAATGACTTGGTAAGCTGCCCATTCCGCAGTGCTTGTACCGACGCCCAGCAGTGTTAAAAGCCCAGATCCAACCGTGATCAGAATAGCCCCGAAGATCGCTTGGGGCAAGTAATAGCCCAACTTTCCCACTAAGGCCAATTCATCAGCCATGCCGCATCCTCCCGACCACAGGGCGACGAAGTGATTGGGTACTTACTCAGAATACCCGCCAGCACCCCGATAGCTATCTGCGGTACAAGACTAGGCAGCAAGGACAGTCCGCTCATACTGGCACTTTGGCCCAGAACCGCCTGGAAGTAAAGAGGGAGGAAGTATCCCTGGATATTGAGAATTGATCCAAGCGCGCCCGCTGTGGCTGCTGCCGACCACACAATCTTTAGTTTTACGACGCTGAAGGGGATCAGGCCATCGTCCTCTTTGTACCAGTCCCAGATTAGGAAGAGAACGAGGGCTACACCTCCGCCGCTGAAGAGACCAATGACAGCCGCACTTGACCACCCCAAGATGGCGCCTCTCTCTAGGGCGAAGGTGATCACAAAGACGGCTGTCCCTAATAAAGCCCAGCCGATGAGGTCCAGGTACTGCGGCAGCCGGGTGAGAGCAGTGAAGAAGGGAGGCTTGACACATTGGTCAGGGATGCGGCTGAATATTAGGATGAGGACTGCCAGACCACCGAAAGGAAGATTCAAGTAGAAAACTATGAGCAATATCAGCTGATCAAATTGCTTTGAATCACGGGCTCAGGAACATACTCCACCGCCAGGTGCTGTACTGTGTGATCGCACCACCGATGACTGGCCCGAGAATACTAGCAGGTGAGGTAACTAGGAATGTGAGCCTCGAAAATCAATAGTTGATCGCAACATTTTGTGCTATTGCAAAGTAAAGACTTGTTTTGCGAGGAATTATGCAATTGTTGATTTCAATTTGGGACAACGTACCAGCTACAACAAGACTGAAGATCAGGGGTCTCTTGTTTGTTGGAATACCAGCCACCATGAGGGTCTGAGAACCATTATAAATCCCCGAAGCACCCAACCCAGTGATAACTCTGCCCCCAATGAGCATCGCTGATGAGTTTGCAGCGCCGCTAATCGCCGAGCCGATACAGAACGTAACGACGAAAGCAATGTAGAACCATTTGGTGCTGAAGTTGGTGAAGATCTTTCCGGTCAGCGGCAGCATGACAGCCGTGGCCACTGATGCCTCAGAAGTCAGCCATGGATGACATAGGAATTGAAGTGGTTGTGCGTGATGTACAGAGGCGGGGGATTAAAGAAAAAGATAGGATTTAGGGAGGGGATGATGCATTGGCCCGCAAGACTGCTGACATGAGTGTTTTGTTGCTCTTAGCTTGTCCATTTCATGGGTCACGATTTGAAAGCTCAAGCAGGCGAAATACATATTTTGAAAGGAAAAGGGGGCTTGTCACATAGGAAGAACTCACTGAAATAGGCGCTACCGTACCAGCCAATATCGGCTAGAGAGTTGAACTCAGCTGTGATTGCTGGGACGGCTGTAGCTATCATGCCCGCTCCGTTGAGGTACGTCAAAAAGTAGACGATTATGACGCAGATGACAACTGTAACAAGTTCATAGCCTTGCAGATATTTGTTCTCCTCAACGTTGGCCACCACGTTGTCCTCGTCTGGATGAGCTTGGACATTCTCCGTGCGTTGTCCGGCTTCTAGATCTAAGTGTCCCTCAGAGTCCTCTATCTCCCGTCTGAAAAGAGTCTGCTCGCTCTCTTTGTGGACAACAGTCTGCATTTGAAGCCATTCTGCTGTTGCACCGTCATGATCTTCGCCAAGCTTGGAGGGGGTTTGATGTAACGAGTGTAAGCTCTCACTCGCGGGAATGTAGCTCGAAGTTTCTTCGGTAGCTTTGCTGTGGTCATTTTTTATGAGTGTAATGCCATTTGTAATTGAGCTTTCGGCATTCTCAGGGAGTGGATTCTCCCTACTTAACGACCCCATTGAACTGTGCTGTATTGGAATCCAGGCGGTGAGAAATCCGTGTACTCACTGTGACTCGAGTTCGGGATAAAAATCATATTGAGTCGAGGGAGCCTGTTTCTGCGGATGAATACTAGGATTTTGACCAACCTCAATGGCCTGCCTGGCGCTCTGCGGACTCCGAACGTCCACACATCTTGACAGCCGTCTATTTCTGGACGTGCCTGACATTGGGCTGACTCGTCTCTAAGGTTGCGGGTAACGTCCGTAGTCCTTCATTAAACCATCGACCATGGCTGTGGTCCCAGCCCGTGCCCGAGTGTACCTTGCTTCCATCCTAGATCATCATCGCCGGAGAAGAAGCGACTCCAAACGAGGCACCTCGACTTGGTGACGCCAAACCCCACAGCCTCAAACCACTAAGCAATTAGCCGTAGAGCCACCGGCATATTGTGGGTGGAAATAAAGTTCCACTCCCAACCTGGCTGGTTTCGTATCTTCCCGCTATGCCAAGGCACCTATCTTGCCACTCATATCCACATGATGACAGGATAGAGAGATATGGTAGAGAAGACTATCCAAATGCTAAGGCCCTTACTTGTTAGCTAAAGAAAGGTTTACCAAAGCGTTTGAACAAAATTTCAGAGGCAGAATGTCTTGTGCTTTCAGGTTGCTTCGATGTGCTTCCAAGTTGCTTGAACAAAAGCAGTATTTCAAACTGAGATGGCTTTCCTGCAGCGTCTTTAGATATCGAGCACGTTGCGTCTCATGTCGATGTGTTACCTCCACCGACCAATCAGGAAAGCTCGAATTCGCATTCGGATAGCTAGAAAGTCTTCTGCCTCGCTCGAGCGGATGTCAGGAGCCTCCTACGGCATCCTCCGCGTTGCTGACTCGGCACGATACAACCACAACACAGCACTCCACAGCCTTGTGTCAACACAAAGGATCTCGGGGTCGCGTATATGGTCGCTTGTCCACGTGGCCCAGGGCAAAAGCCTCCGCCTCCGCACGGAACCTGCGGATGTATCTTGCCGGCAGAGGGAATTCACCGAGTAAACGTGCACCGTGGCCATGACCCACCGGGGGTCTCTCTTATTTAGTATGTGGCGCCCGGAAGACTAATGGTATCAATGCTTATCGTGAGGTCCACTTATTCCCCATGGCTCCTGGATCACCGGGTTATTGACGTGAGTGGTGAAGCGGATGCTACAACTGATGTTGCAGTCGCATACGTACTCGGAGAACCAACGTGGCCCAGTACCTCCTGTTAGGTCCACTATGGTGTTCAGCCCCAAAATCTCACTGTCGTAGTGGGAGCAGAACATCCTGCTATAATGGATGTGAATCCTTGTTATAACATGAGTAAGTACGTGGTAGCGCGCAACGGTTTGCAACAAGAGTACTACCAGCCACTCAGAAGCTTATTCTACGACGCAGTGAGCTCCTTAAGCATACCCTTACCCCTGGAAGACGCAACAAGGGAGAGGGTTGAAGCGGCTTTGCATTAGTGTCCATAGGGTAGCGTCCCGACGGGCTGGCAACGTTCCACAAATTAAGCGTTTTCCAACCCAGCACAAGCCCTTGATCTCCTACCTTTGTGTTGACTCGAGCAGTGCTGAACTTGTCAAATGAAGACCTGAACAGCTTCAGTACCGCGCGCTGCCCCTATTTTGACGCGGGGGCTGATTTCGTGATGTCCTTCTCCGACGTGTGCTCAACAACTTGCTGGGTCACACTGCAGTCCCTGAATGAAGTTGGGACCCTTGTAGAGGGCTGCACCTGCCCTTCCGCGGCTGCTAGTATAGTAGACTTTGAAGGACCCTCGGAGGGTCTTCGTCTTTCGTACTGAATGGTGATGAGAGCGCCTCGGGGGCCATGTTCGACTCTCACAGTAGAGTCCACACTACTATGTCGAAGTGAATTCATCTCTGGTGTCAGCTGCTTCTATCTGCACTGAGACTATGAAAGTGTTTGTTTCCCATGAGAGATGATCCCTGAATCAACGACACTTTTTTGTTGGGTATTACGTGATCAAGATGTTTTTGCTCAGCTGCGAATGGCATTCACCACGTTGGTCTGGATCTCTACAGTTCAGTCCCTGTTGTAAAGGATCTCAAGGATGGGAACGGCAATAGTGTTCGGAAGAGTCAGTCAATGGCACCATACTGTAAGCCATAGTTAGTTTACTTGTCGGGACGACCCGTCGGGTTCGCGCCTGTTGCTTGGAACGCCAAGCTTCATCCCAGTACGTATCGTCTGGCTCCAGTCGTCTCCTCGGTCGCTTCCACAATCCCCCTCGACTTGGGGCGCTTATTGTGGCTTGAGCTACCTTCCGAGGACAGTGCCAAGAAAAGAGGGTGAATAATTATCCACAGCCATCAAGTCCTTGGCAGTGTCCTCAGATGGACCAGCGTTTGTCGAGAACCTCTTTCTTGCTGTACCTGCACCCGCCTGGCTGATATCAACTTGAGTCGAGCAGTCCCCAGAACGATGAAATGAGGATTTCAAATTATTTCGAGGGTCATAGAGTTCTGAGCAAACTCTACCGCGCGGCGCAATGAACCAACGGAGAGACGCATGGAAAGTTCACCCGAAGGCCCGAAAGAGCCCGAAGAAGGGTTGCCTTCCATAAACATGCTGAAAGCCCGGTTGGCAAGCCTCATTATGTTGAGCTGGGATCTACAGGGGCTGCATTCTCAGCCCTAGCTCGGTGGAAACAACACGTGGTGCCAGGCTGATTCCAGCCTGGGCCAGGCTGTGAGCTGGTCGAATAGGCCCGAGTCCGATGAAGCGTCGAGCCTATTGAGGCCAATGCAATGTAAACGTGGCTGGGTCATCCATCCGACTGCTGCTAGCGGTGTAGCGAGAAGCCGGCGCCTGTTTTCTACCAGGATGGGGTAATTTGGGACATGTCATATTGGTGGAGGTACGATATCGTCTGGATTCTGGCGGCACAGCCCATCTCACCGACCATGTCGGCCGGCCCCCGTGACTATGGGGAAGGTAGTGACTATGGTGTGTTGGGGCGGACAGACGGGGCGTGCATAATTGCCGCGAAATGCGAATGCATACCGCTGTACCGACTTGAGTCACGATGGATATTGGGGGCGGCCGTTGGCCCGTCTCCGTGGATACGAGCGTAAACGAGAGCAGGGAACAGCACTGTCCCTCAGCTCAACCTGCCTTGGGGAGCAGAGGCACGAGTCACGTATCTATCCTGTTCTGTCTGCCCCAGCTCGTCTCGCCGAGGGTTTGTCATGTCGAGGTTACAATTACCTGCGGGTAAGTCGCCAGTTCTAGGCCCAGTTGGCAAATCATGCGGGGGCAAATACCAAATACCAAGACCAAATCTGTGGTACGTCGATCGTGGACATCTCAGGATTATCAGCCTTACTGCATTGGCAAAGCTTATCTGCACTTCGGCGCGTAGTGGACTAGGCGGGTAGCTATCAACACAGGGGTTTGTGGCACACTACAATACCGTGCCTGTCATTTCTGCGACGTTGGGACATGCAGCGAGAGCTGGCTCGCTTCACGTACAGCACGATCATACTACGCCGGCTCCGCATCCGACTCCCTCGCCGTTTGTGTATGTCAATAAACGAATGATTTTGCCGTTTCTGTACCCTGGCACCTTGTTGCGACATTCACGGATCCATCGCTGAAAGCTTAAGCACAATTTAAGCTTCTTGCATACCCCACCAGCATCCGCCCGGAGCCGAGTAACCAGTGTTTTCTTTGGCAAATGGTAGAAGCCTCCCCAGTCAGCATAGCAACACAAGTGTCGGACTTCTCAATGTGCTCGCGGTGGTTTTTGGATAGTATGATTCCTCGTGCTAGGCTTATTGTCTTGATTGAAACAGAACATAGCAGTCAACCCCTGCACTTTCAGGTATGGAAGGAAGCTATTGTATCATCACACCCTGGGAATCATCACATCGACTAGGTCAAATCCTGGTATCTGGTATTGAGACATTGGCGTATGCCCACCTCCACCGGAAGACTAGTGGATACATGTACATGACAAGTGCTCCTCGAGATATGGTGTCTTATCTTAACCCTAAATTACTGGCCGGTAAGTGCGAGCCCGTCCTCGTTGTGAGTGGATACCTAGCCGCCAACAGGGACCGTATAAGTAAACCAATAATCGCTATATCAGACTGTGCGCTTGTCGACGGAGATGCAGACGGCTATCGAAACGCTGCAAGCATTGAATAAATTCTACTTGCTGCAACGTCGATCAACGCAGATAGGCTCGGCTGCTGTTGTACAGAAACGTGTCTTCCTCGATAGGCTTTTTTGCCGAACAACTGCATCATTACCTGACTCTGCAATATTGTCGAGAAATGGCCCGCGTTAGACGCAACTGGACATCAAAGGAAGATGAACTTTTACGGCGAGCAGTTCGAAACGGTAAGACAACCTTTTCCGGTGATATGAATCCGGTACTTTGAGTCAGTGTAGAGGAACGAAAAGGCTAATATGAAACATTTCAGCTGAGACTGAGCAGCGGCCTCTTCTTTGGCGTGAGCTTGCTAAAGCTGTCCCAGGACGATCCAATAAAGATTGTCGCCGCAGATGGTGGAATAGCCTCGCGGATGGCAATGCCAAAGGCCCGTGGTCAGAAGAAGAAGACGAGAGGCTGATCGCCTCGGTCCAAGAATGGGGCACAAATTGGACGAAGGTTGCGCGTGAAGTCGGTTCACGAAGTGCAGACCAATGCTCGAGTCATTGGAGCCACGTGTTGGACCCAAACATCAACTACTGTGACTGGACGGAGGAAGAGGTATGTAGCCCCGTGAACTATCTCATAATCTGCGCGGTGAGTGGAGAGGCTGATTGGTGGCATTAGGACGCAGATTTGCTGCACGAGGTCCTCACATATGGGACAAAATGGGCACAGATAGCAAGCTGCCATAATCCAGCGAGGACTACCCTTGCGCTTAAGAATCGGTACTCAACCTTGCGGTTGAAAAACGAAAATAGAAGCAGAACACGGCAAGACATGCCCGAAAGTTCCCAAGGAAGTAGGCAATTTCAACGCACGAACTCACGAGGTTCGGAAAAGAAAAAAGCCTCGAATTGGAGTGAGCGAAGCGAGGTGGTGAATTCTGATGACGAGGAAGACGAGGAGGAGGAGGACGAGCCGGAAGAAGAAACTGATCAAGTAATACATGCATGGCTCGATGACGCCAGCAACGATTCCAGCAACAATGCCAGCAGCAGGAACACTCAACGTGCTGGAACAGGGAGCGCAGAAAACGCGCGGTTAGGAACGATCAATGTTTCAATGCCAGATGACGCGCTCGCTTCCTGGGATGAGTGGGCCAAAACCAGCCTTCCAACCCCCAATGCCACCCACGACAGTCTCCCCACTTTGTCGCCCATCGAAGGCGAGAGCATGGGCGTGGACGAATACTTGCAATTGGATCCGGCTCTGCTTCTCAGTGGATCCGCCCAACAGTCTTTCAATATCCCTGGCAGTTGCTTCTTTGAGAGCGACGAACCATGTACAGCGACTCAGAATACATCCTACGCATTATACGGTATGAACAGGACGGCCCAGAAGAGCTAGGACTTTGGGATGTATGCTGACAGACCCCTGAACTTAGATACAACTGGCTGCTTCCAACCGACACCCGTCACCAATTCACCCGGGAGTCTGGCCCAAACGCCAGCAGGCAAGGACCCCATGACTGGCGTGGTCATGGAGCAAGAGGCGAACTCTTATGAGAAGGCGTCATCAACAACACCACTCCCGTCTCCAGGACCTTCAATAGGAGCGATCGTTGCGGCCTCCAAATCCAAGGACTGGACAACAGGGAACAACGCCCCAGGAAATAGCCCCTCGTCTTCTCCTTCACTTGTTACACAACTTGCAACATCTTCAGCAACATCCACTTCGAAGCTGCGGGTTTCGATTACTTTGACGTGCGACCAAGCTCAGCTGGTGTCGGTCATGACGCAGTTGACTGACTATGGGACTGGTGTTTCCATCAACGTTGAGAAGGACTGTTGAGGAATTTGTGGCCGAAGTTGGTAGATCTGCGAGAGGGGAGAGAGAGAGGCTGACTTATCCGTGAGATACTGTAAGATTAAATGTGCGGATGTGATAATATGAGCCAACGATGGATACGACATACTCAAGCGGCCGTGATTCGATTGACTCTAAGAGGAGGAATGACTGATAGCCGCATGGCCCAGAAGGCCACGAGAAATACTGGGCAAATTGAGGTATCGATAGCTTCGCAGAAAGACAAGAAGTAAGAAAAGACAGCTGAAAGACCAAGAGACTAAATACATTTCACACGTATGTTGTGAAAGCCTACATGATCAGCCTTTGCCCCGGGTAAAAGAGGACATTGAGTGCAGCTGGCACAGCGTCGTTGAATTTGGTCAGTCGGACACCAAATTGAAGATTTTGATACGTACACGCAGCAGCACAGTGGGTGATGCCGAGCTAAGCGCCATCGTATAATGCACATTGCCCGGGTAAATTTGGTCGTGGCTAGACGTGTTCATTAATTCCCCGAGTTTTTTCAAGTCTCTTCTTGCTAAATATTTGCTATTTGTACTAAGGTCCTAAGCCCAGAGGCACCGTGCTATTCGAACGCTATACATCCTAGACCAATCTTTCCCGTTGAGAAAACAATGCATCTCATCTCACAATTCACCTCATTGTGAAACCTTAGGACTCATGAGTGTCAGGTCGTTTTTGGATCCTTGCATAGAGTCCCTTTTGGAAGAAAAACCAGGAATTCTCGTATTGGAATCTGTGAGGATCGACGACACGAATCTGTATTGTGTCAGAATGGGAACGACGCTAGAGTGGTGCTTGTGTTTGTTTTTGTTTAACTTTTTGGAGAGAGGGGGACTCACATCGTAGTTGAGGATGAGGAAAGGAAGGATTTTCTTGATCTCCAGGATTCCCACGTATCTGCCTATGCAGATGCGGCGGCCGCCTCCAAACTTGAATAACATGGTTAGCAAGATTACGGTGACAGTTCGTGAGGCAGCGAAAGGCGCAGCATGTCACAGCACGCACAGCAAGCAATGAAAAACGAAAATACTCACTGTCAGAATTCCTGCCTCTAATTTCCTCTTGTGCGCGTCATCTCTCTCCAGCCAACGCTCTGGTCTCCAGAACTCGGCGTCATCGCCAAACCAACCCTTGTGCCGGTTCACAACATAAGGATTTCCTCCCACTGCTGTACCCTCTGGCAAATGCTGGCCTGCGATAGTAATACCACCCTTGGGGACAACACGCTCAAAGGGGAGGGCAAAAGGCGGGTGCATGCGGATTCCTTCCTGAACGCAAGCGTCCAGGTACGGCAGATTGCGTACCTCTGCCCACGTTGGGTAAGGTTTGGATACGTTGGCAGACTTTAGCTCGTTGTAGAGTTTGTCCAGGGTGTGAGGGTAGATCAAGAGGTTGTACATCGTGGTACGCATGAGACTTCCCACCGAATCAGAGCCAGCAATTACATTGGAAAATGTCCAGGCGGTTGGGCCCCTGAAAATCCATTCCAATAGGCGTCAGCACACAAATTCTGAATCAAGGCAACGTGCATTGTGTCATCTGCTGGGTGTTACTTACCAGGGCGGGATCGATGGGTCATTCTGCGCCAGCTCGACATATCTGGTAAGGAAGTCCTTGCCACGAGCGTACTTGTCATCGTCTGCTTTTTTCTCCGGGTCTTTCTCCAGCAACGCCTTTTTCTCAGCAATTGCCTTTGCAACAAATCCGAGAATACCAAGGGATGATTGAAGCCCGAAAGTTCGTTGTATGAAGTCACCAATGCGGTTTTTGCGGAGTAGCCAGTCAATTTTTGGCATCTGGGTAAACTGTGTTCCAGTGATGTGAGTATACTTCTCGTGAAAATTTGCTTTCCCGTTCGCAACTTACTGGTGCAGAGGTTCGCATGAAGAAGACAATGCTTGCCAACATGTTTCCAACATCCTTACCCGTGTCTAGGAAGCCGTACCGTTTGGAAAATGTCAGGGTGCCCATGACATCAAAAGCAAAGAATTGAAGCCAATCCCCCAAGTTAAACACTTGGTCATTGCCGACAAACTTCTCCTCCAGCTTCTCATGGATGCACTCCAAAACCTCGTTCACACGAGGCTCAAGGGATGGCACATTCGAGGGAGTGAATAGAGGTGCAATCGGACCCTTGAGTTTCTTGTGTACCTCATCACTGGTAGTATTGAAGACAGCTTCTAAAGAGCCACCATTTGGACTGTATGCTTGGAGAGTCGGGTAGAAATCGGACTGAAAGCACACGAATTAGGCATATTGGTCTACACACAAGAATGTCTCTACTGTTTACTCACTTTGGGAAAGCCCGTTCGCGCTGTGTATATCGTTGGAATGAGCTCGGGGTTGTTTATGGAGACTGTGTTTGGACCAATGCGCACAAGCTCTCCGTACTTCTCATGTTTCTCCTGGAGTATCAAGTGTGCGCGTTTGGTCTTGACCCAATATACTCGCTGGAAATTGGTAAACCGCGCCAAAAATGGACCAGGAATATGACGAAGACGCCACCATGTGCGGCCTAGGTGCACAATTCCAAGTAGAACTGTGGCAGCGAGAACAAACTGAAGAACAGAGCCACAGGCGACCGAGGTCAGCTTGGCGGGGATTGCGACGCCCATGGTGTGCTTTGCCCAGATACCCCTGCACAGGAACGGGATGAAAAACTTCAAGTTTATCAGGCAAGAAGCGGCAGCAAATAGAAGTAAGAGGTAAGGTAGAACCGCAATGTATATGAATTATCTACGCATAGTAACAAAGCTCCGCGTTTAGTGTTGGTGCAAGAGCCTTCTTCTTCCCGGTCGGCGTTCGGCCTACGATGATCATGCATGCCCGTTCGACTGAATCCGACATCCAGATACAAATCCAAAGAGTCATGAATTCTAATCTGACGATAGTGACAATCGCTCGGGTCCTTACTTGGTTCCCTCACATATGGGGGATGTGGGGGCTTTGTATGATCCGACGCCGAGTAAACCCAGGACCACCTCGCATCCGAGATACCGGGACGGCCACGGCATGCGGCAACATCCCAACACATGGTGCGAGTTTGGTGGGGCAGTCAGTTTCAATCGGCGCAGGCTCGCCAAATGAGATCTGCTCGTGAGATTTGGTGCCTCGGCTCAATGGGACATTTTGGCGCTGATTCCTGTCCCAGTTTCCTGGGACTGGTCCAAAGGCGTGACCCACTTGAACAATGATTTCAAAGCCTCACTTGTTACTCAGGTAGCCCCAGACGCTGCGTATCCGAGAAAAAACTAAATAGGGTTCATGAGAATGCTGGGATGTCTGCGATGCCATCTTGAATCTTTTCATTAGCAAATATTCATGTTTTTGCCTTCTTGAAGGCATTTCTAAGTACACATACACTCAACTCAACGTCAGTGTATTGTGGGATCGTGGATTTGGCCATCATGTCGTTCAACAACGACTGTTCCAAGTTCTCAGTGGCTCTATTTGGGCCACAAAGGACACCTTTGACATCCCAAGGCCTTGCAGATCTTCAAACAGCCCTGAAGGAAGACCCTCGTCTCGAATTTCTACGACAGACGCTCGACACACTGCCCTCCTTATGGTCACGGGTCAAAGACACGCTCGATTCACAACGATTTGAGGGCGCCTCGAAACTTCAAAAGCTACAAAAATTTGCAGCCGGGTCTAGCGACATAGATTTCACAGCATTTTCCAATATCGAGCTAGCGGTCCTGACTGTGGCCACTCAAGTCGTCGACTTGATTCAGCAACACGGCACCTCGCTTGACAAATTTGAAGCAGCTCAGGGGTTCTGCATTGGATTCCTATCAGCGGCATCATATGCTACTGCGCGTGATTGGAACGAATTCGAGAAGAATATCTCCAACGCCATACGATTAGCCGCCTGTATTGGCATAGTCGTTGACGTCGAGCAAGTCGCCCAGCCGGTCACGGCTTTTTCAGTGCGTTGTAAATCACCGACAGACAGAGCTACTCTTGATGCATATCTGGATCGTTTCTCTGATGTGAGTTTTTCCTAATTCATGTTCAACAGCATAAGATACTTAGGCTGATCCCACTTTCTAGGCGTATATTTCGTGCATCACAGACGACAAAAACATAACCATCACAATACCACAAGCCTGCGAAAAGGCCTTCATTGTGCTGCTAAGCGAGGCCGGCATATCTACTACAACAATTGGCCTTAGAGGAAGCTATCACAGTCAAACTCATCAACAAGCTGCTAGAACCCTCAGCAGTCTCTGCGAACAGAATGACAATCTCCGGCTGCCTACAGCCGAACAGCTACGGCGACCACTCCGGTCCACTGCCGATGCCGATCTTATTACCACGGGAGCTCTCCATGACATTGCAATAGAGCTTATTCTGGTCCGCCGCGCTAATTGGTTCTGGACCGTGAAAAATACCATCGCTCACTGTGACCAGCACCAGACCGAGCTGGTTAGCTTTGGTTCCGAATCATGTATCCCTCGATCCATGACAATAAGAAGCCATCAGAGCACACTTTCAAGCACAGCCAGCGGTACGGAAGAGATTGCTGTTGTTGGTATGTCCTGCCGGTTTGCTCGATCGGAAAACCTTGAAGAATTCTGGAGGCTGCTCGACGAAGGCGGGACTGGCATCGGAAAGATACCCAGTGGTCGTTTCGACGCTGCACATTTGACACGCGGACCGAAGCTGGATAACTACTGGGGAAATTTTATTGCCGAACCAGACGTGTTTGATCACAAGTTCTTTGGAATTTCGGGCCGCGAGGCGAAATCGATGGACCCCCAACAACGGCTCGCACTCCAAGTTGCATACGAGGCTCTCGCGTCGTCGGGCTACTGCAGCAAGCCAGCTGAGACGAGCACCAAAGACGTCGGCTGCTACCTAGGGGTGGGTGCTGTCGACTACGAGGACAACGTTGCCTCGAAGGACGCGAACGCCTTCGCGGCAACTGGCACGTTGCGGGCTTTTATCAGCGGTCGCATCAGCCACTTCTTTGGCTGGGATGGGCCATCCCTTACTGTGGACACGGCATGCTCATCCTCAGCTGTTGCAATCCATACCGCATGCAAAGCCCTGCTGGGCGGCGAGTGTTCTATGGCGCTTGCTGGTGGTGTCAATGTTATCACCAGTCCGTCGCTGCATCAAAACCTGGCCGGTGCATCATTCCTCAACCCGAATGGGTCCTCGAGGGCTTTTGATGCCAATGCAGGAGGTTATTGCCGTGGTGAGGGTGCAGGCATCGTTGTGCTGAAGAAGCTTTCTGCAGCTTTGGCTGATGGTGATGCGGTCATTGGAGTGATTGCGTCTTCGGCAGTCAACCAAGGCTCAAATTGCAGCCCAATCACGGTGCCACACTCGGATTCACAGAGTAATTTATACAAGCGCGTGCTCAAAGACGCCGGGGTGAAGCCTGAAGATGTTACGTATGTCGAGGCACATGGAACCGGTAAGACTCCAACTACAATTCCTTACTTCAAACGAAAGCATCATCGGGCTAACATTTGTCACAGGCACTCAAGTTGGTGATCCAATAGAGTACGAAAGCGTTCGGTCTGCCTTTACTGGCCCTTTGCGAACTGAGGAACTTTTTATCGGTTCTGTCAAAGATAACATAGGCCATGCTGAGGCTGCTTCTGGAGCGGCTGGAGTTATCAAATGCCTGCTCATGATGCAACACAACACAATACCAAAGCAAGCAAACTTCACTTCTCTGAATCCCAAGATCAAGACTTTACCTCAAGATGGGATCACCGTGCCCAAAAGTTCTGTGCCGTGGACCTCGACAAAACACATTGCGCTAGTCAACAACTATGGAGCGGCGGGAAGCAATGCTGCCATTCTCATCCGCGCATACCCTGACAAGCCCACGCCGCTGCCGATCAGAAGTCCCGCAATCCATCCAATTCTCCTGTCTGCGAAGACGGCGAGCAGCCTAGCCTCATACACGGATGCTCTCAAGCTATACCTTTCCAAAGAAAGACTATCCCTTGAAAGCGTTGCTTACAATCTAGCACAGTCCCATGACGTGTCTTTCGATTCTCGCATCGGCGTCCTTGCTGATGACCTCGACAGCGCAGTATCTGCTCTGGGCAGGGCAAGTGCTAATGACAGCGGAAAGACGGCTGCGTTACAAAGAAGACCTGTGGTTCTGTGCTTTGGTGGCCAAACCGGACGTCAAGTTACTATTTCGAAGGACCTGTATGAGAACAGTGATCTTTTGAAGAAACACTTGGTAAGTGGAAGAACTTTTCGACCTGTAGCATCTTCATTTATGCAATGACTGACTTGGGATTTTCAGGATGAATGTGACTCGATATGCCGGCGTCTTGGTCTGGGCAGTATTTTCCCAGGCATATTCCAAGATGATGCTATCCAGGACACCTTGTCTCTCCACTGCAGGCTTCTGTCCTTGCAAGTGTCATGCGCAAGATGTTGGATTGATTCAGGTCTCGAGGTCGATACTCTGATAGGGCACAGCTTCGGCCAATTGACCGCACTATGTGTCGCCGGCTCGGTGTCTCTCGAGGACACTTTTCGTTTGGTCGCCGGTAGAGCTCGCCTGGTCCGTGACGGCTGGGGTCCTGAACACGGCGCCATGCTGGCGGTCGAGTGCGACAGGGAGGAGCTCGACGACATACTCAGCCAGGTGAACTCAACGGATGACTTCAAACTGGATGTTGCGTGTTATAATGGGCCTCGGAGCTTTGTGCTCGCGGGTGGTTCAGCCTCCATTGCAAAGGCTGTCGAGTTGTGTCGCGGTCTCAAGTCGACCGAGCTGCGGAATACTCACGCGTACCACTCCTACCTGGCAGACGGGATATTGGATGATCTTTCGAAGCTAGCTGCCTCTTTCAAGATTCAGGCGCCCCGAATCCGTATCGAGACATGCAGCGCCGGTGAGACCTGGACAGACTTCACCTCCGATGCGATCGTGCAACACACACGACAACCCGTATATTTCAGTGACGCGGTCGGTCGTATTGCCAAGCGTTTACCTGCGGCGATTTGGGTCGAGGCAGGATCCGCGACACCGATCTTGGCCATGGCTAAACGCGCGATAGCCAAGCCTGACCGGTCCGACGTCTTCGTGCCTATGCAGCTTGGCGCGGCAGACGCCGTGAAGAACTTGGCTAAATCGGCGTGTGATCTGTGGAAAGCTGGCTCAGCCGCTCAATACTGGCCCTTCCATCGTTCTTCAGCATACCGTTACAAGAAGCTGAACATCCCACCATATCAGTTTGAGAAGACGTCGCACTGGCTGTCACTTGAGCCTAGGTCAGTTGGTACAGCAAATTTGAGCAAAGCTCCGGAGCTCGTCAAATTGGTGAAGGATGGACGCTCTACTGGAGAGTATGTACTAGTGGTCAATACCGCTGGAGACAGCTTTCAACTGTCTGCAAGAGGTCACGCAGTCACCGGCCAAAGCCTCTGCCCCGCCTCCATGTACATGGAAATGGTGGCTCAATCCGCTAAATTGGTATCCAATCATGCTGACGCTAAGAAATACATTCCACATATCGAGGGCTTGACGATGCTAGCCCCTCTTGGAATCAGCGAGGCTGCTGTGGTATTCGTACGTCTTCACCAGGTGGCACCCGAATCATGGGACTTCATCATTACCAGCCAGGCTTCTGCAAGCACACTTGGGAGCGAGTCATCGACGAAGCATGCCAGTGGGTCATTTACATGGCAAATATCTGATGACAGTATCGCAAAAAGACGCTTGCAGGTACTAAGCCGGCTGGGTGCATCCAGAACCTCCACGTCAGCCATGGCTACTGGCGTAAGAGGTGCAATGGTGTACAAGCTGTTTTCGGATGTTGTAGACTATGCGGACTACTATCGTGGCGTCCAGAGCATATCTGCATCAGACAACGAGGCTACTGGAATGGTCAAAATCCCGTTAAAGCAACACAGACTTATAGACACGGGTATATGCGACCCTATAATCTTGGACAACTTTCTGCAAGTTGCTGGGATACACACCAATTGCTTGTCTACGAGAGATGAGTCGCAGGTACTGATGTGCACCTCTGTGGATGAGATCATATTTTCTCCATCTTTTCTGTCAGACAAAAGTGATGCACGAGAGTGGCTTGTACACACGCGTTTTGAGAAAGACAGTCCCGCCAACGTTAGAACCAACGACATCTTTGTGTGCAATGCAAAGTCCGGAGACTTGGTCATGGCCGTTTTGGGTGCGAACTTTAGGGGAGTTCCTTTCAGATCGCTCGCAAAGAGTCTTACGAGGCTCAACAAGCCCAGTGCCCCAGCGGCTGATCCAGACATGACTTCACACGATGCAGAGGATTCCGGCTACGCTTCCGAACGCACTGATGAAGACAAAACGCCTGCACACGAAGTCGATCTTTCCAAGATACAGATTGCTCAAGTGCAGTCGGTGTCAGCACAACTCAATTCTGAGAAGTCGACGGACGCACTGGCGAGCGTCCAGAAGATGTTCAGCGAAATCATAGAAATTTCCATCGACGAGGTCGCCCCATCCTCATCCCTGGACGATCTCGGCATAGACTCTTTGCTGATCACTGAAGTCCTAGCGGAGATTAACACTCGATTTGGTATCCGCGTAACCCAGGCAGAGCTCTCGGGCTGCGTTGATGTGCGTGCAGTTTCGCAACTTGTGAGTGGAATTAACACGAGAGGGGAACCCAAGCAGCCTGAGATTGTCTCCATGGAAATTGCGACACAAAAAGCCATCGGCGCAACAAGCAGCAAAGAAACTGGATTTTATGCCACTGTGGGTGCTGCCACAGCAGCTAAGAATGTGCCGAATCTCGCGGCCGCAGGTTCCCAGGTGTTTACCAAGACGATACCCTCGTACGACAAGCACGCAGACACCACAGGCTTTACCGACTTCTATACTGAGGTCTTCCCAACCCAGTCTGCACTAGTGGTGCAGTACGTCTTGACAGCATTCAGCTCGCTCGGCTGCGATCTGGGGTCATTCGCAGATGGCGCTGTGCTCCCGTCCATTCAAGCTCTTCCCAAGCATACAAAGGTTATGTTGCAACTGCACGAGATACTTACAACTGCGGGTCTGCTCAGCAAGGGGAATAATGGAGAATTCCAGCGCACAGGTTTGCCGATCCCCACTACTCCCGCATCTGCTCTCAAGGATGAGCTGCTACAAAAGTTCCCTAAGCACACTTCGGAGACGAAGCTGCTCCACTCCACCGGCCACAAGCTGGCTGAATGCCTGACAGGGAAAGCCGACCCAGTCTCCATTCTCTTCGGGGACTCGGCCGCGCGTGACCTGCTCGGAGACGTCTACACGAACGCACCCATGTTCAAGACCGGCACTCTTCAACTGGCCGAGTACCTTTCCTCTGTTCTCGGCGAGATCGGCGGGAAGCGTGAGCTGAGGATTCTCGAGCTCGGCGCTGGCACAGGAGGAACCACTAAGAATGTCGTTGAGACTTTGTTTAAGCTCGGCCATAAGTTCACGTACACTTTCACGGATCTGTCGTCATCGCTCGTGGTGGCAGCCAAGCGCAAGTTCTCCAAATGGTCATTCATGGAGTACAAAGTCATGGATATTGAGAAGGACCCTCAGTCTGAGTTCCTTGGCAAATACGATATTATCCTGTCAACGAACTGTATCCATGCAACCAGAGACCTTATTAGGTCGACAACACATATCCGACAGATGCTTAAGCCAGATGGCCTATTGTGTCTAGTAGAGCTGACACGGAACCTCTACTGGTTCGATCTTGTTTTTGGCCTTTTGGAAGGATGGTGGCTGTCCTCTGATGGTCGATGGCACGCTTTGGCCACTGAAGAGTTGTGGAAGAAGGACTTGCTTGAGGCGGGCTTCAAATGGGTGGACTGGAGTCGAAGCTCGACAAAAGAGTCTGAACTCTTGAGGGTTATCACAGCTTCCCCATGTGAACCTCTCGCTCGCTTGGAGACCCTTCCATTCAAAGAAGTCGATGGACAACAACTTTATGCCGACATGCACTACCCGGCCGAAAAGGTCGAGTCTGGAAAGAAACTTCCTGTAGGTGAGGATATCCAGCTCAACACCCAAAATGAAAAGTTTGATGGCTAAAAGAATTCATACAGCCCTCATGATTCACGGAGGCGGCCATATAATGCTGTCCAGAAGCGACATTCGGCCAGACCAGACAGACATGCTCTTGGAAAGCGGTTTCTTGGCAATTAGCATCGACTACAGACTCTGCCCCGAGGTCACATTGTCGGAGGGTCCAATGGTCGATGTTGTTGATGCCCTGCACTGGATCCGTACCAAGCTTCCGGAGCTTGTATTATCACGTCCAGATATTGCTGTCGACGCCAGCAAGGTCGTTGCAGTGGGATGGTCCACAGGCGGCCATCTTGCCACAACACTTGCCTGGACTTCCAAAGCGCGTCACGTCCAAGCCCCGGAAGCCATCCTAGCCCTTTACTGTCCACTCGACTACGAGGATAAGTTCTGGATGTTGCCCAACATCCCCGAAGGTGCTGCAGGGTCAACCGTCCAGTCAACCGAGTTTGACCTCGACGACGAGGTCTGGACGAGCGGCGTGTTCGACGCTCCCATCACAAGATACAACGTGTCGCCTACCAAGAAAGCCTTGGGAGGCTGGCTGGCGCCATCGGACCCGCGAAGCCGCCTGGCGCTTTTCATGAATTGCCGCGGGCGCAGTCTTCACGTTCTTCTCAACGGACTGGACAAAAAGGCTCGGAAGGAGCCCGCAGAACCGACCCAGAAGGACATTGTTGCTGTCAGCCCACTTGCGCAGGTCCGAGCGGGAACCTATAAGACGCCAACTTTTATTCTTCACCCGCGGGAGGATGATTTGATTCCGTGGCAGCAGGCCGAGCGAACGTGGCAGGCGTTGCAGGATATGCAAGTTGATTCGGAGTTAAGGATTGTTGAGGGTGTTCCACATTTGTTTGATTTGGCTGGGTTGCACAGGGTTCGTAATGAAGATGCTAGACGCGCTATGGTCGAGGGCTATGAGTTCTTGTGTCGGCATGTGGGCTTGACTTTACGTACATAATTGGGAGAATGTAGATTTTCTCGAAGAACTTTTTGTTGTCGATACTCTCTAGGAGCGCTTGACTTGATTGAATTCAATAAATGGCAATGTTAGCCAAATTCTCCTACCCAGTTTATGAACTTCACACAGCTCGCGATGGAAGCAATAGAAACAACCAGGGCTTCAACTTCAGCTCTCTCTCTATGCACTGCTATCGTAATGCATGAAAGCAACTGGATACTCTGCTTCTCGAAGTGGCACGAATCAGTTGTTTAAAATTTATTTTTGCTTTCAATGACATAAATCTTGACAGAAATTCCATCGTGAATCGACTTTAATACCCGACTTCTTCCATCCGTTGATCCTCTCAGGAAACAAGGGGATCTGATCCCGTATTGACAGGTCATGTGCCATCACGACAAAAACATTTTCCAAAGCATCCAGTTCCTGTATCTTGCTAATCGTATCGAAAGATGCTTCTTTATCCGGGAATATAAGGCTAGGAGCAGTTACCTCGAAGAAAGGTACAGATTTACTGGCCAAGCATGACTCCAGAAGAAGTCCAGGACAAAGCGGCGAGTCTTCGCCCAGAAGATGCTGCAGACTCTCCCCGGACGGTAAAGGATGATACTCGCTGGGGCGCAGCACTCCAACATGGTGGCATGCGTCCGCGCCCATGAACACAAACGATGGCCCGACATCGTCAGACGCAGCCGTGGTTCGTGCCAGGGCACAAAGATGACCCACCGCGTGGCCTGGTCCGTCAAGGAGGTAAAACGATCCGTCACCGAAGAAATCAAACGCATCGAAACGCCCGATTTTGAGACCCCCATTAAACGAGATCTCACGCACCGTACGGCCCTCAGCATCGGCATCAAGCACAATGGCATCCGCACGTGACGGCCAGCCGGGCCACGTCGCGGCACGGACGCCCGGGCCGACGACCAGCTCAGTGCTGTGCGGGAACCGCGTCACGTCGCCGATGTGGTCGAAGTGGTTGTGGGACCAGATGACAGCGTCAATGTCGGAGCTGCGCACGCCGACTTGACCCTTGTCGGCCGCCTCATCAAGTGTGGTGGCCACATCGGACCCTGGGGTGACTACTGTGGTGGCTTGGATCAGGGCAACAGTCTTCGGCGCGTAATTCTGCCAGTCAGGTCGGGTCCCTAGATCAAAGAGTACATGCTTTCCTGTTCTATTGTTGGACACCAGGAAGCAGTAGATGGGGGCGTGCAGGCCATTGAAGCCATCGACCTTCGGCCGCCAGAACAGTTCGGGGTTCAGGTGAACGAACGTGTTGCTATTTTGATTTCATCAGTCCCAACTGTCTAGACTCTTGGGCAACGAAAATTAGAACGCACGTATCAATGACCCGGACATCCACTGTGGTGGAGGATTCTGGGATGTGGACCACAGGGGGTGGCTTGGGGATTGCTGTGGCCAACATGTTGGCGCTGTTTCTTCTCAAAATCCGACCCTGAAAGACAGACTCCCAAAACCCATTCCTTCTTACGGTGGTTTGTAATTCACGCGCCTTCTAGCCGCCCCAGGGAACTAACTTGGTTCTGAGTCGTGCAGCTTGTCTGTTCCCATGCTCGGAATGTTTATTAGGATGAAGCGCGGCACCGGGTAAACAACAACTTGTTGCAATTGATTACCAAGGGCCGTGACCGATCAAGGACCGAGGCACGATTAGAGCGCCGTGTTACAACATTGAACCTGAGAACCCCTGTCTCTATTCACTGACAAAGAGAAAAACTGGGCTTTGCAAGATCGGAGGCTGCGGAACGTTGTGAGCCCAGGATATCTCAGGAGGCTATTTAGCTGAGGCTGTATACCGCAAAACTGCTTTAGTGTTGCTGCGCTAGTATAACTAAAGTCTTTAGTACAATCGTCCCTTACTCTATCACGGTACAAGCGGAGTCCTGAGAAACCAGACCTGGAAGGTTCAAAACCTATCGGCTCCTTACTTCCAATAAATCCTTATCAAAATTTGAACATGGCGGCCGCCGTAACGGAAACGGTGCAGATCAACCCCGATGTCATCAAGGAGCCAGAAACGGCATCAGAAATTGTTGTCGCCGATGTAGCTGCCTTGAATGAGGACGCGCTCTACTGGTGGCGCACCAGCGGACAAGATCTGGCCCGTATGATGCACGAGGCCGACTTCCCCGAGAAGACCCAGAGCCAATTCCTGGATTTCTACCGAACTGTCATCTGTCCGCTGCTGAAGGGACGTCCTCAGCCAGACTCGTTGCCGACGGCAGTAGGTTGGGATGGAAACCCCTTCGAGTATAGCTGGGAATTTAAGGGCTCGACGAAAAAGTCAAGTGTGCGATTTGTCTTGGATCTCAGTGAGGCTAGGCCCCCGAACAAAGATTGTCCCATGAGTGTGGAAACGGTAGAAAGGGTTCTTGAAGTTTTGTCCAAAAAGAGTCCGCTCTATGATGATCATTGGGTGAGTCCCTGGCGCTGACACAAAGACGCACTCCGCCCATCCCTGAGCATCCGAGATGACCCAACCAGTACATTCCCTGACCGCCATCAAAGTTGGTGCAGATTAATTACAATAATTCTTGCAATTGGGGGTGTTCCGTGCGAAGCTGACATCAACACCAGCATCGTGCAATCGAGCGGTGGTGCGTTTACTCGAATGCGTCCTCTGAAAAGCAAAGAGATTTAATAGCCAAGGCGGGACACCAGACGCCCACTATCCTTGGCTTCGACATCAACCCGAAGATCACCGAAAAGGCCCCAGATATGCTGCCCGTCATGATAAAGAGCTACTTCCCACCGTGCTTCGTTGGCGCAGACCGGGGCTTCACACGATTCCAGGCGCTCTCCCTCGGCGTGCGGCAACTCCCTGACATCGGCTCACACCCCAATATCCTGCTGGGTTTGAAGATGATTGAAGACTACGTAGCGGACAATCCAAAGTACGAGGGCTGCGGGCGAGGGCTGTCCACCGACTTTGTGCCGGCCGGCAAGGCCCGCCTCAAGGTGTACCTGCGATACTGGGGCGACGATTTTGACGAGGTGTGGGACTACTATACGTTGGGAGGGCGGATACCGATCCCGGACTTGGATGAGGACAAGGAGAAACTACGCGACCTCATTGCACTGGCGCGTGGGAGGGACTATCCGGCCCACAAGATCCGCCAGGAGACCGAGGCTGAGAAGAAGCGCCGTGCCATTTTGGGTACCAAGCCTTCATCGCTTTACTTCTCGCTGACACCTGACAAGCCATACCCCATCCCAAAGTTTTATTTCTATCCTGGGTTCCAGGCGCCCAATGATGAAGCTATCGCTCAAGGTATCGATACTTGGTTGGAGAAGTATGGCTGGGCTGATGGCGGCAGAACGATGGAGGAGCGGACCAGGAACACCTTGTAAGTGCTTGTTTCCTTGCCCTGTAGAGAGTTTTCAGGACACAGCTGACCTTCACCAAAGCACATACCGGAACCTTGACGAAAAGCCAGGTATATTCACTTTCATTGGCATTGGTAGGAAGGAAGGGATCGATGACCGGGCGCTGAGTTTGCAGGTTTATGTTACCCCTGAGTTGTACGAAAATCCACGAATCTGATTCAGCGGGGCAAGAGGAACAACAGAGCATTAGTGCTACGAAAGATCCATTTGTGTAAAAATAGCTATTGGCCGGACTTTATTTATGTATCTCTTATCTGTAAGGCCAAAAGTATATGACTGTGTATTTCCCATGATCAAAGGTGTCGGAGACGCTATCTGTCATGCCAGTCTTGTAAAGGGAGACTACATATTGACTGCGCTCAAATATGGATGTGAAATTAAATGTGTAGTCTTTCACCAGTCTTATCGCTATTTTACAAAATCTAAGATGAAGTACTTGAATATTTTATTTTGGGCTGTAAATTTCACACGCTGGGTGTTAAGCAATTGGGAAGACGAATCGAATAGGAATATCTTATAATTATGTGGTCTATGTCTATATTCCCATCTCACTCACACGCTCGGCATGAACACTGGCATCCCATCAGTTCACACATCGAGTTCAGCCTCAATGATCCGCTGCACGGCAAGGGGCGATGACCAGATCTTTATCATCCTGTATCCTGCCGACTTCAGGAGAGCCTTCCAGTGTGTCTCGCTTCTTTCCTCACCAGCCACCATGACCATCATAGTCAGGTCGTAAGCAGTGGTGTGGGGGTGAGCAACTGCCTCCGGTGCTATGTGGTCATGGATTAGTAGCTTGCTGTACCCAGGCGTCAAAGCATCACGCTGCATCTCGAGGATTTTTCGCGCCGGCTCATCAGACCAGTCGTGCAATACACCGTGCATGTAGTATGCCCTTGCCCCTTGAGAGGTTGTTAGCCGCATGTCTCGGGTGTTTTAGGTGCACAGATAGGCTCACCTTTGATCGGCTGTGGTGTGAAAAAGTCATGGCCGATCTTGTTGACTGGGTCTGCACACTTAGACAAAGAGACAACCTCAGGAAGGTCCTCTAGATACAGGCGTGAAGCCGTCTCCGGATGCGCCTGGTGGAACCTCTCCAAATCGTGACCGATGTTCCCACCAACATCGACCAGGATGGGTCCATCTGGATTGGCTGTGGAAATTAGCGTGTCATGGGGGAAAATATCTAGCCAGCCGGCCTGATTGGCCATGACGCCACCCATGACCTGGTTGAAAGATTCGCCCTCGACGCGATTCTCCTGGTAATAATGGAACATGTCCGTGCCCCTGCAGTCTTTCGCGTACTGGAACACGCCATCAGCCGGGTCCACAGGGTTCTTATACCCTGTCTGCGCCAGGTAGCGAGGCAGCTTGAAGAAGCAGGGGATTGTCGCATCGTATCTGTATGATTTATTAGTCGATGCTATCATATCACCTTCAATATTCTTTGACATATCTACTCACTGGTGATTGATCCACTCGCCAAAAACGGGTTTCGTGAAAGAAATTGAAAGCGCCGTTGGCTTGAAGATGCCCACTGAGGGTTCCTCCAAGACATGGTATGCTGCCAAATGTCGAAGCAAACGAGCTGATCAATGAACGTGTTAGTCAAATGTGGTCATCTATTGAATGGGAATTTGTAGAGGTTTGGCAACGCACAGAGCAATTTGGGCTCGACGGATGGTACCAGCTTGTGCAGGTCCTCTAGACTCTTTTCACCATCGCCGGCCTCGTGCCACTTCTGATACAGCTGCAGATCCAAGGCGATCTTCAGAGCCGCGCCAAGGGCAGGCTGTAAGACTTGTTAGTAAGGAGGTATTGTCGGCATGTCGGAGATTGGAAAGCGTACCTGACCCATGGCAAGCCTCAGCACAAAGTCCCATGGGGTCTCAAGACGGGCCACAAGAGCATAAGCTGCCGCCACAGCTTCTATACGCTGTCCGTCATTTTCAAAGGATTCGGCGCTTATTCCGTTCAGTGTCTGGAGAATGTTTTGGTGTTTTGAGCCAGCATTGCCGTTGATCCCGTTAGTTGAAGCTGGCATTGTGTGAGCTGAATTGTATTCCCTGAAATTGACCCCTGGGATAGATTCTAGTTCATAACGTACACTTTCAGCATAAACCTCTGACGATTTGTCGAATCCTTTTGAGTATGATTGATAGCTAGTTCATGCCCTATCGAGAGTGCTCCGGGTTGAGCAACGGAACCGGCCGCCGGTGCGGCCGGAGTCACCGAGTAAGCCCCACGCGACACCGAGTAGACATGTGTTAGATGACAAGCCCAGTGAGAACCAAATGTTCACATGCGCGAGATGAGAGTGTCGTGTAAACTAGCAAATCCCAATTAAGAGTGCTAAAGTCTCCTCCGACGACCCGTTCGTAGCTGGTTTCTTGTCGCAATAGACTTTGCTGATCCGACGGGCCATCGGACCATACCTGATTTACGATCGGAGTCTGCACAGACTCTGCAACGGCGAATGGGGTGGCGGGAAGCATTCAAACGCAAGTCCTACAGACGCCGCTCTTGGAGATTACGCTTTTCAATAATTCCTCAGATATGTTTGGATCAGCATTGGTCCTCCTTCTCTTGGTGGTGGCCCCTGTAGTGTACCGGCTGCGCTTTCATCCGCTCAGCCACATACCGGGCCCACCCATTGCAGCTGTTTCATCCCTATTCCTTTATGCTCTATGCTATCTTGGGATTGAGGGCAGTGTTCTACGCCGATATCATGAGCAATACAAGACCAAGGTGCTTCGAGTTGGCCCCAACGCTGTTTCGGTAGCCGACAGTGATGCTGTCCGCGATATCTACGTGGCAGGAGGTGGATTTCCAAAGGACGGTCGCTACAGAAACTTCAACCTTGGCCCAATTGTGACGATTTTCTCCTCCATCGACACAGTCTACCGTGACGCGAGAGCCAAAGCCGTCGCGCCAATCTTCTCACCTGTGCGGCTGCGGAGAGAGAGCACTCCCAAGGGCTCCATCGGCCGACATGTGGCCGATTTCGTGAGCCAACTTTGTGCGTTTCGAGATGGGGGAGTCAAGACCGACATTCTAGACCTCTGTGCAAAGCTATCTATCGATGTCGTGTCGGAATATGTGCTTGGCCAGCCATTCGGCGGATTGACTGAGCATGCACATCTGGGCCTAGCAGAGCGGCAGACCGCTGATGCAAAGCTGAGCGCGAACGAGTTCATCCATGCCATTGTCGGCTTTGCTCGCTTCTCATTGCTACCAAACCGCTTGTTCAAGCTGGCCTACTCCACGTCCCAAAAGATACATCACGACGATAAAGTCGACAAGTCGTTAGCAAGGATCCAAGAATTCATGGGACAGGTGATGGCAAGCACCAAGGCAGGCAAGACAATCGACCATTATCAGGACCGTCTGCTCGCAGCAGGTGTTTCTATTCCCGAGACCGCGGGCCAAAGTGAGGCTATTCTTTTCGCGGGCGGAGATTCAACGGCTGTCATGCTGGCCACCACATTATTCCACCTGACGCGCAACAAAGAAGCGCACGCACGCCTTCTTCACGAAATTCGTGCCGCCGTACCAACAACAGACAACAAGCAACCTGACCTCCCCTTTCTGCGCGCATGCGTTAAGGAGGGCTTGCGTTTGGGCATGGCCAACCCAACAAGGTTGACGCGCGTCGTGCCACCCGGCGCCAATTTGGCTGTCGACGGCGTCGCAATACCAGCCGGAACCGTGGTTGGTTGCGCGGCTTATATTTTGCATCACGACCCGTCCGTCTTCCCAGATCCGTTTGCCTTCCGGCCCGAGCGGTGGATGGACCACGCGTCGAGCGCTGATCTACGTCGTCCGGATATGGACAGGACCATGATCCCTTTTGGGGCAGGTCTGCGTGCGTGTCTTGGCAAGAATTTAGCTATGCAACAACTTCTGGAGACTGTGGCGGCTGTAGTGGACAGCGAAGTCTTGGTAAAGGCTCGAACGAGCGAGGAGAAAATCGAGGTAATCCAGTGGTTCAATGGTGACATCAAGGGCCACCAAATAAACATTGATTGGTGAAGCTGAGGTCCAGCCATCACAATCACTTTCATGTTAATTCTCTTCTTCATTGCATCAGAATACTTAACGCAGCTGAATCACGAATACCATCGATATTGCACCTGATACATACCGCAGAGAAAATCTTACAAGTACACATCATGTTGCGGAATGAAGGAAACATGTGAAAACCAACATCAATGTGGCTCCTCAAGAGAGGTCGCCCAAAACTGGTTTTCTTTTTCGAGGATGTCAAGCGCATGTCCGACTGTGGAAAGGAAAAACAGAATCGCTAGGATATCTGGGTCATCGAGAAGCTAAATTCGCATAATAATGCCAGTCCGAGAAAGGAGATGTGTCCACCATTGCAGACATGAGACCAAATCTCCACCTTTCTCCGTAAAGACGTGCGAGTCAACCCCGAGGAGATATTGAATTAAAACGAAAAATCTTTCGCCCTACTGAAATGTCCGAATAGAATGGGAAGATGATTTTTGAATACAGTCACCACACATGCAGGCTTGCTAGTCCAGACAAAAGGAGCATCGGGCCAACCACGATGAGGCCGTGTGAGCTTCCGATTTTACGGAGCAATACAGCAAGACTCCGGTGATCAAGCCGGCTTTGCTTTCTGCGGAGGCTGATGTGACGCTATCTTACACCACATCCAATCTTTCGTAAGTCCCCTGTGTTTCAATTGGCTCACCAGACCGTTGGAACCATTTACGAATCATGCATCCGAGATCTCCTAGCTCGGAGTCCACGTGGAATGTGCCTGTACCTGTCATGGGCATGGCGATTCCGGTGACAAACGTGCAGATGCTTGTTAGATATTATGCAAAGAGTTGATTTAGCAAAAGTTTGATGAGCTCCAGTGAATGTTCACGGTACGCCCAGACTTCATTCATCTTAAAGTTCGCCTGGGCACTCTGATTCCTTGAAGCCGTCCATGGCGGCACCGAGTAAATACCATTTCCATTGAGATATGGGTGGAGTCGCTGGCTGGAGGGGCGGGACCTCTTGCAAATGTGCGGAGTTGGATTAAAAGCCATGTTTAAAAAGGAATTAAGAGCCTTCATGGCCAATTTTGGCAATTCCTGACCTTTAAACCAGAGAAATTCCACTCTGGCAGACGCAGAAGCCATTCTCTGGACACATACACGTTCTTTAGTTACCTTCGTTTTGGCATCTCGCTGTAACCTCACCTTCATTATGCGTTCCCAATCTCGAGTTCCACTTGTTCTTTCCATATTACTACTTCCAAGTAGCATCCTTGTTACAGGCGCACCTGCTGCAACAAAGCGTGCTGCCTGTACCCAGGAGACTGCTATAAGCAGTTTCGACTATGTCATCGTTGGTGGCGGTACTGCTGGCTTGGTCCTGGCCAATAGGCTCACCGAAAATGAGAACACCACAGTTGCTGTCATAGAAGCGGGAACGTTTCCTGAGGATGTCGCAGGAAACTGGAGCCAGATTCCCGGCTACGCCAGCAAGTTCAATTCAGGTCACCTCGAGATGTCGTGGGGCTTTGAGGTCACCCCTCAGCCAGTAAGCGCATCAAAATCATGGCGGAATTGGTCGACTACTGACACTATTTGCCAGCACCTCATGAACCGTACCATTGAATACAATCGTGCAAAAGCGGTATGTTGACTCAGCCCCTCATAAAGGAGCAAGGAATGGGAAATTAACGGTTGACTTTGTAGCTCGGCGGGTGTAGCAACGTGAATTACATGTCATATGGGCAAACCTCCAAAGGTGCTCATCAAAGGTGGGCAGACGAAGTTGACGACCAATCTTACACATACGAGAACATACTGCAATACTACCACAAGGCCATGAATTTTTCTGAACCAATAGAGGGGGCTCGTTCCGCCAACGCCACGGGTTTATATAACAAGGAAGACGTGACCTCGGCTGGCACGCTCCGTGTTACTTTTGGAGCTTATGTCCAGGCTTGGAGCACTTGGGCAGCGAAGGGTCTCGAGGCTATTGGGATTCCCCAAGTAGCAGCCCTTGTCAATGGAAACGGCTTGGGATGGGCCTGGGCCTTAGTGACTGTCACTTCATCAGAGAGTGCTCGTTCCAACTCGGAGACTGCCTATTTGCGGCCAGTTCTTGGCCGGCAAAACCTTGTGGTCTTTGACTACACATTCGCCGAGCGCATTGTGTTTGATACTGACAAAATTGCCACTGGAGTAGAGGTGACCTCCACGGCTGACAACTGTTCATCCACTATCTCTGCGAACAAGGAGGTCATTCTCTCAGCAGGTGTCTTTCAGTCCCCTCATCTCTTGCAAGTTTCAGGAGTTGGTCCTAAGGCTCTGCTGGAGAAATACAGCATAGACGTCGTCGCGGACAGGCCTGGAGTTGGTCAGAACATGCATGACCAGCTCACCGCATTTGCATCTTATCAAGTCAACGTCATCACTCACACACGCCTCGACCAAGATCCAGAGTACCTCGCTGCTGCCGTTGAATACTATAATACCAACCGCACGGGCGTGTTGGCTGGAACTGGAGGCGACTTGATCGGCATGGAGAAAATTCCGGAGGAAATGCGGACGGCATTCTCCAACGATACTAAGACATGTGAGTGTTGCCAGAGGCCAAAGGCTCTAATCCTAGCTTGGCATCCACAACATATCTACTTTATGTTCTTACTAATGGGTGTTGTCGTACAGACCTGGCCGATCTGCCCGAAGATTGGCCCGAGATCGCCTACAACGTCTATCCAGCCGGCGTGACAACACCGGCGAAGGGTGCCAACTACGCCATCCTGCAGGCAACGCTACTCGCTCCCCGGTCCCGAGGCTCAGTCAACATACAGTCCGCGGACATGAGCGTAGCACCCGTCATTGACCCCAACTGGCTGAGTGAGCAGACCGACGTCGAGGTCCTAACCGCCGGTGTAAAGCGTGTCCGCCAAGCACTCAACAGCACAGCCATGGCTCCTGTGCTTATCGGCGACGAAATTCTACCCGGCGTGGACGTTCAAACCGACGACGATATTGCAGCTTACCTTGCCAAGGTGGGCAACCCTATCTACCACGCTTTTGCCAGCAACAAGATGGGTAGGACATCCGACCCCGACGCGGTTGTGGATAGTCGCGGAAGGGTTATCGGAGTCTCAAATTGTAAGTCCTCCTTTCTGGAGATGTATTTGGATACTGAAGTGTTCGAGCCAATTTTAACGAACGTGCAGTGCGAGTCATTGATTCTTCTTCGTTCCCATTCCTGCCACCAGGACCCTCGCCCCAGACCCAAGTTTGTAAGTTCTCTAGTGCCTCATGCATCCCTGCCCGTATTCACTGCTAACCCGTGCAGATCTGTTGGCCGAGAAGCTTGCCGACGATATCAAGAAGACTGTCTATTAGTTAAATGCTTAGTGATGATAGTGGCTGCGATATTCTTCAGACTAGGGTTTTCTCTTCTGTTGTGTTCAATGACCTTCTCTGTATTTAATGTCGCATTCACCGAACTCATGACCAATATGGTTTCTTTTGTAATTGAATTTTTCGAAAACGTGTTTACACTTTCAATTGTCTGGCTGGGCTTGCACATTGTCTTCAACCTTCAAGCTTGTCATACTTAGCGAATGCGAAATGGTCCTTCAAAGACAGAATTGTCACCGGGATTGGAGTTCGGGGATTTGTATGAAGCAAGCAAGCCTTCGAACTCAAAGCTATTGAAGTCTCTCACTGACTCTATATTTAACCAATTAAGTGCACTATACTACATTGAAAGCTCATATGGCAAGGCCATGAGAGACTAGACGACAAGATATCCGCGTCTGCTGCAGCACCCCAGATTAGAACCACGAGACAGTAATACTTCAACCCCTGAAACGCATTACTTGCGCTTGCTCTTTTCCTTTAGCGCAGCTTTCTCTTTTCGGTCGATGTGAGCATAGACAAATGCGTACGAGATGTCTATGACTTCGGATGCGACGAAGAAGAAAACAACGATGGGCTCTGCCACCCTTGGGTAGCTTCCAGGGTAGTGATAATAGCGCCAGGAAAACAGCACGATGGAGAGAAATGTGCCAAATGTCCGACAGAACCTATGCGCAGACAATCAGATTAGTCGTTTTCGTAAGGTTTAAAAAGGCATCAATTCACTGACCAAATGCCCCAGGAATGACCCGAGGTGCTGTTCCGTCTCAACAGCTGAGCTAGGGACGTGGCACTGATGAGAAGCTGGTCTGAGTAGCCCAGGTAGAAGGAAGCAGCATCCAAGCCGACCGTCTTGATAAAGAAATAGAACGCGCCAGTCATGAACAAAACCCCGAAGACAAGGATCGATCCAATATTGTTGGCCACGACAGGGGACTGCTTCCACTGGTGTGGTCCGTACTTCCACGTGGTGTGGATGATAAAGATGTCAATGACCAGCCACGGCACGAAGCAGACCACTTGGGCAACCGACGTGGGCATGGCGACACCAAAGAGGAACTCCCATGCTATGTTCCCACTCCTATCTGCGAGTCAGCAGCCCGCCATCACACGCAATGCCCCTGTCAATGGGTGCACTTACAGGGCAAAAAGTGGCATGCCATATGACTTGTCGCGGTACCCCTGGCGTACATAGAGAACATAGGCGATCGTCCAAAAAATTGAGACATTCAATATTAAGAAGTCTTGGACCTGCAAGTAGTAGACAGGAGGCTGTATCGCCCTATCGACAGGGCTAAGAGGAAGATGGTACGACATCTTGGCGACTTGACAATGACGGTCTCAGCCTCGCTTGGAAGGGAAGCTAGCGTCTGCACTACTGAAGATAAAAAGGACGAAGAAATCGTTTGAGAGTAGTTCTGAGATGATACTATCAAGCTCACTGCAACGTCACTTGAACTCATATGAGGTATGAATGGTCAATGGGCCCGATCTTTCCAGGACCGCATGCTCTGGGTTTACTTGGGGTCGACGGTTCTTTTCGGCCGGTTACTCGGTTTAAACTTTATCCACATAGAGCTTTCAGACGTTCCGCAACCAGAGGAGCCCGACCAAGTACCACACTGAGCTTAGAAACGTAAACTGAAATTTTTTAGATTGATTTCGCCTTTTGTGTTCTGTGCCAAGTCCATACCAAGCAGACGAAGACGTCTCAGTGACTGCTTTGGCGGAACTGCTTTTTGGTTTCGGAGGGGGTTTAGAAGAGCTCCACCGGTACTATCAGAATCCGTGATCCGCATCAAAACCTAAACCTCGAGGTTTTGCATGTCGCGACTCTCCCAATCTACCCAGAAGCTGTATTGTGAAGCAAAACTTCATTGTTACAGATCCAGAAGAATTGAGAGCGCCCGCCCTAAATTATCCACTGGGTCATGCAATTAGTGATCCCATGGCTTCATTTTCTCTGCAGTACCCCGGCGAAGCTGAGGCCAGCCTTTATTCCGCTGGTAGTGTTCTCGTCATCTTCGCAACTGTCTTAGCTTGGCGGTGGTTTTCGAGGATCTCAAGGACGTCACATTTTCCATTCCTGGGGAAAGAAACGGGAAACACTGCGCAAAAGCGTCAGTATTTCCTACAAAATGCGCAAAAGGTTTTCCAGGAAGGTTATCAGAGAGTGCGTCTCCGTGGCCTAGCAACTTTGCAACATGCTGATGCGTCCCAGTTTCGAACCTGTGTATGGCGGACAATCTCGACAGACGGTATGGACCTCTTCTCCCACTGGTTGTTAAGGAATACATTTACTTACTTGCCTCAGGTGAAATACTTGTACTACCCATACTAGCTGCAGACGAGGTCAACAAACAGCCGGAACATGTAGTCAGCAGAGACGTAGCTAATGATAAGGTCAGTTCTCCAACATACTCATGTAGTCTTCAACTTATTCTCTCTTATTCTCATCCATAACAATAATTAGACGTTCGAGACCAAACTGCTTGGCATCACTTTTGCCACTCCCTTGATGGTCCATGTTGTCAAGGCGGACCTCACCCGCCACATTCCCCATCTGACCAAGCCCTTGTCCAGCGAGGTCAAACAGTCAATTACTGAGGCGCTGGGAGCCAGCACAGAGTACGTCGAGGTGAACGTTTTTCAAAAGCTTCTGCGTGTGGTCGCCATCGTGTCAGGTCTTGCCTTCGTCGGGCCAGATATTTATCGCCAAGAAGAGTACATCAACAACAGTATCACTTTCACGATCGACCTATTCGGAGCTGTCGCACAATTGAAGCGATGGCCGAACTGGGGCCCGGTGCGCCCAGTTGCCGCACGATTCATTGCGCCGGTCAAGAGGCTCCATGCACATCGCGAGAAGGCCTACGCGTTTTTGATACCTCTGATACAGGAACGCCGGAAGTCTACCGCCGCTATCAAAGACGGAGAGAAGCCCAAAGATATGCTGCAGTGGATTTTAGAGAAAGCTGACAAGTTCGACACCAAACAAGACCAGGAAATTGCGATGATCTTGATCCTCCTTGGTGTTGCAGCCATTCATACAACCTCCTTAACAGTAACACACATGTAAGATTTCAACATGCTTGTAGTCGACTAGATTCTATATTATCGTGCTAATTCGCTCTACAGACTTTATGATCTCATTGGCTACTGTCCCGAGGCGATTTCTGACCTCCGCGAAGAGATTCGGACAGTCTTGGCTGCCCACGACGGCAATATCACAAGCGAAGCTCTCTACCAGATGAAGCTCCTTGACTCGGTGATGCGCGAGTCGGCGCGCGTGAATCCAACCAACGTCATGCGGATGCAGCGCTGCGTACTGCAGCCTTTCCAGTTATCAGACGGCACCGTCATCCCCGCCGGCGTCGACATCGCCGTGCCAGCGCTCCCGGTCAACCTGGACGAGGCGAAGTACCCTGACCCGCTGCGCTTCGACCCGTATCGCTTCGTACGTCTTAGGTCAGGAGAAAAGCCAGACCCCATCGGGTACGGCAGCCGCGAGCTTTACCAGTTCATCTCGGTGACAAAGGAAAATATGGCCTTTGGGTTCGGCAAGCCCGCATGTCCGGGCCGTTTCTTCGCCGCTACCGAGATCAAGTTGATTCTAATTTATATTTTGCAAGAGTACGATATCAAGATGCCGGATGGACTTGAGGGTCGGTACGCGAATACGGTCCGTGGTACTTCTATTACTCCGGATTTCAGCAAGAAAGTGATGATTCGGAGAAGAGCATAAAGGTGGAAATCTGTGAAAAGGGGGGGCGGATTAATAGTCGGGCTGCCGTACGCCACCTTTGGCCCACTCTAGGCTTCGCGTTTATAAAATACTATCTTCTCAAAAATATGCGTAAAATCGTAATTCAAAGGCATTCGACCATTTATCAAGAGATGAACAAACAAACTCGCACTTACGCGTGCGAGGTGATCAGTTAGATTTTGTTGATTTGGCATCAAGTTGGACAATATGGTTGAAGAGAGGCAACTCTCCATCTAGATGCCATTGGTCGACATTGCCTCGCTGCACCGCCTCTTAACTTAGATACTTGAGAAGTGGATGGCTTGATAAATATGTGTAGTATCTTCATAGCTCCTTGCTAGCTGCACTCGATATCATAGTCTCGCATGTTTTCGTAGTCAAACTATTCACTCAACCCATCTTGAGAACATGACAAATGAATTTACGCGAAGCTAACTTTGGCTATAACTCTGGGATATGGATTCCACATGTATTTAAATGAGGTGAAGCACGCTATTTACAGTTCAAATCGCGCCAGCATTACAGATGACAACTTGCTGTAGATCTGTCTTCGCTTCTCGACAAGCTCCATGTAAGTCTCGCGTGGCTCGGTAGCAATTGATCCTATAACGATAAGGTCCTCTCCCTTGAGCAACTCATTGTACGCCGCCTCAGTGAATTGGTCAATCGGCATGCCGAATGAACGACCTAGCTTTTCACCCAAATAATCGTGGAGCTCAGCTAAAATATATATCAGCATAATGCAATCTTATATAGGAGGACACGAATGCCTTACATTGCACTACTGGAGGGTAAATCTCAACAATCTTGGTGGGCTTGTGACGGTTCTGGTCACGGAGGCAATCGACGAAAGAGGTCAGGGCCGCCTTGGAAGCTGAGTACGCCGCTAGGGTAGGGGCCGGGACAAGGCCTAGGTGGGTGCCCGTAATGATGAGGCCGGTGGGCTCCGTCTTGGCCTGCAAGTGGGGCAAAAACTTGATCGAGAGGTTCACAATGCAGGTGAAGTTAACGTTGATCTCGTGGTGGAAGCTGGCAAGGTCGAACTCAGCAGCACGCGACAGACGTGTCCGGCTCTGGATGCCAGCATTCAGGAAAACGGCGTCTAAATCAGGGTGCTTCGTGACCACCCTATGGGAACTTAGTTTCACGCCTTGCCAAATTCATATCGGTGGAGAGCACATACTCGTTGACAAAAGCATCCAGCCCCGCATTGTCGGTTATGTCATATCTAATGGCGGCGGCTTTGGCAGAGTTGTGCTTCTTGACGAACTCGTCCAGTCTATCTTGGCGCCGGCCGACGGCGATGACTTTGGAGCCCTCGGCCACCAGCTTGTCAGCCAAGCCAGCACCGATGCCCGAGGTGGCACCGACGATAAGAACTGACTTGTACGTGAAAGGCATTTTTGTTGTTCGGAACTAGGTGCGATAACTATCTCTTCAAAAGTGGATTTACATGAATGCCAAGCTGATTCGATTTCTTAAATATTCTTCAACCGTTCAAGCAATGTTGTATAAAATCATTAGCAAACATCGGAGTACACATGGCAGATGAGCGACCTGCTGCACAGACCATATTAGGACCGAGTAACCGTGATGGCGTTGATCTGCCGAGCTAGGGAACTCGTTTTGCGCTTCACCAACGAGTAATCTTTTGCAACGCAGCAAAGTGTCCAGCAGTACGCATGTAAACATTTCTACATGCTTGGAAACTGCGGAGACGGAACGCAGATCTGTTCTTCGTTTGTCTTCGCATATAATGTCGATGTTAGGCTCTGTTCTATCGCGCAAGGTACTCAGGTATACTTGGCGAAAAAGGATCCAATCACAGTCTAGATAGCTCGCAGGGGTTGTGCTGTAACAGCCATCCAGCTGAGCACATGCGGAAATTCGCCGTTCTACGCGTGCAGATGGCAGTCTTTCGACCGAGCTATGGACTATTCGCTCTCGTACTCGTGAAACAACCGCATCTTCAGAGCTTTGAGTTCGTGATCCGGTAGATGGGCTCCGCTATGATGGATCAGCTGCCCGGTCTTCTCGCAGACCGCTTGGTCCTGGCTGCTTCCATGCTGGTGATTCTTGCGAGCGTTTGGCTGTTCTCGAATTTCTTTGACTACAGCAACAAGTTGCCCCTGTTGGGCAGAGAATATGGAAATTCGGAAAAACGACGGAAGGCTTACCTCGCCGGTGCGGCGAGGCTTTATGAGAAGGGCCATAATCTTTTCAAAACCAAGCCCTATCGGCTGACAACGATGGACGGTACGCAAGCAAGCAAAAGGAAATTAAGGCCTGTCGATCAAGTCTGACTGAAGAACAGGCGAGCGTATTGTGGTGCCGCTGTCGGTATTGGATGAACTGAGGCGTTTGCCAGAGGATCAGCTTAGTATTGCCGAATCCTTGCAGAGAGTGAGTCCTCTAATTGTAGAAGAGGAAGCAGATTGTGGCACTAACAAAAATAGGTCACCGAGACACGATACACTGGCGTCACGGCGGAATGGACACTTTTGGCCCATATCATTCGCTCCGACCTAACGCAGAGCCTCAGTAAGTTGGTCAGAACCACGACACTTTGTACAGCAAGTCTGACGCGATATAGATCGCCTCCTTCCCAAAATGGCCGAGGAAGTGGATCGAACTGTGAAGGAGGTCATCGGCCCGTGCGATGACTGGACGTCTGAAGTGGTTTATCAGCAGCTCCTGAAGATCATCGCCATCGTTTCTGGAAGCGTATTCTTGGGTCCGGATCTATGCAGGCGCAATGAGTACCTCCACGCTAGCATTAAGTATACGGTCGATGCATTCCGAGGCATCGGAAAGCTCAAAAAGTGGCACGAGCTCTTGAGACCAATTGGCCAATTCTTCACTTCAGAGCTGAAGACGATCGCGGAGCATCGCCGAAAAGCCCGAGAGTTCCTCATTCCCGTCATTCGTGAACGGAAAGCTGCCATGGAAGCCGGCCGCGAGCTCCCTGACGATCTACTTCAGTGGATGATGAATAAGGCCGATAAGTTGAAGATCAGCGAGACCCAGCTAGCTGACGAACAATTGTCTGTCAGCATGGCGGCTATTCACACAACCACCAACGCCGCTAACGACACGTTGTGTGAGTTAATCATACGCCCTGCACTAATGAGAGAAGTTCGAGATGAAATCATTAGAGTCCTGAGTGATAATGGCGGCATATTTACGCCTCACGCTCTTTTCGAGCTGAAACTGCTTGACAGCGTATGTAATCACTCCCAGGCCTCGAGGAATACAGTACAGTATAGTGCAAGAATTGCACAGTCAATGGTAGAAAACTGGGGCGGACACGACTTCTAAGTGGTGCTGATACGGGACATCACAGGTATTGCGAGAGACCCAAAGATTCAATGGCTCAGGGAAGAGTAAGTGATCTAGACACATTCACAGTAACAAAGTCTGACACTTCCTAGTCCGCTTTCCACGATGGGTCAAGAAGCCGATAACGTTGAAGGACGGCACATACATCCCTAGGGGTTATTTCATTGAGGCCCCATATACTGCGATCGTGTCTGACCCTGAACTATATCCTGACTCCGAAGTGTTCGATCCATACAGGTTCCTGAACCTGCGGAACGGTAAGACAGAGGACAAAATCAACTACTCCAGCAGGGAGCAGTATCAATTTGTCAATGTTGCCAAAGAGAACATGGGCTTTGGCTTTGGACGACATGCATGGTGAGTCCTGGCTTCTCCACTATACTGTGCACATAAGGCGCTGACATGAATGAAGCCCTGGCCGTTTTTTTGCGGCGGCTGAGCTGAAGCTCATTCTAGCCAATATCATACTGCACTATGACTTGCGAATGCCCAACGGAGCCACAGGAGGATACCAGAATAGTGGCTCAGGAGGACGTCTTTCCAAGGACCCGGAAAATCAGATGGAGTTCAAGAGGGTTCCAGGAAATGAAGAAAACCCATGACGCAACAACACTCCTTCAAGGCGTTTACCTCTCGATACGCCTTTCTAAGATGACAACATAAGGCCTTGCCTGGGGCATTGGGACTAATTCAATCCCTCTAGGAAGATTTAGCTTCTTAGACTCGAACATAAATACAAGTGGACCACCATATCAGAGTTCTGATCAACTAGAGCAATGGACCAAGAAAATTATTGCTGATTGTGAATGCAGCTTTCGCATTGGCTTAACTACACTTCCAAGCTTCCACTCTGTCTGTTAACCACCCGCTGACTGATTCGAGCTTGTCCTTTCTGTATCGCATTCCCTGAGGATATCCATGTCCTAAAAAGATCCTGTCGTCCATTTTACAATCGTCACCGTAATAATACCACTGAACGCATTGGGCCCAGCCCCTGCAAGCTGCTTCACAGCTGTCGACAGACTTCCATGCCTTGGTCCACAGGTCCGGATCGAATTGCCCTTCGGGTCGAGGAGCTGATGCAGAGGATGTGGAGTGGACCTCGTACCGGCTGGAGAGATTCTCCCACCATCCTTTGCGCTTGGACAAGGATGGTGCAATCATTGCCGCGTAAAAGTCGCCGTAGTTGAGTGGTTTCTGTGATTTAGACTCTTGTTAGCAGTGGCAAGGTGTAGAGCAAAAAAAGCCCAGCTAGAAAAGCTTAGGGATGTTGCACAACTCACGCTGAAGTCCCAAGACTTCTCCAATTCATAATATCGGGCAATGTCACGAACATGCGCATGATGCCACGTGAGCACCGGCTTGCACCAGTTCTCCTTGGAGAACTCAATCTTCCAATGCGGGAGGCCATTAAAGCCCCAGGAGCCACCGTCACTCCTATCATCCTTGCCGTCCCCGAACCAGACGTCGTAGTCGTTGAGAACCTTGCCGAGCGCGTAGTCGCCGCAGCATGCCTCATCCACGAAGCTCTGATACTTGGTCACTAGATCCCCACCCCGGCCGAACGATTTCTCCCACGCGCCGCGCGATAGAGCAAAGCCAGACCCGCCGTGGGCGAATGTCGTACCTAGCTTCTCGCCCAGACCGCCAATATAATGGCTCTGGCGGTGGTCGTACTCGGAGAGATACAGGAGGATATTGGGAAAGAAGAGATAGGTGTCATCTTCTGTGTAGATGTACCATTTCACATGCGGCCATTCCTTCCCGGCGTGCTGTATAAGTGGAAGGAATTTGTATTTGTCTAGCCGCCAGCCGCCCGGAGGCCCTTCGTGGAAATCGACGTCGCCAGGCAGGCCGGTCTGCTCCAGGTAGTAGTTGGTCTCATCCCAGTCTCGGATAGCATGGTACAGCTCGAATGCAGACGAGTCTTTGACGGACTTGGGCAGCTGGGCGAGGATGTCGATGACCGTGTGGTTGCCTACTCTAGCCTCGGCGTCCGAGTAGATCACGGTGCCGTTGGGTCTGACACGGTTGGTCGCTAGGGACGTCGAGAGATGGATGGGCAATCTCCTCCATAGCACTGTTGCTCCTGTTTTCAGGATAAGCAGGACATCATCCTCGCGCAAAGCTGTCCTTTCATGCTGATTTGGACTGGGAGAAGCAATCGTCTCCTTTTGCGGTGTCTGCGAATCCTTGCTTGGCAGCGTATGATCCTGACCGCTGGAGGTTCCGAAAGGCCGTGAAATTTCCGGCTGGAGCGGCAAGCTGTGCCTGGCCGAAGGGTCTATGAACCACCAGAGAAAACATATCGTCAAGAGACCTATAATAGGAGGCACCTTTCGGTTATCCCTGTAGATCCTCCTAAAGGACATTGTGATGCTTCCTAGGAGGACAACGTCGGGACATGTGCTGTGAGAATATCTGGAGTTGAAATTCCCTTGTTCGATGCGTTCATGGCCAAACCTGGGAGTACTCTAAGCCTAGCGGGGCAGCGGGGATATGGCGATGCCCGTAAGGCAGGTGTCATGACTCGATTCTGAACTGACATGAGGGTTCATGAAACGGCAAAGATATTGCTCTACGCGGTCAACTTGATGCGACTTGAACGGTAGAGTCAATGCTGAGCTGGTCCCTTGGTGGCAGTGTGCGCCCAGGACGAGTGTGCGTCATCACAAGGATCTTCGCAGAACTTGCTCGGCCGCAACTGGCAGGACACTTTTCTGTTGGACACCCAGCAAAGGTGAACAACGAACCCCGGTGGGGATCGTATCCGAATAGTAATTACTAGTACGGTGGAGACACAGCAAATATATATAGCTTGAGGTAAGGAGAACCAGTCATAAAATACTCATCATCCGGCAGAATGTTTTTCATGAACATGTGGAGTTTCTCAGAGTGGCAGCAGATCGGAGTTTATTGTTTGTAAGGCTTGAATTCACTCCATCTTTAATCTGATCTTATAAACCTAATTCGAGCCCAAAACTTTGTTTGGTGAGAAGTCGAACTTTATTTTTTCGGTAACAATGGATACATACCAGCCGAGAGTCCACTGGTTTCGACAGGTCCTGAACCTGATCGGCTGCCTCGTCATTTTCCCACTCTACCGTGCTGCGGCTGTCAACACCTACTACCCAGCGACCGTGGACCTGCTGATCAGCATCCTTCTGGCAGAGTACTGTCGTTTTAATAACGAAGGCCGCCGGATAGCTTTTCGAGAGGCCGCATCGCATCCCAAGGACAAAGAAGATGTGGAGAAACATGCACTGGCAGCTGCTGCCTCGCGTCACTCAGCGAGCAGTGAAGCCATCACCGCCATCGTTGGCTGGCGCGAGGATCCGTCATTGTGGGCGCGGTGCCTAGAAAGCTACAAGACAGCCAGCGGCTGCAAATTCCTGCTGGCTGGAATTGACGGTCATGACTCGGATGATATGGAGATGATCGACATTTTCAAGAAGGTGCGACAACTTCCAAGACCGACGGCCGAACACAGCCGGAATCGACCGCTGGAGTCCCGAATGGATTAGACCATGCAAATGCTAAATCTTTGAGAACTAGGTCTACCCTACGCAGGCATGCGTTATCCATGTCGACACGCCCCTCGGGGAGGTCGCCAACGCGGTCCGGGCCTCGGAGAGGACCAGAAGGCGTAAGCTGGGTGAGCCCATGGACGATGACGAGATCAACAGGATCGCGATGGACCGGTGCACGCATCTAGCGCGGCGCATGCTCGACGAACATCTCGGGGACAGACCGTTGAGTGGGCCGGACGGCATAAGGCAAATGTTGGTATATCAGCGGCACTTGCACAAGAAGGGCATCATGTTCACGGTGCTGGTCTTCTCCATCGTGCTGGCGGACTTGCTGGGGGTTGAGTTCGTGTGGTCATCCGACTCGGACACAATCGTGCTGCCGGAATCGCTGGAGGGCACTATCAGCACTGTCGCTGGCGACCACACGATCGGGGGGGCCAGCTCTGGCCTGGTCGTACACAATGCCGCTGATACGGTCGTCACAAAGCTTGCTTCCACGATCTACTGGTGTGAATTGTACCTTACTCGTTCTATGCCAGGATCCATGGCTGTTAGCGACTGTCAGAGTGGCCCCAGCGCGGTATTCAGACTGTCTGCTATCAGTCCGATTTTGGTGCCTTGGTACAACCAGCGGGTATTTGGGAAGAAAATGGTATGTTCACCCGTGTGTACATTGTTTTTTATCGGAGCTCTCTTGACAACTATACGAAAGAGAATTGATCAGAGGCTAACCAACTTCTTCTGATCTTCAAGATTGTCAACGAGGACCGTCATCTCACCACACTCCTGCTGCTCCAGGGTTGGCGCGTTATCTACGCTGGCGATATCATGACAGAAACAGAAAGCCCAACAACACTTGTGCGCTGGATTCGTCAACAGGTACGTGAATTCTCGAAATAGAAAAAGAAAATACGAACTGTCCCAAGGCCTTGCAGCCCCCGCGTTTCACTTCGACTGATAGCCGAGTAAGGTTCGCTGGGCTCGAGCGCAACACATCGAGTCGTTGCTTCTACCGAGCGTCTATGCCAAATCGCACCCATTCCTGTTCATGTCGGCGTTGCGGCGCGAGGTGGCCCACTTAATTGTGTTCGTGCAGTGCCTGCTGTACCTGTTCACAGAGCACAACCTCTTGTACTTGAACATGCCCGATTTCGGGCTGCGCATCGTCGGTATCGCCATCTACAATTTCCTCAGAAATCCGGATCGCCAGTCTACGGCCGCTGTGTTTTGGATGGTCCCTGGCCTCCTGTTCTATAATGTGCCTTTGCCGGCTGTGCAGGCGTGGAGCCTGGTCACACTTACGGCAGATACATGGGGAAACAGCATGAGGTCCAGTACCGAGCAAGCCAAGAAGGAAAGCCTACGGAAAAGGTGGTTTGAGTCTGGTTTCTTCGTTGTCTGGATGGGGGCTGTGGGAGCTATGCTTGCGAAATGGATATCTACGCGGATGGCGCTGATGCCTGCCCAGATGGTTGTTGTGATGCTGTTGGCGGCAACAATTTGTGCCTTTGTATCATGGAAAATCACCATAAAGGCTGCATAGAAAGATTATGAATGTTATTTAATATGAAACCACATTAGAATTGCACGTTGTACATAGATCGACGTACTTGCCAAGGTTCTCTGCCTATTTTCTAGCTATCTTATGCAATTGTCGGACCTTGACTTTCAGCTCATGGCCCTCCATGAAATAACACATGCAACAGGCTCTCATTACTTACGAAACAATGCCGGTCTATCTGTTAGTGACCAGTGGGGGGCAATGGCTTTGTGTGTTTGCAGCTGCCAGACAGGCTGGCAAATACCGCTCGTTTTGTACGAGGTCGGGTAGTTGACCTGATCAATAGCACTTCTGAAGTTCTCGCTTCTTAAATCGGACTCGTTGACAATGCTCTAGAAAAGCTTGATTGATTTGTATGCCTTGACAGGCGAATCGACAGGCTCGGAAATTTCAGCCCGATGTTGACACCAAGCACCAGCCAATCGGTCAGAAGCTGCCGAGCAGTCATAGGGGGCAATGTGTTAATGAACAAATTCAAGACCTGCTACATCAACGATCAACAAGTGAATACCGAGTACTGGCATGCCCAGATTATAAATACCATTCTGTTACGAACTAGCAAATTTGATCATACATAAGCATCTGTGGGCTACTCGTTCGCCTCAACAGCCATAGTGCAACGCCCAAGTCCCCTTTTCGTTGGTCTTGATTTTTTCAATCCACGTAGAAGAAGTCAGCGAAACGCGCCAAAAACAAATAGAAAACATGGTCATGGATGATACACTGGCTGCGGATACTGCGCTGCCGGAGAAGGCTGCCGGAGCTCATGATCAGGGTAGTGACAGGCCTGGGGAAGGATATGAGCCTGTCAGGACCCTTACAGGTTGGAAGGTAAGTAGGAAATCATTTGTCAGACTGTCACAGACCAGCTAATCACTCTCTCTGATCAGTGGGCTCTCGCCTATGCCTCTTTGATGTCGACTGTCCTACTCTTCGCCCTCGACAATACCATCGTAATACACCCTTTTCTTGTTCCGATCGTTGCGCATATTCTGACGAGTCGTGGTGCAGGTTGCAACCATTCAGCCCACAATTGTTGAGACTTTTGGCCACCAAGAGGATTTGGCATGGATCGGAGTCAGCTTTGTGCTAGGTCAATCCCTCATTCTACCAATGTGTGTTTCCAAATACTTCCTTCCGTATGCTTTTGCAGATCCTCTAACTGTGACGGTGCAGTGGAAAGTCTTTTGGCATGTTCAACATGAAGTTGGTCTTCCTCACGAGTCTGATATTGTTCGAAGGCGGCAGCGCCATCTGCGGAGCAGCGCCAAATATGGCTGCCCTTATAATCGGCCGTGTCATTGCAGGCATTGGCGGAAGTGGCTTGTACGTTGGAGCCTTAACTTACATCAGCGTCCTGACCACAACGACCGAACGTCCCATCTACCTCGCTGGAGTCATGACTGTGTGGGGCGTCGGAAATGTCTTGGGTCCTGTCGTGGGCGGCTCACTAGCTGAGAGTTCTGCCACCTGGCGCTGGGGATTCTACATCAACCTTCCCATTGCCGGTTTATTTGCTCCGGGGTTCGTCTTCCTCCTTCCCAGCATCAACGCCATGCCCGAAACCTCGCTCAGGAAGAAGCTCGGTATGCAGGACTGGGTCGGTATCTTTATTTTTACTGCCTTCTGTGCCTGCTTCTGTATGGCTGGGAGTTTTGGTGGTACCCTCTACGCCTGGGATAGTGAATCCGAGATCGCTCTCTGGGTCATGACCGTGCTGCTGTTGATTGCTGTTGTTCTCGTCACAATATTCCACCCCTTCGTTCCGCCCGAGGGCAGAATGATGCCAGTTCAGTTCATGAAGACCAAGGACCTCATCCTCCTGCCACTTCAGTCTTTCCTAGTGGCAGGATCCATGATGATGTCCATCTTTTATACCCCTCTGATCTTCCAATTTACAAAGGGTGATAACGCGCTTCAGGGTGGAATTCGTATCCTACCTCTGATTTGCATGATAGTCTTCGGTTGTCTCCTCAATGGTTTTCTTATGCCTAAATTCGGATACTACATCCCTTGGTATGTAATAGGGAACGCTTTGTTGGTCACCGGCGCTGCATTGATGAGTAAGTTTTGACTAAACAGCCCAATCCCACAAGTCTGACAAACGGAATCTAATTTCATTTAGCCACGATCGATGCAGAGATTTCCAACTCCAGCCTCTATGGGTATACTGTTCTCATCGGGCTTGGGATCGGCTGCTTCCAGAGTGCTGGGATTGCCGTGGTGTCGGCACTCGCCCCTGCGTCCGAAGTCAACAATGCAGTCTCCATCATGACCATCTGTACGTTTTTCGATCCCTCTATACGAGAATAGCTTATTCACAATAACTTGATGAACAGCGCAAGTTCTGGGAATCATCTTGGCCCTCTCTGTCTCCGGGTCTGTTTTCCAGAACATGGCTCTGAGATATCTCGGCACGGCCTTGCCAGACGCTAACATGTCTGAGCTCGGACAATTGGTCACTGGAACGAGCGGTGAATTCTACAAGAGTCTAGACACCGATGAGAAATTTGTTGTTGTCCAGCAGGTGACAGCCGCAATCCGCGACAGCTTCTACTATTTGTGCGGTGTTACTGCTATTGGTTTCATCACGTCACTGTTCCTTAGCGTAAGTATCAGCCATTCAAGAATCCACCTCAGCTGCACCTTGCCCGTGTCTAATCTTTGTGGTGCCATGACAGCGGAAGAAGCTCTTCGTCGTGGATGGCGTTGCTCCCCACTAGTCACCATGCTTCGCTGTCTTCTTTCTCCATCCTGAACCGCGGAATTTGGGTGGGTCGGCGTGGATAGGACGAAGCGTAGCACTGCGTGGGATTATACTGGGAAGAATGGGCATTACGGACCCTTTAGCGGTCAGATAATAGGCTGGCGGGGAGGGGGGGACAAATACAATTCGTCTCACAAGGGGGAACACTACAAAGGATTATGACGGATGGGCGTTGGAATATTTACAACGGAAATCCAGAGTGGATTGTCCAGAACGCAAAAGTGATAGTATGAAGTCCTCTTATTAGTCACTATCTCGCTTTGCTGTGCGAAACCTCTTGATTTTTGCTAGGCTTCATTTTGAGTTATTGGGATTCAAGTACATTGTGTGAAGATATGTTCAATACCAAGAATGGTGTCGAGAATTATCATATGGAGAGAAAGCTCGCGGTAATCTCTGAGCATTACCGATTCATCTATGAGAAGAAATTTGCTTGTATTTCTTCCGACCTTCTTTGTTGTTGGACCAACGGCTGCTATCGCCGACGGTCCAATCTCGAATTATTATAGTATACCAGTGAACATCATACTACAAGAAATTTTAAGAAGTATTGCCAGACTGTTGCGACAACAGTGCGCATGGATTATACCGAGAACGAAAGACCTCGGCCCTCTCCCTCGCTTCTTTCTCGACATCGTCCTCCAGGCTAGCCAGTCTCACAGCCATAGCACCGCCCGCTGGCGCAAGGGCTTCGAGCGCAGCTACCAACTCGCGCAAAGCTACGACGCTTCTCGACTTGCTCATATCGCAGAGCTCCTGGAGGCGGGTCTCGAGGGTCTCGAGCATGCCCAGGTACACCGGGCTCTCGCGTGCCGTTGGCATGCCGCCGCCGGGAGGTGCCTTACGAAGCCATGCAATGTATTCAGCCACCACGGATGCCATGACCGACGTCTCGGCCTGGCTGCGGAATACAGCGGACGAGAACCTCGTGATTGGCTCGAGGAATGCTGCACCTATGTTCTCGTTGATCTCCGTTTGAAACCCAAGGCCATCCTGCGGGTAGAATCCGATATCCGAGGGGTCAATGTTCATACCGTCATCCATTGGGAATGAGGGTAAGTCACACTCTCTTGCTGGTGCTTGTTGAGTGGTGATAACCTGTGGTGGGCCTCGGGAATCCGGCCCAGATGTTTCCAGACTCTGTTGACGATATACCAGATCAGAATCATTCCCCTTGTTGACGGCATCGCCGACACCTTCCGGGGGTACCATGGGAAATTCATGGAGAGCTGGTGGCAGTGCGTCTTGGCTCACTGGGTTGGCAGGCGAGTTGAAATTGAGACACGACGGCGAAGTGTCCGTGGTCCCTCTTGATGAAGCTTTCAATCGATCGATGTAGGCCTCTGCCTCATCTTTAATGAAGCCCAACAACGAAGACGTTAGCTACAGTCTGGGCACTCAAGTGGTTTGACAAGCTGGCAATGTGACATGTGAGACTGGGCTAACCTAGACGTCTTTGTAGTGCCTCCACTGTCTGAGCCAGATCAGCTTTCGAGGGCTTATTCGTCGGGAGATAAATGCATTGCTCGCCTGCCCGTCTGCATTTCTCGCACGTGGGCTGCTCACCGCCGCAGCGAACTTTGCGGTCCCGACACATCTCCTTCCGCGTTAGTTGAGCCGTATGGTAGCTAGGCATGAACGACATACCTTGCATGCCATGCGCCTTGAAGTGGCCGCATTCATCATGGTAATTTCTGGAGTCGCCATTGTTCTATCTTCGTGGTTGTGATTCAAGCGGTGCCATCCGTCTCGTGATCACCAACCAGGGCAAGCAATGACGAAAGAAACGGCGGCAAAGGAAGGAGGTCTCAGGCAGCGGGCAAAGATGTCTCATTGAACGATTTCTCAGTTCCTGAACAGATAGATGAACACCAATCACTCACCCAATGCCAATGCCGCATCTGATGAGCGAGCAAGTTGCTTGCAGAATGTCAGCTGTCGTTGGTGAATTCGCTTTGAGCTTCACGCTGATTGGTCTGCACAAAGTCTTGCTTACATATCTGCATGCTCCGGGATTTTGAAGGCCCGATCTGCAGAACCACGTACCTATCCCGTACAGTTATTCAAATCATTGGCGGCATAGAAGTCATTCCTGATGGTTCTCGCTGATGTGGGTATTGCGCATGGGGTTATGCAGATCTGGTTCTTGACAAGTTGGTCAATCTCCCTAGTACATTTCATGAATGGCCTTATGATACAATTACTACTCTCACTTACAATCGATCCGTGTTCAAACTGAAATCATCGCAAAAACTATGTCTCCTACTTTATGTCTTTCAAACTCTTTCTGTTAGAAAACCGAAGTGAGAAAATACAGCCTTTTCTAAGCATATGCAGTGACGGAGTGTAGCAACACGAAGAATGAGCGTGATTATCTGATTCGATTTTTGCAAGATTGGTGCAAATCAACCACTATTACATTTATTACAGAACAGTTGAGATGGGACCAAAAATCATTTGTATTTGTTCTCTATAGCGTAATCTTACTGACCGAAGCTTTCGACGTGGAGTGTAAGCGCCGCAGCCGCTGAAGGAAACGAAACATTTTTGAATCTCTCGAAGATCGTTCTTGGAGAATGTGTCCCAGTTATATATCAGTTGGCTCTGAATATGTCTTATGAAATGTTGTAGGAACCGATTTGGGGCTGACTTGACCATACAAAGCACTTTGGCTGGGCTCGGTCAAGCCGGCCCGGCTGATATCGTAGTTAGCTGCAGCCGGTCAGATATCGCCGACCTCATAACGACCTTCGGCCCGAAGAATAACATTTGCATTCTACATGTCCCTTTTCCCGGTGATTACAACAGAAGAGTTTCAGAGGAACACAATCAACAATCAACGTCTCGCAACTTTCAGCCGTGCTCGGGCCGAAACGTCCGTCGGCTGCACAAATCAGCATGTGCAAGTGTAGCCTCCGTGTTGGAGACTGTTCGAACAACTTTCCACAGTTCAGCTGACTATTTAGTTGAGTGATTGTAATCAGGAATTGAATAAGTCTATACTGGATGCTCTAGATTATATCTTTAAAGTGAGCTGTCCTTTTCGTCTATATACCCATCCTTAATGCCCTGCATCACAATCGGCCAAGCAGCAAGAGCATAGTTGCTATCTCTTGCTAATACATATGGCACGCTAACGCCGCTGAAGCCCCTGGGATTCTCGACATCATTGAAGTAGTTATGCAAGAAGTACGCATCTTTAAAATCATGAGCCCATTCCTTTGGCTTGCCTGCCCGTTGCCTCTCCCACGCCGCCATAGGCCCTGACGCCACATTTGGGTTGCTGATAGCATTTTGAGGGACATCATCCCCCTCGTGCCTCTCAAGCGCCCTGTTAACACTCGCCTGGTCCCACGAGAAGGGCGCAAACGCGCCGGCGTCCATGATGAGCACCTCGCCCGGAACACCCGCGACGGCCTGCGCGACGGACGTGATCAGCCTCACGCTGTGCGTGATCCAGTCCCCGTCAAAGGCCTTGGGAGTCTCTTGCTTCATGATCCGCAATACAGCTGAATCCCTGGCCGCCAGGATGATGCCGTTCATGATGGTGGCATCGGCCTGGCGGCCCACGACGGCCCTGAAGCCAGAGTTGAGAAGCTGATTGATGGGTCTGAGGGTGAGCACGTCCCAGTCTAGGTAGATGCCGCCGGAAAGGAGAAGTTGGTCCAGGCGCACGAAATCGGACCTGTGCTCGACGCGCGTAATGTCGCGGCCGTTTGCTGTGGCTGGAGCGGTGACTTTGTTCAGGCGCAAGACGTCTGGAAAGGCGGTCAGGACTTTTCTTGTCCAGGATGAGCCGTACTGAGCTGCGTCGGCGACATCCTGAGGGCTGAAGTCTGTGTGGATATAAAGCACGGAGGGCTGGATGAAGTGATATGCGGCGTAGAGGGCGAGGAAGTTTTCGAAGGAGAAGTGGAGGCTGCTAGATTCGTCCTTCTTGAGCTGGATGAAATGCACCACTGGCGGAATGCATCCCCCATCACTAGACCCGGGATAGTGATGGCAACCGGAGGGTGAGACGGTCGGGATGGAATAGTGGGTGAGGGTCAAGAAGCTGAAGAAAGAGCCGAGCACGAAGCCAATCACGATCGGGACGCCGAGGTGGCCGGCGGGCCGTGACCCGGGGAATATACGGAACATGGCCCGGGGAGAGACAGAGCTGAAGAGATGTCACCCAGCAATCACACCTTGACACCCAGGGATATATATCTACCTAGGTGGGTGCTGAAAGCAGTCAGGCGCAGGACGCGGTAGAAAGCGAGGTTCCGTTCAAGTATTGCTACGTGAGTCTGTGCTAAAACCGATGCACACGTATGCTGCAAGACAGACCTAACCTAATCTGCGGCTGTGTCGAATGGTCCACGGGCGCACATGGAAGATGGATCCTTGCTTGCCAAGTTGCGATTCAGACCGTTTCGGGTTTTCAGATGTGAATTTGCGATGACACATTCGTTCCTAGCTGGTGGATCTCCACTCGATGCCTAACTGGCATAGCGCGAGCATGTGTTTGTGAGGTTGCCCTCACCTAAGACGTACATGCTGAGGTCGCATCTACAATGCAACTACTTCTTCTCCTGCTCTTCGTGTTGTGATAGAGTCAAGGAGTGATGGAGTCCCATGTCGTAAGCTGGTTGGCTGGCTGGCAGGCAGTAGACGTGACAAAATTCAACGTAGAGTTCGATATTTTGAAGCGTTGGAATAGGGGTCTTGTGCAGGGGCTAGATGGCAGACAGGCAGGGAGTACCCTGCTAGAACGGAGCTCAGGCCCGTCCACCTTTCCGTAAAGGGGAGCTAGGTTGCAGCTGCCGTAGGAGCCCAAGCGCGTCCAAGTGCAAAGTGCTGCAGGTGCAAAGTGCAGGTGGAAAGTGCAGTTGGTCTTGTCCGATGACACGGAACGGAGAGACATCCCACCAGCAACAACCCCAACCCTGAGCAGCATCGACACCCCCCATCCCGATCTGGCCGTCAACTCATAGTCACAGCACGGTAGCAACAGCTCGGGCCTGCCGTCCACTCGACATGGCCTCGCCTCGCTTCGACTCGATTGATTGATTGATGGATTGATTGTCTGCTACCAGCAGCCCGTAATAAGCCCGCAAACCACCAGACGGGAAGCTTCTCTTATGTCTCCGTCTCCGACTGCAGATCCTTCTCCTCTCTCTTCTTCATCCTGCAGAAGAAGGTCTCATGCTGCAGCCTCTGAAGCAGACCTGGCGACATCCAAGACACCACCAAACCCCACCTCTCCAATACTAGAATAATAATAATACCCCAACACGCTGCCCTCGAAGTCCGCCCCTGAATCGCGTCCCCGAGCCCCGACGAGCTCCAAGCACAACACGACACAACACCACGCAGCATAGCACGGCACACCACAGCATTGCTTGGAATACGACATCTCGCCCGCCACCCTGCGCCATCTTGCCGCATTGCCACATTCCAAGCACAAGTCCAGCTTGCTACTGTGAATGACCTGAACCCTAGTCTGGCTGTCAAGGGTCGCTGTCTCGCGCCCCCCATGCGCAGGGGAAGGAGATGGATGAGACGGACAGGATAGACACGGGCAGGATGGACGACTCTGAGAGCACCGTAGAACTCGCCGCACGCAAGCCCCTGCCGCCTTCGTCCTCGACTGCGACCTTAGACGTAGACAGTCTTGAACAGGAACCCCCATCGCGACCATCGACCGCATATCGAGTCCCTGGCACGCCCAGCAACCCGCACGATGATCACGACCAGGACCAGGGCCAGGGCCAGGGCCGCGACTACGACCACGACGTGCCCACGCCCACGCGCCCAACGTCGTCCGAGCCACGCACCGTCCTGAGAGCCGATAATATTCCTAATCTTCGACCTCCAAGCGGCTTGCGACACCAGACACAACCACAGCAGATTACACAAGAACATGCTGGCAGCGCTGGCGACCACAGCTTTGCCGAAGGCCTCAGCGCACTACCCGAAACCGAACACAACGACTCCTATACTGCGCAAATGGTCAGAAGGCAGCTGCAGGACATCGAGTCCAGCTTCACCACCCCGATCTCCCCTCTCCCTACTGTAAACTCCCTCGGCTTGGACGACACCTTCGTCTTCGACTCTCCTTCAAAGCCTCCTAAACCACCAGGCGGTTCCGCTCCCGCCCCTGCTGCAGCTTCCACAAGATCGCCTGTTCCTCCTCAGCCGACCCACGACGAACCCTCCCTGCCTCACATCCCTCCGCCAGCCGAATCTAATCAACCGAGCCCCGAGCCCAAGAGAGAGCCAGCATCCGACCAGCTCCATGTCCCAGAAGGCACATCTGCCCTGGAGGCTTTCTCGTCCTCCCCGACCGGGGCCACCACCGCGCGCACCATCTCACGAGCAATGTCCAGGATTAGCAATGGCAACAACAACAACGCGCACGCTGATGACAGCCAGCCTCTTCAAGAAGAGGGCAACAGCTTCCTAGAGCATGATACCTGGATGGACGAGTCTCTGCTCCGACCAGGCAATACCTCGGGGATTTCAGGCACTTCGGGAGCTTCATCACAACGGCAACCAGACAAGGGCATACCGAAAATCAGTGTCGATGCGGGAAGCACGCCGGGTCATAGCCTGAAGAGCGGGAAGCGGCCGAAATACTTGCGTAGTCGCATGGCAAGCCACCACTCTTCCTCGTCCTCCTTCAACGACGATGTCGAAAGTGACGTGACCGCCGGTACGGCAGGCGGGCTCGGTGTCGATTATGCTCTGCAGTCTGGCGGCGCCGTTCCAGCGTTGGGCACGTCGCGAAACAGCAGCATGAGCAACATTGTCACGCGGCAGATAAGCATGGGCAGCATGGCGTCTGACTTTCGGGAAGACTCGACAGGGAGGATTGGTGTCGAGCCACTCGAACCTCTGGACGAATACGAAGGCATGTCGTCCGATAATCCCAACGACGACAGGCTCAAGACCCCGAAGGCTCCGAGGCAGTCCTTGACCGAACCAACCGACACGGCTATCGCCCGACACGTTAGAAACGTACAGGTACCCGAGTCGCTTGCGAGAGAATACCGGAGCAAGACTGGCTTTGTCACACCCAGGAGGAAGTTGTCTGAGGTGAATCTTGGCGCGAGTGCGAGCACCACCCGTACCGGCAAGAACCTCACTCTCAAGGAGCAGAGCAGCACCATAGAACGGCTGTCCAAGGAGAACTTTGACCTCAAGCTCAAGGTAATGTTCTTGAGCGACCGCCTTGACAAGCTTTCCGAAGAAGGTATTAAGGAGATGATCTCGGAGAACGTGGAGCTCAAGACTAGTGTTGCAGTCATGCAGCGCGACAACAAGGTCCTCCGCCGCCGTGTAAAAGAGCTCGAAAAGAAACTCAAGGATGAAGATGAGCGTCCCGATACGGCCAAGAGTGGTGGATCCTCAGGGCCTGTGCCGGATGACTATGATGCACAAGCTAACGAGGAAGAGCTCATCTACCTCCGTGAGCGTGTCGACGAGTTTGTAACGGAGATTGAAAAGCTCAAAGAAGAAAACATGAACAAGGAGGCAGAGAAGAGACGTATGGCTGAGATGGTCAAGAACCTACAGTCTATCAACGAGAACCGTGTGGGTGAATCTCTCGGCCAAGATGATGAGACGGAAGTGTGGAAGGAGCTGTACTCGCAGGAGACTGCACGCCGAGAGCAGGCAGACGAGGATAACAAGAGAATGGGCGACGAAAATCGCAGCTTGCGCGATGAGGTCTTCCGATTAAAGCAGGAAATGGCCAACAGCACAAACAATCTCGGAGGGCGTCCATCGTCTCATGCATCACACCCCTCAGGAATGAGCCACACTACGAATATTTACAACATCACCAAGAAGAGCCGCCCCCAGTCACCTTCAAGGCCGCAAACACGCATGTCCGAAGCCGACACAATGAACGGAGCAATGAGTGTCAGCGCCTCCCTGATGGAGGAGCTCCGTCGTGAGAGCGAACAGCTGCGGCATGAGAATGCCGAGCTGAGACGCGAGGTCGGTGCGCAAACGTCCATGCTGACGTCAAGAAATCGGGAGAAAGAGAGGCTATACCAGGAAATTGAGGATTTGAAGATGGCTGCTCGCCGCGGTGGCCCCACGCCCTCAACCATCGACAGCCTTCTCGACAGGTCCGCGTCCCGGGCTGGTGTTCATGACCGGCCGCAATCCCGTGGCAGCGGAATGACACGTACCGCCACTTTGGACGAAGACCCCGAACGGGAGGAGCTCGAGAACAAGTTGGCCGAGCTGCGAGACAAGCTAAATGAGGTCAAGATGCAGAATCAGGACCTGCAACAAGAGCTCGGCAATTACATGCAGGAATACGAGGCTGAATTGGAAGGCAGGAAGCAGGCCGAATTAGTAGTCCAACAGCTTCAAGAGGAGCTCGAGGCCACCCAGAATGACCTACTCATGTTGCAGCAGGAACGCGACGACCTTCTCCAAGAGAATTCTGGGTTGGATCATGAGTTCAATGCCTTGCGGGAGGAGGCACAGGACGAAATAGACCACCTGGAGGCCGAGACCGAGCAGCGAGACCAAGAGATTGCGCGACTTAACCAGGAACTTGCAGAGCGAAACGAAAACCAAGAGGCTCTACAGGAAGAGATGCGCAGGTTGAGTGAGGACATGATACGCTTTGAAGACACACAAGAAACACAGCTCCAACGTATTCAAGAGCTAGAAACAGAACTTGGCGAGGCGAACAAGGAGCTGGAAGATCTAGAGGCCAAACTTCTCGAGGCCAATGATAAGGGTCAAAGGCTTGGTATCCAGCTCGAATCCACCCAAGGCGAGATCGCCTTCCTCCGGGAAGAACAAGAGGGCGACAAGCTGCGTATCGGCGATTTGGTCGGCCAATTGGCAAACACTGAGCTTGCACTCCGAGAAGAGAAAGAAAGGGTTAAGGAGCTGGAGAACCAACTTCAAGCGGAGCGACACCAGCGCGAGATCGTGGCGAACCAGGAGAAGGAGGATGTGCAGCAAGTGGTTAACAACCTCAACAGAGAGATGTCTACGGCCAAGGACGAAGCAAGGAAGCTGCGCAAGAGCCTTTCCAGGCAGGAGATCGAGGCCGCGGAGTGGAAGGAACGACTGTTGGAGCTTGAGAATAATTTGAGGGAGGCGCTGGGTGATCTCAACGGCACGAGATCCAGCTTCCTCAGGGTGAGTTTTCCCTTCTTCTTCCTCTTCAGGCACGCATGAAAAACAACTTCTAACCACAGCCATGCAGGACATCACTAAGCTTCAAAACGATCTTGATACTACGTGCCGTGAATTGGACGCTACTCGCGCTTCTCTCAATGAGAAGGACCATCTCATTAAGCAGCGCGACGAACTCCTTGAGAGCCACGCCCTTGAATCCCGTCGGCTTGGTGACACTCTTGCTAAAGAACAACAAGCGCACCGCAACACAAAACATCAGTTTGAAACATATCAAAAGACACAGCAGCACGTTCACGGCACTATGTCTTCTGCTGAACTCCGCATTAAGGAGCTAGAGGCCAGCAAGAGCCAGGACAAGCAGCGGCTGACCAAGCTTGAATCGTCCCTCAAGGAACAGCTCAACGAGCGCAACAGTCTCCTGCTCGTCCTGTGGACACGTCTGTCAAGCCTTTGCGGCACGGACTGGGCACACGACAACAGCCTCATCAGTGGCCGCGCCCTGCCGTCTCTGGAGTCCGTAGCTACCATGCTACCCGGGTTCAGCAAAAACCTCCTAGCTGCCGTCAGGACCATCGAGTCGATTGTCAGCAAGTTCCAAGACCGGGTCAAATCTGTCGAGCGCGAGCTCTGGCGTGAATACCAGCACCTCGAAGACAGCCTCGACAAGCGCGTCAAGAAGCTCGATAAGATCGAGTCTATTGTTCGCAACGGGGTGGCCACGGGGTCGATCGGTATCGCGGGGCAAATGAGCCAAGCGCTTCTCGAGGAGCAGAAACAGCGCATGGCGAAGCTTGAAGATGCATACCGCCAGCTGAAGGTGGAGAACGCGACCCTCCGCACAGCCAACGAAGTCCGCCACGCGATGCTTGACCCTCGGGCAGAGAGGGGACTCGATGACGGCGGGAGCCCCAGCCCGAGCATACCCACCGGCCCAACAGGACGAGCCAGGTCAGGTGAGAGGGGAAGCCAGCGCAGTGAACGAAGCCGTCAGAGTTCGCGTCACGTCAGCGGTGGCGCCCCAACGACTTCGAGTGGGTCGTCGACGCACCGTGCGACGAGCCGAACCTCTACTATGACCCGGGAGACTATAACGAGAGAAAGATCATACGGGGCAGAAAACGAGATCACATCTGCGCAGGACGTGATCAACGAGTTTGACCCACCTCAGAGCAGCCTCAGCAATCACAACAAGCGCGATGTGACATCGGCGGCAGGCTCTCACGGGCCCCTCTCGCCCGGAGCGCCTCTGGACGCAGAGATCAAGTGGATGCACCGTCTGAAGGACATGGAGATCAAGCTGAAGGCCGAGAGGGAGGGTCGACGGCTCGACCGTAATGAGGCCAGCCGCAAGATCATCAGTCTCGAGGAGGTGGCGCTGCAGGCGCAGGCACGGGAGGCCAAGTTGGACAGGAAGCGGCGGATGGAGGCTGCGCTGTCGCTGGCGGGCAGGGACAAGTCGGGTGGTGGGAAGAGGAGTCCTAGTGCTGGCGGGGTCTAGAAGATGAGCCTTGGCGACGATGATGGCCGCGGTTGGGGATTGAGTGACGGGGTTGGAGTGAGCGTCTCTGGGGACTTCTCACTGGTCCCTGGTTGGGATGGAGCAGTGTTCCTTTTGTGATACGTGGTTGTTGAGATATCTTTCGAGAGGTGTATATAGGGCAGGACGGACCACGGCGTTGAGGGATGCGCCGATTGTTTGATATTGAGGGCGAGCAAGGCAAGCAAATGGGAAGGGTGGATGGGGATTGTATGATACCTGAGTCGAGAGCACCGAGGAGTCTCCTTTTCTCTCTTCCTGTATGGTGCTATGGATATTCTTACGTTACCTTCACATACTTTCCTCGGGGTTGTTGCATAGATACCGCCGCAGACAGTTCATCTACCTACATATCTAAGCAGCGCGTCGCTGAAAGGCGTGGCTTGGATTGATCATGACAATTCTAATGTTCAACGTCGGTGGATGTCCAGAATGCCCAATCTTTTGTGGATATTCTTGCGGTTTCCTGACCTCTTGCCATGAAGTAAGAGACGGAAGCCGATGCAGGGCTGAGTGAGCGGCGTCTCATGCTTCCATTTCTCACTCGAGCAACGTCTTTCTCGGCTCGACATCGACGGGCAGCTTCGACCACCTGCTTGCATACACCCTGCCCTCCTTGATCACCCCAAGCAGGTGCTTCTCAGGCTTTTCGAATATGGTGATGTCCTCGAGCGGGTTGCTGTTCAACACCAATAGGTCCGCGACGAAGCCCTCCTTGACCTGCCCAAGCCTCTCCTCCTGGCCCAGCATCCTGGCCGGATTGACCGTGGCGTGCCTCAAGACCTCCTCACTGCCCAGCACCTGAGCCCGCAAGCCAAATTCCTTCAATTGTTCCACGCCGAGGAACGAGAGGAGATCGCTTCCGAGGCACATCCTGACCCCAGCATCATGCGCAATCTTGACAGACTTCAGCCCCTGCTCCAGCACCTGCTTGTTCTTCTCCTGGTTGCCCCCAGGCAGGAACGCAGCATACTTGGGGTCCGCCATAGCCTGGTACGTGACCAGCGTGGGCGTCAGGTACACGCCGTTGTCAGCCATGTACCGCGCCGTCTCGCCATCGATGAAGTTCCCGTGCTCGACCCCCCTCACCCCGCCCTCGACCGCCCGCCGGATCGCCCGCGGCGTGTACGCGTGCGCGGTGGCGAACGTGCCAGCCGCGTCCGCGGCCTCCGCCGCCGCCCGCATCTCGTCGGCCGTGAACTGCACGCCGCCCAGCCGGTCCGTCGGCGACGCCACGCCCCCGCCCGCCATGAGCTTGATGAAGTCCGCGCCGCGCCGGAGCTGCGTCCGCGCCGCGCGCAGCACCTCCGGCACCCCGTCGACCACGACGCTCAGCCCGCCCAGCTCGCCGGCGCACGCCGATCCCTCGATGTCGTCGTCCTCGTGCGCCCCGCGCCGGTCGCCGTGCCCGCCCGTCTGGCTGAGGGCGTGGCCGGCGATGAAGAGCCGGGGCCCCGGGAAGACGCCCTCCGCGATGGCTTCCTTGAGGGCTAGAGATGCGCCGCCGCAGTCGCGGGCCGAGGTGTAGCCGCGCTCCAGCATCGCCTTGCACTGGAAGGGCTGCCGGAGGGCGGAGACCGCGGCGGGGGTGGCCATTGCCGACTGCAGGTCCGCTGTGCCGGGGACGGAGGTCATGTGCACGTGGGCATCGATGAGGCCTGGGGAGAGGTACTTCCCTGCCGAGTTGATGTAGATTGCTTCATCTTTTGGGTCGGCCTGGTGGAGTGTTTGGGGTGTGTCGGTGGTTGGCAGATCGGAGGGGGGAGTGATGGATGTGATTTGGCCGTCTTCGATGCGCACTATGCGGCCGGGAAGGATCTTGCCGGCGATGGTGTCGACGACATTGATATTGACGAAGACGTACGCCTGCCGCGGAGGTAATTTCCAGGGCTTATACAGTTCTTCCGGAATGGGCGAGGCGTGCCGTCGTGGCGACTTGTCCTGCAGAGGAATCGTCCGCTGGTGCGCGTGGCTGTCCTGGTCTGGTCTTGTCCTCATGATGGTGGTTGCTCCTGTGGCTCTCGGTATCAGGGAGCGGAGACCGTCCTCAATACGACCTTGAGTTGTCGATTTGCACGATTATGTTCGACTTCACTATGAGAGAGGCGACATAATCTGCATTAAAGAACATGAAAGGCACAGCGATCCATGTCAGAACATGTAGGGGAAGGGATTGAAGTCCAGTATGAGTTCCCCGCTCTTCCACCGACGAAACGAAGTTACCCCGGCCGGTTCTCCATTCCGGGTGATAAGCGGCCGGCTCCGTGCCGGGCATCTGCTCACCATCATGGACGAGTCTTGATCCGGGCTCTGTCTCATGTCACGAGATAGAATCTAAAGAAATAGTGTGTCACAGCAGCCCGAACCCCAGTCCAGCCACTGGCTCTATCGAACATATCCAGTCCATCTGGTTGGCACCCCGCAATGACGCCCGTCGGCCTGGATGGCTTGAGAGCTTGGCATGCTTGATTGAACATCGGTGGGCCGGCCTACAGGAGCTTTGTGATACTCTTGAGTATCAACCGGGAGCAGGTCTCGATGACAGGGCCTAGCTTGGAGTCTACGTCATTAACTTTCTGATGATTTTCACTCGTACAACCTCGTGTAAAAGGTGCGTTTTGCTGCTGTGCACTTGATCTGCTTCTTGCGGCAATATTATTGAAATTGGGACAATCCTAGTTGCCAGTGAAGCCGTCTGTGCGTATCTCATAGTTTCTGTAAGGCAGTCAAAAGTCTTCCATTCTCATCACCGGTTGGAAATCCACAAGCGACATATTTTCAGTTGATGATGAAGGTCTGAAAACCAGAGTCTTCATCAACGTATCCAAATTTGTGCTCCCCAACATGGCACGTCCCAATCATTTCATACGTCGGCTCTTGCTTCCGTTCCTTTTTGCCGAGTTCTTTCATGAATTTGGAAAGAGATGATGCTTTCCGTAGAACGAATGTCATGCCGACTCCAAACAGTGCCGCAACGACATCCCCCTTCGCAACCTTCCCTATAACCAGGCCCATCTTTCCCGTGTCGGTGAAGAACAGGGTCGCTTTTCGACATGTCGCAAAAAGCTGAAGCCGGATGAACCTCGAGTCGTCTTGGCTCAGACAATTTTGATCTTCTTGTGTACCCTCGTAGTTCTGCCCGCACATGGCAGCAACAGCCTGAAGCATCTTGTCCTCACTTCGAAGCAACTCCACCTGGTCATCGTCCCAAGTTGCGTCTCGTTCCGCGAAAAGGTTTGTATCGCGATTACCTATCAAGGTTCTCCACACTGTCTTCAGAGGAATTTGCTTCTCGGTAATCAAAGACTTGAGTTCATCCTTCAGTGTGAACCTCTCCTCAGGATTGGTCAGTTCGGGATCCTCTGTGATCGGCTGCTCGATGACCATCGACACGCGGCCAAGCTCAACACCGCCAACGAGGAGCGTTTGATAGTCGTCCGAGAACGTCGTAGGCGGCACTTCTGCGCGAGAAGATGGTATCGCATTCTCTACGGCACGATAGTTTGGGAGGATGTCCGCACCACCAACGTTCTTGCCGCCTATCTCCGGCACCCAGGAAGGCAAGCCTTTCTTCTTCGACTCGAAAATTGACAGTCTAGTGTAGCTCAGGTGCAAGCCGTCCCTGATGATGGTTGCCATGGCCTGTGCGTATACTTGCCTCTTGGTCTTGTCGTAGTCGGCTTGGATCGGCTGGCCAACGAACTTCGCTAATCCCAGAATACCAAAGACTTTATCCCGGTCATCCGTCGCGTCTAGATGCGACACGGTCCCTATCAGCCGTGGAAATTCGGTTGGGTCGTCTTCACCGACGTAGGACTTGATGTATTCCCTCATAGCCTCCTCGCCCATCCCATTTTCTTGGAATGTCTTCCTCAATTCATCTGCACTGAGAGGTGCTTTACTAGCACTTTCCGCCGCGGCAAAAGTTTGGGGGTCCTTTTTAGCCTTGATATAGGCTATAATCTCGAACATCTTGTCATTGTATGTGCCAGATGCCATCTCTACTCTCCCTCGAAGAGACGCCAGATTTTCCAGCGTAAGCAGAGCCTTTTGGATGGCGATCGACTTTTTGTTATTTTCAATATGTTTCAAAAGCTTTTGATACTTTTCCTCTTCCACCTCTGCGCTATCGGTTGGAAGTGGCCTAATGGCTACACCCTCCATCTCTTGCCGATGCATCACGTCGCGAAAGACATCCTCGAGCGCGAAGAGAAGTCTCAACATGTAGAGACACCATGTCGCCCAAGATAACGTGTGCCTTCCACAACAGATAGTCGGGTCGAGCGCGGCTAGTGCGATCTCCTGTTGTACCCAAATGCGCGTGAACCACGGCCGACCCATCAAGGAGAGGGAAGAGCTCTGTAAGGTGGCGTCCGCTATCTCCTCTCCCGAAAACCCCTGAGACATATGTTTCAGGAGCTCATCGCTTCCGTCGGCAGCTGGGCCCAGCCACACCAAGACCCGGGCTGCCTTGGAGTAAATCTGTCCCATCATTTGCACCTGGGGGCCTTTCTCCACATTATCCGCTTGATTGATGCACACTGCGTCAACCCACAGTGTCTTCTCATCATGTTTATCGCGGAAGTATCGCAGGGCGTTGTCCAGGTTCGAAGTGATGGTAATGGGCCTGCCGTTAACAAGAGCCGGAGTTTGGCATGGCTCTCTGCCCCAGACGTAGGATAGGGCGTCGTATTGTGGTGGAGGATCGCTTGAGAGAGAGACCGGTACCAATTCGATGTTGATTGTGTCGCCAAACTCTCCGGGAAGCAGGTGTATGATCCTGATTTCATCCTTTGAAGAGTCTATGGGACTGTAAGGACCCGGGTCGGCGCTTATATCATGCCTACGCCGGAACGGCAGGGCCTCACGGATTTTGTTCTTCATGGTAAGGTGGTTATATACATCGACGTTTGTCTTGGAACCTCGATTTCAGCTGCGAAGTGAGGAGCTTGCCAGTATGTGGATCGTGTGCAAGCGATGTGAATTCGCGATTGTCAAGTTGAGCAGGCAACGACGCAGTCAAGGAGAAGGATTCATTTGAGTTGAATCCTGCGGCTCCTGTCAGCGCACGAGCGGCACAGCACCCGGCGTCAAACACCACCCGCATGCAACGTCAGCTCGGCTTACCACTGGTGGGGAACCACATGGGTATCATTATTAGCTGGTTTGCATGTGTTCACCGGACTGCGCTGTCGCTGTATGTTAAGGCCGTTGTGCAAAATATACTCAAATCTTGAAATGCACGCTTCTGGAGTGATCTCTATATTATGTTGCAAATTTCACTTGAATCATGTATCCGTGCGATCTACTTCTCGTTCTGAGCCAATCTAGATAGGTCTACAAAGGAAATGATTTGGACTCTTGCATATCATTATCAAGAAGTAACCAGAAGTTATCCGTAGTGGCTTGCAAGTATCTTTCAGTCGTGGTAAAGTCCCCACTCGATAGGTGTCCAACCCGCATTCCATTGGCACGACGTCACGCCCTTTGCGCCCACCCGTGAATTCCACTGGAACCTCTGAACAGCGCCGCGAATAAGATCCCGTACGTTATCATTGCCAATCCTAGGAGTAGTAATAATCGGGTCTAGACTCGTGACCCCGAACGCGCACGTTCCCCACTGGCATACTTTTATCAGCTTTCGACTACGGTACTGAGCAAAGATTAATTGCATCCGACCGGTACGTACCTGTGCAATCTGCTTCTGGCCAGAGGGAATAAACCATGTGTATTCACCTAAGCGGTCAGCGAGAGTAAGGCAGTCCGACACGACTGGTGACCCGAGGCTGGTTTGGTCTTCCCACGTTGTTCCGTCGCAGTGGTCCGCGCGGTCCTGAAGTGTCTTGACAATTAGGTCCGCGGGTGCCGGAGATGTGTCGACAGGCAATGCGTTCATCACCGGAGCCACAGCCCAGGCAGCAAGTGCCACCAAAATGCGAGGAGACAGATGCATTTTGGAAATCACAATCCAAGGTGGATAGTAATATAGCGGGAGCAGAGCAGAACAGTGAGTTGACGTTGAAAAGAAGTTCCTCTGATAAAGACACCCCCAATTTGTAATAGGCAAGTTTCTGGAAGAAACTAAGCGTGGTCAAACCAAGGGCTCGTTTGGCTAGGGCGTGAAGAGACATTATATATACACGAGAGCCTCATACCGCCAAATGTGAATCTTTTCCGGTATATTCTCTCAGCATTCAAGTTTGGTCTTCAGTCGAAGTGGCTATGACTAAGTATGGGGCTCTGGGTGTGTTGCTGACTGCATAAATACTGTTAGAAGACGTTGAAAATTAAGAGCTCTCTGCGATGTCATGGCCTTACATATGCATACAAGTGCATGTAGCAATCTAGGGAGAGAAGCAGGCTGAGGAAACTGCATTCAATATTGAGTGCCAAGAAGACTATTGCTTACTTGGTGATCATGAGCATGATCCGCTGGCACCTGGCAGGGCATACGAACGTTGATCGTCTCCCAGCAATTCTGGTTTCGACAAGGCAAGAGGAAGAGCGGGGAAGGACTTCATGCGGGTGCAGAGCAAAATTGGCTGTGTCATATCATGGGGTGTGGGCCGAAGGATGAGGTCGCATAGACTAGAGGAAACAACTTGAGCGCCATTTATGTAGTTGTCTAGAAGAAAGCAGTAATTTGCAATGCTTAGAGCTACATGTCCACCTCAGTAGCGGTAAAAGCACCCAGAACACTTGACAACTTAACATCCATCTCCGTGAACTCGCCCTCATCAGTGCTCTGGATTGTCACCGCGCCACCTGCCCCAATTCGATAGATGTTCCCAGCAAATGGGCTGTGATCAGCCCCAAAACCTGCCTCATTGTGCACACCCTCGTGGGGCTTGCCACCATCAGTGGCCGTGTCCACGCTAACAGCAGTCCGAATCACCACAGATAAATCGCCGCCGCCACCGACATCCAAGTAGCCCAGGACTCCAGAGTAGATTCCCCGATTCCTCGGCTCCAGGTCTCTCAATATCTCACAGGAGCGCTTCTTTGGGGCACCAGTCATTGATCCAGGTGGTAAGGACGCTCGCAATACGTCGAGACCGCGGGGTCCAGTGGGAGGCTTGCTCGATGTTGGGTTGTTTGGGGTGCACTGGCCCTCGATGACAGAGACCAATTGGTATACTGTTGCATATTCCTCCACAACCATGAGCTTGGAAACCCAAGTATTATTCGCCCCAACGACACTGCTTAGATCGCTAGATAGCAAGTAAGCAATTGTACCTGACTAGGGCATGGACATGGTGAGACATACTGTCGGATCAGGTCCACTATCATTAAATTCTCTGCTTGTTCTTTGGAGCTTCCGAGTATTTCATAAGCCTCTTTACGCGTGAAGTCGGATTTCTTTACGGTCCCTTTGATAGGTCGGAATTGGCAATGGCCGGTTCTATCCCAACTGAGGAAGCGTTCGGGGCTGAAACAACCCGTGGTCAGCTTCAAAGATGTCCACAGTAGAGTTTGGATGAAGTGATATAAGTGAGTGGAAACTTTTCAACAACTAACCTGCTTCCAACCACGGTCACTCCATTTAGGTGAAGGAAGCTACCGAATGGTGCTGGGTTCCCTGTAATCAACAAGGTTAGTATCTGTTCGTTGAGACGACAAGAATGACATGGAGCTGGCCTTACTTTGCCTTAATCGCTTGTACACACTCCAACTGGACGGAGTCGTTCCACTAAAATGGATCTTGGGTTAGTCTCATGGTTTCGGCCATAGAAAAGGGTTTTGGAGAGTGTACTTCAAAGCAGGAAGCCTAATTTCTGTTTGATCCGTGAGACATAGCTCATACGAATCACCAGACCTCAAAAATTCTTGGCAATCTAAAACCTTTTGTCTGTACTCGATTTCCTCCGGCTTCCTGACTTGCGCATGTCCGATGGCGTGACGCAAGATCAGGTCCTCGCCCGTGGTGTGCGCTCCACTGCCCTCAAGCCGTTGAATGACCTGGCCCATTTCTGCAACCCAAGCTGAATCATCATCGCGGAGAGACTGAACGTAGACCAGACCCTGGCAAGCTGATGTGTAAGCGAAAGCTCTTAGAGTTCGGCGGATATTAAGCACTTGCCTGCTCATGGTTGATGACGATGCTGCGTTGAATAAATGCAAAATTGACATCGGGAATTTCGGAAGGTCGGTGTGTGTCTACTTGTATCGTCTCCAAGCCAGCCTCATATGAGATATAGCCCGCGAAACCGCCCCAGAACGGGATTTCCATGGGCAGCATCTGTCCAAAACCACCATGGCCCCTGGGGTCGTGAGCGTCGAGGACCTTCTGAAACACAGGCCAAATCTGGTCGATTGAATCCAGTCGTAATTTAGACAAGTTGTTGGCTCCAGGGTTGGTCCCCCATCGGATGCAGCGGTCATCAACTTTATAGGTAACCTTGAGAGTTTCCTTTGGGTCTACCAACCCTAGGATGCTGAAGGTACCCCTTTCTCCTTTGTGGCCTTGAGAGTCAAGCAAGACTACTTCGAGCTCATCCAGGTGGAGGCGCAAGGTTTCGCAAAGAGCGTTGGGTGACACATTCTGGGACTTATAGGCTTCCCAGGTCAACCTTGGTGACGAGCTAGGCCCGGGATGGCCAGTAATAGCTAGCATTTCTTGCACTAACGCAGAATATTTGTCCTGTATCGAGATATGTCTCAGCTATAGGCTCGAACCTGTGAGGTATAAATGGGGCTCATGAATTGGCATTGATCAGCCTGGGAAAGAAAAGAATTGTCTCATACCTCGATATCGATAATCTTTGCGGGGTTAAAATCTTCAACACCATTCATAAAGGAGCCATTGAAGTCCCTGGTGTGAGAGTTGTTCCATTCTTGGGCTCGCCACCACCAATTCGACACTATTCTTTGGGCGCCTTCCTTGTGAGTGCAAATGGACTCGGGATGGAACTGCACAGACCAGAACGGCTTTTCAGTGTGTCTCGCGCCCATTAAAACCGGGTTACCGTTGTCTTCTGGCCCCCAGGCTAGAGGGCAGATAGAGGGGCAAGCGGTTGTTGGGCTCCAAAATACGTCTGGATTAGAGTGGCCAAGGTCGACATGGAGTGAGTGATATTGTGTTGCCGATAGCTCTTCTACTCCCTCAAATATGTCGGTCCCATTGTGAATGATTTTGCTCACGATGCCGTGTCGCGGTTCGCTCAACCTAGTAACTTTCGCACCATGATTGAGGCACAAAGATTGGTGTCCCAGGCAGATGCCCAGTATTGGCACAGTCGAAGTATCCGGCAAGCTCCAAAGACGGTTGATGAATCCGACGTCTTCAGGGTTGGCTGGGTTCCCAGGGCCGGGACCGATTACTACGGCGTCGAAAGCTGATAAAAAGAATTCTAGACCGTCTGCAAACTTCTGGTCGTTGATTCGCACAACGGTCACTTCTGCTTGAATTGACTTTTCTAGAAGCCCAACGACATTGTTGGTGAAGGAGTCAAATGCATCAATGAACAAAATACGGGGCGGAGAGTATGACCCCATGTTGAAAATTGTAAAATTATTCGCTGAATCAATGAAGTACTTAGTGGTGACAGCTTGAAAACATAAAAGGGTGGTAACGTGCAAAAATCACGTTCGGCTGAGAACGTGAGAGAAAGGGACAAATAAATAAAATAAAGCGGGTCAAATTAAGGTTGAGGACAATTCCCCCACTGACTCAGGTGCATTTATTCCCTACTGTATAGCGGGATCTCCTTCCAACCTGATACCCATAGGGGCCGTGACAGCCGGTGAGTTACAGCCTTACCACACCCTTGCCGTCTGATGAATTTCTATTTATATTGTAGGCAGCGATATGTCGGAATCTAGTAGATGCTGACTGCGGTCAATAATTCCCGCCATATTCAAAAAAAAAGTAGAAGCAGGGGCTTTGGATTAGGGCTTGAAAAATTTAGATAAATAATCAAGTGTTTGTCGTGTTCAATATCGTGAGAGTATATCGACCAGTGCTACTTGAATTCATATGTAACGACTCAGAACATCTGCTTGACTAAAAAGTGTGAGATTTTCCACCATACGAAGAGGGTAAAATGGGAGGTGTTGAAATATCTATCTATCTCGAAGTGTATGTATTCTTTGAGAAGCCCCTAATTCTTTTGCCCAACACATAATAAACGACAGGTAGCGGTGCCAAAGCTAACGAGATGAGCCCAAGAGTGCTCGTAGCCCAGGGGACTCCCAAATTGCTGTACATGTAAGGCGTGAATACTGGAAACCCAGCCCCGAAGAAGCTGCGAACAAACATATTGCCAGCAATTGCGCTGCTTGCCACAGGCAAGTAGACGTCCACGATATACTTAAAGCCTTGGAGAAATGTCACATAAAGAGAAATCCCAACAATGACATACGCTAACATTTGAACCGGCCAGGAAATGGTTGGGTCAGAAGTCCAAGCCGCCCAAAACAAACCTGGAGGGAGGATCAAACCGGTGAGGATCATCGGCGGGAGACGGCGCTCAGGAACAACAATTCCAGGTGTGGACTGGAGTTGCTTTGCGTATATCGTGATGGAATACCAGAAAACAAAAGCGAAGCCGATTATGCCCCCAATAACAAGACTGAGAAAAGCCAGCGACGCATTCTCAGGCGTCCATCCCCGGACGCCGATGAAATTCGCTGGGAATCCCTGAAGGAGAATGAATTCCAGCGCATAGATGAAAGCCCTGCATCATTCATGTCAGTGTTGAGCCTTTGTGGTATATTATAGGTATCATTGATTTCAGACTGCATGCACGAGGAGTGAAGATCATTCAAATCATCTTACATGTAGATGGTGGTCAAAAGGTAAATAGGTTCTGTAGCAAGGAGAACTGTAATTATATTAGCAAGGAAAAATTACTGAAATAACCTTGTGTAGTCTTGGCTTACCCATTGGTCTCACGAGATAAGTTCTTCCAAATGATGAAAGTGTCATAGATTCTTCCATTTCATGTTTGCTATGCAAGGCCCAGTTCTTGGACCTTAGACGCAGCTTCTTGGCCTTCTGGCTGAGAAGTACTGGAGCAAAGGTCTCAGGCACGGAACAGTAAAACAAGATGGAAAAACTGTAAGCGGCAATAATATATATTAAATAAATATTTTTATATAGTTAATAATATTAATTTATAAATGTTTTAATTTTTTTATAATTAATTATATATTTTATTTTTTTATTTTATTTTTAAATTATTAAATTATAAATATTAATATTTTATATATTATTAATATTAATAAAATAATAATCTTTTTATATATATATTTATTAAAAAAGCTTATTTTTTATTATTTTAATAATAAATATATAAAACTTATTAATTAAAATAAAATTATTTTATAATAATATTTATTATAAATTAATAATTATAATATATAATATAAAATATATATATTTTTAATAAATATAATATATATAATATTATTATTTTTAAAAGCTTAAATAATAAGTATTATTAATTATAATATAGTAAATATTAAAAATTATTAGCTTATAAAGAATAAAGATTAAGTATATAAAGATTTTAAAGAAATCTCAGAGAAATGTCAGGGAAATCTCAGGAAAATCTCAGGAAAATCTCAAGGAAATATCAGGGAAATCTCAAAGAAATCTTAGGGAAATCTCAAAACAATCTCGGGGAAATCTCGGGGAAATCTCGGGAAAATCTCGGGAAAATCTTAGGGAAATCTCAGGAAAATCTTAGGGAAATTTTAAAAAAAAAATAGAGATTTTATTTTAACTTATAAGATATATTTAATTAAGAATAAAGTATAAATAAATAAATTTACTATATTTTCTATAATTAGTTAAAAATATTATGAAAATTTATACTAGTTTAAGCTATTTATAAAAGTATAAGGCTAAATAATAGTAAAATTACTTTACTATTTAGCTTATAAGGCTAGCTTTAAGTAAGAAAATAAAATAAATATTAGGTTATTACTACTTATACTAAGACGCACTTTTTAAAGCAAATAAAATCTAAATACTCCTTTTTGTACCTAAATTGAAGTTTGGTTGGGCTTCTTCCTACTGTTGCCTGACGTCTCTTCTAGAGGCTGCCTGTTGTCCTCAGCCTGTTTTCTCTTCTGCTTTGTGGAAGCTGTTTCCTGGGTTCTATCCTTGGCATGTGCAAGTTGCTTGATACCATGAACAATAATGAGATGCTGTTTCATCTGCTCTGCATCCATGGCATCAGCCTTCGTGCACATTGATGGGTAGCTTGGACAGACCATAAGGGATTCCTCCTTTTGCAGCTTCAGGATGTGGGCGTTGAATATATGACGAGAAAGTGAAGACACATTGAGTACCGTTGCACGCTCTTCTGCTGGTATCGTTTCATCATGGAAATGAAAGGGGCAGACGGCCGGAATGAGTGCCATATCACGGATGGCAAACCCTGTGTAACCAAATCGAGCGACATTTGACTGCATATCAGCTGAGTGCCCAGCCATATGAGTGTTCAACACTGCGCTGTTGATCCAGGTCTGGCAGTATAAGCAGAATTCTGCTGATATGGAATAGCTGGTCCACATGGAATGTGTGCTGGAAATGTGAGCTCGGAGAGCAAAGCCTGAGTCGAACAGAGTGCCTTGGAGTGTTGGTTCATCATCTTGGGAAAGAGATGCACAGTCGCCAAAATAGCAGGTAACTGACTCTTCTCCTTTTAGATGGCAGTTTTTGACATGCCTGTACCACTGCCGTTGTGTATACGGAGTTGTCTGAACGCCACCAAACTCACATTCCCGTATGTCACCCTGGGAAGGATTCATTGTCTTCCAGCCACAGGTGTTGTCCCTCATCGAATTATCGAAATGATCTTTCATGCGCTGTGTGGCATCGGCTTTGGCACATTTAAAAACATGTCTCCAAGCATGGGCCTCCTTGGCTAGGCTTTCCCCGCAGAACCGGCAGTTGTATGTCCCCAGCTTCGGTTCAAGGCCGGAATGAAAGTCGTGCGTGGAGTGCATGACCGCAAAGTAACGAAGCAGCAGGCGACATACTCCCTCCTCAGACTCCTGAGCCCTCTGAAGCTCGCCACCCAGGTCGTTATATGCAGAAGCACGGAGCAGTTTCGCCGACGGGCGCGGTAAACGGCGGTACCCTTGTTTTCCGTCCTCGTCGCCGACGCGCGTACGACCGATGTGATCATCCACGAGCTGATGGAGGCGCATGGACGGGTCTTCGGCATCTTGTTCTCCGTCTGCTGGTGGAACCTGATTGTTCATAGGCTCAGTGGTATCCTCTGGTGGGTCGTCGTCACGGGACTCGTCTTCACTGGCCTCGGCTTCTGCCATCTCCTCATCTCGAATTCTCTCAAGGTCCTCCGCTTGCTGCCACAGCTGCGGGTCAATAACGGACAGTTCCACTGCCAGGTCCATCTCCCCTACCCCATCGGGATCTGCCATGTCCTCAGATCCCAATATCTGGTCCAGGTCCTGCTCCCTGTCGGTCTCCACATCCTCGGGACTAGCCACGGCTTGAGGCCCAACACCTTGGAAGGTAGCTGCATACTCGCGCTCAAACTCTTCTCTTACCAGCCTTCGAATCATACACCGGCGGGCAATCTCGGTCTTGTGGTACTCATCCCACAGTGGATCCTGCGTCCTGGATGCTGAGATGATGCTGGGGTGCTTGGCTAGGATCTCCTCGCGGAGGGCGTAAATCTTGGTTTCGAGCTCACGCAGGCCGGCGTCGGCATACACCCGTTCCATTCCGTCGGCAGAGATTTCTCGAGGCGCGCTGTCAACTCGGTTCAATAACATGCTCGAGTGCCGAGATACCTCCTCTGACTCGGGCATCCCCCGGAGTATTCTCACGGTATCTACCGTGGAAACGCGCGAGTGATAGGCTGAGTAGACAGTGCTGGTTGTCCTGTGACCCATCATAAATCTGCGGTTCTCCGCGCTGACTTCGGCTTCCAGCTTGTTGGCTACGCCTCGACGAAGGCAGTAGCCTATCAGACGGTTCTCCAGTCCGGCGTAGACCCCGAGCCGCTTCAGCTGCTGTGTCATTCGGACTAGGGTCTCGGGACTGTCTGTAAGATTGTGGTTTCTGTCGGCATATCGCAAGACCGGAGACTCCTTCATTTCATCTACCATCCTCATTCGCCGTCCGGTGCGGGCTTCGTTGGACGGCGCCCTGATTTTACCAAGATCCTCCCAGGTTCCGACGCCATAAAGCACACCATCGAGGATTGCCAGCGTTAGCAGCAGGCGGAGGGTATCCTCTGGTGCCATGCTGAGCGGCAGTAGCTTCGGAAGCGGGATCGTCCTCCACTCTGACTCCTTGAGCTTTTGGCCCTTCGACCACCTAATGGTCACATTTGCCGCGATGTCAAATGTTGGTTCCGGGTCGTCCTCAGACTGGTACGTATAGAAGGATATGTCTTGCCATCTGAGACACATCTCTTCTGTTGATTCATCGCCTCTCAAAATCGCCCCACCACGCTCACAACAGTCCACCATCAGACAGATGTATAGGTTGAAGTTGATAAATTTCCTCATGTTGGGGAAAGTGACGACAAACTCGCGTTCGTATAGTCTGCTTGTGAGGTATGTCAAGTCTTCAGAATTCACCACGTGCTTGTCGTATGCCGCTGTGTGAATACCCTCCTGCTCAACAAGGTCGCTGTAGACAAAGTGGCGCAGCTCCTGCCTCGTAGTTTTCTCAACCTCTTTTAGCCCTGTCTCTTTCTTGATCAACATACACAAATTAGTCGCATAATTTTTGAGTGTTACGACACTGAGCTTGTCACGCAGATTTCCGACTCTAGACCGGGAAAGGTAACGTAGGTACTCCTTAAGGAGTGGCATTGGTGGAAAGGGTGAGCCAGGCCGTAAGTAAACCGCTTCGGCGTCGACGTCTGGATGCTGATCCTCCATGAATTCTAGGAACCATCTTCTAGCTGATTTGATATCAGCGATGGTAGATAGGGCAAAGAGAATCTTCGAGGATGCTTCGTTCTGGGCTCGCTGTGTCTGGAGCTGCTCGGGCGTAAGCGTCGCCTGCGCAGCTGCAAAGGTGGCTGCTCGCTCCGCAGCGTTGCTCGGCCGCTTCGGTCTAGGCATGGTGGCCAATGGATCTGGGTGCGAATTGAAGAAACGTCAGGGAGTCGAGGGGAATGGCAGGTGGAAATCTCGGAGGAAATCTCAGGGAAATGCATGAAAAAGGACCCAAGAATTCCCTCGGGGATAGAGGCATGCGCTGCGGTGCGGGCTTGTCGCCTGTGTCTGCCTGTCCCGAGCGCACCTTCTCGGATTTGCCTTCAGTAGCTGTGACCTCACCTCGCGCTCTTTCTTCATGTCTCTTGATTCATCTTGATCGCAAAAGCATCCCGTACCTACCTTTACACAAATCGTCCGTCACACAATTTATCCCCAGGCGCACACAGCCCATCAGAACGGAATCAACTCCACAGCTATTCAACATGAAGGTGGTTGTCATTACCTACTTCCAGTCTTTCACGCTGCATCCACAGCGGAGCACCGACCATAAACGTGTCATCACGGTCGAGTTATCGAACGGGAAGATGCTTGACCCAGTTTCGCTCAATGTACCAGCTTTTGCGACCACCCAGGATGTGGACAGCTTCATCCAGAACCTCTGCGACTTTGACGGTACCAGTGTATGCCCTTTCACGCACGCTTGCAACATCTTCCGTCGACTCCGGGGCCTGGTTGATTCCATGTCATCCAACGCGCAGACAACTTCGCAAGTCTCCCTGGTATGTAACTCACGGTCATGCCTTTGCCCAAACCGTCCACTGACACTCATCATCAGATGGCCCAGACCAGAGAGGCTCTCGAGTCCGGCGCTCAATTTCTTCGCACCGCCACCGAGGCGGTCACGGCAGAGAGTTTGATCAGCGAGGAAGCCCTCGACGCTGGCATGGTCACTCGGAAAGAGGCCATTTCCAAGGCTGCCGACAAGGCCACACAGGCCGCACGCACGACCATGCAGGTGCTTGACGAGCTCCGGAACAGTGGCCATGTGTCCCATCAGCAGTTCAACGATGCAAGTTCTCACTAGGTCATATTTGCAGAATGTACTCCAATGCCTACTAACATTTCCTGCAGAGATCTCGCACCGCCTCGCTCGATGCATTCAAGCTTCGTGTCCTGAACCACGCCTTCAAGCTTGAGTGGTTCATCTAGAGGGGCCCAGCTTTCTCCAGCATTAAGCATTTTCGTGGCCAAATCTCTCAGCACTGCCAAAGCAGACGGCCCGGCTATTGATAAGGGATTGAGATGGACTCGTGAAGTATCGTTATGTTGATGCCAAGGCACAATGGCTCAGTGGGGAAAGCAATCAATAGCTGTTCCACACCGCGGAAACTTCTCTTATCCTTTGATCACCAGAATATCCTTTCGCATGGCTGTACGCGGAGACTAGCAAGGGAAGCTAGAGCAAGATTCGGGAGGCATGGCGTTGGCGGAGAACATGTTGCAGATGTACCTTAGAGCCGGTCCCCTAGGACCTAGAATTCCTCATCATTCCGGACGCGCAATCACATAGCTACAGGGCGAGAAATTCAAGTCCATGATGTCCGTATTCTTCTGTCTATCTTCCCTTCAAAGCCCGAATATCTCAACTGGCAGTGCCGGCAGCTCTCAGACCTTGTTGACCCATTCAGGCTTTCCTGGTCTAATGCCAAGAATGCCAAGCCCTTCCATCCACCCACCACATAGTCTTTCTAGAGGCAGCTCCGCCAGAGCATTTTTTTTTTTTTTTCGTGGTGGGATTCGCACCCACGATCTCAGCTGCACACAGCCGCGGCTTAACTTCTAGCCCACACGACACTCTGACTTGCTGCCGCCAGACACCTGGCCTCATATTATTGTCACCAAAGGGCAACGCAGCTGAGGAACCACACACCGCAGGTGCAGACTAAAGAAGACGGAAACTGGACAGCTAAGGTATCTGTCCTTGCCACTAGGGTCACTGTTAGTTATGTCCTGCTCACACGATCGTTTAATGTCAGCAAGCTAGCATACATACCAGGCTTACAACTCAATCAGCCGAATGCCAGACGCATTTCCGAGGGGTGATTGGTCGGGGTGGAATCCCATGATCATGGAGAGATCATCATCAGTGAGCTTCGCAAGGTCTTTCTGCACGTCCCTGCTTGTAAGCTTCCCTCGCTTGCTGATGGGCTCCCGACGATAGAAAGCAACAGTTCGGCCGAGTTTGCGGCTGACTGTACTGAAGTCCAAGGCTGCGTAACGAGAAGCGGCGACTTGGAAAGCTTGGTCGGGGATTTCCCGCTGTAGGGTCCCGTCCTCCTTGGTTTGGAAGCCAAATCGAGTCTTAATGTCCTGCATTTGCAGGACACCTGCCCAAAAGTTCAGGGACGTAGTCGCAAGATCACCGATGCGAGAGTCGTTGAGGAACTTCTCAATGCAGGGAGCCCACAGTTCCGGCAGCACCTAGCTATCAGAACGTGAAATGAGGCCCACCAACGTGATCTTGCCACTGCCCTCGACAGTCACACGTTTCGGCTCGCCATAGTGAGAAATGGAGTTCGGCTCGGCAAGTTTGGCCAGGTCCTGAGCAAGGTCCTTGTAGAATTCGGCATTGGTCTCTTGGGTCTGGGTGACACGGTGCTCGGGACGCGGCGCGTAAGGAGAGACAGGTTGGGAGGGCGAACCCCGGTCGATACGTGGGCTGGCCACTGAAAACGCGTATGGGTTGTTCTGCGGTGTGGAAAATGGGTTTGGCTGGTCGACTATAAAACAGTCACGGTTCTTAGGGGACGTCGCGCCAGGCAAAGTATTCTTGACTCGATCAAGAAAGGAAAGCGAGCTTTGCTGGGATGGCTTATTGCTATATCGCTCAATAATGCCGTCAACAACCTTGATCTGCTCTGGGAGCACTTTAACCGCCTCGGCGCAGGTCTTCAAAAAAGCCGCGTCGGGATGGAGCTCGTAGAGGAACCCGAGCTCTTTCTCTGCACGGCAAGTCTCCTTTGCAAAGACCGTGATTGAATGTACGGCCAAAACGTCGTCTGGGGTATCGATGCTCTCGTGGAGCTCATTGGACGGCGAGTCTTTATCGACCGCACGCCTTTTGCCTGTGCTGGTCTTGGGAGGCGGCATTTTGTTTGCGCGATGTGGAGTGGTAAAAAGTTCTTGCGCACGCGACGCAGGTAGGTTTTCGGTGTCGGAATCCTCCTCGTGGGTATCGTGTAATGTTTCCTTGATGTCCCAACCAAGATCAAGTCGGAAGGGAAGTTGTTTGGAATGGAAAGGTTGGGGGTACTGTTGCAGTAGCGCAAAAGCTTTTTCTGCTGTGATCGGGCCACCAACTTCTGGCTCAAACCCTTGGGACTCGAGCTCGTCTGCGGGAACATAAACGGTTCTTGCTGCGTTTCGTGTGCGGCTGTTCGTGTAGCCCTCTTTTTCAATTAATCTGTGGGCTTGGTCTAATGCAGACTTGTGAGTTTTTGCAAAAGCTCCCCAATGAACAGCATTTGTTTTTGCTTGACTTGCAAACATCGCCGTGGACCCGTAGAGATGCACAATTCGTCTGACCCCCTGTACGTCCAGCACATGAGGCTTCTTCTGAAGCTTCATTTGTACCTGCTTTCTGTACCCCACGTCTTTTGAAAGGTGTTTATGCGAAGGCTCCAACACTAGATACCAAGAATCCTCTTCGTCACCCTCAGCCGTGGTGACCGTTTGAGACCTAGTTAGTCTCGAAGACATAGCTGCTGCTGAGAATGAAGTAAGTGTAGGCAGTGTAGTCGTAGAAACAAAAGGAGGCTGACAGGTTTGCGTCTAATTCAAGACGTGACACGAATTCCAGTTTTGGTACCTAGACTTTGTGAAACCCAGGCTTCGGTCCGCCGCTGGGAGCAGGTGTAAGGAAACAAGATCTAATCTACGTTCACGTCAAATTGCGTGTAACCCAGTTTCCTTGAGATTTATCCTACAATCACTCCAGCACAGCCAAAACACAACCACTGCCAGCAACCAAAATCCAGCCTGCCATGCCCTTCAACAAAGAACCCAACGAGATAATCGACCTTACGAGCATCGCAAGCCACAGACCCCCACAGCTCGCACAAGTCATCGATCTCACTATGGACCATTACAAGCTTGAAGCTATTGTCCGCTTCTACCAGACGGCCCTTGAGAAAGCCACCTCGCTCATTGACCCCGACTCTATGGCAGAATTCACTCGCCTGTCCCCTCAACCAACCATGCCAGATGCTACTCTACCTGTTCAACACGCGTACTATAAAGCTGCTGTCAACAACGCGGGTAGCTTTCTTAACGACACACGAAGACATATGGACCAGATCCGCCGCGACGATGACGAGGGTGCTCATGAGACCTGGACAAAGGGAGCTTCTGTTATGTTGAGGGTCTCGTTCGGCCGTTTCATTAAATCGTCTGCCATGTTCTTCCCCATGTGGATGAACCCGATGCTCTCAGAAATAGGCATTAACCTCCTAGCTCATGAGAGTAAAGGAGTTTCTCGTCTGGACCCTACAATGATGCTGGCGTGCCTAGGTCTGGACACGGTCAATCCACCTCTTGTTTACTTTTGCGAGCCGCACGAATTTATCGTTACATGGTTGCCAGACAAGGATGGCTGTGAGCAGGAGCCTTTAATAGACATCCCTGACAGTGTGTGGGAGAAGGCACGTTCCGCCTTGAGACAAGGCCGTGACTACAGGGACTGGGCGAGGGTTGGACGAGACCTCGCCACGCGCTATCAGTTCATCAAGGAGTTTGGGATCGAGAGGGCCATGGAGTTTGAGCACGCCCAGGGACGAGGCTACAAGGTGGACGCCGAGAAAGTTAGGGAGCTCCACGGAGCAGCTTGGTTTGGAGGTGGAAAGGCGTTTGGTGCCGACGGCACTCCTCTGTGGTGAGGGCAGCCCGATCTCTTTTAGACGGCACCAAGGAGGGAAGGAGAAAGGCGTTTGACACAATAACAAAGCTATGTTCGTTGAGCAAAGGCAGACCAATGATCCTTTTCACCGATTTAGACTCCCAAGACAGTGATGGCCATAAGAGAAACCTGCGTCTTGCCCACCTCAGTCGTGGTGCCACCACCTCTGACCATTGAACTGAGAATCAAGAATCTTGGCGATGGCAAGCATTCGATTGCACCGTCTTCGGGCCTGGGGAAATCTTTAGGAAGAGGATGAACAAGGTCAAAAGCAAAACTCACATGAAGGATATGAGCTTGATTCATGATGCTGTGGAATGGGACGGTTATGAAGTGACCTTCCTCTATGGTAGTGTCCATCAACTCCATTGAGCGTTGCATAAGTGACAGCCCTTGTCTAAATATGGCCGCAAACTCCCCCGAGGTGACACTCCGGAACTAATGAACCGTCAAGTGGGAGACGTGCTGGAGAAACTGATACCAGTCGTCCTTGTCACGAGATATCTCGTCCTTAGCCTCAAGAACCAGGTTGCGGGAACAAGGTAAGCTCGTGTATCTGAAGTTCATTGATCAGGACTTGACGCCAGATCCAGAGCCGAAACGCCACCATCTCAAGAAGCTCGACTGGGCTGGAGTTAGCAATGTTCTCAGCGAGAAGCATTGCGGCATCAAGTGTCTCGACGTAGAGATCCTTGGGGGGGGGGGGGGGATGGTCAGAGAAGTGGTGGAGGTGTCATGAACAACTGCCTGCAGTGTGATGGTGTTGGCAGCATCGTCCTCCCTTGGCAGGATACGGAACGTGCTGAGCCGCGCGGCCATAACGGCTGACTTCTCCCCGTACAGCTATCTTCTGGCCACAACGTCTCTTTGCCAACTGTCGGGATGGCCCGTCTCATGCAGCTCGATGTCGAGTAGCATTTCCGTATTCTCATCAGAGAGGTCCGACTGCCTCAGGCCGCGCGAGGTGCCCGACAGGTAGCGTGGGAGGTTAAAGCCAGGTTGTAAAGGAGGTGGGATCCTACATATGTCAATAGTATCCTAACAATGGATGAAGTACTCACGTCTGACGAGGAAGACAACCTGTCAAGGTCACTGAGTCCTTTTCGTGCAGCTCCATGACTGATTGCTGTAGTGATGACCCGCGGCATGGAAGAGGAAATGTGATCGCTGTAGGCAGGAAGGGAGAACTGCTGCCTTGGTCTATGTCGAAATGGTGCACAGACCACCTGCAGCGAGAAATCCTTAAGATTTTCCTTGAGATTTCCCCAGCATTTACAAATCCTTGAGATTTCCTTGAGATTTCCCCAGCATTT